TAGCAAAGACGAATGCGTTTTCGGGGAAAAGAGAGGACGGCGGCGCAGGCATTGCGCTAGCTTGCTGGTGTAGCTCGTCTCGTTCTCGTTCGATAGTGGCCGGAGCGGGTAGATCGAATTCCTGAGGTTCTGTTTTGATGACCTTTGTATCACCATCTTCGGAATCGCTAGCGGAGAAACTAGCCAATGTGTTGTCAACCTCTTTGATGTTTTCATACCGTCTTTTGCGAAGATCCTTGAGCTGGCCGATCTTCCCGTTGTTGATGGTCCTGCTCTTAATCTCTTGTTTTCGGGCTGGTCCGCAAGCAATATGGTAGCCAGGAACGGACAGGATAGAGAACACCTTGCGGGAACCGTCTGTGTTAGGGAGGTAGCACCATGCGGAGTGGTGTTCCGTGGTCATTGTATCGCACGCCCCCAGTCTAGACTCCTTGGGGTATTTGGAGCTAGCCCCGGTTCCTTCCGCATGGTGGTATTCAAGTTGCCGGGCGTGGTCTAGGTTGCTAGCGACGAAGGCAGGCGGGGCTAGAATCAGACCAACTGTCCAGGCACTCGGTGCTGCGGCCACGGCTTTGTCGCTCTTGGTCGTGGGTGCGACGGCATCGCGGCACAGGTCGCTACCGGCTAGCGGTACAGTGTCGCGGTTGACCACTATCCAGGGCAGGCCGTGCGCCCACACCAACGGACAGGGGTTTTTGCTCAGCCGTGTTTTCATTGTCCGAACGTTGCCGTTAGACTCGAAGTCATACGGGTACAGTGTGTGGAGCTCCTCGTTTTTGAGGTTCTTGCTTGCGTTGTAAACCTGCAGATCGGACAGCCGGAGACCCTGTTTGGGCGGGATCCATTTGCCGGTGTTGTCGTATCGGGGATAACTGGCTTCTAGCTCTGTGTCAGGGTCGTATACTGGCGGGGGGTCTGTGGCCATCAGAGTATCGAAGCGTGCTTTGGCGATCTTTCGGGCGTTGTCCAGCTGCTTGACGAAATTTTCGCGTGCGGTCTCACGATTTATTCTCCGAGTTGGTTTTGAAACCTCCCGGTCGCGGTTGGAAGCCATGACGATTGTCGTGAGGAGGAGATGAAGAAGGAAAGTGGTGAGGGGGTGAGGGTAGTGAAAGTGAAGAAAAATAAGTGGTAGAGTGAAAAGGGGAAAGTAAGGAGAGGGTAAAGTCGATAAAATATTCTGTAAGCTATAACAGTGAGAGAAAATGAGCTCACTTATCGTATGTGGAAAGGGTATGGAAGTGAAGAGTTAATGAAGGTTGGAGTTGAATTCCGCGATCAGTTCTTCGCAGCCTTTCAGATTCGCAGCAGGGAGCCATTCATCGTCTTTTGCTCCCCGGCCTGCCCATCGAACTAGATACCAGGTGGCGGTAGCTTGCGTGCCGTCGGCTCGTGGTCTTCCGCGTGCGGTGCGGTCTTCCCTGGCCAGGATTTTCTCTACGTCGTATCTGACCTCGTCTGGGAAGCGGTCATCGACAGTAGGGTTGTGCGGGCCGTGTTCGGCAGCGTCGCGTTCCCACGGATCAGCACCGGCTGGGGCAGGTTCTAGGTGAGCGACGCTGATTACTGGGTGGATGCCTCTTCGCAGCCAGGCGTCCGGTAAAGCTAGCTTGTATGCTAGCTTGCCTATACGGTCGACGACTTGAAAACGGCCGACAAACCGCTGGCGCAGTTTCCTGGGTAGGCGGCCGTTTGAAATTATGTTGTAACCGTCTCCTAGCTTCAGGTACACCCAGTCGTTTATCGAGAAATGGGTTTTCTCGTGACGGGTGTCATATCGGCGCTTCATGGCCATCGCCGCATAGGCGATTGACAATTCAGCGTCTGCTCTCGCAGCTAGTTGGTTGTCGGTGGTCTCGATGTCGCGTAGCAAATCCCACGGCTGGCGTAGTTCCAGTCCGTACAAAAGGAAATGCGGGGAGTAGCCGGTAGCTGATTTGCTAGCTGTGTTCATACCCATCTGGATCGCGGGGCAGGCCGACGGCCATTCCTCTTTACGGTGGCTAGCTACCCAATGGCGGATTGCGATTTCCGCGGTCTGGTTAGTCCGTTCCGACTGGCCGTCCGTCTGTGCATGGGCTGCTGTCGAAAATAGGAGCTGGGTATGCAGCAGCTCGAATAGCCGTCTCCAGAATCCCTTCACAAATTTAGGGTCTCTGTCTGAGATGATGATGGTGGGGAGACCCCAGTTTGCCGTCCACAAAACGTTTAAAATTGCGTCAGCCCAGTCCTCGCCAGTCCAAGTGGTTTTTCCTGGAACTAGCGCGACTAGCTTGGTGAACTTGTCAGTTAGTGTGGCGATGCAGTCTAGGCCGTTGGCGGCTAGCGGCAAACCAGTAACGAAATCGATGGTAATTGTATGGAACGGTATCGGAGGAGACAGGATAGGCTGCAGCGAGCCGTAAGGTTTGTGGCGTGGGACAGCGTTGTCTTTGCACTCGGGACAATGATGGATGTACTGTTTAAGTAGCTTCGCCCCTTTGTATATGGCTAGGCCGCGGAGTTTCGACCAGGCGGCATCGAACCCTTGGTGGTTCTGGTGATCGTGTGCTAGCTTGAAGAAATCTCCGGCCAGTTGGCGAGGGATACACAGGTTGCGCGTGCCCGCGTGGTTGACGAAGAATAGGAGTTTGCCATGTAGCTCGTAGGGCAGCTTGGTCTTGACGGGGTCCACGTCTGCTTCGTCGTCCTGGAGCACCCGTATGACCTTGGACCAGCGGGAATCTGTGTTGTACCCTTCAATAATCCTGTCTTCTAGTGCGGAGCTGATTTGCAAACTAGTTATTTGGTGGGGTTCGCTAGCGGTAGCGCAAAAAACGTAGGACGAGTGTGATGGGCTGTCTATCGTATCAAGATCCACTCCTGTAGGGTCAGTGACAGCGGGTTTGTTTTCGCTAGCAGTGTCGTAGCTGTCGGCCGCGGGCAGACGGGACAGGGCATCAGCGATTCTGTTGGTAGTGCCAGGACGGTGGAAAATCCGGAGACGGAATTGCTGGAGGTACTGGGATGCCCGCACCAATCGCAAATTGACGCGGTCGGTCGCGCTAGAAGACAGTGCGGTTGCGCTAGCGATCCCGGTAGTCGCGCTGTGGTCTGTGTATACGATTGTGTCAAGTACTGAAGCGTCAATGAGGTGTCGAACTTTTCGTACTGTCCAAACTAGTCCGGAGACTTCGAGTTCTGTTGGCCAGTAATTTTTCTCTGCTTTGGACAGTAGACGGCTTAAAAACAAGATTGGTTGTGTCGCGCTAGCTGGTGGTGGCTTTGCTGGGTCTTTGTGAGTGTAGCCGTCTTTTGTGTGAAAAACCATAGCGCCGTGACCTCGTTCCTTAGAGCTGTCCATTGTGATGTACAACTGTTTGTCGGACGCGTGGTGTGCTAGCCAGCGTGGTTGGGAGAACTCCGATTGGAGGATACGGAACGACTCCAGTTCGCTGTCGGATGGATCGACAATGCTAGCTGCTGAGGACCAGCGTCGGCGAGGGCCTCCTTTCACTGGGCTGCCTCGCAGCAGATCGGTCTTCCGTCTTTGTAGTGGCTCGGACTTGCTAGCGAAACCCTGAATAAAGTGGCGTAGATCACCGCACATGCCGAGGTATGTTTCGAGTTGTTTACACGTTCGGGGGAAGGCTAGTGATTGGATCGCCTTTAGTTTCTCCTCGTGGGTACTCAGTCCGAACGAGTTGATCGTTTTCCCCAAAAGAGTCAAACTAGGAAATCCTACTTTCGCTTTGGCGGGGTCGAGGCAGATGTTATACTGAGCTAGCTTGGCGAGGACGAGATCCAGACGTTGTTCGTGTTCAGCTAGCGTGTCACTCACGACGACCAGGTCGTCGACGTATGCGCGGCACCATTCTCGAAACTCGCGGAGGATGTTGTCGATTTGTCGCTGGACGTAGGCGATGCTATTCGCGTTGCCCATGACCACGACATGAATACGTTCCTGGCCTCGATGAGAGATTACGCTTTGAAGATCGACGTCGTTGGGGTGTACACGCCATTGGTAGAAAAATTTTGCTGCGTCGATGATAGTGATGAAACGTTTTCCTTTTGCTAGCTGGATGATGTCGTCCTGAGACGGCATTGGATAGTAGTCCTGCACTAGCACTTTATTCAGCGGCCGGCAATCCACCACAGGACGACCGTAGTCGATCCATTCGTCTTTGCCGGTAGCAGGGTTTTTGCGTAGGACTTTCTTGAAAACTACAAATGTCGGCAGCTGGCATCGGGTTGGAGACCCGTCTTCTACCCATGACATCTTCTCTTCGTTGTGTAGGGCGTCAAACATCTTGTCAACGCAAGCTCTTGCTTTCGGTCCTAGTTTGTAAATCTGAGTTTTCGGAATCTTTGCGTCAGGACGGAGTCGCAACCTCATCCATTGGTCCTGTGGTATGTCGACTAGAGCTGGTTTCCTGCCGGGGTAAGACCACACATCGTGTTTCTTCAGTACCGCTGCTAGCCGGGAGACGGCGGCTTGATCTCCGTGCACCTCAATTCCGTTCTCCAGAAGCGTCGTCTCTTCGTTACCCTCCACCAGCGACGACGTCACTGAGCTAGTAGAGGGTTTGGGAAAACACAAATCGGCGGCAGCTTCGCTAGTCGCCTGTAAAGCGTCAGTGAAATCGGCTTCCTCGATGTATCCGAGTCGCGCATGACGGGCGATAGCGATCGGAGCAGAGGATTGGTTGTGGGCCAGTAAGTTCGCCAGAGTATCATTAACTAGCTGAGACGGTATACTGCTGTGTTCCGAAGTGAAAATCAGATCGCGGTCCGTAGGAAGCGTCGACTTGCACTTGACTGGCACCAGTACGGCTTGTTTGGGGCCGATCGAGATTCTTTGTTCCGCGTAAAGCGGACGGCGCTGTCGGTGGTTTGATTTCGCGTGAAGTGAAATGGGAAAGACCAAGTCGTCGCAAGAACCGATGGTGGCAGTCGCACTAGCCAGGTCGATTTTGAAACCCTCTGGGCCCAGTACATCGGTGCCGACCAGCAGACGAGCTTTAAGGTTGTCTACTAGGTGGGCTTCAATGTTGAGCTGAGCTGTCCCAGCGGGGCCAGAGAAGAAACAGGTGATTGGTATCCACGAGGTGGACTCATGGTGAGAACCGATGCCGGAAACTGAAATCGGAGCACAGCTAATGGGTGTAGCAATGGACTTAGCTAGCTCAGTGTCGATAAGGGTCATTACACAACCAGTGTCTAGACAGCATGTAACTAGGTTGTATTGGTCACCGAGCGCGACAGGTGCGGTCGCATACCGCCAGGATCTGAATCCTAGGCCGGGTTGAGCGGTATTGTAATCGCGGGACGATTTGATGAGAGGTAGACTTGAGTCGGCGAAGTTTGCTAGCGCGGACTCGTCTGGTGTTCCCGCAGCCGTGGGCTTGCAGCTTTCCAGATGGGAGTGGAGCTTGTTGGTAGAAGTGAACATTCGGCGGCAGTTGAGGCAAGTGACGTGCGGTTGAATCTCTGGGGCGCACGTTTGTGCTGCTGGGTCAGGATCCTCGTCATAGCCTGTGTCGTCGTAGTGAGCATCGAAACCGTCATACTCAGGCTCTGGGCCAGCTAGCTGTTCACTTTGGTCAAAGTCTTCAGGGACTTCGGAACCGAGTTGAACATCCGCTTGGAAAGCACGCTGGGAGCGATTCCAGGGTTGCTTCTGGCCTTGGTTTTGGTCCTGGTTGTAAAAGGGCTTGTCAGCTAGTTGTAGTGGTTCTTTAGCTTGGGGACGAGAGGGTGGTAGCTGCAGCTGCTGCTGCTGCTGGCGTTGATCCGAGGGCTGTTGTTGCCACTGTTGGTTAGGGCGCTGGTAGTAAGGCCTGTATGGGAACTGACGGTTTGCGGAGCCGCTAGCGGCGGAATGATTCTGTTGGTTGTTGTAGCCGTAGGATCCATACTGGGGAGCCCTGTATTGGTTCTGCTGGGGCTGGTACTGTTGCTGAAAACGGTAGCTAGTCCAATTCCTTGTTGGGGCCGTGTTTTGTAGCTGAGTGCTAGCTACGCTAGCGGGGGGAGCTGCATTAGCGCGTGGGAGCCTCCGGGATGAGTCAAACGTACGCCGTTCATCGGCTTGTCGCTTCCAGGTCTCATAGTGAAAGTCGAGCTTGAGCATAAACCCTTCTAGTGTCACTTCATCTGAAAGTTCACCGATGTCTCTTGCTAGAGTGGCTTCGATGTTGTAAACGATTCGAGCGATCTGGTCATTTTTATCGCTAGTTCCGGTTGACTTTAGCAGGCGGAGCATCTTCTGAGCGTAGTCTCGAGGTGTTGTTCCAGCCCTGATGTCCTTCCATGTGTAGTGCGTACTTTCTAGCTGGCGTAAAGCGTCGGTTCGGCTTGGCTTGAACCGGGTAGCTAGCCTCTTGAACCAGGCTTCTTCGAGGCTTTTCAGCTGCAAAAGGTCCTTGGTGTCGCGGGATAGCTCCTGTGTGTACCAGCGCAAAGCAGCGCCGCGTAGGCAGGAGTGGATATTGGCGCGTACCACTGTCTCGGATTTCAGCGCAACTAGATCGCGCATGCGATCGATAAACACGTCGACATTAGTGTAGTAAGTCGTTGTGTTTACTAGCTGTGAACCGTCTTCGGAGTCGCCCAGCCCGGGGTCGAAAAGCCCGATATCCGCTGGCTTCCATGAAGTGTCTGTTCGGGTGTTGTCATGACCCGTTGGGCCCGCAGGTCCTTGACGCTGTTGGACCAAGTTGGCGATCACCTGTTGGATCTGTGCTAGCTGAGCCGCACTGAAGGGTTGATCCATCGGTGGTGGTTGGGGAGGAGTATGTCCTCGAGAGGAAAGGTCGACAGTTTCGGGCTCGCTAGCAGACCGATTTCTGGTACTGGCTTGGGTAGATCCAGCTCCCAGAGTACCCGGCTCCAACTGGAGATCACTTTCGAGCAACCGGTTGGTGATGTAGTGGAAACGGCGTACTGCCCGGTGAAGTTCCGCGCGATCAATCGCCCAGCTCGCCGGAAACGGGTCTTCTAGTTGGGCCTGTTGACAGGTGGGGTGTTGTTTGATGAGATCGAATGCCCTGCTCAGCACGAGTTCCGGGAAGTCGGCTGTACCGGGCAGGCTCTGGGCGCGGTAGGCGGCGAACTGATGAGCTAGCCGTATCACTTTATCAAGGAGGCTGTTCTCATTCGGATCTGCCATCTGCTAGTGCTTCCGGAATCGAGGTCGACGAGAGAGTCACCGGTCGACGGAGTAGCGATGTAATGTGCGAGACGCGAAGACGCGAGTTCGAATGTAACCAGCAAAAGAGGGGTCGCGTTATCACGTGTCAGAGAGGGGTAGTCGGTCACGTGTCGACCGTCCGCTTGCCAGCTAGTTCGAACAGACTGAACAGAGGGTGGATGGAGGGGTAGAGAGGAGGTATCGGGTAGGTATTGGCTGGGTGGATGGAGGGGTAGAGAGGAGGTATGGGCGATGGTAGGTGGCTGTAGGGAGCCCCTGATTCGCCGCTTGAGGGAGGGGTCGATGGCGCACCCCTAGCCCGACGAGCTAGCTCGCGGAAAAATTTTGTGGCTCGAAGAGAAATACGCACCAGGAGAACCCTTGGATCGAGCAGGACGTGCTACCAATTGTTATCCTAGTGGAAGCTGAATTGGTGAAAACGTGTCCATTCCTAGCTAGCCTAATAATAGAGATAAAAGGGGTCGGTCATGTGACCGTAACACTTTTGATCTACACGAGTAGATTGAATTGGATGCCAAGCATCTATTCTCGGTGGGACCTGTACTCTGGCCGGGGAGTTTTCGAGGTCTCATCAATTGAACACGCATCCAAGGGTCCGGAAATGATCAGTCACACAATCTATTCAAGACTGCAGAGCTGTACCTAGGTAGACATGGCCTGACCATCACGTGTAGAAGTACCGAAGACGGAGTACACAGCTTATCCGATAAGGCACCAAATATTCTGCCTGAGGCGGAGATCGATGCCCGAGCTTCTTGTGCAAAATCGCGATCTGTCCGGGTTCTGCATTTGCAAGTCGCTGCGGGCCAGTCGAACATGAAGGACCACGTCTGATCGCTGTGCAGCTCATGGGTTCTTTTGAAGACTGTCACAATGCCTGGTTCCTGTGAGGTTTGCTCTTCGGAGCCCTCGAAATATCGCTGTCCCACATGCCAACTGTTGAGGTACGTGGTCATGACCCCATACGTGGACCAGTTGCTAAGGTTTGTTAATTATAGTTGTTCGCTTGCATGTACGCAAGCTCATAAAATATACTGTGCTTCCAAAGCACCCCCGAATGAGGAGTTGAGCACCCCAGCACCCCAAGTCGAGCCACCTCAGAACGACGCGGTCGAAAATGATAGCGCGGGCTCTAAGCCCGCTGAATTCAATCCTGCAGAAACAGCGACATCCCCGGAGATGAAAGCGCTTCTCGAGAAGCACCCGCAACTCCGGGACCAGCTCCAGGAGCTGTACCAGTCGACACTGGAAGAAGAATGGGTGGAGTCATACATGGCTCCGGCGCGAGGCCGGGGACGAGGTCGTGGCCGGGGTCGTGGGGGGATGACATCCCGTAGTCGGGGCCCCTGGACATCGGAGAAAGGGTTCAACCGGGGCTTGGGCAGGGTTCGCAAGCTCAGACTGGGTGGTGAGGGCGGGAAGGAGACTGGTCAGTCTGTTGAGACCTTCATGCGGTTCATGGCACTGGTCAATCAAGGACAGGAAACTACTGTATGACATCGGAACCCGGCCTGAGTCATCCGTTCTGGGTAAAAGGAACCGCATACGAGATGGGAGGTCGGCTTAGGCACTGTCATGCACCTCCAAAAGCACGTTTGTGTGAGACATGCAGGGCTTGGGGAAGGTCTCTATTACCCGGACCCAACAGCATGGTTTGCCAGCTCGGCTGTTTAGACTACATGATCTGGCTGTCAGATCTGGCTGTCAGATCTGATAGCTCCGGTCCATTTCGGTGTCGACTAGCCATACGAGTATGTATATAAAATTTTGTACTATAATTTCACTGGTATAACTAACCGTCCCGTTTGCTACGTGTCCAAGTACTTCGTACGAGTACGAGTCTTCCGTGTGTATACTACTAAACCCCATAAGGATAAAGTAAATAGCCAAGTGTCATGGAGCAAGTAAGCTAGCGGAGCCCAAAGCGGAGCCCACGGCCCAGAACATTTGACCAAAAGTACGGAGAACCAAATTCCAGTACAGCCTCATCTTTCTGACCAGTCATACGGATACTAATCAGAAGTTTTAGAGTCTTGTTTGGTACTAGTCGAGTCTTGCCCTCAAAAAGAGGGAGCTCAGGGGTCAGGTTTTAGCTGCAAATCCCGAGCAGATCGCAGTTTAGACCAAAGAGCATCTCAGCTGAGAAAAGACACACGACGAATCGGTTCGTCGCATATCCAGATCTGGAGCGGAGTAGAAGTGGGCTTCCAATGACATGCGACACTCCCAGTTCCAAGAAAAACGGATCTAAATGCAATAATTTTGTGATCTGTCTCTTCTTTCTTTTTGATTGTCTTTTTTAACCTGCATTCCTCTCGGGTTCTTCTAATTGCAGTGCCGAGGACTCTGTCGGAAGTACCAAACTTTCCTGCATATGCGATACCCGAGTTTGACAGCTTCACTCCGAGTACTCTCCCTCTCTCTCTATCACACTTTTTCTTCGGTCATATTTCTGAATCTTAAACGATGGATACACCGGGCGTGGTCTCTGAACTTACACAGTAGTCAGAGTGTGCGTCACCGGGCTTCGTTGGATTCCCGTGAGCTCCATGGACAATCTTTTGACCGCTCAAGCGATGACCTCCCAGGACTTCCGCGGGAAGGCCGATACACCAGCCACACAACCAGGCGCGGCCAAGAGACCAACCATGGGGAATAAAACGACCTCCGCCCCAGGTCTCCAAAACCTCGAAGCTGCGCGCAAGCCAGGAGCTCGGACGGAACATACAGACGATGAGGTCCCCGAAGCAGGGTACACTCGATTCACCCAAGAGGTAAGGTTTACAATGGCAATGCAAAATCACGTACTTTGTATCGAGCGGGGTTGGAATATTATGCGCGGAACTATGGGGCAAAACCAAGAAATCAAGGGCTAATGTGGATGTGATGGATAGGATCCTAGGAGCGGTCTCCCCGAAGTCACGATCGCGGTGGTGGGAGAAGAAAATGCGGGCAAGACCAGTTTCGTCAAATGTGCTTTGGATATGAAGAACCCACCGCATTCTATTTGCAGCAGGAAGAAAATGTCGCTGGATGGGTCGGTCTACATTGTGCACTTGCTGGAGGTGGACTTGACACAGGTCCAATTCGACCAGGACAAGAGGATCATTTGGCCTCAGATGGAAAGCGGAGCCCCTGCGCCCACTGTGGATGGTGTGCTGGTTCTGCATGATGCCACCAAACCAGACAGGCTTTCGTTGACGACGAACCTCATCTGTATGTGTGGATGTGATGGCGCTGCAGCTGCCAGACGTCCGTCTTTATACCCCATACTGACATATCCTTACCACAGATTCATTGGCTGCTTCGAATCTGCCCTTCCTGCAGGTAGCTTGCAAATGCGATGTCAATCCTGAGCCTGTGGAAGATAGCCAGGTGGATGCGATCCACGATCAATACGAGATCTACCGAACATCGTTTTCTTCACCGAGATCACAACGGATGTGCATAGCCCTGGTGCTGCGGGGAGTTATTTCAACCCATGAAGGTGAGTTCAACACAATCAGTGACAAAAGCATTGTGGGAAAACATTGGGAGTAATCTTGTGCCTTGACCCCTGTGGGAGCGGGCCAGGTGGGTCACGGTAGTAGCGTTCGCTACCTCTGTCAATGTCCACCGATCGACAGTGCTCCCCAGGGAGAGAGGGAAAGGAACCTAGAATAATTTCATTCCCCTTTTACTAACTCTGGCGCTTCCCAGATCTCGCCCCCGAGTTGGATATTGAAGTCTCGAGTCCTGATCCTTCGGTCACTTCACCGAGGACAACCACGAAATCTTTCCCACAACCCCACGATTGGCATCATACCCGTGCCAACTCCGAAAACCCCTCAACCGTGTTCGCCGGAGCCGCTGGCGGCCCACAAACGACGCCCTCGGATCAATGTGTCGATAGGGACGAGAATCGCCACCCAGCCGACCAGCCAAGCCCCAGTCAGCCTCTACAGCACCCCTCAAGTTCCCACCGTTATGCCCGAAGTAACTCGCAACCGGTGCGACCGCAAACTCCACCATCCGGAGCTCGTCTGAATCTGCGCAGACCATCAGTACAAGAACAATATTCCCCCAGTCACGACAGTCGTCAGCAACGATTACACAGCGCCTGGCGCCACAGTGGGGGGTCGGACGCATTCAACAGTTTCCTCACCATGGACGACGAGATGGAAGATGGACAAAGCCGGCCTCCAAGCCCTGGCGCGATCCTGCGACCAAAACCCAGCAGCGAAAGCAATTCAAGTGCAGAGACAGGTTTTACCTTCGATGAGCTTGTCGACCGTTTGATTTCTTTGCCAATGTCGAAACAAGACCAAAAATTCGCCTCCATATTCCTCTGCCTCTATCGCAAATTTGCTCCTCCCGGGGCCCTGTTGAGTGCCCTCATAGTTCGGTTCGAACGAAACGAAGCGGGCAATGCCGACCAGCTCGCTCGCATGGCCGACCAACTACGACTACTCGATATCATGGCTCAATGGGCCTCTGAATACCCTGGGGACTTCGCCCATACCAACCTTCGCAAACGCATTATTGAATTTGTCAGCACGCTCGAAAAGAGCCATTTCTACATGTTCGCCGCCAAGGAGATTGGGTCACAGTTAGATTCCAATGCGGCGGACGACGACATTGGTTGGGCCTATGGTGGAGACAGCGACATAGACGATTCTCAACTAGCGGAGACGTTCTTCGACAATTCGGGCCGGAGCTCCCCAGCGCCGATTTTCACAGGCACTGCCACGCCGGCTGCCTATGAGGAGGAGGAAGAGCAAGACCCCATATACAGTATGAGCGCGCTGGACCTCAGCGAAGGTCCTCACGATTCTACATCACGGCTCTCGGGCACTCTTTCAGTCTCCTCCAATGCCGCCGACAAACCTAACAGTACCATCAACCAATCATTCACATTGTTAAGCCTTGATGCAGCCCAGAAAGAAGCATTGCGTCTAGAATTAACACTCAAGACTACCATTGGCAAGATCCAGTGGCGGTTCTTCATGGAGACACCAGAAGAAGAGTTTGCAAGAGAACTTACGCGAATTGACTGGGTGATGTACAACTCATTCCGGCCGCGCGATCTTGTACGACATGTTAGCTTGTCAGGCATCGACAAGGACAAGGTCAAGAGCTTGACGAACGTCAATCGAATGATCAAGCAGTTCAACCACCTTGCGTTCTTTGTCGCCAGCATGATCCTCCTACGTGATAAACCTAAGCACCGAGCGAAGGCACTGGAAAAGTTTATGAATATTGCAGCTGTGAGTATATTCGATTAACAGCAATCATCAAAATCTAACAGTCTTGCAGAAACTCCGCCGTCAAAACAACTACAACTCCTTGGGCGCTGTGATTGCCGCGATCAACGGCACTCCCGTCCACCGTCTCACACAAACCCGAGACCTGGTCCCCATCCCTGTTCAGAAAGACTTCATGCGACTAGTCATTCTCATGAGCACACAACGAAGCCACTTTGCCTACCGTCTCGCCTGGGAGAATTCATTCTCAGAGCGAATCCCATTCCTCCCCCTCCACCGTCGCGATCTAGTCTCTGCCGAAGAGGGCAATAAGACATTCGTGGGCGAGAATAAATCCCGCATCAACTGGAAGAAATTCGAAGTCATGGGGGAGGTGGTCCTCGGCATCCAGCGAAGCCAGAAGAGCCCCCACCCCCAGGCTCAAAAATTCGACGATGTCGAGAGACTCATCCTGGAGTCGAAGCTCTCCGGAGACGAAGAGGTAACGTCTTCCTGCCATACCAACAGATTGACTTGTATACTGACTTCCCCTAGGACTTATATGCGCGCAGCTTACATGTCGAACCGTCCACGGGAGCAGAAGGACGAAGGAAGTTTGGATGGTTGCGTTCGTAGCCTGACACAGGAAAATCAGAGCGCAACCCGGACGGCTTCACTACTACCCCCTCCCATAACCTCCTACTCAACCTCTCTTATGCCGCCACGCCCCTCTATGATTGATAAAACACTGTTCATGTACTTTTGCCTGCTTTTCGTTGTTGACTCGGCTCTCTTCCTGGGACCGAGATACGCTTGGAGCAGCTCTAAAAAAAGCTCCGCTACGACATCTTGTAAATATGCGTGTTGATGTGCGGGTCGATGGACCGCTGGTATATATTGAAAATTACAACCTCCTTCAATGGAAATCCCAAATAAACAAAATCAAAGTAAACCAATACTTAAGTAGTTCTACTCCGTACCGCCAACTACAAACAGTAGCCCGTATACATCCAGTCACGTGCACCGAGAATAATCCACCTCCCCGAACACCAGCAAGTCCAACCCCAGCCAACCCCAATCCAATCCAATCCTCACAAAATGGCCACCCTCCAAGCGCGCACAGCCTACCGGGCCCTCCTCCGCGAGCTTCCCCGCCGAAACATCAACACCCCCTCCCCACTCCACCAGCGTCTCCGCGACGTCTTCCGCTCCGTCCCAACAACCACAAACGGTGCATCCCCCTTCTCGATCTCAACAACACCAGAGGAACAATCCCTCCGCGTACAGGAAGCCGAGCAGCTCGCGCAATATGCTCGCGCCCAGCGCACGTACTGCGAATTGCTTGAGCGCTATAACCCCGGCATGAGCATGGATGAGGAAGAGAAGATCCGACTCACGGCTCGTCGGGTTGGATTCGATTTGCCTGATTTGCATAGCCCTGAGGTGAATGAGAACTAGAGGTGTATTGTGCCTTGGTTCTTGATCTGGAGCTTTGTTGGAAATGATCGGTCGAGAATCTGCATTCTGACATCTTGTTCGTGATCGGTGGAACTTTAGAATTGATGCTTGTCTGTTTATCTATCTTGGTTGAGACCTTCATGCATGTATTTCATGGAATGGGCGTTACTTTGTTTTGCGTTTGGGATTTGTATACTATGATCTGGGTACATGTATAAAACGATAGAGGGATGCCAATCAGCATGTACAATTCTTCAATTCATTGCTGCGAACCTTTGGTCCGGGTATTTGACTCTTTGATCGTATATTTGGTACTTCATCAGTGGGCGTAATGCGTTGGTGCCTGCTTGGTCTGGATCTCTATCGAAAAGACCAGGGCGTGTTGCCACAAGCTATGGGGCGCAGAAATATTGGGCACTTCCCATCTGCGGACCGAGACTGAGGCTTGTTCAGCGTGGACAGGGCACTTGATGCGGTGCAGATTGACTCGTAATGCTGCTGCCCTGGAGGGTTTGTTTCTGGGTATTTTTTGCTTCCGTGGATACTTCTTCAGGTAGCACTGAGGTGGGCTCGCTCCATCTGGCGCATCAAAGTCGAACTTCCTTCTTCGTCCTCAATGCCAACTTCAATGGCAGTCTTGGGCCTGTTGCGATTGAGACCATCCAGCAAAAGACACGCCTTGCAAATCCGCTGGCTGGAGATGTAATTACAGCGCTCACAGTGTTTGATGGTCTGGGCCTTGAGCACTTTAGTGGGCTGGCTTTTAGCCTTGGGCTGAGCGGCCGGGAGCTTGATCTCGGTTTCGTTTGATTCAGCCACCTCATTAGCTGAGAGTTGTTGTTCCATTGCAGCCATTTCGCCGCCGCTAGTTCGGCCATTCTGGCTGCCACATCCACCACTAGGCTCGTCATCTGCCGCGCCAGACTTCTTGGACTTGGTGGTTCCACGGACCTCGGCCGGCACCAGGGCGGCCATGTCTTCGCCGCTCTTGACGATATCAAGAATCGAGCTAGGACGGATCTTCTCAAGGTCTTTGATCAGAGTACGAGCGCTACCACGGAATGCCTCGGGTGAGTAGATACACTCGGTACTGAAATAATCGAGCTGTCTGTGGTGGGCGTAGAGGACAATCTCTTTCTCATAGGCGTATTTGAGGGGCTTGCTGCGCTTGACATCCGAAGCGCCAGAGTCAGTGACGATGCTGGTACCACGCGAGAGACGAGGCAGGTCACCACGAAGCAGATTCATCATGACTGTCTCGGCGACATCGTCTGCATTGTGGCCAGTGACGACGTGGTTGATCTTCAAGCGGGTGGCGCCTCGATCGAGCGCCTGTCGTCGGAACACTCCACAATAAGTGCAGTTGCCCTTCTTTCCAACTTGTTCCACCACCTGATCCATCGTCCAGCCGTATAGTTCGCCATATCCCACGATCACAAGAGGCATGTCATATTGTTTCGCGTTGCGTTTGACAGTCTCTAAACTGTCATCGCGATAGCCGCGGATGCCCTCGTCGATGGAGAGCAGACACAGTTCCAGTCCATAGTCGTATCGCTCATTCAGAGTTTTCATTACAGCCGCGAGTACTGTGCTGTCTTTTCCGCCACTCGCTCCGATCGCGATACGTTCGCCGCGGAAGAAAAGGTTTGTGCCGATGATTGTCTCGTGGACTTCGGTTTCGAAGACTTCGATGAAGCAGGCCCGACACAGCTTGTGCCTGTTCTTGGGCCTGATAATGACGGCGCGCGCCTCTTTGCAATTGAAACACAGTGTCGGGGCCATGATGCTTTGCAGACTGTGAAAGGTGGCGGGCAAAGAATTTCTTTCCCCCGCGATGTGGTCCGTGCACCCGAACTATAGAAACGCTTTTGACGCAGTTGGTTCTCTTTCGCTGTCTATTGTGACTCTCCTCGATATACGGATATTGGGATCTTACTGAGCTTTGGTTTAATCTATGGGCTGTCCTCTTAACTTTGAACTCAAAGCATTATCATCGTGGCATATGGTTTAAACTGACTGCGCTTTTGAGCATCTGAAGATTAAGATGAAGTACAACTCGCTTCCTGGCCAATAGACAAAGGAAAAGATTATGGCTCAAATGCCATTTCTCATGCGACTGCCGTTTTCTCCATCTGAGGCACATTCTTTCCTTTGCGACATAGCAGTCTCGCAGAGAAGAGGGGCCACTTATTCTTCCTAGCCACCTCAACCGCCTGGTGATGAATGTGGTGCCGTCTCAAATGCAAGGAGTAAGGCTTAGACCGGTCAGTAAAGAGATGAAGATTCTCCTTCTCTGAAGCCCCTAGCTTCTCCAACACCTCAACAGTCCTCTGTTCAGAGAAGGCAAATGAAGTGCCGATGATCTTGAATTTGCGAGCAATTTGGTGGAGATTAGGTGAATGCCAGTTATCGGAGGTCCAGGTCGGCCTTGCATTCCAGGGTATCAATCTCTCCTTTTTGAACGCGTGCCACCATTCCTCAGTTGTTAAACGGCCCTGCTCTCCACTGACTGCATGGACGCATCCACTCGTCCCTAGTGCCACATGGACCAATGTTCGGTCCGCTACCACATCCACCGGGACCTCGTCGATAGTGGACTCTTGATCGGGGTTCTTACACCGCGTTGCCAGAGTGATTTTCCGACCTGGGTGGAGCATGTACGCCGCCGCACAGGCTGTTGATGGCGCGCCGTACGCGGTCGCAAAGCCATGGTATGGGAATTTGTCGGCTGGGCCGAGCACCGAGGGCCTGATGATGAGTATCTTGTCCAGCTTGTTTTGCTCAGATGCTTTGTGCAGAACTAGCCTTTCGGCCAGGTGCTTGGCATATGCGTATGGCCAGGGGAAATCGTGAGCATCGTACTCGGCGGATGAACCGTTCTTTTGTACTTCACTCCATGCTTCGGGGGCATTTTGGTAGCCATCTTCCTCGTTGCTGAGGGAATATACCCTCTCATCAACTGGTACGTCCGTTGACTCGTGGTCTTTCCACAGGTGTGCATTGGCATATGCGGTGGAGAAAAATACGAACCGCTCAAGTTTGGGGAACTTCATGGCATATCTCGTCAAGCACAGGGTCGGTGCCATGACGCTATATGCCAATTCGCGAAGAGAATTATTCAGCTGGATTGACGATGACGCATGGAAGACTATGTGCACCGTTTGTTTGAGCATCTGAAGTGTATCTTCTGATAGGTTCATCGTCGCGGTGTCTCCCACTTCCCCATCAAAGACCGTCACCCGTGGGTTTTGGGTGAGAACACTTGCAGCCACTTCTGGTAGCATATTTGACCATTTCTCCTGCGCTTTTCTAGGTCCTTGAATCAGAAACCATGCCTGGATCAGTTCTTCAAATACTTACTTTTGTCCACCCCGACAAAGTACATATACTCGCTCTGGTGAAGACTGACTCAGTAGTCGGTACAGAAGAACTGTGCCAATGAAGCCTGTGCCTCCAGTGATGAACACTGTCTTTCCATTATAGTACTCCCACACCATGATGAATGCAGTGGAAACTCAATGGGAGCAAAAAGCGGGAGTGACAGGCAATTATGTCAGTCTGTAGCCAGATTATGGGTGAGGTTTCCGGCATACTACATACTATATAAAGATTCGAAGCACTTTGTCGGATTGTCTGTCAAGATTTCCGAAGATAGCAGCACCAACCAAAGCAGGAGACGCACGCAGATCTGCAGTGAAAAGGAGGGGAGTGTAACTCGGTACAACCACCATGCAGCAAAACCCAGAAAGTCAGCCATTCACATTAATTGCCCCGGCATGTGTGTCTATTCCAGAAACTGAACAGCCTGCAGCGTTTAGATGTACTTGGACTTCAGGATGCCTCGATAGGTCGGGATCTCATCCCCGAGTTAAGGTGACACAGAAACGCGTATGACAACTTAAATTTATTTTCAACATTGAAGCTGTCCAAGTTTTCTCAACAGCCATGCGAAAAGACAACCTCAGAAGACACAAATGGCCGTACAGAGTGTGCAGCATGGTTGTTTGGTGTTTGCTCACCGCTTCATGCAGCATCCCACAGCCTGAGCTGTCGGGAGTTCAACTTGAATCTGCATCCATTCGATTTTTTTAGGCTTGCATTAGATTTCGAAGAGCCTCGATGACTATTCGCCACTGGGCCCTAGCATCCATTCCACCCCGAACGGATCCCGATCGTCACATCTGGTTCCCAGAAACAACCATCCCAAGGGCCGAGCCCCAGTTGATCATCTACCAACAAAGCATACGGCATCTGAACGGGTGCACGAGGCCCACATTCTGACAGGAAACAATTGAAACATGCAGAGATCAACCATGATGTCGTGTTCAACTGTTCAATGAAAGTATCGATCAACTTGGCATGATTTTGCAAGAACTTCAAATTCTAAGCTTTCCATCCCGAACTGCGAACCTGTATGTAGCAGCAAACACCCATCAACAACCAATCATTGATCATAGTCACAAATGTGATAATGTGATGAAGATGAACATCACCATGCATGGGGACTTGGCAGTGTTCTCCACTCCCGCAGCGGCCCCTCCCGGCCCTTCGTTGGGTTCACTCGACTTACATCGATTAGCAGAATTATCTGGCCGAGCAAAATGACGACAATAAGCAGGCATTTGAAGGGCACTGTCAAGGGCTTTCCAAGACACCTGAAGGTTGAGTTGACGGCAAACTTGATCATATGGCGTTTGTGGTTCTCTGGCAAAACAGGAATACTTACTCGTAGATCCAAGAATCTAATCAACCTGTCCATCGGGGAGTTTTGATGCACTTTTTTTGTTTCGTACTTGTACGAGTAGGATCATCCCTTCTACAGGTCAACGATGTGATGAACCAGCTTTATCCATCTTCATTCCTTTGGCAATTCGGTGTGCTTTTCTACACTCGATAGCCTTGTAAAAAAACCCCCCAAAGCCCAATATCCCTATCGGGCCAGGTTCTGGAATCGGGATTTTAGACCAAAGCGGCTGGTGTCTTCCCTCATTGCCTTGAGACCTTCATATGCCATGTGGTCCTAAAATAGGGGGCAAATTGATGATCGCTAGGAGAGGTTCGGTCCCACTGGAATAGAACAACGATGCGACCCAAGAGCGTCCAATGATCTTGATGGATCATATAAAGCAGGGAGACTTTCCCTGCATGGTCAGGATTCCGATGTCTTCAATCTGTACGGAGTACACAATCCAATCCCCTAGCTCATTCAAGACTTAGCTAATCCAGATTGGACAAATCAAGGGAGCTATGCATACTCGGTAGATTTTTTTTTTTCAAGTCATGGCCTAAGATCCAGTGCCCGTGGGTGCAGATCGGCGGGTGAAGGTGCCATTTCAGCGGGATTACTCCTTGCCACGGGTAGGCCCATATTTAGAGAGGGCTACCAATCATGAATTGACTGGAAGGAGAGGGCCTGGTATATTACTTAGGTACTCTGTACGACTTGTCTGATAGGAGCAACGCACTGCAACACAGGGACAGGCCTACAGGACAGTCGTGTACTACAACAAACCGAGTGGACAAATGACTTTATTTCTGGATTGCCAAAGCAAAAAAGCGAGCAAAGCTGGTATTTGCTGGTAATCTGGGACTACTACTATTCAACACTTTGCATCCGACCATTTCCGAACCCTTGATCGGAAAGGAAGCCCTGAAGCCCCCAGCCTAGTTCTTCAAAACGACCTCTTCCTTCTCCCGCGGGTCCTGGGGCTTGGGTCGGGTTGGCAGGAACCCAAGCTTGATTGCTTCGCTGCAAATTGGTATCAGATCCCTTACACTGACGTCTTGAGCATTGCCATCTTCGAGCTCTTGAATCCTGGGGCTGGAGCGCTGGTAGAAGATAACGGAACGGATTTCCTCTAATTTCGCAGGGCTCGGGGAATCCTTGCCCAAGAGAATATTGATCCCACTGGAGGTGTCTCGCACGTCAGCCTCAAAAAGGGGCCGGTTTGAAAGTTTCCCTTTGGCAGACGTTTGCTGTCGCTTCGTGATTCTTCCAACTACCCCCTTGGTGGCCTCAGGAGCGTCATCTTCGGCAACATGAGTAGATGGTGCATTCACGATCCGCTTGACTCTTTTCCGGGGAACGTGCAGCTTTCCTTGTCTATCTTGACGTCGTTTCTGGGGCTGTGTGTCCTCTTCCGATGGTTTCTTGCTGGGTGGGTAGAACATCATCAGCAGTCCCTGGGACAGACTGCCAGAAATTCCCGAGATCTTCTCAAGGCGGTCTTTCGGAACCCCCTTGCGGGCAAGCCAAAGTCGAATATTCGGATCCATCTTTCCTAGCGTCATAGACGGCCCTCCAAGCCTCTGCCCTCTAGCCCAAGACAAGATAGATCCGGCGACTGAGGAGGTTTCGAGAAAATACGGTCGTAGTCCTTTGAGGTCTAGCAGACTGATCGCGAATCGAAGTGCTTCGCTCAGCTTCGCGCCATCGCATCCGTTGGTAGACCAAATCCGTTCTGGGAGAGCTGGGCAAAGAATGAACAAGCGCCGTGGCACCTGGGTAGATAAGATACCGTTGGCAACGTACAATGGGTATCGGAATCCTCTCAGTTCAAGAGAATATTGTTGTGTCGTGTAGGCGAAACGAAGTGCCTCTGCTGCACGCGTCCCACACAAAAAGACAATGCGTGCATTGCTGTTGCCTACCAATTTCTGATGGTAGGCCTTGACGGTCTCGTCCTTGCATGACAAGTTTTTCTTACCAAGCGGAGCGAAATCACGGAAGTTCCAAGTCCAGGCAAGTGTGTTTGTCTCGTTCAACTGACAACCTTGCAGTGGCCACGGAAGGCCAATATTTGATGCACTTTCCATCGAGTGGTCGTCCTCTTCAAAAGAGTAAGATTCTGGAGAGACAGCTGCATAATCAAGTACGAAAGCAATCTTGGCCTTGAGATTACCGAAGTATGAAGGCTTCCCATATTCCAGACCACGCCCCTCGAATCTTGGGGAGGCTTTGTTCAGAGATAGCAGAACTTGTTGAAGTAAACCCTCGTCGTACAATGCTGCTTTCAATGCATCATCAAAGTCGCACTTCAGAACATCACGAGAAGCTTGAATTTGCTTTGATTGTTCGGTCTTCGCGAGTGTGATGAGCTTTGGTCGGATCTCTTGGGTCCAAAACAGGATCTGAGTATCCGCTGTGGTAGTCATCTCATCAACGTATTCCTCATGTGAAGCATCAAGCTTAATCCCACATTGAATGAGCGGGGTCAGTATGTTTAGCCCATAGCGCTTCAGACGTAGCGATTGATCCCCCTCAGGTCGGCTGAAAACACCATCGTTGGTACGGAAGGCTTTGCAAAACAGAGCCTGCAAAATGTTCATTTGGTTCTGTCTCCAGGTCTCCACGGAGTTTTGCGTCGCAGCTCCCTGGTAGGACCAAAGTCGGATGAAATTGGCGGTCCTATTCCCATTTCCGACCCAGATAATGAAACGAGGAAGTGAACAAGTGGACTTGCTCAGCAGGTTCTGGCAATGCTGTCGAATGATCGTACGTTGAGCGTCGTTGGTCTGCCCAATGTAGCGCCTGTTGTAGTCCGTGTCCCTTTCATCAGTGATGAAGCTCATGTATCCGATATTGCCGTTCCAGGCTTCCTCGTTGTTTTGGGCTTTTCTGATTTCTTCCAAGGTCTCGGTACAAAGTAAACGACCCTGGAGTTGGAGGATAGTTGGACTGATATGACAAAGCATGTTCGCGGTGACCACTTTAGCCCCGCCGTGTTTCTCAATGTCCTCAGAATATGATCTGTAGTTCCACCCAGGTATTTTCTGCTCAACGATGTCTCGTAGTAGGGAAGACAATGTCTCCTCCAGCGAGGGGAAAATGAAGGCCTCCTCCTGTTCAGGACACTAGGAGGGTGATAAGTCACTTCTCGTTGGTCATGATATGGATTGCAGACTTACCTCTCGAACTTTCTCTGGGATCATAACCCACTCTGTATCATTGTGGACTGGGGGCTTTATCGAGATGTTGAAGCGTCCGTCCTCTTGGGGTGACGACTGTTCCCCCGTCCTACACTTGTCAGTTGGGTGGCCTTTTTGGCCGCAGTTCCCACAGGGTGGAGCTTTGCGGCATTGAGCAATGGCATGGTCTGGACTGCGACAATATTTGCAGGGACAGACGGGACATGTGTTTCGGTCACAGCCCATCGTACCACAGTCCCGACAGACTCGGCTTTCGGGGTAAAGTGGCATGATGACGATCGATGAGGATTCGAGATGAAGAGAGTGGAGGAGAAGAGATCCGGTTCCAAAGTTAGAGAGACCTTTTCCAAGATCTGAGAGACGAGTGAAGAGAGAAGAGTAAACTTGAAGTGATCTGGGGAGTAGGAACTTTAGAAAGAGCTTTCCTGGTGTGAGATCACAAGTTCATTCTTGATCTTTCTACTTCCCATTGAGCCTCTGTCTCTCAACTCTCAACTCTCAACTCTCTCAAATCCATATTGTTCAGGATTATAAACGTTACCATTGGTGTGCACATGTATAGCCCACCCATCTATAGGGCTAGGCGGCTTCCAAGGTTTGCACCCAGAATACATAATCAGCCTCTTTTTCATGAACACCGAAGGCATCTTTATCTTGTATCATTCTGTAGCTTTCTTTGAGACAGCCCATCGCTGTATACAAACCCTCTCATCCCCTTTGACTATGCCCGAGAACGACAATATTGGAAGCTGGGTGCTGTTCCTGACACCTGACATGAGCATAGTATTGCTAGACCAAGACGCAGCAGCGTAAATCTCGAGAGCCAAAGTCGTCCTTGATTAAATGCTGGAGTTTTATAGTGCTTGATCTATTTACCTCCGCTATTTCTCCCATGGCTCCTTGGTCTTTGGCTGCATACTAAATTCCCTTGTATGGCCACGGTCATGGGCCTCGTTCTGCAATATTGTCCCTCTCGCTGGCTAGTCTATGCCTCGTGAATTCCGCTTCTTCATTGTTGAATATTTGTCATTCAGCCTTTCTAGTGTATGGTAGTGGAGGTCTCCGGCGTTTGGCAAAATTTCTCTTCCACTCTACATTCTCGATCGAGAAATTATCAATTCGAATATATTTCCATCAAAGTCCTGAATTTATATCAGAAGCCCGTTTAGCTCAGTGGTAGAGCGCGTCACTTGTAATGACGAGGTCAGTGGTTCAATCCCGCTAGTGGGCCTTCTTTTTTTTGTTTTTTGTTTTGTTTTTGGGGTACCCACAGTAGTGTGCGTACCTACCTAGGCAGATTACGGACTAGATAGAGCCCAATACAGTAGTACTTAAGTACGACAACAAAGAGAATGAATATGAGTGATTAATACTAAAGTTCACAGCTCTAGAGAATGGAAAACTAGGTATAGAGAAATAGTTTGATCTAAGCCCTGGAGGATGCTTGCTGTTGGTCTCTGGATAGACAGATAATAAGAGACAGCAACCCCGAAAGCACAATTTTTTGGAAACAAAAGTTCTCCATTCACGTTAGGTTAGGCGAGAAAGGAAATGAACATGTAGAGTGATAAAATTTTGCATCTATATATGGCTAGTTCTAAGTCACAAAGGTCTCCCAAGGTACAGGGCAGGACAGGAACAAGGTTCATGGTTAACCGACCGTATGATCTAGAACCAAGTGCATTATTCTACTCCCAATAAGCAGGATCTGTCAGATGTTATAGACCACAGAGTACAGAGAACTGGATCTGCAAATTCAAGTTCCAGGGCTCAAAGTACATGCCAAACAAATTTTTTGAGAGACAAAAAAAAAACAAAAAAAGAAGGCCCACTAGCGGGATTGAACCACTGACCTCGTCATTACAAGTGACGCGCTCTACCACTGAGCTAAACGGGCTTCTGATGTTGGAGCGCCAATCACATTTCTCACACCAGATCTGTCCAGCTGAACTATAGGACAACTTGTTGCCAATACCCGAACCCTCAGAAACTGGATATTTGGCATCAATATAGGGCCCCTTGTTTATCTTGCTCAGATGCGTCATTTATATCTGTGGTTTCACATGGTATATCTGTGGTTTCACATGGGAGGTTATTGCAATCGCATTTTCCGATAAGAGAACCAACCGAAATCGTGCAATTCATGGATGCATACAGATCTTCAGAGGACTGACCACGAGACAAACCGAAATGGCAGTCTGGCAGGTTGTGTCAAAACTACTCGTATCGAAGGTGTGAAAAAGATCGCCATTTCCGCGTGGACTACGCCCGATTGGCGCGTATCTGTTTATGTCCTTTCGGGATAAAGAATGTCAATACTCAAGTACCTCTACATAGGTTGTGGGCGATTAATGGCGATGGGAAATCTGGACAGGGTGAAAACAAGATGTGGCATTCCAGAGAAGATACACTGCCATGGCACAGGAGTCCGAGGAATGTGTATGTCAAGATTCTCATTCGATTAGCAGGTTTGTCTCAAATCGTGCGCATTCCAATCGCCAAGTATGGGGGTTGACAGTCCAAGTCTTGAAAAACATCGAAATGTCATAAAGTTAATTCTTCGTCATCTCGCTTTCGCTTTGTGCTTTCTCACTTCGAAACTAAATCCTTGGCTGATCGTTCGCGAAGAAAACTTGGTTTTGATTCCATTGTTCGATTGTTCCAGACTACCGTGATACCTGATTGGATACTCCGGAAATCTTCGCAGGATGAAGCCAGGACCACTTGACATGGGCTATGCCCGACCCTTGGAGTTCACCTTGTCGGTGGTTGTCAAGACTAAACCGAGCCCGCTTGATTTCCAGTTTGCCGCCGACACCCTTGTTTCACAATGGCCTGTGTTGAACTTGCGCATGAATGCATCAGTAAGACAACATCATCCATGGTGTGGCAGCAGATGCTAATCAGACAGAAAACAAAATTCTTAGATCCAAAAGATCCAGGCGATCTGGCAGATGTTTGGAAAGGAAAGGAACTTCCCCAAAACCTGGGCGACATCCTATACCTCTCTTCTAAAGCAGACTTCTCTCAATTGATTGATTCTGAAGTTCTGGATAGAGCCTTGAATTTTGGCTACGGGTTCGGACATGCATGGAAGCAGCGTGTTTTCACTATCCGGACTTTGTTCTTGAAGGACTCTTGCATAATCGGCTTCAGATTTCTACACCCGCTTTGCGACGCAAATGGTAATTCCCATATCGCACAATTGTTCCATCAGAATTGCTAACCGTGTCCTTCAGGTGCCTATGAAATTATACAGGCGTACTGCGCCCTTCTGAGGGGAGAGAGGATTACTCACACGCTCCACGCTCGACCTTCACTGTCACTGAAATCCGAGGTACTCGAAAAGTGCGCGGAAATGATTGAGTCGCATCAAGTTGCAGACCTGCACCGCCAATCCATGCATCGGACATGGTCAGCTGGAATTGGTGCTCTCGGGAAGCAGATTGGCCGCAACATTTGCTACCCATCCGCCAGGCGCTTTAGCAAATCATTGTTGGTTACTCAAGGACAGATGCTTCGGTGGATGAGAGAAGCCGAAAATCAAGGGGCAAAGGTGACTGAGCATGACCTCCTGTTGGCATTTATTTACAAGGTGGGTGTCTCCAGATCTTCACAAAAGGCGCAAGACGCCAATAAGATGAATCTAACCTTTCGTTAAGTCCTCACTACACCCACCAAAGCCACACAATTTCGGAATCGTCATTGATATTTCTCAAAAGCTCCAGTCCGAAGCCAACCTTTACAACCCCTGGTATATGATGCCACTTCCAGACCCAATGCCTTCCAAAGAATATAGCTCCCCCTCCATGGTCCGCATGGCAATGGACATCCGCCACACGGTCGAGGAGGGCCAGCAGCCCCAGTGTATTGGTGAAGTCGTAGAGCAGCACAGAAACACCCGGAAAAGTCCCATGATTCCGAAAGCCTATGGAAGCCGCGCTGCTCAACCGCGAGTTGCCTCCTGGAAAAGTCTCCCTCTCTTTGATATCGACATCCAAGGCGAGAATCCACTCTTTGTTCAAGGTAGCGTGGACTACTGTGGTCTTCTGCGCGAGACGAAAACCCACCTTGATGATTTACTGGTGACATGGAAGGCCCGAGATGTAGATGGGTCTGAAGGGGGCTACTGGATTCATGGCCGGTTACCAGAGTCTCTATGGAGACGTATGGCTGATGCTTTGAACTGCTGAGTTTGATTCTTCTCCTGCGCCTGGAGCGTAGGATCCTTTTTTTCCAGTGAGATTTCTTCTAATGATACTTATCTCTTAGCTCTTTTAAACTTTATGCAAATGACCTATGGTCTCTCCATGGTCTAATCCACAGCATATTCTTTGAGCCTTTATCTCCCTTCGCAATATGTACTGTAAATAGTCAGATGTAGCCAGGCGAAGTAGTATTTCACTACCACCACGCCCAATGGCCAGCACTTGCGATAGTCATCTGGGAACTGATCTGATATAGGTTGGAAATTAGCAAATTGAAATCACTGAAGCTGATTACACAATTCGGGCTTGAATGATACCTATGCATCTACAACTTTAGAATGTGTGTCTAATGCCAACATGTGTTTTCATTACAAGATGGTGTTGGACAAGCTGCAGAAATAAACTTCCAGGGCTTTAGAGCCGGATAAATATTTCCGAGATCAATGACTCCTGAACTTCAGAACCATGCACAATCGTCTCCACTGCCCAGGTGAACGTTGAAAAGTCTATATCTAAACAAACTCATTGGAACTTCCTTGCTGAGAGCCAGCCACCAGGGGATTCATTTATCAGTGGGGAGTTTCTTTGTAGTCTGATACATAGGTACGGCAGATATGCTAGTTTAGTGAAGGCAGTCACCAAATATTGGTTCTTAAATCCGTGCTGGCCCGCGGAGATGTGGTCCATGAAATTGTATGCCTTTCACTAACCGAACGAACCCGACACATGGTGTTGATAAGTTAAACAAAGTTTTCAATTGATTTAACCAAGGCCTAGATACATGTGGAAGAGCCTGGAGGAATATACGAGAATATCTCGTCATTCATCCGTGGTTGAGGAAGAACTAACCCTACTAGACATAACCTGCACAGTTCGTTCCAATGATAAGGCCTCCGTACACTCGGAACTTCTGTGAGTCCATGGACTAATGTGTACTAACGAGAATAAGGCAAGGTACCATGGTAAAGAAGTAAAACCGGATTTCCGTGACCCTCGTCCCGAGCTGTCGGGATCGTGTGCACGGCAAGTTCTGGTGCGCTTCCACGGTACTACGCTGTACGGAGTAAGGAGTAGATGAATATGAGACTTTGAGAATTTTGTAGATGTCGGACGGGATGAACAAAAAAAATACTAACCGCCCAGGGCCTTCAAGAGCAACCGTTGAAAGAAATTAAAACCATCATGCTCAAGGGCTCCACTACTGTTTAGACTGCCTTTTACCCAGACTACTACGAGTAATCATACGAGTATGGATACTTCCAACCAGACAGGATTTTGCAATAAAACCTAGGTAGCAAGCCGGCTAAAAAATAAGATAGTTATGCAAACTCATACGACTGCTCGTACAGCGCAAGGAACGCACTCGGTCGGACCCACTGGTATTATATGCACCTCGCCTGGGCGACAAAATGTGATGACGAGAAATAATGAATGACCGAATCCCTCCAATGCAATAATCTTACATACGTGGTTAGCCTCGGAAAAGCGCTCCGAGAGGAACCAAAATGAGCAACAAGGGTCAGACAAAGCCCCAAAAAAGCAAAAAGCAAACAGAAAGAAAAGAAAGAAAAAAAACCAGCGGTAGCTGAGCTCGAGCCGACACATGGCTGTCCGCAGCGCCGATTGGCATAGAGTGCAGCGGGCTAACCCCCTAGCCCCGGATCCACCGCGATTCAACCCGTCTCCAAAATCTCTGACCCACGTTGATCTGTGTGAAAACGGTTTTGCGTGATCTTGACTCGTGTTTTCGATCCGTTAGGGCAATATCGCCGTCCACAAAGTGCCGTGCCTAGTAGTCCACAGTTACATAGTACATACGAAGTACCAACTAACTAACGTTATACGAGTAGTTACTCGCACCGTAACATTGCATTTGACTTTTAATATACTTCCCGGTGTACGAGTAGGAATCCGCTCTTTTGCTCTTTGTCTCAGCTGGTATCTCTGCCTCGGTGCCCCAGGCGTGAACCTGTGCGATTCGTCAATGGCCATCTTGCCGACGGGATGGATGCGAGGGGGAGTTCCGATGCAACTAGTGCGCAGGGTCCCTACACGTACGGACGTCGAGAGGATATTTTCTCTGTCTGTTAACAAGCAATTGAATAGTGAATAGATTGAATGGACACGTACACTGCCTTACGCTGGGACGCCCGATGGGTCAAGTTACGGTGGAGACATTAGGGTTATCACTTTTTGAGTACCCCGTACGCATGATTCACCTGACAGCGTTCAAAAACTCGACCTAACGTATGCGAAAGTACTAGAGACTCGGACAAACCGATAGAAAGAATTGAATATGTGGTAGAATTGAATTGAATCCCAGAGCCTACACAGTAGGCATAATGCTAGAAAAAAATGAGACCCAATGCCCATAACACCGGTAAGAAAATGTACAAATTGAAAAACACAAAGACCCAAAAGTGAATACAAAACGAAAGGGGATATCGCATAACCAAAAAAAAGCACGCAAGGAATCCAGACTTCGTTTTGTCTTCGTTTCCATCTGTTGGGAGACGGCTGGAATCGCGACCAGCGCATTTCCCGCCCCGCCTCTCAACCGACCCTCATACAATGCCAGAAAATAATCGCTGATACATGTATATGCAAATTACCCCCACGCAAGGGTACATCCGTTTCATCCGTTTCTCTCGTTTCGTCATTACCGGGTCCCGACCCAACGGCGGATAGCGTCCAAAGACGGGTCGTCGTCAAGCCAGTGACCTGCCCGCATGTCAGCGGCTCGGAGATCAGAGACAGCGTAAGTGTCTGTAATGCGAGCCAGGTCTTGGTGAAGTGTAGTCGTAGCGCTCTTTAGAGCTGCGGTATGCTGGGCTGTTGCTTTTTGGCCTCGCAAGATGCTGGCGCGGGTCATGGCCCATCGCCGGGCCGCGGCGGCTCGCAAGTAAATTTTGTGCGCCTGATATCGGCGTGCGGCACTGTCAAGGATAACTCTGATAGACTGCGTTAGAACCGATTCAGAATTGGCTGAAAAGGACCCTTGAAGAGTAAATGTACCTTTGGAGCTCGGCCTTTTCTGTCTCGACGTTGCCTTGCCCTGTCACCGGACAGGATTGATAGTTGGCAGACATTAAGCTCTGAGCAGAGGCTAGGCACTCGCGGAGCACGACAAAGCCCTCCTCCCAGTACTCGTCTTGGGATGCATCAACGTTCTGTTGGGGGATGTGTAGCAGAAGAGTACGATAATCGTTGATGATCTCCGCAACTCGCATCGCGCGGGCTTGATTGACTGGTATCCATGTTAGCACTGTTATAGCCGATATCATTGGGATGCGTTTGGATCCAACTCACGTCCGTCCGACATATTGTAAGTGATATATTATAAGTAAGAAGAAAAAGATGGTATAGTCCAGGTATAAACAGATGACATCAAAGATCAAAGAGAGAAAGAATGGCAACTGTCATAAGGATTGATGGTCCATAAAGTTAGAGTGTCAGGCTATTCACAGTTCCTGGGGAACGATGGTAGATATAAGTCTGAAAGGAGAGACCAAATCTCCTATTCAACACCAGGGACTTCGAATGCGTGGAGGAGAAAAAATTGATTCATCAGCCCGTGGTAGCGGAGCCGACGTCAGGAGGATGATCAAGGAAGACGAGCTGCACCAATGAGGGGTGGATATTCAATATCATGGAGTTTGGGTTGTTCAAGCACAGCTGGGATTGCACTGTGGTGGACCGAGCCACACCATCGTTCCCGAGAAACCGTTTACGGCATGGCTACCCCTGCTCCCAAGGAGAGGGATCCTAGGGTGGGGGGGGGGGGGAAGCTGCGGTACATGCATGTCCCTTTCGAGATTTTCTAAGACAGATGGATGCGAGCTGGAAACTAGGAATGGGGAGCGTTAGCCCACATCTAACGAGATTAGGTTCTCGTGCGGTCGATTCGGGGTCCTCGTGAGGAGAGAGCAGGCGTTTCATGACGATGATTGGAGATCATCAAACGAACTACTCGGTGGAGAAGCTATTTAGTGTACAGATTGATGTATCGTTGTGGGCCGAGCATTCACGTCTCAGCCCAGGACCTGCATGGACGAGATCTGAGTGGATCTGACAATTAGGGTTTGCTCAGCTGGTCTTTTGCCACACTTATTTTAGTCTAGAGCCACTAGCCACTTTCGGTAGCAGTAATCCCAGGTGGTTTCTAGTTCATTGTATGTATCCGATGTACGGAGTAATGGGAGTACAGAGAGTACGAAGTGATGCAGGATTGTGAGTCTCCCGAGGTTCACGACGTGGCAGGGCGCTTATCTCAGCCACTGCGCTGCTGAGCCACATGTGGCGCCCTCCCAAGAGCTGAAACCTCATCTCTTCTCAGTAGTATCCCCGGGGCTCCTTGCTGTTATGCAGTGTGATATATCTTGGGAATTCTTTGTTGCTCTGTACCTTCATTTCTTTTTTTGGGGGTGGCGGTTTTCATCTGGCGGCTGAGAGCTCAATAGTCTCGGACCAATGCGAAGACTACGAGTACCTGTAGACGGGCAGGATCGAGCTGTATTCGGGGCTTGCATGTAAGATATCTAAACAAATACTTGGCTATGATGCGCCCCGAGACATGACCGAAACCGTCACCATGCAGGCAAAATCGAGTTATCATTCACAGATCGTCTAGTTCTCTACATCGGATGCCGAGGTCCTTCCATCCAGGGGCCTCTTATCTCCATTGCTTGCAGACCTAGTGCATTTAATCCTTCTCGGCTATGGCCTGCAGCCGTTCATCGATCTCCTCTTCCGTCAGGGCACGGAACGCTGTGGTGGTTCCCTCCTGGCCATCGGCCCGCGGCCCTCCAACGACACCGATCTCGATCTCGTGCTTCTTGAAGTCGACACTGAGGACGTTGCTCAGGGCTGTGATACCCAGCTCCACAACTTCCTCCCAGCTGCCAGCGGCCGCATCCTTGTTCTTCAGCTTCTTCTCCAGGTAGTTCAGCGCCTCCTGCTGCTTGGGACCGGATGCTGTGGCCTTGTAGCCAACGAAGTAACCAGCAGGGTCGCACTTGTAGAGTTGTGGGCCGCTCTCATCATCGACAGAAATCAGGGTTGTCGCCACACCGAGTGGTCGCATGTAAGCCTGAAGAGTTTCAAAGAGTACCTTGTCAGCCATTTTTGCCCCCTTGACGATGCATTATCAAGTGAGACCAAACATACCCGTTGTGTGTAGACCTGATTGATATTTGCCAGTCGCTTTGCCAGGACATCGCAAGGCATCTCATATCCGAACTTGTAGCGGAACTCAGCTGCCTCACCACGGGCACGGTCAACGGATGCCCGAGCATCTGCTATGGAGCCAGTCATCACACATCCTACGGAGGGCGAGATCCGGAAAACATGTGAAACGGAGGACGGGTCGATCAATTTGTCCTAGACAGAGGGTTAGTGTCAGCGCATCCTCAGCTTTGAACTGCATGAAAATCTTACAGCGACTTTCTTCTGCGAGAGCACAACAGCACAGTCTTTCCCCCTCACACCGATGGAGGTGATGTTGGCCGAGGTGATGGCCTTGAAGGCATATTCTGAGAGACGAGTGTTTGGTCAGCGGCTGTGGTGACAGCGCACAGATGGACGGTTGGCCTGGATTGAGGCAACGGATGATAGACATACCAACTTGGTACAATCGACCTTGATCGGAGAAGATAGTAATATGTCTGTCGTAGGCGCTTCCTGTAGAGAGAACAGAGATCAGTCGGGGATGAAGTCATGAGGCTGGGCAGGGCCATCGGGAATGAGACATACCAGACATGATGGCAGATTTTGCGTTCTTATAATAAGGGGAAAGGAATTAAGAGAGGTAAACACAATCAAAAGGAGGGCCTAGGTGAATGAGACGATGGAGGTTGATCGGTGACGCGTGAGAGCTGTCTGCCTGAGCTCAAGCTTAAGTCTCACCGCCTTCAAGCACAACGCTGCGTCTATTCCATACGCTTGGATTTATGCAATTGAGATCAAAAAAATAAAGCTGATGTAGAATGTTTGGATTCATCTCACTCTAGCTGATGAGCTAATTGTTATTACTTGCGTGGCAATGGGGGAAATTTACAAGTAGGGGAATACTAGCTACAAAACCACTGTACCGCATCAACTCACTTCTAAAGTTGGATCCCCCATGAACATGATCAATTGACTTTTGAGATTATAAACATATTTACACCGTTCCGTATGCTATATGACATGCACATCCGAGAGGAGGATGACAACCATAGTTCACTCCATCATAACTATTCGCTATCGCTTTCACTGCTTGAGATCTCGATCTGAGCAGTTCTGAGCTTTCGCTTCTGAGTCTTCTTGGGCACCTTGGCCACAGGTTCCTTCTTTTCGGGGACAAACTTCTGCTTCTTGGCATTCTTCTTCGAAGACACAACCTCACTGGGCCCAGAGGGCGTCGGTGCGGTCTGTTTGGCAGGAGTTGGGGCAGGAGCAGGGGCAGGAGCAGGGGCATCAGAGTCATCGCTGTCACTGCTGCTGTCACTGCTGCTATCACTGCTGCTACCACTCGATGAGGTATCATCATCGCTGCTATCCGGTGCAGGTTTGCTGGGGCTTTTCTTGGGGGCTGGAGTGTCATCGTCACTGTCTTCACTGCTGCTGATGTCGACAACCATGGTTCTGTTCTTGCGCTTCTTGTTGGCTGGAGGCTCAACAACCTTGGGCTTGGGCTTGGGTTTTGCGTCTTCGGCGCTGAACAGCTTGCCTGTAACAGCGAAGAAGACCAGCTCTCCTCGCTGTCTCTTTGGCAGACGCTTTTGAGCGTCTCCGTTCAGTCCCTCTGGAACGTCGGGGCTGTCCAGTTCCTCACTACCCTCAGAGAGGAGTTCGCGGAAGGAGTTCACAGCTTCAAGGTAGGCGGGGTTTGTGGTTTCCTCCTCCTCATCGTCCTTCGGCTTGTCGAGGTCCATATCGGCCTTAATCACATCCCTCGCGGCATCACTCATTCGTTGCTTGGCGGCATCGCCCTTGAGACCTTGAACATAGTTCAGTAAAGAGGTGTTGTAGCGGGTGGGGACATGCTCCAGTGAGTACAGGTGCTTGAACAGGTTGGTTTCGCGGTTCTTTTGGAACTTCCATGTTTCGCGGGCTCGGTGGTAGTGGCTTAAGTAGGAGAGGATGGGCGTCTCATGAATTTGCCCTTCAGCTGAGGCAGTTCCAGTCTTTCTTTGCTTCTTCTTCTCGCGCTTGCGCTTCTTCATCTCTTCGAGCGCCTTATCGGCTTCTTTATCTTCGATGTCTGCTTCGGCTCCATCGGTGGCAGCCTCGGTGCTCCCAGCGGCGTCGGAGTCGCTGTCGGAGTCACCGTCATTTTCCTTGGTGCCGGGTCCAAATGAAACTCGCTTCTTCTTCTTGTGCGATTCGGTATCTTTGTCCTTCTGCTCGTCATCGTCTTCGGTGTGGCGGCGCTTTTTTTTCTTCTTCAATTCGCCATCTGTCTCGGGCGCTGCCTCGTCAGAAACAGACTTCTTGCGCTTCTTCTTGTCCTTCTTCTCGAGCTTGGTATCGTCTTCGGTGGAGGGAGAATCCTTCGCTTTCTTGGGCCGCGACTCGAGCTTTTTGGATGCCGGGGATTGGGTCTCGGCGTGCGCCATATTTGCTGTGGTTTGACTACAGCACTTCAAGGCAAAGTAGCAACAGACGCGACAGTTCTTCAAGGAATTGTGCAGTGCAGGCTTAGGAACTGCGAGCTCTCGACTTTGTTGAGACGGAGACTACTTTTTTTTCTGCCGATCGATTGCGGCGGCCAGCCAACCAATCACATTATCTCCTCGTTCTACATACACAACGTTTAACAGCAGCACAACAATTCGACCTTTACTCCGTATGTCACGAAGGAATAAAATATTTTATCCAAGGCTCTCTAGTATCAGACTCATTGAGCTTGTCAATGCCACTGACGATGATGTCTTGGTCAACTTGCCAAGCACCCAATCTTGCCCGTTCATCCCAGCTTTTTAAAACTTTGGGTAGATATGAGCTACACGAACACCAAGACAAATAACCACCGTAGCCACTAAGAAGATCCTGAAGAGTTTGATCAGCAAGTTTGGTTTCCGAAAACCTAGCTCGTCTGTATGGAACACAATTACTACCCCGAAAAAGTCTATTGCTGCCGATGCTAAAGAGCAGCAAGAGTAGGTAGACTCTACTTACCAGGTTATCAGTTACAACCTTTGTCAATTGGTTCTATGTTTAAGCTGAAGAAAGTGTTCTCTGTCTTTGAATCAGAAAACCAAAGTCGAGTCTAACGCGACTTATTCTCTCTCTCCCTTTGAAATAGAAAAGAGATTATGATGATGTCGTCTAGTCAATACTATACAAACCAAAAGCCTAATAGTAACGACTAGGATTAATAAGTGGTTGATCTCAAATTCAAATCCAATTATAAGGTGGAATGTCTGGTACAATATAGTGAAAGTCGAGATTGCAGATAGGAAGATCTGGAGAAAACATTCGCGAAACGGGCTTGCTTCTATAAAAGACGCTTTAATGACCGATATGGAGTATGGGAAAGCTATTTCTATGGGGATTGACGGTTTCTGCCCATGAATATGCGTCAATTGTGTCAAAATTGATGGAAGCCTAGTCTCGATGGAATCAAGAAGACTGATAAAGGCAATGACAGCCGGCTCCATTTTTAGTGGAGGCATATAAAATTAGGATAGTAGCATACTATCCAACTTGCACCTCTACGCACCTTTAATTCTACATCAACAGTCCCACAGTGCCCATTGCCCAGGCAAGTCAAATGTATTACTGCTCAATCGACCCGTACAACCCCGAGTGTACCTTCATAGGATCGTTTCTATTTTCAACGGAGAGAAATATGGCTCTATTCTGTGCGACCCTTTATCAGAGGCCAACCTCGAGACGAGAAGACAAGATTCCTGAATATTTAGGCAAATAAACCCAACAGTGGATCTTGGAAAATGCCACGCGGGAGTGTCACCGCAATCCCTCGAACCCTATTGTAACGACCTTGAATGGGAACTTTATAGAAGATTGTCTTTTTCAAGAGACGAGTAAGGCCCATGGAGGCTCACAATAATTTCAAAATCAATATACATTTGTTTCTGTCTATTTACTGTCTGTTTCTATGTCAATCTGTCTATTTGGAAATCAATGTGCAAACCCATCTACTCTTACAATCCAATACTTACCAACGCCCCGACCTCACATCCCGTACAAAATTCATGTCTCACACGAGTGTGCTGTAATGGCCAAAACTCCTTGACCCACATCCGTAGGAGTGCATTTCACCACGTACCAAGCTCCGGAGGTCGCCTCCGGACCTTTTCAGCTCACGGCGAACTCCGTTCGAACCAAAGTGGGTCCGCAAGGTAGAAGATGCCGTGGCCGGCAGCTGCCAAAAGTGGCCCGACCTGAGTATCGCACGTCAGAAAATGGAGCCAAAAAAAGATTTTCACGTAACCCACCCAGTGGACCCAATGGTATCCTGGAAAGCTGGATGCCACATACACGCCGAAACATCGGGCCGGATTCAAACCTGCATTGTTTCGTTAATATTTTAACATGTTCACACACATGCACAAGAAGGACACTGCAAATCTTACCAGCACCGGAATAGCCCTCACGGGTAAAAGCAGTGGCCCAACTAACGACACCAAGAATAATGCCCACGAACCAGGGGGCAGTTGTTCCGAAACCCTTAGCCCGTCTCGGATCAAGAGCCACGGCAAAAGCCACGAAGATCAGGAGCAGACAAGAAAAGAGCTCAATGATCAGCGCATCGCCGGGAGCCACGAGACTCGTGTCAATATGACAGCCGCCAACTGCGGTCTCTCGGTTTCTATAAGCATTGGACATGGCAAATCCTGCCAAAGCCCCACCCACCGTTTGACCTCCCACATATAGAACCATGCGCGGGAAGCTGATGGTGCGGGCAAAGAACATGGCTAGTGTTATGGTTGGGTTGATATGGCCTCCACTCGACGGGGTAAAGGTATACAACAGGAGTGGAGTGATAAAGATTATGGTGATTGCGATGAACAGGGGCGTAAAGAAGGTGGCCGTACTGTAGACACCGGCGTCCGTCTGTGGTGATGTAGTCGCTGAAAATGGGTGGGTGCCCACCCACGCCGTAATGAAGACATTCAACAAGCTAGCTATTGACCCATTAGCCTGAAGGTCAATGGTAAAATGAAGTCGGCCTGAGCCGGATCTTTTGTTTTTGTCTAAGGTTTGGACGGAGGTCTTTTCCCTTACCGACGCATTCAAGCATGGCGAATTTCCACAGCTCGGGGCTTCGAAAGCCGCGGAGATCAAAAATCTCGGCCACGCTCATGCACGGTGCGGCATTGGGCACCTCTTCCAAGGGTTCGACCGATTTCGGCTCGTTCCGATTGACAAAGAAGTCCTGATTCATGCTGGCACGGGCCGCAAACGGTGGCGCTAACGGCGGAATAACGGTTTCCATATACTTCTCTTCATCACGCACCATCCGGGGGAGATTGTAAGCAGCCATCATTGTTGTATTGATTTTTCAGTATTCGTAAGGCGCTTGGAGAAACTAGGAAAACACGTCCTGCCATGTGGCTTTTTGTGTGTAGAATTATGATTTCCCATTGGCTGGGACAACGAGCTGGCGACCCATGGATCAATCTGGGCCAATCGGCTGAGGTCCGCTGGTGATTCGTCTGCAACTTTATCTGTGACAATCCGGGGCAAAGAGAACCAACCAGAGTCAAATGGTGTATTTACGGCCAATCAAAGAACACAGTGGCTATTAAGGGTTAGCGAATTCTGGAATTCAGCGAATCATGGACGTTGTTTATTATCAAGGTTCTTTCCTAAAACACACTAGTGCTTCAAACCCTATTCCTTCTGCGAACTATGGCGTCGGCAGTGGCGTTTTGTAATGTATGGTAATGCCTCATAGCAGACATCATACCTATCCGCCAGAAATGTGTTCAAGCCTCGTAAATTACCAATCGCTTCCTATGACATAGGTGCTGAGAATTTTGCGCCCTGGACACAGAAAGGGATCTGTGTGCTTCATACAGATCATTAGGTCGGCGAATAACGGACGAGCTCTCAGGGTCTGCAGCCCACCTTCTTATCATCCATTATAAAGGGTGACATCATCTATGCTTTCATACTGTACATATGTGCAAAGAAAAAGGATCCAGAACTCGCAGGATTCGTGGGACTCGTCAATGACATTATGTAGCCTCGTCAGGATATTCCCAATGAAAATTTGATTTCTATGCCCCGCTTCCACCTTGATCGTTCACCCCGGTATCCCTCCTCTCTCTGCGGACTTCTGCTGGTGCACCGGTATCAGTCCCAGAGCCTGTGGCAGCTGCTGTAGCTGCAGCCCTACGTTTGGCCTTTTCACGTTCTCTCTCCCTTTCCCTTTCCTTGTCTTTTGTACTTGGGCCAGCTGTCTTTCGGCGCTTGGTGTCGTAGACATTATTGAAGTTCATCATGATAGCCAGGAAGCGCATGTCCACGTCTGGTTGGTATGCGAGATCAAGCAGAAGGCGGGTAAGCCGTGTCTGGAACTCTGTGGAGACGGCATCCAAAGACCCACGTAGTCGGTTAAGGATGTCGTCGTCGCCAGCGAGGTTTTGGCCTCCAAGAGACAATGGGGTGTTGACTCCGTCTACTCCGGCGCTGTCGGGCCGCAGGTCTGGTGTCGATGCCATAGAGGTTCCACCGCGGCTGTTGGACTGTCGTGACAGGAGACCACGATCCGAGGTCCCCCACTGACCTTGAGAGGCTCGCGTCTCAATCTTGGCGTTGATCTCCTGGCGGCGGGTGAATTCCGTCACAGAGACTGAGTACAGGCCATTGACGTAATCCTTGTATTGAAGCATGGACTTAAGAATCTGGTGAAGCTGACTGAGGAAGCTTTCTTCGGGCGGTTTGGCAGAGCCTGATGTTGAAGCGCCGTGGCGTGAGGACATGGATCCGAGTAAACCCTTGTGGGTAATGGAGTTGAGGTATTTGGTGTGTGCTTCAATCAAGTCGTCCAATGTACAGCCAGGCTTTCGGATAGCTTCTAGTAGCTGATCCCAGCTGGATTCGATAACCTCAAACAGAATATAGTACTGGAGTTGGTTGACGAAGTGGATCATTTCTGCAATCACACATCGCGCACGTTTCCAGTCTGCTCCAAACTTATCTTCCACGTTGCCAAGCACGCCTCGTGCGCCAGTCATGCATCGACGCCATGTGCTGTTCAGTGCAAATTCCACTCGCTTGATACGCCACAGGAAGTTGAAGACTTTCAGGTATTGGGTTGATGCCCAGGGTGTGATGACCACATCCACAGGGGCGTCTATCTTGTACTCGAGCGTGAAGCAGTCCCACCCGATTTCACCGTGGCTCAACTCGAGCATTCGGGCATCAAGTCGGCGCAGCACTTCTGGGGTATCGTATTGGGCGTTGGAGGCACGGATTGCATGTTCCAATTGTGCGGTCAGGGTGTGTCGATATTGTGAATTAGCGGGTCGGTCCAGGTTCGACGCCAGCGACTCCATGAGCAGGGCAATAAAGTCTCCTTGGCCTAGCAATAAGTAGCTCTTCAGCGCTTTCAGATGATCAAAGAGATTAAACTTTCCATTCATCAGAGTAATCAATCGAGCCATGGTCGTTTTATATGCTTCATCGATGGAAGTTTCCAGAGTCGCGGTGTCGCCATACCGTAGCTCCTTAGATGCTTTCTTTGAATATGCCTCCACCCATGCAGAATCGCTACAGCCGTAGCGGATAAAGTTGAGTGATTTTCCAATCAAGAAAATCTTCTTGGCGAATTCCTGGGTGATTATCGATGGCACCATGCCGTCGTCAAGCCTATATTTATCTTCCCAGACACTTGTTGCGATTCGCCGGGGATCTGACTTCGGCCGGAACTCTGGATCTGCGACAAAGAATTCCTTGTATGGATCTGAAAGCTCACCGTCGTAAATCCACAGCCGTAGCATGTCGTAGAACGGACGGGTCACATGCGCAAGAAGCTTCTCAGCAAAAGCACACACGAATGGATCTCCGTGGGATGTCGAGAAACCATGTATCAAGGAGATTAGTTGGCCACCTCTTTTACCTACGATGTGTGTCAGCTTAAAGAATTATACAGCGATGCAAACATGTACTTACTATGAGCCTCTTCCACGATCAGGCTCATCAGTCGAAGAGCCATTGTAGCATCTCTCGTCCACACCACGCACCGTTTCAGGGTGACGCCTCCTTTCCGCATGCCCTGTGGTTCGGTTCCATCTCCAATTGAGGCTAACGCCTGTCGGATCTCCGCCTCTAACGTGGCCACTAAACTGAGGTATGCCCGAAGCTCAATTGCAATGGCAGCCCGCAAACTCTGGTTCACCAGACCGCCCTCTTCGCTCTCCACGAACGCAGAAAGACCCTTGTAAAGTAAACAAGGCTCTGCCAGTGCGTTCAGAAGTGAAGTCATCGGCGCTGGTAGATTTGATGGTAGTTTCAAGCTTGACGCGGAACTGAAATGTAGGTTTGAGGAAGATAACCCTTGTAGGTTGAACGGCAAATCACGTAACAATTGATGTTCAACAGATCCAGTGGGTTTAGCCTGGCCTGCGCTTGAAGGACGAGGTGATGGAGCACGAGCTTGCTCGTCACTATTACGGTCGTTCGCGCTGTCAACACGATTCGCCGTTACTGGTCTTTCGGTAGCAGCACGACTGGCAGCCTCTGCGTCACCGCGCTCAGCATCACGCCGTACCGAAGCTTGACGCTCCATCTTTACAGGAGGGACTCGCTGGTATACCTGCGAAGCTGAGGAGCTAACGGCAGGGCCCTCATCCTCCGAGTCGATCACAGCAGCCCGCCGAGGTCGTCCATCCTTTCCCAACATATTCTGCAAATGTACATCATCCATCAAAGGGCTGCGGCTCCGCGCTCGGCCCTCCGCAGACTCATTCGAAGCCGACAATTTGTAAAGTAAGAACAGAATTCCCCATTTCTGCGATAGTACAGGCTGCGTCAAGAGACGGGAGTACAGGTTTGAAAAGCGCACCGCCTTATCCGGACTTTCATTTTCACGGCGCAGCTTGCGCTTGATGAGATCCGGCGCGTTGTTGATGCTCTCCGCACCCGCGAAGCTCCCGCGACGTCCTCCCGGTCCTGCAGGTGACCCGGAATCGGGGGCATTGGTGCCAGTATGGGTGTCGAGGACGCGCCAGGCACGTTCCAGCAGGATATTGTGTCTTCGGTTCTCGGCTGCGGCAAGGGCTTCCTCTTCGTCGGAGTAATCTTCGTTTTGGATGGCGGAGACCGGGAGCGCGGGGGTGAGCCCGTCGACTAGTTGGGAGAGAGCGTCGTCTAAGCGACGCCCACGCGCAGGGTTACGCGCAGCTGTGGTCATCGTCTCCCCCGTGCCCTACTGGGCGGATTGGTGGACTGCGTTGTAGATTGCGTTTGTTCGCTTCGTCGTTCGCGGTCCGTCTGGAGGGTTCGTTGGGTGAAACTAGGTCGCGATCGGGCCGTAGGGTCAAGGGGCAAGAATCGCAATTGGGCCTTCTGCTGGATCGTGAAGATTTCAACACTGGCCTGTGATGTACCGAATTATCTTGTAGCAAGAGCAATACGGACTCGAGCATGAAGCTTGCATGTTGATGTTTGTGATGTTTGGCTATATATTTCCGCCTTGGTTCTCAGGTGTCTATCTATTATCGGGCTTATCGCATCAGTTTTCCCTCCCGCAGTCGAACTGCGTCCTTGCGTCCTCTTTGCATATCCAGGCCTCCAGAGGAATTTCTCAATTTGCCAACGTGGGCAAGTTGGATTTCTTGGTAGTCCATTGTGCTATGGACTACCATGTAGACATGCGCATCCCAATCTCCTGTACTTGTAGCCCCCCAAAAAAACCTGGTCCAGCGTGGAGACCCGATTCAAGGCCCAATCCAAGGCTCCTCTCGGTCCCCAATTCCAACGATTACAAGTTGCAGGCTGCAGACCTTGATTCTACATGACCCGCCATGGTGACGTTCGCGACACTGATAAGAAAAAATGAATGGATTTCCTGTCTAATACTTGTGTTTTGTTCTTTCTTCCTTGCCCTCTTATTTCCTACCTTAATCTGCCATTTCTGAGGCGCAACGGCGCCGATCTCCCACCATGGGCTCTGCGACCGCATCTTTGTTCAGAACATTAAGCAATGCAAAGCTCAAATTGCTCCTTGTTTTCCTAGCTATCACGGCTATCCTTCTACTTACATTACATTCCCCAAGCGTATCTAAAAACATCCTGCCAGAAGCGAAAGAGGAACTGGTGGATGAAAAAGACTACTGGACATGGGAAACGAGAACCCAATTTCGAACTCCAGCTGGAAATGATAACAGCAATTTGAACGAGACGACATGCGACTCATTCCCTTCAGAAATTCTTCCGCGCATCCAGATCGTTTTAAAAACCAGCGCAACCGAAAACCCTAAACGAATCGATTCGCACATGGCCTCTGTAACTCGCTGCATTTCCAACCTGCTCGTAGTCTCGGATAAAGAGACCGAGCTCCATGGCCACAGGGTATATAACATTCTAGAGGATCTACCTCCGTCTGCCCGGGAAAAGATCCCGGAATTCGAAGCATATAATAAATTCCAACGCAACGAGTCCGAAATCGACGGCGCAGCAGGCTGGAAGCTGGATCGATTCAAGTTTCTGCCTATGGTGGAGAGGGCCAAAAAGATGAATCCCAGTGCCGAGTGGTACGTATTCCTGGAAACGGACACTTATATCGTGTGGGATAATCTGTTCCGACTGCTGGAGCAGTTCGATCCCTCCTCTCCTCTGTATATGGGGTCGCCTGCTCCAGGCCGTGGCATTGGAGAAGGCAAGGTGAACTGGTTCGCCTATGGCGGGTCGGGCTTCGTTCTCTCCCGGGCAGCTGTCGATACACTGGTGGCTCGGAAGACTGGGAGACTTGGAGAGTATATTGGACCATCGCTCAGCGAGCAGTACATGCAGATTGTCACAGATGACTGCTGCGGTGATTCTGTACTTGGCTTTGCGCTCTATGAAAAAGGAATCACACTTTCTGGGATGTGGCCGATGTTCAACGCACACCCATTAGACTCTATTCCCTTTGGGAATGACGATCATTGGTGTCAGCCTGCGATCAGTATGCATAAGTCGCAATTGAGTGACATGGTTGCACTCGCGGATTGGGAGGACAATCGGGATAGAACAGTATGTACTATTCACTGGTCTGCAAGGAATGCGCTGACTGACACCCGCCAGAAACCTCTTCTGTACGCAGACCTAGTTGACTACCATCATCTGGGAAACTTGCCCGAACGCAAAGGGTGGGATAATGGAGCGTGGGGAGGTGTCATCGAACAACCAGATACTCTCCCACAACATCAGTCCTTGGAAGCCTGTCGTCAAGCATGCCATAACAAGGACTGGTGCATGACATATACTTATGACGCTGCTGGAGCCTGTGTGTTCGTTAGCAGCCTACGACTTGGGGCTCCTAGCAAGCTGGAACTTGCCGACCAATTCACGGCTGGATGGGACAACGCCAAAATCCAACAATGGCGAGCGAATAATACTTGTGAGACGCCCATGTGGGTGAAGCCAAGTTTGACACGAATCTTTTAATCCTAATCACCTGCCAGCATCGGGGGTGGTACCGACCAGAGGGCGGAATACCTCTTGGGGCGTTGTGCTCTGCCCCCTTGAATCTATATATCGTCACCAGACATATTAGAATAAATGGCTGAATCGGCCCTCACACAGAAAATGGACTCCAAATCATATACAGAGTGGCATCACTTGTTTGTTGGCGAATGAGGAAATTCTACACCATCTAAGAAAAACACTTTTAGAACGACTGTCATTCCATTTGACCAACCATTTGGTTGGAGGGACTAGTCAGAGACGAAAAGATCACAAAGCCATCCGTACGCCAGGAATCATGTAGGTCGAAGCATATCAAAGCAAGAGGAACAAACAATGCACCCATGTGCCATCAAGTATTAGACAAGCGAAAGTTGAGAAATCCTCTGAGCCATCAAGAGGACGATTATAGGAAGGGAAAGTAGAAAAGGGTTAAAAAATACAACAGGGAAACACCACCGCGGAGGGGGAAGAAAAGGGGGGGGGGAAGAAGAATCAGAAACAAAGAAGCAACCTCGAAACAACCATGTGGAAAAGAGAAGAAAAACCGAACGCCCGATTGACACGCCCCCAAAAACAGGGTCATTCCAGACCACCGAGTGAGCCCGTTCAGTTTTTTTGAGTCGTGAAGATCGTTAACACCTGCCCATGCCGAACTTCCGCCAGACTTGCCGAAAGATAGTGTTGAAAGACAAACTCCTCAGAAAGATGAGAGAGAAACCGCCGAATCTCAGCAGTGACGTATATTTGCTGCACGCGGCGCAAGAAAGATGTGTTGATATGAGAACAAGAGGTGATATCCCCGCTCAGCGACGCATGCCTTGCGTGGGAATTCCACCTTGTTGCATGCCCATGTTGGGAGGCATGTTATAACCATGGTGCTCGTACCCAGATCCCATACCGTTCATCATCAAGGGCCCCAGGCCCTGGGCTTGAGATACTGGGCAGTCCTTATGGGCCAGCAGGAGGGTCTTGAGGTTGACAATTTCCTCACGAAGCTGGGTTACAGTGGCAGTAAGGGCATCGTTCTCAGTAGTGAAGAGCTCAACCTTAGCCTGAAGGTTGGCCAACCACTGCTTCTTGCGCTGACGACACTTGAGAGCGGCGACACTGTACGAGTATTAGTAACCTTCGAGTTAATTAGAATGGGGTCATCATACCGGTTTCGCTCCAAAAAGTTGCGTCGCTTCTCCTCATCAGTCATCTTCTTTGTATCCATAGGGAACTTCTTCATGTCATCATCGTCATCATCTTCTTCCAGATCTGATGGCATTTCCATGCTCATCTTTGTCCGTTTGTTGGCGCCCTTAGGGGGCTCTTCAGCCTTACGGCGGTTATTACCAGCAGGGGCCTTGGGTGCATTCTTCTTGCCCTTGCCCTTGGCGGGCTTGGCAGGTTCCTCATCAGACACATCGTCCCCACTAGTGCCGTTGGTGTTTTGGGACACACGTCGGGCAGCCGCAGCGCGACTATCATTCTGCATTGAGACCTGGTTTATTGGCGCGTTCGCTTGTCCACCTTTGGCCAACATGAAAAGACCATTGGCCGCATCCGCGGCGTCGTGCTGAGTAAAGTCGGCTGGGCGAGCGGGTTTTACGTCCATGTTATTGGCATTACTTTGTTCTTGCTCGTTGGGGTTAGAGGTAGGGGCATTCGCGTTGTTCTTCTTCGCTGCGAGGGCCGTGCGGTGGAAATCAATGGTTGAGGGAGTCGCGCCTCCGTTTTGAAGCTGATGCAACAAAGCCTGTGAGTTGGGACTAGGTGCAGGGAACATGGAACCACCGCCGCCGGGAGTCAATCCTGTGCGGAGGGAGGACTCGTTTGGAGTAGGGAAACCGCGACCGATACTGTCAAAGTAGTCGTTGCCGCCAGTCGGTCCGGGAAGCATCGCCGGGCTCAGGGGACCCGAGCGCAGCGAGTTGGACCAATTGTACCCGTTGCCCTGGTTGGATCCCGGTATCGCCGGGGAGGTGAGGGCAGCCACTGAGGGCAGCAATGATTTACCTGGAGTCTCGCTTGATGGGTCACCACTGAAGGACTGTTCAAACGGATTGGGCTCCAGTGAGAAGGGGTTGTGCATGGAGCTGAAGTAGTCTGGGGTATCAGACGCAGTAGGCGCACCCGGTCGCGGAGGTGGCGCCAACGAGGTCTGGGGCTCTGGGTTGGTCTTTTGGTCCTTGGAAGACGCGACCTGCGAGTCTAGCAATGGAGCAAGTGAGTTAGCTAAAGGACGCCAAGACTTAATGCGATCGCAAATAGGTACCACTGCGGTTCTGAGATCGTGTTTGGGGCTTCATGGTCAGGGTGTTGTGGTGGGGAAGTAAAAAAAATCAATGACGCCAGTCGGTGAAGTCATCGCGACGGCAAAGGGTTTAAGGATCGAAGGCAGTGGCGTATTACCAAGGAGGGTCTGAAGTATAATGCACAAACATGAAGACAAACACAGCAATAATAGCAGAACATCATATCACATAATAATAAGAAGCAAAAGTACTAGTCAAACAGAGGGAAAAAAATTGAGCGCGTAGCATAGTGTGACACGAACCTTCTTTTTCCGACTTCTTCGAGTCCATTGGGGAAGAAGACATTCGGAGAGTCGATACAGCCGGAGCGACTGCAGCAGACATTGCTTTGATGTAATGTGGTGATATAGGGATGCACAAAGCCAAACAAGCCTTGGGGTTGGGAGGAAGAGAAAGAGAGTGTGTGACGTAGGGGGAAGAGGGATATGATGAAATTTAGGGAATTTGCCATTTTGAACTGTCCGTGGGTAAATTACCGTGACCACCAGGTACCGTCACAAAAACGGAATCAGGTTTACTTTTTTTTATTTTTTTAGTTCCCTCTCTCTCTGGGATACGTGTGGCCTCTCTTTCTCCTCACTATAAGATCAGCTGGGATTCACAAATCAATATGCTCCCCTCACAATCTACCTACAGTTTTCTCATGGGTCTTATTCAGAATACTCGGACATCTTACATACTCACTCCGAACTATATCAGGGTCAAATCCATGAGATCAGTGAGCCTTCACTACTAATAATCCCTTTGCAGAATTGAGACATGATCTTGTCTCAATCTATCAACCCTAGAACATCAATCAAAGAATCTCAACACAGTGATGCTTGCAATCAATGTCCTGGAGGGTCGCAATGTAACCAGATATCCATTATGTCACAGTGACGAAAAGATTTCTCCCGTTGTGGGTCTCCAAGCAGCTCCACCAATCAGACACGCGGCCTCGGTCGACTGCCAAGGCGTGGAAATCACGGAACCCGAAGAATGCGGTGAAAGATGACGCAATCGATACACGTGATGGCGGACGTATGAAAGAGACTCGGGGCATTTCGAGAAATTAGCCCCCGAGACAGGTAACGCTGATTACTAAAACGCGTGGTCGCGTTTTTATTACAATAACATTGTATCAAAATCACATGATCTGGCATACTCGTAAACATAGATCTCAGGAGTCCTCCGTATGGAGATCTTCGTATACGCACTCTACGTCTGGAGTATGGTGCAGAAGGGACAGAACAAAAAGTGCTTCTTCCGGATTACGGAGTAAGGGTGCTCGTATGGAGTACTCCGTACTTAAGTATGATAGCGTTCCTGATAGTGGGCCTCGATCATGAACGTGCACGCAAACTCAGTTTGAGATGGGCCGTTAAATCTGATCGAACTCCCCAATTGAACCTCACACTCCCATACCATTGGACCGGCAATCTAGATCTACCAGTCCTGACATTCCCACGCCACACTGTATGCCACTCACGGTTCCCCACAGTCGATCATAAGTACATTAGAACTTTACCATCCTTATACTTCTAAAGTTGTACTTGAATATATAAAATGGTCATCTATAGATATTGCAAGCCCTGGAGCCAGACTTGAGGCACCATGTGTTGTTGATGAAGATGATTTCCATGGTTACTACTTAAGTATCCTGGATTTTTGATCTACCACCAACAGCTCTGGGGATACTTAGTACTTAGCACTTAAGTACTTGAGTGCTTACGACCTTTCTGTTACTTCAGAATAGGTGTTCCAAGGTTGCTACTTAAGTACTGAGGCAGTTGGCGCTTGCAGGGTTGCTCAACGTGATGAATGCATGCTCCCTGTCTAGAGCTGGACAGCCAAATACTTGGATTTTAGAGGATATATATCAGTCAAATGCGTCCCCATTGAAATTGAAAATGCTTTTTAAGTTGAATTCAGTGGTATGCAATGAGAACCGGCGCCGGTGGAGAGCAGTGTTGTACCTGGGCATACATACCTCCCAACCTAAATACTTAAGCAATACTCATAGTGTCTCTTGATACAACCTTGGAATTATCCAGCGCTTTTGGAGTTGCAGCTTCTAGGCCCGGGGAATCACGACCTTCGTGGAGGATCCCCACTAGGTAACGTAAGCCAACAGTCACGTGTTACATCACCGCCCGAGCTCCAGACAGCTTGGCAAACCTCCAGGTCATCGTATCCAACCTTGTTCGACTCCTATCTGATCCTCTATTCTCACGGTGTACAGGATTTGATCTGCCCACCATGCCTGAGTCCACCGACCCCCAGATTGAGAGCGCCAAGCCCCGCGCCAGCTACAACACCATCGGAGGCATCAACGGACCGCTTGTTGTCCTCGACGGGGTAAGACCTCCGGGAACAGCGAGACATGGAAAAGAGAGCGGTGTGCTAATGGGAACTGCTATGGTATAGGTCAAGTTCCCTCGGTTCAACGAGATTGTCACCCTGACATTGCCCGATGGCACGGAGCGCTCCGGTCAAGTGCTGGAGGTTAAAGGTGAGCTCCCCTGGCGGTGGTAGTTCAAATGCGGACCCACCATGAGATTTGTATAGATTGGCGTACTGATGTCTGTGATTTTTTTATAGGGGACCGAGCCGTTGTCCAGGTACGAACTGGCACTTTCGTTCCGACCCACTTATCGTGATAGACATTAACAGACTGCTGGTCTAGGTGTTCGAGGGTACATCTGGCGTTGATGTGAAGAAGGTAGGAAGCTCTTGAGGCAAAGGCTCTCGATCAAACCGTTGCTGATACAGGTATCAGACCAAAGTCGAGTTCTCCGGTCACAGTTTGAAGCTTGGTGTCTCTGAGGACATGCTGGGTCGTGTATTCGACGGTTCAGGACGTCCCATTGACAAGGGCCCTAAGGTACTCGCGGAGGAGTACATGGACATCAACGGAAAGCCCATCAACCCTTACTCTCGGGTATATCATCTAGCCCTGCGGACATAGGAACCCGAGCTAATATGTTTCCCAGGTCTACCCCGAGGAGATGATATCCACCGGTATCTCTGCTATCGATACTATGAACTCCATTGCTCGTGGCCAGAAGATTCCCATTTTCTCTGGTGCTGGTCTCCCCCACAACGAGATTGCCGCAAGCATAGCCAGGCAGGCTAGTTTGGTCACTAAGAACATCCAGGACGCTCACGGCGATGACTTCGTGATCGTTTTCGCTGCTATGGGTGTAAACCAGGAAACCGCCAAATTCTTCACCCGCGAATTCGAGGAGAACGGCAGTATGGAGCGCACAACTCTGTTCCTGAACTTGGCCAGTGATCCCACTATCGAGCGTATCATCACTCCTCGTCTGGCTTTGACGACTGCCGAATACTTCGCCTACCAGCTCGAGAAGCACGTTCTCGTTATTATGACTGATATCTCAGCCTACTGTGATGCTTTGCGTGAAGTTTCCGCTGCCCGTGAAGAAGTCCCTGGACGTCGTGGTTACCCCGGTTACATGTACACGGATTTGGCGACTCTCTATGAGCGTGCTGGTCGCGTTGAGGGTCGTGACGGCTCTATTACTCAGATTCCTATCTTGACCATGCCTAACGATGGTAGAGTTCCCTCCTGGTATCTCCGTCTTCCCTATACTGACCTCGTTTGATAGATATCACTCACCCTATTCCCGATCTCACTGGATTCATTACGGTACTGTTCCCCCACTTCGATTGGCATGGGAATCAATATACTAACCAATTAATAGGAAGGACAAATCTTCATTGACCGTCAGCTAGACAACAAGGGTGTCTACCCACCTATTAACGTCCTGCCCTCGCTCTCCCGTCTCATGAAATCTGCCATCGGTGAGGGTCGCACGCGTAAGGACCACTCAGATGTGTCCAACCAGCTTTACGCAAAGTACGCTATCGGTCGTGATGCCGGTAAGTTATCCCTGGGCTGTTTGCATATGTCACTCTCTAACAATTTAAACAGCCGCCATGAAGGCCGTCGTCGGTGAGGAAGCTCTCTCCGCCGAGGACAAACTTTCTTTGGAGTTCCTGGACAAGTTCGAGGACACCTTCATCAGCCAGTCTGCCTACGAGGCTCGCACCATCCACGAGTCTTTGGACCTCGCCTGGAACTTACTGCGCATTTACCCCAGGGAGCTTCTCAACCGTATCCCCAAGAAGGTTCTGGATGAGTTCTATCCCCGTTCCACTCGCAAGAACGCTAGCAAGGATACCCCGACGCAACAAGGTGGCGACCTTATCGACGCATGAGCGTAAATATTTTGTGGTACATAGGTCATTATGGGACTCACCCACTGGCACCTGCGTTGTTTGAGAATTTACTATCTATCGCCCTGTTATATTGTACACAATCTTCCGAGGATTTCGAATGTCTTGGAGCTTGCCCTAGAGTCATTGATGTTTTTCATGTAGCTATTTAGGTACGTACTGGGATATATTGTGTTCTCCATCCCCGCATCCTGATAGAGTACCTAGGTAGTTAAAGCTACGGCGCTACATCGATCGACCTATATCAGGACCTACTCAGCAGATTCTAGATCTTCCAACACATGGAGACAAAAGAATATTAGATCTTAAAGCTGCTTGCGCATCATCATTCCCGCTAATATCTATCCCCTCCATAAGGAGACTCCTATATATTTGACAACCCATTAATCCATTCACGAACCCCGATAGGTGGAATAATTCCAAGGACCCAGCAAAACAGGCACATGGTAGTGGCGCCAACCCTCCTCGCCCTCTCGCCCACGACCCTTGACCGTGAACTTGACCTCGACCTCGGGCCAGAAGCTCTCGATACCCTGAGCCTCGTACCAGGGACCGACCTCAAAACGCACCGACCAGTTTGTCTTGGTTTCTGCGGTGTCCAAGCCCGCCAGGATGGCAGGGACTGTTTCTTCGGTTGTGCCGACGGGGGTCCAGTTTGCGACGCGGCCGTCGGCGTTGGTGGTTGCGCGGAAGGAGGCGCCGCCTTTTGTGGGGCCGGACAGCAGGGTCAGCGTTACTGGGAGGTTGGCGGCTGGGGTGCCTGATAGGGTGTTGAGGCAGTGACAGGTGATGGGATCGCGGGCGGCCATGGTTTGGCTGGAATGCGGGGAGATTTGCCGTTGGTAGAGAGCGAGTCGATTGGTGATTCGGTCTTGGGGTTTGGATGCCATGCAGTAGATGATCTTATTAGAAGGGGTTTAAGAAGAGAAGAAAGGAATAAGAGACGAATAATATGGATGTATTTCTAGTTGGCTGTTCCCATCGGAGGCCACCGATGGGTGCGGAGAGTGCCATGCAGCAATCCAAGGCCCGGATAAGAACACCACTTGGCTGAGGACTAATTTTATTTCATTTCTGAGATCTTTGGATTAATATGCGAACGAAGTTTTTGGTGGATTAGCCCAATGCCCCAGAGTCAAACATGCATAGACCTGCACATGCGACACGAAATCCAATGTCCAATGTCTCGCAGCCTTGTAGGAAGGACGTGTAACAAACCTTCAAGGTACACTCCAGTACCGTACTCCAGGGCTATTTGAAAGAACTTCGTGAATCGCAGAAAAGACAGGGGGCGTTAAGAGTAAAAGAGCAACTGTCTTCCGGAAAGTTCGATTTGCGGGGCATAAACGGCCAACTTCTGAACTTCACCACTTCAACTTCCTAAACTCCCCCCCAATTTACACAATGTCTTCCGCCGTGGTACAACAGGATGATCTCGATATGGAGCCAACACTCCAATCGGTTCTCAATCAAAATACCCTCCGCTGGATCTTCGTCGGAGGTAAGGGAGGTGTGGGTAAGACCACCACCTCGTGCTCGTTGGCCATCCAGCTCGCCAAAGTCCGCAAATCCGTCCTGCTTATTTCCACCGACCCCGCACACAACCTGAGCGATGCCTTTGGCCAGAAGTTCGGAAAGGAGGCCCGCCTCATCGATGGCTACTCAAACCTGAGCGCCATGGAGATCGACCCCAACGGCAGCATCCAGGATCTGCTAGCTACCGGGGACGGCCAAGGCGAGGACCCCATGGCGGGACTGGGCATGGGTAACATGATGCAAGATCTGGCTTTCAGCGTAAGTGCTTATGCCGCCATCACGCCGTCAAGCTACGTGTCAATCTAACTTTGGTGGCGCCCAGATTCCCGGTGTGGACGAAGCCATGTCGTTCGCCGAAGTTCTGAAGCAGGTCAAGTCCCTCTCCTACGAGGTCATTGTATTCGATACCGCCCCGACCGGTCACACTCTCCGCTTCCTCCAGTTCCCCACCGTGCTCGAGAAGGCGCTCGCGAAGCTCTCCCAGCTGTCTACCCAGTTTGGTCCTATGCTCAACTCCATCCTGGGCGCTCGTGGCGGTCTGCCCGGTGGCCAGAACATGGATGAGTTGCTGCAGAAGATGGAGTCGCTGCGGGAGACGATCAGCGAGGTCAACACGCAGTTCAAGAACCCGGATATGACCACGTTTGTCTGTGTCTGCATTGCGGAGTTCTTGTCACTCTACGAGACGGAACGTATGATCCAGGAATTGACCAGCTACAACATTGACACCCACTCAATCGTGGTCAACCAACTGTTGTTCCCCAAGGAGGGGAGCAACTGCGAGCAGTGCACGGCCCGAAGAAAGATGCAGAAGAAGTATCTCGAGCAGATTGAGGAACTATATGAGGATTTCAATGTGGTCCGCATGCCCATGCTGGTGGAGGAGGTGCGTGGGAAGGAGAAGTTGGAGAAGTTCAGTGAGATGTTGGTGACCCCATATGTGCCTCCCCAGTAGGTTACGAGACATGCAAGATACACTTTCCCCCCTGTGGACGAATTACGAAAAGACTAGAGAATAATATCCCAAGCACAAGCCTGGATTGGCTTATGATCGGCTTCTCAGCGAGATCGTGTAGAATGCGCTGTCACATCTTGACCGGTGTGACGAACGGGGGTTTCGGGACTTCGCTTGGGCTCTTTTGAATCGTCTTAAGACACCGAATGCTTGGATCAAATGAAAGATCGACTTAATCAACTCGTATACGGGGGACGGAGTATACTACCAGCGACCCGTTCGCACTTATGCCTTTCCGGCCAATTCAGATCCGAGAACCTCCTAAGGGGATTCCAGAATCAAAATCAAGAATCAAAATTCGAGATTCGAGATTCTTGGCAATTGAAAAGAACAAGAATCCATCGCCCAAAAGCGAGTGCTGCAGATGTCTTCGCTGCAGCTCAGTGGCCCCGCGATCCCCCAGACGACAATCCGTGGTGCCACGACATCACCGCAGGAAGAGCCAATTTGGCGCTGCATCTTGGGGAATCTGCGGTGAGGAGAAAGCTAAGCGCTTGTTCAATGCTTTGAAAGTGCATTGTCCACTTTTACTCCGTGTTGTGTACTCCCTACTCCATCGAATTGATTCGAGACCAATGCTTCTCCATGCAAGCCTCACTTTTACCCACCGGGTTCCCGGTAGCAAGGGGTAGATTGAGGGCCTTGTCAACAGTTTCCAACATGATACTAAAAAGGAAAACAGAAAATTAAAATAAAACGCAAAAAAATGGGTTGGTTGTCGTTGTTTGATAAAGTGAGGCGGGTCATCTTGCTGGTCTCTCAGCCCCCCGAACGTTCCGACATGATCCCTCTCGTGAGGAACACGGATCTGGGCCACATCTGGTGATGGTCGCTTTTGACTCCTTCTACTTGTCATCTTCCGTGCAGACTAACCCGAGGTATACCGGGTTCGCGGGTAAACGGCGGTCTCATTTGCCCACATTGTGGATCGTGCACTGGGTTGAAGGGGGTACGCGGTCCCCTTTTCTGTTGTCCCGTGAGATCATCACCGAGGGACTGGGAATATAGTGGCCTGTAAGAGATTGTCTTACTCGTCTGTGGAATTGTTTGGGGGAGAGGGTATCACCAAACTTATTTATACCCATGCCGTGTCCGTCAGGAAGGCTGTCAAAAGTCCCGTAGCAACAAGTTCAGGCACGGACCGTTCATCGGTGTTGACTGGTGTCAAGCCTATTCTTGCTGTTCTATCTTCTTGCCTCGCTTGCCCTGATAATGTCTCCCGTCCAGCAATATTGGCTTCCGGGGTATGGACTATCTCGACACATTGTCCTAGGACACATCCATTATTTCCTTGGTCCGTCTGCGACAGCGAGACCTTTTTGCTACCAAGTGTGTCACGCTTTTGCTTTCTCTTTCTGTGTTGTCCTTGCCCTAGACAGCCCGTCTAACAGCCATAGGGACGGGAAGGTTATATGATTGTCGGTGTACCTCTCACCCGGGTTTGTCCCCCTGACTCTGACTTTGATCTGAATCCGAATACCAATAACTACATCGAAACCATGACTGACTCTATTCATCAGGAGCAAATCGATGATCTCACTGCTATGTCCCGGGAGTACGAGAAGCAAGAAGCCACTCGAATGACGCACAACAGCAGTAACACCTCCAATGCCAGTGCCAGCAGTGAAAACTCGACGAATCAATCCAATGAGCCCTATATCAACGAGATAATCCCAGTCAATCCACCCGGACCACGCCGACGGACAGAGCCAGACTCGAGGGGCGGTCGCTGAAGTCACTCTTGTTTCTCCCGGACTTTCAATTCTTTCTTAGCCCCCGGAAAGCCCCAGGACTTTGATGGCCACTGAAAACACCCCGCGTTGTTCAAACGAGTGCTCCTGCTGTTCCAAATTTGGATGCGTTCCTTTTCTTTCCCTTTCCGTGGACATGGATTGAATGCGTGCTATGTCCAAGGCAAGCCCACCCCCAAATTCAAAACATTGACTCGATCGGCCTTGGTTATCCATCAGACCCAAACGGACAGACCAGTGGATGGAGAAATTGAAATCCATTCCAGGAGATGAACACGGTTTTTGTGCACTGTCGCCATAGATGCTTGTGAACTGAATTGCCCACCTTTCTTGACCTACCATTTTGCCTCCATGTTGTTATCTAAGATACCCTCCGGTGTTTCAAATTTAATCCTGGTCTTTCAGTACGACCACACAGCTTCACAACTCGACCCTGGATCAATTAACCCGTTGACCTGTAGCTCCACAACCATCCTGCATCTGTCAAGTCCAACCACCTGTGCATGCTGTTGATCTCTTATGGCAAGACTGAAGAACATATCTACAAGGCAAACGGCCCAAAATCCCAGAGCGAGTCATCCCAACATTCAGAGCTCCAACTTTCCTCTATCCCGTTTGTTATATTGCTTGAAATGCAGCAAAGTCCCAAGGTTTACTTGTTTCGAAGGGCAAGTATAAGACCCACTTTTTAGTCTTTTCAAAGCTGGCCGAATTCATCCAATCAGCGCTTGACATTATACGAATACGAGCGGGGTAGGTACTATCTGCTTCGACGCCGGAAAGCACATAGATGCCCGTGGACCCAAGTATAAGATCAATGCCAATCCAATATCCTGACTTCGATAAATCGATTCGGGTCGATAGATTTGCCTGAACCACTCGCAATTCCCTCGAGTACGTCTTCTGATCACGAAAATTTGACAATTTGTTCTACTGTTCAAAAACCTACTTAGAAACGTGTGTGGTGGTTTCAATTGATTCTTGACCACACTCAAGTGAATGGGGCATAAGTTTCCGTTACATGTGCAGTTTATTCACCTCCCAGAATTTAAGGATGTATTTAGTGACAAGAAACTGCAATTGAAATGGATGTGTCTTGGTGAGAGATTCATCACGAAGCAACATCATAGATTCGCTCGATGTCACGTTAGCCACACCATGCCGAGGGCTCGAAGAATCGTGGTTAGGTTCCTACCCATAGCCCTACTTTCATAGTAGGCCTACTTATCTACATGTGTCTAGGTATATAGGCACTTGGTTACATTGGGAATCAGGACCGAAGTGTTGTCAAAAAGACATCATCTTTCACTCATCTCTATAGACCATTCGTAAAAGCATAGATCAATCAGACCCCGAAATCAAGGAGCCTACTACATTCATATCTCCATCTCTCTTCTTTTTTTCCCCCTCCAAGATATAGACAGGGGGCGCCGTGTGTGGTGGCTGTGTTTTGGGGAACCCCCAACCTCCCACCAACCCTCAGGCCAGATATGGCCAATACATAACAGGGCCAGGCAAAAGATCCGACAAAGAAGTGATATATGGGGAGGGAGAGAGCGTGCATAAGAACTGCAAGATGACTAAAGAGGTAAAGAAATAGGTTAAGGTGGACCACCGAAAAACGCCAGCCGGATGCCACTCTGCATGGTGTCCCATCCCTCAAAACAGCCGTGTTGTGACCTACACGGTGAGATCACTAAAAATGGGTAGGCAGAAACAAGTTTAAAATCACATAACAGAGAAAAGATCAGTTTTCGACATCAGGTCATGCGGGTGTTTATTTTGCGACAGCCGAGCTGGGGAATTGTTAGCAACCGAGTCATATGTGTTGGAATTCTGTTTGATCACATACCTCAAGACTTGTGTGCGGAAGAAGGCACCCTTTGTCTTCTCGATGACTTGCTGGTAAACCGACTGGGGAGGGTGGTTCATGATAACAGTGCCCTCCTTGTAGTCGATCTTGGCATCAACCCGAGTATCGCGGATTAGGTTAACAATCCACTTCTCACCCTCATCCTGGTTAAGACCGAGGCGGGCAGACAGATCGCTGAATACTCGGTTAGCTCGCTTGTTTGAAAAAGCAATTTCCCAAGATTTCAACTTACTTGATGTCAATACGCTGGTGAATCTTGCAGTAGCTCTCGGAAATGAGGTGACGGGCAGCATCGACGAAAGCGTCGGCAGCCGACACAAGGAAGAAATCGCTGCGGAGCACCTCCTCGGCCTCGCCGAGCTTCTTCTGTGCCTCCTCGAAATCGAACTCGACGTAGAGAGCCTTGACGAAGTCGGTGATGGGGTCAGTGTACTCGTAGTCCTCCTGGCGCACCACACGGATGAGATCCTTGAGTTGCTTCTGGTAGATACCAGAGTGCTTGTGGGGGCGACTGCGGTTGGTGATGACGGCGGCGGCGAGGTAGCGGAGAACCCAAGGGCAGCTGGTCTGGATGGTGTTGATGTAGGCGGGGGAGAAGAAAAGGTCGGTGAGGACGTCGCGAGCGGGGTCGTGGTTGAAGAAGGGGAACAACGACCAGTGGATGAGCCAAGAGCGGTTGGTGAGTTGGGCCATGGGGTTGTTGAAGAGACGGGTCTCAATTGAGTCCTTGACCTTCTGGACCTCCTCCATCGCACCTTCCCAGTTCGTGGTCAGGATCTCTGAGGCGAGCTTACCCCACGTGGCGGAGGCAACCTTGTCGTTGTCGGTGGACAGAACACGGAACTGGTAAAGCAGCTCGGCGGCGTTTCCGTAGCTACCGCAGCTGTACTGGAAGCGTCCGTAGTCGTGAAGGCTGTTGACCATCTCGTTGGTCACACCGTGCTGCTCCTCAAGGAAACGCAAGTTGGCGGCCTTGTCACTGCGCAGGTTACCCACAACCTCCTCATCCTGCAACAACTCGGTAATCTTCTCGCTCTGGTCCTGGTAATGCTGGAGCTTGGCCAAAACTTCCTCGCGCTTCTTCACAAATTCGTCGGGAATAGTGTCGGAGTTGTTGATTTCTTGCCACAAGTTGGCGACGTAGTCGGTCATGTTGGTGTGCTTCAGGAGCTCGTACTTGGCCCGGGTAATTTCTTTGTCCTCCTCATCGCTGGTAGCGCTGAATTCGAGCAGGGGGAAAACCAGGTGACGGTCGAGGTACGGGATGAGTCGGGGCAGCAAATCATGCTCCTCGACGGTCTTGGGCGGGTGAGCAGCAGCGCCGCTGAGCATGGTCTCGGCGGAAGGGGGGGCGTTGTCTGCCATGATGGGTCTAAAAAGATGGCAGAAAAGGGGAAAGACGTCTAGAGGGGGATAACAGAGGCCAACCGCGATCAATGGAGAATTTGCAGATTGTGCGGGCGTCGGTGGCCCTAAACCCTTTTGGGAAGTGGGTGTTGGGAAGCGGTGGCAGAAAATCTGAGCAGAGGAGCATCAGATGTTGGCTCCGGTCTTCCCAGTCTCTGTCCACAATATCTTCCATTTTCAACACTTGGGTCTCTCATCCCGGTCCGGTAGATCGCTCAAATGGCGTCTTTCTTACATTCAGGTCCGGCTTCTTCAGCTTTGCGAAAGCAGGTTGTTGCTCTTCGCGTCAGCCCGGCACAGTCCATGGCGTCTGTTCCAGCATGTAGTTCATTTTCCACATTATGTCCTCAGGCGAGGTTGCAAGCTTCACGTAAGTCCATTATTGCCGCCAAATTGCCTCTCGCACATCTTTTACGCCAAGGCATTCGCACCTTGGTGCGCGATTCTCGCCATGTCTCGCGACCAGCGGTCAACGGGGGAGAAAAAACATGCGTGTCTCGTGCCGACTTCAACTTGCGTCTTTTCTGGGAATAAAAGCGCGTGACTGACTCTCTATAACAGTTCGTCCTCAATCATCTCTCCCTACTCTCTCCATCCGCCAAAGCCGCACCTTCCTCACTCAACTCCGCCGTCAAGCGCAAGCCCTGAAAGAGCATTCCACCTCCGCATCGGCATCCCCGACACCAGCCAAATCCGCAAAGAACCCTAGCCCTCCCCTCCAGCTTACCAACCTCCCTTACTTTGTTCGCCGTACTGCATCCAACCAACTGCCCGTCTACGTTGACACAAAGGCTGGTGGTAACAAGCAGCTCACCAAGGTTCAAAAGACAGAAGGTGATCTGGACGCACTCCGCAATGACTTGGCTATCGCGCTGGGCGTGACTGATGTGCGCGGTAAACCCAACCCTGACGTGACCTTGAACCGACTTACTGGTCACATCATTATCAAGGTATGTTTGAAGTCCCATGATATCATAATGTTACACCGCAACATCAACTCACATTATGCAGGGCTGGCGGAAACCTGAAATTGTGGACTTCCTCAAGGAACGGGGATTCTAAATTTCTTTCTTCTTTCTAATACATCTCTCCTAAGCTGTTGCGGACGAAGACCTTATTAGGATCTACTCGTGACCCCCGGCTGGATACCAAAATTATCAGCATACCCTCATTGGAGGCATATGCCAAAGCATATTCACCCAAGAGAACGAGAATCAAAATGCATCGAAAACTAGGGAGTCAAAAGGAAGAAACGATGACCGAGAACAACCCCTGAAAAGGACCGTTAGATCTGGAAAGATTTATCTTCTTGGATTCATTTCTTCCCGCTGTGCATACCCTTATTTCGTTGTGGGTTGTTTCTCTTCTCCTGTTTTCCCTTCGGTGTTTGTTTTATCTGCTCGGTCGTGTCTTCTGGCGTGCACCTTTGTATTTGTTTACCTCTCTTTTCCCTTTTTCTTCTCTCGACCTGTAACATTCCTACTGTGTATATTTTCGATGAATGGATGGGGTACCTGTTCTTGCTTTTCATATTGAATGACCTCACTCAATGCCATATTCATTTTGGGCTAGAAATCTACTGCTCGTTGAATAGGAACGAGTTCCAGGATACTCCGTAGTATACCTTGTTCAGCCACGCCTGGAAAATGAAGATGAGAACTCGTAGAAGGTGTCTGTCTAGAGCCAATAGACGCCGAATGCCAAGGTTCATCCACGCATTCTCCGAGTAGTACATACTCCGTACTCTAGCTGGATACCTGTAGACGACGTAGAGTTCCACCTGGCCATGAGGATCAGGTCGATTTACAAATAAGCCTAGTGCTATAAAAGACACAAGAGTGTAAACCAACAGTGGATTTATTGCAGTATCACCCGATTTCCATCGAGGGTATTTTGAGCATTGTACACTAGAATGTAGAGCAGAACGCTATCTCACAAGTGAAGAAAGTTGAACTCCGTTGCCAACCAGCGCCCAAAAAAAAAACAGAAGAACAAGGAGACGGATTACTGGCATGAGTACAAATGACATGAGGGAATAGAAATTGTTGTATATTCCAGGCGAGAAAAGAACCAAAAATGCCCGAACCAGGTGTTGGGCGGTCGTCCCTGGTACAAGTACATATTCGATGTTCATGCATGCATCAATTTACTCCGCCAGTCGAGCGTAGGTAAGAAGTTGCCGTACAACACCCCCGTCAATGTTAGGAAGGAGTAATGCGCCCAAGAGGCTCTCTTTTCTGGGCAAAATCCCGGAGGGGATATTGAGGGGGGAGGTGTTGTCGACTTGCTTTGACTTTTCGGCCAGTCGGCGAAGAATTCCAAGGCCACGATTCACGATCGAGCTGAAGGCATAAGCATCGGCTTCGGCCTGGCCTCTTTGACGCATGTTTATCTGCGGAATGCGCTCTGTGCAAAGAGCGCAAGAAAGTCGCAAGAGATGAACGGCAAACCCATCGACTGACTCGAGCCAGGCCTTGGCAAGAGCCCCGTCAGCAAATGTTGTGAGAACATCGGCAGACAAGAGACCTTGCATCAAGAATACCTTGCGAGCATCGACCACAGCCATGGGCTTTTTATCGGGGACACAAGAGATAGCAAGACCAAAGGCGCGAGTCAACAATTCTGGCTGGGGTGGTGTAGATCCATCGCCAGAGAATATAGCCTTGAAGTATGTTCGATTCGGGTCGTCTCTTGCCAACATTTTTGCGAGGCCATCCACAGCCGCTGGGGTGTATCGATCAACAGCAGAATTGAATGCAGTGAACATCACTTTGCCTGATGATGAGATGGGCTCCGGCTCGGGTGAGAAAGCAAGCAGGAAAGTCAATAAACTCAACGCCTCATCCTTCCCAGGAATCTGAACAACGTGAGCCAAGTTGCTCAGCAAGATGACTGCATCTTTCATGAAGTCCAGGGTGTTGTGGCTGCTCCGCAGGAAGTTCTTGCGGGTTCCCATATAGCGGAAAACTGCAGCAAACAGTTGGGCAACAGGAGGAATGCCAAGAGGAAGGAAGTTTGTCTCGCTGAATGAGAAATTTCGTAGGATAGTGGTGATACAGATAAGTCGATCCACAGCTCGGTCCAACTCGTAATCGAGAGTCCCGAATTGGGAGATATCTGTGAGTGATGTATTTTCAAGTTGGCAGTCCCGTGTGATCTCATCATATGATCGTAAAGTCATAGTATCTGTCTCTTCGACAGTGTGCTGTGCTAGCATCTCAGCCTGGTCTTCAGCGCAGTCAATCAAGCTCTCAACCAAGTCGTCACAATTCTCCAAAGAGATTTGAACGGTAGGTTCGCCCGAGAGGGTAGTGAGCGTGTCCAGGGCAACCCGAATCTCCGCTATCATTCCGGATTGGAGAGCCATTGTCAGCGCATGAATATCCACAACCCCAAGTTCTGCGAACGCGGGAACATCTGGCTTGAGCCTTGAGATGTCCTCGCCAATCTGGAACATCTCATCCACAGCGATGGGACCATGCGTTCGACTTCCCGTCAAAACTGTGGGCTTGAAGGTTTCCCCGATGGGTTGCTTCACGAAGGGCTCTGGCTTTTGTTCCGTTTGCTGTGTTTGACCAGGGCCTGGAGTGGCTTCCTTGCCAGATTGTGAGGGAGAGGGTGCTGGGAATTGTCCGGTCGCAGGTTCCGTGGGTGGAACCGGCGTTTGCGATGGGCGTGAGAGACTAGATCTATGTCCAGCTTGAGCTGGTCTGCTTTGGCTTCGGGCATGGGTAGGCGTGGCAAACCCATTGGTCGGATTGCCTGGGGTCTGGTTTTGCACTGGTGTGTTGTTTTGCGGGGACTGAGCCAATGCCTGCGATTGGTCATAGCCCGCATTCATTTTCCCGGCTCCTGCATATAACTGGTTGGGTCCGCGAGGCATTCCACCTTGCTGCTGCATCTGCTCTGCTGACTTTTGTTGAGAGTTAAGGAAGGCTTGTTCATAAGGAGCCAGGTTCCTCGTGTGGTGGGTTTGGAACTCCTGGGCGGCTGTAGGAAATTGCATCGGGGGAAACTGCAAGTGTTGCGCGACTGTTGGCCATGCGTTTGAAGCAGTGATCTTTTTTGATCCCCCCAGTTTCATCACAGTGCCATATAGCTGAACCAAGTTGATTGGACGACCACTCACAGTGGGATTGGGGTCCAAAGCAAGGTTTTGACTCATCATGAATTTCTGCAACGAACGCAAGAATCCCTCCGGGTTGTTAGGCTTCGGAATGTTTGGTGGCATGTTGGGCTGCATCTGTCTGAGCGCTGGCATTTGTTGAGGATTGGCCATCGGGTTCATATTGCCCGGAACTTGTCGTGCAGCCAATGCGGGATTAGGGTTCATTCGCGTCTGTTGCTGTTGCTGCATTGCATGCAAGCGCTGTTGTTGGTTCGCAAGCGCTTGTTGATAGCCCTGAGGTACCTGTGACATGCCAGCAAACTGCGGTGCTTGCATCGAGGGTTGAGGAGCCGCCGATGTCATTCCAGGACCTTGCGGCATACCAGCAAACTGCTGCGCTTGCATAAAGTTGGCGTTTTGAGGTGTGTTCACACGGCTTCCATGGTCCGATTGCGACGGTGACATATGGGGTCCAGGGTGCGGGCCCGCGGGCGAGAAGGGGCTCGGGGACGCGGTTCCCATGCGAGCGCTTTGCTGATCGAAGTCTGGCATTATTGGTGACTGGGTAGCATTAGGAGACGCTTGCTGGAGATGCTGATATGGCGTGGGGTGTTGCTGGAATTGTGCATTGCCGTTGGCCGGTCCTTGATACCCAGGATATGGAACCTGGTGAGGGGTCTGGGAGCGCGACCCCGTCATGCCACCTGGGGCGGGTCTTGGTGACATGGGCATGCCATCTTCAGGTCGTCCTCGCTTGGATGGAATGACCTGGTTAGGGTTGTGGAACCCCGGTGAGGCGTTCCGCGGCACGCCGTTGAACATGCGCTGGAATTGAGATGGATCCTGGGGAGTGGGGGAGCCATGTAGGAAGGCGTTTGATGGATCTATTGTTGTATGGAAGGCGCCATTTTCCTGGCCAGGAATATTCGAAGCGTCGGCAAGCCAGGCATTCATGTCGAGCGGTTATCCCAACCCATCTACCTGCAATGGCGGGTTAGCCTGGATGTTATATGAAGCAACCCCCATAGAGGTCGCGCAGCGATGCAGATTCGGGATGATAGAGTTGATGTGGTCCCAGCGTGGGATGGTCAGACGCGTCCCGGGGATGTTTGGAAGGCGCGCGCGACCAGTCGCAACTGGGATGGAAGCGAGGTAATGTCATGGGGAATTGGGAAGGACATAGAAATATATGGGGAATGGACAAATTAGGGTACATACCGATAAGGCTGGATTGACTAAAATTCCGCTTTGCGAACGGATGACTGAGACCGGGGGATATGGGCAGAGTGAAGGGAGAGGTTGGGGTCACGTGGTGTTGGCCTGAGGCGACAAACCACTGAGGCGCGGATAGGGGAGAGATGAGAGAAAGGGAAAGGAGCTGGGGTAGCGGCTAAAATGTTAGCAAATCATAGCAAAGTAAAGGTCACTTTCTAGATCTTCCGGGCCAAGAGAATAATAGAGCAAAAAATAAAACAATAAGAGCTCCGTAACCGGAACAAATGGGCTACAAGGCAGAGAGGCAGTCCAAGGGAATAAGGGGGTGCGTGGCCACAACCGGGGATACAATAAAATAATGGTGCCAAAGGCCGCAAAAAAAGCCAACGGAGCAATCAGGGAGTAAGAATGGCGTACCTACCAGTTCACAAGAGCCCGTTCAGTTAGGGATGGAAGGGGAAGTGGAGAGAGAATGAGGGAAAATTACTGACAGGTCAGAGCTTTTTCCCGGTAACGCTCTCTCTACCTGTTCCGGTTACTTTGTGTTACTGTTCTGTTCTCTGGAGTTAGTCTGTTCTTTGATCTTTCGATCATTTGCTCTGGTTCTGGTTTTGGTTTCTCTTCTTCTTCTTGTTTTTTAAAATCTGTTTTCGCCATCTTTTTGGGTGGGTTCTGGTTAACTTCACTGGTTAGTTGGTTAGTTAGTGTTCGTGGCTTTGCTATCCCCGGGCTTGGAAGCCGACACCTCAAGAGGCCCATAGAGAATGGAAGAAAAAAGGATGGTGAAAGAAATGAAACGATGAAATTTGAGGGAAAATAATAAAATAAAAAATAAAAAATAAAACCCCCATCTCGGGTTTCGTAAATGGTCTAACCGATGATCCATTCCAAACGGTCTGGCCGAGTCAGGTTAGATCATATACTCCGAAGGTATACGGGTATGGGCTGAGTAGCCACCATGAAAGGAAAACATCCATCAGTCAATAGCTAGGGGTCTTGGGAAGGAACAAATTATGATCATGGGAAAGGGAGAGAGAAAGAGAAAGAGAAAGAGAAAAAAAAAGGGAGATCGAGCGCCCTGAAGGCGGGTGGTTCTCCTTATATAAAGCTCAGGCTAGTGTGATAGTCATTTCGATGCGCGCCCAACCCTCCGAGGTCACCAAAAAAATTGATGTTTGACGACTCAGAGTGAGTGGTCTGGGTTCCCCAATGAACCCTGTACCAGGATCCGACTCGATCCGCATAGGAAATCATGATGTTTTTTTGGTGCCTGTCCCACCTACTGTGTCCCGGACTACTCCACCGCCATAGATGATTGGATCAACCGTTCCTCATTTCCCTTTTGTAGGGCTTGAGGGCACCCTGAGGTCATGTCCATCCCCAATGGCATACTGGGTCTGTATGTCTCGAACCTTTGCGCACGTTCATGGCCCCCCCCCCGAATGAGCCCTCGGGGGGTCAGGTGCTTGAGGCCTGAAATGCCATGTGCAGCATCGGTCCCCTTACACTTCACTGGGTGAGATACATGCAGAATTCAAGATCGTCATCATTGGCTCTGGGCTTCGCTGAGACCGCTGCAGCCGCTAGCGTCTGACCATAGGTGTGGACCGATATACCCAAGAGCACAGGATAGTCGGAAGATGCAGAGATAGGACGAGGGACAATGGGGTCCTGTGTCTGTGTGGGGAGCGTTGCGTAATTTGCTCCGGATTTTTCTATTTGTACGGTGAGATTACTTCTAAAGTTCGTACTTGTTCATAGTAAAGTGGCGCTTGTTTATAGGTGGTAATATAGTCGATCCTCATGATGGTCACCCATGAGAAATACCAGATTTATTTCAATACAGATGTAAAGAAGTGGGCATATTGAGCTCCTTGAATGATGAAAAGCTAATACGGAGTACCAACCTTAACAACTGTCGCAAAATCGAGGTCAAGATCTCCAAAGATGTTGGCCGCTTTAACGCCTGGGTCACGTGAGTCAACCCAAGCTCCCCGATTCATCGAAAGCTCCAGATCACCGGCCTCCGAACCCTTCACACAGCGCGTCATTCACCACCAACCATCTACAAACCCTTTTTATCATATTTGGCCCACGAGCATATTTCATCCAACCATACCACTTGCTGCCTAGAGATTCAATCATGGGAGACGTTGCCGTGGAGAATCCGGCGAACAACGTCACGCCTCTTGTCAAGCCAGGCGCGCTCGATGCCCTCGCCAACTTGGATTCCCTCGATGGTACGGGAGCTGATGGTAATGATGAATATGCTACCCTGAAGAGGCTACAGAGACATCTAGAGTATGCCTGACCACGCTTCTGGAATTGGATTAGTGATCTGACGACAACACAGGTATATCCAACTGCAAGAGGAATACATCAAGGATGAGCAGAGGTATGCATCCCAGACTATTCCATAGGACTCTATATCGGAGACTAACCACGGTTTGTCTATGCAGAAGCTTGAAGAGGGAGCTGGTGCGAGCACAGGAAGAGATCAAGCGTATACAGAGTGTGCCATTGGTCATCGGACAGTTTATGGAGGCTATCGATCAGAAGTATGCATTGTCTTATTCCCACTGGGAGACGGGAGAACCTCGGGCTAACAATTTCATAGTACCGGAATTGTGCAAAGCTCGACCGGATCTAATTACGTCGTCCGTATCCTGTCCACGCTCGACCGCGAGAAGCTGAAGCCCTCATCTTCGGTCGCCCTCCACCGTCACTCCAACGCACTTGTCGATATTCTTCCCCCCGAGGCTGATTCATCTATCGCCATGCTGGGCGAGAACGAGAAGCCTGATGTGACATACGCAGATGTCGGTGGCTTGGATATGCAGAAGCAGGAAATCCGGGAAGCTGTCGAGCTGCCCTTGACACATTTCGAACTTTACAAGCAAATCGGTGGGTGTACATGAGATTGCATTTCGTACGATTGCTAACAACTTTTAGGTATTGACCCCCCTCGTGGTGTCCTACTGTACGGTCCTCCCGGAACTGGAAAGACCATGCTGGTGAAGGCTGTGGCAAACAGCACAACTGCAAGCTTCATTCGTGTCAACGGATCAGAGTTCGTGCAGAAGTACCTCGGAGAAGGACCCCGTATGGTCCGTGACGTGTTCCGAATGGCGCGTGAAAATTCACCAGCCATTATCTTCATTGACGAAATCGATGCGATTGCCACGAAGCGTTTTGATGCCCAGACCGGTGCCGATCGTGAGGTACAGCGTATTCTGCTAGAGTTGCTGAACCAGATGGATGGCTTCGAGCAGACTAGCAATGTCAAGGTCATTATGGCCACCAACCGAGCCGACACCCTGGATCCTGCTTTGCTGCGTCCCGGTCGTCTCGACCGAAAGATCGAGTTCCCCAACCTGCGTGATAGACGTGAGCGTCGCTTGATCTTCACCACCATTGCTTCCAAGATGTCGCTTTCCCCCGAGGTCGACCTCGATGCCCTGATTGTGCGCAACGACCCGCTTTCTGGTGCCGTCATTGCGGCCATCATGCAGGAGGCCGGTTTGCGTGCTGTCCGTAAAAACCGCTACAATATCATTCAATCTGACCTTGAAGACGCTTACGCTGTTCAAGTGAAGACTGGACAGGATGACGACCGGTATGTTATTCCCTTGATCCTTGTTTTCCCCTCGCTCTTACTGACATTTCTTTTTCTTTTCTATCACAGCCCCGACTTCTACCGGTAAATGTTTGGATATCGTTGGAGGATGGGTAAGGGTGACAATCGTCTGGTTTTCACTAGTTGTATCATCAATAATATGCAGTCGCCATTTGTCACATTGTTTTAATCATCTATAGCCTATTTAGGGTTGTGTTTCTCACAGCCCATATGGCTTTTGGAACCCAATCAGTAGGGTTCGTAGCATCCGGCGTACCCTACTTACCTGTAGACCCTCGTAATAACGGACTTCAGGACTCGGGCATCAAACGATCTTGGAAGCTACCTGTGTGTCTAGCGCGCAGTTACATGGAGATCTAGCTGTCTACAACTTTTGTGATACCAGAGCTCTATGTATATTTCTAGGTAGTGCGCGCCTGGGCAGGTGAGTGGAATCTTGAACTTTAGAAGTCTCAACGTGGGTCTACAGGTGCATAGGGGCAAGGTATATTTGTACCACACATTCAAACCTAGGCCGAGATCCTCGGAGGATTGAGATATTATTCGTGGTTTTGATTATTCTTTACCAAGTGAATCTGGACTATTATATTAAGTCTAAAAACGATGCAATCTGTTCCAACGTTATCCTCATATAAAAAGGCCAATCAGTGCCCGTGCGGTGCTACATTATATGCCGAGGCGAACCTTGCAGGAAACCTGGGACTTCAGAAATGATCATGGTGTGGAGTACGGGGCCACCCTACGGATGATCTACGATATACTCGTACCAGACACAATGATCCAGTTTTGAGTCAAACACATGCAAGGTGGTTGAGCTCTTCGAGAGACATTGAGTTTTATCTAGGCACGCGACTTGTTGTAAAGCTTCAGGTGTACGAAGTATTGGCTGCCTAAAATACGGACTTGTGTCCATACACATGCTTAATCCTATAGCATAGGACACGCACGTCAACTTCACTGTGCGACACGTAGAACATGAATACCCAATGCCTTGAAACGGAGTGTCGCTCATGAGCGAAGCCAGGTTGTTGCCACCCCATTCTGCAGCTGCCAGGTACAGCGGAAGGGTTGCCTTCCGACCAGTCCGACCATTGCGTCGATGGCGCTAGGACGCTCAGGCACCAAGCTCACTGACTTCAGGGAGTTGTTTCCGCCAGAGACAAGTCGGTATAGGTGTCAATAGAAAATCAATTAGCCAATATCAAAAGAACTCCAATGCAACATAGATCTCGGCATATGGAAGGGCAGTGTAGTAGGTGAACAAGGAATGGAGGTTCCCGTGGTCATGAGTCCTTGGCCCAAAGGGGCTAAGTGCGACGCTCCCGGTTCCGTCATCGTCTCCAGCCTCCACTTCTCCCCCCATCTCCCTTATCTCTCTCATCAACTCAGTCGTTCTCTTTCTCTTGCATTCATCATTAGAAATATCCAACCATGAAGTCTTTCACTCTCCTGACGGCCTCGGCGCTGTTGGGCAGTGCTGCCGCTGAGGTGCACAAGCTCAAGCTCAACAAGGTCCCTCTGTCTGAGCAACTGGTAAGATCACCTTCGGAACAAGCATAGGGAGGAAGCTCACCACTGTCTAGAACACACACAACATCGATGCTCATATGAACAACCTGGGCCAAAAGTACATGGGCATCCGCCCCGAGAAGCACCAGGATCTCCTCCATGACACTTCCATCAACCCTGCCAGTGGTCATGACGTGCTGGTTGACAACTTCCTGAATGCTCAGTGTATGCCCCCAGAAAAGGACCCGAACTCCAACAAAAGATGCTGACGTGATTAGACTTCTCTGAGATCCAGATTGGTACCCCTCCCCAGACCTTCAAGGTTGTCCTTGACACTGGTAGCTCCAACCTCTGGGTTCCATCCCAGTCGTGCAGCTCCATTGCCTGCTTCCTCCACAGCAAATATGACTCGTCTTCGTCGAGCACATACGAGAAGAATGGCACCGAGTTCGAGATCCGCTATGGATCCGGCAGCCTGAGTGGCTTTGTCTCCAAGGACACTCTCCAGATTGGTGACCTGAAGGTTGAAGGCCAGGACTTCGCCGAGGCCACCAACGAGCCTGGTCTGGCCTTTGCTTTCGGTCGCTTCGACGGCATTCTCGGCCTTGGATACGACACCATCTCCGTGAACAAGATGGTTCCTCCCTTCTACAACATGATCAACCAGAAGCTTGTTGATGAGCCCGTGTTTGCTTTCTACCTGGGCGATGCCAACAAGGAAGGTGACAGCTCTGAGGCCACCTTCGGTGGTATCGACAAGGACCACTACACTGGCGAGCTGATCAAGATTCCTCTCCGCCGCAAGGCTTACTGGGAGGTTGACCTTGACTCCATTGCCCTCGGTGATAGCGTTGCTGAGCTCGAGAACACTGGTGTCATCCTGGACACTGGTACCTCTCTGATTGCTCTCCCCACCACCATGGCCGAGCTTTTGTAAGTTACATACCCTCTAATAGTGAGATACACTCGCTGACCCCCTTCAGGAACAAGGAGATTGGTGCCACCAAGAGCTGGAACGGTCAGTACACCGTGGACTGTGCCAAGCGTGACTCGCTGCCCGACCTCACCTTCACTTTGGCCGGCCACCCCTTCACGATCAGCGCCTTTGACTACATCCTGGAGGTCCAGGGCTCCTGCATCAGCAGCTTCATGGGCATGGACTTCCCTGAGCCCGTCGGTCCCCTGGCTATCCTGGGTGACTCTTTCCTGCGCCGCTGGTACAGTGTCTACGACGTTGGCAACAACGCCGTCGGCCTTGCCAAGGCCAAGTAATCGCTCTAATGCTCGGTGATTCCGTGGGCTGTGGATAATCAAGAAACCAGGTAATCGGCAAGAAATTGCTTCGTATATAGATGCGTCTTACCTGGATGTATCGCTTCATGCACCCCATTTGCCAATCGCTTCAATTGTGTTTCTGTATCTGCTAGCATGGCTTGTTGTGACCTATCCCTCATTAGTCTGCAATCGATAAATCTGTGAATCATCATGCGTGTTCCGTAGGCATCTCAAGTCCACGACAGAAGCCTATCCCAGGCAACACCTACGAGTAAAGTCTACGAGCTCAATAGTACCAGACAACCCATGACCGTGTATTCAAGGTCTCCTTCTAGGCACCTTCTTATACTGATATCGAGAGCAAAGCACAAGACTTCAGGAGGACGCCACCTATCAAAGTCTGTAGACAAAGCTTTTTGTGCCATGATTTCTTCTGAACAGGCCCCAGGATTATTGAGGGGCGGCAACAATACCCCGACCAATGACCAAATACGCCAATTGCTTGGATTGTCCGATCTAGCATGGATGTCTTTCTTGAACGCGGTATCTCTCAACATCCCTGATATCGTGAGAAGGCTTGTCAGGATATGACAAGATATACACATAGGACTGCAAAGTGACTGAGCAACTGATGTCAGAGAAGAACCAGATATCTGGATGAAGTGAAATTGCTACTGCTCGCTGGAAAAGTAGGGCCAAAGAAGAATAATATGGGCATTGACAGGCAACCCTAATTTGAACGTCTTCAGTCTATTTGAATACTAACTTACTCAACGTTAAGATCTTTGTTACTCTCCGAACTACTCCCTATATAAAACGTGGAGCCATTGCATCAGACCATTGTAGAAAACAGGATACTTGGCAGGAAGTACCCTGCATGCTAGTTAGAGGCAAAGGGTACTTTCTCGGAGGTACCGGTATGACATAAGCTGGTATAGCTCCCGAGGTGACCTGGATTGAAGGAGTCCCCGCACAACTTCAATGAGCTTCCCATTTCTTTGATACAGCCCTTCTATCAGCTTCCCACCACCATCCGTTATCATAATACTAGTTTCGCCTGGTGTGTCACTTGTCTTTGACTTGCGCGCCAGGTTGTGCTAGGCGCACAGTTTTCTTTCACCTGCGCCTTGAAGTGGCGATATACCGATCGCGCCGCTGAAACCTTTCACTCACTTACATTTTACCAATACAACTCTCGGTCGCAGAGCTGTATATTGACATTGCATTTGCAATATCTCACTTCAACAAAGTTTCACACGCGTCGTGTGCCGGTGATGGCCTCATAGCCGGAATCGCACGCGATCACATACTCAGACCCACTCGTCTGCCTTTGACGCGCCGTCAACAAACCACAGCACATAAACAATATTCTGGGAGAAAATCAGAACAGAAATCAGGAACACGCGATAGCTATTGTTCGCGGCGCTGAGAGTCATCATGATTCTCCGCTTGCCGTCGAGCCTGCATTACCCGATCACCGTCACGTCGCTGCTGAAGCAGCCGGGTGAAACGGTTGAGAGGGATGAGGCTCTTTTCTGGTATTTTTATGAGACCACCGTTACTGAAGGTGATGGACTAGGCAACAAAGTCGATGTGTTGCGCAAGTTCCCGGCTCGGTTTGAGTCAACAGCTGATGGAGAGATCGTTCAATGGAAGATCAAGAAAGGCGATGTCATTGATGAACCGTAAGTGTGGACTGGACTTGTTAGGGCTATGCAAATTCGACTAACTTGTCGCCAGCGTTAATGTTGTCGAAATCGATGAGCCTTGCGCCCATGAAGTCCAGTTCGGAGGATTATGTGCGGAATGTGGGAAGGACATGACCGAGTACGTATATCACCCATTGTGTTCATTTTCTTTGTCTAACTGAATTGTTTGTCTGTAGATCTACCTATAATACCGAGATCACAGACTCCATGCGCGCCCCAATCTCCATGGCCCACGACAACACCACTCTTACTGTCAGTCAACGGGAAGCCACTCGAGTTGAAGAAGACGCAAAACGCCGGCTCCTTGCATCGAGACGCTTGACTTTAGTTGTGGATCTCGATCAAACCATTATTCACGCTACTGTTGATCCGACAGTGGGAGAATGGAGAGAAGACAAGGACAATCCAAACCATGAAGCTGTGAGGGATGTACGAACTTTCCAGTTGATCGATGATGGACCTGGAATGCGCGGATGTTGGTACTACATCAAGCTGCGACCAGGGCTGGAGGAGTTCCTCAAGAATGTGGCAGAGATATATGAGTTGCACATCTACACAATGGGTACTCGTGCCTATGCCCAACACATCGTTGATATCATCGATCCCACTCGCAATCTTTTTGGAGACCGAATTCTCAGTCGCGATGAAAGCGGAAGCTTGACAGTCAAAGATCTGCAGCGACTGTTTCCCGTTGACACCAAGATGGTGGTCATCATTGATGACCGTGGTGACATCTGGCGCTGGAGCCCAAATCTGATCAAGGTTTCTCCCTATGATTTCTTTGTCGGCATTGGTGATATCAACTCCAGCTTCTTGCCAAAGAAGGAAGAAATTGGAGCAAACAAACCTCAGATTGAACAAAAAGCACCAGAGAAGCCTAAAGAGCACCATGTCAACGGCCAAACCCAGACTGAAGAAGGGACAGAGGTGTCAGCATTAGAACAAATGGTGACTATGGGAGGTGGAGATAGCCCAAGACTACTACAAGAGCAAGCCGACGCACAAGAAGAGACTATCTTACATCAGGTGGAAGATCGTCCGTTGCTTCAAAAGCAGAAAGAATTGGATGCGGAAGATAACCCTGAAAGTAATGAGTCACCTAGTGTTGAGGAATCTCAAGAGTCCGCAAAACAGCGCCACCACCTACTTGAGGACCATGACCAAGAACTTTACCAACTGCAGGACCGCCTCGAGAAGGTTCACTTGCAATTCTACGACGAATATGACAAGAAGCGAAGTTCCGCACTAGGTGGCCGTGTGGCAGCATTGCGAGGGGAGAAGGTTCATTCAAAAGACCGAGATGTTGATCTTAAGCTGGTTCCCGACGTCAAGGATATCATGCCCCGAATCAAACAGCAGATTCTTGGAAATGTGGTCCTGGTGTTTTCGGGAGTTCTGCCTCTAGGAATAGATTTCCAAAATGCCGACATCTCTCTTTGGGCCAAGAGCTTTGGTGTGACTATCTCGTCAAGAATCAATGCACGCACGACGCATCTTGTGGCTGGGCGCAACCGTACAGCCAAGGTGAGGGAAGCCACGCGCTACCCCAGCATTAAGATCGTTACCACACAATGGCTTGTCGACTCACTGGTTATGTGGAGATCAATGGACGAAGAGCCATACCTTCTTCCAGTTCATCCAGAGGACCGATGTGAACCAATCTCCCCAAGCGAGCTTGAGCTCGAGACTTCCATGCTCTCATCCACAGATGAAGACATCACAGGATCACAGTGGACACAGGAAGACGACGCAGAGGATCTATTCAAATCGTCTGGCTTAGACGAGACCTCACCGATCGGCTACGGAGTTGACGAGCAAGCCGAAGTTCACGACGAACTCAAAGACTTCCTTGGCAGTGATGACGAAAGCGAAAGCGACAACGAGTCAGTTCTAGACGAACCATCATCAGGCACAAAGCGGAAGCGGGACGAAGGATCCGAAGGCGCGACCGACGACGACGAGTCCGGCGATGACGACGGAGACGATCCCGAAAAAGGTTCCCGGCTATCCCAGCGTATCAAGCGATCCTACGAGCGCAACACCAAGCTGCGAGAGATCACATCTGCACCTGCCCGCATCGACAATGCACCACTTCCCCCCTCGCAGCCTGCAGGCCCAGACGAAGAATCCGGGTCTGAAACAGTGGGGGGTAGTAGTCAAAAGGCTAGCCACGCCGAAGACCCTGATGACGAGGACGAGCTGGAACGGGAGATGCTGGCGGCGTTTGAGGGTGGGGAATATGATTCTCAAGTGGAGGATGATGCTACCGCTGAGAGCGGATAGAGGGTTCGATCATTTTTCGTGCCTTGCTCTTCTTTCCTACTGGTGGATCGGGGATCATGTCCCCCCTTTCTGCCAACGGTGTTTGCAGTTGCAATGCGCTTTTGGCATAGCGACGGCGTTTATTAGGGTCTATTACATCTGAAGGGGCTTGAACTACATGGTTGAGCCGGTGCGACTTTTCTTGTTTGTGGTTCTCGGAAATTTGTGTATCTTATTCGAGAATGACTGTTTGTTCATATGTATGATTTCAATGTTAGTCTTAAGCATCTTTTTAAAGCATCTTTTTGTTTCATTCCAGGGTATAGTGTAGAGGCGTATGAGAATAAAAAAAACATAGTTCGAAAGATGTTATAAAGGGAGAGGTTGCAATAGTAATATATTAAGTATAGACATGGAACTTTAGAAGACAGTCGAAGTCGTGAAGACATCAAAGAAGCAGATATAGTATCGCTCAATTCAAACGCCAATTAGATGCAAAAAAAGTAAGGTATCGACAGAAAGAAAATCCATAATGCAATCAATCATAAACATCCCGATTAACCTGCCAAGACATGATAATCATCCAAAGATAGAAGATGGTGTTGACGAGCTCCAGAGCAAAGGCAGTTTTCCAGCAATTACCTAGACAGAGCATTAGCAAGAGGGAGTGGATGGTCGTAGACAAAGGTCACTTACAAATAGTGCTCTGTGTCAACCACGCCAGAGTATTGATGTTGTTGCCCCATGACTTATTGTTTGTCACATAGATCTGGCAATTGTCATTCACATTCGCAACAACGCCGTAGAGTTGTAGGGATGTCTCGATTAGACCAGTCAACCATAGTACGAAGAGTATGAAGCTGCCAATGATGATGATCCCGGGTAATAGGAAATGGCGTGAGGCAAGGATGAGGACAATGAAGATAAATGCCACGCCCAGGGCACTGGTAACAGCCATATAGGGGAACAACCTGGCAATGGTTAGTATTGGGATCGGAATTGGAGACCACCATCAATTAGGCCCGCGGGGGAGACAGTGGAGCTTGGAGCGGAGACCGGAGACATACCATGGTGTTCCGAGGTGTAGTTGCGTCTGCACAACCATGAACCAAGAGAAAATACCCAGACAAGTTGCCGAGCACGACAAAACGACCATAATCCAGAGATTGAGCTGGAGCTCAGGCCAGTGGTACCGACGGCGCACTTCGCGCGAGCGATATTTTGCCATTGTGTTGTGTTGGTGTCTAGCCGATTGAGAGTATAGAGTCGCTGGAAGTGAAGGAACTCGCTGATTTTATACTGCGTTATTGCATACAGCCTGAAACAGGCTTTGGGTGCCCTATTATTTGTCTGGAGCGGGTCTTGGACACGATGCTGAGTTGTGCGCGAATAAGACCGTTCAACGATACGGTGAATGGTCGACTGATTGGGGGACAGCGCATTGGGCGAGGACTTGACGCCTCGGAAGTGAGTCGTGAAACGTATGTACAATGTGATTTAATGACAGACAGGGCGTAACGACAGGGGAAAAAATGAGAGAAAAGAGTGAAAGTGAAAGTGAACGGATGACGCTGATCGCGAAATTGAGGTGGCAGGGGATTTAAGTCTTGCGCTACGGGCTACGGGCTACTTAATGACTTGGAACTCCCGAAATTTATCTTCAGTGATTTTGAAAAGCTATTAGAACTCCTTAATTCGTTTCTATTTTAGCCAGGGCCATTCACTATCTATTATCCCTTACAGAAGAGTGTCGCCCAATGCGCTCCGCACAAGTGAGCACCCCGCGCGGATGGTCTCTGATGCACCCTTTTCCTCTAGACTGGGGTTGACCTCCACCAAGTCCATGGCAATCAGGTTTCCGGTCTCGTGCACTGCTTCACAGATGAAGTCTCCCTCACGCAGAGTCAGCCCACCGCGCACCGGGGTACCGGTGCTGGGTGCCCACTGGGGGTCCAGGGCATCAACATCGAATGACAAGTGAATAGGAGTATCGTTGCCAATGTGGGCGAGAGCCATTTCGACAACGCGACCGATACCATGACTAGAAATCCAAATACGTTAGCATAAGCCCAGTATCCTAGCGAGCGCGGGAAAAAAAGAAACATACCGGTCAATATCGTGCATGCTGAACGCCTTAATACCATTATCACGCAGGATCTTCTTCTCGCCACGGTCCACATCACGCAGACCAATGTAGACCAGCTTCTGTGTGTTCACAATGTGCTCATCCTTCATCCAGCCGAAGACATCCCGCTGCTCCTCCCGGGCCAGCCGGGTCAAGAAGGCCATAGGCATACCGTGGATATTTCCACTATCACTGCTCTCGGGGGTATTGATATCAGCGTGAGCATCGACCCAGATGACCGCCATCTCGCGACCCAGCCGTTCGCGAATCGCCTTCGCGGTACCGGAAACAGAGCCGATGGCGATCGAGTGATCACCACCGAGAGTGAGAACGAACTTGCCATCCTTGGCGTAATCGTGGACCTGGGAGCTAAGCTTCTCTGTGACGGCACTGACGGCGCGGGGCTTCTTCATGCCACGGAAATCGAGGTCTTCTTCGGGGATGTCCTTCTCGTAGTAGTGGACTGTGTTGTCGTGGTGTACTTCGTAGTCGAGGTCCTCGCTCAACTGAGACAGGAGTCCTGATTCAATGAGGGCCATAGGGGCTGCCTCAACACCCTTCTTGCACTGTGCATGGTGTCAGCGTCATGATCTGCAGACTGTGTAGCCTGTAGCTATCTTTCCTTACCTGTCCGCCATTGAAGCCAACTGCAACCACACCCAGTTGGTGAGGATGCGAGAGGAAACGTGAAGCAATAGTGGAGGGAGAAGTCATGGTGCGTAAGTTGAGGGGGAGTAGCTATGGAGTACTCTGTAGAGGTGATCTCGGAGATAAGATAAACAGAAGTGGGCTTCAAGCACAGGACAAAGAACGGGGGTATCTCTTTGAATGAAGAACAGAAGAAGTAGATCAGAGGGAAATCAAGTCTTTAAGTAATTGCCAATCTCCAGGAATTCCCCCGAGTTCAACCGGGTGGTCTTTTGTATTCTGGCGCGTTGCACGCGAAAGTCGCTAAAAACTGCTTTTAGCGATCAGAGCGACTCCGCCGGATCTCCATCTTTTCCCTTAAGTACAGGTCGAGGAGAGCTCCCCCTTTTAGGCCTGTTAGGGCCGTCCAGTCCCACATTAATCTGAGTCCGAGGGGAAGTGGGTTGTTTTCGTCTTGTCTTACTTTGCGTAGGGTAATTACTTGTAGGGTTATCATTTGTAGGGGCTGGTTGTGTAGTCCAAAAGGGTATCGTTGCTACTACCACATACTAGTACTAGTACACTCTGGCTATGTTGTACATGTTTCATCTACCCAATATTATACAGTTGACCCGAGGATGAGTTCCCGAAGGATTTCCTCGGCCTTGGGAGCCTCTACACGGCCCTTCTCACCGGTGCGCATCATCTGGCCCACGAACCAACCTAATTTCCCAAGTTGGTTCTTGCTGCGGATCTGCTCGATCATTTGCGGATTAAGCGCCATAACCGACTGCGCCAGTGCCACGTATTCGTCGCGAGAAAGGGGCCGTAGGAGAAGGTTCTCTTCCTCGAGAATTTGGGACACCGGTCGACGGTCACCATCGAAAATGGTGGCTAGGACCAGCTTGGCGGTCGGTCCAGTGATCCGCTTGCGCTGGAGCTGGTCGATCAGGTGTGCGAGGGATTGGGCGGGGACAATCTCTGCATCCCAGGCGCGGTCTGACTTGGTGAGCAGCCCGCCGAGCTCGTGCAGGACCCAGTTGCCTACTGACCGACCGAGGCCGGCGCGCGAGGTGGAATCCTGGTCTGCCTGTAGAGTGTGTAGAGTCTCTACCACATCGTGGTAATATTCAAGACGCGCCCCATCGTCCAATTCGATAAGTGGCTTGGCATCGTCAATGGACAGCCTGTGTTCGACACCAACGAGGAGGGTAATGAGGGAGTCTGGGGACGTCGGGAGGGTGCTGTTCAGGTTGGCGAGTAGATCCTGTCCGATAATTAAGGGCGGAATATCGGGGTCGGGCATGTAACGATAATCGACGTCGCCTTCTTTGCCACGAAGCCTGCGGGTTTCAGTGCTACCAATGGTCCATCCTCGCGTTTCTCCTTCAATGACACCACCGCTCTCCAGGACCGTGATCTGGCGGTTCTTCTCAGCAATGATAGCATCCTCTACGGCCTTGAAGCTGCTGAGGTTTTTGATTTCAGTCCGCTGTCCCAGTCCGCTGATCCCGTTGTAATGATGTTGCCCAGCTGCTGCGTCTCGGCGACGGACTGAAACGTTCACGTCAACACGGAGACCACCCAACTCCATACCCGTTGTCACCGCCCCACATGATTGTACGATAGACTGGAGCTTCCGAACGCAGGCTGCGGCGGTTGCTGGTGTGTGGATCTGAGGCATGGTGATAATCTCGATGAGGGGGTGCGACACACGGTTGAAATCCAGTAGCTGCGTCGTGGGCGGATATTCCTGAGATTTTGCCGTGTCCTGCTCGAGCTGGAGTTGTTTTATATCGATGCGAACTCGGTCCCCATCTTCTGGGGCAATTCCGTCGTAGTCGTATAGATCGACATATCCATTTCGGGCGAAGGGTTCTGAGGCTGGGTGAGCTTAGGTCTGGAAACCAAACAGATAATGCTAACCATAGTATTGGGTGATCTGATACCCCGACGGCTGATCTTGGTAGAAATAGTGTTTCCGGTCGAATCGACTGACGGGCTGGATTTCGCAGTTCAAGGCAATGGCTGCGCGCAGAGCGGGGAGAAGGGTTGCGATTTGGAATTCCTATTTGGTCAGCAATGTTTGTCCAGCCTTCTGCTCTGTGGCGTACCGGTTGGCTCCCCGGGAAGGCCAAGTCGAACAAGGCTACATTGGAATTGGGAATATCGCTTGTTGAAGTTGCAGCTCCTATTCACTGTGTGAGCGAGGTCTACACCTGGGATGGGGGGAGGGCATACGGGAGAACAATTTAGCCTCGGTATCCAGCTGTGCATGGATCTCCACGCCCACTGTCAGTTCCCATTCTTGCCGAGATGCTTCCTCGTCCTCCTTGCGTTGCTTCTTGTGTGATCGGAGTGATTTGGCTTCCTGCTTAAGTTGCTTGCGGAGGGGGACTCGCTCTTGAGTTGTCGCAGTGGAGAAGGCATGGCTAGCGAATTGAATGGCAGGATTCAGACGCCGCACGCTGATAGAGCGGAGCGTACCGCGACGAATACATGACCGGAGCATGAAGGTGATATGTTGTCGAGAGAAGGCGAGACGCGGAATCAAAAGGTATGTCTTGGCGATCTGCCGATCAGTGACATCGTGTTCCGGGAATGTCGGAAAATCTACATACTTCTACCGTACTCCTACCATAGTTCTATCATAGTTCTACCGTATTTTCATGAATACTGTAGCTAAGTGAGATTACATAGTTATTTCGAATGCCAAGGTATTCAGATATATCCTGCCCTTTTCCCATATCCTTCCTCACCTAGGCGCTCCGTGAAAGATAAGCAATTCTGAATAAAGCGCTCTAAATTCAACCTGACTCCTGTGGTCAATTCTCTAGTAGTAAACTTGCTTATGCGTTTGGACCGTATTGGAAATTGCGTGTTCGAATTCGAATTCGAGTTCGAGTGTGATACTTAAGTAGTGTTGTTTGACGATTGTGTGTCCAACATTTGAGGCCTAATCGTCTAGTGGTATGATGTGTGATTTAATGAAAACATTTATGATAAAGGAAGAAGAACTATATGGAGTTTTAAAAATGAATAAAATATAAAGAAGATAAAGGAAGCAAATCAAACTTCTCTAGGGCTCTTGACCAAAAATGATAGAGATATATAACCACTGAAAGAATAGAATTACAGAACAAGAATCTCTGGTTGCATGTAGAGGAAAGAAAGGAAGAAGCAGAAACAAAGGGAAGAGATGTAGGGATATAGAAGATAGTCACATCCTAGAGGGTACGTGACCTGACTACCAAAAAAAAAAAGGGCCTGGCCGTGAATCACACGGGTCACGCCGAGTACAGAACCATTCCTTTTAAGATGGGTTTTCCATCCTTTGGGATGGGGAGTTTGACTCCGAACGGCGTATTCTACCACTAGACCACCAGGCCTTAAATATCGTCAAACAACACTATCACACTCAAACTTGAATTCAAACACGCAATATGGTCCAAACGCATACCAAGGAAGTTTAGCTAGATAATTGACCACAGGAGTCAGGTTGACTTTAGAGCGCTTTGTTCGGAATTGCTTATCTTTCCCGGAGTGCCTAAAATATCAAGAGATTACGAGCTATAAGGGCCTAGCTAAATCGCATTCTAAATACCTGAGAGACCAGACTGGCCTTTCCATAAAAATCTACCACATCTACTACAAGTAACTCAAGCAGCTTCCAAGTAATACTTGAGTAAAATAACCATCTGTGAAGTGTAGTAACTACCTGGGTAAATTACACAGAATATTGCTTTGTTTCAGATAGTAGTTGTATATTCACAATTATATGCAATTGCCCAATTGTTCTAAAGTTTACATTTATAATCTATAATATATCATCTATCATCTACTCGTATTGTATACTCCGTACTCCCTGAGCCGTACATACAATCGAAATACCCGAGTTCCATCACATTCCGATGCAGACCGCCAGACGCAAGGAAGAGACCAGCGCATACAGCACTCTAATGCTACGTGTGTCCCGGACATTTTCGACCTGATTTGTTCTCCACTTTCGCCACTATTGATTTGTCTATCACTAAATTCTATACCAGTACTCGTAGACACCATCTTTGAGTCTTATTGACTTTTTTATTACCCTGTACTTCCACTATTCGTACGCTGTACATCATCCTTTGATCGACAGGGATACAAGGAACCTCCCTGTGGGATCACCGCTATTGGTCGATCTGAAGCCCCCAGCGCTTCGAATCTGCCTCAGATTTGTTCCGCGCTACGAATGACACTCCACTACTCAAAGTAGATGCTTGTGCAGCTGACGCACCTTTCGATGTTGGCTGACGTCCGTGTTCTATATTAGTATCGAGGGGCATTTCTTATCGTGAAGAATGCTTGCATTCGCGGGGAAATTAGCATATTGCGAAATTGGAGCTATCTCATCGTTCGCTTCATATACCCCCCCTGGATTCCATCCTACTGGGCCTCGACCTGAGACCTGGAATTCCTCGCCCTGGGCCATGCCTCTCGGCTGTGTCCCTAATTTGGAGTAGAACTATCGCGTCCTTGACTGCTCTTTTCTCTTTCATATTGAGAGCCACGTCGAAGGATGAACTAGACGACCAGAACCTTCACTATGCCGACTCAAACGAAAGTTTCAACGGGGAAAGATGGAAGAAAGAGAACCTACTCTTTGGTTTCCAACATATCAAATGCACAGGCTGGTCCTGTCGCAAGCACCAAGACGGCTGCGAATAGCTCGCCGTCGGCGAAACAGGCCCAAGGCGCGAAACAAGCCCTGAAGACGACGGCGGATCCCCAACCACAGAAGTCCGAGCCCACGAAACAGGCACCTAATGTGTTTGAATATCTCGATGAGGACGACGAATCATCTTCAGGCTCATCATCGGATTCCGAGGAATCTGAAGACGAAGAGCCGGAACCTCGCCCTAAGCAAGCGACCCCCAAAATCCAGTCTCCAACACCACAGCCAAAAACTGTGCCACACAGAGTACTGGCACCGGGTGGAAATACGCCCCCAAAACAGATGACACAGTCGCCGCCGGCCACCAAAAGCCCAAAGGAACCAGCAAAGCCACCAGCTCCGCCGGCGCCTGAAGTCCCATCCCAGGAAACTCAACTGGTTACTCGAAAGAGGCAAGCCGCAAGGAAGCCCAGCCCCATATCCATGGCCAGCATCTCTCCGTCTTCAGGCAAAGGACAAATGGAACTGTCCCGTCCGCCGCAGTATCACGGATCAAGAGACACGGGCACCATTCATAGACCACCCCTGCCCCCATCTCCCCCACGAAGTCCCGAAGAAGGTCTTCATTTCACAACACCAAGAAAAAGACGAGACTCTGCCCAAAGCACATCCGGCTACGGACTTGTCGCTTCACAACTCACCAAATCTGCATCCGAGGAAATGGACGGATTCTCCCCTTTGTACCGACGCTTCGAGAGCGTGAACCACCGCGTTCTCCTTCACCTGCAAGATGAAATCTCCCAAATGGAAGAAGATCTACACTCCCTCGACGATTACGAAGAAATGCATCGCATCAGCACGGCAGAACAAGAAGGAACCAAGCCCCTTCCTGCCTCGAGACGCAGAGACTCCCAGGCCCAGGCCTATTCTTCTCTCCACTACCGACGCATGGATCTAATGTCCGCTTTGGTTGCAAAGACCGAACAGTATAGTACGCACACCACACTGAATTCCCCGCGCATCATAACTGACAGCCATCTAGACAATGCACTCACTGCCTATAGCAAGGTTCTCCAGACGCTTCCCTCCGCACCAGAAAAGGACGTCGACAACTACCGCAGCTGGATGATCAAACAACACCCGATCGCCTCTGCCGAAGTCCGCTTTCTAAACCACAGAAAGGATCTTGTTTCCTTGACACCTCGGGTGGCTACTCCTGCGGCCGCGGCTCCCGTCTACGTCGCTATCATCATTGCATCTGGGGCTCTGCTATTGCCGCTCCTGGCATTCAACATGATCGCGGAATTCTCGGGTCGGCTTGTTGTTGTGACTGTTGTCGGCGGGGCTGCGGCTGCTATTGCGGCGAATTATTCGGCTGGCGTTAATAGTGCTGTTGAATCTAGGGACGGTTGGCGCTGCGCGACAATGTATGTTTCCCCCGGTGCTTTGTGCTATTCCCACTAACCCTCACTCAGATACTTTGGCTTCATGACCATGGCCGCTATGTTTATTCCTTGACTGTGATTGCTGTGGATCAGCTCGAACTGCCCAGCCCGTCGTGGCTGACGATTCTTCTTTGTTTTTCTTATGTCTTATGTGCTTTTACGACGAGCATGTCGCCCAGAGTCGCTCGCTGATAGAATTTCCTTTGCTACGAAGGGAGAACTGTAACTATAATTATGGCTTGGAAGGGTACAGAGTACTGTCCAGCAGGTGTCTGTGTTGAGTGAGATCAAGATAAGAAAGATGGTGTCCATGTTTAGTGCAAATTGACCTGTCAGATAGTTATTCGTGGGAACTATTTCCCTGTTTGTATTAATTAAGAGATGTTGGTTACGTGAACAAGTTCAAAGAGCCATTGCTGATTCGATTCATTTCATATTCACGGGAAACTCCACCTAGTGCATGAATATGCCATGTAGATTGGACCGTAAAGCAAAAAAGAGAACAACTGTCTAAGGGAATACCAGAGTGTATCGCAACAGCAACCTGGACCATCCAGGCCAACCTTTCTTGATAAATCATCCACGCCGTTCGCTTAGGTAGGTCGCATAGTGTAACACCGAGTTCGAAAATCATACAACACCAGAGCCAGAGAATAGGAAAAAAGGGTTCATTAACAACACAAATAAAAAGAAGCCGAAGGAGGCTGTTTGCAATGCTTAGAGTTTCAAGCGGAGGATATGAACAATAGCGTGCCAAACAGACCATAGTGGCTGTGGCAGAAGACGAGAGGGATCCTCATAAAAAGCATCGACTTTTGCTGTTTGAACACCGACTCCATGTACTGAAAATAATCGCATTAAAGAAGCAGAGGGTATCGGGCACTATGTCGAAAGAGGTGTGCCGTTCTGCTTGCTCCCAGGGGTAGCACTGCCTTCTTGAGAGGCACGTGCATCCAGGATTTGGGGTTGAGGTGTCGAGGGGCTGTGGCGAGCCTGGCGAGCGGCCAACTGTGCCTTGTTGCGGTCCATCAAGGCAGCTTGTTCCGCGGCGCTGCGAGAGTATGTGGCAGCAGCAGCAGAATTGACGTAGCCACCCTGTCCCGGGGTTTGCATCGAGTTCGGGGGTCGTTGAGCCGAGTTTGCAGTGGCGGTCGCGTAAGGAATGCGCCCTTGCGGTGTCGCATTGAACGTGCTCGGTTGCCCATGTCGTGGTGTGTAAGGCTGTGGGGTGGATTGAGCGGACGCTTGCCCTTGTTGTGCCCCAGGAAGATAGCCGTTGGACGGGGGACGTTGATATTGTTGGGCCTGGCCACCTTGACTGAACTGAGGATTACCTTGCGAGTACTGAGGTGTGTTTGTTGGACGTTGACTGGGTGTGCTTGGGGGACGACCCGCGCTATAAGCATGAGAATATGTGGTTGGCGCTGAAGGTTGGCGCGGGTGCTGTGGTGTGGCCTGGAAGCCTGGTTGAGATTGCGAAACCCGGCTGTTGGAGGCGAAAGCGCGTTGATTGTAGCCTGCATGAGCTCCAGGGTAGTTAGGTCGCGATGAAGAGGGGGTTGCCGTGCGGCCTGCGGCGTTGGCTGCAGCGATTAACGCGGCCGCTCGTTCTTGAGACAAAGTATAGTCATCCTTTTCCATAGTGCCATTGTAGTCGGGGGTATCAACCACAATCTTCTGACTGATGTTCAACTCGGCGAGCTGGTGCCCATCTAATTTAGCAACGGCGTAGGGGGGTAAATTGCCGATGATTGCCACGAGGCTTGATTTGAGTGTCTCATACACACTAAACTCTGCATCAGATGGTGTGTTTGGATCCGCAGACTCAAATGCAGAGGCTTCATCCGACTCGGAAGTTGATTGGACAGATGAAAGGGTGTTGGAAGGATGGTTGAGATTGCGTAAGCGTTGGTAGGAGCTGAGGGTGTTGAGCAAATCGGAAATTTCGCTAAGCATTTCCTTGGTGTCCTTGGATTCCATATCAACATCACCATTGGTATTGGCCTCTGCAGCGTTCATGGCAAAGTCATCGGCGTTGAATGATTCAACCATTTCATCTAAAATGCTCTCATCAAGTTCGCCAATGTTCCCAGGACGAGAAGTCTGTTCAGTTACTTCTTCGCCCTCCCCTTCGTATGGAATCGAGAGCAAAGTATTCACGCGGTCTGCTCCTCGTTGGCCCCACCAGACCGAATCCTTTGAGGTGAGCTGCACGATTGCACCAGAGCTATCATGAGAAGGCGCAAATGATGAAAACACACCGAGGAAAGCAGATGAGTCAGGGCCATTCCACAAAGCAGGGTCCCCATGCTTCTGAGCGATCTGCGGATCTTCCTGCTGTTTCTCAACGCGATCCCAGTATGCTGGTGACGAGGTTACTCCACCATACTGAAGCCATTGCGTAGACGGAAGGGGTGCGAGGCAATAATTGCTACGCTCTCCCAAGAATGTTCGAACGTCGAAGGTAGCGTCGAATCGGTCCACCCATGTTGATGCGTTCCCCCGGTGTGAACGTTTGCGAGGGGGTTCCAACTTGGGCAGTGTTTCACGTGGGGCGAACACTTCTCCAAATGTTCGCTTAGGGTGTTTGGGCCCGGCAGCGAGGTTGAAAGGCACGATTTTGGTGGTCGTGATCCCGTTGGGCAAGCCTGCCTCGGGCAGCTCCGTCTGGACTTCGACGAATTTCTCAGGGCCCGAATCGGATTGCAATGGTACTTTGACCGACTTTTGCAGACTCGAAAATAGGTGCTTGGGATTCGCAGAGTTCCCGTAGAGTGTCAGGGCGCACTTGTCCTCTCGAGTGCAGGCATTGATTGCGTGAAGCTCCGACGAAGAATCGGTGTCGTCCTCCGAGACCTCCGTTTTGACTTCGGGTTGGTTGACGAAAGTCTGCACGATCAGACTGTTCATGTGCTTTTTGAAAGCTGCAATCAGATTGACCACCTCATTCAAGGGTGCCCCGTCGGCTTTTGTGCCATTGGCTTGGATTTGATTACGTTCGATCACGGCAGCTGAGGCCCGTTCGATGTCGGAAAGGAATTCCTGCAGGGTATTGTATTTGTCCGCAGCCACACATGTTTGAATGGTGGAAGAATCCTGATCACCGGAAACCTTTGCGCGCTTCGCTCGAGGCTTGGTGGTTGTGTTCGGGAAAGGGCAAGAGAGGAGCTGCAGCTCAGAGTCATGTCTAAAAAGTTAGAAAGTTAGCGAAAAGAAAAGATAACCACTTGCACTCATCAAGCTTACTTGAGTAAAAGTTCAACCAGATTGCGCAGAGTTTCGTGGAGGTTTACTCGATCGCGCGACGCGGCGTCGTTGGACTTTTCATCTTGGGTGGAGCGCTTTCGCTTCCCAGGGCCTGCGATTGTGTCCTGATAAGACTCGTCGTGTGTAGACATCGGGGTGGTGTCTCCACCTTCGTCGGCGCTCATGTTTGCGGTGTTGCGCCTGGTCGAAAGTTGACGCTACTTTGACGATGACCCCTCGAATTCAATTGTATGGAGCCCAGAAGTATGAGAGACCGAAGCGAAGACCGGTAGGATCTAAAATTGACACTGATTTTTCCCAGTAAAGAGAATGTCGAGGGGTGTGTTTGGCTTCACAGAAAATCGGTCCCAGTTGGTCTGGCCCAAATCAATCCTGATGGGATCGCGAGGCGGAATAGGGTAAGGTAAAACCACCCCAACACCACAATAGCAGCAGTGAATGGAGTTTATCAATTAAAGGAATGAGCTCAATAGAGTCACGACAATGAACAATGGGGATCAATAGCACTGACTGTATTCAAGGGAAAACATCCATGTCTTGACGCCCTGGGCAGAATGCGCGCCATCCCGAAAAGCGCAACCCGTGACGATCCGTCACGTGACTCTATTTTCTGCCGGCTGCGACTCCATTTGTTTTTTCTGTCTTTGGCATCGCCTTCTGCAGTCTTTACTTGAGCTTATTGAATGGGTCTGTAGCGTCCAGGCACTATTACCCATGACTACGTTCATGGATGTCATCAGTCCTCAATCATGCCCGAAGCCTTTCGGGAACACCACGGCGGAGAGCATGTCTGCTCATTAACAGTCGTTTAGATAAGGTACCTTCGCAATGCCTTCAACTTGATTGGATCTCAAGCTAAATGTTCGTTCTTGCAGCAAAACCAATGTGGGGTTAAGCCTGCAGTATCTCCGCGCAATTGGCTCCCATCTGGCTTAAGGTCAGGCAGTCTTCGCTTCTTTCAATCCGCCTCGCTCTTCAACGTACCCGCTTCGCTTCCAATCGACATTCAACCGCCCCAAGAAAATAATAACGACCAGCGAACTCCAGCCGTCGACCCACATGCAATTGTATCTCTGACCTCGAAGCTACCTTCTGAAAACGAGAAGGCAAAGCTCGTTACTGCCAGCGCCAATGCCAGAATCAAACCGAAACCCGCTGAATACCTATCCAAAGCCCTACGAAATAGTGGACATGCACTTGGGCATGAAGATAAATTGACAGAAATTGATCGCCCTTGTCCTCGACATGTCACCAATCGAGTCAAGCCAAGAACAATTGGTCGGCCAAAAAAGCCATCATTGGCCGTCATACTCGGGGAATATATTCGCGAGGTCGATCCTGTGGTCTCGCAGCTCTCTGCGCATGCAGGGGAAGACTTGGATACTGCTCTCAAATGTGTCTTCAGGGACACAAACAATGAATATCTAACCTCACGCGGTTACAGCCCCACCGACGTCACTTCGTGGGCTTGGATTTTGACAAGTCGGAATCCACACGAAGCAGCAGTAAGGTTATTCATGTTGGAAGCCGACACGACCAAGCCCGGTGCAAAAGGCCCGACTATGCCTCCATTTATTCTCCTCCATCTTCTGCGACAACAGAGCATTGATGCCCACACTTTCCGTTTGCTTCTGATACATTCTTTGCATCTGATGAGTGGTCAACCGCTTCCTCCTCACGACTATCTTGCCGAGGCTGTGGAAAGCAATGTCAATCTGCCTTCAACTAATTCCCACCCTAGCATAGATTCTGGGACTTGCATGATTTTGGTTACGCGCTTGATCCGTCATGCTTTACGTGTGTGGCCACAGGCCCTTCTCACGATTTCGCGTGCATTCGCTCAATATCTCACCACTCCCAGGGAGAATGCGGCTCAAAGGACGACAATGCAACAGCGACACGATGAGCGCGTTAAAACCGACAAATTTAACAAGTGCTTATGGCTGCTTTCTCTTCCAGCGAAGGTCGCGCCGTACCGCTCCACCCCTATCCAACAACAAGCTCAGTTCGAGCTTCTTAGAGCTATGGCTACCTACAAACCTGTTCTTCCCGTCACGCGGCAAGGCTATCGTGCGATTGTTGCAGTTCAACTAGCCCACAAGAAAACATCCGAGGAGCGGCAATCTGCGGAGTTGAAAGCCCCATCATGGCCCCCTTGGAAAGAAGAGAAACTTGGAATTGACTCTTTACGTGGCAATGATGGAATGTACAGCCGTGCTATGCAGGTCCTTTCTCAGATGGCAGATGCTGGCTACTCCCGTCGTCTTTGGGAGGATATTTCTTCTATTCTGGCAGGCTGGGACACGGACCATAGCCCGACAGTCCAGACAAGAGCCATGATGCGATGTCCACAGGCCTTACCGGATACTCATACATCCAAGCGAAACCACCATGAAATTTGGGTTGCGCGGATTCGTTCTACGAGGACTATCCGTGAAGCCTGGGCCTGCTTCCTCTCCTACGAGGACCATGGCCTCCCCCCTAAGAAAGCAATCTTTGCAGCAATGGCCGAAAAACTGATATACCGGAGAATTGCAATCGAGCACAGGATTGATTCCACCAGCCCAGCTCTTCCTGGTGATGGCCGCGAGGTTCACGCTGAACCGGCCTCAGCGCGTGATATCATTTATGTCTCCAAGGAGCCACCAACTCTGGATGAGTTTCTTGATCAGATGCTTGCACAGGGGTTCCGGCCTTCGGGTCGATTATTGGGCTTGCTTCTTCAGTCAGCATCCTCTGTGCATGCAGGGCTACAGTACCTTCTCTACAGTGACCTGACCAGTGCTCAAATTGCGACGCTGACAGTTGTGCAAGCTGAGGCACAAGACTATCGCTCAATCGATCTGCCATCTTTTCAAGCAGTGCCTGATCTGGTGTTTGCGTCATTCATAAAGTTACTTTGTGCCCATTCCAACACTGGCTCCTCATCAGCCCAACATGGAAACATACCCACAGCGGCCCGCTTTCCCATTCTTATGGATGGTGGGTATTCAAGGGAAGCAAAGGTTGATCTCGTGTCATATGCCGAAAATCATCCAGGCAATTATCGCTATCCGCGAACATTGTGGCATGCAGTTCAACTGACAAGAATGAGACGCAGCCCCTATCCACCGGCTTGGAAGCACATCTTGTCTTTCATGGCCCGTGGACGCTTCGGTGGCTCTTACGGACCAAGAGGTCGAAGCCTGCAGCGTATTCTCGCCTGGCACCAGAGTCTCAAGCTCGTGAACTGGATGCAGGAACGTGACATTGAACTCGGTGAAGATGGCTTTCAAACCCTTTGTGTGGCATTCACCAAAGCCATTGATGCTGGGCTCAGGCACCCGGGCACTGCGGAACAAAGTTTCCTTCTAATTAACAAGGCCCGTCTTCGTCGTCTTCAGCCTACAGAGGAAGGCGACAATGATTTCGATGCCTTCCTGCAGCACGCCCTCGAAGTGTTGAAGGGCCAGTTCGACTATCTTGTTCTCCCGACTTCCAAAACCTCGGAGCAGGCGGAGCGCAGTATCTTCGCTGCAGCTCATGAGCCCAACACACAACCCACCGTCCCATCGATGCTCCATACGCCATCGCCTGCTACTCTCCATGCATTTGTTCGAGCATTGGGCTTTGTAGGGGATGACGATGGGCTGTTGCATTTATTGCAATGGATGAGCCAGTCAGCCGATCTGCTTCGCGAAGCTGCGGATGAACACATCAATGGAGGCAAGATGATGCACCGGACCCTTGTGGCGATCAGGGTGTTCTTGGAGCGACGACAAGAACAGACCGTCGACAGTCGGGTACCGTCGGACGTGGTGCAGGAGGCATACGACCTTGTCAGGCGGACAGGCTGGGACTGGCCAAGTGATGCAGAGGTGGAGGAATATTGTCGATGATCAGTGTATATTATATTGTATTTCTAGAGGACCTTTGTAAATGTGTATGATACCCCAAGTTTACCCAGATTCCTCCGGCTGCTCGCATCAAGGACCTTCGGCAATCGTCGGCTTGCTTGGAGCTTTCCCCACACCCGAGCCCCCCGAGAACTTTTCTGCTTAATCCTGCCCTTTCGCCTAGAACACTATTTCGGTCGAATCAACACCATCGATCATTCATATAAAGCGATGGCATCAATCATGTCATCGCGCCTTGTGCGCGTCTCTGCACCCCTTGCCCATCTCCGCGCAACCGCGGTGCCTGCCCGGGTCTTCATCTCGAGATACAGCACCGACACCCAGCAAGACGTCATCAAAACACAACAGATCCCAGCCCCGGGTTCAGGACATGTGCGCGTGCTCCAGCTGAACCGGCCTCAGGCCCGCAACGCGATCTCAAGCCAACTGCTTGACTCACTATCGAAGCACGTTGACGCCATCGCCGCCGAAGGCGGCAATGGCCCAACTCGTGCTCTGGTGATCGCCAGTAATTCCGATGCGGCATTCTGTGCCGGTGCAGATTTGAAGGAACGCGCGGGCATGTCGCAGGCCGAGTAAGATCCGCACCACCTCCCGGGCTTAACCGTCATGGAACTAAACAAACTACAGAACCGAAGATTTCCTCCTCAAGCTGCGCTCCACTTTCAAAGACATCGCCTCTCTTCAGATCCCTACTATCTCCTCCGTCTCCTCCATGGCTTTGGGCGGTGGTCTCGAGCTCGCACTCTGCACCCATCTCCGCGTTTTCGCCTCGTCCAGCGTCGTTGCCCTCCCCGAGACCCGCCTCGCCATCATTCCCGGTGCAGGTGGCACCTACCGACTACCTTCCGTGGTTGGTGTGAACCGCGCCCGGGACATGATTCTGACTGGTCGTCGGGTGACGGGCCCTGAGTCTTACTTCATTGGTCTTTGTGACAGACTGGTCGAAGTGCTACCCGAAGAGGAGGGCCAGGAGGGAGTTGCCCGCGAAAGAACCTTGCGCGAGAGTATCAAGCTGGCTCTGGATATCTGCGAGGGTGGTCCCATTGCTATCAAGATGGCGCTGCAAGCCGTTGATGCCCACACCCTGGGCGAGCGGGCGGAAAATGCGGCTTATGAGGGTGTTGTCGAGACAGACGATCGGTACGAGGCGCTGCGCGCCTTTGTCGAAAAGCGGAAGCCTGCGTTCCGCGGTAGGTAATTACACCTTGGACGAAAATGTTCATAATATGAAAGATCTTTATATGTACTTTTATCTAAGAGAACAAAATTGCCCGATAAAAGCAGCGAGAAACAGATCATATAACGAACTCCAGTACATATATTGAAAGTACATGTCACCCCAGAGTTATGAAGGCATATATCATGTGGACTGAGCTGATGATCCGCAAATCAAGTTGGGGTGCATGATTCCAGCATATGGCCAAGCTTCAGATTACTGAAGCCTGCATACCTACGAGTCAGTTTTTTTCTATTCCCGTATGCATGTAGTCATAACCGTTCCTAAAAATGTGGCCTCGGTAGTCATCAGAGATCTATACGTCGGATCTTGACATCCTAATTTGGAATCTTGGTGTCCCCCGGTAACAGTATGTTCCGGACCGCGAAGACTACTGTCTGGAGCTGGGATATTATTTACAGTAAGTTTCCCGAGAGAGAGTGACTCACATCCTAACCCTGGAAGGTAGAAACCAGACACAAAGATCTGAGTGGCTTGCGGTACCTGGGCTGTGTTAACGAAGCTGCCCAGGTGTAGCCTCAAAAGGCTAGCACGAACGTCGCAGGGCGCAGAATCCCCAACTTGCACACGGCCCGTCGCCGGAATGCTCTGCCGATGCAGAAACCCCCCCATGGATCTACGTTGCAGACCAAAATAGTCCGGGTGACTTGGGTCAGGGGAACAGGGCTCTCGCCCCCAGAGTCACCCGGAGTCACCTGGGTCATGTCTACTATAAGAACCCACAACCTCGTTGCATATGGCAGCTACGCATTTTCTTCCTCTATATACTGGCCCACAGAACGATGGATTAGTGTCCTGATACTGTCTTCTACTCACGATGAACGGTCCCCGCCCTCCCATCAAGCAGTTTGGCTTGACGCAGATCTATACTCCGCGTGACGACCCGACGATCGATATCGTCTTCGTGCATGGCCTGAATGGCCACCCTCAGAACTCTTGGACGAGCAAAGTCACTGGTTGCTTTTGGCCAGTCGATCTCCTACCTGATATCCTCGCCGCACAGCGCCCGCGCATCCTTACCTACGGCTACAATGCAAATGTTACTGCCTTCACCGATGGAGTGTCTAGAGACACAGTTGTGAGTCATGCTGAGACGCTTGCCTCAAGCCTCGCTGCCAATCGAAATGTAAGTATGTCACTTTCTCATATAGTCCATAATGTCTAACGGCCTTTACAGTTGCGAAATGCCACCAACCGTCCGATTGTCTTCATCTGTCACTCACTGGGAGGTCTGGTCGTAAAAAGGGCCCTGATCTACTCCCGTAGTCTCTCAAATGAGAAGACCGAGCATCTGCGCTCGGTCTATGTCTCTACCTTCGGCATTCTCTTCCTTGGAACACCCCATAATGGATCCGACATCGCGAAATGGGGTCTACTTCTGAACAACATATGCAACGCCGTCCTCCCAAAAAAATTCCTGGAGACATCTCCACAGTTGGTCAAGACGCTGCGAGCTAATAATGAGACCCTGCAGCATATCAACAGCTTGTTTGTCGACATCATGGGCCGCTTCCACATCTACTTCTTCCACGAGACTCGATCCACCGACGTACGAGGCACCCGGGAAGTGATCGTTGACGAGCACTCGGCGGCGCCATATATGGATGGCGTTGAACGAATGGGAATCGAGGCCGATCACAGCCACATGTGTAAATTCGATGACGATAATGCCGCAGGCTACGAAGCCGTCGCAGAAGCAATCCTTCGCTATTCGCGCCAGGCTCCGACTGTGATTTCGGCTCGCTGGATAGAAGAGAGGAACGTCCGCACTCAGGAGAAGAAAGCAAAGGCAAGGGAAATATATGATGGTGAGTGGAAATCTATTTACCCCCAAAGCCATCTGAAACTGACTGTTTCAGCTGGAACAGAGGAACCGATCAACCAAAGCATGCCCGATTTGAACAGAGTTGGTAGGGCTACACACTTCCTCCCCGGACCGGAAGCGTCTGTCACTTTGAGGGACTATGAGATTGAGGAGCCTCCCGTTGAAGGATCTTTCCGGCGTTGATTTGCTTTTTTGCTTTGCTTTCGTTGATTCCGGTATTTCCATTCTGGCATCTCTCAAACTCTTTGCTATGGTTGCTACTGAGAAGAGGTTGTCCATCATTCTTGTCGGAATCTACTTCATACTTTGCTACACTATCGTCCATTTTATCATGTTTCTCCTGCTTCCTGTACTTAATATAATTGTTTCATCTCTGAGGGGCTCCCATCTCATGTCTCTAAATAACTGACATTGGCTTGAATACCGAGACCTCCTGTCTTCTTCCAAAGTCACACTCGCTGACTTCTTCCCAATAGGCCAATCCGTACCAACTCTACCACGCGCCCCTGCATCAGAGGGCCGCAACTCCCCAGTCTCAGAGCTAGGGAACAGTGGTCTTCTTCAACTTTCCCATTACTCCAATAATGGAAATGTACCTCCTTTCTTTGTGGCACCACCAGGCTTCCATCCGAACGCTACATTCTTTGGCATGCAAAAAGAACTCGAAATATTGCATAACCGACTTTTTAGGACCTCAGCGCGCGCAAAGCGGACCATGGCAATCTTGATATCTGGTGTTCCTGGATCTGGAAAAACACACCTTGCAAGACAGTATGTCTTTACTCAGCGTGACTGCTACCCAGGAGGCATATTCTGGATTGACTCCAAGTCTCGCGAAGCTTCATATAAATGCTTTTGGGAGATCGCGCAAGCAGCGTCTCTAATCGAGAAAAGAGAATCCACAGATGTGGACCTGAACCCGGCCCAGACATACGTGAATGAAGTTCGCAACTGGCTTCAAAATCGTCAAGACTGGCTCCTGGTTTTCGACGGCATCACATTCAGCGATGAGAATGAAATCAACCTTTTCAGGAACTTTTTGCCCTGGAACAGGAACTGCAGCATCATTTATACATCGGTGGACACGACACTGCGGAAAAAGCAAAGGCTATACGAGCCGTACTGCTTGATGATCTCCCGGTTGCATGTCGAGGATGCTTGCAAGCTTCTGTTCAAGGATCTTGGAATCACTCGCCCTACACCCGAGCAGGTAGTCAAAGCGACTCGGATAGTCGAGTACTACGAATGCTTGCCTTTGGCAATCCATGCAATTGGCCATCGTTTGAACGCAACCGGCAAACCGATCGAAAAATATCATGTCAAATCACAAGTGACTGACAAAAAGCTTGCAGAGCCATTTTTGAGCATCATGAATGACCTTTTCCGACTGAAGCAAGAACAGGCACTCCGTCTGATCAATCTTCTTTCTTTCCTTGGTCACCAGGTGCCAGTGGGTCTTCTGGATCTGGGAAGAAGCGTCATGACAGAAGAAAATCTAGAGATTCAGACCAGTGCCCGGACAGGAGATGTTCCTGATTTGGATACCACACTCGGAACTCTCATCCACTATGGTTTGATTGAGCGAACTTCGGATGCCGACGTTCTTCAGCAAAGATCTTCCATGCATAGTTCTGATTCGGACGCCAAGAACATTCCAGATCTCTCGGATTCCTTGACGGAGAGCAGCCAAGAAGAGTTCTTCTCTAACTATCGACACAATTCAGCGGTCGATGTTATCAAGATCCACAGCGTGGTGCAAGGTTTCTGTCGCGATGAGTTGCGAATCCAAGACGAAGAACTCAAAGGTGTCCTTAGAAAGGGCGAGGATGGTTACTTCGACATGTGGCTGATGACGGCCACCAGGTTTCTTCTCAAGTCATACGGAATAGCCGTCGAAAGAATGGACACTTACCCTGACTGTGGCCTGGTTCGGGACTACCGAGAATATGAAACTCATGCTTCCAGACTGGCTGAGCTCTACCCAAAGAAAGCTTTGATGGGCTTCCATTCCCCAAGACTTAAGAAGACACGAGAGCAACTGCGACAACTGATGAAGAAGATAAGCAAGCGGATCCAGGACATCTCTCCGAGCTCCTCACAAGACTTAATCCAGCATCAGAAGTCGGTCTTCGACCGGTCGAGCAGCTCGTCTTCTTCGTATCGGGAGTCATCTGCTGGGGGAGGTTTGTCCCGCAGGTCTACATTCAACTTCAGTGATATGGGGACACCGCGGGCGGAGTCTCCTGAGCAGATTATTGTGCGCCCTCGTTTCAAATTGGAGCTTTTCCCGCCACATATATACCGCCAGACCGGATATGAGTCGGAGGAGGGATACGAGACAGACGGAGAGGCCAAGGGAGGGCTGCAAATCTCCCCGGCTTTGTCACAGGCCAGCCAGACTACAGAAAAGCCCAAGATGTCGCCTCCGTCAACAAATCCACCAGGACTTTCTGCCAAATGGGGCTGGCACAAGGCCAACCGAGCCCAAGAGCAAAGACGTCCTAGCCAGGGAAATTCAAAGAAGAGGGCAAATAGCCCCATCAAAGTCAGCCATCGATTTAGAGATACCAAGGCCGACACTCCGCTGGCCGAGGTCTCTTCGGTTCAAGGACTTGGCTCATCGAGTCGTACGCCATTTTCAGACACAAGGAGATTCTCAACCTCTGCCTCAGAAGCAGAAAAAGCATTAGCGGCCGTTCGTCGATCTAGTAGATCACAAGCTCCCGAACCCCAGCTACCTACGATTACTCCACCAATGAACCACGAGATCATGCCGGGATTGCCCAGGCTTGAAAATGTGGCTGCTCGGCGCATATCAGAGGTGGAGGCCACAGTCAAGCGCCCATCATCAGTTCCAGTATCTCGAGCAATGGATCATTCCAGTGGGCTACCAATGAAGTCTTCCATTGAATCCCTCGATGGCAGAGCAGGCTACGCCTTTGCGTCACCATTATCCCACGAATGGACAACCCGTGAACTGATGGAGCCAATATCCCGACTCACTTACAGCGAGTCTGGAATCGAGGGATTCAACAACGCAATAAACGATGCGGACTTCCATACAGCACCTGGATCTCGTGCCCCTTCTCGGCGTGCCTCGATCGCACAGCTTGAGCCTCCGCGAAGCCTATCTGCAAGCGTGCCAACTCTCATTCCATTCCCGCCTCCCCTACCATACGATGAGGATATTTCCATCACCCGCCCAAGGCGCAGGAGATCGTCACAACTAGCATCGGGCTCTGCCACTCCCTCCCATCCATCTGTGATAATGCCTGGCGCACTGCCACTTCCATCAGACACGCACCTACCGGTGGGATCTGCCCCCGAGCGTCCCATGCCCGGGTCCATGACCCGTGGATCTTCTGCATTCTCTCATCAATCGTGGGCCACAGAGCCTGTGCGGTATCCCCCACGGTTTTCACCGCTCCCCAGCTTCACGCAGCATCCAGACTCGGTACCCGGCGGACTATTAAATGCAGAGCAGCAACAGCAAATACTCGCAGGCGGTAGTTGGACAAGTGATCTTTCCATGAGCAGTGCTCTCCAGTCAGAGCCTGTCTACCCGAACCCACCACAGCATAGGCGCTTGAGCTCGATGGACGAGCGAGTCAAATTCATGGATCCAGATTGGGATACGGAGTTTGAAACCTCGCAAATTTTGCATTTCGGTGCACATCGGGTTGACGTTCGAGACCCGCACTTGAGATTGCATGAGTCTACTCGACTCCAAGCGTCCCATCCTGGTCCCCAGTACCAGTTGTACCACCCCAATCTGTCTGGTCCTTTGATCCAGCATGATGGCCATATTTATGCGCCTGCACACCCGGTGGAAGCATACGGAGCCCGTCCGCGGAGCGGAAGCTCACCTACTCGTCCGAATTATGCTGGGCTGGGTGTGCGATTCTGATATATGTAATTTTGATTATGTTGCTAACATTGTGGTTTTTGCATTAGTCTTTTGTTACAGCTTTGCATTGAAATACACGAGCTTGCTTTTGCATTTCTCGGTTTACAACCTGGTGTTTTTGCTTTTGGGTTTGAATTTGCAACTGACTTTCTTCGTTTCGAAAGCCTTGATACCCGGCATTGTGAGGTGGCATTGTTATTTGACTTTAAATAGCTCTTGTGATAGGAAGCCCATCCAAAAAAGGCGTTAATTAAAAGAGCATGATTCATGAAAAAGAACCTTTCTTCCCGGGAGACGACTCGGTGATTGAGAAGTCTCCCTTCTCAGCAAGGCCCGGTGTCACATCTATAGCATCAATGGACAAACCGTGATTTGCGACCAAATCATTATCTTCCACGTAGTCCTTAGGCTCCATCCAACCAGATCCCTTGTGCATATCAGGTGGATTGGAAGCCAAACAGCTCAGATAGTAGACTACAAACCCAATGATCAAACCAGTAGGGTAAGCAATGTAATAGAATCGCTCAATTCCCTTGGGTGCTTTGACACCCATTTGATGCAGGAACCCATAAAAGTTTGGCGCGATGGCGACAACGTATGCAATGAAGGCGCGGGAGTTGAAGCCGCCGAGGAACCGATAGGGAGTTGGATTTGAAACGTACAGTGCTGGGACATTGAGCAGGCCACGGCGGATGAGGTAGTAGTCACAGATGAGAATACCAGTGATTGCGGATAAGAAGATCTGGTAAGAGGAGAGGAAAGTGATGAATATGGATGCCGATGACAGCAAATACCATGGGCAGATGGCGTATGAGAAAACTAATCGCAGAGATGGTTAGCTTGGACTTGGTGTGTTGAGCTGGTCAGCTTCTTCGTACCTGCGCAGATGAAAAACCCTCGTTTGATAGAAATGTATTTTGGCACCAGGGCTGCAATGTCATTTCCAGCTCTGTGAGGAATTAGCTATGAATCTTTGCATCCTGGGAATGAAGTCTTACGGAATGGAGTTTTCGAAAATGGCCGAGAAGACTGTCGAATAGACAAATGCCAAGGCAATGAAGGCACAGGCAGCTCGGTTGCCGGAAGTGTATCGCTCTCCTTCCATCAATTTGTCCAGGAAGACCAGCGGGCTCCATATGAGCTGAGGTGTGTTAGCACGGTAAAATAGAACAAGAAGGTTAGACGAACCTCTCCGAAGATGGCTTTGCTGGCAGATGCGATGAGATTCCCCAAGATAGCAATGAGGAAGTTGGATAACGGAAAGCCGATAATTTGACCGATGAGAACATCATTTGGCTTCCTCGCATAACGCTGAAGATCGGCGGCATTTGAAATAAAAGTTCCACAACTGGCAAGTCCTAAGAATAGGAATTTAAAGATGAGGTAGCTCTTCTCGGTGCCCTGGATGGCTGAAGGAGCATTGAGTGATTTCAAAGAGCCTCCAGCAAGGGAAACTGTCCATCCAACCATAGCGAAAGCTGCAGCAAAGTAGACTGCAACTTTGGCATACACCAACGACTTCATCTTTGGGACTGGTACAACCAGGAATGCGCAATTGATGAGCCTAGACGGGCGTGTTAGCGATGTTCATACACCCAGATCACCGGTGACTATACCAATAGACAAAAAAGCACATCATCTGCGCTGATGTGAGGGCCGACTTCGATCCCATTTTATCGGGGATATTTTCAATCGAGGGGAATATGGCATGTAGAAAAACACTGGATTTGAAGGTTAATCGTGTTCGTGGAAATATTCAAAATCAATGGGAAGAAGAAGAAAGAAAGAAAAAGAAGACGAATAAATAACTTACTACAGGCACTGGGCACCTTGGACCGAATTGACCCCATTCCATACAATCGACATCACCGCGCGGTTGAACGTAGGCCACAAGGCCCCCCAAGTCCCAAAGCTGGAGCGGCAAAGCACCGGGAACGGAACGCGATACATCGCCCCGCCCCGCCCGTTGAGGGCCATCAAGCACCCGGCCAAGATCTGCCCCCCAAAGGAACACCCAATTGCTTCCCACATGGTGAGCCCCATGGCCATACCCGTGGAGGCTGTATATAAGTTACTGACATTTGCGGTTGCCGAGAACCAAAACATTATATAGGTCAGTTGCGTCCATGTGCGATCCTTCAGTGAGGTCGGTCGGATGGAATCATTGTCGAGCATGTTCACGGGGCGAGCGACACCATCTTGATCGGCTCGTCTTACAATCAGCAGCTCGTGGAGCCGGGATAATTTAGACATTATTGATTTGAAGTTCGGAAAGAGTTACTTCATGGATGTCAATTGAGTTGAGATTGAGAGAGAAGCAAGGGGGGAACCGGTGGTGTTCTTAGGGCTATTTGTTCTGACAAGACTCTGATAAGAGTGAGGGAAGGCGATTGTAAGCTGACCATTAACAGAGAATGAAGCACCCATGACTCTCGAAGGCAAATGAGATCTCCAATTGAAAGTCTCCAATGTAACACTCCGCTTATCACCCATCACCAGCCACATTTAAAGCCAAGAAAGTGAGCTGCAAGTGATATGCATGTGCCCGACGGTTAGCGGCGGAATCCATATCACCTAATCGTGCAATCGAATGGGTTTATTGCTTCATCGGAAAAAAAAGAAAAGAGAAAATTGTTCTCTTCACATTCTCACGCATCTCATTATGGCGACCCTCGAATATACCCAAGTGGAATTGCTCACTCTCAATGGCCCCGAGTTTCGGCGGGTGTCAACTGCACCCCCGCGCCCGCCCACTGACAACGAGATCCCTGTCATTGACTTATCGCTCATCGATGGAACACTCGACGAGAGAAAAGCGATTGCCTCTAAAATTAGGGCAGCCGCAGAGAACACTGGGTTTTTCTATATCGAGAACCATGGAATTCCAGAAGAGCTAATCCAAAGTGCTTTGTCTCAGGCCCAGGCCTTTTTCGGCCAGCCCGACGAACTGAAAGAACAAGCCTCGAGTAAAAAATCGAAGCTCTCGGATGGATGGCATGGACTTGGAACGACTCAAATTAATAGGTCCGAAACACTAGGTAAATAACATTGATGTCTTGACGCGTCTCATGCCAGCCTTAAGATGTTCATGGCTGACAATTGGCCAGACCGCAAAGAGACATTTTCCATCCGTTACAATCCCATCAATGACCCGACAATCGCTGAGCCTGAAAAGCTTCTTGCGGATGGGAAATTCTCCGATGGCGACAATGTCGACTTCCCGTGGAGTGGAACAAACCATCTCCCTGGCTTCCGCGACACAACTGTCGAATTTTATCAGCAGCGACTCACGCTCGCACGTAAGATGATCCGCCTTTTCGCACTCGCGTTAGATATGCCGGAAGACTACTTCGACTCGGTGACTACAACTCCCGGTGCAGATGGTCTTTACGTACACTATCCTGCTACACCGGCCCAGGAACTAGAAGAAAACCACGGGAATCTCGATGTTGGTATCGGCTCGCATACTGACATCCAATGTATTACTCTGCTATGGCAGGATATGTCAGGAGGCTTGCAGGTCCTGTCTGCTAGCGATGAATGGCTGGATGCTCGACCTATTAGTGGAACGCTGGTTGTCAATATTGGAGATTTCTTGCAGCGTCTATCAAACAACAAGTTCAAGTCGACTGTGCATAGGGTCTATAACCGCCAACCTACATCCAGATACTCTATGCCTTTCTTCTTAGGGTTCAATGCGGATTCAATTTGCAAAGTTGTGCCCTCGTGCATTGATGCAGACCATCCTGCACTTTATGAGCCTATTTCCTGCGGACAGGTATTGTCTTTCCTGGTCTTGTTATCTTGTTTGGTCTAACTTTTCTGTCTAGTGGCACCGAAGAAGACTTGAGCTTGCTCGAGTGAAAGCAACCAGCACTTAAATCACAGATTACGGACGCCATGACCGAAAGGATCATGTTCCAACGATAATCACATATTTTGCCAAAGATATTGGGATATATTCAGCTATTAGAATTGAGGCATAGGTCCATTGATCACATTCCAGTCCGATGCAGGCATCGAGTCAATAAACCGAAAAGGTGCCCAATCCGCAACAGACGCTGGATATGAATAGAAATTATCACCAACACCGATTGACACGGTGGAATCCACAAAGTCTCTCGCCTTCTTTTGCACAACATTCGTGGCCCAGCTAAAAACCCCCTCTATACTTCTGGGAATCCTGGCCTCAGTCCGAACATTTTCCATCAGCGTATATGTTGCGTGCATATCCGGAATACTCGAGCAATATTCCGCCAGAGTGACGCCCGCATACGCAGTAAGTAGATAGTCATATGTCGGCCTAGTAAATGCAGAATCAGATGAACAGAGGACCATGATATCTCTCAGAACCAGCTGAGCATGTCGTATGACTGCCTCTGTCAATTCATTGATGCGTCCATTCCGGATCGGCGAGTTTGGGGACATGGATTGGTTCTGCTTTGCGAGTTCCCATCGAGACAGGATAAGAGATGTGCAAGAATAGGCCCATCTTAGGACAATGTTTCCCTCTGTTGTTTAATCAGTTGAGTCCCTGTGGTTTCCAAAATGGGGAGATGACTTGTACCTGCCAAATATTTGCTTCCCCACACGTGAATCATGTCCCAAGCATCACCAACCGAGCCCACGGTTTGATAAATAGCTTCGTATAAATGGATATAAAGTTTGAGTTCTGCTGCAAGGAGATGATCGAACGTCTCGAATCCAGAGTACCGGACAATATCGTTTAATTGATGAAGGTGCTGACATCCAACAACGGATGGCCGGCCTGTACCAATCGCAAACCTAATGATATGGTCAGGTATTATTTCCCCCAAGAAGATACCCAAGAAAAAAGAACATACTTCAAATGTACAAGTGATGCCTGGATCCACATTCTGCACTTGTTCCGACTTATCGGATCGTAGAACCCAGTCATGGAGCTAAGCTCGGAAAGAGGGAAGCTGAGCATGCAGTGGGTGATGGTTGTGCTGCTCATTAGCCAACTGTCAATGTATCTACCACCCGGTACAAGTGGCCCAAAGCTCCAAGCGCTAAATATTAACATCGCATGAATGGTAGAAAGGTCGATGGGTGTTTCCAAGGTTTTCATCCCCAAGTGAGACTTGACCATTGAGTACAATGTGATATGTAGATCGGAGCGATTCAAGCCCTCTGTAGCTCGAATGCCCGCCAAAAGGCACATAGCGAAGAGTAATGGGTGGTCTCGCTTGAGGTCAATCAGAGTCTCATGTGGGAATGGGTACCATGAGGCTATTTGCTCGAATCCATGCCGAAATACCACCGAAAAAGTGTCTGAGTCGAGTCCCATCTCGGTCATGTGTCCCAGAAGCGAGTCGTTTTCTCCGACTGTCACAGGCTCTGTGATGAGACTACCAACGTGGCGGACAACTGTGATTGGAGCAGGCTGAACCTCGGTTCTTGGTTTGATATCGGCATCTTGGGATAGAGCAACACTCTGTCCTCTCTTGTCGATATCTGTCCCCGTGCTGAATTGGGTATGTGCCGCGACCTCACTTGTGGAATCCTTGGCGGGGGTGTGAGCATTTCCAAGCAGGTGAGATTTCAGCAACTCATTCATCTCGGAAATAGAATTCTCAAGAGCATCAAGCCTGGTGGTTATCAGCTATTTTTGTATCCGCGTCTTTATCTATACAATTTAAGATAAGGAGTACCTTTTTGCACAGTGACAGTCAACAGGCTGGTCAGACGGCCTCTCTGGCCTACTCGATGTTGCATCTGGGCTTGATATGGCAGATGTAGCAGGTAGAGAACATTCGAGTCTGTGTTGCGTTAGACTTGTCGCAAGTGGTGCCATTTGATTGAGTCACCTTAAAGATATGCACCGAGCGCATTGCCTTGAGCCCGGGGGCACCTCACACCGGGTCTTCAATCGCCGGCATGGCTGACAGGAAAGAATTCGTCTCTTCGTTGGCATGATATACTGGAATGTTCCTCGGAAGGTGAAGTCCACGATGTTGTCTTATCTGGGGTTAACGGGGAGGACTAACCCGAATGGGGTTTAGTTGCCATGTTGGACGGCATCACATGCGGGGAGTATGTACTTCAACACTTCAGCTCTCCAGTCCCTGTCAAAAGCCCTCCTTACTCTATTAATAAGGAAAAAGTATTATACATACTGGATTTATCGTCTAAAGGGACTAGAGGGGAAAGCCTGGGATTTTGTGATGGTCGTGTCAAGTTGAGATGTTTTTGTTTCATCGACTCTATTAAATCATACATTAAGTGGGGATTATAGTTGGAGGCCTAATTGACCATAAAGTTCCAAGGGGCTGGGCAGCTTATGCAGCCCCTCCTGCGGCAAGGTTTTTGCCCTTGACGCTCTTCCACTCCACAATCAAGGCACCAATAACACTAATCGCAGATACAGCTGCGCACACCATGAAGGTTTGTGTAATCGCGTCGCTATAGGCATGGATGACTCCTGCCAAGTCAGCTTTGTCGACGACCTTTTGAACGCTGGTCGCGCCGGCCCTGAGAACGATTGCTGGATCCAAGTTCGGAGCATATTCGGCGAGATATTCAACAAGCTTGTTGCTGAAGACATTGTTACCAATAGACACAAAGAGGGCACCACCAAGCGTCTGAGCAAAGACAATGATGGCAGTGCCGGTAGGTACATCGACAATGTCAAGAACGACCTGCACGGCAATCATAGGTTGTTGCATACCAAAGCCAACACCGGCACCGGCGATGATTTGATAGCCGATCCAGACAGATTTGGGCGTGTCTGGGTGGAACTGGGACATGAGGCCATATCCAATGGCAATGAAAATAGTGCCAAGTATCATGAAAGGAGCGTAGTAGCCCACGACAGTGACAACGATTCCCGCGAAAACAGACAATATCACAACGGCGATCAACATGGGAAGATTCATGATCCCGGAATTGACGGCACTAGCACCTTTCACGGCCTGGAACCAAATGGGAAGGAAATAGACGGAGCACAAGAATGCAGCACCGAGACAGAAGCTGAACAGGCAAGAAGACCACACGGTACGCTTGAAAAGGATGCGAGGCGGCACGGTTGCATACTCCTGCTGGAACCATTGAGCGGCTATAAAGAGCAAGATCAGAACAGCAAAGAAGCAGAACAATAGAATGATTCGCCAGCTGCTCCAGGCATAGGTAGTTCCGCCCCATTGCAGAGCCAACAGCAAGCAAATGATGGCGGGCATGAACAAAGCTGTGCCGATAGGATCAAACTTTCTGATTCGTTCTGTCCATGTCGAGTTTTTGACCTGCCGGTTCGGAGCCGGAAAGAAGAATGCAATCACAACAACTGTGACGGCACCAATAGGCAGATTGATATAGAAGCACCAGCGCCATGTCACCTTGTCGGTGAAAACACCCCCAAGCAGAGGTCCGGCCACAGAGGCAATGCCATACATGCTACCAATGAACCCGGTATACAGTGGACGCTTATCCAAGACCACTGAGTGGGCTAGGATGATGAGAGCGCCTGAAAATATACCCGCTGAGCCAATTCCCGCAACAGCACGGCCCATGATGAGAGCCAAACTGTTGTTGGCCACACCGCAGATCAGGCTGCCCAGCTCAAACAGACCAATGGCAATCAAATAGACCCATTTGATACTGAAAAAGGTGTAGAATTTTCCAAACAGCAACTGGAGGGAAGCAGTTGTCAATAAGTACGCTGGAGAGATCCAGGTCAGTCCATATCACTCAGAACCCATGTTTCTAAACATACCACTTCCATACCAGCCTACATCTTCAAGACTGTGGAATTGATCCGTAATCTTTGGAATTGCGGTGGCTATAATGCTGTTGTCTATGGAAATGGTACACAAGTTAGTCATATTCAAACCAAAATCCAAGGTCGATACCTAGGTATGTTCCAAGGTTCGACAAAGAAGTCCAGGGTTAGTACATACCGAGTGCAACAAGGAACACACTCAAACACAACGCCAACACAATCAGCGTCAACTTTGGACCCGTGGGATACTCAGTTCCATCTTCACGTGTAGTAGTAGCCTTAAGTGAATTTATCTCATTGTCGGGCTTTGCCGTTACGGTTTTGACAAGCTCGGTCTCCTTTTCCTCTGGTGAGAGACTGCGTCTTGATGCCTTCTCATCCAGATGGGAGACATTCCCGCGATCCTGCGCGTCGGTTTGATCCATCTATTAAATATTTTGAAGCCCGGCTCCCAATTCAATAGTTGGTAGAGACTCTGTAATGCCAGAGAAGATATATGGAGAATTGAAAGGCCGACTGCTGGAGAGGGTTCAGCGAAAACACAACAAAGCAGAAAACAAAAGAAGAATAATATAAGCCATACTGAGTCGATATTTAAAACAAGAAGAAAAAAAATCGCCATCCTGTAAGCGTGTTTAGACCTGGTCCCCTAGACCGTGGAACTATGGCCTGAACAAGTTAGCGCTTATGAATACGAGATGCGGCTGCTACGTTGCTTCGAGTCATGGCATTTCGGAAGATTCCTCTGAATTTCTTGAGAGACTTCTGCTCTTGGGCCCAGAGGCATCGGGCGAACTTGGATAACAAGCTGAAGACGGTGGAGATTTAATGAGTCCTCGCTCTGATAGGGTTGCTCGTATGCGCAGTACCGCACGGTGTATACATATGAAGGTCACATGGATGAGCTGGGCCGCTAGTCAGATTGGGAGCATCGGGCAAATAACCAGCGATGTCCGACATTAAGCTATGCAGATAGCGGTGCCCCCTAAAACAGACCGTTGTCGTCCATGTTGGGTTCGCGCTAATTGTGAGTCAAACGGGAATTGAATGTCGCGGTAACCATTTTTGGTTACTAGAATATCATTTTCGGTCATATCGGTCCAGAATTGGTCCGTCTCTGTGGCTTTTTTTCGGGTTTTACCGCGGAGTTAGGAGTAGGTGAGGTGGTGAAGTTTTTCCTGTACCCTTTGCCCTTTTGGGACATCCCGTGTCAGCGTGCAGGGCGGCCCCGGGGACGAAAATGAAGGGGATGAAATGAATGGAAAGGCAATTTAATCCCCGTCTATCTCCATTGGCGTTGATTGCGCCGCCGACTTCGTCCGTCTCAGGCTTCTTTCGTGTCTATATATTCTACTGCATGGTCCAAATCGCCTGCATATGCGCAAGTGGTGACAGCCACTTGAGCATGACACCTGCACCATTGCCCATATTCCTGCTTAAGTATGCCTAGACTCCGTACTTGAGTATTTCAAGTGAAGTCTAACCCTTGTTTCAAAACCTGCTAATGAGAACTGGGAACTTGGACTGACTGTGAATCGACGTAAGAGATGGACTACATACTGATGACGTCGCCAGTGCCAACTACGACAGGAGGCGACTCCAAACCAGTATGAGGGACTGGAGTATTTAAATGGACGCTTTCGTAGTATTTCACACTCACAACGATCTCAATTCCTAAATTAATTCATTCTTACACAAACATGTCTACCGCACGCTTCGCTCCTCTCCTGAGAACTCGGGTGGCAGTTCCCACTACTAGCTACCAGGCAATTCGTTCTATCTCTGCCACCGCATCATACAACAAGGGAGCTGTGGACGCAACTAAGGACACCTTAAAGAAAGCCGATCGGGCTGTTTCCGATGCTGCTGTCAAGGGCATCAACAAGGGTGGTATGTCTTGATGCTCACTTCATACAAGTGTTTCAATGCACAATGCTAACATGACCGAACAGAGCAAGCCGCCCACCACCTGAAGGACGCCGTCGGTGCCGGAGCCCAGCAAGCAAAGGAGAAGTCTGGAGATGTGAAGGGCGAGGCCGCCGAGCTTGCAGGCAAGGGCAAGGGCAAGGCCGAAGAGGCAATGGGCGAGGCCAAGGGCAAGGCAAAAGAAGCAGCGGGCGACGTTGAAGCCAAGGCTAAGGAGGCCAAGAGCCGCCTTTAAGCTGCATTCCTTTTGTCTGATGAGAACTGCTTCGAGCTTGCATAACTATTAATTGCAAATTGTATTTTTATGTCCTCAATGGTCGCTTCAATGTAGACGTAATGCAATCCTCCTGTGCTGCATCGGGTAGAAAAAGCTCGAAAGCTATCTAGTGCATCACACTTCAGCTTGGGGGTAGCATGAGAACATACTCGCGCGAACTCAATCCAAAGCGAATAACGTCCTTGTCCATGACTTCAACGTAACGACCAGCGGGAATGGCCTCCCCATTGACACTGGAGCCATTGGCACTCTCAATGTCCAAGAGGTACGGTTTCACCTTGCCGATGCGATCACCGAATTCATTCTTTTTCTCAACAAATCGGAATTGTAGCACAGCATGTTGCTTTGAGCAGCTGGGATGCTCGATAGGGAAATCCACCACCATATGCTCTCGACCGAACAGCCAGCAGCTCCGCCCTCCGAGCTCGACTGTCTCCAGCAAGTCTTTTCCTTTGAACACGTACATGCGCCAAGCTTCCTTGGAGGGCGGCTTGCGCGCCTCGGGGGGCTCGTGGTATTTCAAGACAATTCCGCCCGGGGCACCCTGCACTTGGACTGTATTACTTTCAGCAGCGAGTCTACCCGTAGCATTGAAGTTCGGTTTTTGCTTTTCAGGCGCAGGCTCGTCTGATGGATTAGCCACATCTGTGAAGGCATCGGATTGGGACGGTAGTGGACCGCTTCGCTCTAACGCGCGCGGAGGAGGGCTGCGCGATTTTCGCGGGGAGCGGGAGCGGGGTCGGTCATCGCGGTCTCTTCTGGATGAGCGTCTTTCGTCTTCGTATCGCGTATCACGGTGTCGGTGACTGCGGTGTCTGTGTCGGCGGTGGTCGTCTCCAGCTGAATTGGATCGATCCCGGCGCTCCCGTCTGGGCCGATCGCGGTCACTGCGGTCGCTTCTTTCACGGGGACTGCGCGACGATCTGCGCCTGGGACTCACTCGACGAGAGCTCCGGTGGCTGTCATCACGTCGCCTGGAGCTGGAGTGGTGGTCGTCATAGGGAGCATCTCGTCGCCGACGTTCTCGGTTGTGATCGGAGGGAGAAGTCACAGAGCGCCGACGACGTTCATGTCGCTCGTCGTCAGAGCCAGCCATTTTATTACTGGTTTCCGGGAAGAGCTGTGGACTGGTGTAGTAAAGTTGAAACGCCTGTCCCAAATCTCGAGCTCCAACAGCTGCACGTGATCAGCCCCGGTCTGCTCGGGTGGACCACCTTCAAGTGCTCCGGACGTACTCGTATACTCGTACGATCTTCGTAACTTGATCTTCTCAGGAACGGCCTGGAAACTGCACCGGGTCCTCTCTCGCTCACTCAAAATATGTGACTATGTTCAAGAAACCCAACTATCTTCGTGGCGGAAGTCTGCAGCTACTGAACCTGAACGTGCCCTTGCCGTTGTCCCGGGCTACCTTATCCCAGCCCCATCGACCGCAAGGAACATATACAAGCAGGTTTTTTGCCACTGCTTCGCAATTTCCGCATCAGGATTATTCTTGGCCCAGCAATTCTTCGTTCACCCCTTATGACGTCCTAAATATCCCCCGCGGGGCTCGGTACTCGAAGCGGAATTACTATGACCTCGTGAAGATATACCACCCAGACCGACCTTTGAAGGACCATCCCCTTTTCCACCAGTTAACACCTGAGATTCGACTGCAGCGCTACCGCATAGTGGTGGATGCTCACGAGCTCCTTTCCGATCCCAGCAAACGAGCTTCCTATGATCGAACCGGTGCTGGCTGGGTCCACACAGTCCCAGATACCAAAGTAGATTGGCAAACTCCTGGACCGAGTGTCTACGCAAATGCTACATGGGAAGATTGGGAGCGATGGCACAACCGGCACCATGCCCCGCAACAGCATGTTGTTGACCAACGCACCTTTGTTCGGCTTTTGATCCTCCTGGTGCTATTTGGGGGTGCTCTCCAGGCATCATGGATCGGAAAGCTACACACGGAGGTTGACGACCGATTACGCGAGCTAAATGAAGACTCGGCGCGCTTTTTGCGTGGTCGCAAGGAAGATACTGTCAAGCAGATGAACAGCAATGAAGCCCGCGTGCAGGGTTTCCTCATTCGGAGAGATCCCACCGGAGCGGGTCTGAAGGATGCCGAGCAAGCAGTCTATGAGAAGGAACTGAACCCCCGACGTGGTTTGGACAAGACTCAGACGGACAACCAGGAGGGGTCAGTATCTGGCCCGTCCGGAGAAGACATGCTGGGAAGCACCGAACTCCCTGAGAACTAACCTCACTCAATACCCACACGACGGCTCCTTGCCGGTCTGCTTCTCACATAAAATGAATGCAGTAACTCTGTACATACGAGTACATATTTTTCGAATAAAGTAATTTCTCGAAGCCCTCGTCGCCTGGAGACTAGTAACTAGCAGTATCCAGCCAGTGTAGATCTTCTCCATACTCCGTGAACTGCGTGTACGACCCCCACAATTTATCTCCTTAGTCCATATATAGCTCTGCGCGTCACGCCGCAAACCATTTGAGCAGCACTGGCATTTTGACCTGCACGGAGTATTGTCCCGGTCTAAAGTTTTTCTTGCCAAGGTAAGGTCTCCGAACTCATGCCGAATGACGACACCTGAATTCAGCGCGGTGATATGCACCTGTAGCGCCCAGGACGATCCCAACCTCAATATGATATGAGTTCGTCTGATTCCCCACAATGCGCTTGGAACATTTCCATTATTCTTGATATTCTTGAGTAAACTACAGGAACTATAAGTCCGGGAAACAAGAAAAAGGGGGTCTGAGTACAACGTCCAAATCGAGCCAACTGAACGCCACAAGAACTCCCGTTGACGTCGGCGGGTCGATCCCCTCGTTTCCAGGGGGCCTCTGCGAAAAAAAAAGGCGTCGCAAGTTCGGTCTTCTAGACTGTGGATCTGAGACTCAAGGGGCTATTTAGTTGTCTAGACCGCATGCTTTGCAGGCTGCGAATGTGTCGTACGGGAAAACCAAATGCAGTTGTTCTACTCCGTACGAGTGTGATACACACCTATACATCAACACCTATATAGGTGTCCAGGGCACATGCGCACTTGGATTGGTGTACAGAGTACTACAGACGTAGCTGAAAGACACATGGTCATATCAAATGTTCTATTCCGTACATATTCCATACGGCGAGTACGGATTTGTCTATATTTGCTCCGTACTAAGCCATTTGGTTCGGTTGTTTGTGTGTGGTTCGAGGTCGGAATCATCCCACTCCAGATACTCCAGATACTCCAGATGTGATAGATCAGATGGATATATCCAGATCATGTTGAAGTAGAGTTGAGAGTTAACATTAAATAAGAGAAGGAGAAGAGAGTATGAGAGGATGAGAAGAAGAGGTGTAAAAGACCAGAACATCCCAGGTTTTTTTACTACGTCATCGCATCGAGGATGTGGTCACCCACTTTTTCCCTTTCAGTTTCCACTACACACTCTATCCCAAATGGGGTATGCTTCGACTGCTCGACTCTCGTAACCTTATCTATCCTATTCTAAATCTCTGCCTTGGCTCCCTTTGCGACCTCGATGGTCCTGCCACACGCCCTGTTCCTGTGATCCTCCACCTTGATCACTCCCCTTTCCGGAGGTGCGAGAATGAGGGATGTCTATAGTCGGGGGAGTCCTCCAATCCCATCGCCAAACGAGACTTTGACCTCCTCTGGCGTACCTCACTCCCACCTGCAGCCTCTCCGATCGCCCGGTTACCGCCCGCATGTTCACCAATCCCAAAAACTGGTCGACCAGCTCGCAGATAGAGTCGATGCCCTGGAGAAGTCGACGCTAAACGCACCTCGCTTGTCGCGCGGTGACTCAACCGACGAAGTGAGTGGGTTGACGCCGATGACTGAGGATTTACGATCGCAACCCGAGCGAGAAGAAGAACAAGGACGGAGCAACCACACACTGAAGGAGCTACGAAGACAGATGGAAGAATTACTTGTTTATCAACAGATGCAACAGACCCAGCCGCCAAATTCATCCCAGGCCCAACTCGCGTCAGAACCTTCGAGTGATACCCCCAGAAAAAGACGACTGTCCACCTCCTCGATGGAGGTCCCCATTACCGTGATGCCCCCCTCTACCGGATCGACGGAGTCGACTGGAACAGTGACGGGGACCGAGGCCAAATCCGATAGTCGCGATCCACAACAGACGCCATCTTACCCTTTCCCGCGAATGCAGAACCAAGCGATGAAAAGGGGACACGAGCAAACGGGACGTGGACAGTTCAAATTGAAACTTCCATCAGAAAATTTCCCCTCGTCGATACCAGAGAATCCAGAACCACACGAAGAATCGCGGAAGCAGCCAAGTTTCCAGCCATCTCAATCCAGTCCGGGCCAGGAAGACCCAAATTTCCCTAGCCCGGATCTTTATGATCTGACGCTTCAGCTGAATGCAGACTCGGGGCTCGAAGCATGGTGGTCTAATCTCATTGAAATAATGCAGACAAACTACGGAGCCGAGCGTGTTTCTCTTGCCGTCCCAGGAGATGTTACAGACCTAGAGAATGTACCCTGGGGACAGAAGGCGGTTTTTAATCAAAACATTGATACCTCCTTGGAAGAATTGCAAATGCGCCATCTCAACAAGGATACACCAGCAGAGACATGCCATCCTCGCAAAAGCCAAGTTCCCAAGAGACCTGAAACAGATCTACATCAGCCGAAGGGTCCTGGGTCTCCGCGACCATCTTTGTTATCACGCCACTCCTTTGCTGGGTTCGATAAGAAAAAGACCCAAATACAGTCTGAGAAGAAGCATGTACAAATCGCAGATCAAGTACAGTCCTCTGCGAGCCAGTCCAACCAAAAGGACAATACAGAACCCGAAGATGATACCCTCAACGCTCTCCTCGGGGATATGCGGCAGGCCGTGTTCCCAGTAGCCAGACCATTGGAGGTGGAGCATGATCCTCTCATCAAGCGCACTGGCGTGGCGAGGCTATTTGGACGCACTCGCCCTACTGTCTTGACTCGCGAATATTCAGAAACCTCACCGCAACATCCGCAGGCATGGTCAGACTCCGTCCACAGTCCAAACGAAATGGTTCAAGTCACCCCAAATGCCGATGATTCCGGCCCCAAAGGAATGGGACATGCCGCGATACAGCACAGCATCGGTTCTCTTGGATTGAGGCTGTATGATGAGTACGAACAAGTCCCGCAGTCTCCCTGGTCCCAATCTCCAGCTCCTTCGCCTGCACCCCGTACACATGCAGATAATAATCCTTTCTTTACCAATCATACGGTCGACGAGGGAGCCTTTTCCCAAAATCCGCCTTCACACGATTACGCCAACAATTTGCCGTTAGAAGCGATCGGCATTGATCAGTCCAAGACGGTAATTCATGTCCCTCTCATACATGGAGGCAACTCCAATAAGGGTTCATCGTCGACACTACGATTCCCCGTTGCGATTGTGTCAATGTTGTGCACAATTGTCCCATACCCGGCCAACCTCAGGCAGTCACTGGCGTTCCTCATGCCACATTTGACAACGTCATTCTGTTTAGCTCAACGTTATAGTCAGCTTGAAAGGCAACTATCGTCGAAGGTAGAGAGTCCTCGTTATGGGCACCTCTTAGGCCTTGGTGGGACGTTCTCAGATGCAAGCAGTGAGATGGAGCTTGTGGCAGGGCTCAGTGGACATGTCAGCTATTCAGTTGGCGATAACACAAACCCAATGTCCACGCACGCCAGCATTCCTAGCCCCAGTGATCATTCTTCTGCGAGGTATAGCCCTGCCATTTCCGCGCTTGGAACGCCCGGGTTTGAGCTTGGTCATCTAGGGTTTGGATCTGCGACTCAGTCCCCAGGATTGACATCGCGATCTGCCGGAGAAGGCACTGACAGTTATTTCAATGTCGCGCAATACAAAGCGTCTCGGGACCCTTACTCCCAAACCAGACCGCGACTCTCCAAGGCGAAAACCAATATTGAGACGTCGGCATCCATCTCCCCGGGGAGATCCGCGACAAAGCCATCCACAATTGAGGAGCACAGCTCACAGGATTCTTTTGTTCTGTCGCCGCTACAAGAGGTCAGACCACCGCATGCTCTTTCGCCAACCCAGCAATCATCTCGGCAGGCCTCGACAAACTCGCTCTATGCTCAACTGCAAAGGGAGCTCCCGCGCCCGTTCTCTGATACCATAGCCCAATTGATGCTCAATTCGATCCCACTGCATCTTTATCTGGCAAAGCCGCAGAGCGGCGAGGTTATTTGGACTAACTCCAAATTTGATGCTTACAGACGAAGTCAGCATCAAGAGCAAAAATTGCGGGACCCATGGCAGAACATACATAGCAGCGAGCGTGACAATGTCAGTAGCAAATGGGCCACTGCTCTGTCAACGGGCGCTCAATTCACTGAACGAGTGCGAGTCCGAAGATTCAACGATGAGTCGGCATATCGCTGGTTCATTTTCCGGGCCAACCCATTGTTATCCTCCACTGGAGAAGTTCTCTACTGGATTGGATCTTTCCTCGACATCCATGAACAACATATCGCTGAACTGGAAGCTTTGCAAGAAAGAGAGAAATTTGCGATTGATGCTAAGTATCGAGCATTCTCCAATTCCATCCCTCAGGTTGTTTTCGAGGCAACAGAAAACCGCGGCTTGATCTTCGTCAACGAGCAGTGGAGTCTGTACACAGGCCAAACAATCGAGGAGGCGCACGATTTGGGATTCACCAAACATGTGCATTCTGACGATTTGGAGAAGTGTGGAGGACTTTCCCTCAACAAAGCAGCCAGTGCCTTTGACGATGATTCTGGTAAACCTTCCGAGTTCTTGGTTGGATCAGCCCTAGATGAACTCGTCAGACGTGGCGTTGCTTCGTTGCAAAAAGATGAGAATGGTCGAGTGTTCTACTCAACTGAGATTCGTCTTCGTTCTCGAGGTGGTGATTTCCGCTGGCATTTGGTTCGTCTAGTTCGCGTGCAGACAAGCAGTTTTGGCAGCGAGGAAGCCTCCTGGTACGGAACCTGCACCGATATCAACGACCGCAAGAACCTTGAAAGAGAACTCAACAAGGCAATGCAACAGCTGAACAACCAAATGGAGTCGAAGACGAAGTTCTTCAGCAACATGTCGCACGAAATTCGGACACCGCTTAATGGTATACTCGGCACTATTCCGTTCATTCTGGACACACAACTTGATAGCGACCAACGAAGAATGCTTGACACCATTCAGAATAGCTCCACCAACCTTCGCGAGCTGGTGGATAATATTCTCGATGTGTCTCGTGTCGAAGCTGGCAAGATGTCAATGGTTAACTCCTGGTTCCATGTCCGGTCGATGATTGAGGATGTGATTGATACCATCGCCTCACGGGCGATTGACAAAGGTCTTGAAATCAACTACCTCATTAGTGAAGATGTTCCATCAATGGTGATTGGAGATCGCTTCCGAATTCGCCAAGTCCTGATCAACCTCCTCGGAAACGCCGTCAAGTTCACCGCGCAAGGTGAAATTCACATTTGCTGTGAGATGCACCGGAATATGACCGGAGGACCCAATGAAACTCAGGCATTCATGAACTTCGAGGTTGTGGATACCGGCAAAGGTTTCAGCTCCCACGATGCTGAACGCTTAATGCAGCGGTTCAGTCAATTGGGAGAAAATGGGTCACAGCAGCACGCAGGCAGTGGTCTGGGCCTTTTCCTGTCAAAGCAACTCGTCGAAATGCATGGTGGCAAGCTCACACCCAGCAGTAAAGAGGGTCAGGGGGCTAAATTCTCCTTCAACGTCAAGGTTGATGCGCCGCCGCCTCCATCCCCATCCGAGCAACCAAGCTTGATGCGCCAGAGTTCGAGCGCTTCAAGAAGACCAGCCAACTCAAGAACCACCTCTTATCAACAAGCACCGCCGCTGGTTGCCAGAAGCTCCGACTCGTCCAACAGAAGCTCCACTGTGAACCATTCGTCTTCGCTCTCCGTTGCGTCTTCATCTCTCCCTACCCCTGATGCTGGCATCACACCTTTACCGCCTCCGGTGGATCAGACAAGTGCTGTGGCTCATATGCCAGATGCTGTTTCAGGTTCACAAATCAAACCTTCCGTTACCAAGTCCAGCTCATCCCCAACCCGCGGTTCGCCTTTATCGCAGGCCTCTCTATCACCTGGCGCCATTACAGGGAAAGTGGCGGTGCCATCCCAAGGTCCTTTCTCGATCGTCGTCCTGTGTCATCTTGAGAACTCGAAGAAGGCCATCAAACAACACATCCAACATGTTGTTCCTCACGAGATTGACTTCAAGGTGAAGACGTTACCCGATTTGGATGAATGGAAAGACATGATGCATTCTGCTTCCGGCTCGGCGCCCTGCACGCATCTCGTGCTGAACCTCCCAACTGATGATATCTTGGAAGTCATTCAAAATGTTTCTGACAAAGTGATGGACCCTGCGCCGGTTGTGGTCATTATCGCAGACCTCTACCAAAAGCGCCAAATCAGCACCCGGGTCAAAGAGCTGGCTAGCCTTGGGACGCAAGTCTTCATTGTGCCGAAACCCGTCAAACCTTCTGCTTTCTCGGCCATCTTCGATCCTGAGAGCAAACGCGAGCTTAGCAAGGATCGCAATCAAGACATGGCCCGCGAGATCAATAATAACTTCAAGACTGTCTCGAAGATGGTCAAGGAAGTGTTGGGAAATAAGGGATATCGTGTCTTGCTTGTTGAGGACGATGAAACCAATCGCGATGTAAGTTCCCTCATATCTAGTCTGTGTGATCAAATTACTGACATGTTCAAAGGTCATGCTGAAATACTTGGACAAAATCAAACTTATGTCAGAGACTGCCTCCAATGGACTGGAGTGTACCAACATGGTTCTCTCGAAAGAACCAGGATATTACTCTCTCATCATTGTGAGTCTTCATCCTCGCTTTTTTTCCCCTTGCACAGCTAACAAGTTTGATCTGTAGTGTGACATCCAGATGCCCATCAAGAACGGTTATGAAACCTGCAAAGACATTCGTGACTGGGAGCAAAGGAACCATTACCCCCAGATTCCTATCATGGCTCTTTCCGCCAACGCCATGACCGACCAGATTGAGAATGCCGCCCGCGCAGGCTTCAATGACTATGTGACCAAGCCGATCAAACACAACGAATTGGGCAAGATGATGATGGGTCTTCTCGACCCTAGTCGACCGCTTATGCTCCTCCGTGATCGACTTGGTGCAGAGCGCCAAAGTGCAGCCTCTGCGCGTCGCTAGACTTCACATCTTTCCCATTCATATTAGACTATCACTGTCACCACCGCCCTCCACCTTCATCTTCTGCTGCTATAATAGCATGTTCTTGTCTTACTATCTTTGTTCTGTTTTCAGCTTTATATATCCTCCGCTTTTGCATTCGAACCTTTCACGACGGACTACGGAGCGATTGTCTTTTTGGTTTTCTTTCTGAATGGAGGGTTATCGGATTTTGGTTCACCCAGCGGCATCGGATATCTGAACAATTAACGCAAAAGCACACAACAATCCGTGTGTCCATCTTTAACATTGTTCCCGGCCGGTCCCACCACTGCCCTGGCTCTTTTGAGAACTTTCCATCCCACATTCTTACATGCATTTGATCTTGAGCCATTGATACTATCCCCCCTAGCATTTGCATAGGGTTGGAAGGGCGCTTATGTTTATATCAGATCAAGCCCTGGTTGTCTTTCGACCCTCCCCTCCGATACACTATTCAACCCATATATCATGGCGCCAGCGCTTACTCTGTCTTGCTTTTGCGAAGAACGTTGGATTTATTTTCGCTCTCCTGCCTTCATGCCTACGATACCAGACTTTATAAGCGCATGACAACCATCTTCGTCTTGGATCTGTATTTGTTAATAAATTTCTTTTTTTTGCCCTTTTCCTCATTTTTCTCTGTGTACACAGTGCGCAGGATTATATACTACTTGGCTCATAAGCGATAAGATATATACATAGAGACCCCTCTATGATTGAGAATATACATGGCTACTAAGTATACGCTAAAGCAGACAGGATCTGAATGGAAAGCAATAATGAATCGAAGACAAGAAGTATTGTTCTCCGTGAATCTGACGTGCATGAGCACTAATAATTGTCACCAAACCTTAGGTCCAAGGGGGCTGGAAAGTACTCGGCTGTTAGGCATCAAAGGCAAAAAATCGAATGGGTTATGAATCATTGCAAAGTCTATAAGCCCGGATATTGGACCCAATCGGATCCCAGAGGGCCGATTCAACCTTTCTCGCCTTGAGCCAATTCTTCGTAAAGAGAGGTAAAGAGAGTGCCGAGATGAAACCAAAAAAAACCTCGTATACTTTATACTTCGGATTCTGTAGCCCGTAGCCCGTACCCCAAGCCCATCTGGAGTTCGATAGTACTCGTAGGAAGTGCTGGGAAAAAAGGTGACAGCACAGGATCCCCCAAAGGGGTAAAGCGAGTGAGTTGGCCATGGCCAGTTAGGGCGCTGCATGTGGCGGTGTAGAACACTCCCCTCAACCCCACTTGTGCGTTGGAAAAAAAAAAAAAAAAGACAATTAAGGATTTCGACTTGGAATTGGGATTGGAATTGTCGATCCAAAAGACTTTGCTGTATACAATAGATCGGGTGCAGATCTAAAGGTCAGTAAATCCGGATGGTTTTTTTGGGCATTTGATTGAAACTTGTTCGTGTAACCCATGGAAGGTTTCCCTGGATACGAACAAGAGAAGATTGTCATGATATGAATGGAGGGATCAGGAGATTAGTGGGAAGACGATGACGAAGAAATGGAAAGGTTCGAGATTTCGAGGTTGGAAGTTGTGCTGCGCGTCATTTGTTGCCGTGCTGCCCGATGCTGGTCTAGCCGAATACACTGTAGAACACCGGACTCGTCGATTGGAGAAATGGTGTATGTATCCCTGCAATAGTCCCTGGGGACTAGACAGCAGATGGAGGCCGGGTGGCACAGGGCTCGGTAGCATTGTGTTGGGTTGACGGGGCATATTGTGAGTCGTCAGGCTGCAAGGCATGCAGGTAAGGGATTTTTGATAGCAAGGTGCCAACAGGGGGACTGGACCAGCAAGATACATCCAGATCATACACCCGGACCTCGGAGGGTCTGCCCTGTAAGAGCTTTATAGTTCCCACCTAGTCGGGCCTGCGTGGTCTTGATGTCAGCAAGTATCTGGGACCAATGACGAAGAGCTGTGTGCGGCACAGCATGGCATCAATTGTGGTTCCGACGGCTTGCAGAGAGACCCCCATTCCTCATACATGCCCCATAGCTGTGTTCAAGCAAGTCATCGGCCGTCTGCATAGAGTGGGGAGACGTGGTCGTCCTCCCACGTTGATGGGCGTCTACAGCGCTTGTCAATGCAACAGGAATCTCTTTCCTGCTGCCAGAGGCTCTGGCACCCATTGGTGGACCCGTGGGGAAGGGGGGCTTTTTCTTCGTGTGCAGCAATAATAGCCGCATCCAGGCGGGCAAACGGAGGGACCAGGATCGTCTGCTTGAAATTTTTTTTTGGGTAATGAATATTTTCTTCCCTTCCAGTCATTCGACTTGAGCAGCTCATACATCGGTTGTACGATTTGCCGATTTGCACATCACTTACCAGGATGATTCTTGTTCGAACCTTGCACGACAGAAAGCATGGGGCCACCGATTCAGCTGTAGGAACAGTGCTCCCTTCAAATCATTGCTCTTTCCACAGTCCTTCGGTTCATGCAGTGGTGTCCAACACTGATCTTCCGTGTGACCCTAATCGCTTGGACGGTTGTGCAGCCGATCCTCGTCTTTTTTGGGCTCTTGGGCTCCGAAAATGATGTAAGGCCGTAAGACATTTGATTTTCTCAGACTTCGGGATGAAAGCCGGCGAGAGATTTCTTTCCAAGTGACGGTAAGTAGACGACATTGCAAGACAACTAATGGTCTCATTAGCCTTGAATGGAGAAGAGGTATGGCATGCCGCTTTACTCCGTAGCTCGTCTTATCGCGGAACGTCCAACGAATCAACCCTGATCGTCGAACCGTCGTCCTTCCCAGCCACCGAATTTCTAGTCAAAAATCAGTTCATCGGAGATCGTTGTGAGTAAGTGGGAATTGAGAGATGTCGAAAGGGAGGAAAAATCTTTTGGAAAATAGGAAGGACCGGACCGCCGAGCTTTATATAGTTCTGCTCCCAACGTCCACCAACCCACCCTTTCCTTCATTCCTACCCAATTCCTGAATTCCTGAAAGCTTCCAGTCGACGCTTTGGCCCCAAAAGTTAGACCAAGTGGAGAGGCGTAGATCGAGACCGGTTTCACACCAAGCCGCCACGGCACGGCGGAAACCCTAGTGGAGGTTGGCAGACCTCTTAAGCCAGACAAATTGAGTCTTTTTTCCACCCTAGGCGGGGTCAAAGGGGTCCAAGAGGCAAATGGACGGGCAGATACGGATACAGAGGTGCAGATGGAGCTCGGGGATTGGGAGTACAGAGGAGGGGTGCGAATCAATGTGTCCCGAATGGCCCAATGGCTCATTCGAGGCCTTTGCACCCTTGCCATCACTCTCGCCTCCCATGTCAGGATGGGAGCATCCGCCGGAGGGATGAATCCCCGCCGAAGGTTATAAAATCCCCCGTCTGGCCCGAGTGAGGTTGTCCTTCCTTCCTCTTCCTTTCCCGTCACTCCCAGTCCAGTTCGTTTGCACATTCTTGCAAGACATCTTCACTCATATCTTTGCTCCATCTGCATCTGACTGAGTATCACTTGAGAATCCTTTTCTCTTCCCATATTCTTTATATACCTGCTGTCGTCGCAGTCAATCATCATGTCCACTCGTCAATACTACCAGCCCGCTGCCTACCCATACCACGCCCCTTCCAAGGCACCGGCACCGGCGGCACTCTATCCCATCTCCAGAGTTCCTGGCTCACCACCAAACTATGATGATGCTAGCACCACTGCCGGCAGTCGTTCGTCTGGTGGGCTCACTTTCAGCTCCGCTGGCCGCAGCTATGAATCCAGCTCGGCCTCGTACTCTGGAGTTGATGTTGTTGATGTCCTGAATGACCGCATGCAAGATGCATTCGACCCAACACCATTAGACAAGGGCCTGGCACGACAGGCGCAAACGTGAGTGTCTCTGCATCAAACGCCCATTCCACGGGCTTTCGCATGCAATCAAGCTCTGGAGATCATCATTCGCGAAATGCGAATGGCCAAATCGGCAGAGTTGCAAATTTCAAGCTGACAGAGAATCGAAATGCAGATCTGGCCAGCTCAACGCAAAGCAGCAAGAGCTGCTCGAGTTGCAAGCGATGGCTCAACGACGACTGAAGGGCGTGCGCTCAAATTTCAACGAAGGCTTGAAAACAGCACGAGAGACAAAGCGCGATCTGGAATGGACTCAAAAGCGCGTCAGGTAAGCATGCGAACCCCTGAAACCCCCATTCCTGAAACGATGGACGTGCAAGTTCCGCTCCGCTCCGCGACAGGGGCTTCCGCTCCGCCGGATGAGCTTGGCACGTGCAGTGTCGATCAACTCTGTCCCTGCGCCGTTAGCGCCTGCTGGGGTTCTAGAAGGCTGACGCACGCGGCTGAAAATAGTGCCCTGAAGACCAAGGCTGAGAAGGCCCACCCGGAGGAGTACCGACGGTCTTCGAAGAAGTACGCCTATGACGAGTACTGATTGGGCCGAGCCTGGCTTTGTGGGCTTTTCGTGATGATTGATATGATGGGACAATTGGATAAAATTTGGGATCTCGTTGGACGAGACAGGAAGGTATTCTCTCTTAATGTTGATTGGCGTTCTCTTGCTGGGTCTGTGTATATTTGGATTGGAAATTTGTGTATCTCGACGTATAGTGGGGGGTCTTCTCTCAAAGATACTAGTTCTATAGGCTTATTTTATTTTATTTTATTTTTTTCATGTATAGGCTAGGCATTCGTGCAGGTAGACGTGTCACATCGGGCCTCTTGTGGCTCCATTGTCTGTGGAAACACCCCAGGCCGCGAATAGTATTCGTATCAAAGGGTTGTACTGCTTGTTTTAGACTGGGGTGGACACCTTAGGGCTGTCTTGGCCTCCCTAGGGGGTTGAACCCACCGAGTACTCCATGCAATTTCCAAGGTTGTTAGGTAGATGAGCCATGCTCTTGGAAGTTGTCTTTATTAGGCATCATTATTGGACAAAAGCACCCTCTATTTACCACAATCAATCTTTCCATGTTACGGTCCCATCTCCCCAGCCTGAAGAGTCCTTCAGTTGGCTCTTACCAATTCATAGGATGCCAGGCGCCTAGGGAAGTGAACTTTCAGAGTCCTCTGGGTAACATCGTGCTGTTGTGGTAAGTGTCGTTGATTAAGTGTTCAGCTTGTGCTCGTAGGGACCCTTCACTTTCCTCCTTCGAAGGGCGGTTTTTTGTAGGCCGCGTAGTCGCTGGATGGCTGCTAGTGCAATGAAAGCAGCAGGCACCAGTGAGCACAGAGTGAAAGCGAAGTGAAGCGGTGCGGAGATCACGAAGCAAGCGACTTCAGGAAGGGTGAAGACCAGATGGAAACCGGAGAGGTGACCGAGAGACAGAAGAAAGAAGGACGAAGTGAAACGACGCGAGGACCACGGTGTGAGTAGGAGGTGCGGGAATCGAAATAAGCAAATATGAGAACAGCGTAGGCTTGAAAAGTCGATAAGCCCTCACTCGAGGCTGGAATTCCTTTTTCATTGCCCCTAGCCTATGTGTCTGGGACGACTTCAAGGATCAATGCAGAAGATTGCGGTCTAGATTTACAAGAAGCAGAAATATGAATATTAATGCAGTTGGATCCAACGAGTGGATTTAGTTCTAGCTATTGAAAAACAGCAGTATGTCATTGAGGCCTCAACAAGGCCACTGAGGTATATTATTTACTGGAAGCTCTGTTCCTCCTCAATCGCACGGTTGATGACGCGCACAAAGCGACCAACCTTGTCGGAATCTTGCTTGGCGGTCTCAATACCCAGGAGGATCTTTTTGATACCCACACTCAATCGTCCGTCGTCCGCGAGACCACCGACAGACTCGAGTGCTTGCGCAATTTCTTGGGCATCAAAGTCGCCTGACTGTTCCATGACATGGCGAAGCTCGCCAAACGAGCTGACGTTCGGAACCATGATATCCGAATTGAAAGAGTTGTAGATGTCTAGTTGCTTCATCAACGCACGTTCAGTGGTAGTAGCAAGAACCAACAGGCGGCGTCCATGCGTAGGTTGTTTCCTCAGGAAAACCATGAGGGTTTGTAGCACGCTGTTGCTGAAGCGAGGACCGATGGGCACCCAATCGATGATTCGTTCGATGTTATCGATCACGACGATACTAGTGGTACTCTTATACGCACTGTCAAAGATTCGGCTAATGTGCGCGATCTTGGCAGCCTCGTTGAAGCCAACCATGTCTTCAGGACTGATCAGCTTGATGAAGGGGAAGCCAGAGTCAATGGCAATTCGCGCCGCCAGGGCGGTCTTTCCGCTGCTCGGAGGACCGTGGAACAGCACAGAGAACAGTGGAGTCGATTCAGCCTTTCCAACTTGCTTGACGAACAGTTCACCTTCCCGCAGAATCTCGCTAATTGTTTGAGAGTAGTGAATGATGCCGTAAGCAATACGGCTGGAAAGCTCCTCTTCAGAGACACCGAAGGCAGGCTTGACCTCATCAAGAGATTTGAGGAAGTCTTCCCGTTGAACCTTCATGTTCACGACATCGTCATCAATACTAGCCATAGTCCCCACCTTGACATGGCGCGAGAATGCAAACGACGAGGCAGACTTGACTAGACCTGCAATCTCGGCTCCTGAAAAGTTCTTAGTCAAGTGAGCAAGTTCAGCCAGGTCAACATCTCCAGCCATGACGTTGTTGTTTCGCATCTTTTCGGTATGGATGTTGAGAATCTGGCTTCGGCCGTACTCATCAGGAAGTGAGATTTCCATGTGCACTTCCAAACGACCGGGACGCAGCAAAGCTTCATCAATCATGTCCATTCGGTTCGTCATTCCAATGAGCAGAATGTTGTTCAACTGGTCAACACCATCAAGCTTTGAGAGAAGCTGGTTGACCACGCTGTCACCAACACCGGTACCCCCGCCGGCTCCACTGCCACGCTGCTTGCACACTGCGTCAAGCTCGTCGAAGATAATGATGTGGAGACCACTCTCATCACCCTTCTGTTTGTACTCTTGCTCGGCATCTGCGAACATCTTCCGAATGTTCTCTTCGGATGCACCAACATATTTGTTGAGGACCTCTGGACCGTTGATGATCTTAGGCTCTCTGGCATTGAGCATCTTTCCAATTTGCCGGGCGATCAATGTTTTACCAGTTCCAGGGGGACCGTAAAGCAAGAGACCTTTGACGTGCTGGATACCCAGCTTTTCAACAAGTCCAGGAGGGAAGATTCGGGATGCGAAAGCGCGACGGAATATCGTGCTGAATTCGGAGTCCAGACCACCAATACCCATATCCTCGAATTTGAAGCCAGGCTGAATGATAGAGTTGGCCGCGGGGCGACGACTAGACGCCTTTACGTTAATGCCAGTTTTGGAATCCTTGTAAAAGTTGAATTGGGTGTGCCGTGTGACAATGCCCCTAGCCGTTGGGATGGTCTCAACTTCACCAGATCCCTTTTCGGAGGTCAAGTCAACCCGCTGGACAGTCTTGACCTGCAACAATAGTGGAATACTCTTGTTGTCCATAAGAATTCTCTGGCCGGGCGAGAACAGTTGGTTCTCGAAGTTCTGAGATTTGTTAGCATGGGGTTCTTGTGGACATGGAATGAAAATGGCTTACTTTAATCACAGCTTGCGCTAATTCATCCTGATCATATGGAGTCTCCGGGCGCTTCTTCGGCATAGAAGATGCAAAGCTGACTTCAATATCCGCAGATCCGAGGTACGCCTGCCCACCCTTGCTAAAGGGATCATAGAGCTGTACCTTGATCGTATCTCTGATTCCGATGTTGGCCCATGTTCGCTGAGCATCCGAAATTCCGATACATCCGGGAGGACAACCATCACTGGGTCCATCAAAAGGCCGAGCAGAGAAGACGAAGAGATCGTTGATTAGGAGGAGAATGTCGGTCCCATCGCGGGTAGGTGGGATATCTTGGGGTGAAACGGCGACACTGCGCTGTATGTTAGCAACGCATTGTATTATAATAGAGTGACACTCACAGGTTACCGAATGTGTAGTTGTCATTCGGGCTCCTTCTCGGCTGAAGATTCCAGGTTGGACCTGGGCCTCTTTGCCCGGCCGGCATCCTAGATGGCATTTGCTGGGGTGGGGGACCCCCGTGGCCCCTTTGATCACTGAATATACCTGTCATTAGTACACGTCGCATGTAATAGCTGCGTATCCTGGATGCAGCAAAGGGGGGCGATCGTTATCGTACCGTGGCGGGGCCTGGCTGGGACTCGAGTAGCCCTGCGAAGGTGGCTGTCCACTGGAACTGAAAGGGTTCGGAATATTACCGCGATTGAACATGGTGGATTGAAGTTATCGCAAGTCGAAGCGGTGGACGTGTGGAAGTCGTATTAGGCCACTGTGTCGGGAACCCAGCAGGTAACTGTGTAAGCCGGTGGCTGAGCGCGTTTGTCTCAGTGTTGATTACCGAGTTATTATGTTCGAGGGTGCTCGTGATTGGGACTCCAACGTAAAATAATCGCGAGCAGAAAGGTAGAGAGTTGAAGGTGAAGCTATGGGGGGGCACTTTGGCCACTCGGGAACAGCGTCGGCCCGTGGGGACGTCATTCACGATAGCTCTCTGTTATCGGCACTCAACTTCCCCCAACGCGACACTGCACTATGCCTCTGTGAGTAAAACTCTCAACAACTTCTCGTCTTACATTTGAAGACCCTAGCTAACTGATCATATCTAGTCACCTCCTGGGCAAAAAATCATGGAACGTCTACAACGCCGAGAACGTCGCCCGCGTAAAGCGCGACGAGGCACAGGCACAGGCCCGCGAAGAAGAGAATGACCGCTTGATGCAAGAGGAAGATGCCAAGCGCAGGATAAAGCTACTCCGCGGCGAATCTGTATCCCCACCTCCACCGCCTTCTCGTCCATCTGACCCGGAGACTTTATCAACGAGACATACCTCTGACGACATAAGAAAGCCCTACAAAAGAAGGCGGGTCGCCGGGGAGAATGATACAGATAGGGACATACGATATGCACGAGAAGATGCGGCCCAAGCAACCGCCAAACGCGATGAACTCGTGCGAGCCTCTCGCAAGTCTGGTACCGCAGAGGAACCCATACTAGACAGTGCCGGGCATATCAATCTGTTCCCCTCCGCAAATACTAAATCGGAGAAGAACCCCGAGGCTGAAGCTGAAGCGGCACGGAAGAAACGCAGCTACGAAGATCAATACACCATGAGATTCTCTAACGCAGCCGGGTTCAAGGAAACCATTGGCCAAAAGCCGTGGTATTCCGCGGCGGACAAGGAGGCCATGGCACCAGGCTCGACCGCCGAGAAAGATGTATGGGGGAACGCAGATCCGAGACGCAAGGAAAGGTCACAAGCTCGCATGAGTGCTAATGACCCACTTGCAGCTATAAAGCGGGGCGTTCGACAGTTGAAGACATCAGAGCAGGAGCGGAAGCGGTGGAATGAGGAAAGGCGCCGAGAACTAGACGCCTTGAAAACAGACGAGGTGAAAAGATCAAGCCACCGGCGTGCTCGATCGCCATCGGTAGACAGCCTCGATGGCTTCAGACTAGATGGACCACAAAGGGAAAGTGAGAAAGACCGAAAATCCTCCGGTGGACATGAGCGCCGCCATCGAGATCGAAGTCGCGATCGATCCCATCGTCATCGCCGGGTGAGAAGCCGAGAAAGCCACCGTCGTCGATCTGAAGGCCATCATCCTTCTCGTCATGGCCATCGCTCTCGCCACGGAGAACCCTCTAGCAATTACAGGCGTTCGAGCAGCTCTACAACAAAGAGTCGTGAATAATTAACCGCATTGTATGACCAGTGCATGACCTGAGACGACAAAGATACCCTAATGCTATTTTTCGAATGCAAAGATACTGTATTATGTGCTATGAGCTACCAATGCAGCGATCCAAAAAGCTTTTGTATGCAAGTAGCCAACTATTTTTCAGTCCATCATAAACGTAAAAACCATCATCAGTAACTATTGAAGACTCCAAAGTTGGACGCCCTTCTCATTGCTGTCAGACTCCCATTGGACACTGATGTCCACTCCGCGAGAGCCCTTCTCAGTCTTCTCATAGCCAACCTTGCCAGTAATGACCTGGCCCTTCTTCAATGCCTTAGAACCCTGCTTAGCATTATCCTTGGCGTGGTCGATGAGAAGAACTGTCTGCTGCCAATGTGTCTCGGTTCCGTAAGGCCCAGTGGTGAATGAAACAATGCCCTTCTTGGACATTTCCGAGGGAATGGCATTTTCAGGAAGGACAGACTCGCTGGAGGGCATGAAGAAAATGTCGAACCAGATCGCCCAGCCGTCCAATGCATCGATGTCTTGGTCCAATGTAACCTGGAACTCCTTCAGGAAAGACAATTCTTCAACAGTAATGGTCTGCAATGGAAGCGTCAAGAAAATTTGGGATTCTCCCACAATAGACTGAGGTTGGATGCTGCGGACTACCGCTTCATCGTAGATCTTGTGCAGCATGCTGTCCATCTTGAAGCCATAGACGTCGTTCCAGAAAGAGATGTGCGATGCAATGAAGTCTGGGTCGGCGTAAGGGGCAAGACGCATGGTGGCATGCGAGGGAGCCATGAGACCGCCGGGGACAAGGTAACGGTCTCTGGCATAGATGACAGAGTCAAACATGGCCTCGAACAAAAGACCGTAGCCCATCCATTCGGAAATGATGATGTCGACCTTCTCGACAGGAAGTGTGACTTCTTCGATCTTACCGCGGATGCAGCTATGATAGAGTTAGTGCTAGGTCACTCGTGTGGAATTCAGAGTGGACGTACGTGATCACGTCACCAAGTCCGTTATCATGGACAATTTCCTTGGCTCGATCAATGATGTTCGAGTTGTCAACGGCAATGACCTTCTTTGCGCCAGCCTTGGCGCAGAACATGGACAAGATACCAGTTCCACATCCGACATCAAGGACAACCTTGTCCTTGAAAACATTCTTGTTCTCATAGACAAAGTCGCGATAGGAGTCAGTGCGGACAGCATCCTTCAGCATAGACTCATGAATGGCTGAAGGCGATGTTAGCGGCGAATCAATGTCCCCGCTAGGCGGGAAAACTTACCGTTGTAAGCGTATGAGACGAAGTAACCGTCATCGGCCTCCTGAAGTCTATCGACAGTGTGGGCCGAGGGCTTCGGGGTGACCTCAGCAAGTTTCTCATCCTCCTTAGACAACTGGTCATCCATAGACTTTTGCACAGCCTGGCGGTATTCGGAGAACTGAGTTTGCAATTGCTCCAACTTCTCTTGGAGTTCATTGACTTGTCGATTTGTTTCGGCGCTGGGGGCCGATTCCTCACCTTGGTCGTCAGCAAGCTCATCCAAGCTGTACAAAAGAGCGTCGTCCTCTAAGACGGGCTTGAGGTAGGCGTCGTCCTCGAACTTGGACTTGGATGAAACATCTGGGTTGTTGTTTCCGTTCTTCGCTTCGCTTCGAACGTAGTTGACCAACTTGATGCTGTCAAGGAAGTCCAGATCTAGTGGCATCAGGATGGTTAGCTCCGGGATCTATTGCTTTGCCAGCGTAGCGCAGGAACGGGAAAGGAATATACCGAAGTCTTTTTGAATCTTCAGCAAGTCGAAGTTGTACTTTTCCTTGCATTCCTTCAGCATGGTGCGTGCATCAGGGTACACCTGCTCCGAAAAGAGTCCAACCACAGGTTGCGACTCCTCGTCGGCTTCAACATCTTCCCAGCCCTCTTCGTTGCTGGTATCGGACGAGCCAGACACCGAGTGAGAGTCGGGGAAGCTCTCTGCAGCAGTGGGCTTCGCAGTTTCAGAGGCAGACATGATTGTCAATACTCAATGAGATCAATTGTACAAAAATTGAAAGACCCAAAGAAGTGTAGAGGAGGGGCAAAGATAGCAATTTCGATAAAAAAAAAATCCCGTTATCAGTGGAGGCCTCAGGCACCAGAACCCCGTTGCCCCGCCCCAGGTCTGTTTATTCCTCGAATACATCACATTTGGTTCCTTGAATCTCCACTCGACTTCCCCCCTTCGGCGAGTTCGACTTGTGGCCGTGTGATCTTTGTTTTTTTGTTCTTTCAATTCCATACCTATCCTCCCCATATCGCCATGGCTTTCTTTTTCAATCGTGGCCGATCGCGACAACCCGCTGATATCGTCCGGTCAACGAAGGAATTACTACTAAGAATCCATGATTCCCAAAATGCTCCAAAGGTTGGTAATGGTCCTTTTGAAAGGGGAGTACACTTTCTCATTAACCACCCAGGCTGAAGATGAGCTCGCCAAGCAACTCAGTCAAATGAAGGTGATGGTACAGGGGACACAAGGTCAGCCTCACGGAAACCGCAGGAGCAAACAACGAGTAGACCACTAATGTTGTTTGATAGAGGTTAACACATCGCCCGATCAAGTACATGCACTCGTGCAAGCAACCCTCCAAGAAGATTTGCTCTATGATCTATCCCAAAGCATTCACCTGCTTCCGTTCGAAGCCCGAAAAGACACGCAAACCATATTCTCCCATATCCTTCGCTTTCGGCCGGTTTCATATTCAAATGATAAAGATCCCCCTGTCATCTCATGGCTGGTCCATCACCGACCAGAAGTCATTGTCGAGCTATGTCGCGGCTATATGCAAAGCCAGAGCGCCATGCCTTGTGGTGTCATTCTTCGGGAAGCATTGAAATCCGACGTAATCACCGCGATTGTCCTCTATGATCAGTCCCGCGAAGGAGAATCGGCCATCAGATTACCGGATGTAAAGCCGAATCTCCCACAAAGCGGAGAAGGTGTGTTTTGGCAGTTCTTCGATTGGATCGATAAGAGCAACTTCGAAGTGAGCGCAGATGCATTCACAACGTTCAGAGTGAGTTATGAAGTCAGCTGTCGTGACTCTGGTAGCTGACCACATAATCTGTAGGAAATTGTCACTCGCCATAAGAGCCTTGTGACTTCATATTTGGCAACCAACTTCGATTTATTCTTTGGGCGATTTAACAACATTCTTGTTCACTCAGATTCATATGTGACCAAGCGACAAAGTATAAAGCTTCTAGGAGAGATTCTTCTGGACCGTGCGAACTACAATGTCATGATGGCATACGTGGAGAGTGGGGACAACCTGAAGCTCTGCATGAAATTGCTGCGTGACGACCGAAAAATGGTGCAATACGAAGGATTCCATGTCTTTAAGGTATGGCCATCCCCCGGGGTACTACCAGACGTTCTCTCTAACATCAAACCAGGTATTTGTGGCCAACCCGACCAAGTCCGTGCCTGTGCAACGCATTTTGATCAACAACCGTGATCGCCTGTTGAGATTTTTACCAAAATTCCTGGAGGATCGAACCGATGATGATCAATTCACCGACGAAAAGAGTTTTTTGGTCCGCCAGATCGAACTGTTACCCAAAGAGCCTGTGGACCGGGCTCGGCCTGCTCGTGACTCGCCAGCTGCTAACACCACAGCAGTTGCCTGAGTTGAATCTAACGCTGGGTCATCAAAATGATCTTGTCACACCTTTTACATACTAGGTACCTTGAAGCAAACTTTGAGGCTGGGTACTATTTTAATTGCACCGACTGCCTGCAGGTTTCAAAGCCTGGGCTGCTGGAGTTATGAACGAATTGTACATTTTGGGACATATCCCTGGGAGCCTGATACCTGGTGTTCTCCTCAGGTCGCACGGTGAACATTGCACTATGGGTTTTGGCTTCACTGTGTCGTTTCTATAAATACAGACCCCAGACTACAGGACATGGTCCAAACTCCAAGCTCAAGCCCCCCGGTCTAAGGCATTGTTTTCCAACCTAAGCCTTAGCGTGCTCCACAATAATCTCCTTGCCCTGATCCACCGCGACGCGGCCCAAGGTGGGACATGAAACCCCCTTGATATATTACGGAGTGGATTGCAGACTCTAATTTAAGCCCATTGCGACGACAATGACTAGGCAATAGGATATTAAAGATTAATGAGCACAGCGTCATTGACAAAATATAGTACAAATTCCAAGATGTAGACATTGGCGGCACGATGTACAACGTAGGGTAGTGCCAAGACCTCCCCCAAAATACTCCACACCCTCTCCGTATTGTCTCCCAATTTTAGTCTCGAGCCTCTCTCTTGACCCTGAGGAAGTTCCGAACTGGTGGTTTTACCGTTGTCACTCCTTTGGTTGTTTCTCCAGTTACTCGCTTAATTTTCCTCCAGCCACCCTCGCTCCGAGTCGACGCGCATCCCTTGATACTTGCGATTCTAGCACGCGATCCGCAAGTCATGCCGGGATAATGGTGAATGAGACTCCTGCATCGTTATCACCCGACCGGTCGGAGTTCCAGACAATTCAAACAGTGCCTTTCGAGAACACCGTTGCGGTTGACACCCCTCTTGCGATTCGGTCGGTCTCGTTGCCCACGCCCCATGCGCCATCAGGCCCCAATGGCAGGTCCTTAAGCACGAGCGCTGCGTCAACTGGTTCTGGTGACAATTCGGCGCCCAGTAATCCGTTTTCTCGGCTTAGACCCTTCACACCCTCCGGAGATGATAACCGAACCGTTCGATCGGAAGGCCCGCCCTCGTTGCGGAGCGTACCCAGCATCACAGTGAATGAACCAGGAGCCCGTCCTGGTTCACGACCGGGCTCTCGTTGGTCGGAGCGCAAATGGGGAGGACTGAGAAAACGATCGGGGGAGATGGACCGGAAACTGAGCTCGGAGGGATCGCCCCCTCCAGTGCCTCAGATCGAACGTTCGTTCGCCGGAATCCCCCTGGATATACCTACGTCCTCTCTAGAGGCTTTGAACCAGCCGATGAAGTTCTCCAATCGTGGAAGCTTGATCAAGAGTGCAATGAATCGTCCACACCCATATCGGCCCCAGGATAAGCTAGAGGAGCATCCTGGTCAAGAATTGGGCAAAAGCACGCAACCAGAATCGAAAGAGCACTGCGGTCAAGGAAATGGCCAACTGCCAGGGGAGGAGTCGAGAGATACCCCAAAACAGCAATCGAATCAAGCTTCCCCCGAGGCGACGCCACCTCCCTCCACAGCGAAATCTCAGCCTGAGGGAGAAAATGGAACTCCGAAGGTTGTCCCTCGACGAGCCAGTACCCTCCGGCCCAGACAAATGAGTCTTCCGAGCAGGGCTATATCAGCAGACGAAGAAATGCTGTCACGCCGAGTCCGGCTAATGTACGAGAAGGGCGAAGATAACGTCACGGACTCTGAGGTCGCGAAAGCAATAGCCTCTGAGAATGGTGTTCTGTGGGAAGAGGGCGCGCACCCAGAAACCGAGACATCTGAAACACCATCCATGCTGGGAAATGAGACCAACGCCGAACCGAAACCAAGAGCGTCCGCCGAAGTAGAGCGGCGTCGAATCAAGAGAGAAACCCAGGAACTAGCAGGGGGTGCTGAGTACTGGCAAAATGTCGGTGTCGAAGAAGTTGACCGCTACGGTTTCATTCGTCCAGCGACAAACTCGAAGGGATCTGAGATCAATCCTCTACAGCGAGTTACCACTAGCCTGCTGTTGGCATCTGAAACACCTCGACGGAAGCGGTCTATCCGTCCACCAACTGCCCCGGCCAGTAATCGCTCATTCAATGGCCCTTCTCTAAACCGCAAGGTATCCCAGAGCTCGTTGGGTAACCGCCCCACTTCGTCACAAAGCAACTATAGTGCACCGTTGCGCCGCTCCACCTCACGCCTTCGCACTGCGACCAATCGCCTTCCTCATAACCGAGACCGCAAAGCCAAGGATGAGGCAGCTGATATGCTTACTCTACCTTCTGAGTCCGTTCCTGGCGAGAGCGAGGACACCCAAACCACCCGTGCGATGCGGAGAAAGGAGTGGCAGCGTGAAGACAAGTGGACCAAAATGGCTAAGCCCAAGAAGAAATTCAAGGACGGCGGCGGTATGACATTTGAATTTGATACGCGGAGCTCAAAGTTGATTGAGCGAACATGGAAAGGTATCCCAGATCGATGGCGAGCAACTGCATGGTATTCTTTCCTTGAAGCCAGCGCCAAGCGCCATGAGGGAAGTCCACCAGAAGACGAGCTCATTGAGGCCTTCAATGAACTGCAGTATGTGTCATCGCCTGACGATGTCCAAATTGACATTGATGTTCCGCGCACAATTTCTAGCCATATCATGTTCCGGAGACGATACAGAGGTGGCCAAAGATTGCTCTTTCGCGTTCTTCATGCCATGTCCCTATACTTCCCAGATACGGGCTATGTACAAGGCATGGCAGCTCTCGCAGCCACTTTGCTAGCATACTACGACGAGGAGCATGCCTTCATCATGCTTGTCAGGCTGTGGCAACTGCGTGGATTGGAGGAACTCTACAAATCCGGGTTCGCCGGTCTAATGGAAGCCTTGGCCGACTTTGAACGCGAGTGGTTAGCCGGGGGAGAAGTGGCCACAAAACTGGTAAGAATCGCCCCCAATGTAAGCGAGCAGTCACTAACGACCCAACTCACAGAACGAGGTTGGAATCCCACCCACGGCCTATGGCACACGCTGGTACCTCACGCTTTTCAACTATTCAATTCCCTTTCCGGCTCAGCTTCGGGTTTGGGACGTTTTCATGCTTCTTGGTGATGCCGAAGATAGCACTGGCCCTCACTCAAATTCTGCGAAGAACAAAGATCAGCCTGAAAACCCTAGAACTTTTGGTCAAAGTCTTGACGTTCTGCACGCTTCTTCTGCCGCTCTTATTGACGGCATGCGAGACATTATTCTCGAATCTGACTTTGAGAACATCATGAAAGTTCTTACCAGTTGGATCCCCATCAAAGACACCGAGATGTTCATGCGTGTCGCCAAAGCAGAATGGAAAGTACATCGCCGCAAGAGACACTTTTAATTTTTCCTTTGGTCGAGGCTTGAGGCACCAGTCCTTACCCTCGTCACTAATCATTCCCCCAATAATCGACCCTATGGGTGTGCTTTTACACTAATGACCACAGCTCACACTGTGGGGCCTACCATAATGCCCTCTTATCTATACCCTGTTCAATTGGATTCACAGGCCTGTTATCCAGACAGTCTGCCTATGAGAACACCCCTGTTTGGATTTTCATCACCTCACGCTCTTTCATTCTGTCACACTCCCAGAACCTAATACCTTTGATGATTATTGGACCTTTCACACTTTCTTTTTTTTTTTCTCTTTTGGTCAAACCCTTCTTCTCGCCTGTTCTCGGATCCTTATGTATATTAACTGGCGACAGGATCGGTGATCCTTGTTGTACCCCCGGGCCCATCAGGCCCGATGTGTGTTTAATTGGGACTTGGAACTTTTCAAGGCCCACGAGATCGATTATCGTTGTTTGATTGATGAATGGGCACTTCGTATATCCCCTCACCGGGTGCATGCGAAGGCCCGACTAATCTGATACCCAATACATTAATAATATCACTTGATGTCGGGAGATTCTGTTCTTGCTTTTAGCTACGCAGAAAGTCATAAGTTGCTCCCTCTTTGTCTCTTCCTTGGTTCACGTCGATCTAATCCTGGTGTACGTCAATCTCAGGTACCTCTAGGGCTAAATTCAAGGTTTGCAGTCAGGCTCGTCACATCAATAACTCTCGAAGAGGCACTTTTGTATTGGAAACATCCAAACAGCCTATAACTACCTCTATCCAAGCAGTCCCTTTCCAGTTTTGGCTCCCAAATTGCCTTTATCAACATAGGTCTCCTTCAGCCAGTCCCTAGCAGTGGTGTCTAGGTCACGCTGCTCAGTATACACAACCTCGATATTGTACACAGTATCCAATCCAACCGTATCCATCATCTGACAAGGGCCCTTGGCGGCCTTGAACCAGCCCTTGAACATCTCATCAATGGTATGGCCATCGCTCACCCCCTCAGCAAGGACGAGCAACACCTCTCGCTTGATGGACGCCCAGATCCGATTGAAAACCAAACCCGTCGACTCAACCTTGGCATGAACAGGCTGGAAACCCGCACTGGCAGCCTTCTCCATCAAAAACGGAAAGATGTCCGGGTCCGTCTGGCCACACGACATGACCTCGTAGTACGTCTGCTCCGGCGGCATATAGTAGTGACCGTTGCAGATGCGGTAATTGTTCTTCGTTTTGACGATCATCTGGCTGGTCCGCAGCGAGGACGAGTTGCTGGCGATTACACAGTCCGGCGGGGCGATGGCGTCGATTTCAGCCAGGATCTCGATCTTCATCTCCAGCTTCTCGGGCACGGCTTCAATCACCATCCATGCATTTCCGGCAGCTTCTTGCAGAGAATCGGTGACTTTCAACTCTGCGACCTCCGTGCCTAGCTTCGCGGCTTGCTTGTCTTTGTTCTCTGTGATGTAGTCCACTGCGCCGTCGTAGTCATCCATTGACTTCTCGCACAGGATTACTTTGTATCCTGCGGATATCCACATCATGGAAATTCGGCGGCCCATTACGCCTGCGCCAATGACGGCGATTGGGCGGGTGCTTGTGTCCGGCTTAGTCCATGGTGTCGATGGCATTGTTCCTTTTCGATTGAAAGTGGGAGTTGGGATAGGAATGAGTCTGGGAGAAAAGACAGGAGTTGAGCGAGACTCATTGTGGCACTGAACTGAGTGAATGGGGTCAAGATAGGGTGGCACCGTGGTATTATGATGCTATAATGATAGAACTTTGTCGGGATACTCCCGCCGCCGAAGGAGATGATCTCACTCTGAGAACAGACGTGAGTGGCTGGCTTCGGGGACCTTGTGTGAACTCTAGGGCTGCAATTGTAAAGCTTCTGACAACTCTGATTGCAGAGTAAATTCACCCTTGAGGTTTGCTCAAGGCACTTTAGAAATACCCGTAGACTACTCAAGTATGGTAGTGTCAACCGTGAGTCTGACCTCGGGAACCCTGGGAGCAGCCCTGGAGAGGGCTCAATGGTTTTAAGAGAAGTGCATTACTGGTTGCTGGTAGCTGAGTTTTACTTAAGTAATTGTTCATTGTCATTATTCGCCAGCTTAAGGCTGAAATAATGTCCAAAAGAAATACTGAACTTAGAAGCTGTGTATCCCTCGAAGTATATATGGAAAACCGAAGCCTCAAACCAAGCTTATGGCCACCACTGCCCAGTCCCAGACCCGTAAGATTAGGCGAAAGTCTTTCAAGTCCTTTGCCCCTAAAGTCAAAGCAATAGTGACCTCGGGAGTATGACAGGCGCAAATGTCAAAGGGGAAGTACCCCTCACTTTACATAGTCGATCCCCCGACTTTTCGGACTTACCCCGGGTCACACTATCCCGTTTAGGGAATGTCAGGGAGTTTAAATACTTCGCGGAATGAACTCCGTTACTTTCTTCTTCTCATCGTTCAAAATGGCTGACACAAAGGCTGTCAAGGAGAAGCCCTCCACTCAGCAATTCGAAGATGCCATTGAGAAGTCCCCATACAGCGCAGAGAGCAAGATGAATGGAATATCTGCAGATGCGGAAGGGCGCAGTCTGGGTCCGCCATCCTTTGAAGGCGTAGACGAAGCTGCAGTGCTCAGGAAAATGGACATTCGTTTGATTCCCATGCTCAGTATGCTTTATCTACTGGCATTCTTGGACCGAGGCAATATCGGAAATGCGAAAATTGAGGGGCTTGTGGATGACCTGCATATGACAGGGCCACAATACAATTGGACTTGTAAGATACTTTGCGTCATGCTACTCAGCAGCCCTGAAATCTGTTTAGGGTTGCTCGGTTGTTGAGATTTCACTGACATTGGCTTTCTTATAGTGACCGTTTTCTTTTTCACCTACTGCGTCTTCGAATTGCCGAGTAATCTGCTTCTCAAGAAGCTCAGACCGTCGAGATGGTTGCCATTGATTATGGTTGCTTGGGGGATCGTTATGGTGGGAGACCTTCACCTCCAGCAGATGCCAAAAATCATTTCTAATAATGGATGATCTCATACAGACATTGATGGGAGTCGTTAAAGATTACGGCGGACTGCTAGCTACACGTCTCTTTTTGGGTGTTGCAGGTACGTAAAGAAATGTCCTTCCTTCCAATATCCTTGCTATGATGGATATTAACCCGTTGTTGCAAATTTAGAGGCAGGCTTATATCCTGGTGTCGCATACTACATCACTTTGTGGTATCCACGACACCGAGCCCAATTCAGACAGGCCATGTTCTTCAGTGCAGCTAGCGTAGCTGGTGCCTTTTCAGGGCTTCTCGCATACGCCATTGCCGTGGGTAGACTCTCCCACTCATTCACGATGGTGATGCTAACTCTTCTCCCAAGAAAATGGACGGTGTCGGTGGATATGCTGGCTGGAGATGGATTTTCATCCTCGAAGGACTTCTCACTGTTCTTGTAGCTCTCGTGGCTCCATTCGCGATCCACGACTCTCCGGAAACCGCTACTTTCTTGACCGAGAAAGAGCGTCAATTTGTGATTCATAGCCTTCGGATTCAAAATTCGTCAGACTCGCATGAAATGGTTGTTAAGGATGATAAATTTCAATGGCGTTATGTCTTTGATGCTTTTACCGATTGGCAAATCTGGCTGGGTTTGTTCAGTAAGTGACGCGCGAGCCAATGCATCTCCGAAATTCCTCTTGCTAACGACTCATAGTGTATTGGGGAATTACTTGCCCGTTATATGGCATTTCGCTGTTTCTTCCATCTATCATCAAAGATTTAGGCTACAAGTCATCGACTGCGCAATTGCTCACTGCAAGTATAGCAACCCTACTGCTGTCGATAAAGCTCTAACCCTGGGCTCATAGGTACCGATCTACATCACGGCCGCCATTGTGGCCGTCATCGCAGCATGGGTTTCAGACAGACGCAAGCAGCGATCTCCATTTATTCTCTTCTTCATGGGCATGATCGCTATAGGCTTCATAATGTGTCTTGCATCTACTGGTCGTGGTGTTCCAGGCGTGATGTATTTTGGCATTTTCGTGGCGGTAGTTGGTAAGTACACAGACAGGATTCCAACTTATCGTTGCGCCGTTGCTCACTCAAACCTAGGCATCTACCCTGCATTCCCTGGAAATGTCACTTGGCTTAGTGTTAACATGGCCGGTGATTATAAGCGTGCTGCTGGAATGGCCATCTATATTGGAATTGGTAACTTGGCTGGAGGTAATGATAGAAATTCCGAAAAGATTGAGTCTTTACTAACAACACTGTCTTAGCTATGTCATCAAATTTCTACCGCGCCCAAGATGCACCGAATTACATCCTTGGCCACTCCCTTGAGCTAGCGTTCGTTGTTGTTGGTATGATAGCAGCTGTGGTTTTGCGCCTGGCATATCAGCGTATTAACAAGAAGCGTGATGCCATGGACCCTTCAGAATATCCATCAGACCCTGACTCGTTGGGTGATCGCTCTCCACTATTCAGATACATGCTATAAGAGGAGGGGAATTTTTTTAATGAGTGGTGATTGAAACTCATTCTATTGGGAGTATGCATTGATCCGCTGCACAGATTTTCCAAGCTAAGACTGTGCTGTGTCATATAAATCAAATGTGATCCCGAAGTCTAAGGATGTTTTGAAATTTTGCACTACTTGAGCCTCGAAGTACGAATTGAAGGCAATCCGTTTGAACTATATGGCTAAAACAAGCTATAGGAACCTTGCAAATCACCCGAGGAAGAAGCAGCTGGTACAGTCTCTTTGCATCACATATTAAATGATTTACATCCAGTGAGCATCTTGAATTAGAATCTCCGACGCATGATGCGCACCGCCATTAAGTTCGAAATAACAAAGTCCCGAGTTACTTATGGCCTCCCCACCCTAAATCGACATGCCCTGATGAGACACACAGTAGTTCCAGACTCACCAGATCATCTCCGTTATACATATGAGTTCGAGGAGCGAATACCTCAAAACCCCTGTTTTGAGATTCATACCAAAGGTGTGATATTGATGCAACAGGTCCAGCAGCCTGGTTGCGCTGTAGTTGAGTTGCACCCAAAGGTGATGGCCCCAAATTCCCTCTTTGTGTACCACTCGAGAATAGGGCTGTTGAAACTAACCGGGCTGCATCCACTGGCACGTGAAGAATTCTTCACGGAGTTCGGCTTTTTAGCCAAGGATCAACGACTCGAAGGTGTATACATACGACTGGAGCTGCACAGAGTACAGCTGCAGGGAGGCAGCCTTGGGTGCAGAGCTGGTAGTTGCTGGCCACAGGAACTGGGATAAAACCAGGAAACACAAACCCGTCGAATGCTGTGTTGTTTGCTGGCAGAGCCAAGGCTTGAGCAAACAGCAAGGCCAGGGTAGGTAGGATATATCCAGACATATCTCAGGTGGAGGAACTTGGAAACCTCGATGTAATGATGAACCGCAAGTCGTTTTCGAGGAGGGGAAGTGAAGCTCGGGTCAAGTGTGCGCTCAAGTCCTTTATGAATGTTTGAGTCAGATCCATTAGTTCCTATTGTGCTACTTGAATATGCCTGTTCGACACTGTATAACAGAACCGCCAATGCGAAACCAACCGAAGCCTTGCCCTAAATCTTGGTCCATGTTACGAGAACACGAGATTTTACTGAGAATTCTAGATCAAATAAACATTATCCTTTGTCGGAATACTGACTTATAATCATCATTTCTAAAGTTTGATATAGAGCAAGCCCCCACGAGGGCCTGAAGGCAACTATAGTACCAACCACAGGGAAGATCTGCTTGATGATATCTCTTGTCATGAGCAACATTCTATTTTGAAACCGACATTGTTTCCAGGGCTACTCCATATAGCTTTCATGCAGGCTTCGTTCGGGATTGCATCTGTGCCAGTTGGTGCATCAAGCGTGAAATCAGAAGCCGTACTCCCCAGATTATGCATGGAAACAAGGTTATTATCATTCTTGATTTGAAGTCACCCATAAATTGGTTCATATTTATTCCTCAATTTCGAGCCAAATCAAGAGGACATCATTTTCTCTGGGACTCGCTGGAGCCTTCGACTATTTTTGGCCGACGCAAATCTCACTGATTCGGGAATGGCGTCTGCCTGATAAACGATATTCAGACCAAGCCTAAAGCCAGGGCTTTGATTCCTCTATGCGACAATCAAAATCTCTGAACATCCAGATCTCTTAAAATATCCATAGTTCAAAGTTCATTGTCTGAAGCCGTTGCTTCCCGTTGTTTGTGATTGACCGCCCTGGAGCCGCGTGTTCACTTTGCCGCTCCCTCTGACACCTCCGATCATCAGTGCATCTTTGATTCTAGATCTCTTTCTCTCTCAAATCTACCTAGCCCACCATGACGCTGGCTGAAGAGTTCCGTTCGCGCAATTTTAGTATGTTCCCAGTCACTGGTTTGCTCCATTCGCTTCTGTGACGCCCTCTAATCTTTTCTAGGCATCTATGGTCAATGGTGAGTGTCAATCACAACGCGACTTGCGCCCCGCGACTCGATCAACCGTCTTTTCTACCGGCCTGGGCATGGTCGCAGGGGATTATCAAGGCTAGTTCATTGGGCTGCTGCTTGATACTTCCTGCGACAGACCTGAGACACCCTGCACCGAGCATCCGCGTAGCATATACAGGGATGGGTCTAACCAGCTTTCTAGGACCGGTGTATTGTGCATTATTCTCTGCCTTGCCCTTGGAATCGCCAACATCTTCTCCTTCAATGCCGTCCTGATTATCTTCAGTTGTCTTTGCATGTGAGCTGGAATCCCTTCGGCCTGTCATGCCACAAGCTAATCCCAATTAGTGCTTCGGCATTCGTTGTTCTCTTCATTGAGGTTCCCTTCCTGCTTCGAATCTGCCCTACCTCCCCCAAATTCGATTCCTTCATCCGCCGTTTCACCACCAACTGGATGCGCGCTGGCATCTATGTCGCTCTCAGTGCTATTCAGTGGGTCAGCCTTGTCAGCAGAGCCTCCAGTCTGATCGCTGCTGCTGTGTTCCTTCTCATCGCAGCAGTATTCTACGCCCTCGCTGCTGTCACGAAGCAGGAATTCGTTGGCAGCAAGACATTGGGTGGCCAGGGAGTTGCGCAGATGATTGTGTAATCGCAACTACGATAACGCCGAGCCCTCCATGCTTTCTACTACACCGAATATCTTTTTCGGGTTGTTCCCAGCATTGGAAGCGTTGGGCGACACGATCAGATGCCTGATGCCACCATTGGGAACCACAAAATGCCACATGGACAACGTGCACTGGAACGCGCTATGAATTGGTTTTGAGTCTTTATTGCCCTGTACTTGTATGCCTTGGTCTGGTTTGGGATAACCCTGCTGAGCATGTCTTTGGTTTCAAAGTCGTTGAGCGTTCCTACAGCTGATATATCCTTGTTTTTCTTTTAACCCTTTTTTTTACGCGGGCCACCAGAATAGGAGTTTTCGCTGTTTCAACCGACATACGGAGTTCTCTGTATTTGTGATCAAGCTTGCCAAGCAGCGTTGTTGTAGTCATGGAAAGTCGGGCTCTTGGCCTTGGGGGGTCGAAACCTTCAATGCTGGAAAGTAAGCGGCCTTATTCCGACCCGATTATGAATCATGCCATTCCCTGCGTTTGGCAATTCTTAGGCACCAGAGCCAGATTTCTTGGCTCGTTCTGTACCTCTCCAATGGGGACATTCTCCATCTCAAGTTTCGATTTATGCAACGTAAGGTGGAGCCCAACCTCGGGAGTATGAGATTACCCCGCAAACTGCTCAGGAGCCTTTTGCTGCTCTGCAATGCGCTGCACGCTGTAGATAACTTCTGAGAGGTGGCCTCTAATGATTCATACCGAGGAAGGGACTCGATATGGGAATGCTAGATGTTGAGAAAGGTATCAGCAGTAGGTCATTGCACGTTGTAGATCCCAATGCGGAGAACCTGTATGATCGACCAATCCAATGGAAGAGAGATAACATGCCTAAGCTGGTTTCTCCGGACTTTGTATCTTACTCGTACTCCCAATGCTGTCTGGGACTCACGGGTACCTATCCTACTCGTACATCCTCTTATCGGATTTCTACTTGATTTAATATTGGGCATTTAAAGGGATTCGTACTCCGTACCTAGGCAGTCTAGGCACATCAGACAGCTGGTGAACGAGCTGCCCACAATTTTTGGTTTAATCTTGGGCTATACGCAACGCGATGACTGGCTTTCCCAGATATCAGCTTATTGTGAGACATTTCAACACTCAGAAGACTGAGTACCCGAAAATGGTAATCTCGCCATGAGGTCATGTTTTGAATTACATTACGAATACGACAATACGGCACTTGCGGTCAGAGCACGTCAGGCGTGTACGAAGAACTAGAGCGGCCAGGCCGGACGATGCCCTGATATGCCTGATTTCTACCTTGATCCTTGTCTTAGTGCCGGGCTTTTGGCAGGCAGAAAACAGATATCTGATCAATGCAAACAAAGCAACTATGTATCTGTTTTTCAATTGGCTAGGGAGTCTACCTTGCTACCTGATATTCCTCACTTTTAGGGTTCTCTTTTCCTTTGCCACTACTATCGTAGACCTACTCTAACTACTACTTAAGTACTCCATGATGATAAAGTTTGTATCGCTGTATACCCGAGAATCTCTTCTCGATAAAGATTGACATCAATTCGTCAAAGCATGCTTTGTAGTACGGAGTATGAATGACTGTAGGGTTGAGCCATCAACGCCTAAGAACGTAAGAACGAGAGGATAGCTTCATTGTGCAATGCACGGGCGGTGTATACAGCGGTGTATACGGCGGTGTAGAATCAGCGCAAATCAGGCAGATTCGAGTATCATTCAACGTGGCCGCTCTCCCCCGTCGTAGGCCTGGCAGAAAGGAACATACATCATCGTTGTCCCCAACTCGGCTTTCGAATTGCATCGGCTTTGCTCGAGGCAATTTGTTCTTGTTGTCCTTGAGGACTAAAATCTGACGTCTCAGCATCTTTGGGTAAGCAGATCCTCAATATTCTTATTCGTTTGTCTCTGCATGTATGCTTGGGCTCTCCTGTGTCAACCATAGCTCTTCGATGATCCAACTCCTGCAAGTTGGAGAGGACCGTGTGTATTGTGACAAGAGCCCTAGCTGCCGATTGGCATGAGGAATCTCGTGGAACCGCTGCTCACCCGCCAATAGCTTTCAGTGTATCATCATGTCAACCCAAGCTCCCCCGGCCATTCCTCCCCGGCCGTCTCGTTCTCCCCAACCGCCGTCCTCATCGTCGCTAGAGATGCCGAAGATACCACCTCGCCCGGGAAACCGCCGCAATGACCGCTCAGTCTCGCCGATGCGTGATAGCTATGCCCCTTCGCCGTTCAATGAATGGACCGGCCCTGGAATGAGCCGTACCGTATCAAATGACGTACCCCAGCGTCCGCCTAGTGTCACAATACCATCTCTGGGCGAGGAGGGAATCGAGTACGCCGACCTTGACCCGGGGAATGTGTCAGATAACCACCATCAAACCCCCGCGGAGACTCGGAATGTCAGCAGTGATCTGAAGATCCATGCACCAAGACCCTCGTTGCCCACATCAAGTGCGGAAGCTCAGGTCCAGGCTGTTACTCGCACTGATTCCCGGCAGGCCGCTGCAGCTGGATTGGGTCGCGGGGGTTCACCCGAACAAGAACGCCAAAGTCGTGAGCTACACTCCCAGACCAGCGGTTCTCGTGCGGATTCGTCCACTGCGCCGAATGATCGCAGGTACTCGACTCAGCACCCAGATGAGCAGGGCTTCCGGGTGCCGATGTACCCTAACGCTGGGGACGTTCAGGCTCCTTCCCCAAGCCCTCATGTCGACCAAGGCTCACAGCGATCCGGTCGTAACCATAACCGTTCCCGTAGTACACGGGATTCTTCACTGCCTCCTGGTAGCTATGGGCTCCATGGACATGGTGTTCAGCAATCAGACAAATTCGAGAAGGCTTGGTATGAGAAGCATCCTGACGAATTTGCTAAAGAGGAAGGCCAATATGGCCCCGGTGTCGGGACCCCACGCCCTGATTGGGCTTTGAGCAGTGATGATCTGAACAAGATCGTGCGTGGCTCTGCACAGACTGGATCGGGTCTGGGTCAGTATTTGGAATAAGGGTGTTATAAACTGGAAGCTAATCAGTAGCAGGTACTTCTCCAGGTGTTGTGGGAACCCCTGATGAAGAAGTTGGGTACATGGCCTCCGATGAGTATATCCATCGCATAGCGTCTCCCCCACCTGAGGCACGCCACGAAAGCCAGCCAACTATTGAATCACCTCTCCGACAAATGAGTTTCCCCTCGGAAGCTGCGCCAAAACTAGTCGGATCACCCCTTCGTGATCGTAAATCTAGTTCGCATGGAAACCATGAGGGTGGAGTTATTCACGTGGATGATCCGAAGCACCCTTTGCATCACCCTGACGGATTTTCTGCCACCCCTGCGTTAGAAGAGAACGATCCCTTATCCGATGAGATGAAGAATGACGAAGATCCAATCCTGGCCGCTGATCAAGTCCGTCCCGAATCGGCGTACCTCCATCCTGCCATCTCGCCCACATTTGATCGTCGGGGTAGCTTCGAGGACGAAGCCCGCAGTCGGAACCCCAGTGTGTCACATAGTCGTTCGCACAGTCGATCGGCGAGTGCCCAGGTCCAATTCCCGACATTGACACGCTATGATTCGCGGGAAGATACACATACCCCCCTGGAGGATGTCGAGGAATATGAGCCATTGTTCCCCGAGGACGATAACAAGAAGGATACACCTGTTTCCGCTACGGATCGATTCAAGAAGCGGCCTGACATGCTCAAGCACAGGTTCCCAAGTCAGGATATTTGGGAAGATACCCCCAATAGCCTGCAGCTCCATGCTACTGTTACTACTCCAGACGTTCCTGCCCAGGACTCCCCCGAGACCTTCGAAACGCCTGAGCAGGAAGCTACACGCAGAATGCAAGCAGACAAAGTCGACTCACATCAGGTTGCAAGTCACATTCTGGAAGGTGAAGGTGCCAGGGAAAAGCTTGTGCGACCCGACACATTGAAGCAACGCTTCCCCAGTAATGATATCTGGGAAGATGTCCCCGAAAGCCAGCGTCTTGTCACCACCGTCGAGCCTGCCAAGGAAGAAGTGAAGAGCCCCGAGGTACCATCCAAGCCTACGCTCCCCGCTCGTCCACAGAGACAACCCCAATCTTCACCGATCGAAAAGCGCCAGCCACCAAGCATCCCCGAGAGGCCAAAGCCCCAAGTTCCCGCCCGTCCCACTAAGCCTAGCTCTCAGGTTCCAGCAGCTAGCGAGGAGACCCCGAAGGAGGCTCCTGCAGTGAAGCCCAAGCCTGCTGTTCCAGCTCGTCCGGGTGGCAGCAAAATCGCGGCTCTGAAAGCTGGGTTCCTCACTGACTTGAACTCACGCTTGCAACTCGGTCCCCAGCAACCCAAGCCTCAAGAGGAAGTGCCCGAAGCGCCAGTTGAGAAGCAGCCACTGAGTGATGCCCGCAAGGGAAGAGCCCGCGGTCCAGCTCGTCGTAAACCTGCTGTGGAAAAGCCTGCTGCAGAGAAACCCGCTACTGCGCTTCCCACTCTCCCTGAGATCAAGATCACGGAATCCTTGAACGTCTGGCAGGTGGGCCAGGACGGCAGAGTGACTGTCGGACCGGGCAGCAAGGCTGAGAAGAAACCTGTTGATCTCGGGGACAAATCTCTACATCCCGTACAGTCAATGGCCCCTCCCATCGCCCAGAACGCCGCCGGTGAATCTGTAGACCCGACACCTGAATCATCTGAACCAGCAGATGCTAGCTCGCTACAAACAAGCCAACCAGAGGATGAGACCGACCATTTGTCCACCGAAGAAACCGTTCTCGCCGAGCCCACCGAGCCCTCTGTGGCACCGATTCAACCTATTCTCAAAGAAGCTGACGAAGAGAAGGCAGCAAAGGTGGTCGAGTCACCCGAGGTCCCAGCCACGGCCACTCCACAGACAACTGAAATCCCTCCTTCACCCAAGCTGGAGGATACCATTGAAGAGATGGCTGCATCTGCGGATGGCAAGAGAGAGTCTGACGGGCATGTCCACCAAGTGGAGTAGTTTCTTTGGCCCAATTTGTCTCAACGCCCATTAGGGCGTGGATGCGTAGCCAACGCTACTTAAACTACCAGATCGACTATTCACAGCTAATTTACTTTGTCTGTTTAACGAGCGTTATTTCATGATTAACTGAACTGCCATCATATCTTGGTTTTATTGTACTCTGTAGTGTTAGTGGCCTTTTAGTCGTACGCAGTATGGAGCACTCCAAAATGGGATTTCCAATCATCCCAAATCCTAGCCTTGTTCACATTCAGTGTTTGAAAAGAAAATAAATCAGATTGATAGAGTCTGGACAACTGCATGTCCGCAAGCAAGCCCATATCCGGGAACGGACCTTTAGACCCTTGACCGCCTTTGACAGCCGCGGCTCATTGCCGCCTTTAAGAGACTCGACCTCCCCATGTGGGGACTCTTCTTTGGGGCATTACACACTTGGTTTTGCGCCATTCTTCGGAAAATGCTGAGCCTGTCTCTCAAACTACCGAGCCCATAGGTATTGCCTTGAACTTCACCACATCTATGACGTCCATCCCAGAATACTCTGCTGCGGGCAGAACCAGGTCCTCCGATGGAGCGACCGCCAGCTCTGATGCAAGCTCCACATTCCAAGTTTCATCGACCGAGTCGACTGAGTCAACAGAGGGCATCGAAACGGTATTTCTCAACAAGGAAATTCCAACTACAAGTCCCGAACTAGACTTGTCTGTCAAACCGTTGAATGGGTCACCACAGTCATCACAACCCCACACCGATGACGATGAACCGCGCAAATGCTGGATTTGCTACACAGACGAAACGGAGATCTCGCCGCTGAATCAGGAATGGCGGTCGCCATGCCCGTGTGCCTTGACAGCTCACGAGGCCTGTCTTCTTGACTGGCTTGCAGATATGGAGAACCCGAAAACACGCAAGAACAACGCCGGAGGCGTTACGATGCAATGCCCACAGTGCAAAACAGAGATTGTCGTCACCCGTCCTCGAAGCTACATGGTCGATGCTCTTCGGTTGGTTGAGCGGGTTGCCGGTCGACTGGTCCTTCCAGGCATGATGTTTACTGTGGCGGGTACAGTATGGGCTGGATGCTGTGCGCATGGTGTTTACTCCATGTATTTCATTTTCGGAACAGAGGAAGCCAAGCAAATCATGGACGAAAGCATGGACGGCCCATGGAACCCGGGTTTGAACATTGGTCTACCTTTGATTCCTCTTGTCCTCATCTTCTCTCGCACGCGCTACGCGGAAGGTCTGCTCCCAGCCATTCCAGTGCTTTTCTTCGCTGCCCATAACCCGGCACAAGAGCCCGATTTTGACCTGTGGCCTCCTACGCCTTCTATCGCATTTGCAGCACTTCCATATGTGAAGAGTTTCTATGGTGCACTCTATGAGCGACTATTTGGCAGCCTGGAGAGAAAATGGATCGCGGAGGTTCAGCCGCGGGCGGCGGAGGAAATTCTAGATGATGCACAGCAACAAGATCAGGCAGAGGGTCTTCACCGCTTCGGGGATAACGGCAATGGACAGATTCTCATGGAAATCGATCTTGAACTCAATGTCGGAATGGGCAATGAGGAGCAAGCCGAGCAGGCTCAACCTGTTGGCGCCGACGAAGATGCCGACGCTGCCGACGGACAAGCACAAAACCCGGAGCCAAACGAGAACCCACTTGGACTTGGACGACGACAGAACGAGATCATACACGACACCGGCAATCTTGCAGATATCATACTTGGCGCGTTGGTCTTCCCGGCAATCTCAGCTTCCATGGGTGGCATCCTCAAATGCGTTCTGCCTAAAGCCTGGACAACACCGTCCACAGTTCTAGAGCGAACTCGTCCAGGGCTCCTCCAGACTCGCTGGGGCCGCAGTGTTCTCGGCGGGTGCATGTTCGTTCTGTTGAAGGATGCATTGGTCCTTTACTGCCGTTGGAAACTGGCACAAACGCACCGTCGCCGCAAGGTTCTCAATTATGATCGGGCTAAGAAGCATCAAGCTTCGAAGAGATCCACCCGGTAGCTCTGAACAGCCGCTTGTCCCTTGTTTTGAGTCAATACCCCTCTCCATTTCATTTCGGCGCACATTTTGCATTCTTTGGCGTTCTTATTTTCATCCTACCGGGCCGACACTTCGACGGTGATGCCGCTTTATGGCCTCCACTCAGTTGAACATTATTCTTTCATCTCCGGGCTCCGCTCTTTTGTCGGAGGCAAGTTGCAATCTTCCAGAAGACACCGAGTGATATTTTTGTATCTATCATCAAATATTGAACAATTCTCACTCTATAATTAGGCCGCCATATTATCAGATTTTGAGTAATAGTACATCTGAACTATGGAGTAAAGACCGTGGTGTTATAGGTCATACAGCGGCAATGACGATCTCTTTAAGCGCGCGGCTAAATAGGCGGACTGAATTCTGCCATCAGGGAATTATCCCCCCGAGGAACTCAATTCAATTGCATTGAGACCTTCCCACTCCTTTCACACCAAAGATACCCAACACAATGCGGTCTTTATCACCAGCTCTCGCATCACTTGCGAATGTATTCAAGATTCCCATGTCAATGGCGCCGGTCCGCCCATCCATCTCCCGGGCATGCCACGAGACCCTGAACCGCCAAACACAACAGCCCGGACCCGTCACCGCAGCTCTGCAGTCAGCACCCTTCTCGACCACAAGTGCATTGGCGAAGAGAAAGAATGGCCCCACCGTCGACAAGCGCATTAGTACGTTCCACATTGACAGCGACCCCGACCCTCGGAGCTCTTCGCGACGAACAAAACACGTCTCAGAAGAACCATGAACTAACTTATTACCCAGCTCTCATCCGCTACTTCCTTCACCACCCTCTCACTCCCCGTCCTCTCCGTTTCTCTCGTAACCGTTACCTTCGTCACTGGACCATCCACCGCGCCTGGCAATTGTTCAAGGCCCAGCAGCGCCGTCAGCAAGAACTCGAGATGATGCGCCAGTACCAGAGTATGCATGAGGCTTGTGAGGAGCTTCGAACCGGCGCTGGAGATGGAGGCAAGCTTTTCCGTGTCTCGATGAACAAGAAGGGCATCTTCACCGATATGTTCCCTATCGAGTATGGCCGTATGCAGACCGAGTCTCCCCCCGCTGATGGGTGGAACCACGACTGGAAGAGGCCAACCAAGAAATAGAGGGATGGAGTTGAAATTTCCCAGGCGCGATATTAAGTCTGCTTGAAAGTTGCTCCCAATGTTGATCTGGGAGGGGAGGGTTCTGGATATGTATCATTTTGGCGCTATGTATCATATGCATTTCTTTTAACTATATTTTTTGTTTTGATTCAATTTGCATATTGTGTTCATTCTGATAAGCCAATTGGTGTTTCGCGATCGGACCAGTTGTAAGATGGCTTTGTTGGGACTGTGAGTTGAGAAGATATCACATGTAGCTGTGAGACATGGGGTGTTATTTATCTCAGCCTCATCTACGTAGTATGACAGACAGATTATGCATGAATATCACGCTCAAATTCAACATAGGATTTACTACATGGGAAGAAAGTGGTATAATGAGTGAGGTCGCGATGCACTTCGGAGAGATGGATAATGGCAAGGAGGGGAATCCGGAGTTGCACGTGCATAATAAGCATGAGACAGAAGACAGCTTTCGAAAGAGACGCAAAATGTACGCAAGAAAGAGAAGGAAAAAAAAGGCCGAAATAACCAGAAAGCAGATATCGTACCCAGATCAATCGAACGGGTTAGCACAAGGACCTCCCAAACGCCAGTGATGCATGATACAACGGAACGTCAATTGATATCGCCAAGGTGAACAAGTGTATCAAGTTCCAAGTCAAGAGAGAAACCGAGCGCTGGCAAGAGAAAGAATTGGCACGTTGCACGCTTCAAATCACATCAGATAACTACACAGCATGAACTTTTTCGCTTCTCGAATGTGAGAAGCGCAGCACGGGTAGCTGCTTCAAAGACATCATCGACACCCTCGCCGGTCAGGGAGGAGCATTCGAGGTATTTGCGGGCTCCAATCGACGACGCGATGTCACTGCCCTCTTTCGTGGTCACGAACTTAAGGGACTTCTTGCGCATCTCTTCGATTGCCATTGGGTCTTCGCGAAGGTCTTTCTTCAACCCAACCAAAAGGATCGGCACACCGGGGCATCGCTCGTTTGCTTCGTCGATCCACTATGCCGCAGATCAGTATTATTGTCCGACCCTTCAATTTCGCTGATACCGACCTTGTGTTTCACGTTCTCCAACGAATCTGGAGTATCCATTGAGAACCCAATTAGAAGCACATGGGCTTTGGAGTATGCCAACGGTCTCAAACGTTCATAATCTTCTTGTCCTGCTGTATCCCACAATGCCAATTGGACCGAGCGGCCGTCGACTCGGCAATCCGTCACGTAGTTTTCAAATACTGTCGGCACCTAACAATCGAAAGTCAGACATGTGATTGCGGGGGAAGGATATCGCGTGTACTAACATAATGCTGTGATAAAGTAACAGATCAGCCATGGGGTTCAATTTCGAGACAATTGGTGAGAACTTACTGTTGGGAAGTAACCGAGGGTAAAAACACTAAGGAGACTGGTCTTGCCACAAGCACCATCACCAATAATCACGAGCTTCCTGTACGTTTGTTGGGATTAGCACGTGCGAATGGAAATGCGCGAACGTCCCACTGCCCGGGAAGCAATGGGATCGCAAGGGCCACGGGGATCCCGGGACTGGGATGTTGACCACAGCCTCGAGACTGTACATACCTGCGCATGACATTATCATCTGGCTGTTGCGACATTATGATGTTTGTAAACCCCTTCTTGGTACAGAAGAGTGATGGAGGGTATTGAATTAGGACTCGAAGTGATTCGAGTTGGATCTCAGATAAGGCAACCGATTACGAGGGCGGTCCAGATCAGGAGTAAGGAGTAAGGAGCTGGGCAGATACTGCGATGCGGCCCGAAAGGCTTAGGGGAAGAAAATAGGTGGCCTTGAAATGTCAGAGTGCCGTGGCGAGCCGTTGCGGTTGGGGGGAGGAGGGGGTTGTCGAGAAACCCGGGTACGGCTCCGAAAAGAGAGAACAAGGAGAGGGGGGAGAGAGGGGAAATGTATAGGTGAGCGAGAGTGTAGAAAAGGAAAAAGGGAGAGAAAAAAAAGCGTTGAAGCTGAAGAGTAAGATAAGATGAAGGGGAAGGCGCTTACAGTCCAAGCGGAGATTTACTAAGGCTCACGCCGGGTTTGACTATAGGAGACTAAACTAGATACGATGGGTATCTTCTCCGTCTGATCGTCCTATGGGGCCCTTTTATTTGAATTCTTAGCCTGCGAGATATTTTTACTTGTGTCTCACAACTGGACCAGCTCGGTGCTTAAGGGCCGGTTAGTGCTTAGTGGAGTCTGTTTTTCTCCTGGTTGAACGGACTGACCGCCTAGATGGAGTATTGCCGGCAGATGCAGAGCGGTACTCGCAATCACGTGTGTGATTGGCACTGTAGCGATCAGCACGAAGCAGCCAGTATACTTCCAAGGTTGCAAATCACTTTGGGGGTCGAAGAAGCTACCTGTATCAATTCAATGGTACAACTAGCTCAGATAGACTTGGCTTGTACTCTGTTTTCAATACTCTCCGTCATTCTCCAAGGCCACACTCTCTTTGTAGCTTGCAATTAAATATTTCAACCTGACGATTCAGGCACTAGCTCGCTTGCGGCGGCTATCCCGTTGCGGCGGCACGACAACCAGCCAGAAGACAGGAAAGCCCATCATTCCATTCATCCATTGGCGTTTGATCAGACGTTCATCTGGCGGCGTTTCTTGAGCCTTGATAGTTTGCTGGCCCTTGCTACGACTCGAACCCCTTCGCTCTTCCCCCTCCGCTGCTGTCCCAGCACCTCAGAACCCAACCACAAGCGCAGGCACGTCGTGACCCGCCGGGATTATTGTCTTTCAACCCCCTCCTCCCGTGGTCTTATCCTACCTCACCCCCTCCCAACTGTCACTACAGAACTTCCTCTGAAGTGAGAAACAAAAGACGCGATTGACTCTTTGTACTTGATCACGCCAAGGGGGAAATATCCGGTGAGTTGAGCACCATTTGGTGGAATCGCCGGAGCTTTGTCGGTAGGGTCCTTTGTCCTTGGCTCTTACTTTCTCCGCTTCTTCTCGCCTGACCCCCCACCTTCTCAACCATTGCGTCTCTAACTCTCTGTTTGTTTTATCTGCATTAGTATGCTGCTGAGGCAGCCCTTGAGCTTATCCCACCTCCATCATGGCGACTCACATGTCAGCAGCTCCGCTGCCAGCAACCACCGGCCGGACCCACGCGCGGGGTCCTCAGGACACCACACCGACTGAAGATATCGCGAACCCTATGCCGACCGTGAATCGCAAGAAACAGAAGCGCCGACAGAAACAAGCTGCCCGCTTAGCTGCGGAACACCCCGACGCGTTGGCCTCTGGGGATATTGATTCACTCGCAGCAGATGAGCAGCATTCCTTGCACGGTGATCGCGTTTCTGAACATTCGGAACACCACCATACAACACCCGGTGCTGCGTATCAATACGTCTCATCGCATCACCCCAATGACCCGCCCATGATTAACGGACCCCATCACCCCGGCGCTACCCCGGCCGAGACCTCGAAAACGAGGAAGAGCAGGAAGAGTCGCTCTGGTTCCCACAATATGGGCGAAGGCAGCTCAACGCCACTTTCAACTCCGTCCGCATCCCACTCCCACTCCCACCCTCCACCGCCTCCCCAGACCTTACCATACATCAATCGGTTTACCGGAAAGCCTATGAAAAACAGCAGCATCTGGAATCAGTCTTCCCTAGAAGAGCGCGAGAACATAAGAACTTTCTGGTTTGAGCTCGGCGAGGAAGAGCGCAGACAGCTTGTTAAGGTCGAAAAGGATGCTGTGCTGAAGAAGATGAAAGAGCAACAAAAGCACTCCTGCAGTTGTACGGTTTGCGGAAGGAAGCGAACTGCAATTGAAGAAGAACTCGAAGTGCTCTACGACGCTTATTACGAAGAACTCGAACAATACGCGAACAATAACCAAGGCGCATTCGAAGAAGGGGCTCCCATAATTCCTCCGCCTCGGCTTTATCAACCGCCACTTCGACCACCAGGGCAACATACGCGCACTCACGGCCAATATCATCCGTCTCGGAGTCGTGTCCAGGAACTGCCTGAAGACCACGAAGAAGAGATAGAAGAGGACTATGAGGAGGAAGAAGAGGAGGATGAGGAGGAAGAGGACGAGGAAGACGAGGAAGAGGATGATGAAGAGCTTTACAGTGACGATGATCTTGAGGACAATGAAGCTCGGGCGGCCCGGGCTGACTTCTTCGCATTTGGAAACAGCCTGACTGTGAAAGGTATGTGATATGTGGACTTGGCTGATAAGATTATACGTTCATGTGCCTAACAATGTCCAGATGGGATACTCACCGTTGCTGACGATCTACTGAAAAATGACGGAAAGCATTTTATTGATATGATGGAGCAATTGGCAGAGCGAAGGATGCAAAGAGAAGAAGACACCCAGTATGGAATAGCTGCTGCACATCAGACATTTCATGGGCACAATCATGGTCCTTTGGACGAGGATGATTACGACGATGAGGAAGAAGATGAGGATTACGATAGCCAAGAGGAGGAAGAGTTTGATGAAGATGAGATGGTAGGGCTCTCATATCTATACCCATTGACTATGGTCGCTAATCAAGAACAGGATGCCATGACTGAGGAACAACGCATGCAAGAAGGTCGACGAATGTTTCAAATATTCGCTGCCCGCATGTTTGAGCAGCGAGTCATGACAGCATATCGAGAGAAGGTCGCCGAACAACGCCAGAAACAGTTGATTGACGAGCTTCTTCAAGAGGAGACGTTGAACGAGCAGCGGAATGCCAAGAAAGCTAGGGAGGCGCAAAAGAAGAAGGACAAAAAGCGCTTACAAAAGCAGGCCAAGGAAGAGGAGAAAGCTCGTCGAGATGCTGAGAAGGCTGCTGAAGAGGCGGCCGCCAAAGCTGCCCAGGAGAAGAAATCCGAGGAACAGCGGTTGAAAAGGGAAGAAGCACGGAAGAAGCGCGACGCTGAGAAGAAGGCTCAAGACGAAGATCGTGCTCGCAAAGAAGCGGATAAGCAACGACGACTCAAAGAGGAACGGGAGCGACACGCTGAAGCCGAACGCAAGCAACGGGAACAGAAAGAGGAAAAGAAAAAGCGAGAGGAGGCCAAGCGCAAAGAGAAGGAAGATCGTGAGATCGAGGAGAAGAAGGCCAAGGAAGAACTGGAGCGCAAGACACGGGAAGAGCTGGCGCGAAAGGATCGAGACGCAGCGCGAGAACAAGAAATCCAGGATCGTGGTAGCAGGCGTGAACACCTCAGAACGTCACCTCCTCACACACTGCCCGGCGTCATTCCATATTCTTTCCAGTCTCAGCCTCCCCCAGGTTTCACACAGTCCCCACATTATCCAATGGCGACACCCGTCGTTCCCAAAGTCTCGACTCCAGCTCGACCTCGCCAACCCTCTTATCATGGCTCTTCCACATCCTCTCCTCATTCGCAACCTAACAGCGCTGACTCCCACCATCCTTCAATCTCCCCACGCTCCATGGGTCATGCACAATCCGGGGGTCCTTTGGGTGCCAGGCAAGCCTACCAACAACCTCCACTGCATCACCCTCAACCTTCCGCCCCTCTTTCGCCTCTAGGACGATCAAATCCTCCAGCATTCCCTGGCCTCGGTGGCCTACCGTTCAATCCGCCCGGTATACCCGGGATGGCTCCTAGGTCAACCCTTCCACCAGAATCCATGTATTCGTCAAACGGAGCAATGATTAACCCTTTGCGATCATTCAACGGTAGTGGTGGAATTGCAGCACCACCTGGGATGAATGGTGTTCGCCCCGTTCCACCAGGTCGTGCATTCCCATCTGATCCCGGACATGGCCTTACTTTTGCCAACAGCCACGGTGTGCCCGGTGCATTCCCACTGCAGCAAGCAGGCCTATCCAAGACACACTCCAGGCAAGCTTCTACTTCGTTCGACCGCTCTCCGCTAGAATCAGGCAGCCAACCGTTCCCGATAACAAGGCCGAGCCCGATCAAGCGCCCTTCTAGCTCAGCACACGATCAACGGGAGCACGGCAACTCTTCAATGCAACGAGAGGTTGATGGCTTGAGTGCGCATCTGGGTAGCAGTGCTCTTCTTGATGATACCGAGGTCACTTATCCGCCAAACCTGTCTCAGTCATTGCCCGGTGCTCCTGCGCCTGGTCCATTCCCAGGCCCAACAAGGGCTAGCTTCCAAGGTGCCTCGCTGTTTGCAGAGCCTCTGGGATCGCCTCAGCCCAACTTTGCGGTTGGCTCTCCCATGGGAAATAGTACATGGGGCGCGCCCTCGCCTTTCGGAGGCTCGGCGTTTCCGGGGGCTTCTTCCACTTGGGGACCTGCTGCGGCCGGGACTGGCGGTTGGCCTCCCAGTAATGCATTCGCAGCCAACGCTTCTCACCGACCGCACACCTCGCGACCTGTCACAATTCGGTTGTTGGTTATTCAGGCCTGTAAACATCTGAACTCAACAAGGAGTCCCCATAACGACGGAGGCTACCATGATGTGAACCTTGTGCTTGAGCAAGTAGACCAGCTACGCAGCCCCAAGGAACCCTCTATCTCGCTGGACGAACTGCTTGATATCTGTGACACGGAAGGCAACCCGCAGAACGGCGGTGGCTCTTTCTCGGTCAAGGAAGGCCCTGGTGGCCGGTCTGTGCGATTCGAGCCTGATCCCAATAGCGCAATCCCTGGCCACAGAGGGAGCATTGTTCCCGGTGATATTGGCAGTCCTGTCCCTTCGAACAGTCATCCAGCCCCCTTTGCTGGATTCGGTGGCCATTCTGGATTGCGGAAGTACTCTTCACCTCCGACTGGGCTATTCGGCGGAGCTCCCTTGTCCTGAATCTCATTTTTTAATCATGATCCGAGCCTCACCTATCCCATAACATCTCTCTCACTGGAACGATTTTGAAATGCCCTCGTCTTGTTTTCTTTTCTTTTCCCCTTTATCGTCATCCTCTTTCATTGAAGCGTCATGGATTAACGTCACACATGCATCTGTCTCTTCCTACCCGGAGGAGAAGATCACTGCTACTGGGTTTGTTTCTTTTTTCTTTCCAACTCGTTGAATGTTCTATCTTCGAGGTATGGCATCCGCATCTACTTTATGTACGGTATGAGTCTGTTGGCTTTCCACATTATGCAGCGATATCCGTGGAGACAGGGTTAGTCTCCCGCTCCGTCATATCCTTTTGACCAATTGCATCATCGAAGATTTCTTCGGCTTTTGGCTGTTTGGTTTCATACTTAAGTATGTAGTACTATGTAACTAGAATAGTATTCTTTGGGTTCAATTGCTCTGCTGTGCCTACTTAGCATGTCAGAAACCGTGCATTCTAAGTAGTATGCGCCGTTGACAGGGCCATGTCTCCTAGGGCAATGGGATTCGTACTCGTACTTAACCTTGGAAGTGTGTCTGGCTTACGTATACCAGACTATCAATAATTGATCCATGGTATTCTTAATATCTATTTCTATGCTGTACTTCCTACATCGGCCAAAGAAAAGCAAGGACAGAGATAAAAACTTGCACCTAGGTGAGAAACGTCGTCTAGAGCCAGATACAATTCAAGTTGAAGGGTATGGTGCCATCCGGGAACAATGATACACTTGTATATACTGGAAACCACCAAGAATCGAACAGAACAAGAAAGAATCAAAAAGACAGGCTTCCGGGAACAAGATAAACAAAAAGAAAACCAATGAGAAAAGATAAGAGTCCAGTTGTCAGGAGTATGAAGTACCATCACATCCTTTCTTCTCTGGATACCTGGGTATCACCGATAACTGACCAAAGTAGTCTGAGTCTGAGCATCAAGTCGTTCATTTGGGAGGATCGGTGACAATACCCTCGTATTCACGAGAGCGAATGTATTCCAGCGTGCGCTCAAAGTGACGCTTGGGAGCATCGAGACTAGAGTTTGACTCGTCTTCGCTGCTTTGTAGGTTGGAGTGGATAAGTTCAATGAGGCCGTTCAGATACTTAGTGGTGACAGTTTCGTTCTGCTGGTCGAAATAGTACACGTAGCGATTGAGGATCTCAACAAAGAGTTCAACAGAGACACCAGTGTCCATGCAGGCATCGGCCACACGCAGGGCCCGCTGCAGGCATTCGAGGACACGCTTTCCATCACGGTATAGCTGCAAGGTTCCAAGTTAGCGGGGTAATTGAGGAAGATATAAAGATTGGCAACTCACATCCTTGGGATCATCCTCTCCACGCTGAGGATTTTCAACCACCCACCAGAGGTGACTCGCGAGATAGACCGCACGGCACTGATCGGGCTTCTTAAGAAGCTTACTTCCATGTAAGGCAGCCTTGGTAATAAGCGTATCGTAGTTCTCCTTGGAGAATCCACGACTTCCATGCAAAGCACCAGAAATGATGCAAACGGCCTGGAACTGAGCGCGCGAGTCACTGATCGCATCTTCATAGATGGTGAATGCTTGCGCAAAGAACTCGTAGCTGACTTCTTCGAAGCCCGTCTGATCCGCAACCTCACCGCACATCACGAACAGTCGCAGTGAAAGGTCTGCACATCCTGGAGTAACCCGCTGGTACAAGTTGTTGATGGCTTGGTGCATGAAGCGGTATAAAGCCGATGATTGTGACTGCCAGTTGTCGTCGTAGTGCTCGCGAGATTTCAATTTGCGAGCCAAACGGATGGAAGCTGTCACAATTGCAGGAGTGGTGTAGCGGATACGCTCATTTCCATCGGCGAACGCTTTGCGGGCTCCTTGAAGAAGCTGCAATATAATGTTAGTCGGCTACCATGTTGACTAATCGAAGGCAATTTACCTTAAGTTGGGTATCATTATCCTTTCCTTGGAGCAGATGCACAAGTCTCGCAAGCCATCCTTGCTCTTCAACCGTTTCATCGGTCTCACCTCCCCGTCGCTGTGCTTGTGCTCCAGGGTAGCCAGCTGACTGCTGCATGCCCTCTTTGATCAGAACTCTGACAGCCTGAAGCACGCGGTCCAGGTTTTCTGTTGTTGAAACCGGGATCCTGTTCCTCAAAAGACTGCGGAGAATCTCGGATGCAACAGCCCTCCTGGTGGGGTATGATTGCGAACTCAGAAGTGGCAAATAGTGAGGTAGTGCCAATGCTGTGAAGATGGAAATGTAGGATTTGAGGGGGGCGTTGAGGAGATGAAGAATATGCTGTTGGGTAGGCGCCGAGTGCAAATCGGCATGGTCTGTGTACTCCGTGGTCTTTTGTGTTGCGAAGTCCAGAACTTGGTCGACATACTCTAGGCGTTCTGGGTAGATGTTCAAGGCCAAGTTGACAAGTGATACCAAAAGCGCCATTGTATCTTGAATCGGCAATGCGCGTCTCTTGATCAAATTGACCACCTGGTCGTAGAAAATGTCATACAATTTGACTTCTGCTGGGATACCAGGCTTCGTGTCGTCGCCATTCTCGGCTTTGCTCTCTTGTTGCGCGGGCTCGAGGGATCCTGAGTCCTCTTTCGTTGACTCTTCGAGGCCATTTTCGGCGGATTTGTCTTCTGGCTCTTTAGCGGAGCTTTCTTCCTTTGATTCAGTGGCTTTGGTTTCTTTCGCGAGCTCAAGCTTTTCCAATAAACGAGTGACGGCTTCTTCCTCGCTCTGTTTCTTGGCTTCTGGCTCCGCGGCTCCCTCTGCTTCCTTTGCAGCATACGATGAAAGACGATCCATAAGTCCAATGACGATTTTCTTCAGGTCGACTTGTGGGTTGAGCCCGGCAATGGCGGATAGCAGCAGATCCAGAGTATGAAGATGGAATTCGTCTGGGAACACCTTTGTGATAACTGTTGGTAAGGTTAGTGACTGTTTTTAGCAAATATATGCAGAATGACATGAGCCGTACCTTCTAGGAGGTATTCTTGCGCGAGGACGTCTCTGCATTGTACAACCTGCTCCAGAAGCGCCTGGAGAATACCATTCTTGTATCCCTCGAGATCCACAAGCTGACTGAGTCGGACCACATTACTACCAACAAGAAGCTCCAGTTCACGTCGTTCTTGGATCCTTCGCTCTCTCTCGCGCGAAGGGCCTTGGTGCTGAAGCCGGACCCAAAGCTTGTTCATCTCCACGAAATTCGTCAGAACAAAGTTGATCGAATCCTGCATGTTACCTTCTGGACCGTCGCCAGTTCCCAGAGGCAAGTAATCTCTGGCTTGGCCAGAGAGATAGTATCGCAAGAACAAGCCACGGATCGGGTGTTGGACACCTCGGCTCATCTCCATCATATCCTTCATGATTTCCTTGACCGGCGCATCTTCAACCGACATGTAGACAGTGCCTACAGTGATCATGAGGTACAGTCGAGGGACAATATTGCCGGCATATTGGACGAGTTCGTATAGGTCGGCGAGGTGGTTGACAGGGTGGTTCTCCTTTAGGTAGACGGATAGATGTCGCAATGCATCAAAGACAGCCATATACAATTCGTAATATTGCTTGGGGCCGAGACTGGGGGTTCGCAATTCAGAGACAAGAGTTGACCTATAGCACGTTTTCCCAAGCTGTTAGCCGTTGCGCACGTTCCGGGGGTCGGTGCCTGGGAGAGAGCTCACCCGCATTTGAGCGCGTCCATAAGCTTGCCAGGGGTTTCCAGACATTTGCGCATCAAACTTGACTGCTGCCTCACCACCCCCAATGCCTCCTCGAGGAGGCGGTTCTGGTCCTCGGTGACGGGTGGTGGGCTAGCCATCGTGGAACGGATGAGGGGTTGAAGCTAGGAAGCTAAGGGAAAGAGCAGGGTGGAAACATGCACTGCCAATACAATGAACAGAGGTTCTTGTCTAGTCAGAGCAATGAGTAAAGTGAAATGGGGGAGGGGGGAAGAGAACAGCGGTCGGCGATGAGTGGAAGATCAACTGAAGTGACACCAGCTCAGGACATTCCCCGAAACGTCACTGCCTACGGCCACGAATAGCGACCAGGTGGCAATTACGTTCCCTTTTTAGGGCTAATATTGTTAATATTGTATGGGGAGAAAGGATGGTTTTTATGTTAACTCAAACAAGCCAATTGTACCTTGCTCTTGTGATAATTCACTTTGTCTCAAACAGGGTGATCAGGATTGACATGATCATACATCTAGGAATATACTTCCATCAGTTCATCAACTAACAAGAACAATCGCCTTTGAGTATTCCATGTATCCTAGCAATGTCAAACACCATCTTTTCTCGTCATAACTCTCGTATCAATCTCCCTGAATTAATTCTCGACGCTTAGCTTGAACCTTTGTACCATACCCTCAACTCGACCGTCTGCCAGGCTAAATTACCAGGCGTACATCGCACTCGGGACAAACCCCATTCTTCAAGGCCGATTCACTCTCTTGGCAGGTAAACGAGTGTCCATAGATACAATAGTACCATTCAGTCCCCATTGTGTAAGTTTGTTGCATCGCTGATATATCAGCAAGGCGCTTACTGCTAGCAACGACCGCGTAGAACTTGTTGTCGTCCAGCATCTCTTCCACACAGTCCACCTGGTATGGCAATCCTTCAGTTTGATCAGGATGCGCAGTGCAAAGAGCCTTGGCATGAACGAGGGCATCTTGGCCAAGCCCAGCAAGCACTATCCTCTGTTTCAGTGTCGAACTGTGTACATGTTCGAAGGCATGGACCATTGCTAGATAGATGTATCCCTCTGTCTGATGGAATATTCTGCGGCTCGACTTTGCTTCATCGATAATCCATTGGCAATCCTCTTTGGTTGTTTGCAAATCAAATTGCATTTTTACCCGAATTTTGGATTCACGTGCTTTGATCAAGAGCGCAGAGAAGCTTGCTAGTAGTGCAAGGTCTAGACACATTAAGAGAGCGTTCACTTGGAGGAGGCCCTTGGTCCGGGGCCCGGTATTGACAGGTTTCAGGCTGCTTGTCGTGTTGCTATAAGCAGGATACCGGCTCAGTAGTTGGTGGAAGTTTTGAAAGGCTTGTTCCTCGGGTTGAATGCGGCGGCGATGTCTCTCGATTCGTTCCCGCAAATCAAGAATGTCATCCCACTGACCGGGATTTGTCGCGCTGACAACTTCTCGCATAGCTGTGACTTGACCCCATCGTGTCCCGCTGATCTCGATAGGAGCAGACCATGCTAATCCTTTCTGGAGGTTGAGTGCACCCAATGCACGAACAATCCGACCAAGTCCCAAAGCAAGAGGGACGAACTCTTCATTGATGAGCACATTCAACTTCTTCACCGATTCATCAAAAGCAGCTCGGTGTGTCAATCGGGAATATCGCACAAAGCTTTTCAGCAATGACAAGCAAGTCGGACACCGTTTGAAGCTTTGGAAACAAAATGGGGTTGGTGGATTCCGAGGGGACGATGGCCTGCCTTGATTGTCCATACCATAATGGCTTGCCATCTCCATATGCGTGTCCATGGTTTGGATTGTCACGAAGTGTCCGCATTCCGGAAATAGACATGGCGTGTTGTTCAGGTTGATATCGCTGTATTTTGATTTGAGAACTGGATCGACCTCACGGTCTTTGACATCTTTGTTGCCACAGAGTTGGCAGCAAAAGAACTGAGGGCACACTTCTCCACATACCGATGGGCATTGATGGCCGCATCTCAGCCTTTTATTGCATCGCTTGGAGCACGGTCTGTGATCACAAGGGGCTGCGCATGGCAACGAGCAATTTCTGTGAGGGCATACAGGGAGACACTTCTCTTCTGTACAGGGGGGACATGGGTGGGTGCATTCTCGCAAACATCGGGAGTGACCGCAGTGGGACTTGCAAGGCTCTCGACAGGGGGGACATGGGGCTTTGCCGTGGCAGGGACGGGAGCAAGTGTGAGAGCATGCCGGGCGTTTTCGGTTACATCGCTCTTTGCATGTTACATGATCAATCTTGATACCCTCGGATCCCTTTGTGACACACTGGTGACACACTCCTTTGCAAGTATGTCCACAGGACAAAATGCTCGAACATTTAGTTCCACACCGAAAGTCGGTTGTTTCAACGTCCACACAGCATGAAGTCAAGAAGGCATGATTGCAACCCGGAATCTTCTTAAGCACTTGCACTTTGCATTGAAATGTGGAGATGTTTTGATTTTGCCAACATGTGAAGTCTTTCGCAAAGTGGCTACATGTGGATAATCTCTGTTTTTGGGGTATTTTGACCATGCACTTATCCGGGCAAGCCATCCCACACTGGTTAGGGCATGGGTGGGCGCAGCCACGAAGCGATCGGAGACAAGGCTCGGAGCAAACAACGGTACTATGAAGGATTGCGGAATGGCAGCTGTGGGTACAGGCATGTCCACATTTCAAACGATAGACACAACGCTGTTTGCAGCCTCCCTCCGGGGAAAGATCAATGAGGGATCCTGGAGTTGAGACATTCATCACTGTACCTGGGTGCCGAGGACACTTCAGCTCCAGGGCCGGGCCAATATTGCGACCTTGCTCTAGAAGGTGGATGACCTTGGCCCACATAGGGACGTAGCGCGATGTTTCTGAATTGCCGATGATGTACATTCCGTGTTGTGCCCTCGACAACAGTACGTTGATCCGGTTAGAAGTACGCAGAAAACCACAGTTATTTTGCGAGTTGCTTCGAACCAAAGATATCACAACGATTTTGGCTTCTTCTCCCTGGAAGTTGTCCACAGTGGCCACTCGTAGGGTACCATGTGGAGATTCTTTGTCCACCTGAATGTTTTGAGCGATTTTCCCCTCGTGTCCTGCTTGAGCAAGATTGGTCTTGTCACGATCTCCCAATGCGATTGGAAAGGCCTTGGCAAGCCTGTCCTTTAGTTTGTTGAGCTGGCCCAAATAAGGAGTCAAAACCGCAATGTCTCGAAATCTGTAATCCTGCCGCACGAGATGAGCTACCAGGGCGACACTCATATCGGCCTCGAAGCTGTTCCAATGCGATGTTGCTGTGCCACCATCCTCACCTCTCGAGTCTTCTTTTGAGCGGTGGTCCAACCAGAACAGCCTTTTTCGCATCCCACGGATCTCTGGATAAGAGAAGACAGAGAAAGAGTTTATCAAACGGGGGTAAAGGGTATCCCGCACCAAACGAGAGATCTCGGGGTGCATTCGACGTTGAGTATCGAGCGTGCTGTAGGAATGTCCACAATCAATTGGTGTTTTGTCTGAATTGACCAGTCTTTCAAACAAAGAAACATCTAATGAGTACCGACTACCTCCCTGGGGGTTCTCCCTGGAAAGATCGTAGCTTTGAACCCGGGGGCGAAGTTGCTGCTGGTCACCAATCAGCACTGCATGTTCGACTGAAGGTAGGAATGCCGTAAGAAGATGTGGCTCAAGGACTTCGCCGGCCTCTTCACATATCATGAATTTGCATGGAAGTTGCCGGAACATATCAAGTCTGCGGGCTAGTCCTGATGTAGTGACACCGATGACATCTGCTTGAATGAGACGACGCAGATTCATATTGTCGTGAATTATTTCGTATCTTGATTTGGCAGTTCCGTGGGATTCAACGAGTTTGGTGACTCTGCGGTCCATGTTTCCCCGGCACTCCCTGTACCATCGATTGTAGATTTTCAGTCGTTCCTGTCTAGACATATCGGAGACATGGACATTTTCAAGCTCCGTAGTCGATCGTGGCTGGGCATTGTTTTGCACACCAGAATCTACCCAGGATTCAATGGTCGACGGGTTAGTTGCCTGAAACAGCTCCTTGTAGTGATGGATATGATGCTGCTGGACATGACGCCTGATCTGGTCGATAGACACGTGCCTCTGAAGACCAATGCTGTGAAACTCGTGTTCGTATGATGAAAGCTTCTCGGATATGCTCCGTATCTCTCCTTTTTCTCCCTTGGTCTTTAAATCCAGTCTTGAGATTGCGTGGAGGCTGAACTGTTCCAACTTTTCTGATTGAGACTGGGACCCCACGCGAACAATCTGTGATGTGACCTTGTTATCTAGAAGAGCCTCTAGGAGCTGATCAAGAGCATGGTTTGTATAGGTCACACATAGTATGGGACCCAAAGATCCCTCATCTCGGTTTCCTAGGAGAACCTTGATGAGAGCTTGACCTATGTAACTTTTCCCTGTACCAGGTGGCCCTTGAACTAGCCCCAGGCGCCTACTTAAGCTATTGATCAATGCACGAGCTTGGCCTTGATCCAAGGTTGAATGCTCCCGTAGATAGTCCACCTGAACTTCGTGGAATTCACCAGGTTGAATAAAAAAATCAACGTCAGTGTCCAAGAGACAACGAAGATTGTATGCATAACTGGGTTGCGAGGTGTGCAATGTGGCGGGTATTTGAGGTGACCGGGAGGATTTAGAGATCCATGGAACAAAGATATCCGAAAATGGCAGATTTCCTCTAGATTTCATGCATTGAAGTGCCCTCAGAGAGGGTTCGAAAGAGGCAAGAAGAACGTCTGGAAATCCAATCACGGACACAGGCGGCTCCTTGGTGCCGTACAAATCAAGGATGAGCTGGATATTAGTGAATCTGGAGTCAAAAAGCGTCAACTTCACAGATGCCCTCTTCAGATCGTTCCATAATGAGGTTGATTCTGCTCTTTCTGGAGGGTCACGAGAGTGCTTGCGTCTGGGCAACATGATTTGGTTTGCCACAGTGCAGAACAGAACCAAGTCATTTTGAATGACCAGGCACACCAAATCGCCAGGCGAAAATCGTTTGGAGGCCTCCCACCACCCCTGTCGCCTAACAAGAGGGGGGTTTGGCCCCATTGCTGCAGGCTGGGGGAAGTCTATCTCGACGTAGAGACCAGCCGACCAGTTGAATCCCAGATTCAGAATGCGGGCATTTTGGTGCACAAAACTACGCAAAGGTGGCTGTTCATGTTTTGCACTGGGAATGATGTGATGACGAACAGTATCGCGGATTTGACCAACTGTATCCTCTCGCAGTAGTCGAAAGTTCCGGTCCAGCAACCCGTCAATGCCTTGAATGTGCCACTGACTGGGGTCGACAGTGGGAAGATAGTCTGACCGAGAGCAGCGTATCTCATCATAACTTGGCATGATTTTGACTCGACAGATATCGGCAAAGTCATTATTATGTCGTCCTCCTGGAGTGTCGATGATCCCCGGTTGTGTCTCCGGCGCACGCTTTGGGACTGAGGTTGGGTGGAGAGGGATGTTGTCCTTGCACCCTTGGACACAGATTTCCATCGCTTCTTTGTCAAATGTAACTTTGCTTTGACTGAAAGCAGTGTCATTCTCAGTAAATTGTGAGTTGGGTGCAGCACGTTGGGTCCGGTGGGTTGAGATTGGAGCATGGCTTTGGTCAAGGTTCACATGGGCAAGGTTGCAGACATCCTTGCTGCAATTGCCTCGAAGGAAGTCACGACAAATCGGCCTGGATATTCATTTCATTAGCAGGTGGTATGTCAATAGAGAATCCAAATCAGACCTTTGGTCAGTCATCTTGAGTGACAGCTCCTGAATCCATTTGACGAGCAAGAGTGTGGAATGCAATAAGGTGAGGGATTTGGAGTTGGGATATGGGAAACTTCAAAAGCGAAGATTTGGAAAGGAGAAAGAAGTCTGGGCAAAAGGACTGTTGAGTCTGCAAAGACAAGAGAGGTGAGAGAGCAAAAGGCACAAGAGATGGTGGCAGCTTCTACACTTCGGATGAGGGTTTGATAATCTGCTTTCACACTCCTCTGTCACTTTTTTCTTTTTCACTTCCAATGTTATTTGGAAGGCTTGAAATTGCCTTGCATTGGAAAGAATCTATAATTCCCATGCAGTCACAGAATCTGAGAAGAATTGATATTTTACATTTGCCAACACACCCCAGGCGCCAAGGACATGGAGCTACCAAATGGGATGGACGGCTTTTCAGGCTAGCCGTTGATCGAGAAAATGGATAGAGATAATTGAAATATGGTTTACAGGTCCAGAAGCCTTGGAACATTCAGTACAAATACATTAATAGTACAGTTAATCAATGGCAGAGTTTGTATCTACTCTGCTGTTCCACAACTCCGACAAAAGTGATTCCGCCCAATGCGACCAAGATATGCTTTGTATTCGTAACAGCGTCATGAGAATTCTTCTCCCCGGAAGAGATATGATGATGAGCGACAGTATCAAATGAACTCCAGCTCATCGTCATCGTCGTCATCATCTATCACCATCCGCCTTCCACTCGGTGTGCTCTCAGCTGGTGCGCCTAGGCTCTCCCGGCCAGCTTCTCTGATGCCCTTGGAAGTTATGAACCGAGTCTTCTTGACCCCGCTACCATGAGGCTTGCCATGGGCCCGTTTCATGGGACTCAAGCGCACATTCTTGGCCTTGCCGAGAGTGGTCAGGTCAATGCCATTGGGATCAGGGGGGCTCCTGGGCACCGCAGGAGTAGACGGTGTCGTTGCCTTGTTTGGAGTTTCATTTCCGGCCCTGGTGCGGAGATATTCGGCACCCACACCACCCACACGACCGGCGACTAATTTTTGAGTGATATCACGCTCTTTCTGCTGGGCCGCCAGTCGTCGGCGCATCTTTTCCTCTTTGCTTTCAACGCGCCCACCTGTTCCCAGAGAGACAAATGGGTCGTCGTATCCATCCAGCCTTGCAGCCGAACCCGCAAGAGGATTGTAAGATGTGCGACCAGTGCCACGATTTTTGGAAGGAGCCACATAGTAGTGTGACTGGGAAGCAAAGTCAAATTGGGGGCCATTATGTTTGAGGCCTTGCTTGGAAGCACTTCCTCGACCACCTCGCTTTGCTCCCTCGCCAAAGAATCCCGTTCGCGGTCCAGATCTTCCCCCAGGACCCATCCCACTATCGGCGTTGATTCCCGCACGTTGGCCCTGAGTTCGCCGGACCTGTATGTCAATGTGAAAGTCACAGAATTCAGTCTTTCGGCCATCTACCCAAGATTGACATGTCTTTCCATCTTTCCTCACAGCCTTGCAAAACCCAATATCGCGAGCGTAGCCAATCTCGAGTACCTTGTCGTCCGAGGAAGACAGCGATAGACTGAATCTGTTTGTGTCCAATTTATGCTTTGGAGGAGGCATAATTGTAGGGTTCAAAATGGCAATCAGAGTGCCCTCCGATACTTTGTAATATCGAGGGAAGGCCGTGTCGAAAAGGAAGAGGTCGACGGTCCATTTCAGATCGGTCAAAGTAATAACCATGTATTTTCCCGAGTTGTTCAGGCCATCGTCATATGGATCCTGAGATTTTGCGGTCGCATTACCCGTGGATTTTATATTCTTAGGGTCAGACTTGGAGGCAACAATTCCAAAAACAACAAAATCCCCATCGATTTCCTCAGGAAGCTCGAATGCAGGTGCCTTGACGGATTTGAGTAGATCAGGGATGCGTAGAACTTTCTTCTCTGCAAGTGTGCGACTCAAGAACGAATGAGGGAGAACCCGGTTTGATAGATGCAGTGATGAGTAGGACTCAAACTTGGACGAGTCTGGCGCTTTCATCAAGGTATCATCTGACTGTCCTGGGTTCTGGAATGAGCCTGTCTCTTCCTCTGTCGTATTGGTCCGCCTATGCAAATGTGATTGTCTCTCAGTATGACCACCTCCCTCGGTTCGTCGGAGATTTGGGGTCGTGTTGCTACGATGTAGCCCAGATGGCCGAGATTGACCCATAGACCGAAGAACATCCTCGCGACTGAAGCTCTCCGTCTGTCGATCCCATTTCGACGCAGAAGGCGGAACGTACTTCTGATCCGCCGCAGCGGCCTTAAAAGTCTCGAGCTCCGATTTATCGACCTGGAATGCTGAACTGCGGCTGGCCTGGATCTGCTCTGCCCTCTCCAACCGAGATTTTTCAGCTTTTTCAGCTGCTCGGCCTTCGGCCATTCTCTCACTGAAGCTCTTGATTCGATTGAGCCCTCCGCCTGCAGGGGAAGTCTGGGGCCGAGCCGAAAACAGGTCGTTGGCCCGCGGCGTAGCGCCATCTCTAAAGCCCAGGTGACTGCTTGGTCGAGGATCAGGTCGTGTGATTGGAGGGCGCTTTAGTGACACATCATTTGCTTTCCAGCCCTTATCGATGCCCATCACATATCGTCGAGGTGATATGGGATCATTGGCAGGGATTTCGCGCCTTGTAGGTGACGCTGGAACTTGGATCTCATCGTTGCTTGTCCGTTTGATAAGCTTCTTGGGACTTCTTTGCGCGGGGTTGCGATCTTCTGCTCGTTCTGTCCGGGAAGGGCTGATAGCGGAGGAGGGCCGCGACTCGTCCTCCTCGAGAATTGAGCTGGACCTGCCCCGATTCTTTTGCTGGAGTTTCTTCAATCGCAGGCGGGCTTTGATTTCAGCCAATTGAAGTTGTAGTGTCTCTTCATCTTCTTCCTCCATATCGTCCTCGTCCAGTAGTTGCTGTGCTTTGGATCGGAAATTAGGTGTGGTGCTTGAACGCTTCAAAGGCGATGTCATGTTCTCTCGAGATCGCTGCGTATCCTGATATTTCCTTCGCCCGGCTGGCGAGCTTAACAGGGCTGCGCGAGGCGATTTGGGTGGCCACGCAGGCTCAACCACTGGAGAAAGTTAGCGATCAATCGGCGCGGAGATCGGGCGGACTGACTGGTGCGAGGATTCGATATCACACACTCCCATGGAGTTAGAAGAATACAATAAAGTGAGACACCTCCCCTGTTCAAGTGCCAAGAATCAAAATAAAAGAGGAATGCAATCAATAATGTCCGATGCTGACGGCTGAAACTCGCTAATGCAAGGGAAAGTGACGGATCGCGGTGATTGGAAGAAGTCGCGTTCGCGCGTCGCGAGGCTTCCCGTTTCCACTTTAACACAACACCTCTGCGACAGAGTACACAGACTACGACATGAAGACCAGGTCTGCCCCAGCTAAGGCTAAGGCCTCCAATGACTCTAAAGACTCCGAACAAAAATCGAAATCCCTCGTCCCCGCAGAAAAGCCAAGCAAAACTTTCATTCTGCCGTCCGGCGCAGGCGATAATGCACGACTATTGTCCCTCCCGCAGCCCCAATCGGGGGAGCTAGGTCGCTATTTCTTCTGTCCGGATCGCGGTGTATACGAATTCACAGTTGTCGCGCCGCCTGCGCATTCGGCGCGCAGCATCCTCTTCACACACCCAGCCCGCGAAACCACCCCCTCGGAAGACAATGCTACTACGAAGCCATCTTTGCAAGGATCAATCACCAAAAAGGCGGAACTTCTCGTCGCAACACCCATTGATGCCATGTTCTTCGTGGTTTCATTGCTGGCATCCTCTTCAAAATCAGGGCCTGCTCTGTTCCAGCCACTGGATGATATAATCGACTCACAAGACGACATGCCCCAGCACCTGCGCCAAGTTCTCTATGACGGAAATTTCCGAAGCTCTCTGCTGTCGCGTGTTGAAGCTATCTGTGATGTGGTCGAGGCTGGAGACGAGAAGATGTTCCGATTTAGTGAAATGAAGCTCGTCAAGGAATTGATCGCAAAAGCAGAACGCATGGCGGACCGGGGACTTCCTGCCAGTTTGGAGGAACGGTTCATCCGCCAGGCATTGGCTACGCCTTTGATGGCGGTCAAACGGCAAGATGTGGTCACTACCCAAGAACCATCCGAGAATGAATCCGGGGCAAAATCAGAGGAGGAGCAGGGTTCTCCGTCGACAGTGGCAGCAACTGCAACTCCTTCGATATCGACACCTGCAGGGGAATCCACACCAGTTCCACAGCCAGAAGAAGAGGACCCATCAGTGAAAAACGTCACTCGGTTGCTTAAGATTTCCACGGCTTTATCTTTCATGAAGGAATCTTATTTGCCGGCCGCCGTGGCATTGCGTTTAGATGAAATCCTTGCGTCAGCAGAGAGTCCTCTTGATTTCAAACCGCTGAAGGACAGACTCAAGGAAATTGCAGAGCTTCGTGCCCAAGCTCTAGCTTCGCGTGACATGTCCAACTTCACAAGGAAGCGTGGCCTTGATGACGAAGAAGAGGACACGAGAGCCGAGAAGAAGCGTCGCAAGGACGAGGAAGATAAGAAGGCTAAAGCGGCAGAGTCACAGGGAGTGAAGAACCTGAAAAAGGTCAACACCAGTGGCATGGCGAAGATGAGCTCTTTCTTTGCTAAAGCCCCTCCCAAGAAGAAGGCTTGAGCATCACAGCAAGACGCCCGAGCGGTTACATGGTCACATCTTGCATGTAAATGGATGTCTGGCATAGTGAAGCTGCAATCTACTCAGTCTCACTACCAAAGCCACTGGGCTCATTGTTTAATCTTCCAGTCCAGTACCTCTCGCCTCCCAGAGACGATTTCTGGGAGCCACAGGGTGTCCACATCCAACGCTATGGTCCAGCCTAGCAATCTGGAATTGCTTTGTATATAGCGATTGCTTCTGAACGACCGATGCATTTTCTCACCTCGCCTTTTGGCGTACTGACTCTACGCCAGGTGCATTGCCACTTGAGCAAGTCGCATTCTGTATACTACTACGAATCTCTCACAAAGATGAGAGTATATTCAAAATTTTGGAATCAAATATAATGATCAATATTTCTCTTGAAACTTCGCTTTGCTTGGATATCAAATACAAATGCAATCAGAGAGGGATCTGGTCAATAGCAGCTCCCGTAACCCTGTGAAAATCGTCAGCATTAATCAACATTTCTTCGCACCGGGACAACATACAAGAAAGACCCGTTGGACGGCTTGCTAATAACCATAGCCTGCTCCAACTTCTCCTTGCTGATATCAGGGAACTTCTTGAGATAATACTCATCCCTCAACGCAGCAGTAACGGCCTCCACCTTGCCCTGCGGCAACATGTGCACAGTACAACCACCCCATCCAGCACCCGTCAGTCGCGAACCCCATGTACCCGCTTTGCGCGCAATGCTACAGATGTCATCAACCTCAGGCGCACTGCAGTCATATGCCACACGGCAGGACTCTTGCGAATCATTCAGCAATTGTCCAAGGTAGTGGATGCGCTTCTCATCCAACTCCTGCGCATTGCTCAAGCAGGCCTTGAAATCGAGGACACGACGTGCCTCCTTGAAGCAGTGCAGTGCGCGCTGTCGGAGCTGGAATCGGTCCGCCTGGACGGGGAAAGCGGAGAGGAAGCTCGATTCAAGCTCTGGCACACTAATGCTGAGTAGCTGGGCCATCTCTTCGCGTGTGTATCCCTCTTCCTTGGTGAAGAGATCCTGTGTGGCTTGGATGACGGAGTCGAGTTGAGACTCCAGCTTATCTTCGAGACGGCCTTGCTTGGTCATGAGCTGGCTTTGGAAGTTGCGCAGACTGTAGCCGAGGGAGCTGTTGTCCTTGGGCAGGGTTACGCCGTGGTGCTTGGCGAGAATCACGGCAGCAAGAGTGCACTCGGCTACACGCAGGTTGTAGTGGCGGGGTGCGGTGTCTGCCTTGTTAGAGGTGACGAAGCTCTGGGCCATGAGGAAGGTGATTTCATCGGCGGCCTTGGGAATCGCTACATGGTGAGCAGCGAACTGGGGGAAAAATTGAGTGTAGAGCAGGTATCCGCGCTTAGAGAAGATGGATGCCGCTTGGTCCATACTAGATTATACCCGTCAGCTCGTTTCTTGATGGTTGAAGCTTAGCATTTAAACTTACCCGCCGGAGTAGACACCCACTGCCCGCTCTGAGACAACAGCCAGGTCCAGTAAGTCCTGCTTGGAGACGTTGTGGTTGTTTGCCTTCATAACGGCCAGAGCACTGGCGCAAACGAAGGCCGCGCTGCTGGAGATACCACCACCGGGTGGCACATTGCCATCCACCAAAATCTGCATGCTAGCGGGGACAATGGAGCCATTTTCCTTACGCAGGAATTTGAGGGCTCCGGACAGACCGGCGCGGAAGTAGTTCACCCACTCATGCTTCTTGGGGTCGATCTCGACGTCCTGGTTGTGAGGCACACTGAACTCGCGCGTGGGGAATTTTTCCGGCGAGACATTGGCAATTGTGATGGTGGCCTCGGAAGCGCTGGCGGGGACGACCTTGACGGCCATAATCACGTCCACACTGACGGCAGTGGGTAAGACATCGTACAGAGAGTAGTCAATGTGCTCGCCGATGATGTTCACACGGCCCGGGCTGCGCGCGACGAAGTCCGGGCGGTGGTTATAGGTCTTGTTAAACTGGGTGACGAGGTTGGCCCATCGCTTCTGGTGCTCTGGTGCAACCGAGTTGACTGAAGCGTCGTCCGTTGCGTAAACTTCCGCAATGGATTCAGTCTGTGGCACGAGTTCCTGCGGGGGTGACATGGCGGGGTAGAGGATGGAGGGGTAAAGGTAGATGTAGAAGTAAAAGGAAAAGTAGAGGTGAAAATGAACACAGTGTAAACACAATTTCTCCGGAGCCCCAGTTTCCCCGGGTAAGTGTTCGGGATAGTGGAGTTGCGCAGGACGCACTTTGTAGTGACCGGTGACCGAGTTCGGGTAATTTGCGGGGAGGTGACATCGGCTCTCTCCAGGCAGGGCTTCCTCGACTCCATTCGACTCCATTCGACCCCATTTGTCCCCATTGACCCAATCTCGATTCACAGGCTAATTGGTTGTTTCATTTCCGCTCGCGGCTGTTTTTTGCCCAATTCAGCGATGACGCACTGGGCTGTCCCAAACAGGCAATTTCTGTCCTGCTCGGCTGATCTCGATCTTACGTTGTGCACGTTCTTCCGGCTTCACGGCTTTTGTGCTCAATCGGCCCGTGGAGTATCCCGAGAATTTGGTTCTCCACCTGTTGTGCTCAGGTACAAGTTGTGCCCCTGTACCTGCGTCTCAATTCGGATGTTACATACCCTTCAAGGTTGGGACAAGAGATATAAGGTATCGATTAACAGTCAGAAGTCATCAATTCTTGTCTTTATCTTATTCTATTCCTTTGTTTTCCAAATACGATCTGCCTTGGTCGTGTAATTCACGTCTTCTTCACCGAGCGGAAAGCCGGTGTCTGCACCATCCCAGTCTCCGCGTAGTACTGTTCCCAATGTTGGATCAGTCGGTCAAGAACGTCTAATCTGCTTTTTGAAACGTCGTTTAACTCGGAAGGGTCCGACTCAACATCAAAAAGCTCCCATTCATCGTTGCCACGGGGCTTCGCAATCCAGACAGCCTTCCATTTCCCCTCACGAATCGCCCGCTGACCGAAGAGTTCCCACCCATGGATGTGCACATCCTCCTCGTGAACACTTGTCTTCTCCAAATCACCGGAAGCTAGGTGTGAGACCCAGGACTGGCCTCTCGGGACAACAACTTCACGTCCCCGGAAGTGTGTTCCTGGATGGGCAACTCCTGCCAAATCTAGAATTGTGGGAAGGATGTCCATCACCGTTGTGAAAGAGGTAGTGATGGCTCCAGGCTTGGCCTGAAAGGCCGGATATCGAATCACGCAGGGGCAACGAATGCCACCTTCAGTAACCCAGCCCTTGAAGCCTCTGGAGGGGGCGGTTGCGGCACAAGCCCAGCGAGCACCTAGTAACAAGCATCAGATATGGTCTCTGACTGGGGAATCCATGGTTTTGAGTAATTCCAATGCACATACCATACCAAACAAATGAGTTTGGATCGCCAATGTTTTCCAGTGTGTTTTTGTAGTATTTGGTGATGATGTCACCCATCATTCGTGCGCCGCCCATGAGCTAACAACATGTTAACCAAGATCAATCGGTTGATTTTCAGGATTGTCTTACTGGAAGAGCTTCCAAAGCCGCACCTTCAGCCCCATTGTCCGACATGAACAGGACAAAGGTGTTTTCCAACTCTCCCGTTGACTCGAGATGGTCGATAACTCGGCCAATATTGGCATCGAGCAGCTCAACCATGGCCGCAAAGACCTCCATTTTACGCGCCGATAATTTCTTTTCTTCAGTCGACATCTCTTTCCAGTCTTTGTCAAGAACTCCCACGGGGGGTGAATGCTCAACATCCTCGCCTACCAAACCCAAGTCCTTGAGACGGCGAAGTCGCTTCTGGGTCAAGGCATCAGGGCCATCATCATACATCCCCGCTGAAAAGAGTCAGAAGCCAAACGTACGAATTGATCTTCAAAGCCGCATACCGTATTTCTCAATGATTTCCCGGGGCGCTTGGAGAGGCCAGTGTGGTGCCGTATATGGCAAATAAGCAAAGAATGGCTTTTGCGACTCTTCCGCTGTGCGGTCTTTGAGGAACCCTATCATTTTGTCGGTGAATGTCCGAGTCGAATAAAAGTCCGTCGGAAGATCAGTCGACCGGTTCAGATGCTCGCTGCCTTCCATCCAAAAGCCATTTGTATTCAAACATGGAGCTTGGAATTCACCGTCGTCTAGTTGAGGCTCATAGTTGTAATGATTGCTAGCCCCTGGGAGCAGGGAGAAATTCTTGTCGAACCCTCTGGAGTAAGGTGAAAGTTCTTTCGTCATTCCTAGGTGCCTTCACATAGTTAACGAGACTGCATCTTGGGTCCCAATGTGGCAATGTCGATATTCAATATTGTGAAGCTCACCATTTTCCAGACATGATCGTGTGATATCCAGAGTCCTGCAAGATCTCCGACAATGCTGCCACACGCCAGTTCAGATATCCCTCATAGCCCGGCTTGTCTTTGAAGTAGTCGCCAAACGACCTCATGAATTCTGCCATTTGCCCTGGAAGACGTCAGCGTCAAGAACATTTCAATGTTACAAGGCAGATCCTGGGGCGCGGATACCGAGTCCAGCAATATGGTTGTCTGTCCCGGAAAACAGCATAGATCTAGTCGGAGAGCAAGCAGATGCAGTGTGGAAGTTGGTCATCCGGATTCCCTCGTTCGCCAACTTTTCAAGCACCGGGGTTTGAATCTCTCCTCCATAGGGAGAGACATCGCTGAAACCCAGATCATCGGCAACGATGACGAGGAAATTAGGCCTTTTGGACGTGCTGCCCATTGTCTCAAATTTTCCAAGGTTGGAAATTCGGGTATCAAGTGGATGTTTTGAAGATGGCAGACTGTGCAGGGATTATATAGCCATGCCTGTCACTATTTCCCGACAGGATAAGTCGGGACCTACTTCCCAGGTCCCGGCGTTTAAATACTCCCGAGCTTGTATATGCCTGGTGAATACATCATGATGCCTACATAATCTTCCTTCGGCTTAAATGCATACTAGTGTGGCAGCGCCAATTGTATGCGCGCGGGGAGATTGACTAGGGCCTAGCTGGCAAGCTAAATTATTCCCCGCCCGTCTTCCTCATTGAATGGCGTTATTACGCCATCTGAGTGCCGAATTGTAGGCGATCTCCGCGTTGCATATGGCCTTGGGTTAAGTGGAGATGAGAGAATGGTGAACAACTTATGTGCAAACCAGTTCTTCTCAATTCTGTCGCATAAAATCTTATCCCCAAACCAACACTAGCTCCCACCTGAGTCTAGCAGATTTGGCGTTGGAACTTTAGAAGAATCAAGCCTTGTTCCCGAACTAGGATGGATCCTTATCCTCTGATCATGTGCATGTTACACTGTTGTTTTCTTTTACTCATGGCTTTCTAGTGCTTTGTATTAGGTTTGCTTTTCTTACATTTATCTTTTCATGGTTTTTTTTTTTAATAGAGTGTAACAGCTTAGCTCTCAAGTTTGGAGAGATGTTGAAATGGTGGTCAGAGACGCTAACCCTGGAGGCAGAGGAATTTGAAAGATCGGGTTGGCACCTGTATTATCATATCTGGCAACTCTCCAGGCTGATCTTTTTTTTATCAATCTGTTACTAGTAAATTACCAAAAAGATTAAATCAATACTGAAAGATCAATACTAATACTGAGAGAGACACCGCCCAATAATACCAGAGGCTAAACAAGAACTGCACTCTTCCGTGGTATCATGCTGTCTACCGCAGTATTACCGTGAAACTACGGTATCAAAGCACCTCACAGGGCAATGATCGCTCAACATCAAACACGCCGTCCTCAAGTACTTTAAGCGGCCTCCACTTCTTCATTAAGTGATAGTCCAACCAAGTACCTTGTTGGTACCACCCCTTCGATCTTTCCAAAGTTGGGAAGGTTGTCACCCACGTGCCTCTCATGGAGAGACCAATCAGCGTCAACCAAACACTCACGGGTACACCGACGCAGTTTGGCCCAACCTGCCTAGAACGTTGGACATTCAAAATGGGACTGATTTCCCCCCTTCTTCTTCTCTCCGCAGCTTGCACTGTGTTGTACCCCTAAGTACACCCATCTGGTATTGATAATGGCGTCCTACTCCCACAACCAGCATGGAGAGGAGGAGAGTCTACTAGGGGAGCGACGCCAACCTATTCGAAAGCGATCGAGCTCACCCATGAGGTTTCTGGTCACCATGGCCTTTTTCGGAATCATAGCTATTTCGGCCGTTCGTTTCATGACTGGGACGGAATACAAGTCACATTCCACAACAGTGGTGTCCAGCCCAAGTGACCAACCCACGCATCCTCTCCTTTCTAGGTCGAAGAGTGCCTCGCAGAACGAACATGCCTGTAATACAGTCAATGGCGGGTACCAGTGCAACCCCGCGATATCACACCAGTGGGGTCAATACTCTCCCTACTTCTCTCTATCGGAAAAGTCAGCTATCTCGGACGATGTTCCTACCGACTGTCAGATCACATTCGTTCAAGTCATCTCTCGCCATGGCGCCCGATATCCTTCCAGCAAGAAGAGCAAAAAATACGGGGCTCTTATTGATGGTATTCAAGCGAATGCAACTGCATACAAGGGCAAAATGTCATTTTTGCGCTCATACGAATACAACCTGGGTGCTGATGACCTGACAGTCTTTGGTGAGCGTCAAATGATTGGCTCGGGGCTGAAGTTCTACCACCGCTACGAATCTTTGACCAGACAAGCCGTGCCTTTTGTGCGTTCGTCTGATTCTGTGCGCGTCATTCAATCTGGAGAGAAGTTCATCAAAGGGTTCCAACACGCCAAGTCCCACGATAAAGATGCCAATCACGGACAAAAGAGTCCTGAGATCAGTGTTGTCATTTCTGAAGCAGAGGGCTCAAATAACACTCTCAATCACGCCGATGTCTGTACAAACTTTGAAAACAGCAGCCTGGGCGACGATGTTTCCGACAACTACACGGCTATCTATTGGCCCGCTATTCGAGCTCGGCTTGAGGCAGATCTTCCAGGTGTTACGCTCGAAGATGGTGATGTGACCAGCCTAATGGATCTATGCCCCTTCGAGACTGTCTCCCAGAGTCACAATGTCACCGGCCAGTCGCCATTCTGTGATCTGTTCACCGAAACCGAATGGACGCAGTACAATTATCTTCAGTCACTGGGCAAGTACTACGGCTATGGGGCGGGTAACCCACTTGGTCAAACTATGGGAGTTGGATTCGTGAACGAGCTTATCGCTCGGCTGACCCATACCCCTGTGCACGATGATACGACTACAAACCACACCCTCGATGCCCCTGGTGCTCCTAGTTTCCCCCTCAACCACACCATGTTTGCGGATTTCACCCACGACAATGGAATGATTCCTATCTTCTTTGCCTTGGGGCTATATAACAGCACCAAGCCCCTTCCTCGCACTCACCTACAGAGTCCTGACAAGGCTGATGGCTATTCAGCTGCCTGGACGGTGCCCTTCGCTGCCCGCGCTTACATCGAGATGATGCAATGTCGCTCAGACCCAGACCCAGAGCCGTTCGTCCGAATTCTTGTCAACGATCGCGTCGTCCCATTGCATGGATGCTCAGTTGATTCATTGGGCCGTTGTCGCCGAAAGGATTTCATCAACGGGCTCACTTTTGCACGTTCAGGAGGGCGATGGGATCAATGTTTTGACGAGTGAAAAACAAGTGAGGGGGTTCATTGCTCTTCTGCGTGCTTTCATCGTTAATTTGATACCCCTGTGATTTTCATTATCATTATGTACTTTTCCAAATCAACTTCCGACCTTGGAGGTTTCCTAGTCGTCTGAATAAGCACATCCGGTCTCAGAAACAATGACATTGTATCCAACATATAAAGGCTCTAACGCATACAAAGGCTAATTCAAACAGCCCCCAACTCCAAAAGCAACATCACATTTTACCCCCTACATATTCCACGACCTCCCATTCCTTCCACTCCTCCCCATAGAAGAAAGCACCCAAGCCTCCCAAAGAGGCAATTGTCTCCTCATAACCCTCACCCCATCATCCCCCAAATCTTCCACCGCCAAATCCCTCAACTTTTCCACAGAATCCCGCCTCAGCAACCCCCGTCTCCCCCTCAAGGCCGGCACACCAGCCGATCCCACCTCAGCCGTCCCAGCAGAAACAGTAAGAGGAGAAGGCGCAGGTCCAAAAACACCAACCGGTCCAACATTAGAAACATCCATACCAGTGCTCACAATCGAATCAAAGTAATTATCGTAGTCAATCTCCCTCAACTCGATATGATCTAGGACCAATTCCTCGCGCAGAACGAGAAGAACGTCCCGCCATAGTCCTGTTCGTAGAGAGATTCCCACAAGTCTCAGATCCCGGAGCTGAGCATGGTTGCGTGCTACTGCGATGAGCTCGCTTGCATCTAGACGCCAGCCTTGGATGCTTAGTTTGCGTAGTGTTTTTCGGTGGATGTGTTGGAGCATCGGGTTTAGATTGAGGTCTAAAGGATGGCGACCCAGGAAGCCGATGTGGAATGCGGTGAGGCTTTTGGCTGCTATGAAGAAACGAAGAAGGAGGGGGGAGAGAGAGGAGATTGTGTTTGCGAGACCGGTGGTTGAGGGGATGTTGATGTCGAGGCTTGTGATGTGGGATCCCATTGCGGAGAAAGATTCTGGTGGGGTGTGTATGAGGTTTAGGGTTGCCTCGGGACTGATTTGGGGTGCTGTAAATCGTATTTTGGAGGTTGAATTTAAAAGTGCAATGCCTAAGCTTGTTATTGCCCTTGTGCAAGCAGGTTCCCAGTTGAATGATGCCGTTGAGTGGGTACGCATGAAGTGTAAGAGGAGGTCGTCCGCTCCATCTTGCAATCTTAGGAGGGTAATTTCTTGTAAGGATGTTGATGCAGCGAGGACGAGACGGAGCCGCGATACATCGTGGTTGTGGAGGGTCAAATCTGTTTGCTCGCGGTATCGGTGGCTATGGGCTCGGAATAGCGTTGGTCTCTGGCTTTCTAGCTCTTGCATTATTTGAGGCCACCCTGATGGTCGTTAGCGGCAGCTGTGGATGCGAGGATGTGGAGAGAGATATACCGCCGCCTTGGTAGAATGGCCGCACCATGTATGTGATGCTCTTCACATAGCAAGCTAGCTGCATCTCTAGCAGCTGATCTAGTCGCCGAAATCCATGTTTGGAGAATCGCAAAGTAAAACGAGAGAACCTGTGCGGTGTTCCAATGCGCATGAACCTCTTGCATACGAGACGGAAGCGATCAAGATCGGATGCTTCCCCAAAGATGTTGATGGACTCATGAACTTTCCCATTGGGCTTGGTGTATATCACTCGGGGTGGGTCAAGTAAATCTACAATCTCACTGAGGAGTTCATCGGCGAGATCGTGAATGTGACGTGGCTGATCCATGATCGGCGCGCGCAGCCGACCCATCGGCTTCTTGACGTCGCAGCAACATGGAAATCCAAAGGAATTGAGGAAGAATTCAAGCTCCTGACCGGTCTCAAAGACCGGAGAAACAAGTCACGGAGGAAATTGGGAAGAGAGGGGGGAAAGGCGGCATAAAAACAAAAGAAATAAGAGTCGAGGCTATCTTCTCTTTTTTTTTCTCCTGCATATCTGCATGTATGCCAGATACACTAGGAGACTGGATCTGTCTCACCATCGACGCATGGCGAAAGCTCTCATCCTAACAATCGTTTGGCGACCGGGGGGGATCATCACCCGGATTTAGCGCCCAATTCGCATTGACAAGCCGAGCCCTGTAACCCGAACTGAATCATTTCATTGGTGACGAGGGAAACACAGGGAATCACATGATTGATTGCTTCTGCGGCCAGCCAGCGCGAACCTGCAGCCCTCGTTGAAAGTGTAGCGAGTCGAGTGGTTGTGGAGGGTTGAAAGTCGACGCAGACCCCGCCTTCAAGTCGTCACATCATGCAGAGTGACGGACCTTAGCGCAATGTGTTTCTCTCACCCTCGCCCTCTCTCTGGTGCAGACGATAGGAGAAAAATGGCCGAAATCAAATTGAGCTAATGGTTTCATGCATGTACTGGAAACTATCTACGAATGCTTGGATATAGAGGGTTGATGGAAGATGATCCATCTACAAATCTGTACTAGTACTCTATACTCTGCTAGATCTATAGTATTTCGTCACTACTCCGTACTCCCTAGCTTTTTACATGGTAAATCATAAGTAAACCATCCAGTGATTCAAATTATCTTCAATGCCACCATCTCTCGCTGATACCCAATGTACTCATTTCAATCCGTCTTCAAAGTACGAGGCGCCATACGAAAGTCTTAATTTAAACCTCAATTTAATGATGTTATCATTGTCTCCTACACTATGCTACATGAATTTGATTGGACTATACCTATGCCTGGCTAGTATCTACATGGCCTGCTCTAAATCTTATACTTAAGTAATCTCAATTTTGCTCAATTTTGTTTTAATTTATCTATGTTTCTCTAAATTGGTTTTGAATATAGATTCCTAGATCTAAACTTTATTTGAAAATGGTAATGCCTAGACCTATATCCTTATAATTTGGCTAAAGTACTACTTTCTCACAACCTCTCAATATCTTATATTCCCAGGACCAATATATGTACAGTACCTAGGTACTTAGTGCACCCAGGACTGTTGGAGGGAAAAGAGATCCATGGGATTCTGAGTGGGTCCCGAGGTCCCGAGGTCCCAAGAGCTTTATTCTTTCACCAGTAGATGTTCTGTTATCCACTTAGCTTGGATGAGACGGAATATCTTCATCACTTGCTCCGGAAAATTCAAATTCCAGCTCTCATCAAATGCCATACTGTCTTCCAAGGTTGAATATAGACCTGGTTTTCAGAGTCACGTGATGTCAATCACATGACATCATTTGGACATCTCCATCTTCTCCCCCTCCATTTCTTACCTCTTCGCGCAATTCATGAGCTGCGTTCTGGTCCCTTTCTTCCTCGTCCCCGGTGAATAGCTCTTTCAATAAAACCAGAGGGCTTCAACGATTTGGATTTGCACAATGTCGGCCGACCGCAATCCCTCGGCGTTGTTGCTGCTTCCCCCACCTCCGGCTTTTTCTTTTGACCAGGTCAAGGAGACATTTGGGCCGTCGTTGATAAATGTCTTCAAAAAGCTCTCGGATGGCTTAGATGCTTCGAAATTACACGTGCTTGACATTGCCCTGGTAGTCCCTATCCCTCCCGAGGGCAAACCCAGGGCCAAAGTGTTTGCGCAACTCCAACAATATTTGACCAGCATGTATAGTCTGGTTGGTGTGATCTGTGCAACACACAATATTGAACTTGATGTCCCAGGTGGTATCGATACCCGGGTGGTATTTGTCAATGCAAATGGGAGACCCTTGACCCAGGCCTCTGATAGCCCTCAATTTGGACCCGTCCTCGACCTGCAATCACTGGCGAATTCTGGACGCGAATGGGATCACATCTTCCATCTGTCTAATTTAATTGGAAATGAATGGGCCAATTCATTTGCCGAAGCTCAATCTCGGGGCGATACGGCGGCACGGTTGCAAGCCATAACAAGCAACCCTGATTGGACAATTCCCGAACCCTTGCTAATTCCTGATCACCAACCATCTAAGCCGCACTCGTCCGTGATCGTGGGTGGTACATTTGATCACCTTCACCTCGGTCACAAGCTTCTCCTGACAGCCGAGGCACTCGCCCTGGACCCATCTGATCAGGATGCCCGCTTGATCGTTGGAGTGACCGGAGATGCACTCCTAGTGAACAAGAAACATGCCGAGTTTCTAGAGGATTGGGAACAGCGTTGGCAGAGCACTGCCTCTTTCCTGTCGGCTATCATGGATTTCACTCCGGGCCAACAACCCCCCAAGATTGAACGCTCCACTGAGCCCAAGACTGTCCTCGTTAATATCCAACCCAAACTGACCTTTGAATTTGTGGAAATCTCAGATCCATTTGGGCCCACTATCACAAAAGAAAATATTGACGTGATCGTTGTGTCTAGAGAGACTCGTTCAGGAGGAGCCGCAGTCAACGATGAACGGATCAAGAAGGGCTGGAAGGCTCTGACGGTGTTCGAAGTTGATGTCCTCCAGTCCGGGGATTCCGTCACGACCACCGAGAACTTCGAGAGCAAAATTAGCAGTACCGAGATCAGACGACGCCGGGCTCATCTTTCCAAGGTCTAATAGGATGTAACCACCCTCTCCAGGGCTCCACAAGGGCGGTAAGTGGGTATGCATACCGCTTCATATATCAAGCTCTATTTGCATATGGTTCTTGACCTTCATACTACTCCTATGTTACATATACCCTGCTCCCTAGATCCAGAGATATCATCCTGATCTTTACGATCTCTATATCATCTTAACATCTATCACAAGGCTTCTTATGAACCTGAGGAATAAAAAAGAATTTAATTTATAAAAATTATCATACCCCGTACATTCATTACGGTAAAGATCTATATCACCATATGATCAAAAGTGATTAAAGGTCCAAACATCTGATTTGTGTGCCTGAGAAAGCGGGCGTACTTCCATATTAACTGATGCCGTTAAGCGCAGGTGACCACTGGTCACTAGAGCAGTTAAATAGGTTCGATCAGATAAGAGAACAAAAAGTAGAAGCCCAGAGTGAATAAACACAAGAACAGACACAAACATACACAAAACCTCAAAGACGAGGGGATTCATCTCCGCCTCCACAGATGAGACATCATGAGGCTTACTCAGCGGGGTGATGGCACCGCCCTCTCTCTCTCCTCCGTGAGAATGCAATTGCGAGAGTGTCCTGGCAAGGTTGGAATGATATCTGGCTGACAGTATCTGACCGGAGCTCATTTGAAGCCCAGCGCGTAACCCGCCCAATTCCCCCAACCTCCTTCAATCGGACAGGTGGAGCTCTCGATCCATCGCATTCTCCCCTGCATAGACTGGCGCTTGTGCTGTCCAGCCCACACCATGTCGAATCCGGCGTCCTACGGTTCCCATCGGCGGTCAACTGTCTTTAGTCGTCAGCCTGAGGAACTTCATATCCCATCATCAGGGCTAAACAACCCGAACCTGTCCCGTCAGTCCTCCTCGCATGATTACCCAGCCACCCCAGACGCAGGTGCCCGACTTCCCGCGATCAACGTACACTCGAGCTCTCAGTACGGAGGTGATGGGAATCACAGCAGTAGTGTACTTCCTGGAGCCCTGCAGCCCGGTAATCGCCCCCCGGCCGTATCGATAAATACCGCCCCATCGGTCGTTCCCACCATGCAGCCATCATCGTCGCAACCGAACCACCGCGCCAGTATGATCAATTCCCACGGTCATTCACGATCCAGCCCCGCGGGCTTCGATCAGTCGATTTACAAGCAACACGGCGCACCGGACGGCTCGAAATATCCCTCCTCCCCTGGCGGATTTCCACCACATACCCCGCAAGGGTCGAAGTACTCGCCCCTCGGCTTGTCAGATATCAGGCCCTCGGGCGAGCACCTCTTGAGTGAGGCACTTTTGAACCCGGGAATTCCTTCCTTGCCCCCCAACAACAACGACAACCAAGTGCCCACCAACAGCAATTATGTCGCACCATGGCCCATCTATGCGGTGGACTGGTGCAAGTGGCCTATCGCAGGTAGCTCCGGATTTGGAGGAAAGCTCGCGATGGGAAGCTACCTAGAGGACAACCATAACTACGTATGTCGTATCACCCGTTGGACGAACATGCAGGTGCTGATCAAGTTTTAGATTCAAATTGTCGATGCACACTGGACCCAACCAGACCCCGACACCCCAGACGCCGCCGCGGGGGAGATCAAACTGGACTACGTCAAAACCGCCGAAGCAACCCACTCTTATCCCGTTACACGCATCCTCTGGGAGCCCCCATCTTCCCAGAAACAATCGACTGATTTGCTGGCCACGTCAGGAGATCATCTTCGACTATGGTCGCTGCCAAACTCCCAGCCTCTGCAGAGCTCGAATTCTATCACTCGCCCCATGAGCCAGCGGGAGACCCCCACCTCCAAGCTTTCCCCACTGGCATTGCTGTCCAACTCCAAATCCCCAGAGCACACCGCTCCTATCACCTCTCTTGATTGGAACACAATTTCACCCAGTCTGATCATCACTTCCAGCATTGACACAACCTGTACTATTTGGGACATTCCCACCTTGACCGCAAAGACACAATTGATCGCACACGACAAGGAGGTGTACGATGTCCGGTTCTGTGCCAACAGCGTTGATGTCTTCGTCAGTTGTGGTGCGGATGGCAGCGTGCGAATGTTTGATTTGCGAAGCCTCGAGCACAGCACCATCATCTATGAGCCAACCGATAAGAATGAGAAGAGTAAGCACCCGTCCAGATCACATTCGTTCATAACTAACGTCCATTTCAGCGATGAGCCCCGGGAACTCCAGTCCCCCTGGCCAATCGCAGACCGGTCTCTACCCACCTCCTCTATTGAGAATCGCAGGTATGTGCAAAAAATCTCACATTCGATTCACAAGAGTGCTCTATTAATCCCATGTTTAGCATCACCACATGACGCCCATCTCTTGGCAACATTCTCCCAAGACTCAAGTGTCGTCCGAGTGCTCGACGTCCGCCAACCCGGCCAAGCCCTACTGGAATTGAAGGGCCACTCCGCAGCACTTAACTGCGTAGAATGGTCCCCAAGCCGACGCGGAATCCTTGCATCCGGCGGCGACGACAGCATGGTCCTCTTATGGGACCTGATCAACCAACATAACGCCGCCCCCATTTCCTCCCCACCCACACACCCCACAGGAGCACCACCATCGACAACCTCCGAGCGCGGTCCAGCAGCCGTCTGGCAGAGCGAGTACGAAGTCTCCAACATCAGCTGGTCTCCATCAGGCGGACCCAACCACACCGGCCAGTCGCGTGAATGGCTAGGTGTCTGTGGCGGACGAGGTCTCACTGGGGTTTCTTTATAAACCAAAAGGCGTTGATCTTCGTGCTTTTCAACCGATTACATTAGATTTCAATGTCTTGCCTTTTCTCTATTTTCTGCCCCCGTGATACAGCATCTGCCTGACTTGAGTCCAAGTGACTTACTGGTGCCTTGTTGGGTTACCGGCATGGGAAATAGTCTCACACTTGGCTGCTCTTATTGATTTGATTTGGTGGCCTGCCCATACTGACTTAGTTAGTACGAGTGAATGAATGAATGAACCATACATTGAATTTGAACCGAAACCGCGTCGGATACTTAAGTATGTTACTAGCGATATATGCCAGGCTATTGAAGACGCTCCTTGTGGAGATTTGTCCACAGGAAACCAACGCCGGTTACCAAATTACGGTTAAGGGGAGCGTATACCAAGGTAGTAAAAATACATGTTTTCGATGAGCCTATCGCGAACGATTCACCAGAGGCTGATGGGCGCGATTCACTGGACAATGGATAATAATAGACTCGCCAGCGAGATAGTATCATATTTTCAGCAACTCGTCGGGCACAATGCGCCCGCCAAATCAGGTGTGGTCTTCCATGGCCTGGAAATTCCCAATATACATATAGCTTTCAGTCCACGTGGGAAACTGTCAGGGTTGGAGGACGCGGTGCTGGATCTCTGAATATCCAACGGTCTTCAAGCGAGCGCGCAAACTTGACACTGGGTATGTCGACGGCTCGCCAGAAGACATCCCCCAGCCAGATGGCGACAGGGAGACACATAAGCCAGCCAATCAGGAACCCAAGGCAATACTGGAAGTTTGTTTCTTTGCCAGTGATGTTCCAAATGTTGGGCATGAGGGCATAGCCCAGACAATGTAGGATTGGGCCATGAACTACATAGAATGCAAATGAGATTTTCCCAAGATATTGGGAAAGCGGGTTGGTTAACAGTCTTTGGATGTCTGGGGAGTGGTTGATCGAGAAAACGATGATAGCTGCACCGATAGTCTGGGCGAATCGATGGGGCTCGGGGTATGTGTATGGAGTGACATGCCACAACCACCTGTAAAAAGGAGTCCATTTGAAGCCAATGTTAGGACAAGAGCCGAAATATAGACCCACCACGAAGAGGGAGTTCCATAGCCACCGGCGAGACACCCTCAGTGTTGTTTTACTCGAACCGAGGCGAATTGTTGTCTTTTCGTCATCTGCGGCTTGTTTCGCAGTCTGTTCCCAGGTTCCATTGATGAGGTCCACCTCGGCCATCAACATGCCAAAAAAGAACAGAACAATTTCCCAGCGTCCATAGCGCATGCAGAACCAAATCAAGCCGGAGACTAGTGTCATGCGTACAGGTGCAATCAAGCGCGATGTTCCCATGATGACGACAAATAGAATAAGCGAGGAGCGGAACTCAAGAGGAATCGTCCACAGGTGCGGATTGTAGTAGTTATAGTATAGTGCGTAATCAAATGGATTCAACAATGTGGCCACTGTGTCCCACAAGTCGTCACTCTGTTTCGAGAATGTCTTGAACACGCGCGGGTGCTGTTCATTGGTTCCAAGGATGGTGTGGCCTTCTTTAATAACGGCATGGGAGTAATTATACAGCCCCAGCCGAACAGCCACAAAAACACAAAATATGCCAGCAAAAGCAGGTATGTAGAGGCGGAAGGCTCGGCGGAACGTCCCCGATGCCAGCGTAGTGAAAGTTTGATCAAAGGACCTGCTCCGGATCGTTTTGAGCGGTTTATATGACAAGACATAACCCGAAAGCACGAAGAAGATGGCTACCATGATGTGACCGGATATCAACATGTGGATAATAGGCAGCTGATGGATCCCGAAGTTTTCACCCGCAAATCCCCATCCAATTGCGACCTTCCAGGTATATGTGAATAGGAAATGGAAGTTGAACACGAGAAGGCAGGCCCAGCCGCGCAGACCATCTAGGGCGGCGATGGCATGGAGCTTCGAGGTCGTCGGTGGTTCGCCACCTACCAAGTGTTGTAGGAAACTCGGCGTGAGCGCGACCGTGAATTTGTGCCATATATCTTCCGCATAAGCAGACCAGTCCTCTTGGGACATTTTCGGTGATAAGCTGTCGGGATGAGCGAGGATATTCGACGGGTGGAACCTCGAGAAGTCATCCCAGCGCGATGTTATGTTCGATTTGGGTTCTGTGCTGGAGGCAGATTCGAGGTCCCTTCGGGGGAAATCAGATGCCGAAGTGGCGGCCCGATCTTCGGTGGATTTCATGATGCTTTGCAAATCGATCGCAAGTGGATATTTGGGATTGTAGACTCCATGTGCAGTTCCAAGATGGAATGGAAGTATGCAGGCCGATGTACGGAGTAGGTGACTGAAGAAGCGAAAGGAGACGCTTTCCCTCGTCCTGCGAGGTCGAACAGTGCACTATGCGCGCTGATGTTGACAGAGCTCGGAAGTGAAGACGCTAACGGAAATTCTCTCAGGGCTCCGAGACTAGACAAGACGCATTGAAATCAAAATGGCAGAGGATTGCGAAGAGTGAAATGACCAACGACGCAATGACGAGGCACGGCAGCGCCGCCGATCGATTGCCGCTTTCGTACTGCCAGCTCCACTGCGGGCAAGTAGTACCCAGTACATATTGGATAGTACTGCATTGTACTATAAGAGATGTACCCGATACCAGGTACTACATACTACTACCGTGCTATACTATATCATAGTAAACCAAAACGCCAGGGACATGCTAACACATTGTATCTCAATATCTGACGCGCCCTAATATTAAACCAAGTAAATGGGCCCTTCGAAATTGTCTGTAGTATCCCTTCAAACGGCAGAGCCAGCATCAGAACCGCCTTCAACAGAGCCCTCAATGCCATCAGGATTATTCTCATCACCCTCCACGCCATTGTCATCGTCGCTCGCCAAACTCGCGAGTCCATCGTCCGTGACGATGGTGTCATTACCAGGAGCAATTTCAGAGGACGAGCTGTTCATGTTGGATTGGGATTCCTCGTCCTCCAAACCAACATCACTCATAATGAGAGACAAGTGTTTGAGCTTCTTAAAATCATCCTCAATGCGATTTTGGATCATACGAAGCTCCTTGTGAGCATTGCGCATATTACTTGGCTGCTTTTCTGGGGTTGTCTGATCCGGTGGCGACTTGTCTCGAGCCTCAGAGGAAACAATAGCTCTGTTCTCACTTTGAACCGAGGAAGAAGACGACTTCGATTGAGGAATGGATGTGAGATTGTCGGAAGCGGAAGGTTGGGAAACAGTGAGGCCGAGGAGGCGAGGTACGGTATGGAGGTTCCCAGCGAAATATTGGTTGTACCATGAGTCCACAGGCCACTCGGTCAGACAATGACTACAGTCAGTCTTAATCTTGCTCGTGTACCAGCAATTCATACAGGGGCCTTTGCCTGTTCCCATAAACCTTCCATTGTTGACCACACAAGTTAGGAAGGGGCCTTTCCCTTGGAGACATCTTATGCATTCGCCTTTCTTTGGGGCTTGCATACCAGAGCGTTGACCAAGCGTGGCAATCAATCGGGTGGAACCCTTTGGCATGTACGCCAGTTGAGAAACAGCTTGTACTGGATCTATCCAGTCAACATTGCGAACCGGCTCTAACATGAGAAGTCCTCGTTCGTTTTCAGATCTGCACAGTTTTGGACGTGGATTTCCATGGGAATCGAACATCTCTTCAACTATTGAGTGTGTTAGACTTTTGATGAGTGGACCAAGTAAGTTCATGAAAATGGATTATAGAAATGGCTTGATACATTGAGCGGCCAACCTGCTCCGGAAATCTCCTGAAGGTATCATCTGGTCGCTCGGCTCATCCAGCCTAGGACGTTTCTTCCCTATGAATGACGTTAGATTGATATTATGCTAGGTGTGTAAGGAAGCCAAGCTTACCACGAGAGCTATCTGATGATTGAGAGGCCATGTTTGATGGATTAATATGAAGGGGACGCGGTAAGGGTGTGAACAGAAAATGGATAATGTACCAAGAGTTCGAGGGGAAGCAGCCCTTATATACACATAAAATGCCTGAAAAAAGAGGGCAAGAAGCAAACAGATATCTAGAGCAAATTTGTGTACATGAGCCAGGGATGTTAGAGAAATTCGGATGGCGATTGAGGTGGGATCTGGAAGCCACCTACCACTGCATTTATAGACCGACTGTTATGGGTTATGGGAGATTCGACTCGCCCCCCAGTATACTACCTAGATAGATACCGGGATAGCTCCCCTCTTACCTCCCCCTCTCGAGTCAGAATCAAAAGGCTTTTCCGTCCGCCTTTCTTCCTTGGCCTAGAGGCTTAAGATATTGTCAACTTCTCCCTGTCATTTTGACATATCCTCTGAATATACCTGGGTACTATTCACTGTCACTTTTTGAAGGACTACCGAAATACTTACTCCAGATTGTATCTGCTAGATGTTACACGATGACGCCTCTCATATCCTCGCCTCTGCTCCTCTTCCTCTCTTCCTCTCTTCCTCTCTTCCTCTCTTCCTCTCTTCCTCTCTTCCTCTCTTCCTCTCTTCCTCTCTTCCTCTCTTCCTCTCTTCCTCTCTTCCTCTCTTCCTCTCTTCCTCTCTTCCTCTCTTCCTCTCTTCCTCTCTTCCTCTCTTCCCTTCTCTCCTCACGCACAATGTGATTAGCCATCTGACCAGTGATCTCCAAGCATCTCTGTGAGCTGCTCACCACCGCGTAGCTCATACCCCTGACCTAAACTGGCAGTGTGGTGGGTCAGCGGAGCGACGAGCCTTGGAGTACTGCTTTCTCCACTTTGGCGTGCTTTCTACCTCGCGCAAATTCTCGCAGACACCATTGTCCGACATTTCTGGTCGCTGAACTCCATGTTTTCGTGAAATTCAGGGCTTGAAATCGAGAAGCAATTGTTATACGATTCCTGCTCCTTTCCGCAGAAAACAAACTGAGCCTCTGGTTATTAATACTTATTATTATTGTTCTCAACTTCGAAACATCGCACGCGCAGCCAAAATGTCCATTGCAGCCCTGCCCGTGGAATTGATCTCGAAGATATGTAAATATTTGGATTTCCAGCAGTTGGTCGCTCTGAGGTTATCATGCCGTGCATTGTACAAAAGCTCGCTGGAAAATTTTGCGAAGACCTTGTACCGAAAAATTCGTTTCATTGTGACGAGCGAAAGTCTCCACGAACTGGAAGAACTCTCCAAGTCAAATGGTCTCCGCGAGCACGTCCAAGAGCTATGGATGATCCCTGTTATGTTCGATGGCACTGAAAAGCCTCCCGGTATGATATCTATATCATCGAAAAGCTGCCGGCAGATCAAAGGCGATGATTTGGAAAGTCGGCATACTGTCCACAAAGCCATGCTTGCGGATAATCTCAACCTGCTGGAATCCGAAAGGTTCAGTGTTCGGCTTCGGGAATGTATGAATCGATTCAAGAACATCCAAACAGTAGGACTCGCACATTACAGAACGGAATTTTTGCTTGATCCACGGCAGCAGACAGTTCCATTCCTCGGAAGGCGACAGATGATGAGCCGGATCGATTTTCGATTCGATGTTTACAGCCTGAGAGCGTCTTCGCAGACACATAAGGCTAGCCAGATACGGAAACTCAACTCTTTAGCATTATCAAAGCTTTTTCTTGCGTTATGTGGCTCAAGCTGCAGACCCCGAAAGCTGCACACCTGCGATTCTAATTTCTGTGGTGATATCGGCCCCAGAATTGCCCTATCCGAAGAGCAATTCGATTCGCTACTGTCTACTTTAGAAGGTCTAGAGGATCTTCATTTATGTATTGATCTCCGTGAGGCGGCTTGGCTGAAATTTTTCAAGACGCTTGCACCTCAACTGGAGATACTGATCTTGTCGCGAGATCATATACCTTTTTATTTTGGTCAAGATGATACGGCTATCTATCCGACAAAAAGCCATGTTAAAAACATGTTCTGTGACATTGGCTTCACTCGACTCCGAAAGCTTCACATTCATGAGCTTGATATCAATTTCAGCTCTTTGAGGTCACTATTGCTCAGTGTCAAGAAAAGTCTAGTCACTCTTACAGTGAAACGAGTTCAAATGCGCAGCGAGGAGTCGACAGCCATAGAAAGTCCTAGATCGCAGCACACCGAGTCTGGGCGCCAGGAAAATGAAAGATCTGACCGAAATACATCGCCAGAGTCTCAGCTCACTGTACTGGGGGTTAATTCAATACCGCCATCACATCGACCTACAGTGTCATCATTTCAACCAACTCTCCCAACATATCAACCTACAATGCTATCATTCCAACCAACCCTGTCGTCATATTCACCGACTGTATCCCCGCCGGGATATGGACCAGCCCCGCTACCAGTCCTACCAACATGGGCAATAAGTGCACCCCAATTACCACAGCATTCCTCGGCTTCCGAATCCTCTGAGTCGTCGACAGAGGAATATCCAAGCACAAGGTGGTGTCCTAGTATTTATGACCCATATGATCCACCTGAAGCAACTCGAGCCTCAGTCTGTCCGACTTGGGAAACGCAAATGGCATGGAAACGCAATGAAGAAAAGATCACTTGTGTGTCTAGGTTTTTGGACCTTATACAGAACGAGTTATCTTTAGAAACACTTTCACTGGAAGATATTATCTGTGACGGCAATTATCATTATTTCGAAAGACTTGACAACGCAAACGATCAAAGCGGCCAAGTGGTATTTGACATGCACAGAGCTAATACTTCGTTGAAAGATTGGTTTTCCCGGCTCAGGCCAATTGCTTGCTGTCCGGCCAAACGAGTTCTTGACTTGAAGGAAGACAAAGGTAAGTGGTACCTCAATATCAATCCCTGCGCTTACTAATGGAATCTAGAAATGGAGGATTGGTTCGACAAAATGGTAGGAAAGGACAGTGGCTCGTTTACTAGATTTGACTGTGACTGCAGCAAGAAGAAGAAGCCGTTCTGGGGATGTCCGTTTGGATGTCAGCGATATATAGTTCCCAAATCAGCCTAGTCTGAGTTCTGCCTTAGGTGTCGATGCCAAGACTCCCAGATCACAACCGTGGCCTTTCACCTCGCCAGTGAGCAGTACGTGTTTTAAGGGAGTCAATTGTAGACCATTTGTGTAATCAAGTAATGCTAGTAATTAGCAAATGATATATTTAGTAGAGAGAAAGACAGAGACAGAAACGGAAACACAGAAGCAGTGATGAACCGTTCCAAAGGGTATACTCCGAATGCATCAGTTGAGCTTCAATTTTCGCCCATTTTCGAGCCTGGAAAACAACCCAGCCCTCAGCGCGTTTTCCACTTTAGCCAAACCTTCAGTGAATAACTGCTGAGCTTGAGAATTACATTGGGTATAGATGTTAGTTCCCTAAAATGGCGATGATCCTCTCTCCCTGATTCGCGCAATTCCGAGAACTTCTCCCTTCTTTGTCCATCCGCGCTCATTGTCCCGCCGCTGTCCTGCTCTCCGAGTCTCCGAGTTCCCGCGGCAAGGTCCTGGATGTCGCGGTCGTCTGTCGCGTGTATCTTTTTCTAACTGTGCTCGCGTGGAAGTGGTCCCGAAGTGGGTGCAGTCACGATGGATTTGCGCACGATCATGAACACCGACGCCGCCAACCCTCCTCCCAACTCAGCCAGCTCGCCCATCGCCGAGCAAACTCCCCAAAAACGCGCGAAGAAGTCTGCTTCTTACTCTGAATACCCTGCACAGCCCTCTCAGCCCCCTCCATTGCAGCAACACGCTTCGCCAGAGCGAAGCTCGTCCTACGCATCCGTCCAATCGCCCTACCAGTTCAACGCAGGCCCAACTATCAATACAGCAGTCAGCTCCCAGCGGAGCTCAACCCCTCCACACGTTTCCACGCCGTATGGTACAGCCTCGCGTGATTCATTTGGCGCGTCGGTATACGGGTCGCATCCGCATCCAGCTCACCCAGGTGCCCCGTTGGTTTCACCCTATACACCACAACCAGCGAGTGCAGGACCACAGCATCCGGAACAGAGGACCTATTTCGCTCCACAGCGATCACAGCAACGCTCTCAGTCACTTCAATCGGTGGTGACCAACCCCCAGGGCCCACCCGATTCATTCCGCAGCCCCCCTGCTGCATCACAACCTCTTCCACAATTCTCACCATCCGCCAACCAATCCATTCCAGGAACTCCCTTAGGGCCTCCTCCCACCTTTTCTAACCGTCAATCGCCATCGACTATCCGCCCGCCGTCCTCTGGAGTTGACGCGTACGACTCTCCGCGCAATCTCCTATCCAGTCCAAGACCTGTCCAGGAGGCTCAAATACTCGATCACATCCAGGTCCAACCTCCTGCGACTCAAATTTATTCATCTCCCCATAGATCCCGACCTTCCGACCCGACACCTCATCCCCTTGCCCTAAAACCAGATCCTTTGGAGGGTGTCAGTCCGCACACAGCCTCGCGTCACAACAGCATCGCCGCGATATCTGACCCAGTTCCATCCGGCTCAATTCGCTCTTCTGAAGATCGAAATTTTGTTGAGAGTCCCACCACACAAAAGCCCAGCACAGTGGGGTCAGATTTCTCGACTTCTCCTATCGTACCGGCCAGTCAGATGAACAGTTCCCCCTCGACTGCAACAGCAACCGCCCGCGCAGGTGCCCATCCGTTGAAAATGGAAGTCGATCTTGAACCACAAGTCGAGTCGCAACAGCCTAGGCAAAAGCGAAGAAGATATAACGAGCCTCCAATCTTCGCTCAGCGAACAGCTCGCACCAAAGGTCGATGCCCAATCATTCCGAACCCGCTCCCTCCAATCCCCAAACACGCTCGGCAAAACCAGCAGGAGGCATGGGCTGGGGCCGCTCGCCGACGATCTTCTTCAACAATGGCTGCTCCAGCCGCTGCGCGAATCAACCGACCACCCACCATCCCCTCACCCCGGACCAGTGTACCCCCTGCACCGGTTGTACCAGTACATTCAGCCCCGCAGACGACCTCCGCGCAATCAATCGGCCCGCTGGGCCCGTGGGAGCCGTCCATCACTGGTGTCATTCCTTATGAGGAGATCACCCGGACCCTGGGAGATTTCTTGTTCCAACATGTAGTGATGAGAACAGATGTAAATGCTGGGGATGCTGGCGCAGTTGGCCAGGGAACCGTGATCGAAGTTGAGGCTAAGCTGGGTCACATCATCGACATGGACAGCAGAGATCGGATCCAGTTGCCCGTTTTGACCGAGAGCGTGATTAACAAGGAAAACGGGCGGTTCCGGACGTCATTCGAAAGCAAAATGACAGTTGTAAGTTGAGCGAGTGGTCAACCCTCCACGGAGGACAATTCGCTAACCCTCTTTCCTAGGAACAACATCGAGCCATGAACAACTTCCTCAATGAGACCGTGAAAGCATCAATGCCGCAACAAAACCCTTCGCGGATTCCTCTTGACTATGTTCACAAGAGGGAGCGCGACACGTTCTATGAGATCCAGGCTGCTGAACTCCCTCCCATCATCCGCCAGAACCTGAATCCGCGACACAAACCCAAAGTACGGGTCACAACCGACCAGCGCACTGGAGAAGTCCTAGCGAAAATTGTTAAATGTCGAGTCGCAGATCTCGATGTTTGCAGTCCACGGACAACGGTTGATTGGCGTGTCAGTGTGAACCTCGAAATGGAGTATACCGGCGACATCAGCACTCTTCCCATGATAGATCCTGCAGTCACCAAAGGAGGACGAGGTGATCGCATCAAAGACCGCATGAGCTACCGCCACCTGGCCTATCAGGTGGATTTGACCCAAGTGGCCAAAAACGATGTAAGTTCATCATCATTGTAACATGCTGGAAGCAGCCTTCTGACTATTCTACAGCAGCAACCGGGCAAAAATGAGTTCGAGCATGAACTTGAGGTCGAAATTTCGGCTGCCGAACTTCGTCGCCAGGGTGAACTTGCTATTGCCGGGGACTCGCAAAACCAGTATGAGGAGCTCGTCAAGGGTTTCGTGGATAACATCCGTGTCCTGGCACGAGCAGTGCCTCCCTGATTCCTTTCTCCCTCTGTATTATTTACTTTTTTTTCATCCTCGATCATCCCTATTTGATTTGCAGATATGGTTCAATGGGCATACACGCACCTACTGCGATAGACAGCGTGTAGCAATTCTTACGTTATGCTTCTGGCCGATAGGCCTCGACATCTTATTCCATGAAACCTTTGGTCTTCACCCACCGAATTGCCATAATGACCTATTTTGCTCTTACTAGAAGACGTACCGTGTGCTCGCTTGGAGAGTGCATGTCAACTCACTGCCGTCTATTGACAAGGGCATCTACCGCAGCAAGCCATTGCCTCCAGTCCCCTAGCCCCAGGACCATATCCATGCGAGCATAGTCTCTAACAGCCTCATCTGCAGCCTCAGTCTTCACCTCGCCTCGGCAATCAGGTCCCCAAACCATCCACCTTCTATCACCTCCATTCCACGGCGCAACCCCATTTGCAAATTGAATCCAGGCAGAACTAAACTCCCGCGCCATCGATTTTTCGGTCTCATCCATTTCATTTTCCAAGTTCCCAAACAAGTAAAGCAATTCATGGGCATGATATGCCGTGCCTTCAAAGGAGTTACGAATCCGAGACCGTTGATCAAAATGATACAAGAATAGCTTATCTCGCAGCCAACCTTGGCGACGGCATTCCTGCGCTGTTGCATAATTGGGGATTTTGAAAATAGCATCGCCGCACATATGCTCCACACGCTCTAACAGAGCATCCTGTGCTAGATCCTCAGAGATCCCATACGCAGCCAGAATCTGATCGGTATTCGAATCATCGTCAATGTATCGTTGCAGAATTCGTCGGATCGAAGTGTAAGTTTGACCCAACAAATTGATGTGAAAGATGACGCCTTCATGATAGACATCCCCAATCATAAACCCATCCAACCAAGATGGAGGAACGTGTGTGTCGCGCGGATCCCCCCGATAAAACCACCCATCAAGACACGGATTCCCCGTACCAGACGGAACACCCTGGATAGCAGGCGATGCATTGGCCAGTTCCTGTTGTGGAATAGCCCGCAGTTTCTCTATCGCATTGCCAGCAGGATCTATATCGAAATGTCGGCAAACAGCCTCGAAAAAGCTATCATGTTGCTCCATCGTCCAAGCAGGGATCGCAGGTGACAGACCAGACATGCAGATGGCACGGTTGAAGATTGGTGGTCTTGCAGCGAGTAATTGATTGCTGATTGAGATTCCACCGGCCGATTCGCCTACCGCAGTCACTCTCTTGGCATCGCCGCCCAGAGACCCGATATATGTTTGGACCCAGTCGAAGACGACTTGTTGATCGGTGAATCCGAAATTACCACTCCCGTGATATCCATCGTCCTGCAGTTCACGGGCAATGCTTGAACCGGCGAGGAAACCGCCGATCCCGACGCGGTAGTTGAAATTGATGCATATGATAGGCATGTTGATTGAGATACTACGCGAGACTAGATTGACTGCGTCGAAGATGGGTAGGTTTGCGCCGCCATAGAGGAGAGATCCACCGTGGACGTAGACGAACACGGGGAGTGGTTCCTTCGGCGTGTGTGGGATCACAATATTCATGACCAGCCCGGAGAGTTCATCGACGGACTGAATTGATGGTAGATGTGCAGATGGTGGAACTGGAACCAACTCGTCTGCATCGTCGCCGTCGACGATTGGACTTGGGCAGTCATTCCTGTGGCAAATTAACAGAGCCCTCAACAACCTGTATGGAAGTGATACCCTAGCTTGGTTCCGTCATGGTGATTATTCTCCCACCAAGTCTTCAGTTTTGAACGCGTCCAGCGCTTGGAAAGATGTGCATATGGAATTCCACAAAATTGCTGTACTCCATTGGCATATTGGAGACCATCCAGCGTGCCCAGACCTTCAATGGTCGTTCTGCACTTCGAAACAGGAGATTGAAAAGACATATCGTTAGCTCAGAGGCTATATTTCGTCAACAGCACATGCAAAAAGCACACAAGGACACGATCTATATACTAAAATTTGAGATTCCCAAACCGGCAGTCGGACGCACATCCGAGGACCCGCATGATCGGCGCCCCCGCAGATAAATGCTCCCGCTTCCCCCGAGCTTCTGCGCGCTACATATGGAATGTCGACGCGCTCGCATACAGGGTGCTGGACGTGTAAGCGACGGCGGCGTCGCTGCGACAATGAGCGCCCTGGGTGTCGAAATTGTAGAGAACGCGACGTTGATTGTGAGGGTTACGAGGTCCGGCTGAAATGGGGTGCAGGCATCGCTTCGCGGGGTCGATTTACCGGAGCCGATAAGCCGATTCAGGAATCTGTGCCTCGAAGGCAGCGGGGGAGGAAAAGAGACTTGGCGAAGAAGCAGGAGAAGGAGTGTTCCGACTCTGGTCAGTGAGCAGAGCACAATAAGAGGTGTAATGCGGCCCGGTACTAACAAGCCGACAGCTGGAAGCCAGTCGGAAGGTCCAACAGCAGATGAAGAGTCCATTTTTAATGAGTGTGAGTGAGTCTTTTTCTGCTCTGCTGGGTTTCTAATAGTCGCAGTTATGAACAATGGCATCAATACGCTTCATTCAACGACGGCAAGAGATAGCATGCTTCACCCACGACTACCAGAGCTCTGCCAGGACTCGCGCGCTTTGTTTCCTATATGTATTGCATTTCAGCTTGCTTTATCTAGTACCATCACTCCTCGATTCTGCGAGTACTTTGACACGGCATTGAGAACCTTCAGATCTGAACTGGCATGCAGCAAGACCCTCTCCGATGGCACATTGACATCGGGACTCCTGTTGTGTAGCATTGGCGTACGTCGTCTCCTCTCATTAACAGCCAGATTCTGACACCGTCAAGCTAATGCATGGCTTGCCTTGGACCATGCATCTAGAAGGTATGCACAGAATTCTACAACGGGACGGCCTAGACGACGTGAACTGCGCGTCAATCCGGTCCTTCTTTCGTACCCATCTTCTCGAGGTCATGGGTGTCATGGATCTCCCCTTCTTTGCAATTGGTCGTCAAACCCCACAGATCGGGATCTGGCGCCGATACTGTCAAGCTGCTGCACCGAGGTGCGGCATCGAGCCTGTGAGTGGCCTGCCTCGCACTTTGATCGACATATTCGCTGGAATAGGTACCGAAACCACAGAGCAATCATTCTGGGATTGGCCCGGTGAGACCGGTAGCTTTCTGCAGTGCTACTTGTGGGAGGCGCACCGCTTGGCTGGTATTCTAGTACTACGGCGGGGGAACGCTCATATGTCTTCTCCTGATAACATCTCCACCTGGCGACAGCCTGCCAAGTGTCCGGCAGATACCAGTGTGCTCGTGGTACGCATACTGGCCAGTCTTGATGCTCTTCGTATTGCGTCTATTGAACGCCCACTTGAAGATGCGCACATCGTCAACGCGACTCTCTTCCCTATTGTCATCGCTGGCCTCGAGGTCGAGGTACTGCATCACAAACCAGACTGGCAGCAAATGATCAGGAATAGCCTGAAAACCTCGCATCAATGTGAAATTCTACTCAGTCTGTTAGAGGAACTATGGCAAAGAGCAGACCCGAGTCTAAGCGTGCATGACTTGGCACGGCAGAGAGGGATCGAGATGGGACTGGTATGATTGACAACTGTATTTATCAACTGAAGAATTCTTGAGGAAGTTCAACGTCGTTCCGGCCTACCGCGAGTGATGAATTTGTCATAGCCCGCCTGGACGAACCATAACCCAATGCCTGGAATCTTCCTGATCTTCCATCATTGCAACTTCCTCAGCAACCTCAAAGCCAAAACTTTGATAAAACCCAATATTTTCCTTTCGCGTGCACTCGAGATAAATCGGCTCATTTTGGACATGCTCCAGTATCCATCTCATTACACCTCCGCCCAGTCCGCGTGATTGCAGCGAGGGATGTACAGCAACAACCTCCAAGTACCACAATTTGCTCCAAAGATACCTTTTCCGCAATGACTGTACACTGTGCTCATGCTTGTCGAGGAGCATCTCCACGCGCTGAAAGTGAATGGTTAGAATCGGACTGTGTTCATGTAAAGCCAGGCTGACCTACCTTTTCACTGGCATTATCATCTACAGGCTTCAAGCGATCAAGCACCCATAGCTTGCAAGCCAGCCATGCACGCGGGATATTCCACGACTTTCGTCCCTGTGGCGGAAACAGGAATACCACAGCACCGGCATCATTGCCAGAGATCGAGTTGTTTTCAACATGCATAGATGTTGAGACGTCGGGCTTTGCTTCTGCTGATACTCCATCACGACTTTGGCGTGGGTATTGCATGGCCATCTGCTCGACGCTGAGCGACCCGAAAACCTCTCCTTCAAGCATGATGCGCTGAATACGTCGATACTGCCAGCTCAGTGTACGCTGATCTTGCTTGATCCAAGCAACCGCATTAGGGCGCAGCCACTGGATCAAAGGATCCGAAGAAAAAGATTGGTGAATTGTTCGGGCGATTTCTGGAATGCGGCGCTCTATGGAGTAATACTGCATTAGTTCAGTTGTCCCAGTCTCTGGGTTTGAGGCATAAGTTTACCTTTAATCACAGGGAAAAGGTCTACTTTGGCTTGCACAGAAGGCATCTTTGCCTTTCGAATTTCGAAGTGTTGCGACTGGAGGGATTTTGTGCAAAGATTAAGTGACTGCCTCGACATAGCACCAGGCTACAAAGTCTTCAGCAAAAAGACCGAAGATGAGAGGGTGCCAATCGTAACAATACCATAGATTCGAAGAGATCTAAGCTGGAGAGAGGAAGGGGAAGAGAGAAGAGAAGATCTGGGAGGATATTTGGGTGCCTGAGACCAACACCTCAGGCACCGATTCTCACAGACCTAAAGCGACAACAGTTTGAATCGAGTTTCATCTCTGGGGTAGATTGCGTCCACCTACCACTTATAGTCAGAGGTCGCGTTCTTGGCCTACTGTGTGTTCAGTGTCACAGTTGCGGGTTTGGTCATGTTGCAAAACTTTGGCGAGACCAATGGCCTCGAATAGCTATAGACTACTGTGATTTACCCCGCGTTATTTATGCTAGTTCGATCTCCCAAGGCGAGGCGTGTGCTACAGTTGTGGATATATCTTGTTATTTGCCGGTTTCCACTGCCAGCAATCGGTTGTGGACCGTGCTTGACCTGGAAACTCTTATCAAAACTCCTTCTCATTCTGTAGATTCCTAGGTAGGTATCTATGGGGGCCTGGAACTCAAGTCTTCGATGATAGTACTACCCTGTCAAGCATTGGTCCCATATCACATCTCACGGTTTAATTGTGAGAATGTACAGTTGACCCTGGAGGGCTTAGTTGTCTTATCATTTTTGCCAATTAAATCCCGAGGATCAATCGCCCATAGCGAAATCTACTTACTAGGGTGTTGCTGTCAATTTATTCGCCGGAACCTGGTATCTATGATCACAGCCAGAGTTGTCCAACTCAACAGAAACTAGATTCATCGGGTTAATCTGCAAATAGCAACTCATATAACCGACCCTCTTCTGGGAGGCTTTGCGCAGAGGATCCAAAGTCAACCCATACATACCAAACCCGATTAGGAAGGCCGACGCAACGGCCCGGGGGCAAAGCGTTAGGGGCTTTTAGGGGCGTCGATCATGGACCTCGGGGACCGATGATTTACGAAAACCAAGTGATCACTTTCTCCGCATTTTTTTGTAAGTAGCACACTTGGGATAAGGCCTAACAGCTTATCTCCTTGGACGGGGATATCATCTGGAGTAAAGATACTACGAAATGTATACTGTACAAGCGCGGTAGCGACCTGAGACTATTTAGTCCTCAGTTGGCCTCGGGGGACACTTCTTAATTTAGGGTTATCTTGTTTGGCAATTCAAGATCATATTTTAGATCGGGGAATCCAAACTCCTTCCACGACGTGATCTACACTTTGATATTACTTTTGCATACTCTGCTTTGGCAATACTTTTGCTTTATTCATCCTTTCTCAGGTGATAGTCCCATTATTACTCAGTCTACGCTTCTGGATCAATATATTCTCTCAAGTATCTCCGATCTAAGATGGCGGACCTTCGCGTCCCCTCTTCCGAGGACGAACCAGATCAACCTCCAGGCACATTCAAGCTAATTCGAGGTAAGTTATTCTTGTTCTCGATCATGCAAAGACTCATTCGTTACTGACGGACTGCAGTGGATGAGACTGGTGAACGTGGTCATGTCGTTGCCCTAGATCCGACTCCCTCCTCTGATCCCAACGAGCCTCTGGTAAATGACACCGTGAATCCCAAGAGAGGAACCGATCTGATATAAAGTACAGAACTGGAGCACACTTCGCAAATCGGTGAACTTCACCATTGTTTCGGCTATGACCATAATCATTTTCACTGCGTGAGTCGAGCCAGGCCAGCCATGTGAAAATACTAAACAGATGACTACGCAGTCTTTCCACGCAATCTATCTTCTGGCAACAGATGATACCCGATATGGGGGTTTCCTACACACAGTTGAATCAGGCAATGTCGATCAACTTTGTGGGTCTAGCCACTGGTTGCATTTTCTTCATTCCATTCGCCAAAAAGTACGGCCGAAGACCTATCTACATCATTTCCGCGGCACTGATGTTAGCAACAACTTTTTGGATGGCGAGGATGGACAGCTTGACAGAGCTGTATATCACCAATCTCCTACAAGGACTGGCCGGTGCGACCAATGAGTCTATTGTCGAGATAACTGTGAGTTGAGAGCCCTGCATCAAACGCCAAGACCTTGCCCTAACCGTGGGACAGATTGCCGACCTCTACTTCGTACACCACCGGGGCACGATGAATGGGCTATACATGAGTTGTGTGATGATTGGAGTAGGTCTTACTTCTCAGTCTAGAGGGACAGACACTGACGAATCAACAGTCATTTTTGACACCCATGGCAGCTGGTGCCCAAGCCACTCGACAGGGCTGGCGCACATCCTACCTGACAATGGGTGCATTCAAAATCGTCCTTTTCTTCTGCTTTGCCTTCCTGTATGAGGAAACGAAGTACGTCCCGGTTTTGACAGCTCAAACAAGCGACGTCGAGGAAGACACACCAGATTCAGGAAAGACCCAGATCAAGGATATCCCCGTTTCATACACACTGGAGGAAGCACAGGTGACCGAAGCAACGAGCTCTCATCATGTCCTGGACCACACCATTCCTCTCAAGTCATGGCGTCAGAGACTGGCCTTAGCAACTCCAACACCGGAGCCGATTTGGCCAAACTTTTACCGCCCATTCGAAGTTTTAATATTCCCTGCTGTGGCATTCTCAGCCCTTCAGTATGCCTCTGGCGTTGCCTGGCTGACGGTTCTATCAAGTGTCTTGTCCTTGACATTCCCCCTGCCGCCATATTCATTCTCACCGGAACAAATTGGCTACACCAGTGCTGGCCCCTTGATTGGGAACATCATCGGTGCCGTGTACGGTGGATACCTCGGCGATCGATCCATTTTATACTATGCGCGCAGAAACAATGGCTTCTATGAGCCTGAAATGCGTCTCTACATCCTGCATATCCCGGCGATCATGATGGCTGGCGGTCTTGTGATGTTTGGTGCTACCATCTCGAGAGTGAGCTTCGACAGCCCGATGTGGAAGTTGGTAGCACATGCTAACATTTCGGTAGGGGATGCACTGGATATGGCCAAATATTGCCGGTGCCTTGTTCGGGTTCGGTCTAGGTAGCATCAGCGACGCGGTATTGGTTTTGGTCATGGATAGTTATCGCGATGTATGGATTCTTCTATCAATGGCCCTGAAGAGAGAAGCATACTGACAAATATTTAACAGATCACCGGTGAAGCATTCACGGCAGTGACTTTCATACGCAATGCAGTGAGCATAGGAATTCCGTTCGCGATAACACCTTGGATTCAGCGCCAGGGAATCCAGAATATGTTCATTGTGTGTGGAATGATCAGTCTGGGTGTTTCGGCAACAATTGTCCCTTTGGTGATCTGGGGTAAAGCCGCTCGCCGTGCTTTGGCTGCTCGTTATCGTGACATTGTGGATATCTGAGCTGGTTAGTTGGAGGTGGAAAGGCGGCTGTTGCACATCCTTTCATTACATAGGTTGGAGATTTTATTTGAATTGAACCAATTTACTCGTTTTGACTGCTCCAGTTGCTGCAGGTGTAGGAGCTTGGGTATTACATTTACCAGCGATAATTGTTCCCCAAACGAAGCTGGCGTTTGACTCGGACAAACATACCCTCGGACTTTTTTTTTTTTTTTTTTGAAAGACGACACATTAGTAAAAGCTAGAGAATGTGAGATCTTATTGATTTTGAAGCTCTAATAGCAATCATCTGCTGAGACAGATTACAAAGGGTCAATCAATCGCGAAGTCTGCCCATAGAACGGCGGGCGTCTACAGACTAGCCCTATGGGGAGTATCAGAAACTTCTTGCGGAAGCTTCGTAGCATCAAGCCTCTCCTTTGAAGAAAGCAACTGCTTCGGGAACCATTCAAGATCATAATCGGCCCCCTGATCCAGTTTCCCATCCTGGGCAAGCAGCATTGTGGCCAACGCCTTCCCACAAAGCCACGCTTGAACCATCCCTTCACCCCCAAACGCTGCAGAAATCCATTCACAGCCACGTTCTTTTCCAATAGACCTTCCTGTCGCAGACTCAGGTAGTTGTCCCACCCACGGGAACCCATCAGATGTGAACGCCATACTACCCGTCCACATGGCTTGTATCGGATCGCCAGAAACACAGCCCCAATCCTTGCGTCCAAAGATAGCGGGAAGAGCACCAGAAAGATGAATGTCAATGTACATGCTCAGATCGGAGTCCGTTGGGACTCCCAGGTCCGCCAATCCACCATGCTCGCCCTGTGCGAATCCCCCTCCAAGCATCATTTGCCCCTCGGGAAGCTGAGTGAGATAATCGAAGCCACGGTCGTAGTTGAAGATCCAAGAGTGGTCATTTCCTTGATTGGGGAATAGATTTCCGGGGGTCTGAGCGGACATTTGACCACGAACTGGGAAGATGCGACCGAGGAGGCCTGGGACGAGATGGCCGACGTGGGCGTTGGTGCAGTGGATAACATGTCTGGCGTAGATTACTCCGCGGTCTGTCTCGACTTTGTAGGGTAGAGCTGGATAGCCCAACTCATGGATTTTCGTCACAGGCGTGCGGTCTTCAATGCGGAACTTGTTGGGGTATTTCTCCCGCAGATGTGCGAGGACGCCAGTCACGAACTTGTAAGGCCATAGAGCACCAGCAGGGCCAGCGACGATTCCGCGTGCCCTATCGAGATGGAAATGCTATATAGAGAATGAGATGAGTATTGCCCAATTCTTCGAAGAGAAAGAAAGATGAACCTACCTTGGGAATTGCGTCGCCCTCAAATGAGGTCCACTCAGCAGCCTCTTCAGGCATATCTTCTTTGAACCGACGAAGGCGCTCTAGAGCCGCCTGCCATGGCTCTTCGCCAAAGTAAACACTCAAAAATTGTACTTTGCGTGCCTGTGATTCTTCGGCGATTCCCAGTTCTTTGGCAACCGCCAGCGTTTCGCCCAAATGAGCCAGTCGGAATCGCATGATTTTCTTTGCATCTTCAACCCCGAAGAGATCGGCCAACTCGGAATACTCATCTGCTGTCTCCAAAATGTGACCACCGTTGCGACCTGTGGCACCACTACAGATACTGCGAGCTTCCAGCATCAGAATTGATGGCGGGGCGGCATTTTCAAGCAAGGAACGCGCTATGGAAGCTCCGGTGATGCCAGATCCAATGATCACCACATCAATTGTCCTGGGAAGTCCTGGACCATTCGGTTCAAAAGCTCGGGGAGTTTTTAGCCAGAATGATGAGGTTGAAGATTTCTGAGGCACGCCAGGATCAGAGTAGATCCGATTGATGGCTTGCTGTCGTGCCGAAGCTGGAATCGAAGGATCCGTGAGGACGTCGGTGACAAACGACATCTTGAAGATTTATGTTGTCAATGTTGATAGTGAGGAAATGGTTAAGTGGAAGAGTGATGTTTGATGAAGTACAAAAGATAAGAGAGAAGTGAGGAAAGTGAGGAAGCCACGCAAGTCGGCTCTCGCCTGTTAGGCTTCCCATCTTTGTAAGTTGAATCCTACTCTACGATCATTCCATTTGCTTTTATAAAGTTCATAATATGCCGGTGCGTCGGCCTTCCGCTTCGAGGTCTGCGGGGGAAGATCAGATAAGGAGTAAAGCCATCGGCTATTGGAACGTTCATATCACGAAGTCTAGGATATTAACTCTGTCTACAGGTTGTAGTAAGGTTCACACTCAAGTCGCCTGTTTGAGGATTTAACTATATTTGAAGACTACATGTAGATATAAATACAGATGCTGTACACAGACCCCGCACGCCTCCCGCCGAGGGACTCGGGGGATAAATATACGAGGGAAACCGATGGAGTATGGAAAAGAGAAATGGATGTGTTTAACTTCTTGGTCAGCCCATGGCAGAAGTCAAGAAGAGAATATCTATAGATATGATGGATATAGCCAGAATTCAAACAACCAGGCAGATCTGAATGTTTTGTGTGCCGGATTCGCAGGCTATAAATCGAGTCTGGAGTCTTGCTATACTGGTTTCGCTGCCTCCAAATGCTGAATGTCATACTTAAGTAATACTTAAGGAAAATGTCTAAAAGCTCAATCATGTCGGAGGAAGCCCACAAACTCTTTATATTCACGGCCAATAGCCAGATTCATTATTGCACCCCTATGCGGAAATGACCAGGATTACCACAACAGACCCCCTTAAAAGCTTGGAAACTCACATCAGGAAATTAGAAGCGCTTCTTCCTCAAAGTGACAGCTGTAAGCACCAAGTCTGCGAGATCCTGTCCACTCAAAGCGTGAGATTCCATACCTCTAGCGGCCCTCTCCCGATCTACCCTCTCCCCGCATTTCCCCAGATCTCCACAAAACATACGATACATCAGCCGAGGGTCGATCTCAAGCAGAACTACACTGACTCAACGAAGAATAAATCATGGTCGAAGACAATCATTGGTGGAAATTCCCATGCCCCCCCCCCCCCCCCCTCTCTTTGTTCAAGTCACCGAAACTTGGACACCGCTCAATCAAGGTATTCGGCGCTTTACTCTACCGGATTCGGTGCTCACCTATTCAGCCATTGATGCACATAGCCAGGGGTGAATCGCCCGAGCTTTGCTGCTGTACAAAAGGAAAGGATTCGCCTGTCTGCGCGGGACTCACATCTATACTGCAGACGATAACTGCACTTCATCTCAGTTTTTCAGGCTATGCATTGATTACAAGTGACCCTATATTTGGAAGATACTATATCAAGATGGTCAAATTCGACATCTACGGCCGAGGCCGGTCACTTCGAGTGGCGATTATGTTTACGTGCCAGCTAGCGTTTATATTTTTTGGTGCGTCGGATGAGAATGCTCCCCTACCAGACTTGCCTAACGTTTCCTTAGGGTACGATCAAGGCGTCTTCTCCGGCATTGTGGGCAACGATGATTTCCTCGAAATAGTCCGTCATCCTAGCCCGGGTATCCTCGGAATTATCGTATCAATCTACAATCTCGGCTGTTTCACCGGAACGATTTTATCCTTTGCTTCTAGTGATAAGATGGGGCCGCGGAACTCGATGTGGTTCGCCATGGCATGGATCATTGTAAGCGAGCCAGCCCCTTGCAGGCGCCTGCAGCTTGCAGGGTACGGGGTACAGGATATGTATTGACGGTGAACAGGTCGGGGCCATACTTCAAACCACCGCGTTTTCGAGGACACAACTGCTTGTTGCACGCTTTGTCACCGGGATCGGGACTGGGATTGAGACCACTGTTGTGCCGATGTACCAGTCTGAGTTGTGTGAGGCTAAGAAGCGCGGGAAATACGTGTGCAGCGAGGCGTTGTTTGTCGGTGTGGGGATTGTGATTGCATACTGGTTTGACTATGGGATGAGCTATGTGGGAGGTGCCATCAGTTGGCGTCTTCCTGTGGCCTGCCAAATGATTTTTGCCATCATGGTCATCATTTTAGTATTTGGGTATGTTGTATTTCGTCGAGTGAGATACGATTACTGATGGGTCACTGCTTTAGTCTTCCTGAGAGCCCTCGATGGCTCTTTCGTCATAGTAGACCGGATGAGGCTCTTCAGGTTCTGTGTGATATCTATGGCATGGGCCTTGATGATTCCAAGGTCGTGTCAGAATCTGAGGGCATCATCCAGGCTATTGAACTGGAAACTATGCATGGTGAATACAAATGGTCGCAAATATTCAAGCGGGATGAGGTGCAGACAGGCAAGCGGGTGTTGTTGGCTTATGGAATGCAGTTCATGAATCAGATGGGTGGTATCAACCTGGTGGTGGTGAGTTTTGTCCCATCACATTGACCTTGTGGATTCTGTTCTAACAGACTATTCTTTTTGTAGTACTATGTGACATCCGGTGAGTCTCAATCCTGCAATTACCACAGGCCAATGCTTATACCAAGACAGTCCTTGAGTACAATGTTGGTTTATCAAGAAAACTGAGCCTTCTTCTCGGAGGAGTCATTCAGATCATGTTCGTAATCGGTGAGTATACAGGAAAAGGGCTCCTTTGGAATATATGATTTCAACTAACAAGCACTAAGGCTCAATCTACCCAACATTCTTCTCCGATCGATTCGGCCGCCGCAAGCCTATGATGTGGGGGTCTTTCGGGCTGTTCATTTCTATGATGATGATTTCGATCCTGCTCTCGTTCAAAGGTATCGCTTTCCAGCATAATCTCGAGGGCCTCAAGACATTAAACTGCATAGGGACATCCGTCGAAAAGCCAACCGCCACAGCATCAGTTGCCTTCTTCTTTCTGTTCATGCTTATCTTTGGTGCTTCGGTCAATTGCCATGGGTATACGGACCAGAAATCTTGCCTCTACATGTGCGCGCAAAAGGGTAAGTCCTCTTCTCACCATTCATGCATGATTAGATATGCTAGAATCTAACATCTCGCCAGCCAAGCGATCGGTGTCTCCGCCAACTGGCTTTGGAACTTCTTTGTGGTCATGATCACACCAACACTTATTGAAGATCTAGCGTGGAAAGGTTACCTGATATTTATGTGTCTGAACTTGGTTTTTGTACCGGTGAGGATCCAACCCCCGGAACAACCTCTGGCGTTGACGTTTATGTCATTCTACTAACTTTCAAAAGATTGTTTATTTCTTCTATCCCGAGACAGCAAATTTGACGCTCGAGGAGATCGACTTCCTATTTACAGACGGAGGCAGGCCTTCCCCGCCATCTGGCCTTGGCACTGGAAGTGTTGCAAATGAAGTTAAGAGTGAACACACCGGGAGTGTGAGCGTTGATGAAGGGAGGGAGAAGCAATGAGACCTTTAAGGCTCGAGCATGGTTGTTAAATACTCAATTTGGTGTCCCGAGGTGCCCAAGGTTGCGAGCAGCTCTTGTGTGGTGAGCACATGTAGCCCTGGAGGTGGCATTATATACCTTTCATGGTTTCCAAGACATAAGACTCATTTACTTAGCCATCAACGTAGCTCATGACCCTTTGAATGCTCATGGACCAGTCCTGGAGAACAATCAATGTCCCATGCAGATGCAGGCCCAGACCTGGCACATCGAACCTGTAGACCACTTGAGCGGGCTACCTTTGTTCATGTCGCTTGAGCTACTTCCAAATTTCGCTCTGATATAATTATAGCCCGTAACAGCACCCCTGTAAACTCCAAAGTTTACGTTCCAAAAACTTTCATGTTCAAAGATTTTGATTTGATAATTCGTAAATAACGTGGCAAACATGCGTGAATGATATACGTCAAAAAACTCCCAAATTACGACGCCGTTTCCTAAAGGGGGAGAACCCCATTCTCAAACCTTCCAGAGGGCGAAACGAGAACTGAAGATAGCCAGACTAGGCGAGTCTGGCGGGTGAGTCTCGGAACTGAATAAGCAATAGTAAAGACGATAGAAAAAGAAGACACGGTCGAAAGAAGGTGTCCGAGGTCGAAAGTTCAAGGCGAGTCGGCTCGATCGATGTCGGACTTGGAAAAGGATGGAAAGCGGATCACGAGTCGATCTCCATCCCCATTTCCACGCCTCCGCTCAGTCCGTCGAGGGTCGGTTGCGGGTGGTTGGACATTGCTTGTTGAAGGAGAGGTACGCCAGTGTCCACGTTGGCAAAGGAAGCGGGTTGCGCTCCGGGTCGGTCGTTGGCGGCGAAGGGAGCAGCGCCCTCAAAGATGATGGGGGTACTGCGCAGATTTTGAAGGCAGGCTTCCCAAGAAGAGGCAACAAGCTGGCCTTGTGTGAGGTCTTCGGTGAATAGGAAGAAGGCAGGAGAGAACCCTGAGACAGGAGTCGCAGCCACGAGGTAGGCGTTCAGAGCACGGCTTTTGATCAGGATCTGCGAGCTGTGAAGATGGGACGAGTACTGGTTGTCGATGTACTTGGTCCAACCGCGGACAGCAGGGGCCATGTCATCGTCTGCGCTGACGCGTTGCCATCCAATACCAAGGAGACGAGTGGCATCATCAACCAGAGGCTCGTTAGGAGGAGCAGGGGCCGCATTTAGAGTGCGGTGCTGGTCATCAGTGCTGGGATCGTTCAGACGCTGACGAATGGATGACAGTGCAATGTCGTCCAGGCCTGGGGCAGACTGATCAAGACGTTGTGACTTGCGGCTAGCGTCGGCAGCATCCAAATGCAACGCGTTCGAACGCGACGAGATGGGAGCGGCTGTGGCCTGTTGCGTCTCGGCCTCCTGCTCGTACCATGTGCCCGTTTGACTCTCTGCAGACAGCGCAAGACCAGTCTGAGGATTCAAAAGAACCATTCCTTCTCCGTAAATGGGTTCTACCTTGGGTTCTGGGGCCGGCTTGGGTGCTGGAGGGGCGCTCGGAGCGATAGCATCTCCGAAAGTGGCTTCATCACGCGACCTCTTGCGGGAAGGCTTCGGAGCCACGGGAGCAGGGGAAGCATCGAAGCTGGAGGGAGCAGCCTGTGATGTAGAGCCATTGGAGAATACCTGGCCTGAGTTTGTGGGAAAGCCGTTGAAGCTTTCTGAGTTGAGGAAAGAGGATTGCGACGGGAACTGAGCAAAGGCGTGTTCCTGGGGAGGGAGGACCGTCGCCGGACCGTCCGAGAGGCGATTGAGCATCATCGAAGGCATTGAGAGTTGTCTTGAATTCAAGACTAGGAAACTGTTCTGTTAAGTTAGGTGAGCAAGACACAAGAAGGTTCAACCTATAGATAGGAAGTCAAGTCAAAGGTAGAAGGAAGATGGGTCGGTAATGAATTTATAGAAGAAGGTAGATTGAATGGTGGGAGGATAGGATTGAAAAAGAAAACAAAGATGGATGGGAAAAAGAAGAGAAAAGTCCAAGGGAAAAGAAAGAGGATTCAAAGAGAGGGAAGAAGGGAAGTAAGAGAGGGTGAGATCGGTCCTGGGGTAGAGAGGAGTGGATGCGCGATGCAAATCATACATTGGCACTTACAGCAGAAAACGGTAATACTCAGGCAAAAAGCGGGTATTCGATCCACCAAGACAGATTTCATACATACAGAATTGAGGAATATGATTGGTGCAGAGTTAGCCCTCCGACAAGTGGGGCGGTTGGCGCAAGCTGGATGGCCATCGCTGATTGGCTCGGGCGACGCCTAACCCGGGCGGTCCACGGATGCCCGAGTTTGCTGTGGTAACAGTCACGTGAGTCGTCGGTTAGTGAGACCTGAGGTGTATACATGGAAGTCAAAGTCAATTGGGATACTAGAGACATGAAAGAAAAGGTTTAAAGCAAACCAACACCGGAGCTCTTGCAAATCTAACATCAAGCCAATGTTTGTATGAGGAAAAAAAAAAAAGGTAAAAAAGAAACACCGCCAGTAACACCACGTTCATGTCACGGTATACATCAGAAATGCGGCAGGGAAGAGGAAAAAGGTGGTATTAAAACAGTCAGGAAAGTAGCCCCCCGTTTTCCATCACACTGCAGAGGCCCAAACAGAACCTGTCCCCGCGAGGTACCGAGGGACGAAAAGATGGACTTGCTCCATGTACCTACTTAGGTACACACCACGGGTTCTACACCCGGATGGATTCGCTTGGTGAATCCTCATCTTCACTGCATTCCGGTCTATAGGAACTGCAGCTCAGGGCTGACAAGTGCAATTAAGCATTGGCAGGGGCAGGATTGCTAGAGGTAGTGGTACCTAGGTATTCCTTGATGTGGCCATACTTGTCAGTGGTGTAGTCGGGGCCGATGGAACCAATGAAAAGGAAGAACATGAGGATGGCGGCACCAATAACAACCAAGCGACGCTGGGCAGGCTTGTTGTTGCCGTACTCAGCCCAGGCACGGGACGCACCCGAGGTGTACTCGCGCATCTTGTCACCGCCAAGCTTGTACCAGACAAGACCTGCCAGCGCGATGGAGTAACCAAAGTACTGCTGGCCAGAGACGGGGTCATTAAAGAACATGACCGAGGCAACAACCAACAGGATATCCTTGAGGACACCGCACAGGGTCATGACGAGAGAAGAAGTCTTGCCAATCTGCAAAATGGGTTAGCAGTGCACTCCGTGTACATTTCCATTATCAGGATATGACTTACCAAGAAAACGACAGAGACGTTGAGAAGGAACGCAATGACGGCATTGAGGATCAAGACGGGAACACCGACTTCGTAGATTTCTGCCATGGTAACCCTGGGGAACTCGAGGAAGAGGGCCACAGCGCCGTTGAGAACGGCACAGATGGGGGCAAAGTAGTACAGAGAAACCATAGGGTCCATCTTGAAGTCTGCTGAGCTGAGCAGACCCTGGACCATCACCAGACGGGTAGCCTCGAAGACAATACCACCAAGCTGGAAGAGGAAACCGACCAGGTTGAACTGGAGCTCACCAATGGAGGCAATGACCACACCAATCACGATAATGGAGACATTGCCCAGAACTTTCATGTTGGCCGGGGCCAGGCCCATACCCCAAGTGGCCATCAGAACCGCGACGGGGGTAGTGGCCTTCAGCATTTGGATGAAAGAAACACTCAGGTATAGGTAGGTCATGTTACCGCAGATCAAGCTCAGACTGAACATCACGCCGATGGGGACAATGGCGCGGAGGTAGACACGCCCGGTCATCTTGACCTTCTTGCGGCCATCCAACACAGTTGTGGTGCGGGCGAGGATCTGAGTCATTAGCGTAGCGAAGGTCAAGTGCCATGTTGTGAGGATGATGGGGTAGCCTAATCGCGGTCCGTTAGATCAGGTTGGTGTGATTAGTTTTGGAACCTCACTCACTGAAATGCTTCCTGTCGAGGAGCCATTTGTTGAACAAGATGACCGCGGAACTCAGAGTAATCCAGGTACTAGCAGGACATTAGCCATGTTGTCCCGGTTGGGTCTTGATAGTCATGCTCACGTCACGTAGACCGCGGGGTGGAAAGAAGTTCTGGCTTGCTCTTTCTCGGCGGCGGGGTTGACGGTGGGCAAAGACTGCTCCCGGGGGGTTTCGCCTGAGGCGCGGACCTTCTCGCCTTCACTCATTGTAAACGATTTGGATTGATCGGACAGAAAGCGCTGGAATTCAAAGGGTCGCGGCCGGGACAGGCTTCCTGAGTTAAAGGCGGAGGAAGCCACGGGGGAAAAGTGGGAATGGAAATTAAGAATGGAACACTAAATGCTCCGAGGTTAACGAGTGTGACAGGAGTTGGACCAAAAGCATCAAGGTAATAACGAAGGAATGGAAGGTTGAAGGGATAGGGATTCGTACTTCGGGACCAGCGTCCTATTTTCTTGTTTCGGCTTTGGCTTCTATGGAGTATTCTGCAATGGAGTCCTCCGTACCGAAGAAGCGAATTGTTAGGAAATTAAAATCTTAGAAAAAAAGGAGGAAAATAACAAAAGAAGGCGAAATCCAGCGAACGGTTATTTAGTTCCAAAAAGAAAAAGAAAAACAGAATGGCCAGGACCAGGCTCAGGGCATTACGTCCCACACGCAAACTGCCTGGGGTTTCAAAATTACTGTGACAACTTTGCTAAGGCCACCTGTCTTTTTGGGGGCCAACCAGCCGCGTGGATTCTTCTTACGTCTCCATGTAGAGGCTCTTGATTGGGTGATATTCTTAGCGGTAATGAAGGTGGTATTAGCGGTACTCCAACGTCCCATGGGTTAGCTGGGTAACTCGTGGCGAATCTCCATGGATCTCCACCTGGCACTTCCTTATTCTTAATCTTGTTCTTGTTTCTCGCTGTGACAGCACCCACATAGTAAGGACCTAGGTGCTCCATTCACACCATACTTCCTCAAACAGGAGTACGAGTATCAGCAGGAATGTATCAGACTCAGTTTGAGATAGAAAACCGACGTAAACAGTGCAGATCCAAATTAACAGAGCATTACGCAAGCAGCTGTTAGCCAAGACCCACCAAGACCCGCGTGCAGCGACCCTCTGGTCCATCTGGTCCCTTACGGGTGGAGAATGCGGCGATCGCCTTCAGGGCGTCTGTGACGCCATTCCTGTGCTTGGACCAGTGGGGGAGTCCTAAGCTTTTTGTCCCCAGCACTGGCTCAGCGTGTTTCAGGGGCACGACAGACTTGTTCTCCAATGATTCGAGAAGTCTTCCATCAAGGGTCGAGAGATCAACTTGAGATCAACTCGCCGGAGAGGGATCCTCGTGGTCTTGCCTTCTTAGGACGGCCCATCAGTGGAACCGGACGCCTGTGCCCTGAAGTTTCTCAAATCCCGTTCCTTCGACACCAGTCGATCAACTCTGCGGTTTGCGGTCTGCGGGCTGCGGGCGACGGATAGTGCTCCGGAAGGGTTCAGGGTTTTTCCATTGGGCCCATCGGCTATTCGATGCATATGATACCGAATTACAAGTACGAGTGCTCCGTACAGCACAAGGGCATGAATAATACGAGTATCCTTTACGATGGCGCAGGATGTTGGAATCCTACTCGTATGTACATATGTACTCGTAGATCTATCATACGCCGTTGGAAATGGAGGTCCATCCAATCTAACCAAGGTTCTTGCCGCAGGGTAATTTAACCATACCCGACAACGTGCTGGTACCTACATCGGTGGCGTTTTTAGTTTGGCCACTTTGGATCGAGATTCAATTGCCCCTATCCAGATACTTGAACTTGTAGCAAGATACAATTGGTATAGGTTAGTGCTCGCCCCTTTTCAGAGTGAACTGCTATATTGCGAGACAGGATAGCATTCCAGGGACCCTGGATATCCGCAATGGGGAATTTCCATATCAACGCCTCAGTCCTGCATGCGAAGTCCGCAATGCACTCGAGTCCCTGCTTTTAGCAGCATCACGATAAGCTCCAGACCAATAACGGCTTTTCGCCAATGTGATATGTTCGTTTTATTCTTTGTACAAGGATTTCAATGTGATGAGGTGGTGGTTACCATGTACGCGTCGTTTACTTACACAGCCTCCCCCTGATTGTCAACGATCTGGATCTCGAAAATAGGGTCAAAAGAATAAAATGTACAGAAAAATCGATTTTAAGACAAGATTAAAGTGATCAAAAAATCAAAAAATCAAAAAACATCAAATAAAATAATTAAAGGGAGCAATTAAAATCAATCTCTCAATACGAATCAGTAAAGCTGAAACAGGCACGTCGTCTCCACCGCCGGGTCCGTTTACCCATAGAACCAAGTGCGTCTAGATACCCTTAGCTTGGCTTGTCACGTTGTCCTCCCACTTCCCCTTCTTTTCTGGTTCTCCCTTCTTTTAATCCTCCATTCCCCTCCCTCTCCTACTTTTCTGCAGATTCCCTGCAGCAGTGCTTCTATGCTGAACGTCGCCCGCAAGACCTTCAAACGAGTTCCCAGCTTTCAGGACCTCCTACAAGGCAGAATGACCCACCCCGACATGTAAGAGAACCTCCGTCACGTCGAGTGTCCTCAATACTGACAATTGCATAGTTCTGTTGACGTTCTCGTCATTGGTGCTGGCCCTACTGGTCTCGGTGCCGCTAAGCGTCTGAACCAAATCGTAAGTCGTTCTTCAATCTTGCGGTGTGGGAGAGAGGGGCACCAAAAAAAAAAAGGGGTGGAGGGGTATCCGAGGTTCAAAAAACTAATTGATTGTACAGAACAGCGCTTCGTGGTTGATTATCGACTCTAACGAGACCCCTGGTGGTCTTGCTTCCACTGATGTTACCCCCGAGGGTTTCGTAAGTTGCGACTGGCCCCGTTGTTTATTTTCACCACTAACCATCCTCAGTTGTACGATGTCGGTGGCCACGTTATCTTCTCTCACTACAAGTACTTCGACGACTGCATCAACGAGGCTCTCCCCAAGGATGAGGACTGGTTCACTCACGAGCGTATCTCCTACGTCCGCTGCCAGGAGCAGTGGGTTCCCTACCCCTTCCAGAACAACATTTCCATGCTCCCCAAGGAAGAGCAAGTGAAGTGCATTGACGGCATGATCGATGCCGCCCTTGAGGCCCGTGTCTCCAACACCAAGCCCAAGGACTTCGATGAGTGGATTGTCCGCATGATGGGTACTGGTATTGCCGACCTCTTCATGCGTCCCTACAACTACAAGGTCTGGGCCGTTCCCACCACCAAGGTACATTCCAGCCCTCCGCGAAGAATTGAGTCAAACCACTAACCAAATTTGATTAGATGCAATGCGCTTGGCTCGGTGAGCGTGTCGCTGCCCCCAACGTCAAGGCCGTGACCACCAACGTTATCCTCAACAAGACCGCCGGTAACTGGGGCCCCAACGCCACCTTCCGTTTCCCCGCTCGTGACGGTACTGGTGGTATCTGGATCGCTGTCGCCAACACCATCCCCAAGGAGAACACCCGCTACGGCCCCAAGAACAAGGTCGAGAAGGTTAACGCCAACAACAAGACCGTTACTCTGGCTGATGGTACCACCATCGGTTACAAGAAGCTCGTCTCCACCATGGCTGTCGACTACCTCGCTGAGGCCATGAACGACACCGAGCTCATGCCCCTCACCAAGCAGCTCTTCTACTCCTCCACTCACGTCATTGGTGTTGGTATCCGTGGTGCCCGCCCCGACCGCATTGGTGACAAGTGCTGGTTGTACTTCCCCGAGGACGACTGCCCCTTCTACCGTGCCACCATCTTCTCCAACTACTCTCCCCACAACCAGCCCGAGGACTCTAAGAAGCTGCCCACCCTTCAGCTCGCCGATGGCTCCAAGCCCAAGAACTCCGAGCCTCAGGAGGGTCCTTACTGGTCCGTCATGCTGGAGGTTTCCGAGTCTTCCATGAAGGCCGTGAACCACGAGACTCTCCTTGCCGATTCCATCCAGGGTCTCGTCAACACCGAGATGCTCAAGCCCGGTGATGAGATCGTCTCCACCTACCACCGCTGCTTCGACCACGGTTACCCCACCCCCAGCCTGGAGCGTGAGGGTGCCCTCACCCAGATCCTTCCCAAGCTCCAGGAGAAGGGTATCTGGTCCCGTGGCCGTTTCGGCTCTTGGCGCTACGAGGTCGGCAACCAGGACCACTCCTTCATGCTGGGTGTCGAGGCTGTTGACAACATTGTCAACGGTGCCGTTGAGCTGACTCTCAACTACCCCGACTTTGTCAACGGTCGCCAGAACACCGAGCGTCGTCTCGTCGACGGTGCCCAGGTTTTCGCCAAGAAGCAGTAGATAATTCCCCCTTGTTTTTTTTTTAATTTACCCGCTTCACTTAAGGTGACGGGATTCTTATCTTTTTTCTTTTTTTTTTTTGATACAATGAAATGAGCTCATACCGTCACGGAAAACCACATTTTACGAGGGCGCATTTGAAGCGGCATGAAGATTCTCGATCTTGGTTGGCGTTTCATCTTGTTACTTAACTTCTATTCAACCCTCTTCTCGTTTCTCCTCTGTGTCCAGATGGCCTGGATTGATCTTTGATATACAACTTATTAGACTGGTTTGGTTGGCGTGAATGCGATCTATGTTGATTTAGTTGGTCAATTTTTCAGAATGTTCTTTACATTAATGTTGAGCTCTACCTAGTAATACTTAAGTATATGCCCAGTAAGTTAAGTGGTACGCACTGTGTAGGTGGAACATAAGGAACAGATCACCGCAGAGCCTGAACGCCACATTCCTAGTACTTGTATACATATTAATTCCAATGAAGCACTCTGTACGAAGTACGAAGTACGATGAGGAATATTGTTTCCAATGTCGTATTTCACAAATGAAGGCAACGTGCAACGTACTCCGACAGTTGTCAAGGATCGACGATGGCTTCATTCCCATGGACTCCAATAAAGTCACAATCCTCGACACCCCACCATCTCGCCACCATGCCGATCTCGAGGCAATCGCAAAACCACACCGCTAGAGCCTCCAGCATGGCACAGGCACATCGTACGGAGTGCGGAATCCATCTCCCTGGATTTGCGACGATCAGATCGGCACTTGAACCATGAATATTCCCGAACTAAACATTCATCGCGGTGGCGTCGAAGACGGATCCAACGCCGTTCCCAATATTTAGACAAGTAATCTGTATTGGCTTTGTATGACCTGCAGGCTGAAGTCCTGCAGAGTCAGCCTTGACGTGGATGGCAGTGCCCGGGAGACGCGTCAGACCCCGGTTCCCACTGAACTATTGATAGACTTGCCGAGATCGTGTCTCAGATGGCATTGTTCGACGATTCTAGATTGCATTCTTTTGCACATTTAAGGTGAGACATTACAAGGCCTGGTTCTGAGGCGATTTCAATATTATTGTACTTATACTGTATGAAGTGCTGAGTGTGAATCACACATTCTGTCCAATGTCTTGGCATATCAATACAATCTCTTGTCGATAATCTCAAAGATCGCGGGTACTCGTATAGAGTCTTGGGCTCTGGGGAGGTGATAATGCAGATAATGTTGGGTTAGACCGGGATGATGCCAAAATGCCCGTGCTGTCCCCTACTTGAAGATGACGATTGAGGTGCTTTCACTGCCGACACTACTCGTAGACGAGATCGCCTCCTCGGCCAAGCCTGCCTCGTAAGACATCGTCAACGCTAAGGCTAGGTCCCGGAGTGGGACTGTGGCCTCGAAGAAACACCACACGATAAGAATGAGAGTTGCGGCGAATCTGCATTGGACTTATGTAGGTGGCTTGTCTCCCGAAGACGCTCTGGTCAGATTAGATCCAGCCGTGGGGGGAATGAGCTCGGTCGATCTCCCTGGCTCCGTCTGTTTGGGTGAGTGAAAAGGAATGGTCCTGCCGCTATGGGACTTGAGTTCTTGGGACGAAGCGTAAGTCTTTAGTTTTGGTGGGTCAGGTCCGTGAGAGGAAATGGGTAGACTTGTTCCTGGGTCTGAATTGACTGCACTCGATCTGACAATGTATTCCGAATCATGAGGGCTGGCTGATTCCGATGGCTCGAGGTGTAGACGGTCCAAATCCACTACCAGGGAGTAGCGGAAGAAGATGCGTTCGAGGGCGTCGACATCGTTCTCTTCTAGCGCGATGAGTGTCGGGCCTCGTCTGATCATGTTTCAAAGGCTCGTAGTACAAAGCTGAATATAGAACAGTAGAGTAGAATGTGTCTTAGAGCATCGCGACTGCAAATAACAGACAAATCACATAGAGAAAGAGGGAGTCAGGCTCAGCCCCTCAACACTAGACCCAATTTCTACTTAGACAGACTCCTGTTGATCCCCCCCCCCCCCCCCCCTCTCTCTTCTCTTCTCTCTCCCTCAGACTCTTCCTTTTTACATCTCTCATCGGATCATGCATCCACAGTGTTTCCGGTCTCCGTCATAGTGTTGTTTGGAATATTCGAATACTCAAACTTGACGCGAAAAAGGGAAACCCCTCCAGAAAAAAAAGAGAGAGACCAAAATAGAGAAAAAAACAGACGCCATGAACGGGGATCTCAGTCTATCCCAGTCTCTGGGAGGACTACGAATAGCCAACCCAGACGATTCGCCCTTGCCCGAAGATGCGACCGGGTCAATGGCCCACAGCCCGTTCGGACGCGGTGGTTCGGTATCAACACACAATTCCGAGTCGACCTTCCCGCCCGCTCCCAGCGAAGGTCCCGAAGACCGCCGACCCTCATATATTCCAGATTCACAGCCAACATACCAAGCGTACGCTCCCCACTCAACACCGCCAAACAACCGACCCCTTTCCTCCGTATACGCGAACGGTTCGGCAACTTCCATTCTCCCCCGGGACAACAACTATCGCATACGAACCGATTCCGGTGCATCCTCCACATCTGGCTCTCAAGCGCGAGTAGATACACGAGGGGGCTCATCGGCACTACATGCCGGTGTACTCGCGCGCGACAACTCCCACAGCGACCGGTCATACCGAACCACCCAAATCCCCGGGAACGGCCCGGCGGTGATGCGGCAGACGTCTCGGGCACACGCACGAGCAGGCGGCGCATCTCAGATGGCCCGATCATCCTACATGGCAGAGAACGGCCCAATGGCAAGTAGCGAAGAGTGGCAGGAGCGTGGGGCGGCGGTCTCCGTCCGACAGGAGATTGACGCAAATGGGCAGACCGTCTCCCGCTTCGTTAAGAAGGGGGTCCGGGATTTCTCGTTTGGAAACACTCTCGGAGAGGGCTCTTACAGTACCGTCGTCCTGGCTACGGACCGGCAGACACTGAAGGAATTCGCAATCAAGATTCTAGACAAACGACACATCATTAAGGAGCGAAAGGTTAAATACGTGAACATCGAGAAGGATACACTGAATCGCCTTACGGACCACCCGGGTGTCGTGCGGCTATACTATACATTCCAGGATGAGCAGTCACTTTACTTTGTGTTGGACCTATGCAAAGGCGGAGAATTGTTGGGCGTTCTCAAGAGGATGACCACATTCGATGAGGAATGTACGAGGTTCTACGGCGCGCAGATTCTCGACACTATAGACTACATGCACAGGCGCGGGGTCATCCACCGAGATTTGAAGCCTGAAAACGTGTTGCTCGACTCCGGGATGCATATCAAGATCACTGATTTCGGTACCGCCAAGATCCTGGAGGCGCCACGGGCAGATCCCAATTCGAACGGCATGCCACCTCTCGACTCGAATGAAATTCCCAAGGAAGAGCGCGCGAGCTCTTTTGTCGGCACTGCGGAATACGTCAGTCCCGAACTTTTGACCGACAAAAACGCCTGCAAAGCCAGTGACCTGTGGGCGTTTGGCTGCATTATATATCAGCTTTTGGCTGGCCGACCACCCTTCAAGGCTGGAAATGAGTATCAGACTTTCCAAAAGATCGTCGCACTTGACTACGAGTTCCCAATTGGCTTCCCTGCAGTGGCCCGTGATCTTGTTGAGCGACTTTTAGTACTCGATCCCGCACGACGTCTCCAGATCGAGCACATTAAGAACCATGAGTTCTTCACTGGCGTGACATGGGGACCCGATATGTGGAAGCAGAAAGCCCCTCGCTTGAAGGCCTATGTTCCTCCGGCCCGGGATCCCATCAAGCTCAACGAGAGCAAAGACGGCGAGACCCTGGCCCCGGTAATCTCAACCGCCCCCTCCAATGCGCCAAATGCCAGTTCTCGTCACCTTCCACGTGTAGTGACAGAGCTTCCACCTCCGAGCCAGCTGGATATCGAATGGTCTCCGGTGCTCAACAAATCCAACGAACGAATTTTGAAGCTGGGGAACTTTGTGGTTCTCTCTTCTGCCGCCTCTCACAGTCCCACTTCCAAGAATAGCAGTGGTGAATTCGAAGCTCCCAAGAAATTCTCCCGGTTCTTCTCGGGGAGCGCCACAAAGAAACGACAACGGCTGGTGATGGTCACATCTTCTGCGCGTATCATCATGGCTGCGTCGGGCGGCGACGATAAGAAGGTCAAGCTTGAAGTCTCACTTCTCGCCCCAGGGACGAGTTACCGAAGCACGACAGATTCCAAAGGAATCTCATCGTGGATCGTGGACACCGTAAGTTATCCATCACCAACCTTCCCGGTCACCGTCTAATCCCAACTGCAGAGAGACAAGCACTACGTTTTCGAGGATCCCAAACCCTCCTCCAGCAGCGTTGGCGCCACAGCAGTTCAAGTCCAGGAATGGTTGGACGCACTGGACAGATCCCGAGAGATGGCTGCACAACAACAAAACGCAGGTTTCTCCGACGATGCTTACCGTGACCTATCATCGGGCTTTCCCAGCCCGGCCAACACGATAGATCGCACATCCGACATGCAGAAAGATGATAGAGGCCCATCATCATCAGGTCGCAACCATCTAGTGAAACACCAAGCCACCGACTCCGATTCAACGAAGGGGAGGAAACGATTCAGCAAGCGGCATTCCAAGAATGGACTCGCGGCCGTATTCTAGACACTCTGCCTACTTCTTTCTTGCATATACCCTTCTACCTTTACCTGGTATAACCCGACTGTTTCGTTTTTACTGTATCACCTGTCGCATCCCCGCCATACCATATGGATATGGAGCACCACATCCATCTCCTTTCTCCTCTTTTTGATGCACCGGCCTTCGCGCAAAGATGGGATGTCATCCCACCATATTGGTTCTCCTCTTGCATATTTCAGTGACGAGCGTATTCTGTTTGTGTTCCTAGGGTGACATGTTTCTTGCATTTAGATTTGGAAGGAGCGCATGTTTTGTTCTTTTTGTCTCATTTGAATCATTTTCAGAATTCCTGTTCTCCATCCCTTGTCCTTTTCTATGTCCTCTGTTATATATCCCTGATTACCTGAAGCACTTTGTCCACACCATTGAGACTTGCTCTGCTCTGCTCTTTTCTTTTCTTCTCTCCCCTTTTCTCCTTTTCTCTCTCTTCTCTTTCGGCTCCTGGTAACTACCCATGTCGTGCTACTGGGTTGATTACTTTTGAAGATTGGATTCAAGACTGTCAAAGCGAATGCATCATTCTTATATCACACTTGGATGAACTGGTTTTGGAATCAGTTGCACTTTGTTCGTTGGTTGTTTCCCATGCTATATCGTTATGGCATCTTGGCTCCGTCTTATTTCGCTCTGATATTCTTTTCCCATTCTCATCTTTAACCTGTCTTCAAGTCTTCATGGCAGATAGACACCTGCGCTCTGGGCAGAGAAATGATATACCCGAATTTCCTTTTTCATATGGATTCCAAATCTGTAGCTTAGTATATTCATAGATGTTAGAAGGTATATCTGTAGACGTATGTAAAGATGAATATTAAGAACATTTAGCTGTAAAAGGTCTACGTAAAACTGAGCACAATGGTTAGATAAACAACCAGTCAAGACGTGAATGATCTAGCTCATCAATCCAGTCGAACATAAGATCATCATTATCGAGATCACCACCAACGGTATCTCCAAAGTCATGCCCACCATGACGTTCACGACGCTTCAGATCTTGCTTCTGCCACATGAGCCGCAGCACCCAAGCAGCATTACGAACATTAGCACTCGTAAGGGCCTCATAGAGCGAGCCCAGCTTCTCAAGAATCAGAGCTCGCTGAGAAGGGAGACATTCAGCACCCGCGATGAAAGTAGGCCAGATAAGACACTTGAAATGTGGATCCGAAGCAGGCACGAGACAAATCTGAGTAATCAGATTCGTAGTGATGAGTCTGTGATCTGTTGGCATGCCGACGTCTGTCCAAGGCGGGGAGAACCCCTCTCTTGAGCGGGACAAGACACGACTCGTGTATAGATAGACGGCGTCTTGGTATGAGGTTGCTAGTGCGAGGCGGTAGGAGAGGTCTGGAATGAAGAAGACGTCTTGCATGTTCTGGCTCCAGAATATTGGGTCGAAATTGCGGATGCCTTGCAGGAGACTGGCGAAGGCTTCCAGGGTTAGGGGTTGACCTGGTTGGATTGAGGTTGGAAGGCTTGGTGATTGGGTTTTTGTGGCGATTTCTGATTCTGGATACCAGAGGGAGTGGATGAAGAAGATTACTTCTAGAAGATAGGCGGGACATCCGACCCAGGAGTTTTCTTCTAGGCGTTTGAGGATCGAGGGACCCATGGAGGAGGAGTAGAAGGGTTTTGAGAGCGCACCTGGGCGAGCGAGTGTTGATCCCATTATCTCCATTCTGGATGTTTGGTCAGGCTTGTGTGGTTTAGCATGGGGGTGGAAATCTTACATTAGACAGCCATCAAGGGCAAAAGCATCCAAATCTTCGAGAATCCCTTGACCGAGGCCACTTTCAGGCCGGTCTTTGAGGAGTTTCTTCGCGCCTTCAATATGGTAGCTCCATGCTCCACTGCCAGACTCTATTATGTCCAAGAAGGCGAGTAAGACAATGGCTGCTAGTGTTCTACCATCTTTCTGCGTTGCCGGATTTTGAAGATCCAGGGACAATTGGTGCAGAGCGCGCTGTTTGAACTCTAGGAAATGCCGGTATGCCTGTGAAAGCGGCTTCCGAGAACTTGCTGGCGCAACAATGTCTTCTATCTCTTCGACTGACAAGTTCGAATCTGCAGTTGCCAGGTTTCCAGATGACCAAGGCAGGAGGGAAGAGTCCGACTCCGACAGCAAAGAGTAATGTAGGGCCCCGAGAGCTGTGATGCTGTGGGCGAGAACTGGGGAGTGATTTACCAATGCTGTAAGATCCCGGAATGGGTTCTTGCTCTGGGAGTAGAGTGCAAAATCGTTCACCATATATTGATTGTCTTTACGCATACGGATTAGCAGAGCCACTTCGCATGGCGGGAGCATATCTTACAGTGATGAACATAGTACCTAGAGAATTGGCTGAGGTCTTTGAGAAGCGGGTCTACCAGGCCCCATGGTGTTGGGGTGTACTCAGCGGGAGGGGCACCTCGCGGGACATGCATCACTGCCGTATCGTGCTCCTGATGGAAGTTGAATCCCATCTGCTCAACCTCAGTTCCAACAATTGTATTGTCCGTCTCAAAGGCCCATCCATCGGTTTCAGGGCTGGGCTGAGTCCCAGAGCTATGAGAATCGGCATCGGAGGGAGATTGTGACTCAGTGATGGAGAAAACTCCAAACCCACTGCCGGTTGGACCTGAGTCGTCGATCGGAGCGGGTTCCTGGCGCTTAGGCTTCGAGGGTGATTTCTCTGGGCCATCAAAGCTGCGACCCATCATCTTCCCCCGACTAGCCACTCCTCCTTTCACCCAAACCAGCGGTTTTTGGTACCCCAAACATTCCTTGCCAGCGTCCCGACACTTCCGGCAAGTAGGCTGGCCATTGTCGCAAATAATGCGACGTCGTCGACAGGTGTAGCAACCTTGGGTCATTCTCTGGAAGCTGTAACAGAAACGGGGTTTCTGGATATAGATAGCGATGCACCGAGTGAGGATTGATCGGTGCCACTCGCCATCGCCGGTAAAGGTCAGGACTCAGTTCGTCGACAAAGCCACACGACCATTGCTAGTCGTTTGAACAAGTGACTTTAAGTCTGTTATTGCGAGGCGAGTAGACAAACAGTGGGAAGAATAAGTCGGGAAAAGCTTCGCGGGGGGGTTCTGGGGGCGGTGTGGATAAATTGGGGATGCGATCTCCACATCTTCGCCTCTCTTGCATTCTGCACGATCTGCCGATGGTCCAACAATAACACATATTCACCATGGTCCTGGGATTCTTGATCCGGGGCTTGGAGGTTAGAATGTTCTTCTTCTTTGACTTGGTTTCCTCACTAACGTTCTCCCACAGGTTTGGCTCACTCTCCGAGTAAGCGTCACACTCCACAGATCTTAGACTCAATTCGCTCTGACAGTCGCATAGCTCCTTCGAAGCCCTCTCTTCCATCGTATGGTAGGCCGGGTCCACCAAAGGGTTCAGTACCACAGACATGGTGTCCCCCTCCCTCCGAAGACTCCAAAGGAAGAATTAGGAGGATCACATCACGAAGCGGATGGTACGGCCCAGCAACTCTCTCAAGCGTGATATGATAGCTAACTGTCCGTCGTAGGCTTCGACCTAAAGAAGTTCTTCGGCCACTTCAAGGAAGAGTTCAAAGATCAACTGAACGGACGCACGAAGAACAAATATTGATACCCTCGCGCTTGATTGATAATACCGATGATACCCAAATTGAATGTGATATTCCCTGCGTGCCAGGGATCTGTGATTCTTGTGCCATGATGGTCATTTTAGGCGTTGTATCGAGCTCGGGCTGCAACTGGATGCGCCTTTGGTCCCCATAGGGTTGCATCCTGTGTCGTTCCCGGAGAATGAATTGTGTACGCGATGGATGACGGAACACTTACCCAACGCCCCTTTCTACTGTTCCCAGCTGTTTGAAACGTTCAGTCCAGCTTGGATTCTATCACCGGGGCATACATATCACACAGGCTTCGGATTGGCCTAATTAACTGCTCAGGGCACGCCCAGCCCTTTGTCATGGCGAACAAAAATCCCGCATAACTGTATTCTGCTTCTGGTACCAGCTATTTTGCCAAGGGATTATGCTTTACAGTACGTAGTAAATGTTCTTGGTACGTTCTAAGTCAGCTCTTCTACCAGCCTTGGAAAACTACGAGTATACGACACCCGAGGCCTCCAGTCTTGGCATTTTGGAGGTGCTCGTAGTGTGCCCCACCACCTCCAACTTTTCACTCGATTTTGTTCCTTTTGCGATTGATATTACTCGGCTATATGGAAATTGATAGGCTGGTACTTGTCAGGAGTGTTGAGTGAAAATTACAAGGGGATTTCTCGCAATTTCTGACCAACGAAGGTTGATATGTAATCCTGCAATTCGGATAGACGCCTCCGAGTTCATGACTTCATACTTCTTGTTACTGACTTTGCCCAGCCATTTCTCGTTCCACCTTATTAAGGGGTCTTTTAAGCATGGAGTCACCCTGCGAGACACCGAAGTCTGCAGACAAGAGAAAGCCTCGGACTTGTCCTCACTGTAAACGTCATTTTCGCCGCCACGAACACCTCCAACGGCATATTCGGATTCGTATGGCTAGTCTTTGAAGGGATCTGCAATATTACAGGGGGCTAAACAACACCAGATACAAACGAGAAACCATACAAATGTCTATGCGGCGCTTCCTTTGGCCGCCGCGACCTATTGAAACGCCATGAGGATATCGGCCATTCTCCAATTACCCCCTCGACGCAGGAGCCTTCACCGGTCACTGTTAATGACAGCCAACTCCAATCCCAAAGCAATGAAGGCCCCGCAATACATGATCCCGGCTCATTCTGGGGGCTTCCTAATCTCCAAAGCGAAGGCGCCCCCACTGGCACCATTCACCAGCAAGGCAACTTTCCAGGGTATTCACTTGAAGGCAAGAGCTCTTGAAAAGGATTCAATTACCATCGATATGTGAGATAAACTAACTGACTCAGCAGATTCGTTATTCAATGCTCAGGATCTCTTGGTATTGCAAGACTTGGAATCTTTCAGTCAGAACATGGGACTGAGTACCGAATGGGTTCTTCCTACTGAACCGAGTATCGTGCAAATCTTTGCCGGAGAATCAAACTTGAACACTGTCAATTTTAGCAGCTCAACAGATGTTAGTCAAGAAAGACCTTATCAGCAGAGTCATGATCAGTCTTTGAGCCAGCTTCCCATAGAACGAGACACCGTTGGTAAGTCTTCTCATGTCAAATCAATCTTAACTAAATTGACACTCAACTATATAGCTGAATTCGGAGTGTTGACTCTGCCCATATTGAGGGTCACTGAGGACCATCGCAATCGCCTGCTTCGGGCTCTTGGGAACTCACAGACGGCTATGTTTCAATCGAGTTTCCCCTCCTGTCATTCGCTCACAAGATTTGTCAACGGCTTTTTTGACGGCTTTTATCCTCATATACCAGTTGTGCATCTTCCAACTTTCAAACTGGAGGATACTGAACCCGAGATCATCTTGTCTATGGCAGCGTTGGGCGCCCAGTATCGGCATGAGCACCGCAAAGCAGTACTTCTTTTCTATGCTGCCAAATCCACCCTCCAACAAAATACACATGACAGAGAGAGGAGAGAAATGGACCGACGTGTCTCCTCTGGAGGTGGATATCCCGATGATCAGCAGGGGACTATGCAATATAAAGAAGTCATGCGTGAAGCACGATGCGCTCTTTATTTGATAGCATTTGCGACGTGGCAAAGTGAACCGGACATTGTAAGGGAAGCATTCAACCTTCAAAGCTTCCTTGCGAGATGTGTAAGAGAGTGTTTCCTAGTGGAAACACATGAGTCGCAGCAAGAAACCCCAAATTGGCACTTGTGGATACAGCAAGAGTCGGACAGGAGATTGAAGTTTTTTTCCTACTCTATTCTCAATCTACATGGAATCGCCTTCAGCACGCCGCCAGTGATTCTGATCGATGAGCTGCAGCTCCGCCTTCCATGTTCCTGCTTCGAATGGATTGCTCCAAGCCCAGAAAAATGGGCCAAAGTGTATAAATCTGGCAACGCTCAACAAATGCAGGTCCAAGACGCCTTATCACAACTGATGAAAGGCTCAAATGAACCACATCTATTGAACTCACAGCCTGTGCCATCTCCTCTAGCAAATTACCTCCTTCTACATGCCCTTATTCAACGCATCATGCTTTCTCAGCAGGCATTTGGACCATACACCGATGAAGACCAAGACTTACTTAATCGACAGAAGGAATGCATTCGGTAAGACCATGTTCTATGAATATCACCTCAAAGACTAACCCACACCTTATACAGAAATGCTCTTCATGTATGGACATCTCAATGGCAAAGAGCTCCCGAGTCGAGTCTTGACCCTCGCAACCCTAATGGACCAATAACATTCACTTCAACAGCATTGTTAGGCCTTGCATACGTCCGACTTGCGCTCAACATAGGTTCATACAAGATCCTGGGCACCCGAAACCCACAGGAAATTGCAAACAGACTACTTGAAATGCCAAAACTACCCGCAGGTCCTCATTTGCTTCCTGCCATATTACACGCAACCCATGCTTTGAGTATACCCGTCAAGCTGGGTGTCAATTATGTTGCGCGAAGTCACGCATTTGTCTGGAGTATTCAGCACTCAATTTGCGGATTGGAATTCGCAATCTTCCTCAGTAAATGGCTGTTTTGTATCTCGAATTGCCAAAAGACAAGGCCGCTTACTGGTAAGTCCTTCCTTTCTTGCACAGCTTGAGGATCTACTGACACATTCAGAGCACGAAACCCGCTTGACCAGTTGGATAAGTGATATAGTAGAAGAAGGGAGAACATCGGGCGACGAGGACTTATGGTCCCGGCCAACGGTACCTTCCAATTGTGCCTACCTGGCTTTTGCAGTGGTCAAACTTTGGGCTCGACTGATCAGAGGAAATGAGCAATGGGCAATATTAAAGATCATTGGACAAGGTCTCGATATATACGCTAATACTTGCGAGGAGATATTTGTCAATTCTTTGGTCAATGAATGACCAATGAACGCCGTCTCACGCTTCAAATATTGAAAAAAAAAAAATCACCACTTGGAAACAAATTTGGACCTCAGTCTCAATCTCTCTCCAAAATTATAAAGCATATAAATCCCAACCACACATCCAACAGTCAGACCCGCCAACAAACTACATCCACGACCCACCCCAAGATTCTCGTAGAGTGGTCGGGAAAAGACAACAGCGCCGCAAGCAAAAGCACTCCGAGTGAAGTCGGTTGCTGCGAAAACACTGGCAGCATATTGGGGGTAGCACGCCGGGATATAGAGGAAGATGGATTGCATCAGAACAAACACACAAGCCGGATAGATGACGATGCCGATCGTCGGCACGATCCAATGCACTTTTGGATTTGCAGCCCAACCAAAAAGGAATAATCCAATCGCCGGCCCAAAGCATGCGTACAAAGCAGGGACCAGAACATCTTCTGGCTTCTGGACCGCGCCCTTCTTGGCTTTTGGCAGGAAGATCTTGTGAATGTAGAAATTATACACCACGAAAGAAATGATGGACCCGACAACAATCGCGAGGAATGCTAAGCCCATCTCTCCCAAATTGAAGCCATACATTCCTTGATAAACAATCGGAAAGGCCTCAAAGAATGAGTAGTAGATACCGTATGTCAAAGACGTATACAAGTTCAGAAACAAGATTGCTGGGTCAAGGAAAGTGATCCTCGAAGGAATGAGGAGTGACTCCCGAACGACTTCTTGAAAAGAAATTCCTGCATGGGAAACGTCCGCCTTAGTCTGATAGACACGGGATTTGTCCGAGTCATGCTTTTCCAAACGTCGGGCACGTCGATGTAAGATGGTATCAGGGTTGGTTTCGGGAAGCAGGAAGAGAAGGATGAGAATTGGAGCTGCGGCTATCAATATCTCCCACATCGAGAAACGCCAGCCAAGAACTGGAATTGCGAATCCAGATACCAGCACACCTATCGCCGGGGCAGAGAAAACGCAAAGTACCCATGTTGTCATGGCGTGAGGAAGTGCATTCGATGAGTAGACGTCTGCAATTGAGGCGCCGCCGGTTGCCAAGCAGGGACTGCCGAAGAATCCCTGCAGGAATCGAAGAAAGTAGAATCCGATTGCGTTGGGTGCCAATGCTGTAGGGATGCTGATGACACAGAACAATAAAAACGAAATGGCGTAAGGAAGACTGCGGCCGATACGAGGTATCTCACTCAATGGACTGAAAAAGAGAGGACCGGCGCCATATCCCAAGCTGTGATCGGAGTCAGCTTCATATATCCAAAAAAGAAGAGAGCTGAGTCAGAACATACACATAGAGAGCAAGTCCGAGTGAGGCTTCTGCATTATTCACGCCAAATTCATCGATGAAAGCATTCTCGCTTGGCGTGTAAATGGGCGCTGCCATGTACACCACGAAGCTGTAAATGCCTATAGTGAACAACACAAAGGCTTTTTTTGACTCTGGCCAGTTTTCGGGGTTCTCTTCGTCATTTTCTGAGTACCACTCTACTGGTACTGTCGTTTCGCCCTCGGGTTGGAGGTTTTCTTGCCAATACCCCAGGTTTTCTTCTTTGTACCTCAGCCACGACGGCTTGCATAAAGGACGCAAACATTGTCCGAGGAAGCTGTCTCGCAACCAGTCCATTGGCCTATTCCTCTATGCCCGGGTGCAACTAGGAGACAAATTCAGAAACAGAACTCAAAGACGAAAGAAATGGCTTAGAGTGAATGTTTGCAACTTACTTCTGTGTATCGCGGGATCAACGGTAATATTAAGATGCAAACTAGAAATGTCCGACTGATCTTATTTGAACAACTTGAAGCATTAGAAATCCATACTTAGATTTGTCATTTTTGAGTCTGCGCAACAAAAAGTCACCGATATGTGTGGAGGTGGTTGTTGGAGGCGTGGAGTGGCGATCACTCAAGGTGAGATGAAAGTGTTATGATCATGCAGAGCTCGTTAGCTCCATGATTGATATTTCAAGTGCTCAGGATTGATTGTGTTGGAAGTAAGAGCTTATGGGCTGTTTAATTTCTATGGAGTGCAAGTCGACAAACAAGTAGTACTTAAGTATGGGTTGTTTATCCTGTGCAAGTGATATGCATGAAATTTTAAAATTGCCTATACACTTCCATGCCCTGGAGGATCTAGATTTGTTTCAATTCTTTCCTGGATAACATTGTTAACGACCTAACATGTATACAAAAGCCTTTGATGCCCTGATTACCTAGGTACTTTGTAGAGGGGATTGATGCATCGACACCTCTTTGGATGATGCTACACCTTGAACAATTCCTCATTTCATCGCATTTTCTATTCCGTTTTCTAATCCATTGTGTATTTCAGACTTTCTCTTCCGCTTTCTATAACTAGCATTCTCAAGGTCTTGAAAGCCAACTGCCGCATATATACATATACATATATATTAAAAAAAACGACTCTGTTTATACTATTAAGGCTAGTGCTTCCTTGCTTTACGGACAGAAATATTGATGCCGACTATATAGGGCATCAATGTGAGAATCATGCCATAACCAGGCACCAAGGGTGTCATATTATCCGCGAGAGTGTCAATGCATCAATCCCCATTGTAGATACGACATGCTAAGCCCCCAAGATCTTATTTGCCACTTTTTTGGTCCGTTGGGTAGAAGATGGTCAATGTGAATTTTTAGATCTGTAAGTCAATTCTAAGTCTACCATTTCATAGTCTCAATTCCCGAAATGTTCTTATGTCTGCCGCCAAATGTCATATACTACAATATCCATGGAGGTGGTGGAGATCCGTTTTGGAGAAGTTACCGCATCCACCACCATCGCCCAATGGACATCTCCAATGCATCTCCACTCATTGTGAAAAAATGCCGATCAGAAATTGGAGATAATTACCAATCAGGGGGGAGGGGGAATTCATAGTGCTATGCCATTTAAAAATGCACATTGCCTTATGCTCATAAAAACACGCCGTTAAGAATTTCCAATTGTGATTCACACAAGCCGAATTGATAAATCATGTCCGGACTCTTCCAACCTTTGCGCATCGGCAATGTCGAGCTGCAGCACCGAGTGGTCATGGCGCCCCTCACTCGCATGCGCTGCGACGCTGAAAATGTCCCACTTCCAGTGGCCACTACATACTACGAGCAACGCGCTTCGGTCCCTGGCACATTGATCATTGCCGAAGCAACTCAGATCTCAGCCGCTGAGGCTGGAATTCCCCACGCCCCAGGAATTTGGACCGAGGCCCAAATCCAAGGATGGAAGAAGATTACTGATGCTGTTCACGCCAAAGGCAGCTCTATCTTCTGTCAATTGATCGCTCTCGGTCGAGCAGGCAGCCCGGAGCAATTGAAGAAGGGAGGAAATGGGCTTTTCGCACCTAGTCCCCTTCAGATGGAGGACGGTATGCCGATTCCCGAGGAGCTTGGCGAGGAGCAAATCCAACGGATCATTGGCGAGTTCGCAACCGCCGCGCAGAATTGCGTTCGGGCTGGATTTGACGGCGTTGAGGTTCATGGTGCTAATGGATACCTCGTTGACCAATTCTTGCAAGATGTCTCCAACCAAAGACAAGATCAGTGGGGTGGAAGTGTTCCGAATCGCGCTCGATTCGGTCTCGAGGTGGCCAAGGCATTGGTAGAAGCGGTTGGGGCTGAGAAGGTCGGATTCCGAATCAGTCCATGGAATACCTGGCAGGGCATGAAGATGGCGGACCCCGTTCCCCAATTCTCATACCTGGTGGAACAGCTGAAGGATCTCAAGCTTGCGTATCTTCATGTCGTTGAGTCCCGTGTGATCAACAATGTGGACTGTGAAAAGGGCGAGAGTATTAAGCCCTTCCTTGACATCTGGGGCAAAACTTCACCTGTGCTTGTTGCTGGTGGATACAACCCAAGCAACACCGCAGCTGCGCTCGAGGATGAATACAAGGACAACGATGTTGCTGTGGTTTTTGGTCGGCATTTCATTTCGAACCCTGATCTTCCGTTCCGACTTAAGCATCAGATTCCCCTGACCAAGTATGACCGGTCTACTTTCTATGCGGCTATGTCAGAAGACGGCTACGCAGGGTACCCGTTCAGTGCGGAGTTCACCAAGCAATAAACAAGCATTGATTGGTCTGGCAGTACGAGTACTCTTTCTGCCTGAACAGGGACCACAAATTTGATCCTGACCGCGGATAAGGGATCCGAGTCTTCCGTATCTTGCGGGCTCTACTTGTATATACTTTGAATGTGTACATGGATTGCGGCTTTTACTCAAGTGCTTCTGCGCTTGTTTGTACATGCCCACTTGACGACTCACACATCTCCCTTGTAAACCTTGAAACTTTAGAACAACCATAGAGCCGGAAGAAATAGCTATACACAAGTAGATGCTAAAACTAACCGGGTGTCTTATTGACTCACGCAAAGAACTTTTCATAGTCTGCCCCGCTGATGTCAGTGGCAATCCGGGAGGTTGTCCGGTGCTCCTTGCATATACACATGTCGTGTGGACACTACGTTACATTAATGAAGGCATGAGAAGTTGCAATGCAGGTGAGGCGGTGCGTTAAGGTTGTATTCGGTGGGAGCATATCACAAAGTGCGGTGGGAGGAGACACAGAGAAAGCTTAGACTGAACATCAGCAATGGAAGGCCTGAAAGAGCAATGGAAATTGTACAATGTAGAGCCCTCAGCTCAGCCACTCGTTGCGCCTATTCTTATTTCTCCGACAGCGTGGGATTACATTAGAGGCAAAACAAAAGAGGCAAAACAAAAGAGGCAAAACATCGACAGAATGCACCCGCCCCATTCCGGTCAATAACTAGTTAGTAATTGCTACTCGTAGTAAGCACTGTTGGGCTCCCAACCGAGACACAATAATCAGTACTCGGTAGCTCGTGGGCCGCAATCTCCCAGCTGATCCCATCTAAGATTATCTGTACTCCATAAACACTACTCGTACTCGCAATAGGGGTCCTTTTGGACAATGTGACGGCATGAAGGATGATCTGCAATATATGCCATCTCTCCGTCTACTAGTCGCCATGGCAGGTGGGTTTTGACACGTAGAGTAAGACAACCCTCACATGTTCCAGAACAGGCGGGAACCCCGAAAATGCAGGCTGCCATTGGTACGCCACTTGGACTTATTAGGGCTAGGGGCAGGAAGAGGGGCCCAATACAATTTTGAGGCATTCGGCTGTGTCGGCTTTAATTGAAATCAGTTGAAAGGGGTCAGGTATCCGCCAGATCAGTGGGACAGAAGGCCCTGCAGCTGCAAAGCCGTATGCCGACATATTTTTGGAATATGCCCGCCATTTCAAGTTTGACTACATGTCAATCATACGGCGGTTAGAGGCCAAAATGGAAGATCAGAAGCAGATCATGAGAGATGCTAAATATGGGCCGGAAGCGAGGGGTACGAGAGCCAGGTGAGCCCGGGGGGATTCGTCACGCCCAACCCACAGCTAGGCACCGGAAGAGTTTTTCAACGCGTATCTACCGTATCTATCGTATCTAGTCGTACACTCTGAACTACAGCATTCTCAATCTGCACCAAATTTGTCCTGAAATTTGGATTGATCAACGGGAGATTATCTTCTCATATTGAAGACGATTTCTATAATTATATCACGAAAAGAGCTAACAGCGCCTGTACGGAGTTAACCTTCAAAGAGCCAGGCGACCCATGAGACCCATTCGAACGTGTTTTTTATTGACCAAGGAGCCAATGAGAATGACGGATCGCTCGGCGCTTGGCTTAGACTGAGACTAGTGGGGACTAGCGTGGTCTAATCAGGCCTAGTACGTTCGGGCCAAACACTGTTTGTTTCGTCGGCCCAAGGTTGACCGTCGCTTTGACTCCTTTTTCATTTTCTGCTTATTCTCGGGACTTCCCTTGAACTTCAACTTCTTTCGTTACTGATACACACACGTTCGTTCTCAAAATGCGTCTCTCCAGCCTCTCGTTCTTCGTCCAGGCACTACTGTTGACTGCTGTCGCAGCACAGAGTGCCGGTGTCTCCAACATCGTGGATCTCACAAGCGAGACCACTTCGTCCACCACTTCCGAAGCGCCTGAGACAACTTCTTCCACATCGTCATCGACCTCTTCCACATCTTCTGCTGAGCCGACGACTTCGGAGGCCCCAACCACCTCCGCCGACCCTACCACTTCTTCTACTTCTTCCACTTCTTCCACCTCGTCGTCTTCTTCGACCGCCGCTCCCGCAGAGACCACCACCTCGGCCGATTCCACTGTCGCCCAGCCCACCACCTCTTCCACCAATGGACCTGCTTCTACCACCAGCTCTGATAGCAGTCAGACTACCACGGCACCCACCACCAGCGTGACCCCTATCGTGAAGACCATCACCTCCTACGCGACCAGCGATGGATCCACCGTCCCTCACGTCATGACCACCACTTCCACCCCTGCTGCTCAGCCCTCTCTGAACAGCGACAAGAGTTCCGGCTCCAGCGGCGTGTCGTCCTCCGACAAGAAGATCATCATCGGTGTTGTGGTCGGTGTCGGCGGTGCCATCATCCTCGGTGTCCTTGGTGTCGTCTTCTGGAGAATCCACAAGAAGCGCAGTGACCAGTACGGCGACGAGGATGACCTCATGGGCGGTACTGCCGTCGGCGCCGGCCCTCGCGAGAAGGCTCCTAGCCCTGCCGGCAACACCCCCTTCAGGAATACACTGGACCAATATCACAACACTGGTCCTGTCAACGCGGCATCCAACTTTTAAGCGAGCCTGCACAGACTCGACATAAGTCGAAGTGTAAAACTTGTACGATCATCATGCTATACTCAGGCGCTATGGACTGGACGGGCGAGACGGCTGCTTTTTTCTTCGGTTGCAAAATCCTTTTCATCTTTTCCCCCGGGCGTTTGTCACGGCCCAGCCGCTCTTTCATAGATCACACTGCACATTCATTTCTGGAGCGTTCTTTCTGCAACCATCACACTCATTTTGATCTCAACTCTCGATCCTCGCGCGACAGACAAAATACGGCACTTCTTCGGCTCTGCCCCGTTTGCTTTTGATTCCCCGTGTCGATGCGCTTGGTTTTTTCCTGTGGATAATCCCATTTTGCCTTGACACATACTTTCTTCCTTTTGCAGCATTAGACATCAGAAATGTACAGCGTGCTGCAAGAGTCTTTTCAGATATAGTCCTTACCAATTTTGTAATGAGTTCTGCTTATTCATGTGTGTTCGATTTCTACAATGCTCTCTGTTCCATCAGTAGGATCTTATCTTAATATACTACATAGGCAATCAGCACTCTTATCTAGTACATTCAGAAACACAGCCCGTCATATGAAGTCCACGGGTACGTCGATCTTGATATGGGTTCACGTGACGCATTCCAGAACGCGTCCGGCACGCGAGATCGATAAGACATTCTGCATTCCCCTAGTTGGATACTTTATTATAACTTGAACTTACCATCTTCAAACCTCAAAACTCCAAAACCCAACTCACTAAATCCATACTCCAAATAAACACCAAAGAACCAAATCACAACCCCAAAACAGAACCAGAGTCCACCTTCCGCAACCGAACCATGTTCGCATCACCGCAAACCCCATTCCGCCAAACAGGCCACTACACACCCTCAAAACCATCCCCCCTCAACATCTCCACACCCCCATGGACAATGTCTCCAACCCGCAACTCATCCAACCCCCCATTCGCGCTCTTCCAAACCGAGCCCGTAAACCGGCACACCCAAAACCACACCTCCCCAATCCCCCTCAACATGAATTTCAGCATGGACCCAAACACATCCACCCAATCACCAAATACAGGCTCACCCACACGCCCAAAACCAAAATACGAAGCGCGGTATGCCTCAACGATCGCAAATCCACTTAAGAATTCGGGGCTGGCGCGCTCCAAGACGCGGCGCATGTTTCTGAATCGCGTGCGGAATGATCGCGACGAAGGACGCTTTGAGGCTCGTGGTGAACAGATGATGCATATGGAGCATCTTGCTGATCGGAGGAAGTGGGAGGAGTCAATGGCGCGTGAGGGGGAGATTGTTGAACCTGATATTGCAGATGAGGATGATATGCTTCCTGGTTAGTTTTGATGTCCAATGCGATTTTGGTGAGTGCTTTGCTGACTTATTAGATGATGGGGATGTCTTGGATGAGTTCCTTTCGCAGGAGGAGGCTATGGAGATGGCGTTGAGGGAAACGCAGATGCGGGCGCAGACACAGGCGCATGGGCGGGTTGATCAGTTGCGTGGGAATGGGAGTGGGAATGATGTTCCGTATAGTGATGATGATGATTATGATGATATATTTATGAGACTGCAGGAGCAGTCTCAGGATATGGATATGTCGTGATTGTTGGGAAGTTATGATTAGGCGTTGATATAGGGTTTGCATGGCGTTTTTGGGGTTTGGAGAATCTTCCGGAAAGTAGATATGGGCTTCGGGGGTTTTCAGTTATTTATTGTACGATACAAGGTGTCAATGGCACGAGAACTCCTTAATCTAGAGGGTATGTTCTTGGCTGTGATTATATATGCATTCTGGTTCATTTTTTACTGTTGCGGACAGTCAGGCATTCCCATACCAGCCGCCGCGCCTCCCAGATCTCCCATGAGCGGGTTTGAAACGAGCTCCTCAGGCGGACTGCCAGCTGCTTGCATCTGGAATACGGTCAGTTATGGGGTTTGAACGAGAGATTGATAGAACTCACTTCCTGCATGCGCTCCCACACATATTCGCGGCACTTGGGATCATCATCCGAGTAACTTCTCTCCTCGAATTTGGTCACGATCTGCTTCACGATCTGTGCTTGCTTTTGGTATCGCTCCAAGTCTTCAGCGGGAAGGCTTCCGCCAGTCTTATTTTTCTCCAGCCATGGCCCGAATTTCACATCCAGCTCCTTCATCGGCTCGTACAGCATCTCCTTGTTGGAGAGCTGCTCCATCATGCCCATGAACATCTTTGACAGATCGCCGTCCTCTCCGGCTCCATCTGCCCCAGCTTCCATGGCCTTGAGTAGTTGCGCAATCATATCATCTGACATATCATCTTCATTGCCGGCGGCAGCAGTGGCCTTATCTCCACTCTCTTTCATCCGGCCCATCGTGCGCTTGATGGCATCATTGAAAGATTCAGCCGGCTGGTCATTCGCACTGACACTCGACTCGGGCTGCGGTTTCGGTGCTGTCGCAGGTGCCGCACCCGAGCCGCTTTGTTCAGCCATGACATCGGCCAGCAACTGTTTCAGGAAATCGCCAGGTGGAACCCCGCTGTCTTCGAGCTGTTTGGCGAACATTTCGGCGCCTTGGTCAACGGTAGATTGGACGTTGGGGTCTGCGGCTGGTGCGCCGCCCCCCATCATGTTGGCCATATCTTGCTCCAGTTGCTTGAGGAAGGCATCTTCGTCGAAGTCTGGTGGTGCGATACCGGTGGAGTTGTCTGGAGCTGAAGCCGCAGCTGGAACTGGCGCAGGCTGTACAGGAGCTGGTTCAGGTTTGGGTTTGGAGAAATCATCGAGCACGTCTGCGGGGGCGTTAGTGGCATGATCCCATTGTTGCGAAGGGTATCCGTGTTATGTACCGTCTAGTTCATCAAAGTCCGAGTCCTCATCATTATCTTCAATGGCTGCTGGCTTTGCTTTTGTCTCCGGTGCAGGCGCCGGGGTATCTGTGGGCGGTGCGGCGGGGTTCCCCGTGGCCGAGGTACCCTCGGGCAAGCCCTCCGTGGATGCGGTGGCCATGTCAAATTGCAGGGAATTATTCCAGGTACGAGGACTGCAGGACACAAAGGCAGATCGGATGCGTGGTGATGTCGTTGTGTCTGTCGCAATGAAAGCGTGGAGCTGAGGTTCGGCATGTGATGTTTTGGCGGGTTACTTTATCGCCGATCGCCGAGGGAGTTCCATTGCCGGGAGACCTCCGTATGGCATCCCCCTCAGGACTTCTGATAGCTCCTATGCAGGTCAAGCAGATCACATTGAGCAAGGCCAAGAAAGTCAAGCAGGTCAAGGCCTGGAGGATCTACGGAGTGGAAGGAATTCCAGTTGTTTTACCCAGATTTGATGCCTGAGGCATTAACAGATCTGAGACGGTTTCGATTCTGAGTCCAGACTACGGAGTACGGAGGATGGTATATTCTGGACTCTGAACTCCCTACTCCAAATAACTACTATACTCCAAACCCCAGACTTCGTACCCCATCCATGTGTAAGGGATTCCATCCAAGCGCCGAATGAGGTCATCCCAAGGCTGGCGTTCATTGGGGGCGGAAAGTGAAAAAAGAAAAAAAGGTGAAAATTCTGCAAAGTCCGGGGAACTTGGCGCGTGATTCGGGACGTCATGTGGTCCGGATCTGCGGTGACCCTATGGAGGATAGGAGTCTCTGTGCCTCGTCTGTTGGCTGGGCAGGTCCCTGCTCATACGAGTGTAGAACCGGTATCGGCTCGGCTTTCCAATATTATATATGGTTGACCAGTGGGACATCTCACGCTTGCTTCTCCGCGGACAACCCAGTGCACAGTTTTGAACTCCCTTGGAACCACCACATACCACAAACGACAACGTACGAGTGAACGTACGGTCTCTCCCCACAGCAAGGACTAGTGGATCCCGAGTCAAAAGGCCAAAGGCAACGTGGAGACGGCCCCCGAACGAGTTAACGTGGAAAAGGAAAAGGAAAAAAACAGAAAAGAAAAAAAAAAGAGAAAAAGTCAAAAGGGCAACCAACCCCTCTCCCGCCAACTTTTCTTAGTCAATGGTTTAACACCTTTTACGTTCTCGTTTTTTCTATCGAATTCCTCTGACTCTTTCTTTCTCATAACACTTTCTACTTTATGTCATTTCTCTCCTAAACGCCTAGCCGCGCGTGTGTCTCTCTTTCCGCTTTGGTCTTTTTTTATGGCCTTTTTTACGTGATTTGTTTTCGGGTAACGCGGGGGAACTTTTTATTATATTGACTCCAATGGTCTCAATGGTGGAAAACAATGATCTGGGCATGGACCCCATTGTGCCCAAGCATGAGCCAGGGCCTGATGGTTCCATCAGTTCGTCGGTCTCAACACCAGAGGAGGCTGAACCTCTGATGCAGGACGCCGCGCAGACGCAAAAACGGAAAGGAGGCAGAAAACCTGTACGTAACAACATTCCTCAAATCTGGGGCCCCGCATATCATCTGTGTTACGATTCTCTTCGTGGTATACTAACCTCATCTTAGATCTATGCTACCTCAGAGGAGCGCAAGCAACGCAATCGCCAAGCCCAAGCCGCCTTCCGCGAACGACGGACGGAATACATCCGCCAACTCGAGACCACCATCAAGCGCAATGAGGAATCTCTCCAGAGCTTGCAGCAGAGTCATCGCAGTGCGGCCGACGAATGCCTCATGCTCCGCTACAAGAACTCGCTGCTGGAACGCATCTTGTTGGAGAAAGGTAAGCCCCTCGCCATCCTGCCGCCCAAGTCGAATCGTGATTAATCCCAACCTAGGCATTGACGTGCAGGCCGAACTGCGATTGAAGACAGGGGCGCCGGGCGCCCCTCCTAAGGCCAACCCCATGCCTCCCAAGACGGCGCCGGCAGGGGCCCGAAATCAACGACACACAGGCATTGCCGCAAAGCCCGAAGCATTCGGCATCTCACAGCGGGAAGGCGCATACGGCGTCTCGTCCCCCCAGTTCCAGGCAACCCCAACGTCGCACGTCTCCTCCCCCTCGCACGCCAAATCCCCCGGCTTTGGCTTCCAAGCCATGTCACCGGCCGTCGAACAAGGTCGCCCACAGCTGCTCCCTCAACCCCGGAGCTTCAGCCAGGCCTCCCCGCCGGCAATCAGCATGCCACAGACCGACCCATCAGATAAGCCGCAGTCCCGTGGCGGGGCCATGGGGCCTCGTGGTGCGCGGGTCGCAGCAGCCTACTACCCTTCTCCCTTCCAAAAACACTACGACCAACTCGGTAAGCCAACGCTCTCACCCACTCTCACCCGCCAAAGAATATCTCCAACTAACCTTCACAGAACAAGAATACGATGCCCAAGCCGACATGGTCGATGATGACCACGACGGATCCACTAGCGCATCTTACGTCCCGGGCTTCACACCACAGTCCATTGCATCCGGCTCCCATAACATGTCCGGTTTTAATCAACCCTCAGCCGAGGGGACACCCAGCGACTTCGGAAACGCAAATCAGCTCCTCGGCCAATACGAGCCAATGCTGGATACAGATCCATTCGGACTCAGCGCCAGCATGCACTTCCCCACCCCGTTCAATTATGAACACAGTAGCTCACGGCAATGAGCACCCAAAATATGCTTATGCTTATGCTTATGCTTTATTCACTCTGTTTTATATCTTGTTCATTTATGGTGAATGATCATCTCTCAAAAGTTTTGAGCATTGTCTGGCGTTGTAACGTTGATACCAAACTTCTCTTCTGGTTTTTCCCAGGGTATATCTTTTACAATTACATTCTGTATATGAATCGAATATTCACGGCTCCGTCTGCGTCTATTTAACACCAGCTTCTATTCACATGCGCATATAATCAGGTTCGAATCTACAGCCCCCGCCAAATCCATCACTACTTCTGCCCACTAGAGAGACGAACCCACTGAACAGCCCACACCGTCAGCCATCCATGATGATACGTCTGCAGCGACGCATGCCAGAATACCCAAAAGAACGGAGCACATATCTAACAAAATCCGTCCAGCTGTGAACCCGGTTCCATGGATGACCAGCGTTGCTTAGTGATAAACTGACAGGAGATTTCCACGGAGTTCCTGCGCAGTACGGATTACTTTGCTGGTGATCTTCCTAGTAGGGTCGCCACTGCGGGTTGTGGGGACTAAATGATCTGCGTTGCCGCACCCCAAAGAGGCGGACACCATCCATGGATGTCAACGCCTTTCTTGGGTTCTATGCCCTACACATGTAAGGAGCACGGATGTCTAGTTCTACGTATATCTACAGGTAGTATCGAAATCTCCCTGTGCCTCTGAACGCTCTGATTCGCTGACGTGTTACTCCTGCTCGAGACAAGGGTGAAGGCATGGTGTCGGGGAAATCCATTTACCAAGGAGGTGTCTATCATTTTTGGCAGCCCAGATGAAGGTTTTGTTCTGATTGAGCAAGAGGTTGACAGGGTGCTCGGTGCTACCAGTCCCGTTACATTGGCTTCCGCGGCTACTGTTGAAGATAGATGCAAGCTGACGTTCTTCCACGATTCGGAACACTTTGGATTTGGTAAGTTGTTACTAACGCAGTGAACGAGCCCTGAATAGTTGAGTACAGCCGATATCAACAGGGTGCTATTCATTGCTACGATCATTGAGTTATCCCCGCCGTTATATCCCAAGCCAGCTTGGACAAATAAAGTCAGATGCAAGGGCTGCAACTTTGTTTTTGAGCGGCAAGATGTATGAGCTAACTCTAGATGAAATTTTTGATGGTAGGTGAGTTATTCCAGTCATTAAGCCATTTCATCTTGTAGTACTGATCCATAATGCTTTTCTACCAACTTTCGAAGAGTACGCAAGTGCTAGTAGAACGAACCTGGAACACACACTCCGCCGGCTAGAAGATATGTGACGATTCTACTCGTAGGGAGTCCTTTAAGACTGTATAAAATGCATAAATCAACCTATACACAAATGAATTGGGAGCAGCCACACACCTTTTGAACTAGGTATGTGTAGGAAACAGGCCACTTAGGGTCAGGGTCTACGTCCTTTGTACATCTAAAGGAAGTTCAAGGTTTTATTTGACTAATATTCTGGTTCAACGCAAGTTCATTTTGTTCGTTCCCTTCAGCACTCATACGAGTGGATTGAGCGCCATCCCACCTTAAATTCCAAAAACCGATTGGGGTCCACCTGTAGACGTACTCATGATGACCAGTGGAACCAGAGCATGATACTCTACTTGGCCTAGTTTTGTTTCTGAATCCCAGTCCTCTATAGCAAGCACCGGAGTAGACTGCTTGAGTTCTCCAATGGTCCTATCGAAGACTTCTTGTCCAAGAAGGTCAGATAGCTTCAGTTGGCCGGAATGCTGCGCTTTGGGGGCAGACTACTACTGAAGTCAGTACTTAAGTAGCTGGGAGTTGAAAGGATTTGGCTATTCTAGAATGTTATTCTAGGATGTGAACTTTAGAAGCATACCGTCCATGAGCCACAGTTCCCTCTGTATAGTTCATGGAATATGTAATTTTTCTGTTTCTTTTTCCTTTTCTTTTTCTTGTTCAAATCTCACTCTACTCTCCTTCTCTCTCCCTCTTCCTCCCTCTCCTTGTCTAGCTCTATTGTTCCTCTCTCCTTCGCGAAAATCTTTGTATCAGCTTCTGATTCCTCGGGATCTATTGAGCTATGGCATCGGTCAACAATTTCCACCAAACCCCGAGGTAACTACGCTCCTTTACTGTACACTTTCCTGTGCTGACTTTCATGAAGAATGTTCGAGGAGTGCCCACTCCAAATCATTACTGGTCCTCAGAAAACCATCCTCTACGTTCACCCTGGACTTCTTTCCTCATGCGGATCACCGGTATTGAAAGCTCGCGTCAAAGACGGGTGGTCGAACAACGAGACGAACAAACTCCTCGACTGGACAGACTTCGACGTGGAAACCGTCAAATGCGTATTGAGCTACCTGTACACTGGAGATTATCATGTTGCCTGTCCACCATACCCCGATGAGCAGTTGGAAAATTGTGATGCGCCAGGTCCAATGTGTTCCGTTGAGATATTGGGAGTTGGTGATCAGACTGGTACATCCCAGTATCCTCTTTTGTTTTGATTTGCGCTAACGAGTGAAAATTGCAGCTCGACGATCCTCCATCTTTACCCAAAAAAGGTCAGCAGCGCTTGACCTCAGACATTCAAGCGAAGAGCCTTTCGGCCGGCCTCTAACCCCCGTCAGGGGGCTTCTAAAAGCTGGCGTCCCAGCAGCGAGTATGCAGACAGCTGCAGGAGCTTTCACGAAGCGGGAGCACGCTCTTTGCGAGGACCTTGGGCATCTCGCTGTTGCACACGCTAAGGTTTACTGCTTTGCAAACTATTTTCTATTCCGCCGACTGGGGGTCTTCGCTATCCAGCGTCTGACGCAGCTTCTTGATTTTTGTAATCCAACGGATCGATTCCTGTTGGATCTGAAAGACGCTATACACCTCGTTTACAGCTCAACCCTAAAATCCGAGCCGGATGATCCAGCCCGAGAGCTTCTTTCTCAATATGTCGCGGTGAATTGCGCCCAGATACCAAAGGAGAATCTGAAATCCCTCATAGGAGAAGGGGGTGACTTCATGATTGATTTCAGCCACAAAATGTCCAGGTCAATTGCGACGAATGAAAATTTGGCTGGAAAATTACAAAGGCAAATTTCTTGGTCGAACGACGAGGATGTTATCCGGAAATTCAACGACCTTCAGCAGCAGACACACATCTTCCGGGAGGCGGAGAAGGAGATCCTGGAATGGAAGAGAGGCAGCCGAGAGCTTCAATAATAATTCTCACCTGAGTACTGTCTGATTGACGCTGCAATGAAACTCCTCTTCTCCAGCCCTAATAGTGATCAAACCCCTTCTCTTCTCCCCTCCACATACGAACACATTATATTATGCTCCGGGGGCACGTATTTAAGGTCTGATATTGTGGATGTTGAGAAACAGCCGTGAAGAGGGGCCTGCTTAGACCGTCTTTTGCTACTATGTTCCGATGACACCAATACTGTCACAATCTTGGAAACTCATGCGAAGAGTTAAGCCAAAAAACCAAATAATGTCCCAATTTGGGGTTTAATTCTTTTTTGGGTAGCTCTCCCATTGCTGACTTCGCTGTCGAGGCGACGAGTATTGATATGAGCCGAACTTGGCATCTCAGAGCAGTCATCAGTGGGATGTGGGCTGAGGCTTGAAGCGTACAGTAACTGGTTCCATGTTTTTTAATGATATCATTCAAATGGTAGAACCCTGGGATGTGACTCCGCAGGCCAAGGCTCAAGCAAATTTGCTTTCTCTTTGTAGCTGGCTAGAGGCTGCCCAGTCATTCAGGTCAGTTGAAGCATGACTGGTATAGCAATCACCCAGGGTCATGGAAGCCGTTACAGACCGGAGACGATATCCGGGGGCAAACAGCTATGCCAATGTCTATCTATGGGTGGACATGTATGGAAATGGGCTTGGTATCGAACACCGAAGAATGACTATTAGAGATATCCAATGGAGACATAAGAAACTTGAAGGATGATCAGTGGAGTCGGCCAGTATGCAAAAAGTCCTAGGTCATTGCATCCCAGCTTATACATCCATTTTCTGACCATGGATCTTGATTACATAGCTTCTGCAAGCTATAGCATTGCCACGGGGGGAGTCCACTTGAGCACGTCAATCCCAGCTAGGGGCATTCCTTAAGCTCAGAGCTCAACAGGGATAATCACCATCTATAAAGAGTACATGTGAAACATGAGGATGTCAAGTACAAAAGAGAAGTAGATAGTCAATGACGGAGGTATTATGTAAGGTACCCTAAGCCCTAGTATGCGGGCAGCCAATCAGCGTTGGCGAAGAGATTCGCTTAAGAGCAGAGGACGCCATTCCCGATTAGTCACATTGCACCAACCACAAACCGTGGACCTCTTTCACATTGCTCTATCATCATCATCAATTCTGACAGGCCGGATCTCTTGGGTTCTGCCTTGTGCCCCCATTAAACACTCTAGACCGATTGTCTAAAGTTGAGCGCCTCCCCGGAAGGCCTCCAGATCACCTCAGGCGTCATGACGGACGTCCGGTCAAAGGTACGCTGAATTGGAGCTCTCCCGGAGCTGAACGACACGACCCCAGCTGAAACCGCGATATCAATGCGATCATGGCAATTGGGGGCTCTCATTTCTATTTTCGAGCAAGTAACTAATTCGATTTTCTTTGCAATTAGAACCTTTACGAGCTTCTGGGTAAATTTCCCCTCCCTTGAATCTTCGACGAGCTTTTTCTTCCCGACCAGCATTCCTCAAACAACCAATATCAAGCCGGAAATAGATCATACTCGAATCACCAAACCTCCAGGTCACTAATGCTTTTTTAAATCAGGCAACGACCCAGAGCTCGACCCCAGCCGCCCCGCTCCTCCCCCCGCGAAGGCTGTCGACCGCCCCACCGATCGCTCCGGAAAGCGTGATACCCCCAAGGAGCAGCCCGCTCGCCACACTGAGAGCAATGCTCGCCGCGGTGGTGCCCGTGTGAACAACGGCAACGAGGCCGGTACGTTCTATGACGACCTTGTCTGAGAAATCCGGACTAATTCCCAAAATAGCCTACCGTGACCGCAACGCCGGCCGCAGCAACAACCGTGAGAAGCCCACCGAGGATGGTGCTCAGCCCGCCCGCCGTGGTGGCCGTGGCCCCCGTGGCGACCGTCAGTCCCGCACTGGCCAGACGTAAGCGACCCCTCTTACGGAAATGAAATCCGGACACCAAAGAAGCAAAAAAAAGAAGAAAAGAAGAGTGTCGTGATATTTCATCCGGACTATATTTTTCTTCTTTGGACAAGAACATGAGAGAAATGAAAGAAAACGAAAACTAACATATGCTTTTTCTCCGATCAGCGACACCCGCAAGCAGGTCCAGCAAGGCTGGGGTGCCGAGAGCGGCGAGAAGAACTGGGATGACGAGCGCCAGGGCGAGAAGATCGCCAAGACCGAGGAGGCCGAGCCCCAAACTCCCGCCGAGGAGATCGAGGAGCCCGACAACTCCAAGTCTTTCGCCGACTACCTCGCCGAGAAGGCCCAGAAGGAGACTCTGGCCGCCAAGCCCGAGCGCACCGCCAACGAGGGCAGCAAGCTCGACAAGAAGTGGGCTGCCGCTAAGGAGCTTGCCAAGACCGAAGAGGACTCTTACATCCAGGGTTCCTCCGAGAAGTCCAAGCGCGAGAAGCAGCGCAAGGAGAAGAACTTCCTCGACGTTGACCTGCGTTACGTTGAGCCTCCCCGCTCTGGCCCCGCTCCCCGCGGTGGCCGCGGTCCCCGTGGTGGTGACCGCCCTGCCCGTGGTGGCGACCGTCCCGCCCGTGGTGGTGACCGTGCTCCCCGTGGCGACCGTGCCCCCCGTGGTGACCGTGCCCCTCGTGGTGGTGCCCCCGCTGCTGCCCGCGGTGGTGCTCCCCGTGGCAACACCCGTGGCCCCGCTGGCCCTACCGTCGACGAGAAGAACTTCCCCAGCCTCGGCGGCAACTAAATTGCCTGATTTCCAATGGGAATCCTGCTCCCAGACCGGATTTTTATCGTCCCGATTCCTCTGTTCCTATCTCTATCTGAGCGATTGTGCTTCATCTGCGATGGGATTTTTTTTATGTCCTCTTTTGGAGATTTTTTGAGAGGAGTTTGATGTGAGGGATTCCGTACTCTGGTGGAAGCACCACCTTATTTCGGCTATATTGCTTTTTTTCTTTCTCGAAAAGAGAAAGGAGCGTATACCGTGTAAGGTTTTTATGTCTGTGTGTGTGTGTTTACATTTGCCTTCGGTGAGCAAACGCGAATTGGATGACTGAATTCGACGGCCCATGTAATTTGATTCGTTTCAGAAGTCAAACAAAAAAATAGGAACGCAAAGAAATCTTCAATTGAATTACGGGACACGTCTTCTTGTTCTACTTAAAAAGTATTGACCGGTGCTCTAAGCTTCTCTACATATAGATCCTAGAATCAGGTTTCAAAAGGCTTGTTGGCTTCGATTCCAAGGTGATTTGATAGGGACAACAGCTCTATCTAGTAAGGATAAGATGGCCCAACTTATCAAAGCCTGTCACAGGCTATGCATATAGGTGAAAGGGAGTGATGGATACCCATGTCCACACCGCGAGGCCTTCTCCCTCAACATCAACTAGACACGACCATCTAAAGCTCGCCCTCGCGCTGGCGATGCCCGGCAGGGTTAGTGAATTCTTGAGCCGCAGACATAGCATTCTCCTTCCAGAGCGTCAAGAGATCTTCATCCACCTCGTCAAGGAACTTCAGACCCGGAACAGCTCTACCCCCACAGGCTCTTTCTAACGCCAGGAAGGCAAAGTGACCACCAATCACTGGTCGGGCACGGAACCTGGTGTTCTCGGCATACCCTCCATTGCCCTCCGTGTTGTGCAGATCCGTGAAGGGACCATCGCTGGCAGTCTCGTTCACCCACAGGGCAACAGACTCGAGGATCTCTGCTCTCACAGGCTTGGAGACAACTGCCATCGAGAAGAACTCCCAGTCGGTCTTGGTGTATAGATGGCGACTGTCGAGAGGTAAACCATACTTCTGACGTACATGGTCATACCATACTGATTGCTTCTGGTAGATGTGACGAGGAACAAAGCCTGGTTTTTCGGTATCAGTGTTCTCAATGTGGAAGCAGAGCTGGGCATCGGCGTAGAGGTTGTAGAGTGTTGTCCAAGAGCCAGCCCAGTCATAAGATAGCTTGATGTGGGTATCGTCCCACGAGGTGGCATACTTCTCCCACTTCGCGATGTAGTCGCTGGCCGTTTGCTAAACGATGAATTAGCCACATTTGTACCTCAAACAAATATTTTATATCATACCTTGTAATACTGGGCGTCAGCTTCATTTCCTGCGAGCGCAGCGATCTTACTCATGGCATTGATGCCAATGATTCCCTTCAGGGCCAGGTTGGACTGGAGAGCTAGAGGACCGGCGAAATCATCGGTGGAAACTAGAATGTGTCAGTTTTGGAAGAAAAATTCAAAAGGAGGGGAATTTCCTGACGTTGGTTCTCGGGCTTCAAGCCGTATTTCACCAAATACCCTGTCCATTGTTTCCATAGCGTGTAGCTACGCTGGATCCATTGCTCGGCCAGGCGCTGGCCGTCATCACCGCCACCCCATCTGCTGTCTTGTAGGGCAATCCCGTTGAGAGTTTGCTGGTCGTTGAGATGGAACAATTTATGCGCCTCGCGAGACCTGCTGCTCACGTCTGGCGAGGATGAACCCAACGTTGACCAGATGGAGGAGGCATCTGTAGATACCTCGTATCTAAGGGAGTTCACCACAGCGAGACCCATGATGAGAATGTTGCCACACTCTTCTACTGGCATCTTTTCATCATTTCCGTCAGGGTGACCGGTGGCATTAGGGAAATGCGTGCCCAAATCATGCATGGCATAGGTGTTAGGATATTGCCCACTGAGCATATGCTCAATCAAAGGCTCCAAAAGGTATGACAACCAGCGGGGGTTGGTGTATAGGAAGAATGGGAATGCAGGGTAGATGACATCGATTGTCTGGAGGTTTCCGTCGGAGGAGATCTCCTTGAGGAACAGAATAGGGTCATCAGGAGTTCCTGCAAAGACAGTTGACCCCATAACCTGGCGAGCAGAAAGGGAGACAATGTCCACATAGTCGTCAGCACCTGAAAGATAGGCATCATTTGAAAGCTGCTGGGAGTAGTTGGCGGCTAGTGAGCTCGCATCAGCAAAGTCTTGATAGTGGAAGCTCAACAGCTCCTCTGCAGTGGGATACCACGATTCCCATAAGGGTCTCATCAAAGTGAGACCCCGAGAGGAAGCAAACTGGATGACGGGGTTTTGGATGAGAGCGAGAGTGAAGGTCACACTGTCTGAATGACTGCTGGATGAGTGGCCAAGGTTAAACGATTGGGAGAACGCAAAGACCGGCCATCGGTCATGAATGGGGCGGAACTTCTTATCGTTGGCGTTGATGACAGTACCGGTGCTTGCAAAGCCACGGCGCACATCCGTATCTGCACCAGACTGGAATCGCACGTCCTGCTTCCATGATCAGTAACATTGTTGTGTTGCCAGTTTGAGGGAATAAAACCTACGGTAGGTCCGGTGAAATGGAGGGTGCCCCATTCCGAATGATCGTTGTTCTCTGACAGTAACTGTTCCGTCTCCCTTCGTATTTTCCATCTTTGCAGGTGTGGCTTCTGGCTTTCTGTGGTGATGGTATCCCACTCCCAGTTAATGTTGTTTCTGTTATCACCACTGACCCATTGACCTGTAACGTCCATGTAGATGTTGACATCAACATCTCCTTGGACTTCAACAGTCACATACGCTGCAGGGATTGACTGTCTCAAGGTTGACGTTGGAGTTATTGGCGAAAGGAATGATAAAGTAAGATTGAGATAGTCCGAGGAACCAGCATCAATCTGATAGGTCAAGTTGGTGGTTGAAGCATCGTATGTGGTACCCAAGTAGGTTGGGAACTTGATATGGTAGCTAGAGGCTGTCAGCTATCACGTCTCTCGACAGAGCACTGAGTAAAGAGCGAGCTGCAGTACATACTTGCCATTCTTCTGCAGCGAGTCATGCGGCCTGCCCAAAAGGGGATAGACGGCGCCCTGGCTCGGGATGTGGGCCATCAGAGCGAGGCCCACCTGGTCTCCATTCCAGAAGATGGGCCATTTCGCCCATGGCATCTCTCGGGCATCGGCCAGCCATGTGCTCAGGTAGGGGTTTCGAACGACCAAAGGCACCACGGGTGGATTGAGTGTAGACGCGGTACTGACCACTGCCTGGAAGGCAGCGGCCAGGGCCAGGGGTAAGAGTTTCATTGTCACTCTCCGCAACAAACGAAGGCAGTTTTGAGCCTCCTGGATACTAAAGATATATACTTTGCAACGAGAGTGGTTCTGAATGACTTTCAGAGAATCTTGTATAGAGAGGGTAACAGGTGTATGGAGGTCTCAAAAGGGTGCGGAGTAGTGTAAGTGAGGAACGAAAGCCTGTGATACTCTGCAAAACAGAATAGCCGGGGTTTAAAGGGTGAGGAGGTGAAGAAGTCTCAAAGTCATGAAATCCAAGGAGATGTGAAGTTGGGGAAACTTGAAATGCGGGGAAGGGGTTACCGTCAATGCTTGGCTTCGACGCACAACAGTCGAGATGAAGGTTGAGATCGAGGTCGAGAATGTTAGCAGGAAGAGAGAGAAAGACAGAAGACAAGTCTGAAACAAAAAAGGGAGAAGATATTCTGATCGTCTCATCGTCGATGATGTCATGCGGAGAGCTACAAGATCTCTCCATTTGCTCCGTACATGGACATAGCAGGGCCATTAAAGGGGTTAACTACTTCAGCAAAATAAAAGTAGACTAGGTCCTTGGTGCCTTGATCTTGACAAAGCCATTGGAGGAATCTTGGTACTCGAACTAGATAGGAATGAGTAGGTTCCCTCAACATCGTGAAACCAGGGCTTAGATATCTAGTATTGAAGGGAAAAGTGAAGGGCCAAATGGTATCATTGATTGCAGCGTGTGTTAATTATATGCTGCATGTTTCCAACCTCGAGAACTCCGGATGAACCTTCCCTTTGCGATATGTAAAATACTCGTTTGACTCTATACATAAACATGCTGCACATTGCGCCGCGCAATGAATCATGTCAACTCAGATCTGATACTGGAAGCATCAATCCAAGCACAATTATCAACACAGAAAAAAAAAAAAAGAAAGAAGTGCTAATTCATCCAGTCCAGGCATCTGAGCTCTGGTTCCCTGCAGTGCTCATCAACTTGAGGAGGCCGTCAACCGCGTCCCCGCGCTGTGACGGCGAGATATAGCCGTCCATCAGTTCAGCGCGGGGTCCCATGCTTTGTCTTTCTTGATCGTGGCGGGTGACTGTGGCTGGGGGGCTGCTGAGCTGCATTGGAGATCCCAGATGCCTGGGTGGGGTCCGTGTGTGTTTCTTTGTGCGGGGTTGGACAATGCTGGAAGACAATGGCGAGGGTCGACCTGGGAGATCGGGGGTGCTGTGGAGGGGTGTGGAGATGAAGCCAGTGGTGCCAATACGAGGCGTCTTCAAGTGAGAGGAAGGGAATGTTGTGAATTGTTTGCGAGACGAGAGAGGTGGCGTGGCAAGAACGGAGAATGAGAGTCGTGGGCATTTGCGGCTATGGGCTTCTAGATCCGAGACCCGGCGGTCGAATTGGTGATCGGTCACGTTGCGCATTGCACTTTGGAGCCTCGAACGGAGGAGGGATGCTTTCTGTGTAATGATTAGTATTGCCTAGTGGTCCTTGGTGGGAATTTGCATACTTCTTGAATGAACATTTTGCGCGCGTCAGAGCCCTCTGGCACACTACGCGTCTCTGGTTCTGGTGTGCGGGGAGCATGGAAGACTTCGGGTTCCGTCTGATCGTGTGCTTCCTCATATTCGGGCTGTGAGTTTTGTGGTGTTGGGATGTGGGTGTTCGTCACGTCGGAGGTTTGGTGGTGTTGCTGCTATTGCGCGTCGAATTAGCTGTGCTCGTGATACTTTTTGTCCAACATGAACCTACCTGGTTTTGCATATCGTGTACTAGGGATTGGGCAGGTTGCGGGGAGATTTCCCGCATGTGAATGGGCTCTATGGTCTCTTCTGTCTCGTCGATCTGATCTCTTGTCCGTTTCTGGCCTGCAAATATCGGAGATGGGAGGAGTTTTCGGGGCGAGATTGCCATTGACGCCCGCTTCACGGGTGTCCCAATGGCAGGGAATGAGGATTTGGTGTGGGCGGGGGATAGACACGCGTTGGTATCCTTCTCGCCGAGGATTTGGCGTCCGTCCTTGACAGGACTGAATTGCACTGCAGTCGAATTCATTGTGCAGGCGTGTGTGTGAGAAAAGACAATGACGGTCGAGTGCGGAAGCCGAAGGAGGGCGTATATAAGCAGGTATCACAAGACGAGTCTGGAGTAGAGAAGAAGAGGAATTGAAACTCAGACGAAGTCGAAGAAGTAAGAAAACGGTCGCGTCGATCGCGTGTAGTACGTGATACTAGCTTGTATAGAGCACGGACTTTGGCTCCACACGAAGGCACGCGTCTATCTGCGCTTCTACGGTCATTTCGATTGTTTCTACGTTTTCTCTCTGGTATATTTCTCTTGCTTCGGTGCAAAATAGGAGTATTTCAATGCCATATATGAGATACAATCGCCTTTTTGAAGCCAATTGCTGTGGTTTCAAGTCTCAACTCGCGTATTTAGACCCCACACGGCCTGCACTTAGAGAGACCTCTTAATTGACTAGCCAATTGACTAAGTAACGATGGGGAAAGGGGCACACATTACTCCGTATGGAGTACGGAGTCTACTGACAGAAGTCGCGTACTTAAATGCACATATGCAGTATGTACGCGTACGGAGTATTTCACAACGCCATTGTTGCAGACGTACATTTTGATATCGACTGCTCAAGTGAAATTACAGTCAATAATCAATTGGACCCTGTAGCTAATCTTTGTATGGTTTTTACCGCAAGGTTACTACTTACTGTCTTTTTTAAAACAATAAAAAAACCAAAACAATTTACACCTTCATGGGGTTTGCCGTGTCTTCGGTGGAGAACTACTCCAGGGCTAGTACTATGGACATCCAATGTCAGCAAATTCCAGTCACACAACATCAATCGATGCATACTCCGTACATCTATACATACCAATTCTATACATTGGATTGCCCGAGATTGCAAGTTACCAATACGGAAAATAAAACGAGCCGCACACGCAGTGATGCACTCCAGACGCAAGGACAAAACTCGCTTAATAGATTGACTTTTGAAGAAAACATCTATACAATGACCCTTCACCGGACCTTCTTGAGCTTGTTACGCTTTCTTCCGAGGATATCCCTACCCTCTTCAATCTCACCCATGGCCTCACGCTTAGCAGAGCCGACCTCCTTCAGCACACCAGTGCGAACAACACGGCTCTCAATATTAACACCCTCCTGGGCGAACTCCTCCATCTGACGCCCAACACGCTTCTCAATCTCCAGAATGAGCTCGACATCACGCTGGCCAACAAGCGTGACGGCCTCACCAGTTCGGCCTGCACGCGCAGTACGACCAACACGGTGCACGTAGTCGTCTGGGTTGCGCGGAACGTCGAAGTTAACGACCAGGCTGACAGACGGGATATCTAGACCACGCGAGGCGACGTCCGTGGCGACCAGGACGCGAGCTGCAGTGGCGCGGAATCGGGCCAGATTAGATGTGCGTTCAGATTGAGGGAGAATACTGTGGAGGGCGGTGATGCGGTGGCCGAGACGGCGGAGAGTACGTTCGAGCAAATCGCATGTTTTGGTATGGTTGCAGAAGACAATGACTGGCTTGGTGACGTTTTCTTCGGTGGAGAGCAGTGCGTGCAGGAATGCTTCACGATGCGTCATGGGAACCTTCAAGTAGGACTGCTTTAGGGTTGGCGGGATCTTGCCTTGGTTCTCGGTGCCGATCTCGGTCATGAAAATGGGGGGCTTTTCACCTGCTACAGGCATAGATTTCAATGCTCGCACTTCGGCGGTCATGGTGGCTGTGAATAGCAGGGTCTGACGCTCGGAGGATGGTGGCAAGGAACCGAGGCATGTTTCAACGTCTGGAAGCATGCTGCCTGGTCCGCTGGCCAGAAGGCGATCTGCTTCATCCAGAACAACCATCTTGACCCGACGGAGACCGGCAACGGTGTCTTCTCCGGAGGTTTTGATGTGGTCGGCGAGTCGACCGGGAGTTGCGATAACGACATGAGGCCGGTTGGCCAGGTCAATAGCCTGCTGCCGCATATCCATACCTCCGACGACGAGGATGGGCTTCATATTTTGCGGGGCGGATACGGCCCTAAATTGTTCGTAGATTTGGAGAGCAAGTTCGCTAGCGAAGCATCTCGGTTAGCCACCAGATTCCAAAGATATTCTTGACTTGGAAACACAAAGTAGGACATACCGAGTCGGGGTCATGATGAGAGCGTAAATGCCAAAAGGGTTCAGCGACCATTGCTGCATGATCGGGACCGCAAAGGCCATGGTCTTTCCGGAACCAGTTCGGCTTCCTCCAATACAGTCCTTTCCTTTCAGAATTTCCGGGATACAGGCCTTTTGAATAGCAGTCGGCCGCTTGATTGACAATGTCGACAATGAAGCGACAAGCCATGGCGCAACATCTAGGGTTGCGAACGTAGAATGATCGCTGGTTCGACCAAGTTCAATGGCATCGGCAATAGTGACCGGTTCCTCTTCCTCCTCTTCAGGCTCGTCGACTACTTCTCCCTTCTTCTTGATACGTGAGAGTGTGGGGAGCGGCGCAGGTGCGACATATGAGTCGTTGGATGACTCCGAGAGACGACGGCGCTTGGTAGCGCGGTCTTCGTTGTCGGACTGTTCGATGTCGGATACATCAGATACATCCGAGTCTTCGGGCTCTGCCTTATTCGTTTTCGGGGGCGCCATTTTATTTGCGATCTTGTCTATCGGTTCAAAATAATTTCACGGCAGAAAAAGTTATCTCCAACGAGCGGTGGAGCAGTTATGGCCTGAGTTTCAAGGAACAATCACAGTCACGTGCCGCATAGTATGTATATAAGCCTTGAGATATTCCAGTTGATTAAATCGGGTGGTCAAATATAATATTAGGGCAATAGGTCGCCCAGATCTCCTGGCTAAATTGAGCTCATGGAGGCCCGATCACAAATCGCTGTGTCATATCGTCTAGTCTACTCGGCTAACTGTGCTCCTCCGGTGTTGCGCCTGAGAAGGCAGCTCATACGACTCACCACGCTCCAAGTCTTCAGCTGCAGACTCGGGTGAAGTAGAGTTTCTGGTTCTCAACACTCCATCATCCCCACGTGAGATTTCATGAGCTCCGCTACCCACCGCCTGGTTATCATCCATTCCATGAGTACCGCCGACACTCTCCATGGTGAATGGACTAGCAGTCGGACCATCTAGTGCTGCCAATTCCTCCCGAGTAAACCACTTTGGTAAAAGGAAAGATCGCACAGGGATCAAAAGCAGAATGATAACAGGGAATCCGATGGCGGCGATAGTTTGAGTGATGGCGAAAGTCGCACCGAAGCCAACTAGTTCAAGAATGACGAATGCCCAGATTGCGGCTCGGCGTTCAATTCGCTTGAGGGGGTCAGAGGCAGGGGTGAACTTCTTGTCTTGGGCAAGGAATATCAGCTTCTGGGTGATACCATTGCCTTGGAGGGCTTGGACTCCCATCACAAAGAAGAGACCAGCCATGACACCTTGTGGAATCAAATGGAGGACGATCAGAAGTGGGCCACTCATCGTTCCTAGGGTCAACAGACCCTGCGCAAAGTTGCTGACCCGCTGCTCCACTACGTGGTCGGTTACCCGGATAGCTTTACCTTTGTTTGTGTCATCTTCATCTGCCACTTGACGAGTGACGCAGAGTGCAGCTGTGTGAAATGGAGCCTGGGGAATAAGACCGTTTGGGAAAGGTATTCCCAAGATTCCCGCCACAAAGGTGGTCAGTCCCAGGAGCCAAATGTCCCAGTGGAATCCAGCTGGCTTTCGAAGAGGGAACTCGGTTCCCTGGGCTATCAAAGATGAAACTGTAAAGAGTATGTTAGTTTGTTTGGACCCTCCATTGACCTCGCATTTTTCAGCTTCTTACCATTGTGATCGAAATAGAAGAGAATAGTGAGTAGCAGTGCAAATGGAATGGCAAGGAAAATATCTCCAACACTGATATCCCAGAAGCGGACTAACCAGGAACGATCAAGGGTTGGGAAGAAAGCCTTGCTGGTTGGAAGCGTAGCAACGTCCACGTCTCTCATGTGACCAATGTGGACAAATCCAGTGAAGAAGATGATGGTCAGGGGTGTACCGTAGTCTTCTAGGAACTTCCGAATGAACCGCTTGAAAAGATTGCTGTTCCCCAATTCGCCACATATCCATGCACACATCAAAACAAGTAGCGCAACCATGATGGCTAAATATGCAGATGTTTCTCCCACAGAGCCCCATTGTCTGGTAAGAACTTGGATGCCTTTTTGCAGATAAATGCAAGCAACATAGAAACCAAAGATATCGCAAGAGAATCGTGTGACATAGGTGAGTGCGTTGCAAGCATTTGTAATGGCCAATATCCAATGCATGATTAGAGACCAGCTACAAACCACATTAGTAATGTCAGCGGCGATGGATTACATCCAGACTTACATTCCAATCCAGCACATGAAAGCAAGATAAGGGGTCCCCCGAGGAGCAATAATGTCGTATACAGTATAGTTAAAGACAGTAATCGGACCTATACCCATGAGTGCTGTATTCGCGGAGATCACTACCGATACTTACCAGTCACACCCACAATGACGAGTGGCTGGGCTGCAAACAGGGCAAAAACAATTGCACCCAGGACAGACGCAAGAAGAACTTCATTGACACCATAGCTTTGACTGGTTTTCTCGAACATATCCAACGAGAAGGCCAGAGCAGGCAAAATACTACCCAGATTGTGAGCTACTGAGACGGCTCATAGAAACGAAAGTGTTCGCATGTTGAACCGGGGGGCATACTTAGCGAAATACATGTAAACTGTCGCAGGTACGACACGATAATCCCAGGCATCAGTCCAGTCACTCCAGTAATAAGGTGCTCTGCGCTTCACGTCGTTGACCATCCCACGGAACAGGTGCACATGCCACCATTTCGATGTGCCTGGCGGTATGGATGTGACTGTTGGTGTCTGGTGTTGCAAGCCATCATGAGCTTGAGACGTGTCTTGCTGCTCAGTTGAGGATTCAGATTGGCGAATTGACGCCTGTGCAGCTGTTCCTGATCGCGTCGAACGCAGTGATGACCGGCGCTGCGACTGGCCAGAAGGTTTGCGCTGAGCGGAATGCATCTCGATCTTTGACAAAAGAAAGTATCTCTTTCTGTGCAACACAGCTAAAGTAAGCTTACTAATCCCTTGAGTCCAAAATAAGATCACAAAGCATTTGAAAGCCCCAAGGGCATTGAGATGGTCGATTTTGCGGAGAGAAGAAGTTGGAGAAAAGCCAAGACCCCTATGTGGGGCCAGGTGATATCAGTACTTGCAGACACCAATTACTTTACGAGCGAAGGAATATAAATTATGACTCATTGGAATAAAGAGATTTAAGTATTACTGAAAGTGATAAGCAAAGCACCGATGAAGGCTTTTTTTTGGCTCTTAACTGTTAGCAAAAGACCGTAACAATCGCATTCTCAACCTAACCCTTTTTTTTTTTTGTCAATTGAGTTGCTGTTTGGGACGCCAATATCCAATTTCACACGCAAGGAAAGATCGAAAAAGCTATATTACTGTATCACTGGGGAGGTGGGGGAGGGGGAGGCTGGTCACTGGGAGGAGGTGGTGGTGGTGCGTCACCAGGGGGAGGAGGTGGGGGAGGACTGCCAGAAGCTCCATAGTACGCTGGAGCCATGCCAGGAGGGGGAGGAGGCGCACCCATACCAGGTGGTGCAGCACCGGGAGCTCCCATGCCAGGAGGGTAGGCAGCATATCCGCCATATCCTCCATAAGCAGGTTGGCCACCAGGGGGAGCTGGTTGTTGCCAAGGAGCGGCACCGGGAGGGGCACCAGGAGCACCGGGGGCAGCTCCAGGAGGAGCATATCCACCTTGGGATCCGTAGCCATAGTCGCGACTCTGGTTCTGCATAGCCCAAGGGGCGGGGCCACCTTGGCCGCGGGAACCGTAGTCATCTCGGCTTCCGTAATCACCACGGCCGTAGTCGTCACGGGGACGGGGTTCGCGGCGCTGTTGCCAGGGTGCCACGTCGCTCTGGGGTGGCGGACCGCGCTGCTGCCAGGGCTTGGCATCACGATCATCGGGGTAACCAGCGGGACCACTAGGGGGGCCACCAGGGCCAGCTTCAATACGGCGGGGCTCGTATTCACCAGGAGCACCACCACCGGACAGCTCGTTCATGAGTTGCTGAGTAGAATGTTAGTATAGAATTCAACAACTTATGGGGGGAAATGAACATACCTGCATCTCACGATCCACAGCATCGCCAGTACCAGTACCACGAGGACCCTGTCTGTCCGCGCTAGGGCCGTTACGCCAGTCACTGCCTCTCTGGCGATCGGGACAATCACGAGCCATATGGCCAGCGTTGCCACAGACACGACAGATGATGTTGGCGGTGAAGTTACGCTGCTCAGGGCAGTCATACTTGCGGTGTCCGATTTGACCACCTAAAACCGAATCAGAACAATGGTCTTCAAAAAGGATACAGAAACATGGTCACTTACAGTTTTGACAAGCCTGGTTCTCATCGTCACGGAGGGTACCGTTGAGAGCAGCCAGCTCACGCAATTGGTTGCGCTTGAGCTCGTTCTGGCCTTCGGGGATAGAAGCAGCCTAGCAAACTATGTCAGTACCAAATCTTTGACTTCATGCAATCTAGAGGGGAACTCACGGTCTCAATGACATTGTGGACAAGCTTCTTGGCTTTATTCACCTTTTCCTCGGTGTCTGCCATGATCAGACAGTGAAGATCTTCTTCCTGGTTGCTACCGTGAGCGGCATCAGAACGGCCCTTTCCTTCCTTGACGGAACCTTTGCCTCGAATTGCGATCTTGGCACCGGACTCGGTTTCCATCTTTTTCAAGGTGTTTCCACGGGGTCCTATAAGTAAGCCAACTGTAAAAAGTAGCAAGAGTTAAGTGTTAGTGATCCGGTATTTTTTTAAAGCATGTGCAGCATTAAGCACCAAGGTTTGCCAAGAAACGAGCCGAGGACATCCAAAATGGTATGCCTTTTCAACTCGAGTCGAGCAGGGACTCATGACAGACACAATGGGACAATGGTTAGGAGTTAGAGGGTTAGTTATCATACTGAAGTTAATCTCTGGATAGTCATTCACGGGAACGTAGACCTTCTCCTGGGTCTTGGTCGGGCGTCTGTAGTCAGAGGGCGGGTTGTAGTTAGGAATGGTCTTGATGGCTTTTTCGACCAGCTTGTGACGCTCATCTTCGAGGCGCTTGCGGTAACGGTATTCACGAGTGTTGACACGTCTACCGAAGTTGTCGTACTGGGGTGGGGGCGAGGGAGACCTGTGGCATAGATTGTCAGAAGCCAAAAAAAAATATGCGACTAAAGGAAGGCACATACCTATCGCCATCGCTTGGAACCACATCGTTGATCCGAAGCTTCTGACTGATCTCCTCAATACGAAGGTGAAGTGTGTAAGCTTCAAGTTGCTCGCTAGTGAAGTTCGCCATGATCATGGTCGGCAAGCCCATGAGACCGGCAGCCTTGTTCTCTTGCTGGTCGCCCCAACGGTTGCGCTTCTTGCGCCTCTTGGTGCCATCGGCGGCGAGGGCGGGTTCGGCTGTAACAAGAAATGGTTAGTCTCAGATGACTTTCTGACCATGCGCTTAGGAATACATACCTCTGACAGGGCTGCGGCCACGCTTGGGGCCATCAGGACCCATGGAGGGAGGCATAGATGAAGGGGCACCTTCCTCCTCTCCATCCGCACCCATGCGTCGCCGCCCCAGCGGAATATTGTTGGAACCAGTGATTCCTTGATTGCGCCAAGCCATAACTGCTATTGAACAAAATAGTTGAGTATGGTCAGTGATGCAAGGTTTGAAAGAGACACGAGAACCTTCGAAGGCGGAGGAACCGAAGCGGGTAGCCACGTGACTAAGTCTGGCAAATCAAAGGCGGTATCGGTCAATCTAGTAGTTGAATTTCAGATGAAACATACAGTGCTACATATTCCTCTTCTTACTGTGCTATATTGTCTGATAATTGCTGATTTTAAACCTTGCTCTTCGAGTCCGAGGCCATACCTTGCTGGATCCATGACCGAGCCTCCGCAGCTTGCTTGTCCATCGCCGCCTTATCCTTCAAGAGATCCTTGATGGTATGAGGGGAAGGGACATGGCGGCCCTTCTCGGTGCCCGATCGCTGTGCCATCAGCTCCTCCCACCCCTTGACATTGGGGAACTCCTCAATATCAATTCCGGCCCATCCCGCAGCCGCCACCCAACCCCAGTGTGAGATATCAGCGATCGAGACGTGATCACCGACAATATACCCGGACTTGGACTCAGCAAGGTGCTTGTCCAGCACACCGTACAAACGACGAGACTCGTTGACGTATCGGTTCACACCATACTCAATGCGCTCGGGCGCATACCGTGAGAAATGATTGGCTTGACCTTGCATGGGTCCCAGGCCTGCATTCTGGAAGTATAACCAAGATTTCATCTCGTAGTACTCCCGTGTGCCTTTGGGGAAAGAAATCTTGTGGTCGGTATCATATTGCTCTGCCAAGTACTCCAGAATGCTGCCAGATTCGAACAAACGGATTTCCTGGCCATCACTGAAGGTGTCCGTCAAAGCGGGGATGCGGCCGTTGGGGTTGATCTTGGTGAACCATCTGTGCAGCAGTTAGAGACTGATATGGGTTACTCTATGTATGGGAACACGTACTCTTCCTTTTGTGTGTTCTTCGAGATGTCGATTTTCTCGACCTTGTATGGCAAACTACCGACTTGTTAGCTTTGGTACTTGGTAAGTCTAGAGTATCTCCATACCCAAGCTCCTCCAAAGCGATGGAGATCTTGATCCCATTAGGGGTCTGGGTTGTGTAAAGGGTGATGTTTGGCTGGCTCATATTGAATTTAAAAATTGATAGTGTACTGGCAATGACGGAAGATGGAGAGGGCTTAAGTACGTGGAGTATGAGACATGCTGTTTCCCCACTTCGATTTATAAGCTTGTCGAAGGTTCCGCGCCCTCGGTCAATCGCGCAACCTCTCGTCTGTCGGCGTCGAATGGTTGAATAATCAGATTCCTTCTGACTTATTACGATACCTCCGAGCTGAGATGATCAGCCCTGGTAATATACTCGGTCGGGCTAGCTGTCAAAGAAACTCTCCCAGCGCTTTGTCACCATTTTGGAACTCATGTACGGACGGAATGAAGGCAGCGGAGATGAGAAAAAGAACATTCGAACATTTGAAAATTGGCTAACTGTTGGATAAAAAAAAGGGGGCACATGCAAGAAAAGTAACATACTTAAGTAGGCCTCATCCCATCGACAAGCCTTATACTCCAGAGTAACTGTGTGCCAATGGTATACCTCTCTCGGAATCTGCATCCAGGCTCATTCGATCAGGGTACCACATGAAGAAAATCACCATGACAGCCACCATTGGCACACTATCAAAGACATACATCGTCCACTCGTGTTTGAGTGGATAACCGTCATTGTCCATGACATACTCGATGATGCGGAAGACAGACCGGACCAGAATTAAGGCACTGACAGCATAGAGCATGTTTAAAGATTGCTGCCAGGGGATGCCAGGCTTAAGACACTCTGGGGTTGGTGCGCGACGGAGACGTCTCGCAAATACGATGGCCGTTACCCAAAAGAGGGAAAAGGAGATCAATTGGATTGCCAGTCCGGCGATCACACACACTTTTCCCCACGTGGCATAGCCCAGCACAGAAAGCGAGGAAGAATTGCCCTGCACAATGAAGGACAATACGTCTCCCCAGACGAAAGTTTTGGTGAGACGTGAGACACGGATTGGGGAGAGATGATCTCCCTCGACGCGGCGAATGAGTCGACCGAGGGTCATGTAGATGGACGCGGCGAAAAGGGTGGGACCGAGCAGGATAAACATATTGGCGACTATGTATGGTCCCATAGCAGTGGTATTGCTATGCGCAGCGCATCGTCCAATGTATCCAATAATCTGAACTAGAATTTCGATACAATCAGTGTCTGTCCTTCAGGTAGAGGGAGAATGCGTAGGGAAGTCCACATACAAAAGCCACCAAGAGTAAAGGATATGCAGAACCAAGTGCGTGTTCTGAACATCTTCCAAGAGTGAAGACCAGTCATCGTTATAAACAGAAGCATGAAAATGGCCGCTGCAGGTATTGATGGAGCATAGTTCCAGAATGTATAGCCTCGAGATGCGAGTTGATTCATGGTGAGATAATGTTTTGAATCTGTGTCCGCCACAATTGAACAAAACTGTAGATACCAACAGGACAGAGAAAAGGCCCCAGACTTTTATAAGTCACGAACTCGAGTTTTCGATCTATAGCCTGTGTCTTTTGATGGGTGCGGATACGCGTATAGAGCCGACCCATATTAATATCATCCCTAACTAAAAATGGATGCAGTCTAAAACTGCCTCTCCACTAACCCACTTCTATACGCGGATAGAGATTCAGAGCCTATGGATTCAAGGGAAAAAATAGCTTAAACTGCTAACCTTTGCTAGGTTGAAAGCTTTAGTTCTGTGATTCAAGGCACCAAGATTTATCCCCTGCGATTCTCAAACAAAGCTGTCCTCAGCCTCAAACATAGGAGGCAAAAGTGCCTTCGGGGGCCAATCAACCTGACTATCGAATGTCGTGCTGAATTCATGTCTTCCGGATCCTATCCATTGAGATTTTTCCCCGGAGTGACTCGGTAAAACTACCCGGGCCTTCGAATTTGGAGGTACGATCACCTCCAGATGGAACTCACTACTTTGCCTTATTTCCCACCTACACTCAAGTCGTCCATATGGTGTCTCATAAATGGCCTCTGCGGAAGTGACTGTACCCCCAGGCACAGGCTGTATAAGGATATGCCGCCACCCAGGCTCCAATGGGCTCACTCCAGCAACAGTCTTATGAAGCCAGTTGATAATTGAGCCCAAAGCATAATGGTTGAAACTAGTCATTTCTCCAGGATTGATCGACCCATCAGGAAGCATGCTATCCCAGCGCTCCCAGATAGTCGTAGCACCCATTGTGATTGGATACATCCACGAAGGGCAGTTTTTCTCCTGCAACATGCGATATGCCAACTGTGGATAGCCCGATCGTGTCAAAGCATGCGTTATGAGTGGTGTCCCCGCGAAGCCAGTCGAGACCTGGAACTTTGATTTCCGCACTGATCGTGCTAGACGTGCACCCGCCGCTGCTATCTGGTCTGCATCATCGAGAAGATCAAAGACCAAAACAAGAGCAAGTGCAGTTTGTGTGTCCCCAACAAGCCAACCTTCAGCGGAAACATATTTATTTCGAAAGCGAAGTTTCAACTTCTGATACTCGGATTTGTACCGAGTTTCATCCGTGGGTTCTCCCAGAATGGTACTGATCTGTCCCAGTATGCCCGTGGCATGTACAAGATATGCGTCCGCAACGAGTGTCCCGTCAGTCCGGGCATTGCCAGGCTGGTCTGGCGGTGCGGTGGGATCAAGCCAATCTCCAAGCTGGAAAAGACTATCATCCCAAAGACGATCAGGCCCGCGCTGAACTCCTCGGTCCAACCATCCCGTCATGCTGGGGTATTGTTTTCGAAGGATGTCGATATCGCCGTAGCTCTGGTACAGAGTCCAGGGAAGGAGAATCGTGACATCGTCCCATATAGCCTGAGGGAAAGTGGGCCAAAAGTCCTCAGAAATCACATTGGGAATGACAAGAGGAGGAATTGCATTATCATTCCCAAGTTGCTCTGAAGAGAGATCTTTGAGCCAGTCGCCCAGCATACCAGATGTATTGTACAAGAAGCTGGCAGAAGGTGCGAAAACTTGAATGTCTCCAGTCCAGCCAAGACGCTCATCTCTTTGGGGGCAGTCAGTTGGGATTGACAAAAAGTTGCCTCGCATAGACCATGTAGCGTTTTCATGGAGCTGGTTTATCATTCCGTGGGAGCAGTTGAACCAGCCTGTGCGAGTGAGATCGGTGTGTATGACCTCTGCAACGATATTTTCCAGATCAGGAGTCCAATTGTCAATTTGCACATAGCGGAATCCATGAAATGTGAATCGAGGAGCCCAGTCAAGCTCGTCGCCCGCAGATGTCACCTTATCGGTGCATTTGGCCACGCGAAGGGGACGAGTGCCTAGTTCTTTGTTTTCTAGAACTTCCGCGTGGGTCAAAACAACTGTATCACCACTTCCAATATTCAGCCTGGGAATACGGACACGCCCAACCAGATTCTGACCAAAATCCATAATCTTCTTGTTAGATGGGGTGGTGATGATGTCGATTGGTTTGATCGTCTGTGTCACTCTAACTGGAGGGGCGTTTGAGACCACGAGCTCTGCCTTGGGAAATTCAATCTCTCGCGCAGAGTTCCAGGACGATTCTGATTTGAGCGTGTGGCTATTCCATCCGGTCTGTTCTTCCAGCGCGCTGTAGACCTCTCCATCATAGATTTCACTGCTGATGATTGCAGATTGATGGCATTTCCAAGTTGAATCTGATAGGATGGTGCGCTCATCGCCGTCTGTAAGTTGGATCTCCAACTGAGCGATCAAAGCCAACTCATCGCCATAAATAAATCGACGACCTCCATGAAATCCAAGACGGGTCGCATACCATCCTTCAGCAACTTCGACTGCGATGGTATTTGACTCCCCGAGGCGCAAAAAAGACGAGACGTCAAATATCTCGTAGTTGAGTCGATGGTGGTAGCTCGTCCAGCCAGGAGCCATGAGATGATCTCCCACTGTTACACCATTGATGTATGCTTGAAACACTCCCAGGCTGGTGATATAGAGACGAGCCCGTGACACGGAGGTAACAGGGAGAGTGAAGGTCTTGCGAAAACGGATAGGTCGCAAAGGACCTTCGGGCTGCTTTGCACTGCCAGTTATGGCGTGTGCCTTCCAGTCTTGCTTGCTCAAGAGGCCGCATTCAACTGTACTCCAGTCTGTCCATTCGGTAGGCACCGAGTCCGTTCCGCCGTATGCACGAACGCGGACTTGGGCTGTCCCGCGAGACTCCAGAGGTCGACTTGGCCATGGTACGAGAACTGAATCGGTGCTTTGGACGTGATATTTCTCTGTCTCAAAATCGTTTTGGCGCACTATCTCAATGTCGTATGCTGTTTGCTCCCAATTTTGCTGGTTCGTGTCTGTCGTGAACCTCCATGAGATGCGAGGGCTGGATGTTCCAATTCCCAATCCTGTCGAGTTCTGCTCGAATGACAGAGAGGTTATCTTAAGTGAGGATGTCATTGTGTTGTGGCGAGAAATACACAGAGTGCTGGCACTGAAATGGCTATGGCACCTGTGATGAGGGGTAAGGGCTCCAGTGCTCGGGATGTTCTCACTCCGGGCCCGAGATCATTCCTGGCACCATTCACATTCACAATGATTTCCAAGACATGGCGAGATCCGGGGTCCAGGTGGATATGATTCTATTCGGCAGCCATAAGCGTCATCTCCCGAGGTTTAGCCGGTCGCCTCCGGCTTTACTTCGGGAGATCAGCCTTACCCCACCACTTCCTAGACACAGGTGACGAACGCTCTGATCTTTGAACGTTTTAGGGAAATGAGATACGAGGAATGCCCGGTCAAACCGGCCCCATATCCACTGCAGTGGGGAAACGCGGCATGAACTCAAGTGTTAGAGACTTAATAACTTGAGTGTCCGCTGGATTTCTTTCCTCAAACATATCTCTCACATAATGGGTTCCCACGCTGCACCCGACATCGATGCGATTCTCGGTCAGTTGACACTGGAAGAGAAAATATCCCTGTTGGCCGGGAAAAACTTTTGGGAAACGGTGGACATTCCTGAGAAGGGTGTCCCCTCAGTGAAGGTGCGACAATGCCAGATCTCGACTGGATGGCTGAGTTTACTAACACATTTGCAAAGGTATCTGACGGTCCCAATGGTGCTCGAGGGGCCACTTTCAAAAATGGCCCAACCGCTGCGTGTTTCCCAGCGTCGTGTTTATTAGCATCCACTTGGGATTTGGACGCCGCAAGGGAAATTGGAAACGCATTGGCCGAGGAGACCCAGTCGAAGGGTGCTAGAGCTTTGTAAGAATTTGGAGATGCCTATTCATTTTTGAAGATCAATATACTGATGATCCATCCAGGTTGGCACCAACAGTCTGCCCCCATCGCCATCCTCTTGGTGGTCGCAATTTTGAGTCTTTCTCCGAGGACCCGTTGCTAGCCGGTAAAATGGCAGCACAGTACATCAACGGTCTACAGGAGAAAGGCGTTGCAGCAACGATCAAACACTTTGCTGCGAATGAGCAAGAAACCTGCCGTTTTACGGTCAATGCCCACATCGCCGAACGGGCTCTTCGTGAAATTTATCTCAAGCCCTTTGAGATTGCTATCAAAGAGGCCAACCCCATGGCAGTTATGACTTCTTACAACATCCTCAATGGCGACCATGCCGACTCAAGCACTTACCTGCTGAAGGATGTGCTCCGTGGCCAATGGGGATGGAATGGTCTGGTGATGAGTGACTGGGGTGGCACAAATTCGACTGCTGGCTCTCTTGAGGCGGGACTTGATCTTGAAATGCCCGGTCCTACGAAATGGCGGACGGCAGAGGCAGTCACTGAAGCTATCAAGACTGGAAAGGTCTCGGAAGAGACCATCAATGCTCGCGCCCGTAACGTGCTTGAGTTCATGGCAAAGCTGAGATGCTTTGAGGATCCATCTATCCCCGAAGAGAGGTCCATCAACAAGCCAGAGCACCAGAAGCTCATCCGCTCAGTTGGTAGCCAAGGCTTGGTTCTTCTGAAGAACGAGGGCGCGATTCTTCCCCTAAGAAAGGAGAAACTTGCCAAGAAGAAGGTTGCTCTGCTAGGCTTTGCGAAGCAGGGTCTGATTCATGGCGGAGGCAGTGCATCTGTCAATGCCCATTACCGAGTCACGGCCGAGGAAGGTCTTCGTGCTGCCCTCGGTGATGATATCGACTTTGAATACGCCCAAGGCGCCCACACCTTCCGTCAACTGCCTTTGATGGACAAGATGGTCATTGATCGAGACGGTCAGCCCGGCTGGACTCTAGACCTTTTCTTGAATGAAGATGCTTCGGGAGAGCCTGCTTCATCTCAACACTCCGATGTGCCCACTTACATGCCTCTCTTTGTTAAGGAGGCATGGGGTAGCCTCAGGGCAACTACTCAGTTTACACCCACGCAAAGCGGCCACCATTATCTTGGTCTGTCAGGACTGGGGCGCTCACAAATTCTTATCAATGGTGAAATAGTCTATGAGCAGAAAGGCAATTGTCCCGACTCAATGGCCTTCCTCTTGGGAGGAGTGAAGGAGCCGGAAATCACCTGGGAGTTTGAAGCGGGCAAAACCTACACCGTGGAGGTTACCACCCTTAAGCCATCCAAGAGCGGCGGTGTTGCTCTTCTTGATGGATACATTGGATTCCGTGCCGGTTTTATGGCCGAGGAAGAACACAACAGAGATCTCCTCTCTGAGGCGGTGGAAGTTGCAAAGCGTTCAGATCTCGCCATCGTTTTCACCGGTCACACACCAGACTGGGAGACCGAAGGACAGGATCAGATCAGCTTCAATCTCCCGAGCAACGGCTCGCAAGATCGACTTGTGGCCGCTGTCAGCTCTGTAAACAATGATACTATTGTTGTCAACTGCACTGGTGTGGCCATTGACATGCCCTGGCTCGACAGTGTCAAGGCAGTTGTCCAAGCCTGGTTCCCCGGCCAGGAAGCCGGAAACGCAATTGCAGATGTCCTGACTGGAGCCGTCAACCCCTCTGGTCGTTTACCAGTCTCATTCCCGCGTCGACTTGAAGATGCCCCCGCCCATGGCAATTTCCCAGGTGAATATATTGAAGGACAGCTTAATGTCACGTACGAAGAAGGCATCTTTGTGGGATACCGACACTATGACCGGTCTGAAAAGCACCGCTCCCAAGTGCTTTTCCCCTTCGGTTATGGCCTCTCCTATACCACTTTCGCTCATGCCGATCCTGAAGTCTCACTTTCTGACGATGGTCAGGGCATCAAAGCCACGATTAACGTGACAAATACCGGCTTGTGCGCCGGTGCCGACGTTGTCCAAGTCTATGCGGGAGCTAAGCTAGCGTCCAGCGAGAACCCTATCAAGGAACTGGTGGGCTTCTCCAAGGTTTGGCTTGAGCCGAATGAAAGCAAGCCTGTCTCCGTCAACTTCAGCACTCGCCAACTTGCACACTTTAGCGAGAAGACCGAGAAGTGGGAACTGGAGGAGGGCGTGTATGAGGTTTCTCTTGGCCGGTCTGTTCATGATATCATTGGCAAATTGGCTGTGTCTGTTGGTGCTCAATCTTACAAGCTTTGATAGCATCATATTTAATAAAACACGCCCTTTGACATTCAAGAAGTACGAACATATTAGAGTCCAGTAAATGAAGCCAAGTATTTGCCTACTGAGAGCTGGGGAAGGAGCGATGGGAGTATGTCAGGGATCGAGTCGAGGAAGGAACTCGAATCAGAAGGTCCATCACCTGGTGAAAACAGAAAAAGAATATGCCTCTTCAACTGTTTGACAGATATAACTAGCAGCTTCACTTACCCTGGAACCACCTGAAATCGAGGAACCCGGTTCAAAAACAGTATCTGCTAGCTCACATTCGGAAACCACACCAAGACCCGTCGCAATGGCGTCCAGAACCGAACCAACGTTCGCCGGCTATCCAGGCGAGAATGTCCATGAATACGTCATGAAATGCAATTTGTGGTGCCTAAGCCGCGGCCTGGACGCTGATGTGCTCGTTGAAGCACGCAATATATCCCTGCGAAGGGGGCTCACCGGAGCTGCCGAGGAATTCGCAGCAGGACTTGAAATCCGCGACCAACACAATTTCTATCGGCTGTCAACTCTCCTGATGGAGCGATTCCCACTAGCCGACACAGTTGCGACTATCGATCGGGTGATGAGCCTGGAGCAAGGCAGCAAAAGTTTCGATGCCTATTGCGAGGAAGCTTTGGCCCTGAAGCCACTTCTGAGTCCCGATCAGGAAGGGCTACTGTCCCAACGTTGGGCAATGGGCCTACGGTCCAAAGTAGTGTCCATCGCAATCCAGATACACTTGACTGACGCTGAAAACCGGCAGCCCGCTGGTAGCAACATGGCAACGAGGGTCACCATTGTCCAAACCATTGAACTCGCCAGATTCATGTTGGGATCAGCTATCTAGTTCCACGTCAACACTGGACCAGAAGGGAAAAGAGATTCAGACGGAGGCTGGTTTTCAATTGTCTGGGATGCGCGCCAAGCTAAAAATATTGTTAGTGAAAAACAGGCCTTGACCTTCGAAATTCTGCCCCGAGTAGTACTCCGTAACTCACTAGTGGTATGATGATTCTTTGTTTCGGAACGCCACAGCCCTAACTGGGGCACATCTCACGAAGTGGTAGAGATTGCCAGTTCAACGGCAAAACCTCGGGCCAAGGAATGTGCAAAAACCAAGAGAAATCCCGGGAAACCAATTACAAAGTGAGACTCGGGAGACTTGGCCAGATTCAATCGAGTCACAGGCGCTGGAATCCGGGGTACGGGGACTAGTGGCGTTCCCCGCGTTCCCGTTTAGAGAAGGGCATTGTGGAGTCGGGCCTTTTTGCCTTCTCTCCCTGTTTTCACCCCCTTGCTACTCGGCTTTTTTTGGCTCGGGAGATCATACCATGTCGGTTATGTCCATCTTCGGAGGGGCTACGATCACTGCCCCGGATTCAGGTGTGTTAACCGCCTGGCTAACCTCTTCGAAGCTCTCTTTCTGGCATACTGGCACCTCGGAGTAATGAAATCCCATGTCAAAGTGAAAATTGATTCCTATTTATCTGGAATCTCCCCACCATCAGAGATCTACAAGATTCTATAGTCCCTTCTTCAGGGAGATTGTCTCTACATCATTTTTTATACCCTAGCCCCTGAGCAACCCGAATCATGACAATGGAGAAGCCTAGCACCGACCTAGTCGAACATGCAGACGAAAAGATAGACGACCAGCAGCTCAGTCATATTGCCAACCAGGACGATCACGAGCTGAGCAAATGGCAAAGTGTGAAGAAATACCCATGGATCTTCGCATGGTGTATCTATGCTGTGTGGTGTGTTCTCCTCGTGAGCTTTGAAAACCAAGCCTCAGGCAATGTCACCGGTATCCCCCAGTTCCGCGAAGACTTCGGACACTTCTACGAAGGCAGCTGGGTACTCGAGGCGAAATGGCAATCGGCCTTTAGTGGCGGGCCTGTCGCATCGGCTGTCGTGGGTGCGCTATGTTCCGGTCAGATCGCCGATAGCATTGGGCGAAAAATGACAATGGGCATATCTCTTCTCATCACCGTTGCTGCTGTCACATTGGAGTTTGTTGCGACTACAAACGAAATGTTTTTTGGTGGGAAATTTCTCAATGGCTTCGCACTTGGCGCTCTGGCTTCTGTTCCCCTCACGTATGTAGGAGAGGTATGTGGCTTTTCCTTTTCTTCTTTCTTAACTGTGTACTCGTCTTTGAGGTAGTGTACTGATAAGCTATGTCCTCAGGTCTCTCCTCTTGCCCTCCGCGGAACCCTCACCTGCCTAAGTGCACTCGCCTACTGCATCGGCCCATTGGTCGTTGCACTCATTACCAACACAACGGGAACATACACAAACCGCTGGGCCTACCGCGCCGTCTTCGTGGCCCAGTACGGCTATGCCGGAATCGCACTTGCATTCATTGCATTCATGCCCGAGTCACCATGGTGGTTGATGTCCAAGAACCGGGACGACCAAGCCCTTGACAGTCTCCGAAAATTGGGATACAGCGAAGAAGAGCGAGTCAAGAAGTTAGCTCTTATTAAGGTCACTCTTGATGAAGTTCGAAGGGAAACAGAGGGGGTCACTTACTTCGAATGTTTCCGTCGGTCTAATTTGCGGCGCACAATCATTTCCATTGTTCCGCTGAGCATTCAGGCTTTATCGGGTGTTGCGTTTATCGCGGGGTATTCAACGTACTATATGCAGTTGGCTGGGTATAGTACGGAGATGAGTTTCCGCCTGCAAATTGCGCAGCAGGTTGTGTCGCTGGTTGGGAATGTGACTTCGTATTTCTTGATTGATCGAATGGGTCGTCGGAATCTGATGATCTACGGTCTGGGCGTTCTCACCATCATTCTCATGTTGACTGGTGGTCTGGCGGTGGTTGGGTCTGACACTTCGAACCCAAGCTCTGGTGGTGCTGTCAAAGGCACAGTGGCTTTGATGCTTATTTATTGTTGGTGGTACAATACGACCATTGGATCGGCTGGATATACTATCCTGGCTGAAGTCTCGACGTCCAGGCTGCGAATCAAGACCATTGCCATTGGTTTGGCTTTGCAGAACGCATTATACACCATGTGGTCTTTCGTCTTGCCGTACCTTTTCAATCCGGATCAGGCTAACCTCGGCGCGAAGGTGTCGTTCATTTTTGGTGGACTGGCTACACTGTGTCTGGTTTATCTCTGGATCTATCAGCCAGAGACTGCTGCTCGGACATATGCTGAGCTCGATGAGATGTTTATCAAGAAGATCCCAGCCAGGAAGTTCAAGAGATATCAGACTGATGCTCAGGCCATGGGTCTTGCCGTGAAGGAGAAAGATATTGGTCAAGTTTAGAGGACTATTGTATTGATCGAACCATTCTTCAAGTTACAACAGAGTCTCGGAATGCGAAGGCGTCTTCGTCGGTTTATCATGTCCATGTGTTGCACTTCACAGATGACAGTCCTAGTAGTCGGTTGAGGGATATTAAAGACCCGAAACTAATTTAGTTACGAACTACTCTAACGATCTACCACAACATGATAATCTTACGATCTACCACAACATGATAACAAAATAGTCCAACGAGCGGGATTCGTGCCATTCATCTTCCAGCAAAGATATGTACAACTACCTATAGAGACTCATGATCACAGAGTACGTCGCTGCCCGAGAATAGAAACAAAGCGTATACAAGAAAAAGTCGGTTTGCAAAAGCATACCAAAAGAGAGACAAAAGATCATACAAGAGTATGATCAAAGATATAATGTTCATGAAAGGAACAAATGACAGCGACCCCTCAAAGCAAGCACCTCCGAGATCCAAGTAGACAGGTAGACTGCTGTACAGATGAAACAGCACAATCTACCATATTTTACCAGGAGAAACTCTCCTCCACGAAATCAACATTGGAATGAGCCTGTCTCCTCCTGCAAACGCGGCGAACATCATCACTCAAACCGCCATTGCCGCAGACCAATACACCCATGGCACCAATTTGGTTCTCGACTTCCATTCCGACGAGTGTATCGATGTTCGGGCGGCCAGGGAACATCTGCACAGTTGCAGATGGGCTCTGGATCTCCTTTGTATTGCGGGGTCGTGTGATGAAGAGCATGATGCGGAGCACTTCGCGGCGGCGGTCCATGGCCAAGATGCTGGTCATCCAGGGTCGGATCCACTCCAGGTGTTCCGGGGACTGGATGATCCAAACAAGGGTAACGCGACGGGCAGCGACAGTGCCATTCGCGAAACCGTCAACCAGATGGCGGACAAAAGGAACGTGGTGAGTGATACCGACACCTCCAGCAAAGAGCATGACACTGCCGTATGAGTCCATTGTGTGGATGTTTCCGTACGGGCCCTCGGCGAAGGCTCGGAGGGTAATCTTAGAGTCAGGGGCGTTTACGGCGCGCTGGAAGAGCTTGTCGGTCATACCGGTGCGGCGACGCACCAAGAGTGAGATTGTTTCCTTTTGCGGTGCGTTCATCAAATCTTGACTGTTTAGTGGCAAGGACTTCTCGTCTGACATGCTGTCTTGTGTTTCGCTCCAGCCGACAGAGAAGGGGTGCGAGGTAGTCCATCCCACGGAAGGGATATAGAGATAGATGTGCTGGCCGGGGCGGAAAGTCCAGGGGCGAGCCATGCGCAGGGTGATACGCATGCAATCACCGTGCATCGCCTCAACAAACGCGGTGGTAGACTCGCGACCACAGTTGCGGTAGACGATGATGATCAATCGAGTAGCACGCTCGAGGGCCCATAGGATGATAGTCGCGAGCAGGTAAGTCTGCGCAGCATATCCATTAAGGTGGACCCAGAGGAAGCCCATGCATACTGCTGCAATTGCGATGTGAAGGTGCAAGAAGGTCTCGTAGAAGGCATGGCGGACAGGGGAAGGCGAGTGAAGCAGCAATGCGGTGAAAGCGACGGCAGCCACAAATCCGGTCAAGAGGAAGTTGCTTCCGAAGATAGCCTTGCCGACGATATCCCAGCCCTTTTCGTTGCCCTTGGGAATAGCCCATGCGAACACATGGGCAAGAGCCTCCAGAACAACGATGCGTCCCAGCCATCGGTGAAGCAAGTTCCATGTATCGAAAGGAACATGAAGCATTGCGATCAGAGGGTTGTTACGGCCGGACATGATAATGAGAGGGATCAGGTTGATAGTCGCCATGGTACCAGTGCGATTGCGAACGATACCAGCCACTGAGCTCTCCTCTCCTCCGTAGGGAGTGGTCACACAGCACAGAGTGACATTCATAGCGATAACACCGATCACAAGGAACGCATGGAATCGGCTGGGCAAAGTGCCCATGTTGATAGCAGACGAGAGTTGCATTTCCTGGTTGTGTCTGGAGCGGAAGAGAGCCGCGTAGATGATATGTTCCTTGATCCATGCGAAAGTATCAGATGTCGATACAAAGTATCGTTGTCGGTCATCGCTGAAACTAGCAAGGCGTCGGAGGTGATGTGAGAAACGGAACGCGATCTGCCAGATGTAATAGGCAGCGGCAGCAAGGCCCAGGGCCAAAATTGTGTAGCGCGCCAAGTCATCGTTGACGGCTTCATAGAAGTACCAGTCGGAACCACCACGCTTGGTAATATGCTCCATGTCCGATGCGCTGGTCAATCCAGCGAGGGACATAGCCAAGAAAAAGGAGTTCATAATGCCCTACCAAGGATGCTTCACGTCAAAAGGCTTAAGTTGGAGTTTGGCGAGACCAGCTCGCTGAAAAGGAGTGAATTGGTAAGGTGACACTAGTTGATATCAGGACCAAAGCCACAGGTGGCTCGGAAGATTCAGTGAAGCGACGCGGGAAGCAACCACAGGTTGTTTGGAAGCTAGTTGAAGCAGCAAGGGGTCGACCGGGTCCAGTTGTATAGGACTTGTTGGGTGGTTGGTGTTGGATACAGGACCTGCCTAGATCAAGCGTATAGAGATCCCACGAGGAAAATCGTCGCTTGTCGAAAGTTCAATTCTTCAATTGGGCTCGAGAAAGAGCAGAAAGTTCCAAAATAACAGCGAGGGAGCCTGTTAAAATCTGTTGTTGGCGGGCAACGAAAGGAATGCTGGTGATCCAGTCACAGCAGAAAAGTCTAAAGATGGCAACTGGTCCAAGCCAAAACAATGAGGATTGTCTCGAAAAGAAAGACAAAGTATGTGAATGAGACAATCACAATTGTTTAAAAATAATGGACAAAGCGCAAAGAAAGAAAGTCAAGGGAATAGACGAAGAAAAGACTGTTTCCCCTTGTGTCCAGTCTAGTGGAGTATGAGACAGTGCCAGGGCCACCCAATATGTAAAAAACCAAGCAAGGCTGGACCTCCTGGACCTCTATATGTCATAATGTAACCGATCGGACTTCAGGATTGACCCATTAGTCTTTCGGGACTGGAGGACGGAGCATCTCAGGGGTTTTTGGCGCCGGGGCCACATATCGGCTCAAGGGATAACCATTTGCAAGACGATCTTGCAAAATTCATCCATCGAATCAGACCCTCATATTACAGATAACCTCATGAAACTTTGACAGAAGATGAGCATGCGACATCCCACAGGTCAACGCCAACTTGGCCAGAGAGTGGCGGGGAGACCGATGGGAACTGTGACTGGCCCATGCTGAAACACCCATGAGAGTTTTGACGAAAAAAAAACCACCAGCCGCCGAGGGGAAAGATCCGCCCCAAGGCTTGGCTCACAACTGGTTGTTTGAGAAGAGGGCCTTGCTGCGTTCATGGGCCAATCTGCGATCACCGCAGTGGAGAACAGGAGGCTGCGGAGTCCGCTGTGACACTCGACTGTGAGCTGTCGACCACTGGTAGTCCTGCCTTTTGCTCTTTAGCGCCCATGTCAAATCGAGAACATCGAGTTTCATAGAGAGAGAGGTATGTAGAGGCTAAAAGAGTGAAGCCACAATATAATTCGGTTCTCCATTTCCAGGGCGAGGCTCTTGGCACTCGGGGGATTTCATTTATATCAGACCTTAATCTCCCACCGTTATTCCTTTAGTACTCCGTACTTCGGTGGAAGTTTCTGATTCTGTAGACTCCCTGGTAGACCGGCTTCCTCGCTGGAGCTGTCAGAGTGGCTTGACATCTGAAACGCGGTTCAAAGATCGTCCCCCTCAGCGGTATATCAAACCTTTACTCCTGCCTATTAGGCTTGTTGCCTCTGCTTTCTATGAGTCTTATCGGATGTGCCAAATAAAGTGAGTTAACACCACATCTACAGATCAGGAACAACGTCCGTCCAATAGTTCCATCTGCGTATCCGCCAAGGGGAGTCCACACGGGAAATCGCAGCTCAACAGGTCTGGTCGGAAGCAACAGGGATTCTAGACTTGATTCAAGAACTCAACAAACAAACAAAAAAGAACACCAATCCAATGCCAAGGGTATCAAATCAAAATCAAAATATCAAAAGGTCCAAAACACCGATTCCAAAAAGAAAAGCGGACCTTGGATCTCCAAGTCCACTCTGCCGTTCCCTCAAATAGAACGAACCAAGATCTTCTTCGTATTTGGCCAAGCTCAACCACCCCGTAGACAAAACAAGGACCAATACGAGTATCCAAGAGAGATCCGTTCGCGGGTGTAAAAATATGATGAACGCCACATCCATGGGTCATCCCGAGTTTGGATTATGTCCGATGTCTCTGCCTGGGCACGTAAATTAACAAACGGCCCACCTGAGACCAGCCGAGAAAGTGCAGGCGACCCCGCTCAGAGGAAGCTAAGCTCATCGTCACTGTCACTGTCTTGGGAGCAGGGAATAACTGTTTGTTCGGAAGACTGCCGCCTGGCATTGCTGGAGGCCACGACGGAATGGTGAGTAGGTCTTCTCCTCTCGAGTGTTCGGTGGATATGCTTTTCGCCGCGCTCTGGGCTGGGCTGGACAGAACGCCGGCTTGGGCGAGGTTCCTGGGAATTGATGATCACCACCTTGGGCACCAGCCTCGTGGTGGGGACTATTTGTCTTGCCAAGTTAGTGCTCCGCTCGCGCAAAATCCCTCGGCGGGTGGCCGATTCCACCGTTCGATTCATAGTAGCAGCAGGGCTGGCTGCTTTTGAGCGCAATTCCCTTTTCTCACACACAACCACTGGAGTGGGTCTTCGTCGTTTGTTGGGTTGTATGTGCGAGACGTCAATGTCATTATAGGCCCGCTTCTTGGGCTCCTGGGTGGGAGACGAGCTTGCGCTAGAGGGGGCCTTGGAGTCAGACTCTTGAGAGGAGTCTGGTTCAGGAGAGCTGCAGTCTGTGGAGCAGGGTATAGAAGAAGCCGGACTTGAGAGCATACGCATGGGTGCTCGGCCTCTTGGCGCTAGATGGAGAGTTCTCTTCGCGGCCGGTGTAGTTTCCACCCACTCTCCTATGCTTTCTTCCCAGCGGAATAAGCCATTTGGTTGGCTTGAACTTTCAGGTTCCTCTGAAGACTCCCGGTCACTGTCTTCGGGTGTTGGTTTAGTGACAACCATCTCTTGCACCTCGACTGCCCACAGGTGATCGTCTGGATCTGCGGTAGCCTCAGCGAAGGTCATGGCAGCCTCTGCGGCGACCTTTCCAAGGAAGACAGACATGTCTGGTGTCTCTGCTATCGAGGCGAGCTTGGAGACCATGCGGCGAACATCTTCGCTGGTACGTCTTCGTGCATCCTCCGATCTTGCCCGCAAGCAGCGGAACGCCTCTTGTACCAATAATGCCAACTCTCTGATCAAATCAGGGCGAGAAGCCATGGAGCGAGCGCATTCATCCATGTTGGTTGTTGATGTAAATGTAGACTCGTCCTCTTCCAGTATGATGGTATTATTACACTGCACGAGGCTGGCAGCCAACAAGATGCAGCCGCGCCGTAATAATTGATGAGAAGTGATTTCATCTGGGCGGCCCGGGATTTTCGGGCTCACAACTTGCTGCAGAACAAAATGAAGATAGCCAATTATGCGACTCGCCTTGGTTTCTTCCAATGGTTCAGTCTCAGTAGAAGCACGAGACCGCGAAATATGTATGCCACACAAGGCTGCTATAAGACTTATGACCTGATTGCTGAGCGCATCTTCCACCGGCGCAGGACAAAGTCGCACAACACTTGTATTCTCAATTGCTGCAGTGGGTTTGGCCCGAGTCGGGCGAACCTGGTAAACCACTGGCTTGCGCTGTGAGTTTTGTTTTGGGACTCGAGGGGAGACCTCAGAAGCATCCAAGCGCATGCTACTTGCTGAGAGTATCACAGCCTCAATCAATCTTGATGCGGCGGGACAATCAGAATTTTCTTTGGAAAAGGAGATAGTTGCTCGGGTCATCCAGCTTGTCCAAGATCTGGTTCCCATCCATTCTGGAGGAAGAACACCCCTTAAAAGAAGCTTCGCAAGTTCATCAAAGATAAATGACCGAGTGCCAAAACCATGACTAGCATATTTCCAGAAAAACAAGATGGGATCGCCTAGTATGTTAGAATCAGCCACGGGCTTCAAAGCCTGAGGATATGGATAACTTTCGCGAGTGGAAAGGATGATAGAGAGCAATGAATCGCTTTCCTCCGGTGCAATGGTGCGACATCCTTCAATCAGGGCGCAGGCAATTGATTCTGTGATCCAATTTTGTTTAATCATGCGAGCAACCATGTCAATGCCTTGGGCGCGGACGGCCTCGCGAAGTGGCTCCCACCCTGCCCCATGGGGCGCATAGTATGCTTCCAACTCAGTGAAGTATGCATCACACATATCCTCGTCGCCGTCTTCGTCCAGTTCGTCCTGTGCTTCCTGCTCCTTGGCGATAAAGGCAGGCAATTGTCGCATCGCCATTGACATGAGAGATCGAGCACCCCGTCTTGCCTTCCTTTCATGGGGTCCAGGAGTCACTTTGACTTTGATTTTCTGGGTGCTTAAGAGGAAATTTTTGAAAACACGGTCAAGATTGTGAGCTATCTGGACAAGGCCTTCGTCACCGGACTTCTCCAGAAGGTCCCGCCATGGGCTGCTGTACCGCGAACACTTGCCGCGGAGCATTGTAGGTGATTGCGGGTCAATCATGTCGCTCGCCGGTTCGATTGATCGACTGGACTGTGTGCTTGGAGGCATCTCCCATCGCTCCCCAGTGATCAGCGGTGTCGCAACTTCAATAGCGCCAGGCAGAGTACGCGGGGCATCAGGGCTGTGTATCGACAATCTCTTGCGCTTAGCCGGTCCATTGTTCTCAGACCGGGACGAGTACTTCAGCCGAGCGCGTCGCTGGTGCATGCGTCCTGGTACCCAAACCGGATCATTGCGCTCCGGCTCTGCATCCGACCCTAAACAATCATCCACATCTTGTGCTGGATTCGTAGCCGCAGACGAATTTGTTTGTCTTCCCTCCGCTGCTTCTCGTTGTTTCGACTCGGTTGCGAGGGCAGATAGTCTTGCGTGGTGGTTTTCGAGTCGACGGCAGATAGAGGTCAAGGGGCGCAGGATTCGATTTGCCCATTTTGCGGTGATGGGGACGTCTTCCATGAGGGGTAATTGGACAGGGATAAAGATGTTTATTTAGAGTATACAACTGCAGAACGGATTAGCATGGGCTCGACTCTTCGTTTTGTCGCATGGTACCAACCTCGCTGTGCAAACCAATACTTCAACGATGCATGGTAGGATGATACACGATCAAGAGATACTGTGAAGAATGCAGTAGTAATGCGACGCAGGTAACATATGTGAACAAAGGCGCGGGTAAGATGAGATGCGCGGGAGTCGAGAAAACAAACTTAACCCCAATGCGGTAAAGTGGGTCAGCACTACAATTGTTCGTAACTATTCGTTATATAGAGTACACATATATTAAATGCTAAAATATGAACGAATATCCCCCGGCTGGCGATTCTGATCGAATTCCTTCTCAATCTCCAAACTAAGCTTATTCAGGGCATGAATTACCTGAAGATCACACTTCTCCTGCTGCTCCAGATAAAGCCGCAGCAATTTCACAGCCTCAAGTGCATCAGTCGATGACACTCGAGGTATAATCTCAGCATCTTCTTCTTCCTCTTCATCATCAGGCGCTTGGGATTGAGCGAGGATTTGTAAATCATTAGGCTCGGGGCCAATACCTTGTCGAATAGACTGCCTTTCAGCGGGTGCTGAGGTTGAGCTACTTAGCCCGCCACGTTGTACACGATGCGCAGTCCCTCGACGAGATTGGAATCTATGAAGCCAACCATTGCTCAACGAAGGCATTGGTAACCCTTGGTATTGGGGCATATTCATCCAGAAGAATTCGGCTTTCTGGCGGATCATAGTTGACGTAATAGGGATTGAAGTCTCTGCATGTTGGATCCACTGGAGAAGGGCATCTTCGAGTTCTGGCCACTGTGGCTGTCGGAGGCGTTTTTGGCTCTGGGGACGATTGATTTGATTGTCAAGGTGGATATATTTTGTAGAGAGGATCTCGGAGACTGAGGATGGTGAGATAATCTGCTGATATTTGACTTCGAACCAGCGCTTAACCTCGAGGTTTGAAGAGGTAGGAAAAGCGCGTCGGTGAGCTCGTAGGGCTTGCTTTTGCTCGATGGTAATTGCTAGACGACGAGGCATATTTGGATCTCGGAATGATGACAAAGTGAGGTGCGTACCCGTGGACAGGCCAGATCGGCTGGATATAACGAATTTCAGTATAGGGGGAGATTTGAAGAGATCTAAGCTACAGAGGGGAAGGGGAGAGAGAGAAGAGAAGTTCTATTGGGAGAATATGGGGGTTGGGTACCCGAGGTGTTGGTGCCCCAGGCACCGAAATGTCGAGATTTAAGGAACTTCATACGTTATATAGAGGTTTGACTGTTGTGGCCGATGGATTAATTGCACTCTACTGAGTACATGAAGTACATTGAGTACATTTACTCAGTCTTTGATATTGAACTTCATTGGAGACCTCGGTATTTCCATTTGATTTTCAAACGTTTGTAAACAAAATGGTTTCCGTCCAGGGAAAATGACCCAAGATGCAAAATTCAGACACCGCACAATGCACCAGATATAAGGGCCAGAAATGCCGAGTCCTTTCCATGCCCCAGTGACATCCCAACCTGGCATGGTATGCCGAAAAAAACATTAAATAGAAAAAGAGAGGAGAGAGATCTAAAATACAACAGTTCTTTTCGCTCATCAAGCCTGCCCACCGATCCCAAATGACAATGGATATAGATATACAGTATGTGACTGTTAACACAAGTGATAACCAAGAAAATAAAGGTGAGAGGCCAAAAAAATGCAACCAGCTCTCATGATTCAGAGATCCGTTCATGCCTTGTTAGACTGCTTGGATCCGCGAAGCTTGGGGTTGCTGGCGGCAGCACGCTTCTTCTGCTTGGAGCGCGAAGCACCGGCGTCACTGCCCTCGATGAACTTGAGAAGCTCATCGATGTTGCGAGAGTCAAGGCCGGAGGGATCGGCGACAGCAGGGGCAATCTCAGGGGCAGCCTGGCCAACCTGGGGCTGAACACGAGTACCCATGCCAGGAACGCGAGGGTTCATCGTGATGCGGCGCATACGGCGAGCCTGGATGTCCTTGGCGTGCTTAGCGATGGAAACGGCGTTCTGAGTAAGCTGCTCGAGCCAGTTCTCTGCCTCCTTGGTGTTGCGGTCCTCGGGACCGAGCTGGGCGTGGAAGATGTTGTATGCCTCGCGCATCTTACCAACAGCAGCCTTGGAGTCTTGGTCCAAAGCAAGGGCTTGGGCCAATTGGAAGAGAATAGTGGCAGTGTTGATAGACTCCTTGCCGAACAGGTTCTCGCAGATGGCGAGGGAAGCCTCGAACCACTTGCGGGAGTCGGTGTACTGCTTGAGGTGCTGCAGCATCACGGCGGCGTTGTTCATGGTGGTGATAGAGTCAGGGTGGTTAGGACCGTAGATGATCTTCCAGATGTCCATAGCATGCTTGATGTACACCAAGGCAGTCTTGGTGTTGCCAGAGGCGTGCTCGAACAGACTCAAGTTAAGGTAGCTGAGGATAGTGTCGGCGGAGTCCACACCCATGGTGCGCTCAGTGACGATGACAGCCTTGCGAGCCAGCTCAACGGCAGCCTCCTTCTCATCGGTCTGGTAGTAAAGCATGGAGAGCTGGTGGTAGAGCTTGGCGACCTCAGGGTGCAGGATACCGTAGATCTGCTCGTGGAGAGACAGAGACTCCAAGATGAGCTCCTGGCCCAACTGCTTCTGGTTCTGCATGAGAGAGATACGACCGGCCTCCAGGGCCTCCTCTGCCAGCGCACTGCGGGGAGAGGCATCGCGAACCAAGGGGACGACATTCAGAATATCATCAGCGGTGAAAGTAGTAGCGGGCTTCGCAGGAGCCGGAGCACGGGAAGGAGACTGCTTGTCACCACCCTTCTTCTTGTTGCCCTTCTTCTTGGGCTCCTCGTGGGTGGAGCCGTTGGTGACAGGAACAACGACCTGCTCCTTGACCTGATCCTTGGTGAAGGCAAAGTCACGGGCACCAAGCTGGAGACCCAACTTGATGGAAATGTCACGGAGAAGCTGCAAGTGTCTGACGGAGCTGGCCCAGTCCTTCTCGAGGGAGAAGCGGAAGCGGGTGGCGACCTGCTTCTCGATCTCAGATCGGAGGGACTCGGGAGTGACCTTCTCGAAAGAGAAATCACCCTCGGGGAAGATCTTACGCATAGCTTCGTCAATCTCGGCCTTGGGGGTGGCGTTGACATCAGAGCCAAGGAGACAGTTGAGGAGGTGGGCAAGGCAGGGAGTAACGAAGGGAGCGGGAACATTGCTCAAGTAGCGGTTGGCAATGTGCTTGAAGGCACGAGTGATCATCTCCTGAACCAGGAGGATGGACAGGGCCTGCAGGCGGGGTCCCTTTTCGGTGGACTGCTCGGCCAACTTTCCGAGGTAACGCAGGTTAATACCACGCTTGTGCAAAAGCTGGGTCAGCGACTGGCCATCCATAGGGAAGCCAACATCGCCATCGTGCAGGTCCTTGAGGAGGTCGGGGATGATCTTAGAGCGGAGGTGGTCGCAGGCGTCGCGGACTTCCTTCTCGTCCTGTGCCCACTGCTCCTTCTCCTCCTTGGTCTGGGGAACCTGACCACTGAAGACATCGGGGTTGAGAGCCAGCTTGAATCCGGAGATATCGACACGCTCTTGTTCCGCGGTCTCTTCCTCGGACTTGCCCTCCTTGGAAGCCTCGGCAGATGCGGCCTTGCGGCTCTCCACCTCAGCCTTGACGTACTGGCTCATCTTGTGGCGCCAGTAGGACTCAACGAGCTCCAATCTGAGCACAGACATGCGGTGGGGGTAGGCATCGCTGCCTTCCGCTTCTTGCCACTCAACATCGATGGGGGCCACGCGGTACAGATCCAAGACGTACTTGCGGCCGTCAGTGCCCAAAAGACCCTTGGTCTCAACACTGCCCTCGAGGTCGTGGCGCTTGTTATCCTTGTCCCAGACAGGGTGCTGCTTGATGCGGAGCGCCTTGGAGAGCTTCTCAAAGACCGGGACGAAGTCGTCGTGGGTGGCAACGATCTCCTTACCCTCAACACCACCGTAGTCAATCTGGTGCTCACCGGGCTCGCGCTGCTTGAAGATACCAGGAACAATGCTCTGGCCCACAATACGCTTGCCCAGGTAGTCGACCACAACGGTTCCAGGGGTGAAGAGACCGTCAATGTCAAGCTGGTTAACAGCCTTGATGCCCAAAACATCCTTGCCAACAGCCACACGAGCAGCTTCGTCGCCGCCCTCAGAGGTGAAGGTTCCAACGCCATCGGCGCCGAAGGAGTAGAAGATGTTGTTGTACACAAAGATCTGGGCGTCCCGCGCCTCAGTGGGGTTCAGAGGAGCAACCTCACCCCGAGCCACCAAGACGGCACCGCGAGCGGCGGCCTCATTATAATCAGCGAAGAGCTTGGAGGTCAATCTCTCGCGGAACACACGGTCTTGGACAGACTCGCGGGGAAGTTCGCGGGTGGTCTGGAACTCCTCGTTCCAGTCACGCAGAGTCTCGGCGTTATCAACACCAGAGATCAGATAGTTCTCCTGGGAACGGGTGATATCAGGCTGGTGAGCGCTCAAGCTGGAAGTGGCGGGGGAAATCAGCCACGGGCTGTTGGGAATAGCGTTCTGGAAGGGGAAGGTAGTCAGGAGATCCTTTTCGTTGTTGTATTCCTGGAGAGACTCGAAGGCGGCGTTGAACGAGGGCGAGAGCTGGGAGATCAACGTCAGGAGAGAGTGGGCGCTTCCCTTCTTAGGGTGGGTGTTCTTCGGGAAAGGATCGAAACGGGTGTTCGAGTTGGTGTTCACGAAGAATCCAGACACGTGGGCAGTGACCTGGAAGATTTCACCCTCGAGAGTAGAAACCACAAGGTAGAGCAAGTGGCCCTTCTGGCGGAGGTTGTAAGGCACAGGGTTCCACGAAGACAATGAGATAGACTTCACGGTCTTGGGTAGGGGAGCCTGTGTAGTTGGCAGAATGGTCTGCAGTGAGGAAGTTCCGGTAAGGTCGTACTGGGCGAGCGAGTGGTCCTTCTCCGACTGAGTAGCCTTGGTAGCGTCCGCGGAGATCGCGTCGTGCAGAGAAAGGCCGGCAGAGATACCGTGAAGGTTGTCAACCCGGTCACCAGAAGCACCAATGAGCTCCCGGATGCGGACAACATGCATACGAGCCTCCTTCTCGGTGTAAGGATCCTCGACCAGAACAATCTCAGAGTCGGCCTCGAGGCCCTCAACCTCGGACAGCTCGACGAAATCGTTAATGCGGTTTCCGTTGAACTCGAGGTGGAAGCAAGTGTATTGGAAGGTTCCGGGTAGCTCGACAATGGATTGGCGGACATCCTGCACCTGTTCTTGGTTGGATACCTGTGAGAACAGTCGAGTTAGGCACATTGGTCTGATGTGATTTTTGTTATAAAGAACCCACCATCACTTGAATCTTATGAGGCGCATGCGGAAGCTTCACGGAGATCTGGAAAAGACCACCTGAGAGGTCTTCTTCCGGTGTGCCCTCGACGGCATCACCGTTGACGATCTCTTGAGAAGGCTGAGGAGCCTCTGTTCCGTCGTCAGCGTGTCCAATACATCTTTCCCGGAGCCCCGGTGTTGACGGATTTCGAGTCTCCGAGGACAGAACTCACCTTTCGAGTGCTCCAACTCCCCATTGGTCTGTGCCATGATGTCTAGCTGATAAAAGAAAGCTTCAACGACGTAACACAACCCCTATCTCACAACCGACACGCGGATGAGACAAAAGTTCGGGAAAGCGGAAGGGAAGAATGAGGTGGAAAACCTGCGGGGGAGGCAGGATATCAAGAAAAAAGTAGTATACAATAAGGAAAAAGGCGAATTGAGCAAGAAACAAAAACCCCGTACCCCACGGAGAATGTCTAAAGGATGAATGACGGTGAATCGAAAGCCGGAGAAGAAAAATTCGGTCAAACTCGGTCCATTTTCTTTTCCGGAATTGCACGGGGCGGAGAGGGATACTCCACAAACAGCCGGTTTACAGTATAGCGGCTACAGGACTGAGGTTAGTTTCTCGTAAGAATTGGAGTCAGACTGCATTGAGAGGATGTTGGTAAGTACTATCAATCTATGAAGCTATAGAATTTCCAAAACTTGGCTGGGAGTATACACAAAGGACTCAATTGTAGGTCTGTGCCTTAGGGCCTTGGTGCCTTGGTGCCTCAGGCGTCATTTGTTAGATGCATCAACAGTGCATTAGCGAACACGCTGGCCATTGGTGGAAGGCCATTTCCATTTTAAATGCTTACTTCTGGTTGGGTTGCTGGGTACCCTTACAATTGATACTCTAGAAAGTACTTAAGTATGGGGTACTTCCCAGGTTCGTTCTTAGTACTTTGTTGGGATCCATGGATTGCTCAATTGTTTATCGATGTGCTGGATGAGATATATACAATACGCGATGCATGGATGTTTATACACGTCACCCCATCAAGATCGAAGCTATAACCCGGAATGAACAAGCTGATCGATTATCTTAGCGTCAATGGCTGGGAGTCTATCTAATAGGGCAAGCCAGGTCGCTAAGTCTTCATCCCATGTTTGTGTGTACTCCATACGGACGGAGTCCACAGGTATACGTTCAATCTGTTGCTTTGCTGAAAAGACCAAAGATCACATCAGATGAGACAATTTTGAATACATTGTTTCCGCTGCAAAGTAACAGCTCAAGTATACCACAATAAATATGATGAACCTGTTAAATCGGGATACAAAGTTGACAACAAGTACCCGAGTTGATCGCCAAGCCTATCATCGTCCTTGGTTCTGAGAGGCTGCGACGCGGCTAAGCCACACTCTCCCATCACTTTCGACGGCCTTTGGCTTTTCTCTTCAGTCTCTCATTAACCTCTTCATATTATTATTCCTGTGCGATTCAGTTCGACTCAGTGTCTTTCGTTATTACCGTTCCTTCCAGGGGTTTTGTTTTTCAACAGGTTTTCAATCCTGTACACCCGTTAACCCTTTTCCCGTGAACAGGTCACATCAATTTGTGAACTACCTACTCCTTGAGTTATTATCTATCAAAATACTCCGTAAAACCCTCGGAGCACAGAGTATAGAGCACAGACGGCCATTCGTCCACCTCGAATTAAAGGACTTGGCGTTATAAAACGCCAAGAATCTAGCCAGGATGATATGGAACCGACTTGCACAGCCGCTGAGGTCCCGTGCCCGGCATGGCACATATGGAGCTCTAAGATCTCATCCTCGCGCTGTGGTGTATACCCCCAAGCGTTTCAACTCAAACCCTCAGAACACAGGCCAGTACACGCCGGATCCCACCGACCAGGATGATGCGGACGATGGGAAGGGCAAGGGTCAGGGCCGCGGTGGCGACTCCGACCCCAACTTCAAATCTACGATCCTCAAAATGCTCGAGACTGCGGCAACCACTGCGGCATCCATCGCCATCTTAGGGTAGGCCTGCCGAGACATGCCCTACGGGATCACAGCTAATTATCTCCCAAGTGCGGCAGGATACTCGTACCACCAGTACTACAAGTACCTGATTCTCGACAAAATGGACAATGCTTTCAATCCAGGTGACCCCGCGCTCGAAGTCGCGGGTGTTGTATCTGGAAAGCACAAGTACCGCCATGAGGAACATTGGGTAGTTCGCAATGAGCAGCCCAAGATTGATGACATTGTAGCTGGACGCAGAAGTGGCCACTATTATCTCATGATCGGCGAAAAGGGAACAGGCAAAACTTCAATGCTCCTGGAGGCTATGCGCAAGATCAATGGCAACAGCTGTGCCATGTTCGAAGCACACGCCGACCTGGAAATTTTCCGCATCCGACTCGGCAAAGCTTTGGACTACGAATTCCACGAAGAGTAGGCTTTGCTCAAACCGCTGCATATTTTCAATACTGACTGAAGTATACAGCTATATTGGAAGTCTTTTTAGCATCCGTGGACCCAGAGACACCACGGCCCTCTTGGACATTGAGCGTGCCTTCAACAAGCTGGAGAAAGTGGCACTCACCAGACGACGCGATGGATGCCCTCCTTTGGTCTTGATCATCAACAGCACTCACTTAGTCAGAGATGATCATGACGGACAGGATCTGCTTGAAATGATCCAGCAGCGTGCCGAGCAATGGGCTGCCAGCGGTCTTGTCACGACAAGTAAGACACCAATCAACCCCTGCGTTGTTAGTTTTGTCTACTAATTTACGTTTCTAGTCCTAAACAGTGATGACTACTGGGTCTACGAGCGCTTGAAACGTTACGCAACTCGCATGGAAGTTATTCCCGTGACAGATCTGCCCAAGGACAAGGCAATGACGGCCTTGAAGAAATATCGCGAGCAATTCCACAATGAAACGCTTTCACCTTCGATTCTAGAGCAGGTCTACGACAAGGTCGGTGGGCGACTCTCCTTCCTCAACCGCGTTGCCAAATCCGAGAATGTCACCAAGGCTTGCGATGATATCTGCCGGGCCGAGAAAACTTGGTTCCTGAACAAGTGCTGGATCCTAGGAAAGGAAATGGACGACGATGTGATGGATGAACAGAAGTTCTCCGTAAGTTAACCCCATACGCACTCGCAATCATGAACCTGCGCATCAAGCTAACAATAACACAATCCAGTCTGCTGCCATGGTCCTCGCGAAAGCGTTGGTCGACCTTGAAGAAGAGATGGAGTCAAATTACCACGAAGAGCAAGGACATATTTTACCCGAGATTCCGCTTCACAAGGCGCGCGAGATCATGACCCGTGCAGACTTCATCCAATCCTACGACCACGAGAATATCTTCACCATTGACTCACGAGCGATGGTTCGTGCCGATTCGGTGCCCATGCAACGCGCTTTCCAAGAAATCTGTGCCATTGAAAACTTCGACAAGCACTTGGATGGCACTTTGGAGCGCATTGGAGACATCGAGAGTCTTGGCCGTACCCGTGAGCTGACCATCAAAGATCTTTGGAATAATGGTAAGTATCGTGTTGTTGTGCGCGACAACCACGGACGTGAGAGCGGGACAGTAGAATTTGCCGTGGATGAGAAAGAGGGCGATGATTAAGCTTAGAGGGACCCCATATTACCAGGTGTTCCTTGTAAATACTTTCAATTGCAAGAAATCCAAGGCCCAAAAACATTGAATCTTGAATTTTTTAGTACAAAGTTGATGATCATCCGATGACATCATAGCTCACCGCTATCCACACATTTCCTGCCTTCTCACTTTCTCTTTCTTCCGGCAATCGCAGACAATTTTATCAGTCTAAGTTCAGGGTTTTGCTATTCGAGCTTGCCATCTGAGAGCGCTATCATGTCCTCTGAAACTCCATCTAAGCGAAAGGTGTCCTGGGGTGACATCACGCGACCCGCGCGCGAGGCGACAGACGCGCAGTCCTCCCCATTGGCGAGCATTCCTTCTCCAGCTCGCTTCGTTCTCGTCGTTTTGAGCAGTCTGGTGCTGAGCTCGGTCTTGTTCACATTGACATCCAGCTTCACAGTGGGCGATCTTGGGCCTATCAGTCGACACCTGGAGGAATGGTGGGAAGTGGGGGGCTTGATAGGCTGGAGAGCCCTTGAGGTTGGGCTGACGTGGGTGCTAGGATATGACGGTTAGTACACGCTTACTTTCTGACCTTTGGAAATTTTGAATATGTCCCACGAGGGTCCTTCGACTCTCAATGTCACATTCATGAGCTAATCGGTGCTATTACGCAAAATAGGTCGTGACGCAGCATCTTTCTTATTCCTGACTCACTTGCCAACCTACTCGCTTTTGTCGTTCTTCTACCATGTCCGCCCGACTTCGGCGCTGGCTGCCTTTTGTGTCCTGCTTGTGTCAACAACACTTCCATTTGTCCTCTTGCGCCGGCCATCATCCGTGCACAATCTTTCGCGTACTCCGGCTGACGCCATTCCCAACCGAGCTATCTTGCAGGACAAAGTCACCACCATTTTCACCACGCTTATGGCAGCTTCGATCTTCAGCGTAGTACTGTACGCCAGCTACGCCACTTGGCTGCCCGCGCGATTGGTCGTGCACTTCGAAGGTCTTCCGGACATCAGTGCTGCGCACGCTGGCCCCGCGGGCTTGCCTGTGCTTTTCATGACGCTGATACCTGCCGGTTGGGCGGCGCGTGATTTCATATTCGTCAGCTCTATGGGTTACTCCGCAGAAACCGACCAGAGTCCCTCGCCATCTGAGAGAGAATACTTGATTGCATCCGTCTACCGTGCCACCTGGGGCAAACTCTCCACGAAGACGAAGGTGCTGATCTCTCGGTCTGTCACTCTGGCATTTGGAATCTTACTCAACACTGTCGTTCAAGTGGCAGGCACAATTCGCGACGTGTCCATCGAAGGAGCCGCTACATGGGGAGCGCTTTGGGCTGCTGCCGCTTTGATTACAGGAGCAACCTTTGGCTGGATTGAAGCCGTTGATGGTGTATGATAAGATATGTGACAAAGGATCTGAGAAGAGATGAACGTTCTCAATCTGATTTTCCATTCCAGCGGAATCGCTCGATTGTAATGTTTACGCCGATGCAGATGCAAGCATATCCTTTCCTGATCGGCCGTGGGGCAGAGGGTCGATCATTTCTTATCTTAACAGATTCCAGCTCTTTGTTTTGTGGTCCTCCGTTGATTACCTTTCTATTCTTGTTCTTAAGTATTTTATATCCCCAATGTGCCCAAAATATCGAGTGTATGATTGCCTATCTCCAACTTCATTGCTCAATACCAGTATCTCCGCGGTCCGAAGCTCGTTCCAAGGTTACCACCACGCCATGTTGGAAATTCTGTGATCAGATTTGATGGTGGTAACGTCCACGGGTATAATATAGTAACTTGATTAGGTATCTATGTAGTCTCGAACGCAGTCAGAAACAAGCCAACACCAAGCAGGATAATCAACTAGCGGGACAACGAATGCCAAGTACGCGATCACCACCGAAGAGGGGAGCTCTGGTTCCCTTCAAGGCCATCAGCTGAATGGCCCTCCCGTTTCATTGAAGATGCTTTTTCCCTTGGTAACAGCCAACCCGGGTGGAGTAGGTTGAAGATTGCCACAGAGAGAATCATCATAGCTCCATCCAGCGCAATAAAGTAGGACTCATGGGTGATGAGGTATCCAGACCAGCCCTGCGACAGCTCGATGGTTCGGTAAATGGATCGGATATAAATACAGACGATGGAAAGGATCATAGCGACGAAAAGTGGGACGACGGAGCCGGTGACTGTCTGCAAGAGACGGCGACGCATCACACGACGAATGAAGTCGATGGCACAGACCATGAAGATGGTGATTGAGAACATCTGGAAGACAATTCCAGCAACCATGATGTGTGTACCTGTCGCGGTGTCTCCGTCGATTTTATCGGCTTCGCCGGAGGCCATTCCGCCGCCGATGGCTTGGACGACGAGGGAGATAACGTCGCAGGTACAGAAGATCCAGAGGTAGAGGCTGGGCTTGAGGAAGGAAGATTCACGACCTAGAAGTTGAATAAATCGACCTAGGAGGACATAGATTCCGGCTGTGAAGAAGGTCGGGGCTTGGGGCTTGTTAGTTCGTGTTATAGGGCCAAAGGCGATAAGGCGTACCTATGATGAGGGTGGAGATTTGCATTAGGAATGCAGTCGTGTTATAAGGGCACTTGGATGACCAAGTACGACCGGCCCAGCCGATTACTTCGACTATCGAGGTGTTTTAGTTTCGTTGTATAGAGATAGGGCTTGGTGTGTCGCGACACAACCGTGCCCTAGAAACCATGAGGCTCTATTTACTTACCCAAGCATCCGATACTAAAGACACATGCCCACCATTGTCGTTTCCAGGTAAACTGGAGCGTGTGAAGAATCATCGAAAGGCCGAAGAGCACGCAGTAGGCGATGCCTGCTCCTAGCGAGGGCTGATATCCATATGGTGTATCGATACCATCAACATAGGCATGACAGCCAATCCCCAGTTGAACTCTATCAGCCATGGCGAAAGTAGTATAAAGTTATCGATGGCAGGTATTCCAACAGGATAGATAGATAGGTAGATTTCAATCACTCCAGCGACTCGTTTTTGTAGACAGCACCCTTTGTCTGATGCTAAAAATGATATCGCACAAAGACACAGGAACACAGCTTTCACTCAACCGGACAAGGAGCCGCCTAAATACGAGTGGGAGTCAGTATGGCTGAGTACTGACGCACAAGTCAAGTTCCCCACCATCGGGGAAGAGCTTGCGAGGCTAAAGCCATGGTCTTAAGTACATATCAGCCAGATTCAATCCCAAGCAGCCATAAGACCCGCATACAAACAACCAATGGCGAAAGCCGCGGCACTTAGACCCGCCTGGCTCAGCATCCAACGCGGATTTATGATCAGACCGGACCCGGCTGGTAAGTCGGAAAGGAAGAACAGAGCGTCAGGTAAAGGCTTTGAGCCAGCCAACTGCCACGAGGGTGGGGCTGATAGGATTCCCTACGTGTCGTCCACATATGATGGGCCAAAGCATCTGGATCAGAACACCAGACCCAATGGAATATGAAAAGAAAATCCTTCGAGGTATAGAGATTCGGGCCGAACTACAGTCCCTCTCGCAAGGACATCCCTTTTAGGTTTAGCGTGTCACCCGCCAAGAGTCGCCTCAGCCCTGGGCTTCGTTATTCCCGAGGCCATTTAGTAGAACGAAACTCGACCTTGAAAGTTTTAATGCTGTTAAGTTATACTTATTGGTCATAAGAAGGCGGATTTACCGACATAGCCTCATGAGGCTGCCTTTGATATGGCGCGCCTGAAGAATTCCTGCAGCAAGATCGTGTTTGATGGACGAATGATACACCGGTTCAAAGTATCTAAGAGACAGTGCTCGCATGTCACTTTTGTTTTGAGATGAGCCTGTTGAGCTTTCATACCTGCTCGGTCCCCCAATACCATTGTTGGTACGCTGGGATCTCGCGTGTTTGGAGGCAATCCTGATTTTTCCTTCCCATGGTCTCGGATGCAGCGGATAGATGTACTATGTGACGGGATTAGTAGATCCACATTCGCTTACGCAGTAGCCATACTCTATTACAACTGGTTTATATTTTGATGGCATTTCTAGATTTTCCAGGGCTCTCAAGGTAAGTAGTATCACATTCCATGGTACTGCTTAAGTACTTTCGGGCCCGTGGCAAAAGCCGATATCAAAAGCATCCGAACGCTCAAACGCTCCTCGGGTCAAATTAGTCAACTGTTACCCAGACGGATGCAAGAGTTAGTTTTTCATCAGTTGCCCACAATAATTAACCCGATAAAGAGAAATGAGATCAGCAAGATCGTATAGCGATACTCGCCCCCAATCGGCAGTGTACATTGCCCTACAGTAGGGAATCGCTTACCGATCTTCACTCCAGTCAGCTCAGATTGCCATTGTGAGACAAGAAGCGGTCTCTTCAGACTCGAAACTGCTGACAATGTTGTTGCGGCCAATTTCCAAACACCCCAGCCCTATATGTAATAATTTAAAGACAGCCGCCTCAAGTCTTGGATACAGATGGGGAAATTAAGCCTCAACCCTGCGGGCCAGAACTTAATATGTGCTGTGGAACCAACATAGTGAAATGAACACCTTGTCCAGGTGGGTTCAGAGACGTGTAATTCCAATCGCAAAATATACCCTTCTCTGATGACATCTCGTATTCATTCTTCCGCCTCGCAGTGGAGTCAGAGCCCCGCCTCAACGGCATATGATAAGGTGGGGCGACATGCAACGCTGTGTTTGTATCGAGATGCAAAGTCCACCGATGAAAGCAAGGAGAGTCACCACGTAAGACTTGTAGGCTTTTCATTGTGAGGAATGGCAAATACTGGTTGCCCAGGTGTGTCACGAAACAACCCCATGCATACCTATGCTTGGTCTTACAAAAGAAATTCCAAAACAAGTTCATCTGACAAAATGGGATATGATTCTGCATTCAAACAAACATGAAGCTTAGTTAAACCCCTGCGCGCGTGCCGATCGCCATTTAAAAAGCGAGTCTATTTAAAATGAGGCGTGTCGTAAATGCCGTCGGGATCTAATTTTGAGCTCAAGATTAGCATCGCGTTTCAAACACTGGCTAGCAAGATTAAGGGCGCTCTCTCCAGGGCTTACCGTTGTGATTCTGCAAGATATACTTCCGGGCTCCAACGATTAGGTTCTCAAGCTCAGAATTCAACTCCTGGTGCCGAACCCGAACCTTTTCATTCACCTTGGCAGCACCGCGGAGAGCATGCTGCGCAACATGGTAACGCGAGACCCGATTGACAAGCATCATATCGAATGGAGTGGTGGTACTTCCCTCCTCAATATAGCCCGCCACAGAGACACGGTCAAGATGCGGGCGTCCGAAAAGCAAGCCCTGAAGCTCAGTGGGGTAGCCGTGGTAGTTGAAGTGGATGGGTTTGTCCGATGTGAAAAGATCATCGAAGGCCTCGTTAGACAAGGCATGTGGGTGCAAGCCTTCGTTCTCGAGGATCATCAAATCAGTCACATTGACCACACAGACTCGGAGTTCCGGGGCCAATTGACGCAGCAGTGCCGCCGCTGCAATTACTTCAAACATGAGCTCGACGCCGATGCCAACCAGTGTCACATCCGGGTGAGTTCCATTATCCGTGCTACAGAACTTCCAAATGGATGCTCCGGCGCGGCAGTGGTTCTCGGCTTCCTCGGGATTCAGGTATACAGGTGTTGGCTGCTTTGAGCCTACCATCAAGTTGATGTAGTTCTTCGAGCCTAGGCAATGGTGAAGAGTAGTCAAGAAGGTATTCGCGTCTGGTGGCAGATATACACGAGCTGCAGTTGGCTTCAGCTTCAATACAGAGCCAATGAAAGACGGATTCTGGTGGGAGAAGCCATTATGTTCTTGGCGTGTCCAGGTGCTTGTCTCGATATAGTTGATACTGCTGACCCCAGAGTGCCATTTCGTTTCTAGTGCCTATACGATAGACATGGTGAGTACAGATTGCAGATTCGGGGGAACTAGACTCACCATCTTGATGAACTTTGAGTATTGCACCATCATTGTGTGAATGATGCCAAGGAAGCTCTCATAGGATGGGAAAATTCCAATGCGGCCAGTCAATGTATAACCCTGCATGAATCCCTGACACATATGTTCACTCAGGACTTCGATCACTCGACCACCGCGAGCGTTGGCAAATTCATCCCACTGGAAATTGCGATTCGTTGAATCAAAAACTGCATCAAGCTTGTTACTCTCCAGCTCATCGGGAGAGAAGAGGCGCACGCTTTTCGGGTTATCGATAAACGTCTGGTTGATGAGACGGCCGATGGCTTTCATGGCACTTTCGCTCGAGTCCTTTGGTGCACATAGGGGTTTCCAATCTGGCAAATTCGGGGCGACGTAGCCATTGTATCCCTCAATGCGTTGACCAAGCTTCTTCGAATCATCTGTGGGAATCACAGATTTGATGTCATCAACTATATCGCCACTTGAAGTGAAGAGCTCGTGTGGCTTGTAATCAGAAAGCCACTTCTGCAAAAGATCAAGTTCTTCCTGGTCGGACTTTGCTTTCGGCAAAGGTACCTGGTGTGAATGGAAAGAACCTTCGATAAATTCACCATGGAGCTTCTTTGGTCCTGACCAGCCCTTTCAAAGTCCCATTAGCTTTGGTGCCTAGTCAGAACGGGGGTAACACATACCTTGGGAGTGCGTAAGATCAACATCGGCCACCTTGGCTTGAGGATCGGCTTCCCAGACCGAGCAGCCTTTTGAATCTTCTGGATCTCCTCAACAGCCCACACCATGGAGTAATGGAGATCTGTATCTATGTCGTTGATGTCCTCGACAAGTCGAACCTGGTACCCGTATCCACTGAAAAGGGCGACGAGCTCCTTGTTGTCCATACATCCGAAAATAGTGCGTTCACTAATTTTAAACCCATTCACATGCAGTATTGGCAAGACTGCACCTGACTCCTTGGGATCGATATACTTAATTGCATGCCAGGACCTGTTGTGAATTAGTTTTGTCCAAGTGAGCGGAGCACGGGTAGACAAACGTAGCAGTAGGGCCGGTCTCAGCCTCACCATCGCCCACTATACAAGGGACTATGAGGTCAGGCTTATCCATGACTGCACCAAAAGATACAGCGAGAGCATAACCAAGCTCTCCGCCCTCATGGATAGCGCCGGGGGTCTCAGCGTTGATGTGGCTGCACTTAAATGAGCGATGGAACTTTCATTGTAAATTGGAGAACTCGACCAACCTGGGGAATCCGGATGGGGTACTGAAGGTGGCAATCAGGTTGTGCAGGCCTTGGTTATCGCGGGAGTATTGAGGATAGAACCTTTCCAGCGAGCCCTCCAACCACAATGCGGCTAGGAGTGCCGGTGCACCGTGTCCTGGACCAACAACATACAGCATGTCCAGGTTCATTTTCCGAATCAGATAATTCAAGTGGGAATATACCAGAATCAATCCAGGACATGTTCCCCAGTGACCTATACAGTAACTATCAGAATGCGATCATGTCCGTATTGAGCCCGGACATACCAAGTAGTCGAGGTTTGATGTGATCGAATGTCAGATCTTCCTTCAAGTGCGTGTTCTTTGATAGGAAAATCATGGCTATACTCCGATGAGCTGAGGATGTCTAAATGTATAGTAAGGATCTCTTACCAGCGGCGATGTATGAGGCCGCTCGCCGAAATTTGAGCAAAGAATCACAGGCATTCTGATCTAAATCTTTGTTCTCGTGGTTTAGTTTCACACTCAACTTCTCCACATAGTCAGGTAGATGTGATGGCTGTGGTTTGGGGTTTGGCTCGGTAATGACTTCGCCAGGCATGATGAATATGAACGAGCTTAGCGCAAATGATTGTGAAAAGAAACTAAGGAGAACAGAGAGAACATTTGAAAGGAAAACAGAGATTATGTCAACTGTCATTGTTCCAGGATTCGATCTTGGAGCTGAGATCATACTATGTTGTAAGCCCACCCTGACATCATACATTCGCAACAAAACCTGCAGCTTCCACTTGATCATTGCATCGTCTACAGGTGCACTACTAACAACAACGGAGAAGCAAGAATGAAATCTATTCTTTCAGTCAATGCTGGGTCGTCCTCAGTGAAAATCAACTTCTACACATTTGAGAATCCGCCGAGAAGCATTGCGGATGCGGAGATCTCCGGGATCACCGCGCCTCCACCCACGTTCAAATACCAACAAGGCGATAAAAAGCACAAAGAGCAGGTCGATGAGAAACTTGGTACGCCTCAGGAAGCATTCAATTACCTATTGAAGCGTTGTTTCGAAACTGCCGAGCTCTCCGAAATTACCAGCGTCGACGACCTACAATATATCTGTCACCGAATCGTGCACGGAGGTGACTACCGCGAAGCAGTCGAGATCAACGACGAGACTTACCACCATTTGGAATCATTTGAAGACCTTGCACCACTGTAAGTTAGACCGACTCCCGGGGCATATATCCTTGTCTACTCGTACAATGTCGACCCCGCCCCACGGGCAGCAAATGATCACCCCTCAGCTCAGAAGTATTAAACTAACCACACCATACAAAGGCACAATTTTTCCGCACTGGAAATAGTTCGGCATTGCAGAACTGAGCTTCCCAAGGTCAAGAGCATTACCTTCTTCGACTCCGCCTTCCACCACACGATCCCAGAACCGGTGCGCACATACGCGATCAACCAAGAAGTCGCCAAGGCGAATGGTCTACGCAAATATGGATTCCATGGAATCAGCTACTCATTTATTCTACGATCCGTGGCGCAATTTTTGAACAAACCAGCTGAAAAGACAAACCTCATTGTGATGCATATTGGAAGTGGGGCTTCTATCTGTGCCATCAAAGATGGACAATCCATCGATACATCGTCAGTCATACAGAGAAGTGCAAATTGCATTACTCAATAACTCCACCCGGCAATACTTGTATACTGACAAGCAATCAGAATGGGACTCACTCCCTTGGCGGGATTACCTGGTGCAACCCGCAGTGGAGATATCGATCCATCGTAAGTTGGTAACAAATCGATTGTGATGGGAGCTGAAGCTAATATGGAGTAAAGGTTGGTATTCCACTATACGAATGAAGCGGGGAAACTCAGCCCAGCTAGCACGAAGGAAATGCACATCAGCACGGTAAAGGCCTCAACACCTTGCATGTCTAATGATCAACATTGACTAACTGGGACTTACCAGGCTGAGGAAATCCTGAACAAAAAATCAGGATGGAAAGCACTCACAGGGACAACTGATTTCTCCGAGATTGCAGTGCCGAACCCACCTACCAAGGCCCACAAGCTTGCATTCGATATTTTTGTTGACCGCATTCTCGGCTACATCGGGAATTACTATCTCAAGCTCAATGGACAGATAGACGGTGTGGTGTTCTCTGGTGGGATCGGCGAGAAGAGCGCCCTCCTGCGGAAGACGCTGGTCGACAAGTGCCATTGTTTGGGACTGGGGCTTGATGATGCCGCTAATGACAAGGGGCCCGGGGATGGGGAGACGGTCAAAGATCTTTCCCAGGGCTCCGGTAAGGGGCCCCGGGTTTTGGTTTGTCAGACCAACGAGCAGGTATGTCTAAGATCTTGAGTAACCCTCACTACAACGTATAATCTGGACTGTGTCTCTCTGTGGGGCGGTGTGGATTATATTTGTGGCGAGTGTGATTTTGATTCTTTTTATGGTAAAGTTCACTTTACTGACTGGACATTGATTCTACAGTTCGAAATGGCTTACCACTGTGCTTGCTCACGATGCTGAGTGAGAGCTGTCGTATTGATCGGGAAATCGGAGGCTGGGAGCTGATCATGCTTGAGACAGGATGGGTTCTATTGATAATATAATCTACTAAGGTTCTCTCCCTCGTACGCCCCGTACATACTCAATTAACATATTACATATTATCACTTTTCCAAATCCCAGACGATGTGACATAGGTTACGTGCTTTCGACACTTGCCACTGAAGAGGAGGCGCCTCCTCGTATGTGGCTGGGGAAGTGTTCGACGCGTCCAAAATTGCGAGCGGGATCCCAAGAACAGCCCATTGGGACGTCTGATCCCAGGAACTGGGTCATTTTTGCGCCTCATTCAACGCAATGCATATGCACAGCAATCATTCCAATTGCAACAGCAAATAGTACGTCAGGCAGGGGCCTGAGGACATCGTCCCTGCATACCAATGGAAGCTTGGGTTACTTGGATCAGCGGTGTACTCCGTACGGGGTACTTAGTACCCCATAAAGATAATTTTTTTCTCAAGAATTAAAAATAGGAAAGCCCAAAGTCAAGGGAAATGCAAATGCAAACGCGTGAAGCTGAATGTGACACATCCAGGTTGTCGGATTGATAGCCTCGGGGGGAAGGGCGCGCAGCTCTTCCCCGGTCCGTCCTGCAAGACACGGGAAAAAAGGGTGACAATCAAATCGCGATCGCAGGCGATCACTTTCGGGGAAGATCGAGAACTCAACCGTAGTTTCTACCGGTGGCTCTCATGATCTGCAGCCTAGCGGTTTTGGGTAGAGTCAAGCAAGCGCGAAGATGCACTATTTGACCCAAGTCGACTATCAATCTGTAGAGATTTAGGTGCATACAAAAGGTACGAGAATGGAGTAAGGTCACAGCGATCGACACTGCAGAATGAGATTCTCGATAATCGAATTTCGAATAATCTTTTTTTTTTCTCGATGTTCTTCAGTGTGTCATACAGTGCACAGCATACATCATACAGCATAGCAGACAGGTACAGCTGTGAGGTGACGCAGCGGTACATTTGAATATGGGAAACATTAACCGTTCATGCGCCAAGTGGCCGCGGATCCTTCGAAGAGAAGCCGGAGACCCATCGCGACGTGGGTCATATCCGCTTTACCTCTTTGGTTCGATCAGTCACCCTGCGTCATGTCGTGACAACCGAAGTCAGGGGTTGACCCGGACGAAAAAAAAAAAGGGGACGATCGCTCCCGACAGAACGGTGCTGGAGCCGTGGAGCGGCGATCGTCATTTTCCGCTTCTTTTATGCAAGTTAAATGGATGTCGGGTGGAAGTGGATTGGGCCTGTCACTCTGAGAGCTTGAACTCCAGAAAAGTCCAGATGTCCACTTTGCTGGTTTTTTTTTTTTTTTTTTTTTTTTTTTTTTTTTTTTTTTTTTTTTTTTACTAAGTACCCTTTTTGTTCTGCCTCAAGTCTCGGAAACTGACACTAGATACATCGTATTTCCCTGGGAGTTTCCGTGGAAACCTTTGTCAGAAAGAAGAACCTTGGAGCCAAGAATTGAGGCGGCTCAAAAACCGATCGCATATTGAGTTTTTGGTTCGGGACGGGGAAAGTGGCTCCAATTCCAATGGTTCAACTGTTTGTCTTTCCAAGGTCTGTCTGTTATGGCCCCGTTTTTCCTCTGCTCTAGAACTGTCTTTCACTCTGCGGAGTACAGACGGAATACAAGTGCACACTATTGGTACAGATGGAGTTCTCCGTACTCCGAATATATAGTGCTTCTAGAATTTTCTGTTTATGGAGTCGTAAGGGAATCGAGGATCGACCGGCTTTGCATCCGCGGTGCCCTAGTGTGCAATCTGCCCCTGTGTCTGGTGATAGTTTGCAATTGAAATCAATCAGTTCGAGGCAGCCACAGTCTATGCCAAACAATGAGAAACCGAGCACGGAAGACTCCGTATTCCGCGAAAAAGAAAAAAAAAAAAAAAAAAAAGAAACCAACCAAACCAGAATCCCAACATCAACTTCACAAGGTACTCGTATCCACCCAATTTAAGAAGTGTTGACAGATCCCCGATGGCTGTCAGAAGGACAAAGAGCGGAATGGTGTTCGATGCATCCGACTCAGGGATCCCCTGTTCCATTTCAATGCACTGCAAGGCAAATCTTAAAGCCACTGCGGCCGGCTGTCGATCCGCGACGACCGTTTTTTCAATCCCTGTCTCCCTTTCAACGCCCCGGTCCAAGTGGATGCAGGCAGGCAGTCGTAGCTGTATATTCCCGGCCTTCAAACAAAGGAAACAGACACGCACATCTAACGGTGAACCGGGCAAAGCTCAGACGTTCCGGAACAGAGTGGAAGCCGGTTCATGCAATCGCGTAACCTTGTTTTGCAAACTAATGCATCCAGCCGAACTCTGGAGAGTTCGGAATACGGTAGACGTCTAGAATCAGGTCTCGGGAAAATCATGAACCACCACACTGGGTCTCGGGTCCACGCACCGTTGAATGGCAAACTCAAGTTGCTCTGTCTAGGAACAGAGCCCCGTGGATTGTATACTTCATACAAGTAGTGCTTCCGAAGTGGGAAAAGGGGGGTATTAAGGTTGTGATAATGGAGGGTTTTTTTCTCCCGTTTCTAGCGTCGTTCTAGCTGTATTCAAAACGGGTTCTCCCCGAGCTACTCGTAATACCAGGTTCCACAATGGAAGAATAGGAAGCTCGTTGCCCTGAAGCGTTAGTGACCTTCCATTTTGTTGTCGGCAGTTTAGTGTCCGTACAGATAAGTTACCATTGCTTGTGACTTCTTGTTTTTTTCTATTCCTTCTCTTTGATGGAGCCCTTCGATGGATCCGGTCCACCAGGGGTGATCGCCAGTTCTATTCGGAAAGATGATCAGTCCTCCCCTATTCCATCATACAGTGAGACCTGGAGGATCGCTTGTCTTGCATTGTCTTTCGTGTTACAGAGTCTAGGTCGAAGATACGAAAGCCGCGGTCCCAGGTACTCTGTACTCTGTACGGAGTAGTCATGGTCGTGTTGGAAATGGGTCTTGAGCTCTAACCAACGGTTATAGGCTGCAATCGGCAGATCTTCCAGCCCCGATTTCCACGAGGAAGGAAAGTCAGATTGAAAGTCGATGGAGGTGATTCCTCCTTTGGGCGTGGTGGACACAGGCTGAAACACGCCCATATGGTACGAATCACGGTTGGACAGCGCCCATCAGCTCAAGGGAAAGGCACTCCAGAGTGGCAAAAGAAGCTGACGAAGAATGCACCCTTAATTACGTCGGAATCATGGGGGTGGATCCTGTTCGACCATTCTTCCAGATGTATTGTACGGAGACCCATAGGCTCGGTACCTTGGGAAGTTGGCTAGAAGGCGAAAAGAATGTTCATACGTAACCGAGACGGGATTTCAACTTTTGGGCGTAATTAGTGCTCCACCCCCTATGATGGAGACAGGATCGAGAAAACTCTGGCCTTTTGATTTTCATTTATTTTCCCTTTTTTTAAATTTTTTTTTTTGGAAGGGGTCATTTTCTTTTCTTTTCTCGATCGGCTACAGAGTAACTAATGTACGGAGTAGATCACGGCGCGTACGGAGTAAAGATACGTGACATAAAGACCTGAGGCGCCTAAAATTGCGTGGACGATTGGCTTCTGATGTGTAGGAAACATCCAGGGTTTTCCGAAACCTGCGAAGTTTGCGACTGGTCTGACCGCAATTGACTATTGTACGGGGGACGGCGTGAGCGGATGTCTGGCCTTGATTAAATTCACCTTCAGCTCGTAGAGATTGTACTCCGTGATTGTACTTTGTACAGTACTAGGTAAACTAATACCTAGATACTGTTGAGAAGTACTCGTAGAGCAGCATCCCCGATAGAGCCCGACCACGCGAGAAAATGGGTCGAATAAAAAAGAGTAAAACCCCAAACAAAATGCTCGGGGGGATCCGTTTTATTTTTTTTTCCTATTTTTATTTTTATTTTTCTCTTCTTTTTCCGTTCCTGCGGCTGTTCCTGGAGACTCCACTCATGCACAAAGGCTGCCCGGAGATTTGGTTCCTAGCTTTAGAGTGGAGAGCTCTGATAACTTTCAGCCTTTGGACCTGACAGATGTAAGATGTGATTGTGATGGATCAGAAGGGTTTCGGTAGCTGGCTTCTGTCCCTTTTGGATCTTTTAGGGAGAATAAGATCAAGATGATTCGTGATTAGGGTAAGAAAAACGAAAAGAGGCAGGGAAAAAAGGAAAAAAGATCAGAAACGTTAGAAAGGGGGACCTTTCCTCTTCCCCGGGACCAGGGGACGGGAGAGCCGCTGCTAAACAAAGCGAATTTAATTGTACTAGTATTTCATGGACATTTTAGACATTTTAGATCTATTATTTCTATTATTTCTACTATTTACTATTTCCCTTTTAATTATTATTTTATTTCCCAATTTTTTTTTCCAGGAAAATAATTATTTTCAGATATAATCTAATGTATTATTGATTCTGTTTTCTAGAATCTTAAATAATCGATGTCTATATCAACGCAATTCCCCCCCCCTTCTTCCTTTAACCTCTCATACCTGTTCTCTAAACTCCCCTTCCTTCTCCCTTGCGATACGTCGATTTGCACTTTGTCCGGATCGACCGGGACCAGTTCCGGAGCACTCTCCTTCGCTCCCTTGCCGACCTAGCTTCATATCCCTTCTGCCCCATTTTCTGGTTCAGATCGCGATTTGCTCTTACATGGATTTTTCGGCTGCAGCCACCCTCACGCTTATCATTTCGATTTAATCTCTGGTTTTCCCTTTTGGATTCATAAAAAGCAACAAGCTGCGACCTGTCGACCTCTGCTCTTGACCTACACTGCTCATTCGTCGGGCCCGTTTCCTCACATTCCTGCCCTACGATTCTGTTGGATCCCGCATTTATCCCCCAGTGGTCCTCCATAAAAGGATTGCATTTTCCGATCCCGACTGCAGCTTGCATCTCTATCGCCTGGAACGTCGAATTTTCTATTTGTCTAGACCTTTTCGATTTTTTTAATTTCTTGACTCGGGGGGTGGATTGGGACTTTGTTTGTCTGCTTGTTTCCCCGGCCGAGCAAAGATCTATATAAGCTCCTGTCGACATCTTGGTGAGTAACTCCATCTCCATTCCTCGCTCTGTCAGCACATTCATATATCCTCGCCAACTTCTACTTCACCCAAAACTTCCTCTCTAACCATGGTTTCCTCCGCAGACCTGAACATGATCCTGCGAGACCTCTCTGCTTTCAACATGGGACGAGGAGCATACGACACGACTGGGGTGAAGAAGCCCGGCGTTCCTCCACCACCACCGAAATAAATTCCCTCGGAATCCTCGTCATACTCAACATTGCTTTCTACACCACTCGGTCACGTTTTGGATTGTCTGGCGCCCAACAGTGGCGGGAGTTTTTGACGCATCTGCGTTTGGAGTTTTACCTGATTTTGGTAAGACCTTCGATCATCGCGCAATTGGGCATCAAACCTAACCACCCTCCAGACATCTGTAACACCACTTCTTTATCTTTTCCTGGGCTTTGACCATTCGTTCTTCTCGCCTATTCGCCTCAGGCCTCGCGCACCATTATACCCATTTTTAATTCGGCTCGATTTCTGCATTTACTTTCGGATACCAAGCGTGAACACTTTTTTTCGACTTCTCTTCGACTTATGCGCCTAATTTTTACTCCGAACCTCCTCCTCCACCCACCCTGACACGACTCAATACCACGGTTCAACCTCAAAAAGTGCCTTTGATTTTGATTTTTTCCCCCAGTTTTTCGTTATTTTATTTTTCCTTTGTCTATGTTTGGCTTTTTCGTTATACGGCGTTTTGGTATAGACGGGACGGATCTTCAATGGGATGCATGCGCTGATACCAGAATCTAGAGCTTCGACCTCACGGTCAAGAGCACTCTTGGATTGATTTTCATTGATTTTTTTTTTTTTTTTATGGATGGGCGCTGCCCCATGGGAACTTTTTTATACATGTACCTGTATTATTTTTTTGACGTTGACGCCTGTGTATTATATATCACGCGCAAAGCTCGTGTCCGCATGAATCAAATCATTCTCTCAAAATATTCCTCATCCAGCTAGTCTAGAACACCATACCCAGATCCATGCAATCAGACGCATGTTGTAACATCGAAGGTTGTAAACCTACATCTTCAAGGTCGTACTCTGCTTGTACCTGACTGACCGCGGTTGCGCTAGAATCGGGCAGATTTGCTTACCGACTAATGCCGAGACAGGAACGGCCAGCCCGATTCTTGATGCGGGCCTGGCTGGTGCATCGGCAGAGATGTCCCGAGCCTGACGGTCTAACCTAACTGGCACCCGACATCATCTTGCAGGCCAGTTGGGCACTAGTCCACTCTGCGATGACAGCTGTCAAGGTGCTAGGAACATGTTTGTCGGTCTGCGAACCACCTTGAGTCAAGTTCCAGTACGTGTCCTTGAGGTCATCATTCCCAAATAATCTTGTCCCGACATTCATCGTGGGCTACTGATGCCTGCAGGTCATCACGGTGCATACCTGGTATCCAATGTGATATCGGATACGGAGTGTTGGCTCAGAGATAATTCTAGAAAGCAGAATGGAACCCTGCCAGGATGTGGACCTAGAGCCTAGGGGTTCCGAAAGAGATAGTACAGCAAGTAGGTAAGCTGAAGTAGAGTCCACGGGTGTTGACAGAAGAGAACGTTCGCAGGTACCGTGACTGAACCCACGCTAATCCTAAATAGGGACAACCCCATCATCATCACCTCCGCTTCCGCTTCAGATCAAACCAGGCAACGCTTATATCACCTGCATTCTTCATTCTTGAATTAGGATTTTACTACTCTGTCAATACGAGAGGGGAAACATCACCTTGTGTTCCAGCTCTTGTCTTACCTTTAGGCAGCCCCCATTCCCGACCCGCAGTTACCAGCCGAACCCATCTGCCACCTCACCCTGGTCGCCTGGTCGCCGAATCGCCGATTGAAGGGATCATCTACAGGAAAACCTGACTGTGTTTATCGCCATCTTACTCTTGCCTCGTGGTTTCAGCCATGTCCGAGTCAGCGAGCGCAAATGCCCCGAAGCCAAGCAGCAGCGTTAAGCTCGTGCTGCTGGGCGAAGCCGCAGTAGGAAAGGTACTGTTCCTTTCGCCATCTTCTCAAGAATTCCCAATAACTGACCATGTCCTCATCCATAGTCCTCACTTGTCCTTCGCTTCGTCAACAATGATTTCCAGGAGAACAAGGAACCAACCATCGGCGGTAAGAAATTCCCTCCAGCACAATCCCCATGGAAAACAATCGACTCCCCTGCACGGGAAACAAACTTCCCAGAGAGATGGCAAGAGCAGTGGGCCGTACCTGATCTCGAGACATCCCCCGCAACTCACCCGAAACTTCCAAGGCAAGCTTGAACAAGAAAGTCAACTAACGTCATCTTTTCAGCCGCCTTTCTGACGCAGAAATGCTCCCTCCCCACGCGCACCATCAAGTTCGAGATCTGGGATACCGCTGGCCAAGAGCGCTTCGCATCACTCGCCCCGATGTACTACCGCAACGCGCAAGCCGCACTGGTTGTTTACGATGTCACAAAACCATCATCGCTCACCAAGGCAAAGCACTGGGTTGCTGAGCTACAGCGCCAAGCGAGCCCTGGCATTGTGATTGCCCTCGTCGGTAACAAGCTGGACTTAACCAATGACGGTGGCGAGGCTTCCGAGGCACCCGCCGAGACAGACGGTGCCGACTCCGCTGCACAGGACGAGCAAGGTACCGGCGAAGAGGATGAGGCGCAGGATGCCGTTCCTGGGGACGCCCGCAAGGTCTCAACCCGGGAGGCTACTAGCTATGCCGAGGAAGAGAGCCTCTTGTTCTTCGAGACTAGTGCTAAGACCGGCACCAATGTCGTCGACGTTTTCACCGCCATTGCCAATGCCATCCCGGAGAGCAGTCTGAAGACTGGTCGCGGTACTGGCGCTGGAACCGGACAGACTTCGCTTGGAGCGCGGTCAACAGAGGATGCGAGAGTCAACCTGGGGGATCGTAACGCTGCGACAGCCAAGGAAGGTTGCGCTTGCTGAATTTTGATTTGCTCACAGAAGTTTGGTCTTGCAATTATTTCCCATGGATACAGGCGTCTCTTGTGCTTTTTCTCTCTTTTTTTTTTCAATTCCTTGCTTGCTCCGGCTGCACTGGAAAGCCATGCCCCTATAGTCTACAGTTTGTTATTCCCCGATAGGCCAATGGCCTCGACATTGTCGATTAGAGTGTAAATTTTTGAAATTCTTTTTCCTTTTCAAATCAATCTCATCCCTGCTATGATTGTAAATGCTGGCATCGAGAACCTCCCGGAGTCAGAACGATAGTGGGTCAACACCAACCAATCATCAAGGAGCCCTAACACGGACACACTAAACCCAATAAAGAAGTAGCGCGCCCTAAGCGAAATCGCCGATCCCACAGCAAATTCCCATCCATTCAATCTGCGAACCTCCCCTCCGTCGACATCACCACCAGCACTTCCCGCAGCACCCCGTCGCTCGCAATAATGGCTGCCATCAACAAGATCGCCACCAACTCGCCATCCCGGCAAAACCCCTCCGAGCTGGAGACCGCGATCGCCGGCGCTCTCTTCGACCTCGAGAGCAACACACAGGACCTGAAGGCCACCCTTCGTCCTCTGCAGTTCGTCTCTGCCCGCGAGGTAAGAAATACTGCTCGAGAATTGCGGCACGAATTGGATCCTTCTGGAATGGCTTGCGAACTTTTTTTTTTGAGGGATTTCGATGCTCCGGGGTAAAAATATCCAGATTTGTGGATTGGCTCCAATCCACAACAGTCAACGCCAAAACATACCTCAACATGAAAGAAAAGGCATTGGCGGAGATAAATGAGAAGGAATGCACAGAAAAAAAGAAGAAAATATTCGCACAGCAACACGCCGTTCCAGGAGGATTCTCGTTCTGTGCGCGACAGTTTCAACCGGACTTCTTCTGACATTTTTCAATTTAGGTTGAGGTCGGCCACGGCAAGAAGGCCATCATTGTCTTCGTCCCCGTTCCCCTCCTGGCCAACTTCCACAAGATCCAGCAGCGGTAAGCACCCATGACCTCGAACAATTACGAAAATGAAAACGCCGAGGCAACCCCTATGTACACGAAACATCCGAAAACTAACAATACCCCAGTCTGACCCGCGAGCTCGAGAAGAAGTTCTCCGACCGCCACGTCCTCTTCGTTGCTCAGCGCCGCATCCTGCCCCGCCCCAAGCGCTCCGTCAACTCTCGCTCCAACCAGACCCAGAAGCGCCCCCGTTCCCGCACTCTGACCGCTGTCCACGACTCCATCCTCGCTGACCTCGTCTACCCCGTCGAGATCGTCGGCAAGCGTGTCCGCACCAAGGAGGACGGCTCCAAGACCCTCAAGGTCATCCTCGACGAGAAGGAGCGTGGTGGTGTCGACCACCGCCTCGACGCTTACGGCGAGGTCTACCGCCGCCTCACCGGCCGTGCTGTCGCCTTCGAGTTCCCCCAGAGCGGCGCTGAGTTCTAAATGTATGTTTAGAATTTTTTGTTCACTTTGATGACTTTTTTGGGGCTGGGGCTGGAATGTGCTCGGTTGATGCGTGGGAGAATGGTTTGTGCCTAGCTTTGAATTGTGGCTAGATTCGGCCATTGGGTTCCAAAGAGATGATCTCCATAAAAATGCATTGACGGTTTTTCTCTTTTCTTTTTTTTGCCCCCAGACGCTGGTTGCCTTGTTGTTTCCGGTTGCCCTCTATGTTTTTCGAGGGTCTGGGTGAGGTGATGGAGTTGAGTTCTCTCTCTCTCCCGATCTAATGAGGATGGGATGGAATACCTGATAGTATTCCAATTCAACAATTCCGAATTTTCTCTTACCCTTGCGTAGCATTATGGGGGGGGCAATGGCCCAACTGCATTGTAGCTGTTGTGTATAGAGTGCGTGTGCAGTCTAGCCTAGGCATCTGGACAGGGATGTGTGCTTTTAAGCTTACTTTACCATTGTGGGTTCTACTTGGCGGCGTCTGTCAGAGCTACCCCATGTCTGTACATCTATAGATCCATGGACATCTTAAGGGTATTCAAGCTTCAAAAAGAAACGCAATCAGGGTATGATAGATACAAAGCACAAACTAGCTGGCACCATCCATCCACATCTCAACATTTACAAAGAAGCTTGGATTCTGCCCACACCAAGGACCATCCAATAAGCCAGCTCTCTCGTCACCTTATCATCAGCCTTAGATGCCTTCCCCAGATTCTGCTGGTCAAGCTGCGCATCCGCGTCCCAGTCCATATGCACAAAGACCGGAATCTCGAGCACATCCTCATCTTTCCTAGAAGCTGCCACAGCCACCACATCCTCGTCAGTGGTTTCAGGGTTCCCATCTCCACCTTCAGCACTGCTGCCGGGTAATGTACCAGGGACGACCTCCAACACGACAGTCGTCCAATTCCGGCCTTTATCCCACACCTTGCCTGCCTCGGGAACACCTCGTAGGCCAAGACCGGCAGACTTCGATTCTCCCGATGAAGTTGCCGACGCACCTTGTAATGCCTCGTCCCAGACGTCGCTGTTAGCGCCGATCTCGAACTGTGGAGAGAGAACAGTCACTTTAGTAGCGACTCGACCAGGGGTCACGGGTGGTGTTGCGAGTGTTATGCGCACAGGGTCGAACATGTGGTTCTTCAATGTGAGTAGGACGTGGATGGGGCGTAGGGGAGAAAGGGAATCCAGATCAGGAGTTGGTGCCATGGAGGGAAGTGTAGAGGAAGAAGAGAAGGCCAATGGACACAGTGTTGGAAGGGGAATATAGCTGAGAGCAATGAGGCGAATACGGAAGCGCGTGGACTGCGGCTTCGTCTCCGGCTTCACGAGAATGTGCTTGCAGGACTTGCAGCGTTTTGCTCGCTTGGTGCGAAGAAGGACTGGGAGTGGTAGCAGGTCTCCGACAAAGCGTGCGTTTGGTGCTTGAGCCTTGCGTTGATCTAATGATGCCACTCCCTCCCATCCACAATCCGGGGAAGCAAGTCGTGCAATGATGTCTGCTTCACCATTCTTTGGTGCAATCTGCAGGCCTTCGCTTGCTGTTAGGGCTTCGCGCATCACAGGTGGCTTGGATTTGGCTTTCTTGTTGCCACCATACAATCCGCCAAGACGTGAGGATGAAGTATACAAGGACATGAGCCTGTTCAAGGCGCCGGGTGAAGAGAACCCAAAGTCGGAGCTGAGATGATCATTGGGCGAGTTTGACGTTTCGGCAATCTGGGCTCGATAGAAGTTTTTCAAGGCTGCAAATTGAGCATCCGCACCCATCGGGGGCGCTGTTGGGTCTTCTTTCGGTGCCGGATGCTCTATATCGCGCTCGCGCTCACGCGCATTCGCATGCTCCTCGACCGAAGCTGAGCTAGATAGTGGGTGTTTGAGACTGTCAAGGGTACGGGAAGCCTGCCTTGAGCGGTCAAATGCAGCTGGAGGTGTGGCATCAGTCATTTTCTGGAGTTGGCTGCGGATATTTGTCGGTTTGTCGAATTTGATGCCAATGTCAAGTGTTGTCCAAAGACAATATGCACAAGACAGCACCCATGGGCCCTGTTGGGTTCCATTTCCTGTCGCATTTTCAATGGTACTTACAGCCAATGGTGCTGTGCACACCGGGCAGTTGAAGCAATTTCGGCCACATCTATAGACGTGTGCCCGTTAGCAAGACAAGTAATGCAATTACCAAGCTGTGTAGGACATACCGATTACCGTCACCTCGTACCATACTGCTCGGCGTTTCAAACAGGCAGCTTGGGCAATACCAGCTCACTATTTCCTCTGTGATGCATCTGGAGCATTTGATCTGGTGGCACTCCTCACAGTAGAGAAGTTGTTCCGGGGGGTATAAGGAGAAATCAGAGCGCGGAGAGCGCGGGTCGAAGGTTTGCTCATCTTCATCATCTTCATCTCGCTGCTCGTTGGCTGTCGTCCCTTTCTTCTCGCCTTCTGATGTACTAGGTCGCGGGGCCGGCTTTTGGGGTGATTGTTTTTGTGGCGACTCTCTAGATCTCCGCTTCCTCGCTGGATCGGGGACTGGGGTGTCTGCACAGGGACAGGAAATGAAAGTATATGGGAATGGGCGCGACATTCTGATTTGTATGGATGGGGACAAGTTGTGTTTGGCAATGTTGGAGTGCTTCGGTCAAATCATGCTTCGCGTCCTGAGGTTGTTCGGGGGACTACAATAAGAAATATTGCACTTTAGCAGTCGCGTCGTATTTAAGCACCTAATGTTGCGCTTTTCATTAGATTTGGACGTCGTGAACGCAGAGACCGAGGAGTTGCATAAGGAGCGTGTAGGCGGGGGGACTTACTCAATAACAAGCGTCGCAATGGCCTTCACCACGGTCGAATCTGCATGCGCTACATACAGAGAACCAGCAATGGAATTTAAACCAATTGAAGCCCCCAGGACACCAGCTGTACAGAGTCCACAGGGGAGGGTAAGGAGCTGTCAACATCGACGTCAGAAGCCCGCCATTTTCTGCCGTTATCGCCGCAAATTGGCAGAGCCCATTTCCCTCTTCACTCTACCACAATGTTACCTCTACAGACATTTCGCTCACACTTTTCAAGGCGATGTGTCTCTCAGACAATCGCCTCTCGCGCTTATGCTAGCCAAACACCGGGCAATCCGATGCTGGAGGTGTTCAACCGCAAGGTCAAGCACTTGCAGAAAGACCGGGCAGCCCAGAATGTGGAAGAGAGCCGGAATGTCGATTACCTGAAGGATGAGGTAGCAACACGACTATGCGAGCGTTTATTAGTGAGTTCATGCTCTCCCGAGGGACGCGAGGCAGTCACGGCGTGGTCCTTCAAGCAGCTTGCTGACCAGAGCTTCTTCAATGACGATAGGATATCAAGCGCAACTTCCCCAACGTCCTTGACCTCGGCGCAAACAGTTGCAACATTGCCAAAGCTATCACAGACCCCAGTCTCGATGTGGTCGGACCTGAGGGAAATGTCTTGCGACCACTATCAGGGAAGATCTCGAAACTGACCTGTGTGGAAACATCGCGCGCCCTACTTCACCGCGATGAAGATATGCAATTTAACAAGGATATTGAAATCCAGCGAGACATCATCCCAGACTTGGAAACGCTGCCATATGCCCCGAACAGCTTCGACGCAGTGCTGTCATCGCTCTCGATACACTGGATCAACGACCTGCCTGCACTTCTAGAGCAGGTGAACACAATTCTCAAGCCTGACGCTCCATTCATTGCCGCCATGTTTGGTGGTGACACATTGTACGAGCTACGTGGGTCGCTGCAACTGGCGGATATGGAGCGACGAGGTGGTGTGAGCCCGCATATCTCGCCGCTGGCGGATGTCAAGGATGTGGGAAGTCTATTGAACCGGGCTGGCTTCAAGATGCTTACTGTCGATGTGGAGGATATTGTGGTTGAGTTCCCGGATACCTTTGCGCTTATGAAAGACCTGCAAGCCATGGGCGAGAACAACGCAATCATGAACCGGGACTCGGCGCCCTTGTCGCGGGATGTCTTGCTTGCCAATGAGGCCATCTACCGCACTCTGCACATGGAAGATGGAGCGCCTGGTATCCCTGCAACCTTCCGATTGATCTTTATGATCGGCTGGAAGGAGGGCGAGAACCAGGCTCAGCCATTGCAGCGTGGCAGCGGCGAAGCCAACCTCAAGGATATTCTGGGTGGCGGAGATTTCGACAGACCATGAAGCTGATCACATAGCAGTGTCTTGAAAGCCATGGTCTGGAACAAAAGAAAAGGGCCAGGTGAAAGAGCCCAATGTATTGTCACAATAATCAATGTAAAATTACGCTTCAAGCGACCAGGGAGGAATGACATTCGGATAGAATGTAAATCAGGCCTCTACCGAGAAGATAACAAGAGTAAATCATAAGAAACGAACCTCCATCCAATGCTGTTTTATCCAATCAAACCGTCCTGCGGTCAGTCATGACACGCACGATGGAGCCAGTACCAGCAATCTCCACGAGCTTCTCGTGCCAGCTCAGCAGAACGCTCATCTGCTGGCCACCACCACCTTCACCCAGGTTTCGTGCCTGGATCTGAGAGAACCCTGTGGCCTGAGGGGAAACCGACTTCTTGGGCGACTGGGCACCGCCACCAGATGCAGATGAGGACATGCCCTTGTACCTAGTAAGAATTAGCATTTGGAAAGTATCCAGCCGACCTCTTTCTACTGCGTCCTTTCGAATTGGCTCGTCGATGGCCATGGTGTCGCACGTACAAGTACTTCATCAAGCAATCGGCGCGCTCAGCCCCGCCATCTCCACTGCAGACACCCTCGAGGATGCGGGTCATCTCCCCCTGGCGGATTCCTTGCAGCACATCGATGACGGTTGCGAGGTGCACCTCCTTGGCACGGTCGTCGCCGCCTAGCGGGGCTGTGTCCAGGACGGTTTGCAGAGCTCCTTCCGGGTCACCGCCGCGCAGCATCTGGCGGACCTGTGTCGCGGCGCTGGCGGCATCGCTGGCAGATGCGGCCTGGGGGAGATTGGCCGGGAGCAGGGACTCCATGGGGAAGTTGGTCGAGGACTCGGGATCCAAGGCATCGATGTTGATGGTGCGGTAGTTGAGTTGCGACATGGTTGCGGTTCGGGGGGCTTGTTGTGAGGGTGGCGTATGTGGAGGGTAGCACAGGGAAGATTTGAGTCGCAAAGGGTGTTCTCAGGCGTAATTAGTCGGGGGGTCTTATAGAAGAGCTGTCAACAATGGTGTCGGTGGGCGGGAAGCGGGGAGACTAGTGACGTGGGATAAACTCCGCGGAACGTCCACTTGTGCTCAGGTGTAGATTGGACGTACGTAGTAGGGTTCCAAGGCTGGAAGATTGAATTTGCAGGTATTCGAATTGATTAAAAGAGCTCTGTGCAATGGTAAGGGAATTGGGGAGTTCCGGGATGTTCGAGGCGGTCTATTAGCGTCCATGGAGAAATAATTACACATCATCGAACGCGGAGACATCGGAGTATACTTAAGTATTTAATCACTTATTATTGTTTTCTTCTTTTGTTATTGTTTGGAAAAAGTTCGTCAAGGTGACTTGTGCAGGAGACTTGTAGATTGATTGATAATATGAATGCAACAGTATTTTTTTAGTAGCCATGTACCTAAGAATGACTATACGTTCTCTATCGAGCCCAAAGATGTATATACAAACAGCATAATAGATATATCATACAGTAACGCCAACGCTAATAACACAAACGCTAAAATGTCAATCAAGGAGAGGTAGTGATGGTAATAGGCGGTACCACAATGGAAGGAGGTGTGCAAGGACGCTCAGAAGTCTTTTGGTCCTTGAGCTCAACTTGCTCTGCAGGATCTTCAGGATCTGTAGCCTTTTTCGGCTGTGAAACCTCCTCGTCTGCAGACTTCTTCTTAGGAATGACCCGGCGAGTAAAACGCTTTACAGGCCGGAAGAAGGACTTAAGACCGTGACCAATGGCCTTGCAACCGCGGGCAAGCGGCCGCATAACCATTGATATAGCACCGACAACGGCATTGAAAACAATACCGAAGTGGTAGTCGGGAATGATGCGTAGAACAACAGCCCAGGGGAGACAAGCAATAGCGCAGACGATGCAAATACCCCAGAGGGTGGCGCTCAAGCGAACCACGCCAAATGCCTGGCCGCCCACGTAAATGATCATGACCTGACCACCGACCATGATGGCGTTGATTCCGAGGAACCAGTAGTTGCGGAACATGCCTTCGAAAATATTGAATTTGTTGTCGAGCCGGCGGTTGTTGAATTCGTTGAAGATCTGCATCCACACAAATGTGTTGAACACAACAGTAGAGAGCTCTTTCTGACGGAGCTCAGGTTCAGCACTGAGATGCGAACCGAGTAGGTTATCCCCTGCAAAATACAACATGAATGTGATGGCGAGCTGATATACGGCTTGACCGAGGATCATTTTCCACATGGTCAATGTGAAGAGGGAAGCGTGCTTTGGAACAGGCTTGCGGTCGAGGATCTTCTCCGTAGGTGCATCAGTAGCCCTATATGAATGGTCAGTCAAATATCCACAGCAATGACAAGAAGGTAACTTGAACTTACAAGGCCAAAGCAGCGAAAGTGTCCATGATCAAGTTCACCCAAAGCAACTGCACTGCACTCAGGACACTCTGGTTGTCACTGCTTACGACAGATGACACAAAAGTGAGCACCACCGCAGTAATGTTGACCGTGATCTGGAACTGCAAGAACTTTGCAACAGCATCATTGACAGCCCGACCCCAGGCAATGGCAGTGACAATGGACCGGAAGTTATCATCGAGAAGAATGATCGAACTTGCCTCCTTTGCGACCTCAGTGCCAGCAATACCCATGGAAAAACCTACGTCCGCAGTCCGCAAAGCAGGTCCATCATTAGTACCATCACCGGTCACCGCGACAGTCTCACCAAGAGCCTTCAGTCGAGCGACCAAGATTCGCTTGTCTTCCGGAGATGATCGTGCTAGAACCTGTAAACGCGGGAGCACTTCATCCATCTCTTTGTCAGACAAGCGTCGGAACTGAGGTCCTTCCATGACGAGCCCACCCTCTGTCTTGATTCCACAGGATGAGGCAATGGCGGTTGCGGTGGCAACATTGTCACCTGTCACCATCTTGACTTGGACACCTGCGGAATGACATTTACGGATGGCGTGCGGGACCTCAGGACGTAGAGGGTCTTGGATACCAACAACTCCGACCCAGATCATACCGTGGAAGACATCATCGAAGTTCGCCGAGGAAGGATCTTCGGAGCTCTTAGCTTCCGCGGGAGGCCAGCTGGCGAAATCCTTGTAGACCATGCCAATTGTCCGAAGGGACTGGTGGGCATAAGTGTTGATAGTCTCCAAGATTTGCAGCTTTTGTTTATCAGAAAGCTGCTCCATATCAATGGCTTCCTTGGAAGGATCAACATTAGTGATTTGGGAAGTGCAGACATCGACCATCAGCTCAGATGCACCCTTGACAAGCAGTCGATAGCCTGAGCCAGGGATCCGATAAACAACACCCATGCACTTCCTGGCAGAATCGAAGGGAATCAATTGAACAATTTCGGCAGATCCACGCTCAGATGCAAGATCCATGCCCATGTAATCACGAGCCAGCTGAAGTAGTGCAACCTCAGTCTTACTACCAATGAATTGGTTGTATCCGTCTTTGATTTGCTCAAATGCAGTCGAGTTCAAGGCAACACCTTTGACAATCAAGTCACGAACCGGAGCAGAAAGTTGCTTGGTGACTTCTGAAATCGCCATTGCAGATTCTGCTCCCTCATTCTCGGAACTTTGGCTAAAGCCTCGATCCGAGCCCCAGGTTCCAGCGACAACAGTCATCTTATTCTGCGTAAGTGTACCGGTCTTGTCGGAGCAAATTACTGTGGCATTTCCCATAGTCTCACAAGCACGAAGCACGCGGACAAGATTGTTTTCTTTGACCATGCGCGTAGTAGCGAAAGCCAGGGCAAGAGTAACAGCCAGTGGAAGACCCTCTGAAGATTGCGAATATTAGCACGGCACATAAGCTTTGTTGTGTAGTACATCAACTCACCTGGAATAGCGACAACAATAACCGTAACAGCAACGATGAGGATATCTACAAATTCCTTTCCTTTCATCGCGCCATTCATCTCAGGATGCTTTGGGAGATCTGCAACAAATCGGAAGAACAAAACGAAGAACAAGATGCCAGCAGCCCTAGATGTTGTTAGTAAATGGCCCAAGAGCTTAGATAGAAGATGTAAGAACACTCACGCTGTACCCAAATATCCAATCCAGTCGGCCAGCTTACCCAGCTTGACTTGCAGTGGCGTGGGGTCGTTAGGTGTCTGCAATGAAAGCAAGATACGACCGTAAGTGGAATACGGCCCAACACTGGTAACCAAATAAGTTCCAACGCCCTCGAGGACGTTGCTGCCGGAGATTAAGAAAGGATCTAGTTTTTTCGTTGCCTTGCCAGCGACGATCTGTTGCCAAACCTCATGACCAGGAGTCTTCTTCATTTGATCTGACTCGCCAGTTGCAGAAGACTCGTCGCACTTCACGCCGTGGCCAGTGATGAGAACTCCATCGGCAGGTATGGAGTCACCTGCCTCCAAGTGTAGAACATCACCGACCATAAGGTCGTAGATTGAAAGCATGGTGGATTTGCCCGAACGGACAACCTTGACTTCACGATCATCATTCTGTTGAGATGTTAGTCGGCCTGGTCTTTTGAAATAAATAAAATAAGGCAACTCACTCGCTTGTTGAGTTTGGCAAATTGCCTCTCCTTTTGCCAATCATTTGCAGCGGTGACCACAGTGACGATGAGAATCGCCACGCAAATGGCCACACCTTCCACCCAGTCGACACCAGAGCCGGCATCGACAGTCTCATAAATTCCCAGAGAAAGTGAAACCACAGCAGCAATAGTCAATAATATAATAATCTTGTCGTTATATGCAATCCAAAACAACTTCAAAAACCCGGAAGATTTCCGAGCAGGCAGTTTATTCTGACTGAAGACGCGAATGCGGTCTTCATAGGGTGACCCATTGCCAGATGAGACCGGTGCCAATGCCGTTGTCTCAGTCTGTGGCAATGATTTACCCCCAGCGGTATGTGGAGCAGCAGGTGCAACTGTTTGGAAGTCAACGGTTCCTTCTAGAGATGCTTCATCAACAGATAATCCCGCATCAAGATCAGTCCGCAGACCACGTTCCAACCCCTGCAAGCCACCAAGAGCATAGAATGCAGCCAGTGACTTGGGGTTCTGCATTTTGTTGAGCTGACCGGGGGAGAAGGCGAAGCGGTTATCTTCGACCTGGAAATCGGTCTCATTGCGAGGATCTGGTCTCAAGGCATCTGACAATGAGACATCATCATAGCCTGCTTTGGCGATATGTGCTGGATCCACATCCGAGTTTGCTCGAGGGTGGACCATAGTATCAGCCGAAGAGGAGGCAAATGAGTCCGCCCGCGGACGCAAAGTATCGCCATCAATAGACTGTGATGGTTTGTGCGAGGCAGGGCGAACCATTAGCAGTGCTGGATCTGGGTTCCACGCCATATCTGGTGAAACGGGAGAAGTTGGGCTGTGGTTTAAATCTGTTGGACCAGACCAGGAAGAAGAAGCTGTAGATATTGATCGCTGATGGTAGAAATGGGTTGTTCATCAGCGCAAGGGTTCAGATATAAAGGCATAGGATGGTTTGGGAGACCAACCTCTCTGCCCGAAAAATCTGAAACTATATCAGGTCTTAATAACGAGCCCCGGCGGGACGAGGTATTGTTTGGTGAGGACATGGGGTATCGAGCCGCGCTCTGGAGTAGATTGTAAAACAAATATGGGAGTATCCCATGCAGCTTTTGATACAATGCTCTTTGACAGAGAAAATTGTATCGTGTGCCGCGGGATAAAGAGACTTAAACTTCCCCTCTCAAGGTATGGGGCTGTGCAAAGATATGCCCAGACGCCGAGAATTGGATACTAAGTTCCCACGGCAATTTGCAGCGAAAGCTCTTTGCGGATTAAAGGTGCCAAGTAAGAGTGAATAACAATATCCACCAGATTGTACGGAGTCGCGACGGCAGGAAAGTCTGATATAATAATTTACTTTGCTCTCGGAACAGGTTATAGGATGTGAGCGTGCCAATGGTTTCGGGACACAGCCCCCTGGGCGGCAACAGTGGAACAGGAAGTACGGCGTACACAAGATGAGAGGGCGAAGCTCTTTTGAGTACCAGGCTTCCATGCTAGATCTGAGCTGAGGACTTGTAAGCGCCGAATTCAACACTCGAAACCTAGCCTCGATTTTTCATCCATAGCATAGCTCCTGTAGATGGCGGGGATCGGCGAGTGTATGATATGGATAGCGTTACGCTTTGCCCAGCCAATGCGAATGTCAAACGTTCGTTTTGGGTTTGGTATGGTGGAGTCTGGCTTTGACTGCGCCTCGATCATCGATGGGTAATCCAATAAGCTTGCATATGGTCCATTCTGTCTTTTTGTTGTTGAGGACTGTGACAGGCTCATTAAGATTGAGAAATCATCCAGACCCAGGCAAGGAGGCAATAGTTTCGCTTGAAATCCCTGCGTCATGGGGCTTGATTCGTCCATTCCAGACATTTTGTATGGAGAAATGATCTGCTTGGCAGGTGAGTTATGTAAATTATGGCATCACCTTCCCAACGCGAACACGAGAATCATCTGATGTCTGAGAAATGAAAAGCCAAGACTGTGTTGCACGGAGAGTCGCGACCATTTCCCCGGAGGCGAGATCGCCATCTGTGGCGCACGCATGTGGCGGTGCTTTGGGCATGTGGCACCGCCACAGCCATACCACATGGCTCACCTCCAAGCCCTAGTTTCGCCTCATGTTGGGCAAGGTTATTCACAGGGAAGGCATCAGAACGTGGCTGAGGTGTTGGGTGAATCCTGCTCAGGTTGGGTAAATGACTAGGCAGAACTCTGGGAGAGGAAATTGGTTCGATCTCGATCTGAAGTCGCGTCATTAACAGTTTATTGGAATTCAAGATGGCAGTGTCATTTATTGAACAATAGTCACCTGTGTACCTGCCTAGCATGGTAATACTACAGATCCCACGCAGAAGAACTGGCCCCTTGCAGCATATGCTTACGGGTGGATATCAACTAGTGAACGGGCTTCGTCTTCACCCAATAGCTGAGTAGGGGCTGAGCATTTTAGGCCACACAGTACGCAGAGCCTCTCCATGTACTCCATACCCCGTACTCGTTCAATCCAACTATTTGGACGCCAGATAGCCAGCAACTCAACAATTACCAGTCGATGTACGAGGCGCCCACCGGACAAAATACTGGGGAAATCTGGCACAGCTATACTTTATTAGCCCTGGAGTACTCTGGGTTTCAGCCATGTTAACCGCAACTTTAGAACAGGCTACGTGTCTCTCGGAGTAGGGAACCACGGGGACTGAGGTCGAAGAAACCGGCATATCCATGTACGCTCTGTTGCATCTACCATCCTACCAAACATTGCAAGGCAGCATTTGCACCCAAAAGTCAATTTCCAAAGCCCGAAGATTGAAAAATTGGCTCCAAAACATTGAGATCGATATCATCCATTATATTACATTGACTTTTCGGTAAGTATGGAAAGCGTAAGTGACAAAAGATGAAAGCATTATGTAGATGAAGATAGACAGGGAAGTGAGCAGGAAGGGAGAAATGGTAGAAGAGGGTATCAATGCTGGAGGAAGAAGGCGAGAAGCCCACAATGAAAGACAGGACAGCGCTTTTGAAGCGACAAACAGTTGAAACAAACAGAATTGGCAAATACAACAAGACACCTCAGGGCAAATGAAGGAAGCCCCCCTCAAATGGAGTAGGCTTGCTCTCCACCCATCACTTCGTTTGGTCATTTCGCATGGTCCATATCACGGCATTGATCACATATCAATGCCCTCGGTGAAGCGACTACTCCGACTTCCGTCGTGGCTGTGCAAGCTGCGACCGAGTCCGTCCGGCCTTGGGGGTATGAATGGAATTGCACTCTGGGGCTGTGCGAGAGGTTGTGCGGGCGTGATGGTGATAGGATAGGCGACGTTGACTGAGTTCGAGACGGGGATATGTGCAGGGCCAGGCCTTGAAGGTGGAGGAGCATGCTCCTGGATTTCGCGAGTGTAGCTCGAGTCCAAGGGCATCCCGTATGGCGAAGCTGGGGGTGGAGCAGGTGAAACAGGCGATGCCACGGGACCGGCAGCTGGTGATGTAGGTGGGAAACCTGGTACGGTAGGAGAATCGTCGCCGAGACCCCCGCCGAATCCGTCACCGCCATGGGTGAGAACGGGAGGAAGTTTCCGACCTGAGATCTTTTGGAAGCCTCGCTCGCTAGAGGTGGAGTCGACCGTGCTGTCGGTACGCATTGTTGCAGTTGACTGGCGCCAACGTTTCATGAATGCAGGAGCAAAGTATGAGGCTGTGAAGCGGTTCTCTGGATTGACAGGACGCTCGGTGATCTCTCTAGCTCCCACACCCGCCAAAGCGCCAGCCCCAGCCCCGGCAGCTGCATCGTCCGAGATGGCGGTGTGTCCTTTGGCTCCCATCAAGAATCCTCGACGGCGTAAGTAGTAGAAGAGAAGGAAAATGAGTAAAGCGAGTCCAGCGACGGATCCTACTACACCGCCCACAATTTTTGGTGTGTCGGGATTGCCTGTTGAATTTGAACTCGATCCCGATCCTGATCCTGACGTCTCACTCGTGGATGGTGCTGAACTAGTACCTGTTGCTGTCGCAGTTTGTGAAACAGAGCCCCAAGAAGTCGTGGACGATGAGGTGGAATATGTTTCGTCGGGAGTCCAGCTGGAGGAGGTGCTTGAAGTGGAGCTAGAGCTGGACCCAGGATTCGACAAAAAGTTATATGCATGAGGTGAAGTTATGGAGGCGGTATGAGTGGAGCTCGAAGGTGCGATAAGGGGAGTCGACATTCGAACAGGAGAGCTGATGGCGGACGCCACCCTCATGGTCGACGGGGAAGCTTGGCTCACAGAGCTAGTGGTAGATTGGGTGGTATTCGTTGAGCTGACCGCGATTGAAGTTTCAGATACTAGCGACGTCGTCGGTTGGGTCGTAGGAGCAATCGTTGGCGAAGTCAATAACGGCACATCTACAGAAGCAGTCACGCTGAGAGACGCACTCGCGACGATGCTGTCTGCGCCTGATATAGTGAATACTCCATAGGCGGATTCTGAGATCGTCAACGGGTAATCGGCTGCAGTCGACTGCAGAAGGATGTGGGAACTCGCGTCAACTATCTGCAATACAGTCTCAACGGTCACACTTTCAGAGGTCGTCTCATCCCGCCTATCAATTAACACATCGGGCTCGTTGATCTGTTGCTCGAGGCATATCAAGTTGTGTGACGGATCGCAATCTCCTGATAGCTCATCAGCTGCAGGAAGGGCGGGAACTGTTGATGAGTCGCCTTGTAGGCTGGGGCCCGAGTCTCCGTCATTTTGCGCAATCTCTCGGCGACGTCTAGTACTGTGTAGTTTTTCAATCCGCGTGTGACGGTAATGACCATGAGCCATGTTGGCAGCGATTGGCGACTATTTCTGGCGGTGGTCACCCCAGAACAATTGCGTGTCAGAGATATGGCTGGTAAGACGATATTTGGTGAGTCCTCTCAGAGGTTGAGCCTCACGCGATAAATAGAAAAGAATGTCGGTGTCGTTGACCCGATGGCACGTTCTAGCGCGCACGAAAGACAGATCAAGGTCTTGAAGATATGTTGAGCGAAAAAGTGCAAGGATCAAAAAAAAATCCCGAAGCAATTGCCCGACTGAGAAGTTCAAATGAGTGAAAGTATGCGAGAATTCCGCCGGCGATGAGGTGAATGAGTGAATAGTATCAACGGCGACAACACAGTACGCAAAAATAAAACCCACACCGAGGTGACAGACGGCAATTTCGCACGACTGAGCACAGTGGGTGGTTAATTGAAAAGACCGACTTGGTCAAATTGACTGAACACTGTCAGTACACATCACGACCTCCATGGAAGCGTCAGTACACCACACATACCCTGGTTAAAAGAGTGACGAATGGAGAAAAGAAAAAAGCAGAGAGATGCCAGTCTCGATCCCTAATCCATTGTTTCAAAAATCGTTTGGGGGGGAACCTAAATCGAGGTGTTCGGGAGTGTCTGGGACCGTCGACCCGTAACGCACCAAGCGGGTCGGGCGTGTTTGACAATAAGCACAGAGTGCGCGGCCTGACAATACAAACACAAGGTTGAGAGGGGAAAGCACGAAAACCGAAGGACCACCGAAGGAAGTGAAGGAAGAAAAACGGTGGACACGACCCAGACCGAACCGAACAATTCCCCTATCGAAGCTAAGTCTAGGCGACCCGTGTTGACGAACTAGCCTCGGGGGCCGATAGATGGGGCCACTGTTTATTTTTGGAACCTGACCCCTTGGGGATTTTTTGTGTCTTTCTCAAGTATTACCCCGGAATTGAGAATTGAAGTTGAAACAGACAAGAAAGATGAGAAAGGGAGAAGAGAAGAGCTGGCCAAAGACCTGCAGGTACACAACGAGTCGGATGGAGACTGGAGGTTCTAGCCCCACTAGTCCTGGTTAGGCTTAGCGGGTGCTGCAGGTTTAATTATCATTTTCTTAGTTTTTTGTTTGCGAACTTTGGCTGATTATTTTGGCTTATAGTACATAATAGAATTTAAATGCAAGGGAGAGCCTATCACATTTATATACTCGTATATACGGAGTACTCAGGGAGTACACAGTACTCTACACAACTTTAGAAACCATCACATTCTACTCTGTGAAGAGGTAAAATTGAAAAGAACGGGAGATTACAATAAATTAACGCTGACCCGTGGATGGGACTCGGAATGTGTCACGGAGGTATAAGCCCGACTCCACTTGGGCAATGATGACATACCGTTGGACTAATCGAGCATCTGCCGATCGCGGAATCTATATGAAGATCTCTAAATTCGAAAGGGTATTGAAAGGGTATTCAATTGCATTCAATTGCATTCATGCCATATCTACGGAGTGCGTATGGGACAGAACACAAGAATCAAGGAGACGGGGTATTATTAACGGGTCAATGCTCTCCAAAACCTTGGAACGAATCACGCTTAGAAAGTCTCGAGTTCATCGGCCACAACCTCCTCTCCTTCGGCAGGAATCTCAAAGCCATCCTGGGGAGCGCGGGAGCGCGTTAGCATTGAACATCATCTATGGGAGATGAAGGCCACCAACCTCGGTTGAGTAAAGAATTCCCTGGATGTGCTTGACAAGCGTGTCTTCCTCCTTTTCGATCTCGGGGTCGGCTTCGATGGCGCTTTGCAGGAGCAGCTCGATGTCGCGGAGCTTGGCGAAGTAGAAGTCGCGCTCCTTTTCCAGTCCAGCAATGGCCTCCTTTTGGGTCGCAATCTCCTGCTGCAGGGCGGCGGTGGCAGCTCCGCTGGGGGCTCCAACACGGGGACGAGCGGCACCAGTAGTAGGGGTCACACCACGGCGGGCGCTTCCAGCAGAGGGGGCACGAGAAGCAGGAGTAGCACCGACAGAGGCGGGGGCACCGGAGGCCTTGCGACGGCTGACAGAGTCGTAGTCACCACCGGGGTAGTGCTGGTCCCAGTACTTCTTCACCCACTGCAGGAATTCAAGGTTGTCCTGCATGCGGCACTTTGTAAGGGATTGAACGGGGATGGGCTTGTTGACTTGGTGACGGGCGAAGACATCTGCACAATCAAATGTGTTAAAGGGGGGACATGGGCTGGCGTTGTCGGGTTGACGTACTCTGAAGAACCTTAAAGTTCTGGAGGTAGGCGTACTCGGTGTTGACGTTGAACTTGACACGAGACATGGGAACATCCACTGGACAAAGAATCACCTCGGTCAGTGTATGATCCGCGACCAAGCGCAAGCACGATTCTCGATTCCATGGTGTTTCGCAGGCTGTGGTTACATACTGAAGATGGAGTCGAAGATTTGGCAAAGGGCAGCACTATACACGACAGAGAATACACGTTAGCCATCAGATCTCAAATGGAATCTCTGCCCCGCGGACGGGGAATGAGAGAGGGGAATGCTGATCATCCATACCCGGTTCCGCACTGCTCGATCTTGGTGAGGTTCAGCTGGAGCAGGTTGTTAAGCCATGCCAGCAGTTCTTGTCTATTCCGAGGAAAACAAGTTAGCATGGCCATTGCACTGCAAAAGCATGCAGAATAGGAGAAAAGCCGAACCTGGATTCACCCATTTTGGTGGGGTAAAAGAAATATCAATGGGAACGTTGAGGAGGATAAGAAGGGAGGGATGAGCGCTAATCGGGAGATGAGTTGAAGAAAAGGTATGGTACGTCAAGACCAGGACTTGGTGCCAGTCTCTGCCTGTGCGTTTGATGGGGAAGTACCTAGAGGAATTGTTTTGATGCCAAATCCCACGGATCACACTGGCACTAGCGGCAAATCAGAGCCCGATTATCTAATCGGTTTCTGCCTCAGTCTCGAGATCAGTGTCGGGATCAGTGTTGGGTAATTGGCCCGAGCGATCAGACTCGTCGCATTCGATTTCAAGGAGGCGATCTTCCTCCCGCCATTCACCAGAGCGATCAGTATGTCCCGACTCTGTGTTTGCAACCACCTTCTTGGTATATCGCCAAATCGTTTTGATAGCCTTGCCAACTCGTCTGACCGCCTTGACTTTGGCCATTTGTTTGGTTGAGAGGAGGAGGGTGGAGGTTCGGAGAAATGATTTTCCGCGCCGGTTTTAAGATGTTCCGTTGTTGCCTGAGGCATCATGTGATGCATGCAAACAAGACAAACTGGCCCCTCGAGGCCCCAGGGTGGATATCTGCGCTTCCAGCAATAACTAACTGCTGTATATGTATGTAGCATTGCCATTTGAAGAGTTATTGTCGACATTGGAACATTGGAAATTTAAATCCCCGGTTATACGTTTAGGGATCTAGCTAAGTTGACTAATAGCAAAGCTTGGACTTACTTAAGTAGAGCACCTACAATCGTGAAAATGGTCACACTAGTTCTCTAGGGCTCCAAATTTGTTCTCTGGACCAACAGACCAAAAATGGGCACATAGGTTCCATTTTAAACAACTCATGTTATTGCAAACACCGATACATTAGCACTCACTTGCATCTATATACAGATCTGCTTAGGGAGTGTGCTCTTTCGATTCGTCTCAAAGCAAATTTAGAATGGTCAAACACTATATTTTTGGATACTGTATATAAATTCATCTTATATAAAAGACAGGAATTCCCAAAGGGAAAAGCAGAAGAAAAAAAACTAGCAAGAATTTATCCCGACAATGTATCTGTAGCTGTCCCCTTTTGCACCCAAAGAACCCTCAAACTCGGGCGACGCCGAGGTTGTAAAGAATGGTCAAGGTTCCGTGAATTTTCATCCCATGTATAAGCCCCCAAAAATCGCTCAAAAACCAAACAAGCTATAAACAAATGCATATTTAAATCACTCCTCTAAAAGTTCGATCCCATCTAGACCATATCCAAAGTCTATAATGACTGTCCTCGAGTCTTGGCTAGTAGCCACGATGCGCCTGTAATCAGACTGCACGCTCAACATCCAGCTTGTGGTCCAGCCAGGGAAGTTGATGGACAGATTGCCTGAATCGCGATCGAATACTTTGACGCTCATATCGTAGCTGCCACTGACGATGCGCTTGTTCGCACTGTCTAGATGCAGAGACCGGATCAAACCAGCGTGGCCCTGGAGCTCGTTCACAAGCTCGCCTGTGTTAGCGTCGAATTGATAAATTATGCGATCGTTGCCGCCAGTAAGGATGGTCCGGCCATCGTCGCTGAATTCGACACATGCAAGACCCTTGTCTTTGCTGAGGAACTGCTTGACACATTGGCCTGAGGTCACGTTCCACATTTTGGCAACGCCGTCACCGCTCGCTGATACGATTAGATCGCCGCGCAGTTGGACGGCGTTGACGGGTCCCAAGTGACCGGTGAGCGTTCTCAAGAGTTGGCCTGTGTGGCGGTCCCACACACAAATAGAGGCGTCCTTGGAGCAGGAAACAATAAATCGGTCATCGAAACACACATCAAGCACGCCGGCTTGATGACCATATAGACGGTGGATAGGCTGGTAATCGTTTTTGATATCGTATACAATGCAGGTGTAGTCAGAAGACCCGGTAACCATGATCTCCTCATCAAATTGCAGACACAAGATTGACGCGCTGTGGTACAAGGAGTCATCGTCGACGGGCGACGAGATCTCCTCCTTCTCAGCGGCCGTGTCCCATGGTGGAGTGATGGTCATAAAAGGAGGACTTCCTGTGGCTTGGGAAGTTGGGCTGTTCACTGGACCGCCACGACGGGGCATTCTGCGGCTACTCGATGGGCCAATGATCTTCTGACACGCCCACGGGTATTGGGCATCCCACACACGAATTGTGCGATCGCGGGAGCCAGTTATAATTTTCTTTTCGTCAAACTGGGAACAGTAAACACTGTCCTCGTGACCCTGGAGATAAATGGCCGCAGCCTTTCCATCCTTCCAGCGCTGGTCAAGGGCGCGCCGGACAAGGAACATCTTCTTCCAGTCTTGGTTTGGGATAGTCTTTCCCAGACCGGATGACTGTTTCAACTTGGTCTTTGTCTCGCTTGAAGGTCGCTGCTCGTATGCGCCGCGGAAAACCTGCCTCCAAACATGGGAGGACGAGGCTTCGAGCCAGGCGCGAGAGACCAGCTCGGAATTCAAGAGCGAGCCAGGGTCCAAGAATGACAGAATATGAGCTGAAATCTCAGTAGGGAGTAGAGCCACAGGATCTGATAACATGTTAGTTCGGACCAAACGCGGATTCGTGAGATAAAAACACCTACCAAGTCGTGCGAGGCCAAACAGCTCTGCCTCGGGCACCTCTGATCGATCACGCAGATCGATACCAATGCCACTCTCAGAGTCCTGTGGGATCCTCATTTCGAGAATCTTGTTAGACTCCCGCTCGGCCTTTGCAGTCCGCGTTATCTCCATCTGTTCATTCTGTGCTGCAGCTGCAGCGCGAGCTGCCGCGCCCGAGAAGACGTGGTTTGGGAAGACTGGGGGCTCTGATCCACGACCAGGAATGGGAGCAGGAATCGATGCAGTGGGGGCATAGAAGCCATGCAGCGCGGACACGCTGTTCAGGGAAGGGCGTCGGTTGACGCAGCCCTGCCAAGCAACCTTGGTTGACCGGGCATCCCAGCTGCCAGATGCCATGCGCTTATGCTTTGAAGTTGGGACATGGTGTTGGTGTTGGTCTCCATCGGTCGCGACATGCTCGGTGATGTTTTGCTTGGAAGACTTATGACGAAGACTGACGGACCAGCGGCGTCCGAGGGCCACCAGGCCTTCCATAGGATGCTTCAAGGTTGAGAAACTCTTTGCACCGCGGCGGCGGGGAACTGCGTTGGGAAATGGGTCCATATCTTCTACCACTGGTGCATGATCTTCTTGGCACAACTCGGTCAAGAGCGGCTCGTGAAATGCCTCCAGGGCACAGGCAGAGTCTTTCGATATCGGGGTGGGAAGGGTCGTAGTTCGTGGGTGCGATCGGAACGACAGGGACGGATGTCGGCGTGCGGAGGTGGCGGTGCCGTTCTCGCGAGGCGACATGACGACGGGTGTAGTATATGATGAATTATAAAGTAGGTTGATATGGCCAGTAGGCGGAGAGCGTTGCAGAGAGTGACAACGCTTTTTTTCTTCCTGAATCCAGTCTAAATGTTGTTGCCCAATGCGAGGGAGATCTGGAGGAAGCTCTGTGAGAGATGAGTCTAACAAAGATGTAGACTCCAACGACCGTTGAACTCCAAAAACCCAAGAAAATGACCAAAAGAGAGAGAGTCTAATGAATGAAATGAGCAGACCGGTATTTAAACAAGACCAAAGGAAAAAAAAGAGAAAGACACGCGCAAGGAGGAATTTAAAAAAAGGAAGAATTCCAGGTCTGAGGGTCGGGCGGTGAATTGGCGACGACTGATTGGTTTATGTTCAAAGTATTGCACTGTATCGGGTACTGACATCACAGTGCAAACACCATAGTATAGAGAAGTACCGGGTACTTCATTGGGGGTAAACGCCCCTGCACGGGGTCTCAAAAACGAACGGGGCGAATTGCGAACTGCGGAGTACCGCTACCTGGATCGCCACGTTAATCTACCGCGGATCATAAGTACCAGATACCCTACGGTGGCGAGAATTTCTTCACTTTTCCTCTCTTTTCTCACAAGTTCGGGACCGGCAGTTGACCATGGGAAGAAATGAAGTTTATCTTGTGCTACTTTGTAAATCGCCATGGTACAACATCCGAGGCTATTTAAGATCCACCCAACGTTCTATGCAGATCGATCTTATCCCGTGTTACTACACATTTCATACTTCAACTTCAGAATCAGTCTTACTTAGTACATATCTATAGATAAACATTAAATCTCATTGTTCAAAACACCCCATCCCCTGTTTATTTAATTTTCTGGGCAGGTTTTTTAAAAGTACAAAATCTATCCAAAGATCTTCTCGTATCCCGTCAGAGTGAACCGATAGTGGACATCACCCTTCTTCATACGCTCCATGGCCTCCTTGAGACCGTCCTCACTAATGTTAATCTCCTCAACCCATCCCTTCAGACCCTTATCCGCAGCCAGCTGCAACATCTCAAGCATCTCACGACGGCTGCCCAAGTGACTAGCACCAATGAGCACACCGTTAGAAATCAAGTTCTGAGCCTTGATGACCTGTCCCTCCTCCTCGGGCAGACCGACACTAATCCAGCGACCATGAACATCCATCATAGACAGATAGCGCGCCAAGTCAAAGCCCTCAGAAGAGTTAGCACAGTTGATAATCAAATCAAACGAGTAGAGATGATCCTTCTCCCATCCCTCTTCAGCAGTAGCAATGTACCCATCCGCACCGAGCTTCAAAGCATCCGTCTCCTTAGCCCGCGACCGCGAAATAGCCCACGTCTCCGCCCCCAACGCCTTAGCAAACATCACTCCAAAATGTCCAATGCCTCCCAGTCCCACGATACCAACCTTCTTTCCGGGCCCGGCACCATTCCTCACAAGAGGAGAGTACGCCGTCAAACCAGCGCACAGCATCGGAGCAACAGTGTTGCTCTCCAAGGCATCGGGGATGGGGAAGACCCAGTGTTCATGGGTGCGCACATGAGATGAGTATCCGCCCTGGCTGACGATGCCTGTCTCGGGCCACTCAGAGCCATAGGTATCCATCATCTGCACGGGGCAGTAGGTCTCGTTGTCATTGCGGCATTGCTTGCACTCGCCGCAGGAGTAGGATTGGGCGCCGACGCCTACGCGCTCGCCTTCTTTGATCAATGTCACCTTGGGTCCGACACGAATTGCACGCCCGATGATCTCTGGGATGAGGGTTAGAATTGAGTAGGGATCTTGGATCCTTTTGTGCTTTACGTACCGTGGCCCACGCAAAGGGGGAACTTCTGGTCGCCCCATCCTCCTTTAAGGCTGTTAGTTTGTCATTTACTGTGGTAGAGGGGTATTGGACGTACCGCTGATGGTGTGCACGTCACTGCCGCACACGCCGCAGGCTTCGATCTTGACGTCGACATCTGTACACAGTTAGATATGATGCTCAAAGGCGCATTGACTCGCAACTAACCATAGTCACCAAAAGGCTTCAACTTGAACTGCGTGAATCATCTAGATGAGTAAAGTTCCGGTCAAGGTAAAAGATCAAAACACCCACGAAGCGCTTGTTGAACTGGGTAAAGCTCGCAGGTCCATCGACCTGGAAACCCTCTGCCTCTTCGGGGTACGGCATAGTGAATAAGATAAGCAATTGGGGTATTCAAGGGTCTTGTACACAAGAGGCTCTACAGAATACCAGAGCGAGGGAAACAATGAACAAGATTTTGAAGCAAAGTAAAGTAGAAGCCCAACTGAACGAGGGGGCGGGGATATATCAACTATTTCTAAACCAATCCAGCGAGCACGGATCGCGAGAAAGAAAAAAAAAGCCATCTCCGTCCACGGGATACCATCTCAATCCATCATAGTCCCACGAGAACACTATTTCCCCACAATCGGACATTGTCCCGTGTGATCCACCCGTGAAGCCCAGGAATCAGAGCGCAGCATACGACGGCAACTCTCGCACGAGAGTCAGATTCGGTCAGATACGGGGCTTGGAAGAGGAGAGCGTGGGGTGTATTTAGCATGGCTCAATGAACAAAAAAAAAAAAACTTGTCGTATAGAACTTCTGCCAATGACCTCGTATCAACTCCGACTTGGAATATTTCCACCAATGGGAGAATTAGGATCCGGCATTCTTATCGGGGATTATCGTCGATAAGGATAAACTTCAGATTAGGGCTTGGCTTGAGGGCTCATGTTCCTAGACAAGGTCACGCAAAAGTTTCACTGTGTCTACTGAAATTGCTAGATCAGTTGATGACTTTAGGAATGGATGCACCAGTCAATACATGTGCTCATATTCTTGGTATCACTTTTCTAATATTTACGAACTAAATACTTAATCTGAGGATTGCAACTGACATGTCAAAGCTGAGTCTTTAATATCGTTAAACATAATATATACTGGACAGATTATTTACGTGGTTTCTATCTTAACCCTATGCCACATCAGGGAGGGTTGCCTCCACATCCATAGCGGGCTTGATTTTATCAGCAACAGTCTGGTACTGAGCATCCGTAAGACGGCTGAGGGGCCGACGAGGGTATCCACCGTATCCGTAGTAAGACTGGATAGCACCCTTGGTACCAGGAATAGCAGCCTTAGTCAAGACCCAATCGGCGGCACTGAGCTGCTGCTGGGCCTCGATAGCCTCGGTCAGACGGCCCTCAGACCAAAGAGTGAAGATGCGGACGCAAAGACGGGGGAGAACGTTGGCGCCACCGGCGAGAATGGCAGAGCCACCGGAGACAAGGGTCTGGAGACTGAAATCGGCGATACCACCGAAGGCAACGTAGGGGTGCTTGGCGTCTGGCTTGGGGACAGTGGCGGTGCGCTGAGCAGGAGCCAGGGGGGAAGGAGGGGTAATAGCACCGAGGGCAGTAGCAACACGAGTCAGCTTGCCGGTGTTGGCACAGGTGAATTTGGTGCCAACAATGTTGGGGTGTTCGGAGATGCGAATGATGAGGTCGGAGTCCATATCGATGCCGGCGACGGCACCGGGGTAGTTGTACAGGATGAGGGGGACGGGGGAGCCATCTGCGACAGCAGTGAAGTACTCGTACAGGGTCTCATCGTTACCGACGGCGGCCCGGTAGTAGCTGGGGGGCACGATCAGGGCGTACTCGCCGCCGGATTCTGCCACTTCCTTGCACAGATCGATGGTGCCGCGGATGCTGTTCTCGCTGGCACCGGCGATGACGGGGACGTTGGAGAAGCCAGCCTCGTCAAGAGCAGAACGGGTCTCGCGGGTGACGGTCTTGCGTTCCTCGCGGGTGAGGTGCACGGCTTCACCATTTGAGCCCATGGTGACGAGACCGACGAGGCCGGCCTTGGCTAAGCGGACAGCATGGCGACGAATGGCGGCAATGTCAAGCTCTTCGGTTTGGGCATCGAAGAAAGTCATTGTTGGCGCATAGACGCCGGGGCGGAGGGTAGTGAGAGGCATGGTGTGGATGGTAGAATAACGTCTGGCACCATATTGGAAGAGGGGGTATAGCACAATTATAAGGACAACATCCGAATGTCTCTCGGTGCATCATTCCCCCAGGTTCCCCCACGTCGGCGATTGCCCCGATACACGTTGTATGGCGGAGGATTGGATTCCACCAATCAGAGGATGCGTGCAGACTGTGGGGGGACATGAGGGGTAGGCGGGACGCAATGCACAGCTCCAGGGCAATACATTCTTCCTGTAAGTAGAGTAATATACAAGAATTCGAATTGGAAGAAGTGCCCAAGGACAATTTGACCAAGATTCATTAGAGCAAGCGGACAAAAAGTGGAAAATAAGGAGAGTAAGAAGTAAAAGGTCGAAAAACAAAAAAAAGTCGCGATGAGATCCGGCTATTGACTTTGCAGTGTTGGGAGTTCAAACGCCGGAAGAATTATCTCCAGCAACTAAAGCTCTCGTAATTTCCTGCAATTGTCTCTCGTTTCTCTTTTAAATTATCTTTTGTCCCCCTCGGATCCTGTCAGATCAAGCAGACATCATGGCCCCTCCTAGCGTTTTAATGGTAACAACACACCTCTCCCCCCGCATGCGACAAGCTGACAGATGAGTAGGTCGGCACTGGCGAATACACCACTGGCTTTGTCGGTGGTGGTGCCTCTGGATCAGACAAGAAGGTCGGCGTAGTAGGTTTGACCCTCTTTGACCTGCGCCGACGAGGCAAGGTTAGCGATCTGAGCATGGTGGGTGTGTCAGGAAAAAAGTTCCCTGGAATCCGTAAGTCGCGAGAAGAGAAACAAGAAACAAGAAAGGTTCATGTGTTAACCAAAGGAACAGGCGATCACCTGCACCGCAACATCTCACAAGTCTACAACAACCTCGACACCTCCTTCGCCTCCTTCCCCGCAGATGACCAAACCGACCCCGATGCCTACAAGACTGCCATCGATGCTCTCCCCAAGGGATCTGCCATCACGATCTTTACTCCCGACTCCACCCACTATCCCATTGCCCTCTATGCTATTGAGCGTGGCCACCATGTGTTGATCACCAAGCCCGCCACCCAGCGCCTGGGAGACCACCTCGCCCTGGTCGAGGCTTCTCGCAAGCACGGCGTCTTCGTCTTCATTGAACATCACAAGCGCTTTGACCCGGCATACTCAGATGCCCGGGCCAAGGCCAAGACCCTCGGTGACTTCAACTACTTCTACAGTTATATGAGCCAGCCTAAGAGCCAGCTTGAGACCTTCAAGGCCTGGGCTGGCCGGGACTCAGATATCTCTTACTATCTGAACTCCCACCACATTGATATCTGCGAGAGCATGGTCCCCGAGTACAAGCCAGTACGTGTAACTGCTACTGCATCTCAGGGTACCGCCGCCGCGCTTGGATGTGTGCCGGAGACCGAAGATACTATTACTCTCTTGGTTGAGTGGCGCCGTCGTGATGATCCCTCAAAGATTGCTACCGGTGTCTACACCGCAAGCTGGACAGCGCCCCAGAATGCAGGTGTGCACTCTAACCAGTACTTCCACTGTAAGCAAGATTTGTCTCCTGTCGCTCCTATAATTCGTGAATCCTAACGCGACTACAGACATGGCCGCCAACGGCGAGATCCGTGTGAACCAGGCCAAGCGTGGTTACGAAGTTACCGGGGATGACCAGGGTCTGATCCATTTCAACCCGTGAGTCCCTCTGCAAATATGAATTTCGATTCTCTCCCGATGCTGACCAGGAATCCAGATTCTACATGCGCTACGCCCCCGACGAAGAAGGAAACTTCAGCGGCCAGACCGGTTACGGCTACATCAGTTTCGAGAAGTTTATTGATGCCGTCACTGCCGTTAATGAGGGCCGGGTGACCCTCGACCAGCTTGATGCTCGCCCGCTTCCCACCTTGCGCAACACCATTGCCACTACGGCGATTTTGGATGCCGGTCGTAAGTCTCTTGATGAGAGACGGCCCGTGGAAATTGTCTCTGAGGGAGATAACTGGGAACTTAAGTAAATTTGAAAGTTGATTTGGGGAAGGTTCAGAGGGACGGTAGTTGTTGTTTGCCATGGCCCAAGACAGCGGGTCTTCAGGTTTACTTACGGAGGTGAATAACGCCATGACAGCCTCCAGAATTATATTCATATCTTCGAATCATACTCCTGCATTGACCGGGAAAGGCCATATAGCTCTGGCCTCTTCTGCGGATTTCTCCCCAGCAAGGCTTTCAATGTACATAGTCAACAATTCCTCATTCTGCGTCCTCTTCTCCCTCACGTCCAATCCTGGTGCGACCCATCCTTCTGCATCAGTGTCAAGGCATGCTTGCGCAAGAGCCTGAATCTTATACCAAGCTTGATACTCAGAGAATTGCTGATCGTGCGTATCAATCTGCTCCTGTGTAAAGGATAAAGGGCATTCTTCAGAAAATCCAAGGTCCGACCAATTCTGAAAGAGTTCTATCAAGCACGCACGAAGCGGGAGGACGCCAATTTCACAGACTTCCCCGCACCGAAGGAATAACTCTCGGAAGACACGGGGCACGTTCATGGTCCTATGCGCTGGTTTATCCTCAAGCAAGGTTGAGATCTCATAGGCCTTTGCTAACTTTGCTTGGGACCATTCGCGCATAGCAAGCATCTTGCTATCCTCATCTAGGGTATCGAAATCATCGCGCAGTTTCACCTCACATATCCCCTTCTCGTAATCGTAGTTCTGTGGGGGTTTGAGAAAGACTGGCCATTGGGCGTGAAGAAATGCAGGGAGAACGGAAATCGACTGGAGATCGATGAGGGATACTATTCTTGAACACTCATCTGGGGCGACGAAAATGTTTCCCATATGAAGATCGGTATGCCATAGAGTAGGCTGGGAAGCTTCTTCTTTCAATATTTCGTTCGAGTCTAAAAGTCCTATGACAGTCTCTGTTGCTTGTAAGATTTCGGTTTGTTCTTTGATATCTCCTTTATAAAAGGATGTTTGATCTTGCTGACTGTTCTTGGATATTCGTAGTAATTCGTGCTTTGCAATAGAAACCCCAAGTGTCGAAATCGAATATCCTATAAGCAGTTAGTATATAAACTGTCAAAATATGCAGAGGACTCCAAGGTCCTTTATTAAAGTCCAGACTCGGATCAGGATTGTACCCTCGGTCATAAGAAGGTCCAATACAGAAAGATGGATCAAGTTCATCGTCAAGGGGTTTGTTTGGCTGCTTTGAATCCGTTCGAAGATACAGTCCTCCATAAGCAGGGAAATGAATAGCTGATAATTGAGCCCCAATCTGGGTCAAGTTTCTGATCAACTGTAGCTGATCGAATTCGGCCATAGCACCCCAAACTTGAAACAGTGGAACACCGGCGGCTTTCTCCATGATGATATATTCTGCACCGACAGCATTCGAGTTGTTCGAAGACCAGGAAAGAACACGAGGGACAGGAATGCTAGTGTGTTTTCTGACTGTTCCAACGGATGTTAGCTACTGGAAGTAGAACTTTGGAATTATACCGATATAACCTACTGTATTCGAGAGCACCGACTTCACCAGCTGTCGTTAAGGTGGGCGGGCCAGCAATGCGGCATGGAATCTTTGCTATCACTTCGGATCCATTTTCTTTTCTCATCAAGAAAGCCTTGCTGAAACCTCCTTCTATTTTGTCAATAGCTGTGACCTGACTGGACTGTCCGCCGACTGCTGCAACAGTATTGCAAAGCTCATCCACGTCGAATTGGACATATCTTCTGCTTAACTGGTATTCTTCGTTGGCAAGGAAATGGCCATTGGTGTAAGCAAAAAGTTCCCCCTGTGTAATGGGTGCACCTATTTGAACAATCAGAAACGGAAAGCATCCATGGATGTCTTTATACCAGACCCCTTTCCTTTCTTACCTCGACATGTTATCGATAAAGGCGATCCAGGTCTGCCATATCGATTTGTAGTAAAACTTCTGAGCCTAAGTCCCGATCTTCTACTCGCTGTGACGAAGTTCCTTGAAGACAAAAAGTGGCATGTCCGTCTATCAGCTGTCACGACCTTTCAGAAGCAGACAAACACCAACCTAGATATTCCGAATGCACTTATTCAACGGCTCACGGATAATGTACACGAGGTACGAGCAAGTGTTAGAAGGAATGTCAGAATAGAGGTGTTACAGGGCAGTGGGCGGTCAAGGGGCTGGACGTCCAAAGTTACTGCAAAGGCAGCCGTTTCTGGCCTCAAACGCGGTCATTTTCGGCGCCAATCCCACTGATCCTCATATTCTAGGTGTAAAGGACTGTATTAGCCCAGAGCCCAATAAGTGATGGTTTTATTTTATTTTTTACGAATCAGTCTATCTCAAGATTCCCATGTCAACCTTGTAGATAAACATAATCACAATCAAAGTGTAAGCTTGATATTATCTCCAAGTTAATAGTACTTAAGTAGTATAGTGATTATTGTTGAGGTTCGATTGAATTACGACAGCTCATGAAGCATGTCGATACCACTCCAACTTGAATCCAAGTTCCTCGGGGTCTCCAGAACAAAGTAGGCGAAGAAGTCCATCTTTCTCCAGTTCCTGACAGAGCGTCTTTTTCGAAAGATCATCTTCCACCGTGTGACTTTGATCCTCGCTGTCAGTAAACTCAGAGGCATGTTCCCGGTCATTCTCTTCATTGAACAGCCGCTCGGTAAATGTACCCAATTCCGCGATTGTAGCATATCCATTATGCCAACACTTGTCAATGATATCGTCAATAGGTCCGCCCTTCAACTCTGGAAAAACCATATCCTGCAATAGCTCCACAACTTTCAGGCCATGCTCATGAGGATCCTCAAAGAGACATCGATCCCCGTAAACTTCAAAGCCATAATTGATGAGATAGAACACAGAGCCCAGCGCAAACTGCTCAGTCCGGGGTCCAAGAGAGCCAGCAGATCCACATGCCCCTAGGTCCCCCTCTTGGCAGTTGAGGAATCTGCCGTACGGAGCAATGCAAGCTTCATGATGATTTCCAAATTCTGCCGTGCAATCAAAATCAGATAACTTCAGTCGGTTCCGATCAAGTAAGATGTTTTCAGGGCGGAGGTCGCCATGAGCCAGATTCAGAGATTCCAGGTACGCGACTGCCTGGGTGAGATGGTTCATCCATTGTAATCTCAGGAGAAGAGGTTCCAACTTTTTCACTTTGGCAGCCAGGTTGGTTTTCTCGTCGCGTATTTGGTTCTGCTGGATTCGGTAAAAGAGTGATCCGTCTCTCATGTACTCGAGAAATATGCCGTCGTCGGAAAGGTGATAGTACTGAATGATGTATGGGCAGGGTCCATTCTGAGAGAATGTTCGATATATTGCCAGCTCTTGCTTGAATCGCTCCCTGTTCTCTTGTTCGGACTCGGGGACTTTGACTACGATGCGAGGATGGACTTCGTAGGTGAATGAGATGCCGCCTTTCCAGATCCAATGAACGGTAGGGAAGCGTTGAGAAGAAGCATGAGGCTTCATAATGAGATCTATCTGCTTACGGAGAATCTCACGGTGGGCAGAGGAGTTGACAAGAATTTGTAACTCGAGGTTTGTCACTGTAACCCCCGCCCTCCTGTGGCTGGGTACTAGTACATACACACTACTTCTTTGTACATATAGTACCCGTGGACAATATTAGATGACAAAGGCAAATGAGCTCTGGGGCTGGTTGCCACTAGAATAAGGAGTGATACGTCATGCCATACAATTTCATACCTTGGAGCAATATAAACTGCGAGGTATTTGGAATTAAAGGACTCATAGAGTAAGGCGAGGCTGTGGCGCGACAGTGTAGTGGTATCCAGCTTTATGGCGTCTGGAGGCTGAAATCATTAGCCCAATAGGTACGGAGTACTCCGTACTTAGTAGATACTTCAGTAGATTTTAAGGGATCAACTTGAACATGAGATCACTGCAGCTTAGAAAATCTGTGAAATATTAGAGAATAATGTGTGCCCAACATCTTGGCGCACCTTTTTACAAGTTACAACTGTGAATGTCCAATGTTCAGGCGAACATAGGATCTATTGATGTTTTATCTCATGGAGTCCTCACCGTAAGTCCAGCCCCGGAAGCTAAAGCCCGTTTACTTAAGGCCTTGTTACTGTGCATTAGTTCCATTTCGCGAAAGTCTAATGCAAATCAGTGGGCTTGAGACTCGTAAAATCTTGCCGTCTTACTACCTATGCAATCAATTTATCTGTACCTACCACTCCCTACTACATTCTAAAGTTTCAGCCTCAGCCTCCATAAAGAATCGAAAAACTCTGGTTCCGTGAAGTATTACAGCCCCCACGGCAACCTCCGTAAGCAGGGAATACGAGCCCAAAACTTCCGCCTTACAAAAACTCCACCTGCTTCTTCCCTCAACCCTGTGAACAATATTTCCATCATGATGCGCCGCAAAGAAACATATACCAACATCACTCCAATCCCCTCCTGTGTACCCCGCCAACTGGCCCTGGACATCCTCCACAGCCACAGCGAGATCATCACACTAAACCCACTGGTGCTCACGCACGAACCAATCAGAGCCCCCCGCAACGCCGTTGCAGATGAATATTACTCCACGTGGTACGAGATTACCGAACGAGTCCAATATGTCCCCGGCCTGGGCAAAATGGGCTCTGGCAAAATCTGCTTCAAAGGCTGCTTCAACAATGTCCCCTGGGGTCTACAGACCCACATGTACGCGCCCATGGGCATCGACCTGCAAAGCAAGTGGCGGATAGGAGGAAACCAGCCCGACGAGCCGCCCGAAACATGGGAACGGCGGACCGACGGTGCCCCGCAGAATGGGCTGTATCTGCGTGAGGATATTGAGATTGAGTGTAATCGGACGTTGATCTCTTTTGTCAAGAATCAGCTCAAGGCCGCGTCGAAGGTTTTGGTGGATCGGCTTATTAAAAAGGCTGAGTTGTTGGATGCTGGTATTTTGGAGGCGATGATGGAAGATGGTAAATTGAAGACGTTTAATCCGGCTGATCGGAGTGGTCAGGGCTTGCGCCCTTCGTACTCGACTCGTTCGAGGAGATACTCGGATCAGATGTCTTCGGCTTCGTCGTGTTATGAGCCCAGGTCGCCGGTGTCGGTGTCTGCGCAGAGATACTCGTTGCCGCCGAAATATGGACCCGAGTCGAAGAGGGAGGTGGCCTTTGAGTTGCCTGCGGATTATTACCATCCAGCGCCGAGTGCTGGGGGTGCGCAGGAATTGTCTGACTCGACGAGAAATCTGCACTCGAAACCTGCACCGTTGGACATGGGTCGCGCTGAGTTGCCTGCCACTGAAGAAGTTTCTGAAGAGCGGGAGACTGAAGACTTGCCTTACAGGCCTTACAGGCCGAGGGGCTAGTTCGTCTGTATTTCTGTATTAATGCCGGGGGTAGTTGGTCTATGTTTCTGATCTTTGCTCCTTATATTTGCACTGGTTTTCCTGTTCATTGTCGATTGGAGGGCGTCTGGGTTGGGTATATCGTCCTCTCACGAATTTATGATTGCTATTAGATACCGAATATCACAAAAGCTCATGCTCCTACATGCAATTGCTTCTTTGCAGTGTCTTACTCCAGTCAAGTTGAACTCTAGCAACAATAGTCGAATCTACATGAGGCCTGGGCAAGTGTTGATGGTAATGATAGTATTATCTGGTAGGTCCCAATATCGCCGTGGGTCCAGTAAAGTGATATCTCTGCAGAATGAAGAGCGCCATAGAATGAATCAGACAATAAAAAGCGCCAAAGATCGAAACATACAAACACAAATAACTCGCAAACGCGTCGTGGTATCATGCAAGTAATTCACAAATATCAATAACTAACGCCGCGATCCTCCCTTGATAATTCCATCCTCCCCTTTGTGTAGCTTAACTCGGCACTGGGGACAATACCACTTGGCAGTCCGAGAAGGAGGCTCAGTCAAACCCACGCAATCGAGGTGGAACCATTCACGATCACACTGCGAATAATTAGTTTTTTTTCCTGTGATATCAGGAAAGCAGAAATCAACTTACATCTTGGTTTTCACAGCATATCATTGTTCCGAAACTGACATCCCCGCATAGGCAATAGCGGGGCTCATTAGCGTCGATTTGCTCGAGGACGCCATCTTCATCCACACGAACGTCTTGGGAATCACGAATGTTGATACGTTTCTTGCCAGGCTTGGCCTTGCGTCGTCCAATACTAACTGCCGCACCACCATCTTGACCAGTCGAAATAGGTCCTGGGGCAGGGCGTTTGCGTCGGCGAGTGGGACCGGCACCGGTGGGTCCATGAGATGATTCGCGAACAGGAGTCTTTTGGGCAGGTGTAGCGCTCTTAATGCGGCGGTCTCGTCCACTTGCTGCCACGGCTGTAGGTATGCTGCCGAGAGTTCCAAGAGCTCCACCCTCAATCGAGGTGGCAGCGACGGATCTTCGCGACGAAGGCCGTGTAACAGGTGGTGTAGGGGTAGTGATGGGTAGGACAAAGGATCGGTTGGAGCGTCGGGATCCTGTGGGGCTGGGGGGAGGTGGGGATGTTTTTGTTTCTGTCGGAGGGGAAGCTTGAATCTTGATCTGAGGGGCAGGTTCATCGGTGGGTTCTGGGGCTGTGGCAGCTCCTCGGCTGGATTTGCGCCTAGACGGGCCAGACCGAGAAGGGAGTGCTGTGGGAGGGGCAGGGGGTGCGGGGGCAGGGGGTACAGGAGGGGCAGCGACAGGAGCGGGAATGGGGATAGGGGCGGGAACAGGTGTTGGCGGTTCTGCAGAAATGGCGTCCAATTCATCGATGGCCACCTCATCCAGTTTTCTCTTTCGCGATGATCGATTGGTGACCGGGGTGGCTTGCACCGGACTTGGTAAGGATCCAGGCAAAATGACTCCGTCACCATCCATCAATGCTTGTTCACGGGCGAGCTGTTCGCGTTTCAATTTCTTCGCTTCGTTCAATTTCATCCCGCGATTGCTCAATTTCGTTTCTTCCAGATCCTTGGCAGTCTGGCTAGGTCTCGTCTGTTCAATGTTGTCGCAATCAATGAATTCTGTTCCGGTCTCTTCGGCCACAATCTTAGCGGCACGATACGCTTCCCATCCACGATTAGCCAGAGCTAGCTCGCGGTGTATCATAACCTCGCTAGGTTGCCACACTGCGTTCTTCTTCATCTTCTTTCGTAGCCTAGTCATTTCCCATTCAGTTAATCGAAGCCAAGGTAAATCTTCACTGCCCAATTTGGCATCAGTCGGCGGCGGTTTCAATTGTGCAAGGGCCTGAGCCGTCGACTGTGCAGCACCCGAACTTGGGCGCCGCGCCTTCTCCTTCTTGGGGGGTCTAGGTTTGGGAGCCGCTCTGGCAATTTCACCGTCAGCATCCGACTGCTCAGTACTGGCAAGAGGAGAATCCGGATCGAATACCCCCTCAACGATTGAATTGCGTCGCCTCTTGCCATCTCGGCGGTTGCGATTATCCAAACGAAGGGTGATACGCGTCGTGGGTTCGCGATTGTTCTTCTTGTTTCCACGCGAGCGTTTCGGAGCGGGTTCTGGGGGTGGAGTTGGCTCTTCCGAGGCAGGCTTGGGTAGGTCATCGAGCTTCTGGCGAATACAGCCCAACCGTTCGTAATGGCGGTCCACCACATCGGAGAGGCGGCAAGCTTCCGCGTACGAGGATTCACGCGCATTGATGGCGCGATCCAACTGAAACGAGATATCCCTGCGCAGATCGATTGGGTCTTGTCGCTCGTCTGCAGGAAGATTTGGGAGTTGACCGTAAACCTGGGTGAGCTGGTGAACAGCTTGCGCCGAGTCTTCGTATCGCTCATCGAGGTTACGGATCAGGGTCAGGGAGCGCATAATGTCGGCGGGGAGGTATTCGGTGTAGTCAATGAAGTCTGTGACTGTAGCTTGAGCGTCTGGGTCGAAGGGGCCATCGAGGATGACCCCTCCGCTGTCGTCTGTCTCATCGGTCATGGGCATCGTACCGTTTGCAGTGCTCATAGGTCGCTCAGTGATGTTCTGTGGATCTGCAGCAGACCGTTGTAGAAAGCAAGCTGAGGTGCAAGCAGTTGAAGAGGCGGAGACCGTGGGGTGGCCTGGACATCCGATAACATCTGGGGAGCTGAGCAGCGCAAACACGGCGGATCATTGTTGATGCGAGAAATCTCGGGGGTATAGTTTTCCCGGTTTTATGTCAGCAGAGCTGTCAGGTGGGGTCATTTCCTGTTTAGGCAGGTGGGTCATAACGCTCTACTTGTCACGGGTTTACTTTGTTTGCTTTCTCTTTTCTCTCCATTGACCCTTTACTATATATGATTGGGATATTCTACATAGAGATCATGCAGGTACCTGTGATCATTCAGTCCCAAATTCATTCTTCACTTGCTTGGAGGTCTCTACGTGTATAGGATAGAGTATCCCTATATGCAGGTACAAGATGTAAACATGTAGGATGGGATGCACCCATCGTTCCTTCCGAATTCAAGCAACTTCCGGATTGCCAAATCCATGTCTTCGCGTTTGTTGACATCTTTCTTTCTCTTCTCTCCATCCGCTGATCAAACAAGATGGCCTCAAAGCAGCCTGCCAAGCTGGTGGATGCCCGTGATCGCCTCAAGCATATCTTTCAGGGAGATCCACACGCTATGGAGCTGGACGCCGGTCTTAACCGTCGGACTCAAGCAGAAAACGTCCGCCCGAAACGATTCACTGCTCCAGCGATACATAAACCAGGAGTAAGTGACTCTTGTCCTGAGTTTGATTTTGATCCCGTTTCTCCCGTGGAGGTTCCCTCCAACACCCTGTGCAATTTTTCCTACATCCGCTCCCATGTGATTGGTACCCAAGTCGCAGATGACAGCTATTTGACCGAACTCGATCAGGATCCCAGTTCTGCCAGCTGCACCCCGGATCAGAGCCCAAATGTGAAGGAATCCTCAGATAAATCCGACTCTGATGATGACCTCGAGGATGAGGACACCCTGACCATGCCTTCGGGCACACAAGACCCGGAAATCTCCAACCCGACGTCTTTTACCTCCGCTGTGACCATGGCCCGCTATGCCGTCAAATATTGCAGCGGTAAATTAGCCAAGACCGTCTCTACTCGATTCTACAATGGTGGCAAATTCTGGAAACGCACCTGGGATTTGTACGTGGCGTCGAGGGAGAAAAGGCAATACTGGATAGAAAACTGATTCCCTTCATACTAGGTATCATCTGCCAGTTCCCAGGGCTGTTTCCAAGAGGCCGTTCCTTCTTATTCCCACCGAGCAGGCCCAAGCCCTGCTGGATGAAATCAATACCGCCACAAACTTCCGTCTGACCCTCACCGGCCCAGGCAAGAAAGGTCTTGTGCTTGAATTCACCGATGAAGAGCTTGAGCTTTTCCACCCAAAGTTCATCGGCCGGTCGAGCTGTGTTGAGCAAAAGGATTCGCTGGTGGCACTTCTCCCACCACCCCTGGACTCTTGGGGTGATTGGTCAATCGAAGATATGCCATGGGCCTTGTGCACATACGAGCTCAAGATCAAACAATCCATTGGCACTATCAATGTCGAAAAGGACGCTGACAAGCAGGCAAGGAAGGAGAAGCGAGAGGCCGCCAACAAGAAACTAGAGATGTGCTTTGGCCGCGTTGCAGCCTACTTTGGGTTGCGGCCTGCATTGAAGGAAGGTGTTGAGCAGCCCTCATTTGCCAACGGTGAACTCAAACCAATTGATAGTTTGAGCCCCGCTCAGTTCAATTTCCAAGATAAGCCGATCTTCATCAGCCTTGATACCGAGTGGATGGAGGACAGTGGTACCCTCACGGAGGTTGGAATATCTGTTCTGGACACAGACAATTTGCAAGGAGTGGTCCCAGGCGATTTTGGTCATATGTGGCTGTCGCAAATTCAAGCCCGGCATCTGCGTATGGAAGAGTACCGATTCCATGTCAACACGAAGTATCAACAGGGCTGTCCTGACTACTTCAACCATGGCAAGAGTGAATTCATTCAGAGCGCAGATATTGCTGAGGTGCTCAACGAGGTGTTCTCGCCCTCTCCTCTGGTGGTAGCCGGCTTTGAGCAGAAGCGAACGGTAATTCTTGTCGGAGTGAATCTCAGTAACGACATTGATATTCTCCGGCGCAAGAACTGCCAGGCCTTTCTTGAGCTGGACCCGTCTCTGCCACCTCCTTGTTCCCCTGTCATTCACGAGGTCATCGACGTATCTCAGCTATACCGGATCTATTCCGGGGATCTTCAGCCTCCAGGATTGGCAAATCTGTTGAGAAATCTGCAGATCATCGGACGAGACCTGCACAACGCCGGAAATGATGCATACCACACCTTGGAGGCTTTGGTACGACTCATGCTTCAAGCAGCTGGTGAGAAGCCACAGTCCTATGATGCGCCTGCATTTCCACTGGTGTTGGAGGGTGAAAATACAGAATGTGTGCAGGCTTCCTCTGAGCAGGTTCAAGGCAAGGCCGATACTTGTGAGAACGAGGAAGACTTGCTGCTGTAGATCATGAGATTACAGCTGATGGTAGAGACTTTTCGGGCTTCGGCTTGCAGTCTTGCGGTCTATGATTGTGGGCTGCCTGAATCTGTCAGTTGAATGTGCTTGAAATGAAATAAGTGCGCCAGATGAAATGAACGAAAACACAAAAACAAAGGGGTTTTGAACGAATAGTTTATTAGCTACAATTAATATCTGCGCCATAGTTGTCTTCGTGCATTTTATACTGTAGATTCCTGTAGATTCCAATGAGGCTCTCTGACGACATAACCACGTTCATCCCACTATCGCCCCCACATCCCACCTTAATTTAATCTTAACCTCTGATCTCGATCTCAAAACATCACCATACCTACATCAGGTGGGAAAAAAGGGAAAATGACAACCCAAGGCCCCCTAACAGCATACCTGCTATCAAGCACCCCCAATGCGCTCACACGCGCAACAACACACCCATTCCTCGCCGCCGCCGGCCGAGGAACCCTCCCCAAACCCCTCCTGAGCCAATGGCTCTCCCAAGACCGACTCTACGCGCAGTCCTACATCCGTTTCATAGGCCTTCTCCTCTCCAAAATCCGCCTCCCAACCCAAAACCCATCAACAGTGCCCCTTCCATCCAGTGAACACAACGCAATCAACGTCCTCATCGACGCCCTCGTCAACATCCGCACTGAACTAGCCCTCTTCGAAAAAACTGCCGCAGACTACTCCCTAGACCTAACAGCCATCTCAGCAGAAGAAGGTGGCTGCACTCTTACCTCCTGCGGCTCCGGTTCCTCAATCACTACTTCAGCCGGCATTTCCACCGCCGGCTCGGGAAGTACCCCGGGTCTCACAGGCGGGTTCATCGGCAAAGCCCTCGTCGACAACGGCAATGGCAACGGTAATGGCAACGGTAATGGCAACGGTAATGGCAACGGTAATGGCAACGGTAATGGCAACGGTGCTATGAGTGCAGTCGCAGCACAACACGCCCTCTGTCTTTCGCAGGGTGAATGTCAAATGCCATCCAATGGCGAAATCTGTATTCCCACTGAACCCCTGGGCAAACCGCGAACCGCGACGCCAGAACCCGCTTCCATCTCTGCTTCTGGGGGACCTGGCTCTGGGTCTAAGGCTGCGTTGGAGAAATGCGGGACTATTTTCTTCTGCGCTTCTCGCACTACAAAGGCATATATTGATATGTTTATGTCCGCAGGGAGTAGTGGGGTTTCGGTTGTGGAGGGGTTGGCAGTCCTTTGGGCTACGGAGGTATGTTATCTTCGGTCTTGGAGGTATGCTGCGCGATGTATGCGGGAGGATGTATCTTCTGGGGATTATAGTTGTGATGCAGATGGGGGTGCGTTGAGGGAGAAGTTTATTGAGAATTGGTCTAGTGTTGAGTTTGAAGGGTTTGTGAATCAGATTGGGGATGTTTTGGATGAGATGGCGGGGCAGATTAAGGGAGCTGAGGAGTCGGAGATTATGCGTGGGAGGTGTTTGGAGTGGTGGAGGCAGATTGTTTGGTTGGAGGAGAGGTTTTGGCCGGATGTTTAGATTTTATTCTGAAGTTCTAACTTGAGAATGGGTGGTTTATGTAGATAAATAGACTGAAAAAGTAGACTGGGTACGCAATATGTTTTCTGCAATTTTAACAATGTTGTATGCTATACACCTGGCTTGGGAAATAGTGACAAGCCATCTATCCGGATGAGAAAACAGAGATCCAACAGTAAGAACAGGAAAAGAATAAAGAATAAACGCCGAGTCCATAGCCCAAGAAAGCAAAACATATTTGAACTCCGTTCCTTGCTCCCAAGATCCCAGGTCAATAGCAATGGATGATTCCGAAAGCAAATAAATACGTTGAAAGCCACCAACACCAGTCGTAATGCGAAGGCATAGAGCCAACACTAAACACATACATCAAAACATTCTACCCACTTCCCATGGCTAGAAAGTGGACATGTTATACATCAGATAGACACTGTAAGGTCAACTAAGTAGCAGTCGCACGGGCAGCATTGCTTAGTTGACGATGGTATGAGCCGATAGCCGGGAAGCCCCTGTAAAAAAAAAAAGATGGGTCAGTGATTTGAAACTATCAAATGCGATCAAAGGACATACCGAGCAATATCAAAACCAGATGTATCCTCCTCATCATCTTCGTCAGCAAGAGGTCCCTCCTTGTGGGAATGGGAGCCATTGGCACCCAAATCCGGCTCCGTCTTCATGGGCGGCAGAGTTCGACCGGGGCCCAACCCATTCGATGTCCCGGGTTTACTGGGACTGACCAAGTTTGGCGGAGGAGGGCTACTACTCGGGAACCCGCCAATGATGCGGTCCTCGACCTCGCCCTTGATTGGACTCATGTCTGGTGGAGGGCGGGCAGGGGTACTGCCGATATCGGCGAATTTCCAAAATTGAGCAGGCGAACTCATGGGCATGAACTTGGAGGGAATTTGCGCTGTGCTCGGGGGTGGGAGACGAGGTTGTTGGCGTTGAGGAGCAGGGGTGATCATTGAAGAGGGTTCTTCGTTGTAATAGGATGATGAGAGGACGGGAGGAGATCCGGCAATGTTGTCAGACATTCCATATGCGCGGGCAAGATTGTTGCTACTGTTTTGGACCTGCGTTGAAACACTGGAGCTGGGATTGTGCGTGCGGGCCGGGAGTGGGGATGGTTCATCGTAATCGCGTGGGTTCATGTGTCGCAGTGGATGATCGGAACCAACTCCACGGCCGAGTCGAGACCCGCGCTCGGGTGTGTAGGCTTCCACTGGAGCCACGGGGAATGAACTGAATCCGGGAGATGACACGGGTGGCGACTTCTTCGCGGTGGCAGAGAAAGATGTGTCCAGCTTGCTGACGCGGGCTCCACGGGTTGCGGAAGAGGGGGGTTCTTTAGCTGCTGGCGATGATGGAGCGGAGGACAAAGTGTGGCCTTTGCGGGTTTGTTTCTTCCGGTATTCTTCCCTGTACTCTGCCGCAATCTGCCATTTCATACCCTTTCCAGGTTCATCGGTGCGCCGGGGGACTTTTTGGAACGCCTTGTTCAACGAGAGGTTATGTCGGATGGAGTTTTGCCAGCCGCTTTGTGAATGGCGATAGAAGGAATATTTGTCCATGATCCAATTGTAAATGCTGTTCAGGGTAAGTTTCTCTTCTTCGCTGGAGAAAATCGCCTGGGCAATCAGTGTCGCATAACTGTACGGCGGTTTCAAATCCTTTGCGGCATCCTTGCTGTAATCGATTTCCTCTGTGCTTTCCATCATCATACCGCGGTTATAAAGCGGGGATTGCTTCGCAGTGCGCTGTCCCACGGTATCAGGTGATCGCGGTGGTGGTGTAACCTGGCGCTTGAGGAATTGAGGAGCCGGTGCCAACGAAGGCCCACCAGAGGAGGATGGCCGTACTTCCTCGCCGGCCTGGGATGGCTGCGAAGGATGCGCATGCTGTGAAGCGTCCCAGGACACCGCAACGGGGTCCTGCTCCTGGCCACTAGCGATGCGCTGGGCGCGCTCGATAAAGCTCGGGTGTATGTTGGCCTCGTCGCCAGGCGTGACGAACATCATTTGCGTATTGGATATCTCAATGATGTCACCACATGACAACACTGCATCCGTGCCGCGCTTCACAATGCCATTGTTCAAGCGCACACCGTTTCGCCCGTTGACGCGAATGTGCCAGGCGGGTGTCTCCTCTCCGTCATAGAAGATCTCCGCATGCAGTCTGGATACAAATTTACTGGGGCCCAAGTCGACATGAACATCTGGTAGCGCACGGGCGGCTATCGTAACCGGGCTTGACTGTTCGGTAGTCCTCTGTTCGCGGTCCGGTTCCCGGCCGATGTTGACATGCAATGTTTTGACGTAGTAGGTCCAGTTGCGGCCTGCAATCTTGGCATAGGCTTGGATACGCTGGGTATTCTCGGTTTTGGTGTTTGAATGGTCGCGGGAGACGCGCAATTCTTCGCGGGGAGTGTTCAAGTACGAGATCACGAGATCCACCAGATCTTGATTGGAGGCTGGTTCGTGATCGCCCGTTGAGTCTTCGGCCTCGTCGCCGGACTCTTGTTTGACAGTTCGTGAAGGAGATTTGCGCCGGTCGACCTGTTGCCCAAGAGAAAATTCGGATGTTAGTTCCTGCTTGCGCTGAAAGCCCGATCCCACTTCCACCTTATCTTGACTCACCTTGCGCTTCTTTGCGGAGGGTCGGCTAGGCGACGAGTCCGGTGCCTCTGCATCAGAGGTTTCCTGTAGTTGAACTTCCTTGCGCCGCGCGCGACGGCGGTTTGTAAGCGGCATCTCTTTGCGATCGTCGGGGTTTCCTCCGGTATGTTATCGGTCGTAATCACAAATGACGATATGTGTGTGTTTTTCCAATTTTAATTTTTTGTGTGTTGACCAGTGCAATGTCAAACAAACGGAAGTAGGAATGAGAGGCGACCAGGCGACCTTTGGAGGCGAAAAAACAGAGAGAAAAACAAAGTCAGGTCTGGATCCGGATTTGAGCGCCCCAGCCTCGGAGGGTAGGTAGAACCACAGAACGAGTGCCGAAGTCCACAGATTGGGTTTGCCACCGAAAGAAATAGAGAAATGGAGAAATGGAGAAATGATGAAACAAGGAGGAAATCCAACCCCAGATCAAAAGGGAACACAGCGCCAAAAAAAAAACGACCTTGAAGTGTGTGGATGTTATTATCGATAATCCCTCGATCGACGCGATGGCGTTTGGGGTTACCGCCTTGTCGCGTGGGAAGTATAGCCAAGAGAGATCAAGAGAGATCAAGATCAACCACTTGAGTAAGAGACACTGACTAGAAGAGTCAAATGTAAAGAGAAGAGGAAAAGAGAAAAGAGAACACAAAGTGTACAAGAGGAAAATAAATCACCAGTTTGTGCTAGGATGACCGTAAACAGTGTTGGGTCAGAACAGTGTATACTTACAGGGAAGGCCACCGATAGGCGGAGAAAAATCGGAAATACCAATACAAACAGTATGGTGGCATTGATTCCGATTGCGGTTGGGTGTCATTGACTGGATTCAGAGAGAATTTGATTTGATTTGATTCTAGTGATTCTAGTGATTCTCCTGTTGGCTGATCTTCATGTTCATGTTCATGTTCATGTTCATGTCAATATTCATGTTCTTATTCTTGTTGTTGTTCTTGTTACTTGTTCTCATATCACTTACAAAATTAAACATACTTAAGTATAACTAGGGCTCTATAAGAACTACAACTAAAGATTAAACTCAACAAAAGCACGTCTTCCGTTTGCGTCACTCCCCGGATGCAGGCTAGTTCGGGAATGCTGCGTTGCCCGTTTAGGTCTGACATGTCGATCCAGAAGGCAACGGCAGTGGATCTCATGTCGCATTATCTTACAGTCTACTACCCGAAAGCTACGCAAACAATTGTCATCAATAGGACTGGATTGATTCTTATCATACATGGAAACAGAGTCCCTGGGTAGGGCATATAGAAAAAGAAAAAGAAAAATTGAATATAATCAATGGAGATTGGACAGCGCCATAGAAATAGAGAACCACAAGGAATTGAAAAGAAAACAGAGGATTCGGCAAGGAAGCAGATTGTCGTCACGGCGTTAGGAAAACAAAGAAACAAAGAAACACCCTTAAGAAGAAAAAATATACTACTCATCCCCAGGCATTTTAGAGTCTCCATCTTCATCCAGCCCACGTAATGTAGGGTAGAAGACAGCACTCTCCTTGGAATCCTCCTTGGGCTGCTCAGATGCAGCACGCGAGGCAGTCTCAACACCCTCCATGGCATCAAGCCCAGGTGTGGGGGAAGCAGAGGAACTCTGCACCGGAGCAGTCTGGCCATCAGCCTCCAGCAGTTCGGAGACCAGACGACGCAGGTTTTCCAGCAAGCGGACCTTTTCCACCCAGGCGACGTTGACGTCCCGTTCAGCCACCTCAGTGGCAGCCTGGGCGGTACGCTGAGCGACCTCCTGGTCCGGGTTGGATGAACCCGACAGAGCAGGGTCGATCAGACTCGCGGAGATGTGCATGGGGTGCTCCTTGGTCGGGGTGCGGTCTCCGTCCTTGGAGTCTTGAGAGACGTCCATGCGGTCCTCGGTGGCGGCTCGCTCGGCCGGCCGGGCGCGCTGCAGAGTGCCGCCGGTGTAGCGGCGACGGTCGTCGTGGTCATAGGCACCGCTGAGGGTGGATGGGGGAGCGGCCCCGGAGGCGGTTGGGTAGCCAGCCGACATGCTGTCTGCGACAGTGGCGGAGGGCAGGCGGGGGTACATGCCTGCACCGCTCTCGTGGGGAGGAGACACGCGCTGCGCGTGGTGCATGGAGATTGGGGAGCGTTGGGAGGTGTAGGACTGGGCGCTGGAGGGCGGGGTCAGGGCAGGAGTGCCGACTGAGGGAGAGTGGGCCTGAGCAGGCATCATAGGAGCAGAAGGAGTGGCAGTGACATGGCTAGGGGGAAGTTGGGTGGGAGGGGAGTGAGTGGCGCGGTAGTTCATGCCGCCATGAACGTAATGAGCACCGGGCTGGGCGACACCAGCGGCAGCGACGTTCTCATCGCTCTCGTAGATGGTGTTTTGCATCTGTTCCAGGAACTGATCGATGTTGAGTAGATCGTTCTTGGAGCGGACGTTGGACATCGGGGGAAGGTGGTAGCCAGGTGGCTGAGAGCCACCCGGGCTGTAACCACCGCCGCCGCCGACGGCGACAGACGCAGGAATTTGCTGGTACTCAGGCACAGGGCCATTGAGGATTGGTAGCTGGAGAGCCTGCAAGCCAAGAAGGCGCTGGCCGACGGCAGCGTAGGAGTTAGGGTCGAATTGGCGACGCTTGAGGTCGCCAAAGAACTCGTTCAACGCGTCGTAGCCGCGCTTGCGGTCATAGGCATGGTTCCCATCTTGGCCCTGGCTCAGGGCATAGTACACATTACCATAGGAATGCGGGTTGGCAGCCTGAGGAGGAGGGTGTGGTTGATAATACTGCGGAGCAGCGTGTGCATACTGGCCATTAACACCGTTGATCGGGCTCTCAAAGTAATGAGTGGCAGCAGCATATCCCTTGGGGTTTTGTGGGAACATCATATCCGGGTGCTTCATGCCGGGTTCGGGGGACCGAATCTCGGAGTCGTCGGCGTGGGTCTTGACATGTTTCTTCAGATCCTGCGGGCGCTTGAACGCCTTCCCGCAGAAGTCACACTTGTGAGGCTTGAGTGGCACATGCACCCGGATGTGAGAAGTGATGTGATCCCGCTTGACAGTGGTGGTATTACAGGTACCCCACTGGCAAGTCAGGTTGAGGTTGTTAGTACTCTTGCGACCGACGTGGCGTTCGCAGACATGCTCCTGTTTGAGGGGAAGGTCGGTTAGTCGATGATTTACGGCGATGACTCGAGTGAGCTTACATAGAGAGCCTCGGCGGTAGGAGACTTCTCAGTACATCCAACCCATTGACACGGCAGCTGCTCGCCGACCCCGTTCATGGAGGGGCTGTTGACCGCTGCGGTGGCAGCGGCAGCGGTCGCAGTGACTGCGGCCGCGGAGGCAGCCGTGACCTGGATCGGGGGCTCTGCGACAGGGGCCGGCAAGGTCGCAGGCTGCGTAGTAGAGGGGGCAATATTGTTTTCCGTCATGATGCCAAGAAATTGCTTTGGTGTTGGCGGACTGCCCAGACACGGCCAGCAACAAAAAGGATGTCAAGCAAAAGGTCTTCCCAGGAAGTAACTAGCAAAAACTAGAACAAGAATAATGGGCCTCACGTCTATAAGTATAGTCAAAAGTGTGGAGGAATATAAGGAGAAAGGAAAAGAAAGAGAAAATGGGGGGGGGGTTCTCCGCAGAAGAGGAAAAGGAGCCGAGCCTTTGCCCAGAAAAACGCGCTTTGCTAAGCCGGGCGGAGTGTGACCAAGAAAAAGGGACACAAGTAACGAACGGGGGGCCAAGACGCGCGTGGAGCCCAAGACCCGAGAGGCGTTGGCGTCTTGGCTTATGACTGGTGGACCGAGGGGGGTGATTTCGCATTCCAAACTTAACACGTTGAGAATATTCCGTTGGAATTGCATTAGTGACGCTGTAATCCTTGTAGACGGACCTTACTCAGTCGACTTGACTACAATACACTAGACACTCTCATCGTGGAAATAATCTCGAGACCAAATCTAGCATAGTGCGCTTTCGGATACATCATTCCTGGGACTAGGCAAACACAATAGTAATTTTATCACATTCCCCTTTCTTTATCTTCCAGCCAAGTAACCCAAGTACTCCCTATGGACAACGTGAAACGGAACAGGGTAACCACTGGAGAGAGTATTGGCGCCAATTTGCCAAGCCAAGTGAAATGTCCCATGGGGCAATGCCTCTTGGCAGCCAAGTAATTCCTCTTGCCAATAATTCCCGCTCCGAACACCAAGACTCGAAGTCTTGGGGTCTTGGTACCCCCTCGCTACCATCCCTTCCAGACAAAACGTATGAGTCGTCACATTAATGTAGCTGCCTGGTTTTGTCCTTGATCACGGTGCTGCATGAGTCGGTTGGGTTCGGATCTCGAGTGGAGTTACGGAAGGATCTAGCCATATACGCCTATATTCCCCTCTACTATAATCCTAGTCTCGCAATTTTACTACGAGTACTATAATCTACTCGTAGTCTATTTCTGATGGTACTATAATCTAGACCTTTGATTCGTTTCAAAGCCCAAGCCCCCCAACAGGTCTAAGCATTCCACAATAAGGTGTTGCGGAGTAGGGAGAGAGCACTGCAGGAAACCAAGTCTTGGCCCACGTGCTCTCACCTCAGCGGCCTCTTCCATTTGGGCTGGTACCAACTCCAAATATTCAATCCAACCTTAGTCCCCTTGGTGACCGGGAACCCAGCGTGCCATGTCTCCGGATACCCCGTCCCATCGGCCCGAAGATTCTCCCAAAATACCGCATTGCCCTTAATAGGCTTGAACGTGATACCTTCCGTCTTTTCTCCATCGGTTGTGCCCTGATCGCACTCCAAAAACCGACACCACCCCTTCCCAGCCGGCATTTTCAAACGTGGGAAATTCGTCCCCCCACCCTCGCAGTCCGCATCAAGATATACCATGAACGTACTCAATCGATCCCCGCCTCGCGCCAGCGATCCCGCCCAGTCATAATGGTGCCGGTAGTGGCCGGAGGTATTGTAGCGCTGAGCCCACATACGCTCGATGTAAAGGTTCGTGCGCCAGCCCTGGAAAGCGCGGGCGCGATCCTCCAGACACCGAACTGTGTCGTCACGGGGGAGCAAGGCACGGTCGGAAAGGCGTTTAGACGGGTCCACGCGTTCCGTCTGGCCATCGTAGACGATAGATGGTGTATACCTATTCACGCTTTTGTTTTTCGCGTCAGCATGTGGAACGTAGTGGTCTTTGTAATAGATTTGTTCTCGACCTACCTCATGTCCAGGATTCGGTTTGCTTCGTTCTCTGATACGAAGTTCTCAATGTACATGATCAAGGGCGCGCGCGACAGTAAATGGACCCGGTATCCCTCGGCATCGGGACATGTGAATGGCACACCATCTTCGGGGCTGATGAAGCTGTCATCGGTGAGGTTGATGCCTGGTCCTGGGGCGCCGCTCTCGTCGAAGAGGTCTTCGTCGGTGTCTGTTGGGAGTAGGCTGGGGAAGAATCCGCGTAGAAGCGGATCGATGACAAAGAGGTATATAGGGATGAAGTACAGGGCCCAGGTAATGAGTGTGGAAATCTTCGGGATGGATGCCATTGGGGCTTCTATAGATAGCAGCTGGCCATGCAGCTGTAGTCACGGTACGGGGAGTACGGACAGCAATGAGGGCCTGCTAGGTCCGACCGGGGCTGGGTCTGGATGTTGTTCTGTTCGAGTCCTGTGTTCAATAGAAAATAAGATTTTAGTGTGATTCAAATGTCCATGCGAAGTGCATTTGAGCAGCACTAAGTACCATGTCGATCGAAGGGAGCCCTGGAGAGGACGGGTCGTTGGAGATTAAGATGGTTTTTATCTACGGCGGTACGGAGGACTCCATACGGAGAATTTACTATACATAGCCGACTTCGACTTCCCAATTGTTCTTCTCACACCTAAAGTACTCAAGTAATCTACGATAGAACCAGGGACTAGGGTGTTAAAAGTAGCACAATAAAGACCCCCAGAACTTCCGGTTCGTATTGTAAGCCCTGAAGTTGGGGTAAATCTACCCCAGGGCTCGCACACACGAGCAACAGACCCAATTGGGACTCTTATTAGTTGGACCCTTCGTATTCCGAGAAGAAAATGTTTCAGTTCGAGTACCACTGAAGTCATGGTGCTGAGGCATGTGCTTTTTGAGGCCATAGCCCTGGGTGCCGGCCATCACATATATAAAGGGAACCAATCCCCAAGAAACGACAATCACATCCAGAAAACAGTAAACCAGTAAACCAATCATTCCAAAGTTCAAGACTTCGGACACTCTCCACAATGCACTTCATCCAAGCCCTATTCACCCTCCTAGCACTGGAGACCAGCGTTGCGACAGCCGCAGCTCTCAACCCTCGACAGGAGCTAACACCGGCAGCCGCAAGCGGATTGCAAGGAGGTGTAAGTATACTGCAAAGAGGATTGGAATATGTCTATTGATATAAATCAAATAGGACTGCAGCCTGGCGACCCAGATCTGCACATTCCGTGCAAACGGCAACCGACAGGCCAAGTGCAATGCAGCTGTACGTTGATGAGGCCACTTACGCGAAATGAAAACGATGACTGACGGAATTAGGCACCATGCAAGAGCGAGGGATCTGGCTGCTTGGGCTTCACCTGGTCCAACGAGGCGGACTGCTATTAGCTGGACTGAAGATTGTTCATTTTGGGACAAGGAAATGCAGGCAGTCCATGAGGGTATCGGTCTTGGAAGATCATCGATTGCCTGATAGTCTACTGAGCAGGACGGTAGTTTTAAATCTGAAATGGATCTCATTTCCTTGATTTGCTTTCAGCCTCAAAGACACCGTTTGCTCATGGCCTTGGGGGCCCCGGAGACAGACGAGTGTGTACTCCAGTAGCAGTCATGATGTAGATGCCATGGCTGCACTGAGAAGCTGGAGACCCGAATTAGACAAATAAAGATGCAAGTAAAATATATTTATGTATATAGCTGAACACGAAGGAAAAAGAAGCAAACGCCAACCACCAGGTATCAACGGTTTTTACATCAGAATTTTGGCTTTCATAATAGCATGTCTCATATAGAGCAAAGAAGTCACATACCAAGAGCAGAATCAGGTGTTGGTATTCATCCACTGAGTCCACTCGTCATTCGAAGCGTTGCCAGGTCGATAAGCAGCATTGTTGCCGAAAAGATCATCAAACGAGATCCCCAAGTCCATATTCATGCCCATGTTCTCATCTATGCCAACATTCATATCTGGGACTTCATTCTGCATCCGGTTCGGGTCTGACATCTCTGGTGGATGTGGTACAGACTCAGCAGCCATTTGATTCGGGTCGCTGGGCTGGAAGTTGTAACTTTGCCAGACGAAGTTTTGATTCGGGATGGAGACCAGGTCTGGACTACCTAATGCGTCGATTGAGGATTGGCTTTGGGAGATAGGAGACTGGATGCGAGATGAACTTCGGGAATGAGAGGGGCGGAGGTGACTTGGGACTGGTGGCTTGTACCCCTGGTTATGTCCGATTGAGAAGTTCGAGAGATTTGTGAGGTCGAATGGTGGAGTGGAAGATCCGACGCTGTGATCGCCTGGGGTTGTTGGGCCCATGCCTGTACCCTGTAACGAATCGAAAGGATACTGTGATGGGAGTCCGGACTCGTGGCGGAAGTGATCATCTTCCAAGGTGGACATGGGCTGTGTGGGATATGCGAATGGATCGTCAGATGGGAACATCATAGGCATGAGATCCGGAAGATTGGCGGGGTTGGTGAATTGCTGTGCCCATGCTAGGCTTGATGGGTCTTGACTGGAAATGGAGGGGTTCATCGATCCGGCTGAAGAGATATGCTCCGGGGTAGTCATAGTTTCTGTCAACAGCTCCGGCGTATTGGAGACCCATGAAGATTGATTACTAGCATCGGTCGAACGATTGTTGATTTGGGCATTGTCCAGACTCTGTTGGCGGCGATTATGTGTGTCTCTTGGAATTTGCTGTTGCATCATCTGCGTCGGGAAGGTACTTGATCGATGTGGCAGCGTCTTCTCTGCCAGGGGCTTAGGTTCGGGCCCCGAGGTGTGGTCTGGTGCGGCCCGCTTGCGGTTGACAGGAGGTTTAGAGCTCTGGCGATTTTTCAACATCTCAGGTAGGGTCTTGAAGAGACACTGTCCAGCAGTCAGTAAAGAAAGTACATAAGAAAGATACTCTGCGAAAACGTACGTTCAAGCTCTGAGAGCACCGGTCGGCGGCCAAACTTTTCTTGGCCAGCCCGGCTAGAGTGTGCTTGCCCTCCATGGCATCCTTCAGGACGCCGTCCTTGGCGGTAGGAGAATCCGGGTTTTCGATGACAAAGAACAGCAAGGAAAGGATAGAGAAGTAAGTCGTGTACATGGTGAACCAGAACGATCCGTTGAGCAGACCTCTCTTCTGCATGCCAGTGGTGATGTGAACGATGTTTCTGGACACACTAACGCATGCAGCAGCGCAAGCATAAGACCTCTTGTCCACACCCCTGGCTTGTGAGCCCCCGGATACGTAGTGGAGGAACGGACGGTACATCACCATCTGTACATGGGCGTAGCTGATACGGAGCAATTGTCGGACACTAAAAGTATGTTAGTGGGGCTGAATAGATGTGTGGACGATGCAGATGAACTGACCGTTCTAACTGGGGTGACACTTCCGTACCCGGTCGCAGGGCCGGGGGCAACTCCTCCATCCAATTTTGCAAATCCCGCTCAATTTCGCGAATCTTTGAATGGCTGACCATGTACCTTTGGTCTGATTTGGAGCGGTAGCGAGCATTCTTAACCGGATAGATGTATTTGACCACCTTCAGAATGATGACCGAAAGACGGGTATGCGCGTTGCATCCTGCCATCAGTGGCGTGTAATTGGATGGCGGTTGGGTGATTCCTTCCGTAGTGATGAAGTCTCCATCGACCTCAATTGGGTACTCCTGATCAATATCATCGTCACTCAACATTTGAGGGAGACCCAGCAGTGTGCTAACGTAGACATCCATCTTGCGCACGACCCAGAAGATGCGCTTTCGAAGTTCCCGCTCAATGGGATTAAAGTCTGCCGCAACACTGCGATGGAGACCCAGTCGAAGCGCCGAACGAAGCGCAATTCCTACATAGGAATAACACGTGCTTAGTTTGGCGGAAGATTGAAGGAAAAGAACCATGAAACAGATTGCCTGAAGAGAGGGCAAGTCGCGACAATCGGTAATCTCTAAAAGTTGTCGTCCAGCCTTGAAAAATTGGAATCTGGGGGAATGAATTAGTTTGACTGACGCAAAAAGGAGTTTTTTTTTAAAGACTTACCCTTGCCCAATGGCATTTTCGTAGCCACATAGATCGAGGGTACCTTGTCCTTGCCCGTCTTCTGAGAACAAACAACCGACAGCGATAACGATATACAAGAGCGGCAAGAATGAGTTCTCTTCGTTGGTGAATTGTTCTGGAGGGGTGTCGTAGATGCGTTCCAAACTTGCGAAGAACGAGGGCTCATGGACAAACCGCATAAGCGAACAGGCGTGGTCGATCGAATTGTGACACAGGCGACGAGCAACCTCCCGTGGGGGCAGATCGTGGGTGGGGGGTAAAGTTGTATCCTGAGGCGATTCAGAAAACGACTTGGGACTTCCCATCATTTGCCCAGTGATCGAGGCGCGCGATCTTCCCATTGGCGCTGTCATTTCAACGGCCCCCAGCTGTTTGCGCAGTCGGCGCACAAATATGATTCCCGATGTGTGTCCGTGATAATCCCAATGGCCTTGGTCGTCGCGATCTAAACAGCCCGAATTATCAACCATGGTCTCGAGGAGCCCCTCATCCCCCGCTTCTGGCGCAGGCTCTTCCGGTCCGGTTGCGAGTTTGGCCTCTTCGGTCGCTTGTTTTTCCTTCTGGGCAGCAACAAATTTCTGTTCTGTCGCATGTACGTCTAATTGCGGGTCGTCCAGATTGACATTCGGGAGGACAGTTCTCAACAGAGCCTCGGCCTTCTGCATGCGGGCTTCCAGCGCTTCGACATATTGCGGGGGAGGATTCCGTCGGCGATTCGACGGTTGGTCGTACGAACATTCTACAAGTTGACAGTTCAGCCATGATCGACGTTTGGATGCCAAGATCGCATGCGAAGAAAAGGGATCTGCGTACCATAACTATAAACCGTGCAGTGAGTGCAGGGCTGCTTGCCGTCACACTTGATCTTTTTCCGGCGACACTCATCGCATGCACGGCCCACGCGACGCCTCTTCATCGGCAAGGACTTAGGGTCTGCAGAGGCATCTTGCGACTCGTCGTCATGCATGGAATATTTAAAATCCGTTAGAGCTGGATCGTCCTCATTCTCAACGGAATGAGGGCTCCTAGTCGCCATGACTGGATCTGTCGAGTTCGCACAGTGCAGATATTCATGTAAGGAGATTATAGTCTTGGCGATCTGTTGCGATCATAAATGTCACGGATTGGGAGAAGTGTGAGTCAACCTTGGAAAACCCAAGAGATCACGAAAGATGACTAAAACCGATGAACCTTTATCCACTTAATTGGAGCACGTTTCGAGAGGAGATCTGCGAAAGAGGAGAGAAAGAGAGAGAGAGACAGGGCTATGATGAAATGATTATCCCCGAAAGCGGTGAGGACTTGTCGTCAGCGGGCACTTTTCTCTACGACCAGAGTACTCTTATGGAGTATGGAGTCACCCTCTTTTCTTTTTGGAGATTAGAGACAGTACTTTTTTCTTCTCGGGGGTTCGCAGGGCGCGACACCGACATTCATCTGTCCGTGCGGGATTTCCAGAATTTTTTCTCCCTTCCACGGAGACTTGCCCGATCTTCCATGCCCAATAGCTGGCGTTTGAAGACCTTTTTGCCGGTCTCCACTAGATTAAAGTCGCCGATTTCTCGAGACTCGGCTTGTCTGCAATATGCCGAGGCCTCTTAAGTCCGGACACTGAAAGGACTCCGTAGTCCGTAGTCCGTACTTCTTGTATGTCGTATGTCGTAGAGAATCCAGAGTATGGAGTCAGTATGTTCAGCAATTCAGCACTTCAGCAATTCAATATGTTGATTCGTGACACATCAGGTCGGGCTTTGAAATCGGGCTGCAGGCCCTGACATGTCAAAGGATCAAACTTTCTTACAAAGTACATACTCATAAACGGCGAGTCCTTGCGGGATTTGAAAGATATCATTCGCACTCGTACTCGTAATGGATATTTTCCTGGCATTTTAGACCCTTAGATCCAAGGACTCTCATCAATTCCCTTGGTACTTCAGATGACAGGTCCATTATTCCCGCTATACCCGTTATATCCCTTCGATGTCATAACTTTCACCCCAATTCGGGGTCCAAGCACTCGGACGATCTTCCTCAACGATCACCGTTAGCGCCTTGAGGTTTTTTTTTTCGGTTCTTATTCCTGGGAGTAAAAAGTACTCCGTACGGAGCATGGAGTACGGAGTCCGAATAATGCACTTGGCACCGCCCTTGTGACCTATATCTAGGGATCTTATGAAACAGGGCAAAATGCGTCCTATTTGGATAGCCTCCTATTGTGGACAACCCTATGACGCGAGAGAAGAATGTAAACGTCTCCGTCTCCCTAGATTGTACTTTGTACGGGGCACCTCGCTCCGTACGGAGTACGAGTACTTAGGTACTGGTGAGTATTCTGTACGGAGGATCGGGTGGTTACGGCCTTGGAAACCGTTAACATGGAAACCTTCCCACGAGCGTGTTCAACAAATAGATTATCGAGCTAGTGACGATAGTAAAAGCTGAAACGAATCTTCTGGCGATCCCTCGCATCCCCGGCATGGCATTCCATTTGCCCCCTGTGGCACGTCCCACTTTCCCCAGGATCGGCATTCTACATCAACGCGACTGAAAATTCGACTCTAATATGAATTGGTTTCCTCAGCTCATGTAGCTGTGCGCGACAATGACTTTCTACCTCGTGACTTTCTGCTGCGTATTTGCAGCTCTGGGGTCGTTTTTGTTTGGCTATGACTCAGGCGTGATTTCCTCCAGCATCGAGCAAGAGGCCTTTCTTCGCCGATTTGGATCCCCAGGCCTGTCTGACGCGGCGGCTGGTGGAATTATCTCCTCGTACACAGGTGAGATGCGACTCCCCACCGGAACTTAGCGCGATCGGGAGCTGATCTGACTCCCGCGTAGGCGGCGCTATCGTGGGCTCGGTCCTCGCCCCATACATCTCGGACTACTATGGTCGCCGAATGGTGATTTTCATCGGTGGACTGCTGGCGACCCTGGGCGCTGCCCTCCAGGGAGGTGCAGTGACCGTTGCGATGTTGATTGCGGGTCGATTCATCGCGGGGTTGGCAATTGGTCAAATGTCTGCCACTATTCCCGTCTACTGTGTAAGCGACGCCCCAAGTCAATATGCCAACCCTTTCTCTGACGTGAGCTTAGAGCGAGGTTGCTCCGCCGCAGATTCGAGGGATGCTGGCGAGTATTCAGCAATGGATGATTGGACTGGGAATTATGGTCGCTGTAAGTTTTTTTTTTTTTTTTTTGCCAGGATACACTGGTGACCCGACTGACAATGCCTCTAGCAATGGACGGGATATGGATGCTCCCTTCGTGGTGGTACTTTCTCCTGGCGCTTTCCACTGTCTTTCCAAGTCGTTCCAGCCATCATTCTCACCTGTGGCGTTTGGTTCCTCCCCGAGTCGCCCAGGTGGCTTATCGAAAAGGGCAGACATAGCGAGGGCCGATCTATTCTCGCTCGACTGCATCTCAACCGCAGTGCGACCAATGAAAAATTCCTCGAGGACGAACTCTCCCAGATATGCGACAGTCTAGAGTCGGAAAAGCAGTCCGCGGTGCGCTCTTGGCGCCAACTCCTCCGATCCCCGCGCTGGCGACGTAGGATCCTACTAGCCTGCGGCCTACAGGCTTTCACTCAGTGCTCTGGCACAAACGTCGTGCAAAACTATGGTCCCCGACTCTATAAGTCCTTGGGTCTATCTACAACCAAATCCCTGATGATCATAGGCATCTGGGGCGCCCTGGCGGTATTCTGGAATACCGTGTTCATGTTATTTATCGACAAAGTCGGACGTCGAAAGCTACTCATCCCATCCCTGTTTGGCATGGGAGCAGCGATGTGCGTCGAGGCGACGCTTGCCCGATACTTCGACTTCGACGATAGTAACGCCAACCCCGATGCCCTGCGCGCAGCCATTGCCATGTTCTTCGTCTTCTCGCTCTTCTTCACAGCTCTGGGGATGATCTCCTGGATCTATCAGGCCGAAATCTTCCCCACGCCCATCAGAGCGCGCGGCTCGTCAATGGCAACGGCCACGAATTGGAGCCTGAACCTGATTTTCGCGCAGTGCTCTCCGATTGCACTCACGAATCTCGGATATAAGTATTTCTACTGCTTTGTGGGATTCAACTGGGCTGCTATGATTATTGTCTGGCTATACTACCCAGAGACTGCAGGTCGTTCTCTGGAGGAGGTTGAGGGGGTCTTCACGGTTGAATTGACGGAGCAGGTTGATCAACCTCCTGTTAGCGACAATACCGTTGGCACTGCGGCGCGCTCTCAGATTCGACGCAAGGGATTACATCCCCTGTCGATGAATCCTGCTTTCGATACCATGAGTATTGAGAGTGGTAGGTGTGGATCTGAAAAGGGAATTGAGGTGAGGGAGATCTGAAGCGTACTTACAGCTTAACGATTCGATGATAATATGCACAAGAGCTCAATGATACACGTTTATGGTCGTCATGGAATCAGAAGTAATGTCATGACCAATGGTGAAGATTTTGTTCTCAATCAGTTGGGATTGGATGTTCGTATGGGGAACTCGATCTACCCCGTGGAGGTTTTGGCCGAGACTTCGGTAAGCCGCTCTAGCTGGTCATAGATCCATCGGAATTGTGGGACTCGGGTTCTTTTGAAGAAAATGATTGAACAATTCACAGCGTAGAGACATACTGTGGACCCTTGTCCTTATTAGGAAATCAGAGCCACCCGCACTAGGGCAGTTGGAACCGCCGATTCTTTCAACAGAAAAAAAAAATTCCCAAAGGTCTGGGGTATATAAGGTGCTCTGGAATATCGGAAAGCTTTGAATCTCAAGCAATCAATTTCTCACAATGGTCAAGTCAACCATCACACTCGCCTCCGGCAAGGAAATGCCCCTCGTGGGTTTTGGTCTATGGAAAGTCCCGAAAGAGACAGCCGCAGACACTGTATACAACGTCAGTCAACAAGAGTTCACAGTTTATAACCGAAACTGACTTCACACAGGCCATTAAAGCCGGATACAGACTGTTCGACGGAGCATACGATTACCAAAATGAAAAAGAAGCCGGCGAAGGTATCCAGCGCGCCATCGCCGACGGCCTGGTCACTCGTCCTGAGATCTTCATCACAACCAAGCTATGGAATAACTACCACCGCCGCGAGCATGCCATTGAAATGGCAAAGAAGCAAAACGACGCATGGGGCCTTGGCTACATCGACCTCTTCCTAATGCACTTCCCCTGCGCATTGAAGTACATCGACCCTTCTATCCGCCAATACCCAGTAAGATCCCCCGACATAACCCCAATAAAACCAAACTAATAATTCCAGGCATGGTGGATGGACGATGCCGGCACCGTATCCCCAGACAATGTCCCCATTCGCGAAACCTGGGAAGCCATGGAGAGCCTCGTTGACAGCGGCGTGGCGCACAGTATTGGCGTGAGCAATTTCCAGGCGCAGAGCTTGTACGATATCAAGACATATGCGCGACACCCATTGTCTGCTCTGCAGATCGAGCACCATCCCTACCTTGCGCAGACGGAGCTTATCCAGATGGCGCAGGAGAATGGCATTGCTATCACAGCATACTCAAGCTTTGGGCCGCAGTCTTTTGTTGAGCTGCCTCCTGCGTTTTCGAAGAGAGCACAGGGCATTCCGCTCCTGTTCAATGCCGAGCCTGTTAAGGCTATTGCAAGCAAGTATGATGTCACTCCTGCGCGGGTGCTGTTGCGTTGGGCTACGCAAAGGTTGGTTTCCCCTTGTCTTTGATTGTGGAATTGAACTAACATTCTTGTTAGAAACATTGCTGTTATTCCCAAGTCGAATAACCAGACTCGTCTCGCTGAAAACTTGGATGTTTTGGGCTTTGATCTCACCTCTGAAGAGATCGAGTCTATCACGGCGTTGGATCGCGGCTTGCGGTTCAACGACCCCGGTTTCTACTTGCCGAACTACCCTCTCCGGATTTTTGCTTAGAGATTATAGATACAGCGTTGAACTTTTATTTAGACTACTTTATACTACCTCTGTAACTCAATTCCCACGCCACCTGTTCCTAGATCCGGTCCAGATCTATGTCATGATTGCATTGACAGTGGCGTCACGGGTTTAACATCTCCTTATAACATCCCCAGGGAGCCAAACACTGAACTTCTCCATTATAAACATTCTAAAGACAAACTACATTATGTCCGGCCCACACGTTCTTCTGACAGGAGCCAATGGCTTTGTTGCATCGCACATCCTGTCGATTTTAGTTGATGTGACGTCATGTCATTCCCAAGCACTAAGAAGTACCTACTAAACGGTTTGCAGAGAAAATTCAGCATCACTGCCACTGTACGCTCTCAGGAAAAAGCAGACGATATCATTCACACTCACCCTGAATGGAAAGGGAAGATCATCTTTGCCATTGTTGCGGACTTTACCTCCACGCAGCCATTTGATCATTTGTTCCAAAATTCAAAAATCCCTTTCCACTATGTAATTCACACAGCTTCACCACTCAAGTTCCAGGTCCATGATATCCGAAAAGAAATGATTAAGCCAGCAGAGCTAGGGTAATGCCCTCCAAATCCGATAGAAGCACGAATCTGACCGTGTCAGGACTCGAGAAATCATGAAATCAACACAGCACTATGCTGGCGACCACCTCCAACGTTTCGTTCTACTCGGAAGTGCTGTCTCGGTGCTCAATTCCTTCGAGGACATGACCCGGGAAGGGAAGCCATACACGGAGAAAGACTGGAACCCTGTACATTCAAATTCAACCCCCATACCAAACCCAAAGACCACCTTGCTGATCCCATCCAGGTAACAGCCGAGCAGGCCATCGAGCGAAACGACCCTATTCTCGGATACAATGTATCCAAGACCCGAGCCGAGACAACCGCATGGGATTTCATGAAAAGCAACCGACCATCTTTCGACCTGGTCGTGATTAACCCAGATATCATCACCGGGCCAATGATCCACCCAATCTCGGGACCCAGTTCCATCAATGAAACGAACCAGTTTGCAATTGGAAGTTTCGTAGATGGGACACACAAGTCTCTTGATGGGGTGACGTTCCCATTCTACCACTTCGTAAGTCCACGTCAAGGATCTATGGATACTTTCATCTTTGAAGCCCGACTCATATTAAATAACAGGTCGACGTCCGCGATGTAGCACGCAGCCATGTCGATGCACTGACAAACAAAGCCGCATCAAACCAGCGCATCCTGCTTATCGCCGGTCTGATCTCGCCGCAGCTTGTTGTAAATGCGATTCGCAAACATTTCCCTGATCTTCGGATGCGAGTTCCTGAGGGTATTCCTTCGCAGATCTTGCCGCCTGGTGTGCATCCGACTGGATGGGATATGCGGTTGAGTGTAGATATTCTGGCCAAGGGGGCTGAAGAAGGGAAGTGGGAGTATAGGGACTTGGAAGACAGTGTTGTAGGTGCTGTGCAGACAATGCTTGAGCATGGTGTAATCTAATTTGCAAAATTCTAAGACTATGCAGTTTCAGAATGTATCTCAGCATCTCGTTTGGTTTGCCCTTGTCGCTTGTTTGCTAGTTTGTGTAGTTTTTGAACCTCTCTACTCGGTGAGCATCTCTCTTCTTCTTCTTCTTCTTCTTCTTCTTCTTCTTCTTCTTCTTCTTCTTCTTCTCCCAAGTCCTTCCAGGCATTCTTTTGCACAACATCCATCCGACAAATCCCTCAGCCAACAACTCTCCCCTTTGGCAGCCGAGCTGATCTCCGCCATGGATCTATCAAACGTTGATATTGCCCATACCAGTCTCCAACTTAGCACCGATCTAAGTAAAAGACACGAAAGCCTCCACAAAAAGGTCCAAGCCCTTGAAGAACAAATCGAAGACCTCCAATACAATTTCGATGCTTTTCTGGAAAACGCCGGACTCTCTCGGTGGATGCATAAATTTCCTGAACTTCCCAGGTTCACTGGATCAAACAGCCTCCAATACGATACGTGGGAACTGGCAGTTCGCAGCAAACTTGAATACGATGGAGATGCGATTGGAGATTCAAAGCACCAATTCTATTACGTTTGGCGCCATGTCTCGATCGAAATTCAAGTGAAGTTGCAACCCCAATTCGCAGCTGCTCGCTCTTCCGGAAAGTACGACTTCAATGACATCCTCGACTTCCTTAGCGATAAGTACAGCCCATCAAGGATATATGGCAAACCGGAGGTCCGCAAACCAAATGCCCGCAAACCAAAGGACCAAAATGCTGATACACACATGAATACCAGTGACGAGGAAGATTTGGAACGAAATTTCTAGCAAAGAAGCGGATAGTTATGGAATGGATACTGCATGTTAGTAGGGGGAAATGTGACAGACATAAGGGCACATGGGATCACCGCATATGGTTGCTCATCTTGTTTCCAAGATTGCTTGTTCTTTTGCAGTCACGCGTGGTTTTAGGTCCTCCTTCTCTACACATCGAATGAGTTTGTTTAGGTGGACTCTATTCCGTCATTACTCAACATGAGAAGTACTCCTAGTAGGAGGCTTGGTGGTATGTACACCTGCTACAAGATGTTATTTACAGAGGTAATGTCTTGAATCAGTCTTGAAGGTGAAGCATGTGGGTTTCAGGCTGCATGGGCAAATCGCGTGTGGAACAGAGTTCTATACTATACAGTCTAATCTCTCTACCTTAGCCTCTATGTGGCCGTCTATTTTTTCCAGGGTAAAATCAAAGCCCCATAATCACATCTAGCAAGCGACAGATAAGTGGTAGAAAATCGTACAAAACGCCGGGGGAAATCAAAAACGAGAAACGCTTAAATCGGCTCATCACGGGGTTCAACCAGGATCTCGTTGACGGAGACGTGCTCTGGCTGAGTGAGGGCATAAACAATGGAGTTCGCAACATCTGATGGGTCGAGAATCTTCGCTCCAGAGGGTTCGCCGAACTTTTTGACGGCTTCGGTATCGGTTGACATACCCAGCAGGTCTGTGGAAGTATTTCCAGGCTGGATACTGGTCACGCGGAGTCCGGCGCCAGCAGTCTCAAGACGAAGTGCCTGGAGAGTAGCTTCGACGAAGAACTTGCTAGCAGAGTACACGCCCAGGCCTGGGAAGACCTTACGTCCGGCGTCGGAAGAAATGGCGACGATGTGACCGCGGCCTCGTGAGAGCATACCAGGGACGGTGGAAGAGAGTGCGTGTAGGAGACCCTTGCAGTTGACGTCAACCGTGCGCTCCCACTCATCCATCTGGGTGTTGGCCATCATGGTGAAGTACATGACACCCGCACAAGCAACCAAGATATCAACTGGACCCAGCTCTTCGCTGGCAGCCTTGACAAGGTCCTCGACCTGAGTCCTGCTGGTGACGTCTGTGGATCGCAAGATACATTTGACGCCGTGAGCCTCGACCTTGCGCTTGGTGTCCTCGAGGGCATCCAGTCGACGAGCGGCAAGGGCAACGGCACAGCCTTGCTTGGCGAGAGCAGTGGCTACAGCTGCGCCAATGCCTGAAGAGGCACCGGTGACCACGGCCACTTGGCCACTAAGCGGGCCTTTGACGGGCTCAGTGGGACGCTTCAGGGCTTGCTGACGGGAGGGGGGTCGTGGAAGCCATCCTCGAGCAAACCAATGACGGGTGTAAGTCTCCAACAACAGGCTATCCACCTTGGGTCGTTCGATGACCGCTCGGAAGGGCCGAGTCAGGGCGTTGTCGAGAACCACAATTTCGCGGAGGAACTCCACAGTAGGCATGCCACTGCGAAGAATGTCGACGGTGAACGAACCGTCTCCACCCTTTGCGGATCCTCGCTTCTCGAACCACAAGGCAACCCACTCATCCCATGGAAGAGGTTTTGTCTCGTAGCCGAGGCCCTTGAGATCTTCAAAGAGTGATCGGGTGTCGACGGGCTTAGGGTCACCAAGATGGAAAACGGTCTGGTCCGCCTGAGTTTGGGTAGCAAGGTGAATGACGGCCTTGCTGACAAAGTTGACAGGCGTCATCTCTGCGCGCCATCCCTCCACATCCGGGGCATACCCAATCTGGATAGACTCGACAATCAGAGCAGTCAGCAGATCCCATGCGTTAGCAGAACCAGTGATACTGTGACCACTGATAGTACCACATCGGTGAATCTTGACTGGCAATCCACGCTCACCGGCCTTGAGAACGAGCTGCTCTGCAACCCACTTGGTCTGGCCGTATCCATCGAGCAACTTGGTGGGAACATCCTTGACATCCAGTACGGTACTCTCGGGCCAGCCGTTCTCGCCTGATGATGGCAGGACACCGTTCGTAGAAACATACTGCACGGTCGCACCACCCTTGGCAGCCAAGCGGAGGATCTCTCTGGTTCCTCCCACGTTTGCACCTCGCAGTGCAGCATAGGGGTACACAAGGTTGACCGTGGCGGCAGCGTGCACGATGACCTGAACACGAGAAGCAACGTCATTGAACTCCTCCGGACTCAGACCCAGTCGGGGGCGAGAAAGATTTCCAGGAAGAACCTCGACACGCTCAAGGATTGAATCGCGCCAAAGCCCCATGTCCAAGAGGTTTCGGCGGATTCTGGCCACACCTCCAGCTTGGTCATCCTGCTCAGGGTCACTGAAACGGACAAGACAAACGATCTTAGCAGAGGTATTCTCAATCAAATCGTTCAACAAGAAAGCACCCAAGAAGCCAGTCACACCGGTCAGAAGCACGGTGTCAGCTGAGGTGATGGATGTAATTTTGGTGTTAGTGGGTTTGATATCCTCATCCAGCGTGGCATCAGAAAGCAAGACTGCTGGCAAATTGGCTTGAACCTCTTCAGTGTGTCCATCTCTGACGGCCCGGACAGTCTCCAGGTGGCCAGTGAGAGTAGTATTCTCTGCGAGACGGGGAATTGGAACACGGAACCCGAATCGTCTGGAGAGCTTCGAGGACAAGTCTGCGAGGGACAAGGAATGGCCACCCAGATCAAAGAAGTTATCTTCGGGCTTCAGCAAGCTCTTTGAGACCTTCAAAACAATCTCCCAGATAGCTGCGATGTCGCTGATGCCGATCGGGTCCTTGCCTGCGCTCTGCTCACTGCCATTGGGGCTGGAGCTACGGGGCGAAGGAAGGCTCTTCATGTCAACCTTGCCGGAGACTGCATTGGTAGGGAGCTCTTCAAGGGCAACCCAGAGAGCCGGAATCATGTACTGCGCGAGGCTATTTTCCAGAGCTCGTCGTGCGGAAGGGCTGTGGCCAGACTCATTGATGACGACAGTTGGGCGTTCGGATGAGGCCTCCTTGTCGGGGACAATGTACGCAACCAACTGTCGGTCCAGTCCCTCTCCATATGCAGTTACTGCACATTGGCTGACAGCCAAGTATTGGCAAATCTCACTCTCGACCTTCGCCGGCACGACGGAATAGCCACGGAGCTTGATCATTGCGCCGACACGGCCAGTAATCTCGAGAAGTCCCGATGGTAGCTTGCGGGCCAGGTCACCAGTCCTGTACATGCGAGCTCCAGGGGTAGAATCAAATGTGTCGGCGGTAAATGCCTTGGCCGTCGTTTCTGGGAGGTTGATGTATTCCCTGGCCAGCAGGGGTCCGCCGATGAAGAGCTCTCCCGATGTGCCAGCCTCCACCTCCTGCCCACCCTCGTTCAAGACATAAGTGTGGGCAGGGTCGATAGGTGGACCGACTGGGCAGTACAGAGACTCGGTATCAATCATATCACCGATATCGCCACAGGCGATTTCATGTGTCTCGCAAGCACTATAACAGTTGAGCAAGCGGGTATTGGGGAGAATCTTGCGGGCTTTGAGAGCCAGCTCAGTTGTGACGACTTCGCCGTTCAACCACACAATTCGCAGATCGGGGACACGGGTGCCAAAACGAGGGTAACGGGAGAGGACGGTGGCTAGGAGGGTGGGGGTCATGAGTGTCTCGGTGACCTTCTTTGCGGCGAGCAAGTCAACCAGGGCGGCTGGATCGTAACTTGATTCATCGGGCACGATCACGACGGTAGCTCCGCGCAAGAGCGGCCGCAACATCTCCCAAATAAAGAAGACATTGCAGGCCACTCGATCGCCTGGTTGGACATCCTGTACGGCGAATCTGAGATCGTAAGACAACACTGGAGCCCGATGGGGATTGGCAATGCCTTTTGGTTTTCCTGTGGTTCCTGACGAGTATGAGACAAACGCTAACCGGTCGAGATCATCATTTGCCGGCAATGGGGAGGGCTCCTTGGCGTGTCCGTTGATCTCGGCCACGGGATCATCCAAGTTAATCAATGGCACGGGGGCTTTGATCTTTTCGCCCTCCGCCTTGTGAGTGATGATCACGGCCGGACTGGCATCTTCGATGACATCCGCCAAGAGGTCCGCGGGGTAGGCCAGCTCTAGTACGAGGAAGGCACCACCCGCACGCAAAGCCGCCAAACAGGCAATCACGTAGTGTGCGCTACGGGGAAGGAGCACACCCACGAGGGTGTCCCGACTCACCCCATAGGCTCGGAGTCGACTGGCTAACGCCTCCACCTCCTGATCTAACTCGGAATATGTATAGGTGGCAGACTCGTGTTCCAAGGCCACGGCATTGGGGGTGGCCTGGACCTGCTGCTTAAAAAGCGTAGGCAGGTCTTTGGTGATATCGAGGATGGCCATAGCAAAGGAGAATATCGCTCAAGATTCTCCGGGGGGTATATTGAGAATTAGACAAAACGCAAGGACACAGGTGCAAGTGTCATTGAAATCACGACAGAGGAAGCAACAATGACGAGGGAACGAACACTTTTTAAAACGCAAGATGGCCAGTTATGGGTCCCCGATATTTTGTTGAATCGCAAAGACTCAAAACTAACTCCAAGTGTGTTAGTGACCTTAGTGACCCTGGTCCAGTGGCACAGACACACCTGTATGCCAATCTGGTCCCTTATCGTGTTTCCCCGCGCTGCCCTTGCGTGATTTTTATTTTTGCGCTTACCGGGCTTACAGAGTTTGCCTGGCTTGCAGGGATCTTTTTACTCTATTCGAACTTTTCGCCAAACTCCCTTTGATATACCTAGAATTCTACTCATTCGAAGCTGAGTATACTCACTTGAGCTGTCTCTCCCAACAAATGCTGTCTCCTTCACATGTCAATCTCCACAATTTGCATGTGAAAGGGCCCAACGCTTTTCCCAAAACGGACAAATTTTGGAGATTCCAGGAACTGTTTGTCTGGTTTGTTCTGTTTGCCCTGTTTGTTCCCGGTCATTACTCACGGTGCCCCCTAAAGAGAATCGGTGATTCGCCGATAGTTCGGGCTTACTCCTTTAACTTCGCCCATTCCAGGGCAGCGCACGGCCTTGTCCCTGTTCTCCCCGTTCAAATGAGCTCTCATTGCAGCGCTTCGCTCGGATTCTGTGGTTCCATAGGATTCTGAGGTCAGCGTGGCCACGTTTCCACGTTTCGACACAATCATCCAAGATTCCATGTAGATCTATAGTTCCAGCCATTGTAGTAGATTCCGATGGGCCGGTCTACGAAGTACTCGCCCAGCAGTATCGTACATGCGCAGGTACGGGTAAGTACATCCATGAAGCGCACATACAGATGTCACCGGTATCAGCCCACATGTCCACATGCCTATCCTGGAGTAGGGGCACGGGCCATTGATCTTCACACGGAACATCCCGAGACCTGCGAGCTAGGCTAGTCAGAACAATGATCCTTTCACAAGGTTGCACTTGGTCATGTCGATATTTCGTTCAGCAACAGGCGATACTGTGTAAATGTGATCCATGGACGGTGTCGGAATTGCCGAACTCTACTGCCTCGTACCGTGGCAGGACGGCGGTGGGGCCGTGGCCCACAGCTTACTCGTATGGTCTCACAAAGTACGATGACATCTTTCCTTGTCGCTCAAGCTTGCAGTATTCGTAATTTAATATTTCACTCATATCTTATAGGACACTATCATCTCTCAGCTGTGTTAGATCGCAGCCTCAACGTGTTCAATCTGCCGGCCCTTCAAGTCCGCCTCGATCTCCTTGTTCTCCAATTGCCGGATCTGAGCTCCAAGACCAGTACATACGTAGTCCTTAAACTGTGTGGTCGGAACCTTCTGCTGGAACATTTCATCAAGCTCCTCAAGAGACCGATCTTTAGTTTCCGGAAGACAGAAATAAACAAACACCATAGCAGCGACAGAGAAACTGCCATAAATGATAGCCGTGCGACCCCCAATCTGGGCTTGGACGTAGGGATTGACAAAATTGATAGGCACAGAGGTCACAAAGCTGCCCAGGGAGGACAGAAGCAGAGTCCTTTCGCGCAACTGACCAGTTCCAATCTCACCACCAAGAATCCACACACCAGGACCCCAGGATAGCGCGTAGATGACATACCAGAGAACAAGCATTGCAATGCACCCATTCTGTGTCATGGGAGAAAGACCCTCGTAGCCGTTCGCCGTGGTTCCGCCAACGCCAATCATCATCGCGGCCATGAAGAAGGCACCAGTGAACATGCTGCTGCGTCGACCGGCTTTGTCGAAAGTGAAGAATGAGAAGACATTGGCGACAAGACCGCATGCCAACACGATGACGTTATACTTCAGCGGATCGGCGAAACCGAGCTGTTTCATGAAAGTCACAATAAAGTTGTTGATAAATGAAATACCCTGCGCCTGTTGCAAGACTTGTACGCCAATGGCAATGATTGTTCGACGCATGTTTGTTCCGCGGAAACAATCCAGAAGGCTAGTGGCTCGATGTAGCTCACGCTGCTCCTCAACTTGTAGACGGAGGAGTTGGACCTCTTCAGCCGCATTGTAGTGGGTGCCGTACAATTCTTTGATTGCGGTTTCGGCTTCCTCGTAACGTCCGCTGTAGACGAGGTATCGAGGTGTTTCGGGTAAAAGGGGATATGAGAGAATGATTCCAATTGGGACCGTGAGCTGGCATAGGATCACTGTCCTGGAATATTGTTAGTCACTGCAGAATAGCACTTCACGTGTGAAGCTATTTGCTCTTACAAATATGCCCACTCGCTCTTCAATCTCTGGCATAGGTAAACGACCAGGGTAGCAAGGAATCCTCCAAATGTATTCCAGAACGAGTAAGCAGTCAAGAAAGCACCTTGATCGGTCATGTCAGAATGGTTTCATAGAATCTCGCGATCAACCACAAACCTCTAATTTTGGCCGGTGCACATTCGGACTGGTACATGGGAACCACATTAGATGCAATGCCAATACCCGAGTAAACCACAATACGCCCGACAACCAATTGCCAAAAAGAGGTCACGGCAGAGGCTTCCAGGACAATTCCAACAGACAAGACAGCCGCCATCACCAACAACGTTGGCTTTCGGCCCAGATGCGAGCATAGCCATGGTGACGCTAAGCAGCCAAAAATAATACCAGCCGAGCCAGTACCAGTACCAGCAGACTGCTTCTCAGATGGAATACTCCAATCATTGGCAGATGGATCCCAAGAGCCATATTTCTGGGCAAAAGGCGTTAAACCAAGAGCGCCACCCCACCAGGAGTTGTCGAAGCCAAAGCCCATAGCCCCCAGTGAGACAAAGCACCCGATGAAGAGCAAACGGGGACTCAGCTCCTGGTAGAGCGCACTCTCTTTGATAGCGAACATTGAAAATACTGTAAAAAAAGAAAAAGAAAAAGAAATTAGAGTCAATGCAACCCCTGTGGAAGGTTCTTCCACCCATACCCCGACATCGCTGCTGCGCTCTTATATACTCGAGTCGTGCAGACTCGTACTCACACCAGGAAGCCGACAGTTCCGGGGAAGAGACATTCAAGTGGGGTCCCCACAATCCCCAGACGGAGCTTCGCGTCCCCCTGTATCGAAACAAGAAACCCCAAGCTTTCGGACAAAGACATCCGGGGCGCTTTCAAGGTAGCGAAGCGCCGGGGGCGGTTAGGATTGCTCCTTTGGCCGTTTCGGCTAAACTCCGGCAGTTGACCCCCGCTCCAACTCGGTCAGTGTGGCTCGAGTTGCTGTTTTAGGCACATTCCTCATCTTAGTATTCAGTGTTGGATGTTCAAATATGCCGCTTGTCCATTCAATCAATGACCCTTAACCCTCACAACTCTACATTTGATCTACGCGTACATCCATGATGGCATCTCCACACCGGCTTCAATCTTTCCCTTCCAAGCCGCGAGTTTTCATCCTAAGCGACATCTCCAACGAGCCGGATGATGCGGAGTCCCTCGTGCGCTATCTCTTGTACTCCAACCAGTTTCGTACAGAGGGACTGGTCGCATGCACATCAACATGGATGAAGAACAAAGTCTGTCCACAAGATATGCACAAGATCATCGACGGCTACGAAAAGGTCGTCGACAACCTCAATGCGCACGCCAACTCAGACGACCCATACCCAACAGCACAATACCTTAGATCTATAATCAAGAAAGGCGCAGAGGTACATTACCCCCCACATCCAGCCTTAACCCATAGCTAACACTCACTAGACATACGGCATGACAGCAGTGGGAGAGAACATCCCACTCAGCGAAGGCGGCCAACTCCTCCTAGAAAGCATTGAAGCACAAACCGCCGATCCCCTCTGGATCCTCTGCTGGGGTGGCACAAACGTGCTAGCATCAGTTCTCCTCCGAATCCAAAACACATACTCTGCATCCGAAGCCGCAGCACTACGAGCCAAGCTTCGCATCTACACTATCTCCGACCAGGACGACACAGGTGTCTGGCTGCGCACCACCTATCCAGATCTATTCTACATCTGCTCTGTGCACGGGTGGTGCCAATACGGCATGGCAGCGTGGACAGGTATTTCGGGAGACCAGTGGTACGGGTTCGACAAGGGCGGACCTGATGGAAGAAAGATCAGCAAAGAGTGGATACGGGAGAATATCCAGATTGGGGCTCTTGGCTCGACGTATCCTGATTTCATGTTCATTCCTGAAGGGGACACGCCGACGTTCTTGTATCTGATTCAGAATGGGCTGGGTGTTGCTGAGAGGCCTGAGTTTGGGTCTTGGGGTGGTCGGTATATTCAGACTGATGTTAGTGGTCGGTATGGTGCGGGTCATTATAGTGATACGCCTGATGAGGTGGAGGGGCTGGATGGACGGAGTCATAAGTCTAATCAGGCGACTATTTGGCGGTGGAGGGATGCTTTCCAGACTGATTTTGCGGCGCGGATGCAATGGTCCCTTTCTTCGGATTTGGGAGTGGCGAATCATCATCCTGTTGCGATTGTGAATGGGACGAGAGGTCCTGCGCCGTTGGTTTTTGAGTTGGAAGCTGGCTCGTCGTTTAAGCTTGATGCTTCGCAGTCTTATGACCCTGATCCTAATGACTCTCTCACCTTCAAGTGGTATCAGTACAAGGATCCCAGTGCGACGCAGTGGTCTGTTCACCACGAGGTGGGCGAGCTGGGTATCAAGACTCTCAACGAGGCCAATAGTCTCATTGAAGTTACACTGCCTACGCCTGATAAATGCTGTGTTGAGCTGATCAGCCGCAAAGCAATTCCAAAGGGACAGTTGCTACACTTGATTTTGGAGGTCAAGGACAACGGGTCCCCTGCTTTGACTACATACCGACGAATTCTCATCCAGACAACAAACGAGAAGCTACTTGGTGGCGGTGGTGGTGCTGATTCAATTGGTGATACCATGAAAGATGTCATGCATTAGATGAATGTTACCCTTGAAGTTGCATTTGTTGGCTTCAATTCTGGACATCAAGACTTAATAATGTAACTATATAGAGATCAATTGCCTAGGTGCTTGCTTAGTTATTCATCATGTTCCTCCATGGATCCCTTTCAAAACGCCGATGCATGCACATCGCATAAATTCAAAACACGACCCATATATACCTTCCCAAGGAAACAGAAGAAACAAAAATCAAAATAAGAATAAGAATCATTCAATCAATGAGCGCATATGATAACTTGTCAATGGCGCATCCAGAATCTCCTGCCGAAGCTCCGCCTCCCAAAACACCATACTTGACTCTTGAACCTGCAAAGTCAAGCACGAAAACAAAAACTCACTAACGCGATACCAAGTCTCAGAGCGCAGCCGTTTAGCAATCTTGAGCATTCGACCAGCGAACCATGGGCGCGCAGAAGGCGAAGTCGATGTTGGAGAATACTGGGAGTAATCCGGGACATCCTCTCCCAGTGAGGAGGAAATATCGTAGAAACCAGATGGCCATTCTTCAATATTACCATCATTGCACTCAAGCAATATTTGAAGAATGGCTTCCACAGAGCCACTCATTCCGACCTCGCTGTCGATCATGGCCTTCTCGAGCGTGGCGAGGAAGAGCCCTGCACGTGCTGGGGTATATCGATAGTCCCAGATAGCTGCGTTGAGAATCATGAGCGCAGCTAGGCGAGCGACCATCTGTTTGCGGTCGCCCGATGTAGAGAATCTGGCACCGGGGGGCGCTGCGAGGATTTCATGGAGGAGACACGTCGGTTGGATTATGGATTGTCGGGCGATGTGTAGAGAGTCGGGATTGTCGCGTTGATATAGGGCGAGTTGCTCGCAGCGACGAAGGAAATCGAGGAACTCTTCGCATTGGAGTCTGATTTCCTCCACTGGGGATATTGAGGGGGGGATTGTTCGTGTTTCAGGGCACGGAGAGACCGAGTGAGTAGAAGAGGTGGAGTATGGGGGTGACGGCATAGAGTGGAAGTACGAAGAAGGCTGATTTGATACATCTTCCAGCAACGTAGGTTGTTCATACTCGTAGAAGAAGCTTGGTCCGTTCGTTTCATACCCAGACAAGATGTAATCTTGCCAGTTGATGAGCATGCCGAGACGGGTGTTGGCGAATGCAGCAGGGCCACCACGCGCTCGGATCATCTCGCGTGCAGCCCGCATATGAATCCAGCTGATCTCTTTGCGGCCTGGGCGCGGATCAAAGTCTTCCAGGGCAGCAGCGCTGAGACAGGAGATGATAGCGACGTCGGAAATGTCTTGGGGGTTATTGGAAATATGCTCGCGAAGCATTGTGACGGCACGATCTCGGTGGAGGAGTGTATTTGGAGTCTGACCCTCGTTGCGGACCCAGGACCAGGTATTTGCCGCGTGAACAATAATGGTGTTTTGGAAAGCAACGGCGCCTTTCATGCCCTCTGGTACAAAAACGGCTGTATACCAGTTATGGGCCTTGGGTGTCCGGAAATGGGATCCGTAAGAGCAAGCCGGCATGGTATTCACATAAAAGTCAAACAGTCTCTGCCCATCGAGGTCCAGTTCGATGGGCAGGGTATTAAACGGGTCAGTCCGGGCAGCGCTCATGATGGACTTTGGTGACTGCGTGAGTAGGCTGGGTGTCGTCGCTGCAGATGACCAAAGAAAGTCATTGAAATCTAGAGCGTCGCTCTGTGTATGATGCGTCCCAGAAAAATATGAGTCTGAGTCTGGTGGGAAGAAGGCATCGGAATCGGGTGATGGTCGATATGGGAGGAACAAGGCGCCATCGCTGGCTTCACTAAATTGGGTATTTGACGCGGAACCCAGTATATCTCGTACAATCTCTTCATCGGCCGGTTCTTCTGATGATATCACATCTTTGGTTGATTTTTGCTGATTGTTGCGCTCATTGCTGTCACTATCTGATTTGGCCTTCTTTCCCGTGCGTTTGGCCCGGGTCTTCCTGGGTCTCCCTCGTTTTGGCTGTGGACGCTCCTCGTCGCTATCACTTTGTTTGGAACCTCCTTTCTTCTGACGCATGTACTCTTGCATGACATGGCGCTTGACTTGGGTCAGGTTGCTGCGACTGTTGTTGGAAGAATCGATGAACTGCCACCGAACGGGTGCGCTCGAGTTCGAGCCCGATGAATCGGCCATGAGGTTCAGCATGCGATGTTCGTAAGTCTTGTCTAATGTATGAATGAGAATGATCTGCTTATTGAGTCCGTGCTGGGAAAGGGGATCCCGAGATATTTAGGTTTTAAAGACTCGAAAAGCACGAAAATAAAGGACAAGTTCGCTCCCCACTAATCTTTGACGAACTAAGCCGGACTGGAATAGCGGGCTTTTTCCCAGCATTCCGGTAAGGAAATGAACTAAGGAAATGAACGAGTTAGAAGACCGCAACACCAATCTCTGCTGCAATTGCGATTTGACTGCGGAATAACTTTTTGGGGGCCAGGGTAAACGGCTCAAAGCTGAACTCTTCAGGCTAGACTCGATCCATATTTTAGAGAACGGAGCGATGCTATTTCTCCACTATCGTTTTCGCACCGTTCTCTCCAGGGCTAATCTTAACGCATTCCCGTCTTCCACTGGTCTCCAGGGTTGGCCTCGGACGGCTTCCGTTAGCGTCATCCTGCGATAATTTGACATTTGGCAATTTTGAGACATTCGGACTCCTAACAGTCAAGTCACTGAGTCAGTGGTTTGCGGGGACCGAAGATCCCAAGCCGATCCGAGCCTGCAGGGGCGCTTTCAAACGGTATACTATTATTATCCACCCGGGCAACTTTGCTGATCCTGATACTGCATATTCGTCTATTCTTCCTACTTCTGGCCAGCTAGCACTAGGGCTGACAATGTTTCAGCTTTGTACGCTTAATAAAGAAACGGTTACCACTAGGGAGGAAACGATATATTGCATGACCAATCAATTCTTCCAGGGCTAACGTCTGGCATCTGATAAAAAAGAAAAATCGCTCGCTTACACTAGGTAAGGCTAGGTTCCCGGATTAAATCTGACTATCGCACTATGAAACCTTGTACATATCTGATCCTCCGCCCCCACTGAACCTCCCATCGCGACATGCCTAATTGGGTTTGGTATGGGACGATCACCGGTCCTGGCACTAATCTTCACGGAGTCATACATCAGGCTCCGATTCGCTAATCCTCAAGTGTAAGAAGGGTTGAACCAAGGCCGATGGCAGTGTCGGCTCATACGGCAGTGCCATGCAGTGGATGTGCTCAGCACGAGGTGTAGTGGCGACGAAAATGGTGTGCTGGTCCAAGCGAGCCTTTTCCTGGATCATCATATTAAGCCAAAAATTCATAATAACTTCAGCATATAACCGGAGAACCTTGGGATTGCTCCGAGGGACGCCTTTGACCGGGATGGAGATACACCCAGCCCCCAGACCATGTAGGGCGCGATCGTCAAAAGTATTGTTGCGTTTTGAGAGCTCGTGAAGTGCAAGGACCATGACTTCGATATCGCTGGGGTTGTTGGAGTATACATCAGGGGGGAGAACAACTGTGACCCAGACATAATCTTCTGTGCCATTCTGGGGGTCTGAGAAGCAGCCATTTTCGCCCATGAAGACACTAGCCTGGAGAGGAGTCTCGCAGTTTTCAATCATTTTGTCAGTAAGTTGATGGGTAAATGCTGCTCAAGTGATGTCTATTACTGCGATGTGTTTCGCTATTCTGTGCTTGGTTTCTTGTATGTAGTTGAGATGTCTCTTTGCCGAGAGACGAGGACAGAGACTTTATAGCCTCTGTAGTTCACTTTGTGTATACCAGCGGCTTTCATCATTGTATGCATCCAAATTTAGCCTGACAAGGCCGGGGACCGAGTCTTTGTATGATCTCTTTGCTTCGACAAAGGAGAGAAAGTCATGATTGTTGTTCTTTCATAAACCATGTTTCGAAGTCTGAGCAGGTAGTTTCGATTGCGTTCTCACAAAGAACTTACATGTGTGAGTCTTCCCCAGAATTAGAATTAAGCGTTTAAGAAACCCACGGGGTCAGGGTCAGGGTCAGATCGGGGCATAATCTCACTCCGACCTGGGGTCCACTCAGTAAGCCGGGATGCCGATCGCCAACGGCCACTGAAATCTTAAATGTGCGGAGAAGCAGAGCCCCGGGGTAACTTGATCCCGGACAGGCACAAGCTTTCATCTCCCAGGTACGTCTATATGAAACAGGACCTGCATCCGCGCTAAATAAGGTTGCAGATCCAGGGATTCGGTTATATCGATGCATTATCTGAATCGCGCAATGATCAGCCCTCCAGGGCTAGTACGAATGTACTATCGTACCACTGGAGTGGTTTATGACATCGGAGTACTCGTAGAAGAGTAGAAGGGGCGTTGAATCAGGTGCGGGTATCGGTCATCGGTTTCACTGAGAAAGTGTCTGCCTATGGGGCCGGTTATCCGATGCATGGGGGCCAGGGTTCGTGCATCCATTGACGAGTGTGTGGATTTTGGTGGTGCGTAGGAATCGGTCCGTACGAGTATGAGCACGAGCTGTTTGAGATCTTCAACTCCACATGTCATGGAAATAATCCTGCTGCCAGGTAAGATCAGCCTCACTCGCAGTCCAGATGCGCCCCTGGATTTAGAGTAGGTGAATACCCCGGGCTCTCAGGGAGTGCACCATCCCCACTGTATCCAACGACATAGACATGTATGGTGGTTCTGTGCTTTTTCTGTTTGTATTGGCGTGGGGTTGTGCGAATGTGAATGGCATCGATGGGTATCTAAACAAATAGTAAGCTTGAATACAGCGTCCTGTATTTGAATATCAGTCAAGTCTTAGTAGATGCCTATTGATGAAATGATTGAAAGCCAGGTGCAATGTAAACAAACAGCCTATTGATGCCAGAGTACTGCGTACTTCCAACATCACTCAAATGGGCGTGTTTGGATCTGCAGGCATCTCACCGCCTTGGTGCTCCGCCCGCAACTCCGACAATGTTGGGTTGGAAGGCCCTGGACACAGCTCAACCGAAGTCGAAATCAGGAGATTGACATATTCAAGACAAGATTTGAGACTCTTCAGCCCTTATATCTGGCAACCGAGAAAGCCCAGCACAGAAATTGGCCCCAGAGCCATCACCCTGATCCACGGAATCGCGCCGACGCTTGGAGTTTTTCAAACACGAGCGCATCCCACCCACCAGGTCGCAGCCGGGAGATTGCGCCGGCAGGATTCCAAAGCGAAATCGGCAGCACTGATCAATCTTTATGCGATTCACATAATGTCTCCGACAGTCTCGGTGGACCTTGTATCAGTTTAGCTTTGCCCGCGCGCCCTTGGCTCGTATACGATCCGAACCCCCCAAGTGCTCCCCGACCGCGTGTTTCTGGACCAGGCGCGGGCAATTAAAGAGGTCTCTTGCTCGGGATTGGCGCTTACTTGACACGCACGTCATCCGCGATTCCAGTCATGGTGGGGATGGAGGAGACCGCCGGCGCAAGCCATGCGAACGGCTCTGCGGTCACGAGACCCAAGCACGATCCGTACGAAACAGACCCGAATATGATTCCCGCCGACGACCCCTTTATCTCTCGCCCTCAGTATGGTCGATATACGCCACGCGCCGACGACTTCACCCCTCGCTTCATGCACTGGTATTATGCTGATCCGGCAGTCAATAGCTATTGGGAGAAGGTTGCGGAACAGTATTGCACACCGGAGTACTCACTCAACATAGATGGGCCGAGGGAAGCTTTCGCAGCGGGTAGTGTCATTATTCGCGTTGACCGTGAATTGGCTGAGGGAGCAGCATTTGCGAAATACTCATTTGCGAATGCGAACGAGTTGCTGGCGGCACAGAAAGCAGATGACCCACTCAGGCAGATTGGTGTCACAGTGCCTGTGGTGTACTTCTGCGGGACAATTGAAGGGCGGAATGTGACCATTGAGTCCCGAATCGCGGGTGTTTCTTTGGAGGTTGCATGGAGATACCTCGACACAGAGCAGATCGACGCTTTGAAAAACCAGTGTCGCCAGATCCTCCGCCGTCTCGAAACGATCGAAAGCCCGGCAGATCAACCTTCCTACGTCTCCCGCGGACTCAACTCCCAGGGACCACCTTCCGTCGAGACCAGCGAGCGAGATATCCTATTCACCGAGAAGAGCAGGGGGGAGGAGTTACGCTTTACGCACAACGATTTGGTTCCGAGCAACATCATAATTCACAATGGTCGGGTGGTGGGATTAGCTGGCTGGCGTCAGTGCGGTTTTTTCGGCAACACCAGAGCTGGCAAGGTTCATCATCTCTTGAGGGGTCTTGACTCCGCATCCCAGAATGGCGCAGTCAGCTCCGGGGGCAGCGCGAGCTGGGCAGACCTGTACGATGGTGACTACAACCCCAACAAAGGCCAACCCCTGGTCGCGAACCAAGATACCCCCCTCCCGTCCGTGAAAACGGAACCAACAAGCTCTACTCTAGACAAGTTTCCCATCAGTGATGATCTGGAGACAAAGTCATGGAACACCGACGGTCAGGACGACCTTCCTACCTCGAAGACAGTCGCCAATCTCAAGAACGGAATTTCTTCACGTGCATCCTCGATCGATCGATCATCCCCAGCAAACTCAGTCAAAGCGGCAAACAAGAGCACCACAACCAAAAAGGGCACTGCGAAGAAGCCTGCAGCCAAGAAACGCAAGGTCAACGATGCAGACGGCGACAGCGCTGATGCGCGCCGATCCAATACCCCCCTCTCACGCACCAGCAAAACGCCAGGAAAGAAACAAGATTCTGTCTCAATAGCAGGGTCACCTGCACCTGAGCCGAAAAAGAAGCCACAGAAGAAGAAGAAAGCACCCAAAACGGCCAGAACCCAAGAAAACGATGACTCCGATAGCTTTGATGAAAATGCAGTGTTCTGTATCTGCCGCCGACCTGATAATCACACTTGGATGATTGGGTGTGACGCCGACTGCGATGACTGGTATCATGGGAAATGTGTCGATATCGACCCTCGCGACGCGGACCTGATTGATCGGTATATATGTAAGTTTGCGGAAGGAATGCTTCATCAGGAATCGAACTAACCAGATCTTATAGGTCCGAATTGCGCCAGCGTGGGAAAAGGTTGCACGACGTGGAAGCCAATGTGTCGTTTGGTCGAGTGCCGAAAGCCTGCGCGTGCCAAAACGAAACCCCCTAGTAAATACTGCTGCGATGATCACGGTCGTGAATTCATGCGACAGCAGACTCAACAGCTTAAACAACGAGCGGGTCAGGCGAATGGTCTTTTCGAGGATTTAGGCAGCATGGGCGGTATACTCACCGCTGGAGACTTGAAAGCTGCTATCCTCGGGGTGGCATCCACAGGGGAGTTCCGAAGGCTTGGAGATCGCATCATTTCCCCGCCACCAGAGACGGAGGATAAGAAAGCGCTGGCGACCGATAAAAATAGCGAATCGAAGCAACCAACCAGCAAGTGGTTGGACGCTGATATCTACACCATCGGGGCTGAATATTCTCCTGATGAAATTGCGAAATTCGAGAAGTTGCGCACACAGCGCGATGGGCTAGTTCACCGCAAAGAGATGCTCGCGGCGCGCACGACATTCTTGACGCTTCTGAAGCCACGGGCTAAAGGCATAGTGGAGAAATTGAAGCAGCACGAACCGAAGGGTGGATGGAAGGACATCTGCGGATTTGATTCACGGCTTTCATGGTCCGATGAGGAATTCGATGAGTGGCGGCTCTCCGAGGCTGGGAAGAAAGCTCTCGCAGAGGGCACGGTCGAGGCCTTGGCTGCTGGTGTTCCACCCACCACTGATGCAGATGGCGATACGTCGATGAATGGCGAAGCCGACGACGATATCACATTGTGGACGAGTGGTGTCTGCACCAAAAAGCGATGTGAGAGACACAAGCAGTGGGTCAAGGTGCAGCAGCAGGACATTCACTTCGAGGAAGAAACGGCCGACCAGGACCTCGCCCGGTGCGAGGGGGAGGCTCGATCGGTTGTTGAGCGAGGCGTGATGAGACAATGGGCTGAGAGAGACCATAAAATGCAAGTCTAAATTGCAGGATTGTCTGCATCAGAAGTTCCTGCTATAACACAGTAAAGTCTCGATGCCTCCCGGTAATGGAAAAAGAAAACGGTCGGCTTTTGGTCCGGAGTTGGTGTTTTGCAAGTTTAATGAAGCAGGTTGGAGATCGGTGGATTCCCAGGGCTACATGTATACAAAGCGGCGCTTTGCCGGGTAGACCTCGCTTGTTTGGAGATTTGTGTAAGAGTAACAATAATTGCATCAAGTCATGACGAAAGAACGGGGACATCAAGGGAGACATATTAGTTCATTGCCCCCATCTTCCCCATTTTCCAAGACCATCACCTGCCCGATCTTTGATTACTTCGATCACTTGTGTCCCCTTCGCGTCAGAGAGTAAAAAATGGGTATCAATGCCTTGGTCTAGCGTTTTCATGAGCAGAGTAGGGAAGAGGGAGGATATGTCCGAATGAAAGATGGAGTGAATACCATCTTCTAGAGGATGTCTTGCACTCTCATTTCCATGGGCGTGAAGACCCGTCGGCTTTGGGTGCTTTTCCCATCCTGGATTTGAATTTCCCAGGCCGTTTGTGTTAACAAGCATGATTGACAGATCAGCATGGACGCGGGACAATCTCGTCAACGCGCGTAGCGTGGCTGTTAGAAAGGCTGCACCTTTTGCCGGATTCGAGGACCGGATTACGCCTTCAGTAAGATAATCGAGACCTGCAACGATCAAAATGATAGGATTCTTTCTTGGAAGGATCGACTCGCTGGATTGCTCTTGGTTTTCTTTCGTTCCCTGTAAGACATCGGAGACCTTCCCGATGGCTTGGGCGGCGTTGACGAAGCTATGCACAGGGAAGAGCTGCACAGAGTCAAGTATTTGAATAGCCTCTTCTCTTGAAAGTCCGGGCTGGGTTCCAGACGATGATTGAAGATCCCTGAGTAATGTTCTTGGAGCAAAGGCCTCGAAGCTGCCCGGGTGGATGATGAAGGCGGTTGACTCATGCGATGGAGTGGTATTCCGCAGTTGTTTGATCAAAAGATATCGTGGGATCTTCCTGCGTCAGCTTTTATGATCAAGATTCCCATAGCCGGGGTCAATCTCACTTGTGCAATGTACTCATTGCTCTCGTCGCTTCTCCCTTGTAGTCTGGAGAAGGCCAACACGACCCCATTACGGAATACCCCTTGTCCAAACGATTTAATTCCCTTTGACCAGTCGGCTTTGAGGTCCCAGTCACTTTTGGGGTGGACATTGTATGGGGCAGTGCTTGTCTCTGTTGTTTCCGAATGCTGGAGTAAGCCATCGGCGAGGACTGGCAAAGCAGGTTCGGCAGAGTAAACGTTTGGAGCCGATGACATGGCTTCCTTTTAAGGGCGAAATTTATTCTCTGGGTATGATTGAAGAGGGCCTGGAAGGTTTGGATATCGGCTTTGCATTGGAATAAACTGGGTGCAGGAGAAGGTGGAGTTGGGATTTGTCCCCACAGAAAATGAACCTCACTTCAGCACAACAGCCCTGGACGCAAAACTCATTTCGTGTTTCGGTACAAGAACGCTCATTTTAATCTTACAATACTTATCTTATTTCTTGTGCCCAGAACAATATCTTTCGTATTTTCAAAATTCTTAACATGATCCTGTGGTTTCTCATCTGATCAATTATTTGCAGAATGTAAAGGTACGTATATCTGAATATGAATACATGAGTACCCCTAAACTCGCCTCCAAATTCCATTTCCATCGTGTTTCCAAGCCTCACCGTCAATCACATCGCCCAGGGTAGCTAGCAACTCATCCCGCATACCCTCCACATGTAAGTCATTGCATCGGAACTCTTTCAAGTTTTCCATTTTGTTGACAGTAAATCCAACCAAGGAATAAGACGTGGATAACTCCATCCATGGGTCGCTGAGATCCATCGGCCCTCGCTGTTCTACCTCGGTGACGTGGTTGCCGGGACAAGGTGCGAGACGTACGTCGAGACGCTGGAGATTATGCATTTCCGTGACAGCATCAAGTACAAGCTGCGAATGGTTGAAGAATGGGAAAACAGCCGTGTAGGAAAAGTGCGTCAAGCCATGGAGCAGATCGAGCAGGTCAGCTCGATATTGTGGGAGATGTCTCGCCACACGAAGAGAATTTGCACCCCATTCCCCAAGGATGGATGGGACTGTTGACAGGAAGTATTCATAGTGGTGATATGATTTCAAAGACGAGGATTCGTTGAACGACATTGATTTCCATTCTCGTGATGCAAGAAGACTTGGACAGGCCTCCAAACCAGGTAGCTGAGATGAAACCACCCTCTTGGGTTCTTGTTTCAATGCCAGGATTTGCAACTCGATTTCGAATGCCCAGCTGTGGGCGTTCATGATTGGGGTGCCCATGGTGCTACCAATGAATGGAGGGGGTGCAATGACTACCACCTCATCAGGGTCTATGTATTGGAGGACTCGGCGCCACCAGAATGGGTCGTTGGGACAATCTGGTTTGTCCTCTCCCAGAACCACCAGGGAAGTTATGTGTCGACCGAGACCCGATTTTGTGATGAAACCGTGGAACTCCGCTTCCTCATGTAGATCCAGGTAGGCATGACTGAAGAGTAGGGGTTGCACGAGTTTGAGTAAACGCGATGAACATGATGCTAGATGCTTCAAGTCTTTGGTTGGCGAATGAGTCAATTCCAGACTGGGTGCATGATGCAAATTTCCCAGCGAGGGGGCGTCCGTGGATAAGTAGGAGATGATCTGGTCTAGGAGCTCATTGGGGAGAAGCTCCAAAGGCGATGTAGCCCTGTGTGTCTCACATGACATGTCCGTATGTGCATCTCAAGAGCAGAGGGTGTCGGCTTCGCGTGCGAAGAAGAAGTGCCGACCTTCTCCACTTCATTCGCTGGGAGGCTCCACCGGGGGCTTTGTCAGCGGTGAATCAGCCGGGGATTTCGTTTGGGGTTTTTTCATCTTTCTTGTTATTGAACATATACAAAGTGTCTTGTTTATGATTTGAAGAGTAGGAATGAATGAGTCTCTCTCATCTTATACGCACTCGATTAACATCCGAAGCCCAACATCCTATGCCGTGAAGGACTAAGAAATCCGGGAAACCCCCCAAGTGGCCCGTGCATCACCTACTTCTCAGGCCTCAGATTCAGCGCCAATCAGAGGGAGATTGTTACCAGATGTACTGTAGCTTCTGTACAATTTATACTTGAATGGGTGTAAGAACAATTTATGTTTCCTATTTTCACTGTAGTCTAGCTCACAACTTTGGATTCACATTGGAATACGAGTGTACAGGTACTCTATAGACAAATCCAACGACTTTCATAGGCGATGTCGGAGATGTGGAGAGCCTCAGTCTTTTGTGGGGCAATGCCTATCACGGCCGGAAGTAGCACCTCGGATGAGATGGCCTTCTTATTTTATGTGCCCCTCTTTTGATTTTCCAGTCTTTCTTCTTTCCTACAATCCTGCTATTCTAGGTGAGTTGATCGGTATCCCCTGATAAACTATCTATAGATAGAACGGTGCTAAACATCGTGTTCGCGCAGCAAATCTTCATACTTTCTTCACAATGGCTCCTCAACTTCACCAGCGCCCGCCTTTCCGCGCGGAGCACCTTGGATCATTGCTCCGTCCCCACAACCTGTTGGACACTAAGATTGCCTACGAGGCGGGCAAGACTACAGAGGCCGAATTGACTGCGGTCGAGGACAAGGAGGTGAAAGACATTATCAAGACCCAGCAGAAGCTGGGCTATGCTGCCATCTCCGACGGCGAGTACCGTCGTCACAGTAAGCATCTTGCACATCTAGCAGACGGGCATTGTTAACAATCATAGTGTTCTGGGGTACTTTCTTCCCCGGTCTGGACGGCTTCGAGGAAGTCAACAATGTCGATGTGGACGACTTCCGCCCCTACGCCCCCGACATTGCCGCATTCCTTGAGGCCGGCCACAAGCCCGGCGAGAGTGTCATCTGTACCGGCAAGATCAAGCACGTTGGTAGCACCTACATCGATCAATTCAAGTACCTTGCCAGCCAGGTCCCGGCCGAAGAGGTCAAGAACCTGAAGATCACTCTTGCCGCCCCCAACTGGTACCACCTGCGCTACCGTGAGGGCAAGGCTTACCCTAAGTCTGTGTACACCAACGATGAGGACTACTTTGGCGACATTGCCAAGGCCTACCAAGCCGAACTCAAGATCCTGTATGATGCCGGATGCCGCAACGTCCAATTTGACGACCCCAACCTGGCCTGTAAGAGAGTCTCTATTTGATCATTCGAGGATGATTCAACTAACAAGTTTCTTAGACTTCTGCTCTGAGAAGTTCCTCAACGGTTTCAAGGAGGATTCTCTGAATGTGTACAGCGCCGACGACATGTTCGAGAAGTACATCAAGCAGTACAACGACATCTTCGTCGGCCTGCCCGCCGACCTGCACGTTGGTGTCCACTTGTGTCGCGGTAACTTCGTTGGCAGCCGTCACTTCTCCGAGGGTGGTTACGACCGTATTGCCATCAAGCTCTTCCAAGAGCTGAACGTGCACACCTACTACCTCGAGTACGATACTCCCCGCTCCGGTGGCTTTGAGCCCCTCAAGTTCCTCCCCACCCACAAGAACGTCATTCTCGGTGTTGTCACCAGCAAGTTCGCCAAGCTCGAAGACAAGGAAGAGATGAAGAAGCGTGTCATCGATGCTGCCAAGTTCATCGCTGAGGGCAACAACATCTCTCTCGACGCTGCTCTGAACCAGGTTGGTGTCAGCCCCCAGTGTGGATTTGCCTCTCACCGTGAGGGTAACGCCATCGATTGGGATGGCATGATCAACAAGCTCCAGCTTGTCCGTGATATCGCCAACGATATCTGGCCCAACCAGGCTTAGATTTCTGGTCCGGTTTCATGAACTTAAAATTCCTTTGTACATTTTTTTGATTTTTTCACATGGCCAAAGATGCCATTTTCCCTGTTCGCTTTTCAACACATGCGACCGGGCTTGGGGTTTGGGGTGACAGCGCTTTTATGGATGATGTTGGACGATGGATATGATATCTTTTTGAATGCCCACTTAACGTTTGATTCTTGGATACGGTCATGAGCGTCTTTTTGATCCATTTTTACTTTATATATTCAATGGTTTGGGGTTCAATATTACTCTGTTGTGGTCTCAAGTCCAAGGCTCTTGAATGTATGATCTCACTTCGCTGGGATGGTTAAAGTCATCTCAGCCCTGGAGGGCTCAACTGGGAGTGGTCACATATCAATCCTTCCTGTCTGGATATATTATGTGTGGAATGCATACTCCGAAAGTATTTATCACACAACTTTAGAAAAAAAAATGGCAACAGTAACTAACTGGAATGGTAAAATGGTCCATCTGAGTGTGTGTTTTTTTTTTTTGGTATTTGGAAGAACCGCCACTTCCAAATCATAAAAAGGAACCACCTTCCACTTCCATTGGCAAGATGGCCGAGTTGGTCTAAGGCGTTAGACGTCAGTATCCCCACATTGATCTTACACTCAGATCCCAAACTAACTCCCACATAGTCAAGACACTAAGTCGTCTTCTCTGTGACACAAACACAGTGAGCATTCTAATCTCGCAAGAGGCACGGGTTCGAATCCCGTTCTTGTCATATCTTTTTTTGCTTTTTTGGATCAGACCCATTTACCCTCTGATCCACGAACGGGTTTCTACCACTAATTTTTGTGTGACAACCTTCCGGGGCTATTCATCATACCACTTCATATGGGTCAAGGCTGGTGGGCATCCTTCTCACATTTGATGAAAGACCGCCCGGGCGTGATAAGCACTCCAACAGAATTTGCGTATTTGGCCCCACTCTGGGCAGATTTAGAGTGCAAATTCTTTTGGACTCTCATAGTACTCCTTCCCAGGTCCCTTGAAGATTATATCCTAGAAATACATGGATCAAGAATGGTGAAAATTGAGATGGTACAAGATTTGAATGTTTGCATGCTTGGGTAAAATTGCGAGTGATAAATACTAAAGCCCTGGATGAGTGTAACTGCCTAGGTGGACATGGGAACTATGTAAAAAGATTTTCAGGGATCGAGGTGGAACAACCACATGACATCCGTGAAGGTGAGAGATGCATGTCTGTATGACCCCAACCTGCGGGCATCAAATTCTTCCTTCGATATCTCTCTTCATGCCATCTCTGCAAAACACACGTCTTCTTTGGACGCCACTCTCCACCTGAGATAATCTGTGTCTGCCCCTTCTGGGCTGCAAGCAAGATCAAACCACAGGGATATCTATCCATGCAATCTTGAAATGCAGCACATGGTATGGGCGGATAGAATTTGACTCAAGAGCTAATAACTATGCTAGGCCACAGTGTCCTGGCTCATGATACATCAGACGGCCCAAGACGTCATCATCCTTGGCAAGATGGCCGAGTTGGTCTAAGGCGTTAGACGTCAGTACTCCCATACAATTCCATTTTCAGAATCAATTACTAACTCCCACATAGTCAAGAGAACCTTCTCTTCGCTGTTAAACAGTGAGCATTCTAATCTCGCAAGAGGCACGGGTTCGAATCCCGTTCTTGTCAATATCTTTTTTGTCTTTTTGTCCCATCCCGATCTTTACATATTCCAAGGTTGGGATGTTTTTTAAACTTCGGTTCTTCTCAAGCCCTACGTGGATACATTCAAACGACGAGTGGAATGTCTTGCTGCACTCTCTAAATATTTGAGCTCCAAAAAGGAATCGCATTGCCAGCTTGACAGGACCCTGTCACTTCGAAATCGGAGCCCTCCGGGATTTGTCGCACCATAGCAGATAATACTTACGTATGGCAGGTGGGCATTTAGGGTGTTGGGGTCAGCTGCAAGTATTGAGTCAATTTTTTGTGACCACGCTGTATATTCTAAAGTTCGAGCCCGATACGCTTGCAACAAGTGGATTTGACAGGATAAACAAAAAGTGGAAAGGGAAGAGCCGAGGATATATATCAGAAGAGCAACCAAGAAAACAGTTGCTACTTACCACCACCACTCATGAAGTCGGACATCTGCATTGTTCACACCAAATGCGTTCCAAGGTTCATTTTCTGTTCGCAGCCAAGTCTAATCTAAGCACGTTATTTCGATCTCCTGGGCTGTGTCGCAACATTTCTCAGTACACAAACTTTAGAAGTATGTGTGCTCTTCATTTGACAAAGCACCATTCATCGAAAATATTTGAGCATTAGACTGATGGTTCTTTGAAGAATGAGTAGAGACTCTTGGCTTTGGATAATGACCTTACCCCATACTCCAGGGCTCAGAAACCACATTGAAGGTGGTGTATGAACCTTTAACACTTGTGAATCACCACTTGAGCAGGAGGAATGAGACGTTCAGGCTCAATAAACATTATCTTCGGCCATGGTACTCAACAAGTCTCCGTGGCGCAATTGGTTAGCGCGTCTGACTGTTAATCAGGAGGTTGGAAGTTCGAGCCTTCCCGGGGACGTTTCTTTTTTCTCCTTCAAAGAAATCGATTTTTTTTTTTGGCCGGCGAGTCAGTCCACTGGAAGCCCACAGTGGGTCAAGGTGCAACAGTATCACTACATATGAGATAGTATGCGGTGTTGTACGAAGAACTTGTGTCGTATAAAGCAACAGAAAATACTACTGCGAGGGAGGCAAAGCTTCAGAACAAGAAGGTCCAAATCGACGAAGAGAATTAAGATGCAGAAGGAAGAGAGAAGACCATGGAGATATGGAGAGAGAGCATACTTTAATAGTTCGGAGCAAGCAAACATAATTGAAAGCAAACATGATGATGGTAGCAAACCATCACAAGTACCAAGGTTGTGTGAGCTGCACGCCTGGAAATGTCAAGTATTTGCGGGTAACTGCTCAATGGAAACCGAATGGTTGCTGGAAACTACTGAGTACTAGGAAAGTGGGCAGGCCTTCTCTTCCAAGTATTCCTATCATAGATCAAACTGGCTGCAACATAGATCTTGCCATCTCAAGCTTCTGGGACATGACAATTCCTTCCTTGACCAATCTGGCGATGACACGCATGGTCCAACTCTGACAGTTCTCCGTGACAGACTTCCGGTCCTTCGCCCGAGGAGGTGGCTCCTGCTCTGCGATCTGCTTCACCAACTTCGCTGCCCTGGCCTGTTCCTCAGACACGACAGCCAGGGTATAGACATTCGAAGTAATACCGGCGTCGAAAATATTCACCTTTTCAGCCGAAGGCTCGTATGTCATTGACTCGGCTTCCCCGGTAACCTGGTAGACATAGCCATAATCCGGCTCGTTTTCGTCCGCGAGGAAAATGGCCCAATGATTGGGTTCCCCGGGGCCTTGCTCCTCTGTGACGAGATATAGATAGAGGTGTGGGAATTCAGCAGGCGGCATCGTGCTTTCGGGGTCGGATTTATCTTCGGTCCATTCCTGTGTGCCCTTTTTTCTGTAAAACCTGCGACCTTCGAATTCGCATACTTCTCGTAGACCCCGCGTCATGGTGGGTATGTCGGGTGGTGGGAGGCCGCTCATCTTCTGAGGAGATCTAAGTTTAGTCCACGGGTGTGTATTTATTAAGCCTCGCGCGGGTCTTCCAAGGTTGCTTTTGTTGGAAACATTTACTTACGGTTGACGAAGTTGAGCGCATATAAAGCTTCTTGTTACTTTCTCGCGCGATGCAACAATATCAGTTCATATCTGCATAGGTGGTGAATTTGAGTAGAAGAGTGCGCTCTGGAGTGCGATGAAGGACATATAGTGGCGGAAGCTTAGGCGCAGGCAAACAAACGGTCAAAGGGTTGTCGCATTCTTACATCATCCAGACATCCCTCCAGGGCTCCAGCTCCAGCTTAGAGGGCTACAGGGTTGTAGAATGAGGTCGTTTCAATTGGATCAGATAAACTTAAGTAAGTCTGCTTTATGCGTGGGTGTATGTTGATACGAATACTCGAGTTCGGAGGTGATCTACTTGAGTATATATCTACTTACCTTGTTCTATATCCGCGCGGCGATTGATGCTATCAACACTACTCCGTATATTTGTCACGTATAATACTTCTAGAAGTTAAGTACGAGCGATCACAAAATCAACAGAGCTTGGGTTATTCCAGAGTGGAGAGTGGATTGAGTCTATCAAGAAATCATGTCACTCTGCCGGTCCCTCAATGTTGCCCTCCTTGATGGACGAGCTCTTGTGGGTGTTCATATTCTCAATCTTGTATCGCGGCTCGTTGTCCGAAGCAGAGCTACGGCCAGTCATTGTTTCACGGATGACTCCGATACTTTTGTTGGTCTTGGAGTTTGCACCTGTTTTAGTTCGTCAGCCCAAGCCCGAGTTTATGCATATGCCGTTGCCATCCGGGGTATATCATACCACCAACGGGTCTGTAGTTGACTTTATCGCCTTCCTTGAATCGATGCATTTGCGATTTCTGGCCTGGTGAGTACAGGGGTGATGGGAGTCGTGGAAAACGAAGTATGATGCCGGTCAAAAGAGGTCGCTTGAGCGTGGAGAAGGCCTTGTATATCCGTGTGAACAGGAATTTCGAGGCTCTGCTGGTTTGAATATCCCAATGACAGTAAGATTGAGGAGAGCGAAGCTAGTGTAGCTAACACTTCCCAGGAATTGAACCTGTACAATCATTTTATTTCTATGGCCTGTCTAGCAAGTCCTGACCGTAAGGAAACCACATCCGAAACCGTCACATTGACAACGCGCCTCGATGATCGAGCCCAATTGATATGTTCCCCGTCAATCAAATCTCAATGATCTACTACTTAAGTAGGGAGACGCCGCCGACTGGACAGGAAAATATTGAAATATTCGAAGGCGACTCGAGGCCGATACGCCACTGTGATTAGCAGGTTGAGATGGAACCCGGCTAAGGACATACGTCAGACATATGCCACTACAATCCATTTCCTTCATCTAAGTCAATACATGAACATATCCCGCCTGCGCTGCTTCAGCTTTAGTCGATATTGTACATCATTTTGAATGAAACATCCAGAACCGCAAGGGGTCCGAATGAACAACACTAGGTAGAGAGCACAGTGTAATTAGAGTATTAAATTGGACCCAACAAGCCCATATATGAACAGAGGGGATATCATAGAAGTGAAGACAAAGCAATAGGAATCAAGCAACGGCGTAAGAATGGCCACAGACAAAGAAAAATACCAGGCAAAAAAATAAAAGCCCAAATGCTGCGTCATCTTGTCATCAAACACGGACATGAAGAGAGAGAGAAAAAAAGAAAACACTTGTCAGATAATGCGAGATGTTGTACAACGAAGCTCCTCGAAGGGTGCCTCTTGAGGTGACAGCGGTGCATCTTATTTCTGCGGCTGGGTCTTGACATTGTTTGAGAGCCAGGCCTAAGAGGGAAGGGGTTAGCGTATGAGGATAATTAACTAACGTAAGGAGATTACTTACCAGACCCTCAAAGATACCAGTACCATCGGTTGCGACACTGGGTGCCACATACCACAGCTTGTCCTTGAGTTTAGTCAGCTGAAGTTGCTGGGTGACTTCTTCTGGGCTCAAGTCTGAGGGGAGGTTAGCCAATAAGGTCATTGCATATAGGATTAGGGGGAAAACGTACGCCCGGGAATATCTTGCTTGTTGGCAAAGACCAACAGGAGGGCGTCCTTCATTTCACGGTCGTTGATGATCTTGTGCAGCTCCGAGCGAGCTTCTTCCACACGCGCCGTATCGCTGGAGTCAACCACGAAAATCAATCCTTGTGTGCCGGAGTAGTAGTGTCTCCAGAGGGGTCGGATCTTGTCCTGACCACCGACATCCCAGACGTTGAATTTGACGTTCTTATAGGTCACACTCTCGACGTTGAATCCGACAGTAGGAATGGTGGTCACGTCTTGGTTGCTGAGTTTCAATTTGTAGAGAATAGCTAAGAAGGGGAAGAGTCAGTAAACGAGTGTCTTCTCTCGATGAGTGGACGGAGAACACATACTCGTCTTTCCAGCAGCGTCTAAACCCAGCATAAGAATTCGCATCTCCTTCGTTCCGAAGATCTTCCCCATCATTTTGGATACTTGTCCTCCCATCTTGGCGGAAGTTGACGCGGTGTCGGGGGATCAGGAGCTGTTTGGCGTCGGAATATCAACAATGGCGGGTCGTGTATTAGAGGAGTGACGGAGGACAATTGTAAGCCTCTCGCGAGATTAAGATTAAGAGGGATGTCAAGCAAAGAAGCAAAGAAGCGAATCACCAAAAAAAAAAGGAAAAGAAGGAAGTGAGGATCGGCTCTCGCAGCCAATTTCCCTGAGGCGGGGGAAAAGGGGCTTGGCTGACTAACCGGGTATCTCCTCCCCACGAGGGTGTTTCACCTCGTGTTCCTTGTATACTCTGATTCATTGCAAGTGTGGGTGCTGTTGATGGTCTTGTTTCACAATCTAGTTTGAGAGACGTTCACACCCAACTACTCCCTGGACCATACGAGTCGCAACAATGGCATTCTCCCGTAATCTCTCTGGGATCCACTCACATCACGCCAGATTATGACCAACAGTTCCCACGCCACAATTCTTCAATAGCGTCGATTCACACTTTGGGTTGCGAGGCTTGGCTAGGGCGTCGGTAAGATGTGCGAGCTGATCACCGGGACCCTAAAAGCGTAGATCGACATGATTATGGAGACATTCTAGCAATTTTGGAGGCTATCTTACTTCCACATTACTGCTTCTAGTGCTTTGAGCTTCCTTGAAAGAATAAGATAAGAGCGGTCCAGCATTGATAGATGGATCCATCAGCTTCACACCTCCAGACCTGATAATCATCGATGATGCTCTGATGCCCCGGATTTCATTCTTATACTCCATATTTCATTGTGACTATTTTGCTCATTTGCCAGGATATAGACGGGGTCAGCTCATGGTGCTCTTATACATACTTAGATATGGTTGAGAACAACCGAAGACCTTTTTTTTAAAAAAAAAAAATTATAATAGAGGAACATAGTGATGACCTGAAATCAAGAGACTATGTAGTGCCAAAAGAGAAACAGAGGCTGGTTCAGATTCTCTGCATATTTGCATGCTTTGGGCCAATATATGTGGCAAACGCTCTCCACGCTTGACATACATGCTTGACCACAAGCAGGTTTGACATGCTGATAGTTGTCGAGATTTGGGATGGGTTTTAGATAGTCAAAACCGCCAGTGTTTGCTTTTGGAGTTACCCTTCTATCGTGTAGGGAGTTCGTCCCAACCCTCTTTTGCAGATAGATTCGCTTCTCACTTCTTCCTCTCTCTCTCTCTCTCTCTCTCTCTCTCTCTCTCTCTCTCTCTCTCTCTCTCTCTCTCTCTCTCTCTCTCTTTCTCTTTCTCCTCTTTTCTTTTATTTCTTCTCTCTCCTATTTGCTTTTTTTTTGATTTTTTTTTTTTTTATTTTTTT